GGGGGGTCGTTTATGGAGACGGTTATGGGCGGTGGAGGTGGGATGGGGGGTGCGGAGTTTAGGGAGTTTGGGGCGGGGGAGGCGGGGTTGGGGAGGAGGCTCTAGGGTGCGAAGGGGGCGAGGCAGCTCGCTTTCTCCTCGCTTCTACTTAAGGAGGTGGCGGTGCAAGGGCATTCTGAGCGCGTTTGCGGCATTGCGTGGGGCAACAGACTAGTCCAAGCGGGCTTTGCGCCGCTTGGCAACCGGAATAAGTTTTCGGCGGCAAGAGTATAATTAAAGATACTAAGATTCTTTATCTACTTCGATTATTAGCTTACTTAATCGGCTCACTAAAGGTGTTAAGATAATAATAAACTTAGTAGTAAAAATGCGTAATAAGATTACTAGTCTTTAGAAGGCAAATAAGATAGTAATAAAGTATAAGAGCCGTAAGTGGAAGTATATCTAGAATTAAGAAACCTGAATAATAGACGAGAGCTCTGAATTAGTCGCTCCTAGAGGTGTTAGTAGAGAGAAATTAGATAGTACTACTAGTAATAGTAGTCTATTAGAAGAGCGCCTAGCGAAGTAAAGGCGCTATAGAAACTACGGGAAAGCTAGGTACAACTCGCGCACCTATTAAGAGTATACAGAAACCTCCTCTAAATCAGATATAGATAGCAAGAAGTTAATAGAATAAAATAGTGTTGAGTTATCGCGATGCGCTGTGAATTTCTTAGTAAAAGTGACCGGCATGCCCGTGAACCGCGTTATCTCACATTGTTCTAATCCTCTCCACTTCCCCCATCGTATGATTCCAAGCTATATCCTCCATCCCCTGCCTTCTATACTCCTCTAACAGCTTCACAACTTTCTCCCCTGCAACCTCCCCATACTGATCAATAGAATAGACGCCGCTTCCCACCTTCCCATCCGTGCCTTTCGCCACTTCCGCGCCCTCGACCCCCTCCACTCCGCCCGGCGCAAACCGCGCAGTAGTACAAACCCACAAATGCCTCTCCCCGCTCTCCGCAACCGGGACGCAGAGCCAGCTGCCCGCGATCCACGTAACCGCGCTAAGCACAGCTCCCAGGAGGCCGGGAACCCGATGTGTAATATATTGCGTGCGGACCACGCCCGGATTCGTGTGCACGAAGCTCACGCCGGGAGCCTGCTTAGCGAGCGCGGAGAGGGCGAGCGTCATGAGCGTGCACAGGTGGCCTTTGATGGCGCGGAAGCCGAGGGTCAGGGCCGGGATGTCGGCGGGGTAGAAGTGGCCTTCGGAGGTGCCCGCCGCGACGGAGATGACGCGGGAAAGAGACGGGGAGGTGGCTTGAGAGGCACGCGTTAAGAGAGGGAGGAGGTTGGACGCCATCAGAATGCGGCCGTAGTAGGCGGGTGCGAGGAGGAGGTGCAGGCCTTCTGGTGTCACTGTGATATGTTGTCAAATCTCGTCGTGGTACAGCTAACGGATTGAGATCAGGGGTATATGAGGATTGCGTTGCACGCACGGCTTTTGTCCAAACTGGGCACACCCTGGCTCATGAATAAGAGATTAAGAACCGCCTCTATCTTTATGATCTCTTCGCAGAGCTGATCTACATTTTTCATCGAGCTAAGATCGGCTTTGATAAAGTTGAACTCTCCATCCGGGTTAAGCGCCTTGCATTCTGTCGTGATCCGGTCCGCTGCTTCTTGATTGCGGCCGATAAAGTACACGCGCGGGCGGACAGCTTTAGTAGCAAATTCTTTGAGAGTTGCTTCTCCGATGCCGCTAGTCGCGCCTGCGAATATGGCGACCAAGTTAGGTGGAAGTGCAGTAGGAATGAGCTCGTTGGAGGCGCGGATAGCGGGGAGAGTAACCATTGTGGTTAATGGATAGTAGACTTAGCGCTTTAGGAAGTTTCAACGATAGTATGTTATGGAGGTATGAGTTGGGTAGAACTCTCCAACCTAATATTTTTCTATTGCCAGGCAGCCATATGACGCGTTCATTCGTAATTAAAGCCACTAATGCGCCAACATCTAGAGTTGTTACAGGGAAAGCATCCTACAAGATACTTGTATTCTTGCGGCCGGAAACGTATCCGCTAACCAATCAGAACCGGAAGATCAAGGTATTTCTCTTAACATAGGCTGCAACCGTCAACCATGTAATAAGAAGACTATTCAGATTGATAGAGTGGAAGCGTATATAATAGATCTTAGTACATGTGATTTTTCCTGAACACTCAGGCTTTTGGGGGGGATAGTGGTTAATGAATGTCATATTGGGACAGATGGGAGTCACGTGGATCGGGTGGTCAGGGGTTACTAGCGACTGGCTGATAGGAACGCACTTCGCTCTAAGATCGGAGCTGAGATAGAGAGATTACAGGGATGAAACCACAACGACGACATGCGTAACATGAATGAAAGCGTCATGGTGTGTTGAGGCGAGAGATCTTCTCAGTCACATCTCCTTAGCCGTACTATTTGCGCTTCAGTGGCAGTGAAGATGGAAAGATTAAGCTGTCTCCCTCTCTCCTCCATTCTTCCTCATCCTCTCCCTTCGTGGTTAACCCCTCTCCCTCCTCTGGCCGCGAAGCCCCTGTATAATACAGGACAACGCCACTCTTCATCCCAGACGTAAGTCTCAATACTCGCATCTCGACAAATGAGTAACCAAACGCCGCTGTACAGGTTCACGGGACCTCTGACAGCGGCCACCTGCGTACCATCGGGTCCATCAAACGGGCCGGTCCTTAGTTTCCCGTTGCCGCCTCCGTGTCGTGCAGAGCCCTTGCCCTTGGTACTAGTACACCGCCTGGCCGCATCCGGTGGGTCTGCGGGTGGCGTCAAGGCGTGTCAGGCTGCTGGACTAAGAGCTGAGTAGTTGAGCGCGCGTCTACCGCAGCTTCTCAGTGTTTTTATTACTGGTTGATTGAGAACGTTGTTTGTGACACTGAATAGCCAAGACGCAGTCCTCAGTCTTACGCAGTGCCGTCCCACCGGGCACGCGTACGTACTAGTTCGATAGCCTAGCCTGTGTAGGTGGCCATACAGCGTTGCGCGATGCTGCAATGCTACTAGACGCCTTGTTATAACGGCAAAGATACGGTCGTCACGTGCGCTCTTTCTATTTCTCACGACTCTTGGGTCCGTCGCGTCACGTGCGGATTCGCCCTGCACGCGAGACGGTCTCATGACAGCCTGCGTTTAGCGTACTTCCGGCGCGGCGGCAGAGCGTGGTCGAGTTGAAAGCCGTATCAAGTTTTGGTGCCGGCATTCCGCCGCCCTCAATGTCGGTCACAAGGCGGGTGGATTGGTGCGGCTGCGCCGTCTGAATCTTGTACCGGCCGTCGTGTACAGGCGCGGTACTAGAGAGCGCAGAAGCCCCGTGGGTTTTTGCAGAGGCGGGCGTGCTAAGAGGCTCCTCAGCTCCAGTCCTTTTACGGATGCCCACGTCCGGCCCGCTCGAGCCGTATGTCTGCACGAAGAACGACCGGAAAGTCGAGAACGGCGCGCGCCGTTCCGCTGGCTCGGCGATGTCTTCTGGATGCAGCTCGGTCCGGAGGCGGGACGGGGCGGTACAGCGGGGTTGGCATCGTGACCTCTGGTAGTTTTCACGGCGGAACTGCGACGGGTATCTTGTCTTGATGATTTTAGATGAGCCGTTAAATTTGCTCAGGAGATCGGCTACGGTTATGTCTGGTACTGCTAGCTTGTTCCGCCTCTCCTGATCTTGGGCTTTGTCGTCGGAGGTTGGTAGCAACTCCATGGCTTTGACAGTGCGGTGACGGTCTTGATGCCTAGCTGCCCCCGCTGCTTCTGTACTGGCACGACAGTCATGCTTGGACTTCTGATATTGACAGGACCCGCATTCAGAAGGGGAGGCGATGAGAATATAGCAATCTGCCACACAAGCTGCTGTCGGCCTTCTCCTGTTACCGCCCCAGATGAAAGTGCCCCTGCATCGAGAGTGAAGGTAGCGGGTTTGATGGCCGCAACTGTAGCGGTGTCCACGGATCTTGCACATGGGGATGCGACTCGGATGTTATAACGGAACGGTAAGAAACAGAGATAAGATAGACGCGGCCACGGAGGGTAGAGCAGAAATTTTCGGGATGTTCATCATTCAGAGAGTACCGCCGTGTAGCCGGTGACTGTGAGATGGAACAGAGATTGCAAAGGGGAACGTTGCGTATTTGTTACGAAGGAAGGACAAAAAAGGTGCAGTGACTGTGGGGCCCACGGCAGCATCGCTGACCCAAAAGTGACGAGCGGCTGCATTTGGGGGGGGGGGGGAGGAGATGACAACCCGGAGGGCGGTCCGGCAGGCGTTGATCCAATTAAGAGGTGCAGAAGCGCGATACGATTCGTGTTGGAAGCGTGGAGGCGTTCCAGCATGTCGATCCACCGTCTCCGAGGACGAAGCTCAGAAGCTCAGAAGAGAGGGCTGGAAGCTTTTCGGAGCAGGGTCCGGCGGCGGCGGCGGGCCCGGAGAGAGCACCGGTGTGAGCTTCGAGGCTGCCCAGGTGGGTGGCGTTCGCATTGTTCCCATCCCACCCGGGCCCGTCGTGGCTTGTTCCGCCATTTCAGAGATATCCATCATGGCATCATGCCGCTCGGTTGGTTGCTATCGCAATTGTTATGAATTGCATTCGCCGTTGATGGTGATGGCCCCGACAATGGAGTTGAGCGGAAGCGAAGCGAGGGCGCTGTCGGAAGCCACACTCTCTTTCAGACATGCTAGCAGGCACGCATTGGCATGATGAACGTCGATCGCACTCACAACGGTGCCGATATCCTAAAGCTCCTCGACAGTACTAAACGATGCACGGCATCTAATCACCGAAACAGAGGCGACCGCCAGCCGACTTAACTACAAGAACGTCCTAATCCCTGGCTCCTCGGCTCCTCAGCTCCCCGCTCAACCCGTTATATACTCATAGGAAAACATTACAACAGCACCGACCAGCAAACGCCAGCCCAAGCAACGCCCTAATATCTAACAATCGGCGCCCCGGCAGCCTCATCATGATACATGATCCCGCCCTTGACGCCCTCCCGCTCTATCCGATCCATCCATGTCATGGGCTTCTCCTTCTTCTTGCTCCCGCTCACAAACGCATTGATCACTTTTCTGAAGCCCGTCGACTTCTTCTCGCGCAATCTGTTACTGTCGGCGGAGCTTATCTCAACGAGGCGAGGGTGGCTCGTATCGTAGCTGCGCCCCGCGGTGTCCGTGCTAATCTTTCTGCTGAAGTTGACGGATTCTCGGCGACCGGCTGGTTGGGCGAATGTCAGCGAAGCGGGACCGGAGCCGGAGTCTTGCGTCAGCCCGCTGTCGTAGCGCCGAGATCTGGCGCGTTCGACGCTGAGTGTGCGGCCCATTGCGGACATGAGGTCGTCCATGTCTTGCACTCCCTGTGCCATATCTGGGCCTCGCGATGAGCTTTCACTGTCCACCGCGGGTTGAATATGGAGACCGGACAGTGGTCTTGACGAACGGCCGCTGGAGATGTTGATATCGTCGGAAAGCGTTTTTCTGTGCGAGATTCGCTTTTGCTCCTTGGTCAAGCTTGGTAGAGGTTGCGAAACTTGTCTCTGGGTTGGCGGCGGCTGAAGCGTGGCAGCTCCGGCTTTTGGCCGCATTAGTGCTGCGATGTGAGTGTTGGTCGCCGGCTTTTGCTGTTCCCAATTGTCAAGACTGGGTAGCGGAGGCAGCTCCCGGTTAAGGTTGATCTCGGGCTTGCGCTTTTCACGCCCTCTCCTGTCCTTTTCTCCCGTACCCTGGGAAGAGATGCTGCTGTTGCTGGTGTTTCGGTGCAAGGTCCAACTGCGCCAGCCTCCGCTTGACGGGCTGCGTCCAGTTTCCTTTGCGGAGTTGCGACTTCGGATCGAGTCTCTCGACGAGGATCGACTCAACGCGCTGTTGGGACGGATGTAATCCCGAATATTTGACGTGATACTGCGAGCCTTGGAGCTAGCTCTGCTGACAGGACGTCGACGCTCCTGCTCTTCACTTTGCCTTCCCCTTTCGTATCCCAGTCTCGTCCATTCTGGTGCTGCAGCGTCGGCGTGAGATGTAACTGATTGGTCTCGATAGGAATGCTCCGATGGTCTTCTCGACTTTCGAGCGGGCGTTACAGCGGCCGAGGTGAAGGAGGTGGAAGCATTGTTGTAGCGCTCCGACGTGCCTGTTAACGGAGTCGAATAGCTTTCGTTGTCCGAGTCGGCACCTTGGGCTGTCCTCGGTCGGTCTGAATGAACGTGGACTTTGGGTGGTAGACTTCGGCTGTCAGGGACGTCGCGCCTCCGGCTGCTGTTTGCGAGCACGGCAGGATTCGTCACGTAAGAGTCGGAAAAGATGTCCTTTAGCGGTTTGCCGGGTTTGTAGGCATATCTGCTCGGATCGGTGGTGGTGTTCGGCCAATATGTGTGTGCTTGAGAGATGTGATCCAGGGGCGCGGTATAATTTTCCGCTGCTCTGACCGTGATCGAAGGTTCAATCGCGTCGAAGCCCAAAGTCGGTCCATGAGGCTCATCCTCAAACCCAGCCGGCCTGCAACCCTGCAATACAATCGCGCAAGATGCTCGAAGCTCAGCCTCGGTCTTAACGTCAAGCAAGCGGCGATTGACGAAAGGCGACGGTGGAGGACCGTGGTCGTCGATCGCTTCTCTCAGCGCCTTGTCTGATTTCGGGGACGTTTTCTGCGACGCGTAAGCCTAGACTGTCCGGCTCAACCACTGTAAGGCGGAGATGGTCCAGCAGAGGAAAGTGGGTTCTGCTTACGATAGGCGTGAGGTTGAAGGAGAATTTCCGCTTCATTTCGTCCACGCAATCGATGTGATACCCGTAGACTTGGGAGTTCTTCTCTCGCTCGCGAGATGATCCGGGGGCACAGAGGGTTGAGGACTGTGGTACGGCTGCGGTGTTCACGGATAGCTGCTCGCTTGGAGGATTGCAAATGCTGCGGCACTCTCAGGCGGCGCGTAAGGCTGCGCCAGGTTGCTGTGTTTCGCAGAAACAGAGCAAAGGATAGGAGTATTAGTACAGCAGCATCTATTAAGGATTAGGATTTAGAGGTCGGGGGCAGAGACCACACATAACCAAGCGTGGAGAGGCACTGGGAGGGTCTCGAAGCGCTGTCAGGACACTTTGTTTCCATGGTTGCACGGCTCACCGAGGCCCAACAGGGAAACCGCACCGGGCTTGGAAGCGAAGCACTGGCTGGCTGGCGGCTCCCGCTCACCGCGCCGTTGCCCGTCAGACTGGCCCCCGAACTCCGGGTAAATAAGATCTGGACACCTCGGCAGCTCTGGCGGCTGTTTCATTTTAAGCCCCCCATCAATCAGAAGAGGAAGTGTGGAGTTTCCCCTGACAGCTTCCGCAGCTCTCTCTCGACTCCTTCCATCACAAGGCGGCGGGAACGCAAGCATTGGTCACAACACCAGGCAAGACTTCCAGCTTGCTTCTTTCCAGCTGCCCAGCCATCTGCACGTCCAGAATCTCTGCACAACCTGAAACCCCGTCCCTCTGAGCCCACTCCCAGTTGCAAGGGGGATTGCACGGCCAATGGCAGCAGGCTTCCCCGTGCTGCGGCACCTGGCAGTCACTGGCAGCCACGAGCCTTCCGCTCCGCTAGCTGCAGCCAAAGCACCCTGTTGCACGCTTGATTGACTGGAGTCGTCCTGGGCCGAAATGAAGGAAGCTTTACGGATACAAGTATGACAGATCGGTCCGTCGGACTCGGCATCCGCCGTACCGATCGTGATCTGCGGCGTCAAAAGCACGCAAGCCGTCGGGAAGCCTTGATCAAGAGGCGGACTTCACCGGCCTCGTTCAAGTCTGCTCTTCAACCTGAAACCGCGAGAACCGGACTGCAGCAATCAACAGCGGAGTGTGGATGCGATTCCCCGTACATGCATCAGCCGTTCAAGCCTCTATGCAGAACATCATCAACCCGCCCCTGATCCTCGCCAGGGAACAGAACTTAGCGCTCCGCTCATCGCGCGTAGTAAGTAATACCTCATCGGGTGCTTGAGCTCCTTAGGTACAATACTACAAACTCAGTGTGGCGATCTAGATGGAACATGGTGAACTCATCCTTCCCCGGTATGGCTCTCGTGAAGCTCCCTGGTAGCGTTGAGACGACAAGACAATCAACAAAGAACGAAGGACAGCGTGAGGGTTCAAAGAATCCTATCCTGTACCTTGTTACGGCATTGTTCAGTAACTGAATCTCGACAGCCGGACAAAGAGCGTCTTCCGTGAATCAGCACTCAAAAAATGTGCTGTCTCGCTTGTGGTTCTTTCTCATGGTCTTTTGCCCCGGTGTTACATTACATATGGTCATTGGGGAGTCTGCTGGTCATTCATCTCAGTCGTCCATGTTCCATACACTTAGAGTTTCCAATCTCTACAGCGTTTTTGATCTATCGATAGCCATGACCATAGTTTTTGCCGTACGCACTCGTCAACCGCAAACAACTACTCACCAGGTACCAATAACTTCTATCGGACTGCCACGGTTGAGCAATTCATCCGCTCGCCTCCGCCTCAACGTCTTACTGCGCCTAAACCGTGACGAAGCTTCACGAAGACTTTACGTTGCTCGCCAGGCCCTCAAGATCAAGATTGACATGTCCCAGCTTCCTCCGGAGAGAAAGGTGGAACGGCTGAATCCGCTCTTCGCGAAAGATGGAGAGACCCCAATTCCAAGACCGTCCTTGCCTCAAGTGGCGATTGACTTGAGCAGGCACATGGTGACCACGTTGGCCCGGTCATCGCCGCTGCGCAAACATGAAGCGCAATCTACACCGTCAGATGAGGAGGACCATATTCGGGATCAGAACGGTATTCAAGAGGAGAATCCAGGCGATGATGTGGTTTGTCAAAAACGTCTTCCCGGTTCCGCAGTCCCGCAAGAACGGTCGCCACAACTGAACAGCCCTGCAACCGCTACTGCTAGGAAACAGCAATCCTCTTTGAGGCTTCAACACTTGCGCGCCAAGCTTGAGCGTATAACGCAGCGGATATCGAAAGTACAACGCAGCCAAGATCCGTAATTATCGGCATTCCGCAATCTGCTCCTCTACGCTGGCCAGTGGAATAAGTGCACAAGCTTCTTGATGGATCCTTCCCATGCTCGGAGACTCCGAGATTTTATTAGATGCGGTAAGTGCAACGGAAACACAAACTCCTGTATCGGTGTTGCACTTGTCACCTTTGTGTTCCACTCTGTCTGCTTTTCCAGCGTCTAGTCTCATACAAATCTAAAATCCATGAATTCAAGGATTTCGTTGATCACTTCGTTTCGTTCGTGCATACTCGTTGACCTCAGAGTAGGGCCATGGTAAGGAGACCCCAAGATCGCTGTATACCCCTGCACCGCATATCAATCTCTTGAAGATCACGACTGCTGTATCAAAAGATTGGAAGGCTGAAACCAGGTTATTGCAATATTCAGTGGAAGTCCGGCTTTCTTCTGCGAGACCGGTTGATAATCATAATCGGCGTCGACTTTTTGAAAGCTGATTCGTTCAATTTTCATTGCTAGTTCTTTGATGAAGATGGCTGCGAATATGCACGTTTCCAGGGCAAAGAAGTTATTAGACTTCACCACTTGTCATCCTGCTCACGGGGTCTTTATGTTCTGCTGGACATCTAGCATAGAACTCACTAGTATACACGCAATCTTCACCACCAATGTCACTACACATACCTATCCTTCTCTGTCACTTCCTCTCTCTGCACTTATATCAACAGCCGCATTGGTCAATCCAAATAGCAACAACCAAACAAGAGCTACTCTACTGCGGCACAACACCAACAATGTGCCTCCAACGCCACCAGACCCACTCACGCTGTAGCCACACAGTTGCCGTCCTACTTAACCAGCACTGTTTCTGTCCCCTTCGGCTCCATGCAGACATCGTCGTGGCGACGCTCTGCATTAATTGTCAGATCGCTAGGCATCACCAGGAGCGCGAAACTCTCCGCAAACAAAATCGCGGTTAGGCACTCAGGGTCTGGGGAACATGGATTGCGGAAAGGGAACCGCTTTGTCTGTTGGTGAGGCTAGAAAAGCGGGATCCAGAAAGCAGTGGCGGGGAAAGGACCCAGGCGATGCTCGGTAGTCTGGACGTGAGAAGGAGAGCTGAACTTCAGGATCTGGGATTTCGTGTAGAAGCTTTCTTGGGAGAGGGATCTTGTGGGATTAGGGTGCATTTCTAGACTGAGGGAGTAGCAGTACCTGACTGAATGGTGCGGATTCCATGTGCACTTTCAGAGCCCCTTTGCTAGTCCGTGTTTATGGGTGCATTCTGTTGTTTATTCGCTCTTAGTTGTTCTCAGGTCTGGCGCGCTGGTCTCGCCAACATGATGTGACAATGGGTACCAATACTAGACTCTCATTAAGTCGTAGACAAAAAACCAGCAAACCGCATGAATAGATCATGTTGCAACTTCCGAACAGAGAATCGGTAGCATGTGCTGTCAGCACAAGATCCCTGCCCTTCCGCACCTCCCACCTGCCCCTCAGCCACTAACTCCACTACCTCCGCCTGATGTCACTATTATCCAAATTCTCGCGCATTACTCTCCGGGGGTTCATGCCTATATGAACAACGGTAATCATGGCGATTTCAAGTTCGATCGAGAACGGAAATCCTGACCATCGGTCCGTCACACTGCAACTGATCTACCGCTATCCACCTTGAGTACCCGTAGACAGCAGCTACCAAAACTCCAACATGGGCAACAACAAAGCCGCCTGGATCACAGCGCCTAAAGCCAAGCCTCTCAAAGTCGACACCGGGCCCGACGCAAAGCCAGGTCCAGATGAGATTCTCGTCAAGAATGCCGCAGTTGCGGTGAACCCAGTTGACTGGAAAATCCAAGTAACTCACACCAGCCTCCCGCATGAACATATTGTATCTGACCATCTCAGGACACCGGTACGAGAGATTGTGCAGCACAGTACTTCGCAACCGCACCACTGACCTCCTCCAAGGATTCTACATCAAGAATTACCCCAACATACTCGGCACCGACGTCGCCGGCGAAGTGCTTGAAGTCGGGTCCAATGTCACACGTATCAAGAAAGGCGACCGCGTGATTGGGTACATCATGTCTTCCTCCCCAACATGAACAGTAACCCCAGCGCTGACATACCAATTCCACTCACAGACACTGCTACGGCCTCGGCACCGGCAAACCCGAACACGCCGGCTTTCAGCTCCAAAGCGTTTGCCCCGAGATCCTCGCCTCGCCCATACCAGATTCCCTGCCCTACGAGCACGCCGTCGTGCTGCCCCTCGCCGTGTCGACCGCCGCGGCAGGCCTGTACCAGAAGGCGCACCTCGGGCTGCCGTACCCGACCAAGGACGCCAAGCCCAGCGGGAAGACGCTCCTCGTGTGGGGCGGATCCAGCTCTGTGGGTTCGACGGCGACACAGCTGGCGGTTGCGTCAGGGGTGGATGTGGTCAGTGTGGCCAGTAAGCGCAATATAGAGTATGTGAAGGGCTTGGGTGCGAAGGAGGTCTTTGACTACAATAACGAGAACTGCGTGGATGAGATTGTGGGGGCGCTGAAGAAAGGCGAGTTCGCGGGTGTGTACGATGCTATCGCCCTCCCCGACGCGTTTAAGAAGTGGGGCCAGGTTGTCAAGAAGATGGGAGGCGGAAAGGCGGCGACGGTGTTGCCGCCGCCGGGGGATCTGGACGAGAGTATTCAGGCTGCAGGAGGTGAGTGTTTCCCCTGTGGAAGCGGTTTGGCCTTCCACGTCTGTCTTGACTTAGATTGCTGACGAGTTGGTTGCAGTCTGGGCCATCGCTATCTCGACCGATGAGAAGGAGGTTGGCGATGCGGTGTGGCGCAAGTATGTCCCCGACGCTCTAACGGAAGGCCGGCTGAAGGCTTTGCCTGAGCCGCTGGTTGTTGGTCATGGGTTGGAGAAGGTGCAGGAGGGGCTGGATCGCCAGAAGCAGGGCGTCTCGGCGAAGAAGGTGGTTATCACTCTATGAGCGGGAGTCTCCATGGCATTCAGGGACGCTTGACAGAAGAGTTCTGCAGACCCATTTGAAGGCCGCGCCTGTTCCACTTCAGCTATTACAAGCCCAGTTGAAGAATTCACAGGACACCAGGAAGGTGATGCTGTCTTCAATCGATCAGGCTTAGTCGGTTCGCGTCTGTGATATTGAGCGGGTACCCGCATTGTGGCCGCTAAAATCCGGGCCGTCGACAAGACCCAGAACGCCCACAGAACACCTCTTGTCTATCACAGCCACTGTCAGCGCCAGTACCTAGCTTGAAAGGACCAGATACCGAGGTCTAACTGGCGGCGTTCATTCCTTTTATGGAACGGCGGTGTTGCCGGAGTTGTGAGTTCGTGGGCTATAGGCCGCAGTTGATGGCCACGACCTGACACCTACCTGCCTTAGGTGAGCAAGAGTAGTCAGCTAACTTGTTTCTCGGAGTTGCGAATAGTTAGGCACACGTTGATGATGGATGGTCTGTCACAAGCTAGGTACTTGGTCATACAAGAGATGTCAACGTTCAATCAAACTTTATCAAAGCTTTCATTCGTGCTATCTGTTACGCACTGCCAACGTCATAACTTCATATACAACCCAACACAGGTGCGTCAAATACAACCCTTATATCCAAACTCCACATCGTCTTCGTAATGGAGTATAAGCCGCCTAGTCAAACTAGAACCCAAATCCCACCGCAAGCGAGATGAGCATCCCGACCCCACGCACGCAGTTGACGGCAACACGGTCGCGCTCGAGCGGGATGAGAAGGGCGTGCTCCGGCGCCTGGTGGCTCCCAGGGTCGATGGCAAGACGCCTATACGCGGCGAAGAAGGCGGCGGGATCTTCATTGCCGAGGACGTCTGGCTTGTAGAACGCTCTCGTAAGGATGTCGCTGTCATGGCGGTCGTAAACCCGGACTGACTGCCCGGGAGAGGGCGTGAGAGTCGGGCCTGCCGTCTGTGGCAACGAGAAGGTTAGGAGGATGGATCTTGGAGAGTCATCTTTCTGACTGAAACTTACGGCTGAGAGTGTAGCTAACGCGACGACAGGCTTGTGAAGGAGAATGAAGCGGTGGAAGATCCTCCGCTTCTTTGAGACGCGCCCCTTGTATAACGTTCGAAGCTTCTGCACGACCGTCTCGGGCATGTCTGCCGGCGAGAAGGTCAGGACAGTGGAGAAGAGGCGGCCGTCGGGGGACTCGATGATAACAAGCCAGCTCGTCTCTCGAGCGGCGTCGACATCGTTGCCGGAGAGGGTGATGTGTGGCATAGTAAGAGAAGGCATTTGAAGAAGTGCGGATGTGGTTGAAATGGAATGTTTGCTTGCTGGTGAGGGAAAGTTGAGAGAGGAGGAACAGAACCATCATCACGAACGAATACAGGTTTTATACACGCCGACTGTGCAGCTGCGCAGTAAATGGGTGTAAGTCTAGGAGTAAGAGTGGTCGTCTGGCGACGTAACTCTGGGCAATTCATTGCATTGCGCAGTGAGTGTTCCCCGTTAGCTGCGCGTCTTCCGTGACCATGACGGGACCGAGCCATCATGGCCATAGGTAAAGCTGGTGAGCTTCCGCCCAGCTGCGCAGCCATTGATACAGTTGATCCTTAGGATCGAGGGCGGTTAAGGGGGAAGAGGGCGTTGGCCATGGATGACTCGAGTAAAGAAGATTGCTGAGTTTGATTCACTCCGACGGTCAGTTGCTCTCCTAGAACCTAATCATGGAGCACAACTCCGTGATGGGAAGGTTGTGGCCAGGAGGTCTGTCCAGTTCATGACGGATTCTGCAGCTCTGTTTGAACGCTGTGTTGGCCCGTGCGCGCGTTCGCCAGTTGGCCAGCCATTTGCGCAGCTGGGCAGTACTCGAGTAGGTGCTGCGCAGTCGCTCATCACCACGAGAGGTCTCGTCTCTGCTTACAATGTCTTCACCGACGTCTCTAGTCTGTGTGCCAGATCACCGGTGGCATTGTCGGCTGCTTGAAGACTCGTTTTTGGTCAGTTCGGGCGTCTTCGTACGTGTAAGGATAGGTACTGACTTCGTGCAGAACAGACCAGAGCAAGCGCTCGCAGCAGCTTGCGCACGACCTGCTCACAGCTACCGGCAAATTCACAGCAAGCCCCCACATTTGCAGCAGAAATTGACATTGCGAGATCAAGCGGACGATAAGGAACTTGTCGTTCTGAGCGAGCAGGCCTTACTTTATACCCATCATCGGCTCAGCAGGCTGAAGTGGCAGAAGGCACCTGCTGCCTAGCCCACTACCACTTTCCTGCGTAAGACATGGAATCCAACACGGGGAGCCTTCCGCGTCCCATCATCCACCTGGGCGGGGAACAGATTCAGACATGTAAGGGTGGTAAGTAATCACCCTGCGTTGCCGTCGCTGTCAGATTGCGTGCTGACGCCTCTCTCTAAGCAGCGCCTAACAATGGCGAGAACGACCGCCAACGTCACCATGCTGACACCATCCGCCCTATCCGCCACGTAGAGAGCAATGAAGCCTCCTCCGTTAGCTGTAAAGCTACCAAGGACCCTGCGGACAGTGGATATGGCTCGCTCCAAGCCTACGATGACACCCCCCTCGATTTATCATCCTCATCCTATAGCGACTTGGGGACGCCTGGCGGAGACCTTTATGGAATAGCCTCCCAGTTTGAGAATGTGTATGAGCCATCGTTACGTCAAGGCGAGCACTTAGTCGACGACGAAGAGTGCTCGTCAGGCAATATTGCAGAAGTTATCCAACGCTCTTGGCGCGTCGCCTTACTGACAGCTGTGCCACGGTTTTTGCAACGTGGCCTGTACACCACTTACTTCCCTTGGGCATCCCCTACCTCGAGACGGCAGGCGATACAGCACGTCTTGAGCAGTGTTGGTGAAGTCTTGGACAAGTGTTCGCACCAGCACGAGAAACAGGTCAGTCTCTCAGCATCAGAACCGGTGCAAGACGCTCTTGAGCAGGGTTCGTCAACTGTTCAAAGGAGTGGCGGCGCAGCTGGTAAGTCGAGGAAAGCTCAAACCTCGGGCGCTAAGTCTGGAGCAAATGGTACTCCCGGCCGACAAAGGAAGGGGGCTGGCAAAGGCAACGGGGATGATCGTGCACGGAGGCGTTTTAGACGGTCGCCACCAGACGGCGCAGAGCGCGAGGGCCTGCGGTGCATCTATCAAGCCTGGAAGCCGAACACCTACAACTTCAACAACAGCCGGGACTGGATAGGTTGTGGCACGAGACACAAGTTCTTCTCTAGGTTTGTGTGCGTGCCCAATACGGCTGGCGCAAAGTTCGAACACTAACTGCCGCGTAGGCAACATCAGGAAAGAGCTCACCGCTTGATTGACGGCCCGCAGTATTACGCGATCGGAAACGATGCTCGTCAACCTTCAGGCGTTACCCTTTGTACAGAATGCTATGGGACGTTCCAAGACTACGAATCGTTTCAAAGGCATTTACCGCATGAGTGTCCTGCCGTTACCCCCGTTACCAGTGCGGAAAGGATGTGGCAACTCATGTTCGACGCATTCTGTGTAGATGAGGCTGTTCAGGGCCCTGCCGCTGTACCACTTCCACTATCACCACAGCCAGTAGCACCACAGCCGCAAGCGGAACCACACCCATCTCAACACCACGTGTCTCATCAACAACGCCTCGCGGAGTGTCCCCCAAGGCAGCATCAGCAGCAGGACGAGACACAGACTCTGAGGCAGCCTCCTCGCGGTCTTCATTTCACGCCGCAGACTTTGCAACGCCCTGGTGGTTTTCAACACGGTACCGCACATGTGGCCCTTGCGACACCAGGTACTCCCGCACGTGGCGATACTAGTAGTGCAGTAGTGCCCATGCACGAGCATCTTGCCGTACTGGACCAAAACCGCATTCTCATAGATACCAACCGAATTTTAGTGAGCATGAACCTAAATGCACAAGTAGCGTTGGAGCGATCAGAGCAGTTACGGCCAAGGCTACCGCAGTTTAATGCTTTCCCAGGGCCTTTGGCTCCCATCTCTCAACCTTTCCTCGAGGCTTCCGACAACGAAGCAACGTCGGCGTCGACGTCGGGACCCGCTAGCGGAATCACGCCGGCATCGCAATACCTCCCGCTGAGCCCGAACTACTACCCAGGTCTTGTGCCGGCAGCAGCAGCGCTCCCACCACAGTACCTATGGCCACAACATAGCAACGCCATTGGCCCGGGAGGACCGGAAGCGCAGCAGGAGAACCGAGGATCTCAGAACTCTGGGTTCCATGACTCCGCCTACGAGAGTCTGCCACTACTGCCAAACCCAGTTTGTGAGCAGAGTGGACGAGATTACGAGGACTCTCAATCACACAACGCAGATTACGAGTCTGATGCGGCGACTATCGCGCCGCGTGATATGACTGGCGGTCACTATGAAACTGAGGGAGAAACCGACATTGACGACGACTGTGGATTGTTTAGCAGACATAGAGGCAGGACATGACGCAACGAAGGCTTAGATGAAATGATGGATGCGGAGGACATGCCGGAAGAGTAGATGTGGCACCGGGGTTATGAAAATCGCCAGGCTTCAAGATCACCGCAACTTCCCAAAATCATCACGTTCGCAAGGAACTTTACCGCGACTGTTTGCCTCTAGATACACCTATGCTCGAGTGACGAAAAGCTGATAGACCACTAAATTTTTCTTTCATTTATCACGTTCGTGAAGAACCTTACCGATACGGTTGTACCTCCAGCCATGCCCGCACTCGAGCGACACAAAACCCGAGATTTCAAAGCCGCCAAAGTTTCCCTCGATCGCCAGGTCCATGGGGAGCGTTATATCGTGGCAATTCCGCCGCATCCTCCTTGGTTCACCACCTCCATGAGGAGCTTTGCCGTGACAGTTCCACCTCAATTTGCGTCTACGGCACGTTTATGAGGTTAGGTACATCTCTTCTTCACATTGCCTTTGACTTCACCGTTAGCATGTTGAACAATAAGCCGGAGGGTTGAGATCTGCCAGGAGCGCAAGGCACGTGTGAATCAATCATGTCGGCATCTGCAACCCCCGATCCCTGTTCTCACGGCCCCTCCAAAACTCCGACGCCATCCCGCCCGCTGTTGTGACAGGCCTCGATACGAGATACTCCGTACGTGTGCTTCACTCTGTTTTGCTGCATAGTGGCGTCCCTGCCACCTCAACAACAAGGCAACCGCTGACAATGCAGGGTGAGGATGTGTAAGCGGGAAAGGCCGAAGAGCGCGGACGAATCAGGAGCTTGAGAGCTGGCAGCTGGCAGCTGGCAGCTTAGAAATGCGGGGTGTGGTGGAGGATAAGGTGAGGCAGAGGAGCATACTCCGGACGCGTGTGCCTGAGCTGCCTGGAGATTGGCATACGAGGAGGATATATAAAAGGGTTGGGCGGGGGAGATGGTTGACGGCACGTCGAAGCTTCATTGCATCTTCTCCAAGTCAAAACTCTTTCCCAACTTATTCGAACTGCAACAATGGCCGATAAGAAGCTCATAGTGATCGTTGGAATCACTGGCAACCAGGTAGACTTCCCTGTCCTACCCTCAGGTCCTCAGAATCACTCCCATGCTCACAACCTGAAAGGGCGCCTCGGTCGCCGATGCCTTCATGGACGAGCCCGGCTGGAAGATCCGAGGCATCTCCCGCGACCCCAGCAAAGCCTCCAGCAAAGTGTGGTCCGACAAAGGCGTCGAGATGGTCGCGGGTGATCTCGACAACCTCGAGAGCATCCAACCCGCCTTCAAGGGCGCGAACGTGATCTTTGCCGCCACGGACTTCTGGCAGGCCATCGGCAATCCAAAGAACCACCAAAAGGCCGCCGAGCGCGGGGTAACGATCAATGAGGTCGCATACGAGATTGAGGTCCAGCAGGGAAAGAACATTGTCGATGCGGCGGCGATGACGCTGAATACGCTTGATAGATTCGTGTTGAGCACGTTGAGCCATGCGAAGAAGTGGAGCGGCGGGAAGATCCAGTGGAATCTACACTTTGATGCGAAGTGGGCTGCCGTAGACTACCTGAAAGAGACGTATCCGGAGCTGCTCAAGAAGACCAGTCTGCTGCAGGTGGCGCTTTTCATGACGAATTGGCAGCAGGGGGGAAGGATGGCGCCTCACAAGGTCCGTATGCTCTCAGAACTTTTTGATGTTGCGATGAGCCATGAAGCAGTCGCGCTGATGCCCTATAGCAAGCCGATGGGACCTACCTCCTCAGCGTGCCAACCAAGCCACATGCCAAGATACCGATGTTGAATCCGCGTGTGGATGTTGGTCCTCTCACAAAGGCTCTTGTGCAGGCCGAGCCGGGCAAGAACCTGCTCGGCGCAGCCAGTGTTCTGAGCTGGACGGAGTGGTGCGAGATCTGGGGCAAGAAGCATGGCGTAACCTGCAGGTACGAGGAGTTGCCGCCGGAGAAGATGGAGGAGGAGATTCCTGGCGGCGTGGGGAAGGAGCTTGCAGACATGTTTGTGTAAGTGGACATCGCTCCTGCTGTCATGGATACGAATACTGAGTCAGGCTAGGTATTTCTCCGACCCTGGTTATGATGGCGGCGACCCGAGTGTTATCTTGCCGAAAGATGTGAGTTGACCTGGGGTGAGCTTGTAACTGCATGAGAATGCCGCTGACAATTCGACAGCTCGGTGTCGATGTCGAGTTGATGAGCGTCCAGGAGTATATCGAGAAGACGGACTTTTCCTCGATCTTGCAGGAATCGGCTGCTTAATCTGGGGTTTGATATTGTCGGTCTCTTATGTACATTACTGTATAATCTCAACCAAACTGTGTCCCCTGTGCTACGTACCGCACTCCATCGTGTTATTTGTTTGAGCCAGGTCAACGATGCAGCTCTCTTAACGAGACTATTCGAAGACCATTGAGGTGTCGTAGACCTGAGGTCACTGTACCGGTGAAGGGTTTATGCTTACTAAACGGGCTTGATCCACCGATCGAGAAAAATCTACCCTATGACTTCTGATGCTGAGGTTGCTTCCTCCTCCGGCCAGCAAAACGGTCCCTCCAATCCGGCTCCGAAGAGCATGGCACACGTCGATTGCGCATAACCTTTTGTACTCCACAAAAGAAAGAACACAGCAACGGGAAGTCGCTGCTCAGAATCAAGCCGAAGACTCCCGGCAGGCTGGGATGAGCCTCCAGCTCACGAACTCGTGCGATAGCAACTGTAGTTACCAGATGCTTCCCCTCGCCAGAAGTCGGCTGGGAACTTTTATCCTCTTTGAGGTGGGAAAGCGGCTGCAGGAGATGCCAGTCCCCGGGTTCAGCGCCAGATAAGCTCAACGAGGGCACGCCGGACCGCAGATGGACCTGCAGGTCTGCCTGTGAGTCTCTTAACGCTCATCGGGCAGACCAGGAGACATCCACGAGGTCGGTTCGTAGGGGTGATGTGAGTTGCATACTGGCAGGAACCACATACCCTCTTCGGGTAGCAGGGCGATCCTGCGGCTAAGCTGAATCGGGCGGGACCAATCACTTTGCCATGGGCCCTCGACCGGAGACAGATAAAATAACCTAGGTAAAGATATGAAGATGCCCTTTCAAAAGTCATGCAGTATGTTTACTCGCGTTTGGCAGCCTTTTTGCAAGCATCGAAAGTACCGCCGTCTTCCCGCCCCCCGGCGTAGTCCGTTTCGGGTCATCTGTAAGAGCAGGCCGACCAACAGTACTCTGTTCGCCTCCAACCGTCCTGTGTACTTCCCCGCTTTATCGGGTGATAAGAGAGCTCCATAGCTGCAGGCGCTTGGTGACGCATGGAGTGCCTAGTAGAAGGATGTGTCCAGCCTACGTACCTGCTTAGTGGGAGCGCCTATGGTAATGATCTGAGACCAGGCTTTAATACGCCTTCTTTGCGACTCTTTTTCTCGCTCTTCCGTCCTGTCACATTTGCCACACTCAGATCACCGTTTACAACATGGATGGTGTTTTGTTATTGCTCATTGGGCTTGTTTTCCTCCTCACCTCGATTTCCTGCCTCGCCGTCAACAAAAAGCAACGTGATGTCGTGCTTGACCGATTACACATCCGACGCAGGCGTGCGTCTGGCGCCAGAACACCACCTCGTTCTCTATCGCCTGGCAAGAAGATTCCAGCGGCAGCAGCAGCCGTTTCGCCAACCTACCAAGATATCTTTCCACCGTCTCGCCGTGCTGCACTGGCGGAGATCGAGACCGACTTGCCGACTATACTGAATAAGCCGCTTAGCGAGCTCGTGACGCCGCCTGCCAAGTCACGAATTGCGTGTATACCCTTAGATGTCGATCTGAAGAACCTAGAATCTACTTGCTATACGGCTACCGAGTTCTCGAACGAAGAAATCAATGCACTCGGCGACTTTCCAGACTATGCAGGTCTTAGTGGTATACCCTTACCTGAGCCGTATACTACTTTCGACATTACCAAAGCACAGCCAAGACCATATAGACCACTACGATGGTCATACCATCAGACTATGTGTAAGTAGCATGCTGGAATAGTGCAGGTCAAATAATACGCTGACACGAACGAAGCACTCACGAAGCTGGAGCCGGACTGGTGGCTTGAGCTCGAAAGCACCTACGTAAAGCGGATCCAGCAGCGACAAGGACTCTACGCAAAGTACGGCGATCATGTTCTCGACCATCTACCAGGCTCAGAGCTCGCCTGCAAGGAATTAATGGAGATGTGCGTGCAGTTTCTCTGCGCGCGCTATCCACAATACTTCCGCCTGGACAGGGAGAACATGACCTTCCATAACGACATCTTGCACACTTACACGGACCTGAAGAAAACGCATCCACTGCACGTGCTGCTCAACAACGTGCCGGAGGACTTTGCCATTATGCTCCGTAACCCGGAAACTGGATTCTACCACTTCCGTGCCGGCGTCATCTGCAGCTCTCTGGGGTGGGATCTCGGCACGAAGATGGGCCTGCGGCTTCATGAGATCCATGCACCAATACCAGACTACAAGGAGAAGATGCAGTTCTCGATGGACAGGTATGGCTTCAGCATCACCTCAGCGTGAGAACTTGCTAGCTGACTCTACAATCCAGATACTTCGCCAAAAAGCCTACCGACAAGGCAATCCAGCGCGGCTCCTGGGGTCTCGAGATCGACGAGCCCCTCTACATGCCCCCGGGCGACCCGCATACGGACCATCGCGATGTTCAACACGCGGACCTGGACCTCTCGCGCATCCATCTGCGCGTCGACTGGCAGACGCTCCGCCGCCTACCGCTGTCCGGCGCCATCATCTTCAACTTCAAGGCGCTGTTCACGCCGGTAGAGAAGTTCAGGGAGGAGCCGTACATCCCCGCGCTGCTCCTCAAGGTGCTCCGCGAGGGCAAGAAGAGCATCATGGAGTACAAGAGCACGTGGCATACGGAGCATGTGGTCATTCCGGCAATGGAGGAGTTTGCGAAGGAGCAGATTGAGAAGGGGTGGGTGCCTGCGGATTGGGAACCGCATACTCTGGAGGAGAGTCCGTGGTTTCCGGGCTGGGAGGAGAAGTGGCGGAGGGAGCAGGACTTTTAGGGGGGTTGAGTGTGGCTAGAAGGGCGCTTGGACACGTAGCGGCGTTTGCATTGACGTTATCTAAGAGGTTGATTTTGCGCTTGAACGCAATCTCTCAGTTGCAGTCAGCTATTCAAGAGTATCGAAAGATCGGGTTGCTCAACTCTCCAAAGTGACTCTCTCTTCGCCAGTGCCTCGGCTCTTTCCCCACGTTCCCGCCCGCCCCATACCCCAGACTGCGGCACGATCTTGGCGCGACACATCTCACTCTCCCCATCAAGCTCGGCAATTTGAGCACCTCCGCATCTCAAACCCGCGATGGTGCGGTACCCGGATGCAGGGCGCAGCCCGTCTTGGCTCGATGGACTAATGGAGGAGTGTACTCGAGTAAGTTCATAAAAGCTGCACTCGCTCGCTCACGCGTTTCGCCGTGGTGACACTGTGTAACACTCTTAAATCGAGCTCAATAAGTGCATATTTGTTCGTACTTCTCTGTTCTTCTCCGCATTAGAAGTCCGTCTTTCTCTGTCTGCTTTCTTCTCTCGCTCCTCTCCTCTCCGTTTTCTGGGCTTCACACAGGTTCGCCATGGTGGTTTCTGTTTCCAGGGACAGGCCATGGCCTGAGGTGCCCTCGGGCAACAAAGACTTTACCCAAGCGGCAGTCGTAATCATAGGCGCTGGCATCTCCGGTAAGTTCACGGGCGCTCCTCGTCATTCTGGCAAGGCGATCTGACATGCTGAGCAGGCATGTGCATGGCCATCGACCTCATCAAGCGGAACAAGTGCCACAACTTCGTCATTGTCGAGAAGAGCAGCGGAGTTGGCGGGACCTGGCATGACAACAAATACCCTGGTTGCTGTTGCGATGTCTGGAGTATGCTGTATAGCTACTCCTTTGAGCAGAACCCGGACTGGACAAGGGAGTATCCGGGGCAGGAAGAGATATTGGTAGAGTTCCCACAGCATCCCGATGAGGGTGGCCGCTGCTAACAGCGTCAACACAGGCGTACCTGCAAGCTGTTGCAGAGAAGTATGGCCTCTACAAGTACATCCGCTTCAACACCGCTGTTGAGGAAGCGCGTTGGGACGACGCCGAGCAGAAGTGGAAGGTTGACGTCAAGGTCATCGGAGCGAAGGATAGCGAATTTTCGCCAGCATATACTATCACCTCGGACTATCTCGTCTCGGCGGTTGGGCAGCTTAACTCGCCCAAGTATCCCCAGATACCTGGACTGGACACATTTAAGGGAAAGAAGATGCACTCAGCCAGATGGGACTGGAGCTATGGGCTGGAAGGGAAGAAGATTGCTGTCATCGGCAATGGTAAGCCTAGACCATACTTAAGAAACATCAACACTACTGATCTGTAGAACAGGTGCAACAGCAGCGCAAATCATTCCCGAAGTCGTGAAAGTAGCATCGCGCACAACGGTATACCAGCGGTCCCCCAACTGGGTGATTCCGCGCGCCGACGCCCCGAACTCCGCTCTCAAGCGTGCCGTCTTCAAATACCTGCCTCCAGTTCGCTGGCGCGTGCGTGCTATGCAGATGGACTTCCGCGAGAGCTTCTTCGATGCCGTAACAGACAAGGACTCGAAATTTGCGCAGGACATCCGCGACTGGTGCATCGGGCAGATGCACGCCGCATTGCCCAACCAGCCCGAGCTATGGGCGAAGCTAACCCCCGACTACAGTCCCGGCTGCAAGCGCGTCATCATCTCCGACGACTACTACCCCGCGCTCGCTCTGCCCAATGTGAGGCTCGAGACGCGGGCGATCTCACAGATCACCGAGAGCGGGATCGAGGTCGAGGGCGGCGACGCCGAGGACTACGACCTCATCGTTCTAGCCACGGGCTTCCGCACCGTCGAGTTTATGCACCCGATCAACATTGTCGGCGCAAACGGCCGCTCGATCAAGGATATCTGGAAAGGCGGCGCAAGGGCGCTCTACGGCACCACGGTCGAGGACCTGCCTAATTTCGGCATGTTCTACGGCCCGAACACGAATCTGGGGCACAATAGCATTATTCTGATGATCGAGGCGCAGAGCCGCTATCTCAACGCTATGGTGAGGGCGGTGCTGGACGCGAAGCGGCAGGGAAAGAAGTTGGCGCTGAAGCCGAGGCCCGAGCGCGTCAAAGAGTACAACGATGAGGTGCAAGAGATATTGGACAAGTCCTCGTTCGCGGATCCTAGCTGCAACAGCTGGTACAAAAACGAGGAGGGCAGGATTACGAATAACTGGTCCGGCACTGTCATTGAGTATCAGGACATGCTGAGCAAAGTTAACTGGGATGACTACATAGCGGAGGGTAGCGGTGCTGAGATGGTGAAGGGGAAGGGCGAGACGAAGCTGGGAAGGGTTCAGGAGGAGACGTCGGTCAGCAACATGACCTTGGCGTTAGGTGCTCTGAGTGCTCTGGCAGTAGGTGTGGGTTATTTTGCGAGGGGATCACGTCTGCTGAGGGCGCGCTAGCGCGGAGCTATTGATGCGGTTGCTCTTTGGTTTGACGACTTCACAGTGTACCTTAAACTCAGCTAGACTATTACTGAACGATTACATGCCCCGCTCTCGAGAACAGAGAGCAACGCCGTGTCGATTACCGTGAAACGATTCATCGCCGCAAGAGAGCGGGTCACGTGTCAAGCTTGGATCAAAGTGACCGTCAGGTGATACTGCATTCCCCTTCTAGACATGCGGACTTCTCACCTCTCGTACTCTTAAGTTGCTTCACGGCCCAAGTGAAAACTAGACTCTTAGGGTTGCTCTGCTTTGCTGAATATCATGTCATGTCTTCTTATCTGATGATGGCCTCTATCCTACTGCACCGCGCTTTCCTCCGCATGTTTGGATCGCTTGATTCACATAACATATGCTAGCTTAATATACCCTACTTGCTTTGCTTTCATAACGTCTGGTCAGTTTCTGGATATATCTTCTCTCTTTCTCTTAGTTTGCAGCCATGGCCTCTAGTCCCTTCACAGCATCTACAGCCCACAGTTCACCCCCTCCAGCAGAAGCACCTAACCTGGACTTGAGCATCTTACCACCAATGTTCGTTTTACCTACCCATCTTGCTGAGGAAGACCTCCATGAGCTAGAAGACAAGCTAGTCGAGCAGGGCGCGCAGTTGACCTACGATATCACCGAAGCTAAGATAGTGATCGGGAAAGTCGGCACTAAGCGCCGCGCCGAGATGGAGTTGCGCTGCCGGAGGTTGTGGACCGAGGAAATGGCTCCTGTAAAAGATCCGCCAAGGAGGGGTATGGAGGGAGTGGAGCCACCGAGAAAACGGCAACGTGTCGAGAATGTGACAGAGGCGATAAAGCCCGACCAGGAAGCTATCGTCATTGACGACTCCACGACGGAAGACGAGACCGAGAGTGTGGTTCGTAGAGCGCCAGAGCCGACGGAGAAGAAGAGGTCGCTACCTCGAACGCCGTCATTGGAGATTCCGAGCACGCCGGACTCGAAGGATGTGCCCGTTAATGCTGCCGATTTCCAGGATGTTGTCAAGGTGGTTAAGCTGGAGTGGCTAGATGACTCTTCCGAGGCGGGGCGGCTACTCCCTTTCGATAACTATGTTGTGTATCAGGGACGACCAACAGCAAGGCCCGAAGGAGTCTCAACGCCGACACCAGCCAAAACACCACCCTCAAAGGCAAAAGCAGCACGTGCTCCATCACAACGCATCTTCGCCGATAAGCCGCAGCAGGCGCAAGGCATTTTGGAGCGGGCGAAAGCAGATGCGGAAGCGGCCGGCCCAAAACACGGCCTCACGCACTACGGTCTAGCAAAGAACCAGGGCATCCGTCGACTCGGAGACAAGAACCTGCCATCAACGCTCCGCCGTGCCGATGACACCAGCGCACAGAAGGCCGCTCTCCTCCAACAGACCACAAGCGAGTACGAAGGCCACACCAGCGACTTCCCCGAGCCGCCCGACTGGGTGAAACAGCATCTCAAGTACTCCTGCCAGCGCTCTACGCCGCCCAACCCCCCCAACGAGCCCTTCATCACAGAACTCAAGAAGATCAAACTCGCCCGCCTCCTCACCGGTGACGAAATCGGCGTCCGCGCCTACAGCACCTCCATCGCCTCCCTCGCCGCGTACCCCTACCTTCTCAGCCACCCGCGCGAGATCCTCAATCTGCCCGGGTGTGACACCAAGATCGCGAACCTCTGGATCGAATGGAAAAACAGCGGCCGCATTGTCGCTGCCGATGAGGCAGAGGACGACGACGCGATGACGGTTCTCCGCCTCTTTTACAACATCTGGGGCGTTGGCGCCACAACCGCCCGCGAATTCTACCACGACCGCGGCTGGCGCGACCTTGATGACATTGTCGAGTACGGCTGGGCGACCCTGACGCGTGTGCAGCAGATTGGGGTGAAGTTCTACGACGAGTTCCTCACCGGGATTCCGCGCGCTGAAGTCGAGCTTATCGGCGAGATCGTCCGCGAGCACGCCGCCCGTGTTAGGGACGACGATGTTGAAGTCACGATTGTGGGGGGCTACCGCCGCGGCAAGCTGGAGAGCGGCGATGTGGATATGATCGTCTCGCACCCCGACCTCGATAAGACTGCTAACCTGGTTACGGATATTGTCGCCAGCCTCGAGACAGAGGGCTGGATCACGCATACGCTGCTTCTTAGCCTGACTGGCACGCAGCGCGGGCAGGCTACTCTGCCGTTCCGCGCTTCCGGTGGCGGCGGCCACGGCTTTGATACCCTGGATAAGGCGCTCGTTGTCTGGCAGGACCCTGTCTGGCCTACCCGTGACGCTGATTTGGCTGCGAACCCCAAAGCGAAGAATCCGAGTGTTCATAGGAGAGTCGATATTATCGTGTCTCCGTGGCGGACGAGAGGATGCGCCATCGCTGGGTGGAGCGGCGGCACGACGTTCCAGCGGGATCTAAGACGGTATGCGAAGAATGTCAAGGGGTGGAAGTTCGACAGTAGCGGTGTGAGGGACAGGAGCTCGGGAGAAGTTGTCGAGCTTGAGGGGCCAGAGGGAGTGGAAGGGACGGCGGAAGAGGCTGAGAGGACGGTGTTTGAGGGAATGGGACTGCCTTGGTTCAGACCCGAGGAGCGGTGTACGGGATGACCGAGGGAGGAAGTGAGGCTGGGCCTGATGTTGGGTTTCTGCTTGGTTAAGCAGCATTCCAGCGCTGGAAAGCAAATTGGATAAACCTCTGGTTATGAATTTGGGAAAGCTTTGGAAGTATTGGTGGATCACATACTCTAGAGACAGTGTTGGGTGTCGTTGAGAGGCTAGTGCATACGCTGCGGCACATGGCAGTACACAGTGCCGTCATGGGGAACTAGCGCCTTGTGTCCCTTAGGAATGGATACGTCCAATCACTTTCTGTCACCCGCGTATGTATACCAGCGCGCTCGAGCCAAAGTCTTGCTACACAATTTTCCTTGTCTTGCAAGGACCTACAGGCTACTCGTATGCGAGACTATCCTGTCTGATGATCAGATGACGAAAGAGATGGACATGAGTCCTCAATAATAAGCTTCAATACATCCTCCCCTTTCCTCAGCAGCAGCCCATCGCGGTCAAGTAAAACTCCGTCAAGCTTCTTGGAAGCCCAATCGGCTGCCAGGTCAATATCTCCTGGCCGGCCTGTTGTGGTCTTGGTGTCCTCGCCCGAAAGCCACACTGCACACACCTGGACTCCTCTCTTAGCGCCGAGCACGTCTAAATCCTGCTGTTCCAAACTGTCTGTCGAAGCAATGGACAGAGCGTACTCATAGCTGAGCTCCGCACGGATGCGAGACGTATGGAATCGGGTTGGAGGGGCGGATGCTGATATGAAGGACCTGACTGGATGGCCTGGGATGAGCTGTATGGGTTCCGGCATCACGGAAACGGTGGGCTCAGGTGCTTGTGAGAGCCTCTCCACAATTTCAGATGTTTGTGGCGTGGAACGCTGTGCTGGGTTCTGAATCGTGGAAGAAGAACTACTAGATTGGCAGGATGCCACTCCGTTGATCCTCTCCTGGATAGAGGAGGTGGAGGCTAGTGGGGAGTTCGCCAGTAGATCCTCATCCTTCAAATGATTGTTTGGTGGCATTAGGGAAACAACGCTATTATGGCTTGAACTTCCGGATAATACTTTGGCTTCATCTGAAACATGGACATTTGCAGAGTCTAGAATAGCGGAAGCTTCCGAAGCGGTCAATGAACGAACGTTCAGTATTCTGCTTTCGTTACCAAAACTCCGGGACAAGCTAGCTGTCTTTAAACAAGAAAGGATCTGTTGCTCAACCAGAGCATGGAACCGATTGTACAATCGATCTAGTTCCTCAAGTCGCGTTGCGGGAATGGAGAGAGCGACAAGGTCTGGCAGAGTCCACTGTGGATACAATCTGCCATGAGTCTTCGGCGTGTAAAACTGGTCATGAAGGCTCAGGAAGAGGTTGCAAAGGTAGCACGCATTTTTGCTTGCGCATATTACCCGAGGCTTCAGCCGAACCTCTGACTTTTGCTCGCAGTGGAAGAGTAGTTGGATCTCCGCGTGTATCGTCTTTCTGAGTGCAGACTTCCTCTGCAAATCGGCTTGAATGTCCGCTAGTTTCGCTCCGAGACGATGCTCGAATTGTTCAATTGTCGCCTTCCGTGCTGGGGTTCGGTGGTTGATATAGCGGCGAAGCAAGCCTCCGGGTACCGTTCCCGCGGACCCGGTTTGAAAGCCCTTTGGGGCAGTAGGCTGGGCCACAACAGGGCGCACTACTATAGTTCGGAAGACAGCAAATTTTCGCGCAAACCGAAGGAGACATGGACCTAGCGTAACATAACGACCCAATTTGCGAAATCCATCGACGACACTCGTCTTTCGGTCCGCTGGAAAGGACGTTTCGTGCTGCGGAATGGCGCAGAGAACATTATCCAGCTGGTGCTCATTGCTGAGTTTGTCACTAGCGCGGAGAATAGATAGAAGGCACTCGTTCGACCCGGACGATTGCGCTTGAGTCTTGTGCATACATTCCAATCCGGCGAATTGAGCTGTAAGATCCTCGGTGATACGCTGGAGGCTTTGAAGCTCCTTCGCCGGAAGTACATTTGAAACTTGGAGTTTTTTGAGCGCCTCAGCTAGGCTGTTAATAATAGGGTGCTTAGCTCTTGCTTTCTTCGACGAGTGACGAGAGCGTAGTCGACATAGAATGCGGCTTCGATTAAAATCGATAGTTCTACGAAGGAGTTTCTCTTCGTTGATTTCGAACCGGGCTTTTAATCAAGAGAAATTTAGCCAGACTCTTGAAAACAGCGGTACCAAATCACGAACCATCTTTTGCTTCGTCCATCAAGATTTTTGCAAGTCTCTCCAGTCCTGCTTTCATCTTTCTGAGTTCTCCGCTGTTTGCAGCAATGCTGATGAAAAGGCCGCGGCCATCAGGCATTTCTTCGACACAGATCGCGGAGACTTTGTAGCAATCGTCCGTGTAAGACGACAAGAAGGAGAGTGCGCTGACGATGCTCTGCTCATGCTCTAGTTTCAGTGTTCGAAGGGGATGACATTGGAGAAGTCGGGCAGGAATCGGATTGTCATGAGGGATATCGGGGGTCTTGGTGAATTTCTCCAGGAGGAAGACGTTTTCTGAAAGGCCATTGAGAGACATTTTGATGATCTTTGAAAGCGCATTGAGAGAAGCATCTCGAGGGATTCAGATGCGGCAGCGATAGAAATTCTGGTAGGTGTGAACAGCAACACCCACCGTGCAAACGGAGATGCATGCTTGAGTCAAGGTACGTAGGTAGGCTCTCGTTGGAGCTGTCTCTCATGCAGTTCCCCGCTGCACGATCGAATGAGCTGTTACGCAGATATTGGCCTGTAAGGATGGAAAGGCTCCGCAGATTTTGCGTTGTGCCAATCGACGGCTGCTCCCGAGCGGCCCGACCCCTGCACTGGTTTCCAAGTTGCAGGTGCCGTGAGGCGGACGCCTTCAAAGCCACCCTGATCATCTGTCCTCAATGAGAGACGGGAGCTGTCAGTGGAGGCAATCAAACATCGTTATCTGGCTCATAGTCATCTGTCGGACTACCGGCTTATCGGATGAGCCAAGCCGCTGATGAACCAGTATGTCCGACAGATGGACATTGAACGGTTATATAATGAGTGGCAGTACCCTCGATTCAGAAATTCGTTATGTATAGAGGAATATGGCAGCGTTGTTTACCCTTCCACATTGTCAGGTAGTTCTACGCCTCCTTCCCTTATCAGATGCCGCGAGAATTCGTGCCGATCACGTAACGTAGCAACCATCCGCTGCGGTTGTCAAGATGGTTCCCCGGTAGATGATCGTGCGGAGGTTTCATGCACTCAAAGCGCTCAAAGCGTACTCTTACCACCGAAAACAACACCGTCAAGCCAATTCTTCAGAATCGCATTGATCTTATCAGGATGAGTTACCTGGCAGAAGTGCTGCGCGTCGACATCCGCTCTGGTGAGCTGAGTGAAGTACTTGTCCATCCCAACAGCCATTGATGGCTTCAGTATGCTGTCGTAGTTCGCTTGGATGAAGAGAGCTGGCATCTCGATCCTATCCGTGGGAAGGCTGGTGAGATCGTTAGCTGAGTCGACCTAAGGTTTAGGATACGATGATGCGAAGCTTACTTGAGGTCGTCCTTGTAGTTCGCTTCACGTGTGCGGTACCAGTTCAAAGTCCCGTGCAAGCCGTTGCGGGAGTACTGTTGGACGTAGAATTCATATGTCTGGTATAGGAAGTTAGTATTTTGATGTTACTACGCCATCTATGCACACAAGAGCTGGATTATGTATGACTTAAGAGAGTCGACTTTGTGAATCCATCACATTGAACAATGAACAAGCTTACCTTCTCATCCAACAGCGGCCCCCTCTTCAACTTCTTCAAGTCTTCAAAATGCACTCCCCTCTCCGGGCTAAACCCGACCTCCCCATTTGGACCCCTCCCACCAGACATCATATTGAAAAAGATCCTCATGTCCTCCTCGCTCTGGAGCGCCGCCTCAACATCCGGCCCCGCAAGCTGCAGCTGGTACGCAGCCTGCGGCATCGGCCCCTGCACCAGCTGCTCCGTCGAAATGTACTTTTTCTGCGGCGCCGCGTACGGCGTACAGATAGAAAAGACATGCGAGATGAGCTCAGGGTGCCACAGTGCGGTGCGCCAGACGACCATACCGCCCCAGTCGTGGCCGCCCAGGATGATCTGCTTGCAACCCAGTTGCTTCGCTAGTTCAGCGATGTCGTCTGCAGCTCGTTTGAAGCCGTAGAGGTGGATGGAGTTTGGCGGAACTTTGGGAGCGTCCTATGAGATATGAGCTGGGTACGGTCGTGTGATCGGGGGTTTGAAGGGAGACGGATGGACTTACGGTGCCACCAAAGCCCATCAGATCAGGAGCAACAACTCGGAGGCCCAGTGAGATGAGGAAAGGGATCTGGTATCGCCATCCTATTGAGAGATCGGGCCAGCCATGAATCTGGGAATTTGGATCAGTGAAAGCTCACAGCGGAGAAAAGGGAGTGCGCTGACGAGAAAGACGGTTGCTTTGTATTGGCCATTCTGTGGAACGCCTAGGATGTAGTCTGTGATTATTGTCAGATACCGATACATCATGCTGGACATCGCAGCCGCGGAAACCCACGGTAGGTGTAGCCATTCACTTTTGCTGTTTCATGGGTGACCCGAGAGTCCGAGAAGGGGTCAATGGGTTCAATCGCCATGTTATCTGTTGTTTGAGGACGTGTATGTGTCCTTCTCGCACCGTAGCTGTGTTGCCGTAACCCTTTACTTTGAACTTAAAGTGATGCCTTGAACCGAGGCTCGTGATAGTGGGGCTAGCTTGATATGAGGGAGACGGGCTTGGCTTGACAGGGGTCGGAAGTTGTGAACCACCCAGACAAACAAGTGATTTGTAGGGAAGCCGAATTGACTATAGCACAACACGTCTGGTCTTGCTACGACATTCAGATACTTATGGTAAACTCGATATCGGGTTTCGGAGTTATCGGATAATGGATTGGAAATATGAGAACCCTGCAGGCATTCTAGAGCATACACCGGACGTAGAATCCTGGTACATGGTCAAAGGTGAGTCACATTGATGGCTGAGCAACGAAGTTGGGGGCTGCGATCAGCAATGTCTTTTCATGTTCGGGACGCTATCTCGACTGCAATGCAGCGGGTAAGGACTCCAGTGAGTCTACAAGATAGGGCGTACTCGTCATTCTCGAATTGATCGAAACTCGTGCTCATCACCGACCCTGATAGCCCCTTTCTGGTTGCTAGGCGGCAGATGGTAGGATCGACGTCTCAAACAAATCGCAGGGATGGAGCGAGGACGGATCCTGATGCTTGATATTGCCGCTCATCGCTCGCACGCTTGCAGGGGGTTGCAACTTTTGCTTCAGACTATCAACGTAGTTCTATGAAACACTTATGCTACTGAATACATAAAGAACAACTCACGCGTATCAATTGAGTATGTTCCTCATCCTCAACTCCCCTTCTCGATGCTCTCAGGCGGCATCTAAGTTGCGCTCCTTTCGAAATGGGTATCTCATGAGAGGTGCTAGGAATGACCTCCTAGCTGCTATGATAAAGCCTCGAACGTGATGTGACGGGCGAGTTGGATGAATTTGCTGTCGCTTGGGGCTTCGTCGCGCAAGAAAAGCAACTAGTAGATAACAGTGTCTTCCTCTGCTTCGAGCACGACATCCCCATTCGTGTCGTCCATGATATCTTTGCTGTTTTCGCGCTCTGGTGTCTTTCTGCTTTCGACCGGTTCGGTTCCTTCTGAGAGTGTCGAAGGTTTGTTGTCCGTAGAACCTCCATCTGTCTCGGCGGCAAGCTCGTGGGAGAGCCCATTGGGGTTTTCATTGGAGGTCTCGTTGGTGATATCGTTGGAAGGCTCTTGGCGGTGATCCGGAGGTTCTGCAGCCATAGGCTCATCCTGCGCTGCTGGTCCATCCAGCTCCTCATCAACCCGCATAGCATCGTCGCTGTTAGCTCCGTTGACCTTTCTTTCTTTGTCCCGCCCCTCTTCGAACTCATCAAGCTCCCTGTCTACTGTTGCTTGGGCTTCTTCGATCTGTGACTTGATCCGGGCATCGTCTTCTGGTCGTAGCTCCCAAGGCTTGTAGTACTGCGCCGCGATTAGCTCCGTTTGTATGGCACGGCAATTGACAGTAGTGTAACGTACAATCTTAGGCTCTGCAGTCGTTTGTAGAAACTGCGCCATGTGGAGAAGGTTGGAATGCCGTATACGCATCTGAATGCGGGTTAGGACATGCAATGGCGCTCTACAAGTGCGACTTAACCCACTGATTGCTCATCAAACTTCTTCTGCTCCAGCCTCCGGACTCTCATGAGCTCATCTAACCGCTCCTTCTGTTTCTGATCGAACTCCTCAGCCTGCAACTTGAGCTTAGCTTGCTGCTTCTTCTCGATATCGGCTCGTCGTTTCTGCGCTGCTGTAGATGAGCTCTGTGACAGTGTGCCGAGTAGAGCTCCAAACAGTCTTTGTCCCCGCTTGCGCTCCTCTGCTTGCCCGCTCTTTCGTCGAGATGCCCGGCCATCATCTTCAGCGGGTGGAGGTGCCGTGTCCCGGATCTCTTCATGGTCTCTGTCTCTGCTTAATCGCGGACGTTTGCTTCCCGACTCAGACACTGATGATTGGCGTCGTTTGTTCGAGGCTTTGGGGGATACGGCCTCTGGAGCATCGGGGACAACCACGGCCGAGGCCACAGTGCTACCGTTTGTCAGCGCATTGATCAAGATAAAAGTTTATATCTCGTAGCTCACGGTTGTTCCTCCGACATTGTGTAGATAACTGGAGATACCAAATTAGGCTTAAGTTTGAGACATTGTCGCAGCTCGCGGGTCGCGACTTTTGGCGTCATCGGAAGCGCGGCGGAAAACCTCCGAGTCGCATCGAAATGTTCAGTCAGCGGAGCTCCAACAACGCATGCTTGCAATTGTCAGCGCCACATCGAGCACCTGTATCGGCCTTGCATAGTCTTCCAGTTTCTCCCGGTTCAACAAGCTGCGAAAAACTACACAGTCCTCCGGAAAGTATACCCAAGCAACCGCCAGAAAGCACTCGAATCCACCGCTCGGCCTTGAAGAGCGCATACTCTTCGCATCAGTTTCTCGTCCTGCGCGCACCTTTTCGCGCCTGGAGATACCCTGAAGACATAGAGATCAGCAATCATGTCTCGCCATCATCCGTAAGTAACTTCACTCCAACCTACAGCAGCAGTAGCAGCAGCTAACACCAACTCCAGCGATCTCGTAATGTGCCGGAAGCAGCCCGGAATCGCCATCGGACGCCTCTGCGATAAGTGCGACGGAAAGTGCCCAGTCTGTGACAGCTACGTGCGCCCTACAACCCTCGTGCGGATCTGCGATGAGTGCTCTTTCGGCAACTATCAGAACAAGTGCGTGGTATGCGGTGGCGAGGTGAGCATGTTCCCATATCGTATTCTAGCTGTAGGCGAATTGCTAACAGGTATGTTTGATAGGGCATTTCAGACGCCTTCTACTGCTTCGAATGCACGCGACTCGAGAAAGACCGAGACGGCTGTCCGAAGATCATTAATTTGGGAAGCTCGAGAACGGATCTGTTCTATCAGAAAAAGAATTTCAGGAACCACTAGACAAGCTCTATGCCGATATTCTGCAAGGACATGGTGCTCGCTCTTCAGAGATACACGCTTGGAGAACACTTGAATATCCCGGCGATCGAAGGCGAAATTCCCTGGATCTATGGGGCCTCTGGTGTGGCACGTTCACGAGAGCTCAGCTGTACGAGTGCGTATACCCGCCTCCCAGGCTGCCAGTCCCGTGGCTGGCCTCGAAACATCATGGCGCCTGTAGTGGGCTGCTACCACTTCGTCGAAGCTCTTAGTTTCGCCGATCTTACCGTCTCCATCGAACTGCATCCATAGCAGCATTCTGCGTTTCAAGATTGGAATGGCGCTGGCGCTCCGGTTCATCGGCCTCGGATATTAGCGGGCCTAACGTTCTCGAAGTATTTGGCGCACCCTGTCTACGATTTAAGGTACCTTGTGTGTCTGAACAGGCTATCACACAAGCTAAGTGAAGTTTGGAAGACTTCTTGGAACAGGCTTGCAGTGATGCCTCATACGTGGCCTAGATGTGGCGGAGTCATAAGGGAGCTAAATAATTAGCATCAATCAAAAGATCAGCAACACAGATAGATATAATTTTATAAGACAAAATCAAACTCCTCTTATCATTTGCCAGCCATTTCTTTAACGTACCTTGAGCTCCTGATTCCCATGTGAGTGCATAATCCGACCCAGAAGGTAGAGACATTACATAAGCGTTCTCCGGGCGGAACAACGCCCCCTTTGGACTAAAGTAGTTGAGACTCTTGGAATCCCCGCGACTGAATTGTATCCCCAATCAAACCCCCTGAATCGAGAGCGTGATGGGGATGTCATCAACCCACCACAAATTTTTTGAATATTAGTTTTTACAGCTCTGTTTTGGTTATATCCAAAGTCCGTTGGTCTAGTGGTATGACGTTCGCTTCACAGATGAACCCATTTCGTCCGCGAAAGGTCCTGGGTTCGATCCCCTGACGGACTAAATGTCTTTTTGCACTTGGTATAACTATTGAGGTCTTGAACTTTTAATTTACGTCTGTTCTGAAGCCTGCAGTTTCGATTTTGGCACATCAGAATCACACATTCGTGGATTCTGTCACTTCGGGCCGGTCTAAGTTCGGGCCGACCGTTTCTTGGCGTGCCGGGTGCGCCAACAGGAACACCAACTCCATTGAGGCGGCGGCCATATCCTTCGCCCGCACATGGCCAGCATCACCTGCGGCTCTCCATCCGAAGTCTCGCGCTAATATTGAGCTCGCCTTGTCTTTCTACTATATACAAGATAACCAAACAATCTGTGTGTTTTTGCTGCCGATGTTCACTACTCTCCCCCTGGCACGCATCCCCGATCTACTCGAGGGAAAGCTCTCCCAAACCCATATATCTCGCTGGCCACGGTTTGAAACGATCTTTCGCTTCCATGATGATACCCGGCTACTCTCTCACCGTGCCTCATTTCCAACGGCAAAGTCTGCGTTAGGGGGTGTGAGTATGCATAAAGTAGTACGAAGCAGTTCGTTCACGATGTGTTGGGGGCTTCGGAACAAACGCCGTAAGAATAGAAAACGAACCGCTTGTTCAGTCCCATATTCTCGATCTTATGTCCTCGAATCCTTCGCTCATACGATTAGATCATCATGCTATCTGATAGTACGTTTTAATAAGTACGGCGACACGTAAGCCTTCACGTCTGGCAACCGTCTATAGATGGTGTCAAATACCAAGGGCCTCTAGCACAGCTAAGTATACAGAAGTGTTCTCTTGTTTCTCTATGAGTGTTTCTCCCGGCCATTTAGGGGACCGGTGGCCCCCCTCAACCACCTCGATTTACTACTCCTCTTCGTCCTCTCCTCCATCCGAGTTCCTATTATATCGTTGTCAGGCTTCTCCGCACCCCTGTTGGCATGTTCTTCTGTCTCCTCCTCGTCACTGACGTTCAGCTCGTCTTCTGCCCTCCCCTCGTCGTTCTTGATATTTTCAAAAGCGCCTGAGCCGGGTCCACGTTTCAACCTTCTCCTTCGTCAAGTCGCCGGGCGTCTTGGCCGAGGATAGGAAGCAAATTCGAAAACCAAGCCGTCGCTGACCGCTGGCGGATCACTTAATTTTATCTGGCGATATTTCACAGGAGATATCTGTGCAACAGTCGGGTCATCTTGTAGGCTGCGGAGAAGTGCCCCCATGCAATCCGTCTACCTTTGGTTTAACGGCTTGCAGTGTACGTCCGCAACATAACTGCCAGCTTCGGTCTTATCTCTACCTTGCCTCTGTTGCGGCGTAGAACGTTGTTCTTCTTCAACTTGAGTCAATTTATTGCGATTGGCTTCAGATCGGACAGTGTTCCCGGACCGGGCCCGAGATGGTTTGGGGATAAGTCCCGTTTTCTTCGACACGCTCATCCCGAGCTCATCATCATCTCCACATCTGTCTGGCACCTTGGGACGCGTTGGCTAGGAACGCGTGCTCCAGCCTACAAGCATGTAGTAAGCGTCGATTTCTCCAGGAAGTCACTGTCATGCGGGTTAGAAACAGAGAAATGTCACGTGTGCTTTTCTTACCTGTTCCGAACCTCGACGAACGTCGCCATTATGGAGTCTTGCCGAGCTGCGGTGAAGCGGGTCTCGATGGTAGGGGGAGATCTGGTCGAGCCCTTCGGCCATCGGGACATAGCAATGATGTCATCCTCAGGAGATGGCCTCACATATCCAGAGCCAGCACAAAAGCCAGCACAGAAGCCAGAATTTACGGACTGTCACACACGTCGCTACTACCACCTCATCTGGAGACAGATCATCTACACTACGCCCGTCTTCGAGCGCATGGCTGCCTTTTCACACGATCGCATGGTTCACGCACTTGCGGCCGTGATCGAGAGAGCTATCGACAATAGCCTTTGCGCGCTGGATTGGTGGGTCGTTGTGTATATCAAACTGCGCGCTGGTATCGTCGAATACTGGAACACTCCCGTAACCGAGGATGTTAATGGGGACGTGTGGGACATGCGCGTGGAGCTGGACAATGAGCTGCGAGACTTCAACTCCGTTCCAGAAACTATGACACGATACCTGCCGTGGGTAATGGTGGAGGTGTGGCAGATGGCCTCGTACAGCTAAGACTGGACGACTAGACCTGTGGGACCCAGAATAGACAACTTTCACGTGTATAGACAAAGCTCGCGTAGATATCGGAAGTGCGAATACATAGGGAACACGATTACCTAAAAGTATCAACCTTGACTCTCCTGTGCACCGCTGCTGCACTTACGCACAGTAGTCCATGAAGGAACATCTGATTACCATACGCTATCGTGCATCCACAAAGCAGGAATTCGATACTCAGTAACGGTGCAGAATCACGTAGCTATAATTCCACCGCGACAAGTCACATGACCGAAGTTTTTTGGTAAAACTGTGATGAAAGCTCCTTATTGGTTTCCTCCGTCCAAGGGCCTGATGAACAAAGCAGACAGTGGCGTAAAGCGCGCTTTTTGACCTTCGCGGTTGCGCGAAGCAAGCTATAACCTAGACCGCAAGGCCAGCAAACAGATTACCGGCCGCAACAGATCCGCCATAATAATTCCATAAATCCATCCGGTATTAACTTTCACTCGGACAGACACCTCGAGTCGGCAACCATCCGCCTCCAGCAGCAGCACCAGGAACACACCAGCCTACTTGGCCTTATCATACGCCTCCAAATGCCACCTCATAACCTTCTGAAAAATGCCCTTCCCCCCACTCTCAATAACATCCCCATGACACGGCACGATCCTGTCAAAATCCCAACCATTAATCTTTGCGATGCTCTTATTGAACCCCGTCCGATCCCCCGAACTGATCGCCCACCAAATAAACCGCCTCTGCCCCATCGCCTCGCCCCTCGTATGATTCACGGCTGCCATCAACCGCGTCAAAATCCCGCTCGTGGCGTCCGCGCCCGGCACCCGGCTGAACTGCTCTGTTGCGGGCAGGTTGAAGAGGAGGTCTGCTTCGATGAGGGTTCGGGTCGGCCGGTGGCAGAAGACGAGTTCTTTATTGGCGTGCGCGGAGACGAATTCGTAGGAGAACTCGCTGTCGAAATCGGAATCGACGGTTACGGATTCTTTGTTGGCGGAGGGGAAGACGACCGCGAAGGGAACTTTCTCAACGTCGGATTTGGCGCGCTTTTCGGGGAGGCCTTCCGGCCCAATTATTTTGGCATCCGGGTACTCCTTATGCCATGGGCCGAGGAATATGTGGTGCTGTGAGGTGAATGGTTAGCTAAGAGATCTGGCGGATGAGTGGCGAGATGTGTGAAGGTCCCCGTTGATAGAGGAACCCAGGGCATTGGGCGCATACTTCGATGTCGAGAGCTGTGATGTACTTCACGGTTCCCATCTCCGAGACTGTGCGCTTGACTTCATCTGTGAGGGCCACGGGGGAGAAAACTGCGAGCGCGCCGGAACGGAGGCGGACTATTTCGTAGTCAGAAAGCATATTCAGAGCAACCAAAGAAGAAATAGCAGAGGAAACATACCAATCGTGCCTCTGCCTCCAACCTTGACGCGTCCAAAGCGCCAGAAGGGCACGGAGAGTGTGGTTATCACGCGAGGTACGGGCTGGCGGATCACCATCACCTCGGCAGGGTTACTTGCGGAGAGTGCTGGCATGTTGGCGTGTGTTTCTTGCTTTCTTTCCTTGGAGAACCCTGATATCGATACTAGTTCTTCTTATGTGCTGCGAAGTAGAGTCTGAGAAATGTTGTAGAACGATACAATTCGTTGATGGGCCTTTCAATCGGTTCTCGATGTACGACGTCACAGCGGGAGCTAGAATATTAAGCTTTTCTGACACTCCGGTAGCGAGGGCGAAAGCGTGGTGGCGTAGAGCACGGGGGCTGTGAGGCTGAAGTGCCAGTCACGTGCGGGCTTTTCTCAGATAAACAGTCAGTTCCCCTCGCTGTTGCGGGCTTCTCATGTCCTTAAATATTAGCAGCTTCCCACCTGCCTGCCATACCAGCTCGTGCAGTGCCTAGGCATATTCATCAGCAACCTCACTTCACGAACGAACCACAGCCCTGCATTCTGTCCATCCGAGGCAGCGGGGTTCGGCGTAAGCAGCCACATATTTAGTCATGATCGTGCAATCGTGTTGGATTTCGCCAATCCTGAAAGGCTCGAGGCATGTGACAAGTCAGATTTGTGAGCGTCGTGAGCACACTTAGGTGTGCTTTTGTTGGTTTACGGATGCAAGTTAACTGAATTCGATACTGGTACAACGTAACCGGACTCTTGGGCCGTAGACTTTCTGTCTCTAGACTCGCTCACATCTCTGTTCTTGGAACTTTGCGGCAGCACAACGTACCCCTATGAGCCTGCAGCCCAAGGTTACAGCGCACGCCGACAACTTGTTAACTATGAATGTGTGATGGCGCCTCCCTGCGAGTTCTGCGACAACATCGACCGCCAACCTAGAATGGGAAGCGGGGCGGCCCGAACCCCAAAAGGTCTCAGACGCTCCGCGGCTCGAGGTTGTGTCTCCTGTTCGTTGTTACAGGAAGGCATCCGCAAGTCTGTCCCGTCATGGGACGAGTATTGTGAGCAGAAAGACAGGCAGCTGAGCGCTGAGCTTTACCTATAATCTCGAGAAGGGACGTCTTTGGTGGTAAAAATTAGTGCTAATAAACGGAAAGCGTCCGAGGAGTTGGAGTAGTATCGTCTTTCTGAGCTATACTTCTTCACGGGGCAAGGTAGGCTGGTTTGGATTTCACAGTCCCCGTATTCACTTAGACCGAGACTGTTCTACCTAAGTCATTCACTTTACAGCAGTCCTCAAGACCCACGTGCTGGGTGGGTGTATCAGACCTAAAAGGGTTCTCTCAGCTGCCACTGTTCGGGCCCGCTGGAAGCGTCCCGGATGACGATACCTCATCCGAAGGGACTTGCGGGACGCTACGCGCTTGGATCACGAAGTGCGACCAAGAACAACCCCCTCTGTGTTCATCCAAGCGACCCCCTCTTCCAAGCAGAGTCATAGATCTCAGGAGTGATCCACCCTCCCTCCGCGTCACTTCTGGAGAGAAAGCTCGATACACTTGTCTGGGCTACTGCTGGGGTACGTTACAGCCGCTCACAACCACAATGAGTACTATTCGCTCGAGATAGGAAGGAATGCACTGGCATAGCCTCCCACAGACATTCGAGGATGCCATCACAGTGACCCGCAACCTGGGAGTGAAGTACATCTGGATCGACTCCCTTTGTGTAGTTCAGGACGATCCAGAAGACTGGGCCACGGAATCCGCCAAAATGGAAGCCGTGTACGGGAACTTGTACCTGACCATCGCAGCTACGGCCTCTGCAGACGCATGTGGAGGCTTGTTTAGGAAAACAGTTGCGCCAATTCGACTCGCAGCGCATATGGGCGAAATCCGTATTACAGTCTTTGTCCGAGAGATGATTGCTCACAGCTCCTACCAGAAGTACGACAAACCGTACCCGGAATACACGGCTAGTCTTCCTCTGCTCTCGCGATCCTGGGTTCTACAAGAATTCTATTTGCCCGCTCGGGTGATCCATTTCGCGGATTTTGAAGTTGTCTGGGAATGCAATGAGAAAGGTGGTGCTGTTGCCATACTGGTTTGCGGCCGCCGGGCGGCACCAAACACGGCACCAAACACCTCTTCGCCAAAAGCCTTGATCGCAATGGCGCCCAGAGTCTGCAAGCTGTGATAAGGGCATGGCATACTATTGTGTCTTTGTACACAATTCGCTGGTTGACAAAAGAGGCAGACAGATTACCAGCGCTCTCCGGGATCGCCAGGCGGGTACAAGGGGTACTTGCGTGCGATACCTAGCAGATCTCTGGAAGGCCTGCTTACCGGAAGGCCTATTGTGGGCCGCTGAGCTCGGTAGCTGCCGTAGACCAACCCGCTATCGTGCGCCGTCATGGTCTTGGGCTTCTGTTGAAGGACCCGTCTTATACAGTTGGTCAGGGCCAGAAGCGCAAGGACTAGAGGGCGCTGGCATAGAAACAACCGATTTGCAGTGCTCAACAGAGCTCGATCGTACTGGACCGGTGTCGGAAGGGCTCCTGGAGCTGTGCGGCACCTTAGTTGAAGCACATTCTTTTTGTAAAGTTTTTGGGAACACGACCTTTTACTTGGAAAAGAACGGGGCTAACGCAGGTTTGCAACCAGATGTGCTGGAGGAACTGTATGATGTTGGTCTTGGTCGCGTACTGAGGAGCGATTCGTTGTACTGTCTGAGGATAGGGCTATTACCTGGGAGCTTCGGCCAGCGGAATTGCAATTTCCTAGCTTTATGCCCTGTTGGTCCATTGGATGATAGAGTGTTCACACGGGTTGGTGTCGTGATACTTGATGCGAAGGAAGAATCCAGGTGGAGTGCAGGCGCTGAGAGACTGAACATTACAACAATCTGAGCTCTTACTAGAGTATTTGCCTTCATCAACCACTAGGTAAAGCAAATCATCGCAACGTTAACACTTCTAAGGTCTACCTCGTTTTAGTTCTACTCACGACAAGCCGCCCTAGCGATGCCATGCTCGCAAAAAAAAAAGGCGCTAAAAGATGCAGTGACAAGAAGATGCACCCGAAAGCAGCACAACGCACCCATCATGTTTTCATCTCACATCGTCTCCTTCCTCCCTCGATTTTCACCACTCATTCATCCTTGCCCTCCTTCCACTCCTCCTCCAATCTCACCTCCGCAACGGGCGGATCCCCCATCTCGCCCCCCAGATCCGGCATCTCCTCGGTAGACATGGGACTGACATTCCCAGGCCTCGGCCCCATCTCATCGCCGAAATCCTCAAGCATCCGATCGCCGAGCGAGTCTCCCGCGTTACTCCCATTAGCCGCCGTATCACTCGCCGCGTCTCCGGCCTCATCGTCACTGCCCAGCGCCGCTCCCGCAGCATGCCTATTCATCGTGCCGTCCCAGTTCCAGCCCGGCTTCGTCCAATCCTGTCCGGAGGCCCGGCCCATCAGACCGCCCAGCCCCGCTGAATACGCCGGCGGCTCCTCGTCCTCAATCGTGTCGTCCTCGAGGCCACCAAGCTCGTCCGCCTCATCCAGCCCCACGCCCTCATCCTCCACATACCCGGGCGGCCTCTCAATACTACCCACCACCTCCACCACCTCCTCCTCCCCCTCCATTCCCATCAGACCCACCCCGGTCCCAGAACCAGCGCTTCGAAGGACTCCCGCTGCGGCTTGCGCTGCGGCTCCGGCTCTTGCTCCTGCTGGTAAGGCGCTCGACGACGTCGGCGAGGAAGCCGGGCCGTCGAGCCGGAGGCCTTTTGGGGAATTCTGCCGCGACGAGGCCTCAGAGGGTGCTTCGGAGGCGTGGTGGGATTTGGCGACGAGGTGTTGGAGGTAGGGCGGGCCTAAAGGGGTGGGAGAGCGGCGGCGGTAGAAGAGGAGGTAGGCGGCTGGGGTGACCGAGTGGGCGGCGCTGCGTTGGGATACTTGGGAGTCTGGGGGTTTGTGTTAGAATAGTCTTGTGAAGGGGGTGGGAGGGAGAGGGCGGATGGGAAAGAAGGAGGGGCTTACCGTTGTATTCGTACCACTGCTTGTCGTAGAAGTTCTGTGCAAACGCCGTGTAGTGGCCACCGCCAAGACCGCCATAGTGGTTGTCTACCGCGAAAAGGTCGTAGATGGTCTCCTTGCCCTCTTTGAGCCCGACGCGGTAGCTGAGATCCAAGCCTTCGGTTGGGAAATCCACCAGCACGTCGATCTTGTCCCTGAAACCCCTGTTCGCGCTGAACCGCTTCAAATGGATGACCAGGATATCCGGCAGCGTCCATATCTCCAACGTCTTGCTTGCGCGGCGCAGCTCCTTGCAACGATTGCAGTACCACGCATTCTCCTCGGACAGGATCTCTCCTTTCGCCGTCTCGGCGAAGCAATCCTCAAGCGTGATACCATGTTTTCTCCGCGCGGCGCGTTTCGCTTTCTTTTCCGCTAATTCCGGGTCTGGGAGCGTCGTCATCTGTGCCCAAGTCTCTTGACCGCGCATGTCGTCGTTGTTCACGCCTTCGAAGAGCGACTCGTAAGCCTCAGGGTTCCAGTCCAAGATGATGGCTTCGCCGAGGCAAATTAGGGCCGAGTCGCCATCTGGCTCTGCGGAGGGCTGTCTACCAAGGCCGCCACGGAGTCCAGCCACCGGAGCCGCGGTTGGACGCTTGGACTTCCGCGAGTATGTTGTGATGCGCCTGCCGCCCACACGGTTGGCTTTCTGCCGGGTTTGCTGGAGAGGGCGTTGGATGATCTGGTTGATTGGAGGGAGGCTGTTGTCACTTTCGTTGCCAGAGTCGTTCGGATCCGCCGAATGTGTCGGGATATCACGTGGATCAGTCATCTCGTCGCTGGCGGACGACTTGTAACTACCGCTGCCAGTCGATGACCGTCGGCGCTCGTTATACGGAACGCGTGATTGGATCAGCGGGTAGTCCTTGTTGCCGTCAATGGCACTCCATCCGGTTTGGATCAGCTCGTTGCCCTTTTTCGCGTACTTGATATCGAACAAGTATCTGAGTCCGGGTTGGATGAAGCTTCCCGGCTCCAGCACTGGATGCGCCGGCTTCGAGCCGGGAACCTCAGCTTCGCCAGAGCTGTCCATAGCCTCAGTAGGCTGCTCCATAGACTCCGCAGGCTCCGTCATTGATACATCGACAACGCTGTCTTCGCCCTCGACGGATCTAGCTTGTACCGCAGGGTCGAGGTTGGAAGAAGCGTCGTCGTCAGTCGTAAGAATAGCGTCCGAGCTATTTCTCGAAGCGAGCGTTCCATATCGAGAGTTGTCTTCTGTCAAAATGTCCTTGGTAGTCATAGTGGCAACTTTGCCCAGAACCTTACGAAGGATCTCGTCGTAGTTCTGTGCTTCCTCCCGGGTGATCGTTATGAAAGCCGGCCAAAGCTTCATCGCCGTGGACGAACTGTATGCCGTTGGCTGCGGTATCCGATGGAATATTGGCACCGCCATTCGGTCAGCGAGCGGAGAGTTGTTATCGGGGACCTCCTCGTCCGACGAATTGTTGTTGCCGAAGCTAAGCATCGATCGCACCTTACCCTGCCTCTTCTTTGGCGGAGGAAAATTGCTCGGAACATGCTCGAGCTCGTAGACTACGATGTCGTCTCTTGACTGGATGTTGAGCTCGGCTAGGGTCTTGTTGTCCTCGAAGATCTTGTAGAACTTGTGGCTGTAAATCTCGGCAACCATCAAGCGATTCCACTTCAGGCCAGGTACTCTCTTCGCAACGTATTCCTTGAGGCTTCGAATGGTTGCGTTCTTGTCGATGTCGATATCGATCTGCATGGGAGGCTGGTGCAACGGTGAGAAAAACACAGTGTGCTGCCAAGTCTGCTCGATTGGAAGTTGTAGAGTGAGTAAAGAGAAGGGATCGAACGTTATGCTGACTTTGTCACATTCGGGACAAACCATAGTGTTCTTGTAGAAACCGCTGAACAGGTCTGTTGCGACAGAGTCGTTGCGAGCATGGTGTATCTCACGAAATTTCTCACCAAGTGCACGGATGGCCTCTGGATCATTAACAGTCTTGTCATCGGATTCCGGGTTCTCGACGTAAGGCTTTTTCTGAATGCGGTTGAGGTCTTCGTGCAATGCGTCCACCAAGAAACTGAGGAACTCCTGAGAGTCCTGCTGACCGTACCCAGAGAACATGGGCTGCGCTTTGCCCAGTGCGCCCTTGAAAGCTTTGGGCGAGAAGGAGGATATGTTTGCGTCACTGTAGATGCTCGCTAGCAGGCCGGCGTATGCCTTCGCCATCCCACCGCCGTAACCAAGCGGATTGCTGGGATTGAGATCTTTCTTGTACTGTTCCTCTGCTACTCATTAGCGTGGTGCCGGAAGCGCGACACAGTAGATCAAGCTCACCAAGAAAGTACATGGTCAGCTCCTCGACGCTTCTAATACACTGCAGAGCAGAGTTCATGTAGCAGGTGTTGCCGAGATTGATCAGGCCTACGGTGCCACGAGTCCTGCCGTCCTTTCTTGCTCTGCCTCGCGTGATAGGTCCAGAGGGCGCAGGAGTACTCCTTCCGGACGCTGTTATGACCTGGTCCGTGGTGCCCGGTTTCAACGAAATGCCATTCTTGCTGGCAGCCTTTCGTGCAGCATCGGATACAAATTCATCACCGGGCACATTGCGGATTTGCTCTTCCAGAATGAGAACCTGGTCCTGGGCAAGACCAACTGTATCAAGCCTCAGGTGACCGTTGTACTTCTCGTTCATAGTCTCGTCCTTGGCATCGACCATTTCACGCTGAGTACCCTCGGCCATGGCAGTGAAAGTAGCAATGTCAATAAGGAGCTTCGGGGGTGGTGCTGCAACAGGCGGAGGCGATTGAGAGCCGCTGCGAGAGGTGGCGGGCGTCAACATACCAGACTGGCCATTAGTCTGCTCCTCGCTGGAGCCGGTCGATATCGGCACAATGACTCTCCAGAGCTGAACCTTCGTCTTGCGATCGATGTCCGCTACAGCCTTGGCCTGACCCAGGAAATCCTGGAACAGCTGATTTCGGCTCCCGACGACCCTGGGTGCATTGCGCTGCGCATCCTTCAATAGTTGCTGCGAAAAGCCATGTGTATCGTTCCTCAGCTTCTGGATGGTGAATATCGGTGGATAGAGCTCATATTGCAGATTTTGGATAGCCGCGTCTTCAGGACTAGTATTGTGTACGTAGCGCACAATGGATGGCGATCCTTCCGCCACGCTGTACCACTGCAGCATCCAAGCCCAAGCTTTTTCAGGAAAGACCTCGAAATCGTCATTCATGCGCAAACCAGGTTTGAGTGGTATGAAGGGATCACCCTTCTCATCTATGAGGCGCTCATCAAAATGAGCTTTCGCCGCAAGGTCAGCAACTTTGAAATATCGCCTCACAGAAGCCGGAATGTTTGTTCTCCTACCGTCAACGAGGTCCGAGCTGTCTATTGGCCCGATCTCCCCTTCGCTCGCTTCCTTCGGATATTCATTGCTCCTTTGACCCTCGGTGCTGCGAGCCATCACTCGAGCGAGCCAACGAGCCGACACAATGAAGCCCTTCTGGCCTTCCTGAAGCGGCTCAGCGAGCAATGGTGTGACTAAAGAGATCTGCTCATCGACGGAAGGAACCTGGCCCGCGGCAGCGGTGCCATCAGTGGTTGGAAACATCGAGCTAGCCGGCGGGGACGGCTCGTAGCTAGTGGCTGAAGTGCTGGCCGTACTGGATCCTTGATTTGAGGTAGAGCTTGTCTCTGAAGCTGCGGTATATCGGTTGGTCTCACCAGACCGCTGCTCATTGGCTAGCATATCCACTGAAGTTGAGCGCTGATGCCTCTGCACAATTTTCGAACCGGATGATGGGGGTGTGGTTCTAGTCTCCGCACCGCCTCTGACGGGCTCTGGACCGGCGTATGGTGTAGAAGGGGGATCGACATCCATGTGTTCTCTGCTCTGTGTATCGTGGCCATCCTCCATCTCCGACGCAGTGCGTTTTGCTGGTGAAGTAGAGCGAGGGGCGGCTCGGAGAACCGCTATGTCGTTCGGGTTCTGAACCTGAAGATCGTCGGAGCTATCGGAGTCCCTCCTCCTACTGATTGCCTGTGTCATGGAGCCTTTCCTTTCTTGCCCTGCTGTGTCCCCGAAGCTATTGTCTAAGGTCAAACCGGCGTAGGCGGAGCTCGGTGAGCCTGTTACAGCACAGCCTATGTCTCTTGAAGAGCTGTCTGCTGCGGAGGACGCGCCCGGGGTCGGGCTTTGCAGGTGTGGAGATATGAGGCGGGGAGGTGAGGCTGAGGTTCGGGAAATGGATGAAGGCGGGTATGGAGAATGTCGTGGGGAAGCTAGGGCGGAGTCTCCATTCAGAATTGACGACGGGGTTTGTGAGCGGTTTGTGTCTTGGTCCAAGGCGGCTACTGGCGTAAGCTTGCGCTTCTTTGCGGAGGCCGTGGTGAAGTAGTAGAGCCTGCCGGAGGAGCTACAACAAGCAGCTCCAGAGGCAGACGTATGGGTCCGTGATGAAGTGAACTTGCGGGCAGGGTCCGTGAACTGCCTTCCAGCGCTCTTGCCCAAGCGGAGGACTGGTACGCGAATGTTCGGCGTTGTTGCTGTTTGGGGAGAGCCTGAGTTTTCAGACACGGAATTTGTGATGTTGCCGACGACGTCCCTTCCGGAAGCGCCGCCTCTCATACACGCCTCACCACCAGCTGACGCGGTCATCTCACCGACACACACTGAGCCAAGTCCGAGTCGAAACGCGACCCATGAGAGACGAAATCACGCGCATAGCAGCACATCTGGGAATGCCAGCGGTTCGGCGCGTGAAGAACGATGGCTTGACGCGGCTACGCGTGGAAGCCGCCGGCGGCGAGACGAAGTGAATGGACGGTACAACATGGGCGAAACGGCATGTCAGGCAACACGTATCGCGTGAAGGGCTTCTAACTGTGGTTGAAGCGAGTGATGGTGAGCAGGGTTAAGGTGGTGAGTGGTGACCCCGATCGAGGCGGACAGAGCCCACCGTGAAGTGAACTGCGTAGTTGAGAACATGACAGGTCCCAGGACGCGCGGTGTGCATTGTCGGAGTCATCGACCGTTAGTCTCTTTGAATCTCTGATTCTGTTATGTAGAGTACATGCGGGGATCACGTCGCCCGACTATCCCGTAACATCCTACTCAATACACGCCAGCCAGGCTCGAGAGCACCTGCTTCATGGCGGTTTGGGCCATTCAAGGCCACAGTCAGGCCCCTACTGACCTTTCTACTAAGTGGGAGACCAAGGCCGCTCAGAATCAATGCCGATAGTAGTACATGTTGCCAGAAAAGTGAGAACCCTTGTCGTAAACCATAGAATAGCGTGCCTCACTTCGATTGTCCACCAGAGTTCAGCCAAGGGAAAGCGCTACCAATAACATTCGTTGGCCTTGGCTTGTTGGTAGCAGCACCATTCTCCTTCGCCTTGTCGCCTACAACGCCGAGTTTGGTCTGCGCATCCCCTGCCTCATTGGCAGAGACAACGCTCGTCCTTCGCCGGCCATCATCGAAGAAGCGAGACTGACCGGACGCTGGGGAACCGGTGCCGCCAGACAAGACCCGTGAAGTGGACCTCACTGGCTTGAGGACCTTGATGCCCTGATCCCGCCGTTGGTAACCTGCTCCTGTACTAGCGTTGGGTTTGCTGTCGTCTCGCCGCCAGTTGCTCCAGATGGCGGGCGACGAGCCTGACCGGGACAGCGTGTTACTTGTAGAACTCGACTCAGCATTGTCCTTTGCCTCAGCCTTCGTGTGAAGGGGACCTAGTAGAGGTCGATGATCAAGATTCCGACGGCTCGGCAGGTCCACTTGACTAATTTCGCTTGCGGCGGATCTAGTCTGTGCTACACTTGGCTCTGCCTCGGATTTCGGTGAAGGGAGATCCCTAACAGCGGGTGAAGAAGTTCTCCACTCGGGCACAATTGCAGGTGCTGAAGGTAGAATTTCCTCTGGACGGACTGTATCTTCGACTGCAGAAGGCGGTTCAGGTGTTTGTCCGAGTCCTTTCAGGGCCGATTCGGATGGCACAGGACCACTGGTGATGTAGAGACTTTTAAAAGTGCGGTCGTCTTCGGGTCGGACAAGCGGTATGGATAGCTTACTGCGGTCGTCATCGAAGAGTGTCAGAGTGTTGGAAGAGAACAGAATATCTGCACTGTGGGCCCTCAACATATCAGAGCCAATGAATACTTGAATTGCTTTAGAATCTCCATCGGCCCCTGTCCTATCGACGACAGTGAAGTCCACGGTCAGGGATGGTAGCTGGGGCGCGGGGCTGTTTGAGCGAGAAGACGCTGGATGGGGCACTGCTTCAGGCAGATACATTGCGAGCTTGATTCTGCGGTTGCCGTCAGTCTCCCGGGTAACCTGGTCACGAAAGCCAAGATGGTCAACCAAGCGAATGTCAATGAATGAGGTGTATGAGCCGGTGCATACGGCAGCGTAAAGGAGCGTGTCGTGCTTGAACTTCGTGCTTAGCCAACATCGTATAATTGAAGGAACGGAGCCCAGGATGAATAGGCCAGGAGCCAGACCGGGTACGTCCATAGGCGACGGGGCAGACTGAACACCAAAAGCTGTGTCCAAGCCAAGGCTGTTGGCACGTCCCGACGTTGCTGAATGGACCGATTGACCTGCGGAGCTTTGGCGTCCATCCGACTTGTGCGAGTACGTTCGCTCAATCATGGCATGTCCGCCAAGCCCACTACCTGTCCTTGGAATGAGATCCACCGAGGTCCTCGAAGCGTGTGCCCAGTGGCCCTGGTTAGCGCTTTCATCAAATCGGACGCTGTTCGCCCTCGATGATGCACCTATCCGTCTGGGCTCGTCATCCGCATCGAGGTGTAAGCTCCCGATTAAGGTACTTTGCTGGTCATCGAAGCCGGAGAAGGCGTCTGCTGTAGGTTGCTGGATCGGCCCTGGCACAAATGATCAGCACAGATAGTGCAACAGTGACTCTGATCTCTCTGCTTACCATGCTGAGGCGTGCCGCCCAAGACGCTCGGGAAAGGGGAGGATGAGCCCCAGACTGATTTCAACCGGACATCCTCCTCTTGACGTCGTTCAAGCCGTGACAGACGTTCGGCGTGGTCTGATTGAGTTTGGTGGACTCGAAGCATGTCGGACTGGATGCGCCAGAGCTCGTCTCGGGGTGTAAAAGCGGCTGTCTGTGGGTCCATCACCAACATTGGCCGACTTAAGGAGAGTGATGCCTGTCCACAGTCTGGAATGGAATATGCCACCGCGGAAAAAGACGGACAAGGAGAAAGTCCTTCCCAGCTGTGCTCACATCCCCGAGATCCTGGCCGAAGGCGGACTTCAACGTTCGCAAGAGCCTTGATCGAGCGCGGTTAGGGTTGATGTGGGCCCAACTCCCCACCTGGGACCCCACCGAGCGGGCCTGCCGTAACAGTATGTGCGATCCCCACAGCTTCCGTACTGTACTCTGATTCGGGGGAGTTTGTGGTAACGACGTTGGTAGCTTCAGCTGGTATTACGGGTTGATGTACGAGCTCGACTCAAGTGGGCCGTGCGAGTGAAGGGCGGTGCAGTGGCAGCTACCGGTACAGTCGTAGGGAGGATGATGGGACTTTGTAGAAAAGGACACCTGGATTCTTTGGCGAGCGTGATAGGGTAGTGCAGGTTTCCGGGCCTTGGCCTTGGGAGGTAAATCGTTCTGTAGGTGAGAGTACGGGACTGTCAATGCGGCGCTGGAGCGGCGCAGGCGGGTGATGAGTTAGGAAGACGTAGTTTCAAAGTGTAGAAGCGTGCGAGCAGCGGTGCGAGGCAGGGCGACAATAGGAAGGTACTGCTCCTGGGACGGATCCTGTGTGGCTGACGTTGCAATTGCTGGTGTGTAAGGTAAGGCAAGGTACTCAAAAGATGTCGGCGAGGTCAGAGGTCTCACACAAAATCGCGCCAAGAAATGGCCGATCTTCGTCAACGAATGGCACTGATGGCTTTATCATGCGGAGCACCACGATAGCTCCTCTTCAGTCATAGAGAACGGACACCTAACGAGGTTTATTCCTGTATCTACTCCGTAATGTTGCCGTGCTCTAAGTGCGTTAAGAGCGCCCGGGTCTCATACCTCTACGTTCTAATCTATCTTAGCAGTATCTCTGTCTCTTATGGAGGAAGATTTATAGATTTATCCGGGTCATCCCAAGCAGGAAACGGCCTCGGCAGCTTTTCCGGCATCTGATCTGGCCAAGTCTCTTGAATGAGCTTCATTGTTTCCTCAAATAGCACGCGATAGCCCGCAGGAGCAAGATGGAGTCCTAACCGCCGCAAGTCAACGACCGCTGCCATCCTCCACAGCTACCGGAGCAAACATACCGTCGTACAACAGTTCGCCGAGCACTGGCGATCGAGGTAACTTTAGCGATCCCAAAAGAGGCTCGCCTTGCTTCCATCCGGCTTTCAGCATGAAGGCTGTCCAGATGTCCAGCACCGCAATGTTTAACTCCCTGCCAACATCACGAGCAGCGTCTGCGTAGCTCTTCGTACGCTCAGCGGTTCTGCGCTGCAGGCTCGTGTCGTAGCCCTTAGCTTTGTCGGCCATCTCAAGCTGATACTCGTCGACTGGAGGTGGTGTGATCAGTATCAGCCGGGGATTGTGGGCTTTCACAGCTTCGTGCTGCAAGAGCTGTTGAAGATTCTTTTTGAAGTCCTCCAAGGGTACGTATTGACCGTTATTGGCCTCCTTGGCAATGGCATCGTTGGCCCCGAAGAATACCGTCTGTAAAAGGAACGTAAGCAGGAGCGCAAAAGTTGTATTGATTTATTTGCGGATACGCCACCCACCATGAATCGGATGCTCGCTTGGTCCGGCAAAGGTAGAAACTGGGGAAGGACTTTTAACGCTCCATTCGTGTTGTAGCCACTCCAATGATTAGCAGAGAGCGAAGAGCCACGTAATCGACGAGAGCGTACCTGAAGCCTCGATTGACTACGTCGAGCTTCCTGATGTACGCTTGCGGTACGTCAGTAGCTGCCTTTGCCCGCAAAGTTGACGCCTGGCAATTGAGAGATATTGGGCCAAACCGGAACCGCAGTAGTTCCGCTCGTCGTACCTGCTTGGAGAGCGGCGGCAAACCCAAAGCCACGCTCCTGAGAGGTGGCCTGCTCGGTTATCGAGTCCCCGAAGAGGATGAACTGACTGTAGTTGGCGACCATGTCTTCAGCTGGGCGCGTCTTGCTGACGCTGTGCAGTCCTCGTGCCGGTTTGAATGTGCGAGAAGCTTACTCTCAGCTCTTTGGGAATTTATGGAGTTTAGATGGACTCTCGAAGTAAGGAAGCTATGCACGTGATCGTGCGGTACGCCTGGATTGACTGCTGGAGAACTTGCCCTCCGGTCAACAGTATTGAGCTCTGCGTGTTGACTCCGGCTTGGAAATCAATGTCTCGTTCTAGAAGTCGAGGCTGGGTTGCCGGATGAGGAGTTTGGATACTGGTTCGGCACCGATACCATTTTAGTGCCGCCATTTGGGCTATGTACCGTCATGGCTGCGGTGATGGTCTCAGGAACACCTGGTCATGCTCAGAACCGCGAATGCTGCCAACATCAACTCCCCGGGTCATCGTCTGTGGTTTCTGAAGTCGAGGTGATACGTTACAGCAATCGGCAAGGAGCGATTCTGAGATTGACCCAATCGACCTGCGTGCGGAAAAAGTCCCGCTGTCTGCAAGATCCCGCGCTCCAGCGAGATCTCCCGCTTTTCCAGCGGCAGCCTGCCCGTCTGCCGGAGCCGAGACGGGATGAGATGCGTGACGTGCAGGCTGCGGCGCGTCGAAAAAAAGATGCCGCTGTCAGGTGCTCCCTTTAGCTCGTCACCCATCTGGCTCACTATTGCTTCGCGTACAAGCCGTTGCCCTCGGTAACAATCCAAAGTACCATTTCAGCATCATCTTGCAGAGCCCACAAGCGCCATGCCCTCGAGAAGGGATAGCAAGTCCTTAGCCTTCCTCGTTTTGCGGAGGGTATTCCTTCGGCTTGGCTGGGCGAAGCCAACTGAAACATGACAGCCACCACAATGGACTGCGGCCCAGCAGATGCTGCCTCGTGCCTAGAGACTTCCCCCGTCGTCGAGACATGGGGATGATGATCATTCTACGAATAGTGCTGCAGCAGATCACCTCCCCCCTTGCCTCTTATCCAGCTTTATCTACTAACCTTTGTCCTCTGGCTCCGAACTCGTAGTGAACAGTCCTCCCGGCTGCCTTACGGTAAGTAAGGCACGATGCCCAAGTCCGTAGCTTCGTTCTTCAGCCGGGAGAGTAGTTATGGCGACGCTCCAGAAGGATACCCAGACGATGACGCGGAAAGTAACACAACAACACCCACGTCTCCCTTAGCCTCACGCAGACCCCGATCTGCCCGAGCCTCCGACCTCAACCTCCGCAGCCGTATATCCAATCACCGAGATGTCGACGAGACCTCGAGTCTGCTCGCAAACAGTGACTCGCAGTTGAGGCAGTACAGCTACAAGAGCGTACCCACTTCTATACCAGGCACACCCAAACCCTTCGCAACAAGGAACAGCAGCTTCAAGCTTCCGCGTCACCACAGTCGACATGGCTCAAACAGAGACCGCCTGTTCAGCACTAGGCTGGTGAACGCTCTTGGTGTCAGCCAAAGACAGCAGTCAGGTAAATACTCTGAGAGCGTCACCGCTTGCTGCCATAGCTAACACTTCGCTCAAGGGGCCGACTCGCACCTCCAGGACTCGAAGACTTCGTTTTACCAAGATGACCGCGTATGGTACGACCAGTTTACTTCGACGGACTGGGTGCACGACAGCATCGCCGATGCCTACCGCGTGAAAGCCTTGCGCAGCAGGAAGGATTTCCGAGGCCGAATACTGGCATGGCTGGATGGAGCTCAGGGCTGGATACTGGTTGCCATTATCGGATGTCTCACTGCTTGTGTGGCCTACTTCGTGAACGTCACCGAGAGCACGCTCTTCGACTTCAAGTCCGGATATTGCAGCACAAAGTGGTATCACAACAAAAAGATATGCTGTTCTGGTGCAAGCACGTGCGAGCTGTGGACGCACTGGTCGGAGCGCATCAGCACGGGCAGGATGGATGACCAGTATCTCCAATATGCGGCTTTTGTCTTCTCTGTGGTGATACTCGCGCTTCTGTCCTGCGCCTTGACTCTCACTTCCAAGACCATCATTCCTTCTGCTATATCCTTATCGACCCTCGATGAGAACCTAGGCGCCGACAACCGGAAGCTTGACCGAGACGCTGAGGGGAGGAAGCGAAGCCTCAGTCCAACGCGTAGGTATGCCGAATCGCAAAATCGACCGCCGATGGTATACTACTCCGCTGCTGGAAGTGGTGTGGCGGAGGTCAAAGTGATCCTAAGCGGCTTTGTGTTGCACGGTTATTTGGGCGTCAGAACACTCGTGATCAAGACACTTGCATTAATTCTCAGCGTCGCGTCCGGACTCAGCCTCGGTAAAGAGGGACCCTATGTGCACATCGCTACGTGCATTGGAAATATCACAAGCCGTCTGTTTTCGAAGTACTATCACAATGATGGCAAGCGTCGCGAGATACTCAGCGCAAGTGCAGCAAGCGGCGTAGCAGTAGCCTTTGGCGCGCCGCTTGGAGGTGTTCTGTTCAGCTTGGAGGAAGTCAGCTACTACTTCCCACCTAAGACACTTTTCCGCACCTTTTTCTGTTGCATTGTAAGAATCGGTCTCTGCCTGTGTAAAGTCGCGGTCCGGCTGACTTTACCTAGGCATCAGCATTGTCTTTGAAGTTCCTCAATCCGTACGGTAATCACAAGATTGTCTTATTCCAAGTAAAGTACCTCACCGACTGGCAAGGGTTTGAGATCGTCGCTTTCATCCTTGTTGGCATCCTTGGAGGCGCTCTAGGAGCCTTCTTCATCAAGGCATCACGGATCTGGGCTCGGACATTCCGTCGGCTCCCGATCATCAAGAAGTGGCCGATGTTTGAGGTTCTCCTCGTTGCATTGTTGACTGGTCTCCTCAGCTTCTGGAACCGATATACTAGACTTCCCGTCACGGAACTGCTGTTCGAACTTGCCAGCCCTTGTGACGCCTTCACCACCTCCGGATCTGGCTTGTGCCCTACGAAAGAGCAGATACCGTACGTTATTGGCGTCCTGGGTATAGCTTTCGTCATCAAAGCTTTCCTTACAGTCATCACGTTCGGCATCAAGGTCCCTGCTGGAATCTATGTCCCATCTATGGTCGTCGGAGGTCTCTTCGGACGCCTGGTAGGGCACATCGTTCAGTATCTGGCACTTCATCATTACGATACGGGTTTGTTTGGCACCTGCAATGCCAATGATGCTCCCGAGATGTGCGTCGTGCCGGGCGTTTACGCAATGGTAGCAGCTGGAGCGACGATGTGTGGTGTCACCCGCCTCTCAGTCACCCTCGCCGTCATTCTCTTCGAGCTTACCGGGAGCTTAGAGCACGTGCTTCCATTCTCGCTCGGCGTGCTAGTGGCAAAGTGGACCGCCGACGCTATTGAACCCCTCAGTATCTACGTAAGCCTATGTTGTCCCCCTGACATAGCAAGGTCATCTTTTCTGACAAAAGCAGGACTTGCTGACCGACATGAACTCTTATCCCTTCCTTGACAACAAAGTCCGACCCGTCTTCACCACAGAGCTTGGTGACATCACACGCCGTGCCCGCGAAGAGCGCGTCATCGATATCACCGTCTCACCCCTCGTTCCCGGCAGAGAGCTTCGCCAGAAGGTCGACCACCTCCACATGGCCGGCGAGCTGGACGGCGGACTCCCTATCGTCCGAGAAGGCATCCTGGTTGGCCTCATACCGGCCCCTGACCTCGAGTTTGCACTCGACAAGCTGGAGAACGAGGATAAAAGCCTGTGTCTCATGAGCACTCAAGTGCGGTGGAATGGGCTGGAGGATCCAGGGGCGGGAGAGGAGCCGGACCCGACGGATTTCACGCCGTATATTGATCCTGCACCTGTCGCGTTAGATGTGCACAGCCCGATGGATCTAGTGTATGAGGCATTCGTGAAGTTGGGGCTGAGGTACCTGTGTGTTTTGAAGGATGGGAGATATGCCGGGTTAGTGCACAAGAAGGCGTTTGTGAAATACATCAAGGAGTTGGAAGAGGAGCATCGTTAAGCGCTGGTCAACATCTGGTTTGGGCTGCATTGGAGGTTTCGGCGCACACTGTTGGATGCTAGACATGGGATTTAGATTTCCGGAAGTTCGTTGTCTGCATTTTCATGGGTTTCAGATGGCGTGTTTCTTCGAGAAAGTACACAAGCAGCGGGGACCTAGTGTTAATAGCGATCCCCACATCGATGTCTGATGATTGAACACTAGTAAAACTGTTACTTATTCTCTCCAGCATGAATTTGGCACTCGCTTCAGATGCTGAACATGTGACAGCGCGACCTCGCGCATTGACCGAACCACACCACCGATGCCTCAACGACAGCCATGGACTTTGTGAGCACTGCGACAGCATATCAACACTCCAGACAGGTTACTGACAGCAATTGCACAGTGGACGCGGTTGATCGGCGGCGTCGGCACACCGAAGAGTAAACAGCCATCCGCCTCGAACAGCCCCCAGCAGCGCCTGGCGCGCTTCAAGCGGGTCTACGATCATCTTCTGGTATCTACTTCAGCTCTGAACACAGGGGAGCAGCTATCGCTGACTTAGCGTAGCACGTTTGGCACAAGAGCAAGCAACGCGTCTCAGGCACACAAGCCGAAGAGACTATCCGCAACTGCCTCCAGCGCATAACCTCGATACTCCGCGATGAATCCCACTCTCCCGAGCCGCATCTATGCCTGTCCTTTGCAGCATCTTCGCAAATCTTCTCCAAGGTCTCCAGGATTGCATATGTCTCGCGCAATGAGCGTATCATCAAGGACGCCGTGGCCTTCTTCGCCGCCCTCGTGGACAGCGAGGAGGACTTTCTGGACAATGCCCCTTTTGCAGAGTCGCTGATGACCTTCATTAGCAATGTCTCTGGATCGGGCAACGCAATCTGCGGAGAGGACACAACAGGCGAGATCGTGGAGCTGTTGTTCGGGATTGCGGCGAAGATTAGACTGCAGCCAGAGATATTGCCAGTGTGGTTCAGCACCCGCAAGCCAAACGCTAGCCAGATAGCTGCCGAGATGGAGGGCAAACCAGACTTTGCTTTCGTCGACGTCACACAGAAAGACGACTTTCCTCTCTGCTACCACCTGGTTGACCATGTGCATCACGAGGGACGGATTGGTGACTTTGCCAGGACTGGACTCCTGTATATCTTCGAATCCGCCTCCAAGTCGGCAGTATTAGAGCAATGGATAGTGGAAAGTGACCTGGCTACACTGATAGCTAGCGGTCTAGGAGCATTGTATAGCCAGTTAAGCAGGTATAAATTCTAGCCTGCCCAGTCACCATTCTAGACTCTAACCCTGAACAGGAAGCTATCCATATCCCATGCTCGAGGCGAATTGCCAACCATTCTAGCCCTGTCGGACTATGCGCAGATGGAAGCATCCCCGGAGGCAGACAGCGTGTTATCGCCGCAGTTCAACGTACCCATGAATACCTTCATGTCGTATCTAGCTTTTTGGCAAGATTTACTGGAATACTGCAAGTCAATTGACGTCCGGCAGACGCTGCTAGATCACTTTCAAGTGCTGTTTCTGCGACAGCTGCTGTATGTGTTGTTGTCCGTTACATTTACCCCCGGATTAACTTCGTGCTAGGTACCCCTCGGTGCTGGAATCCTCAGACGCTGATGGCGGCTCCGCCGTTGCTGTTCTCACCTACATCCGATGTCTTCTTGAAACTCTTGACCATCCAGAGCTGATACATATGGTCCTGATTTATTTACTGGCTTTACCGGACCTTGCGGATGTTGCAAGGCCTCGGACGCCCTTGTCCCCTATCGCTGCTCAACGCCGAGAGTCGCTCATGCTGCTGACCCAGGCCAACAACGAAGAAGATAGGCTGAACCCTTCGCTATTCAACCTAGCAGACCTTATCCTTAGCAGCAGTCAATCACGGAATCCACAGACATTGATGTCTGCGCTAAGGCTAATCTCAGTTTTTCTGAGGAAGCACTGGAGTTATGCACGCTTGTTCGGCTCTTCTGCTACGCAGATGACCGAGCCTCACCGCACCATAGGCGCTTTGAACGCAGAACTGGCATCCTACCTCGCGCTAGCAGAAGGCCTTGGAGGTGATTCGGGAATGGACGAAGCGTACGAAGCTACGCTTCAGGATGTGCAAAATCTTCTGGAAATTCATCCATGCTCTTCTCGGCTACTGGGGCTCAATAAGCTTGGGTTTTCTGATCCGGAGACTGCCACGGATGATCCATCACAAGACCTATGCGAGGCAAATCCACCGACCTACCACTACCTTGTCCCTTCGGACCCATTGTTGAAGGTGCTGTTGCGGCTGCTCTCGACCTTCCTAACTAATGACACGGAGACGAATCTCAGCTTGACAGAAGCACTTGTGGCTCTCCTATCCTGTCCCTTCCTCCGGCTCGAGGGCCTGCTTGCCGTCAATCCAACACATTACTGCTTCTCACCCGCGGCCACTCCACCCAGTCACAGCCATAGCGATCACCGTCTCGAACAGCTCTACACCGCCCGCCGCCAGCCCACCTGGTCCCGCGACGCCACTCCCCCTATCCTCTCGGTTCTGCAATCTTTGCAACACCAGCTTGAGCTTCTAAGAAAGGAGATACCAGACCTGGACCAACACATCGAGTCTCGGAAACAAGCTTTCCACATTCATGAAGAGATCAGTCAAGCCATGGCCTCGGTCCCGGGTCCGACCCCACCATCAGGCACCGCAACACCCATAAAGCCCGGCAGCTGGACACCGCAGCTCCCAGCACATGTAAGAACCAGCACGCCCATGTCGGCAAGATCGCAGTCGCCGAGAGGTACACCCGTGCGAGGGAGCATGGACCGACAGCGTGTGCGGTTAGCCTCGCCAACCCCACCGCTGCCGATTCTCGGTCTGAAGACGGTTGTGAGTCCGACATCGTCGGTGTCTTCGACGGCACCGTCGAGGGCACTATCGCCGGTGGGCAGCGCGTTGGTGCAGCCTAGTATGGCCTTGGCGGATGTCACAGGCGATGCCGTTGAGGCTGCGGATGTGGAGCTGTTAAAGCGGAAGATCAGCTTTCCGCTCAGGGAATCGGGAATTGAGGAAGCGGGGGATACGCAGGCTGGAGCGGAGAGAGGAAACCGAGCTGCTGGCGATGATGAGGGGCGAGAGACTCAAGACGGATATACTGAGAGTGTTGGGATGGAGGCGGTGGAGACAGAAGAGGGGAAGGAGCAGGAGGGCAAAGAGGTTAGTCTCAGTCATGTTCTGACGAACGTGGTCATTCTACAGGGGTTTGTGCTGGAGCTTGTTGCGTTGTTGCAGGTGAGAGCGACGTTGTTTGAGGAGGTTAGGTATACCTGATTGCTAGCAGCTCAGCGCACATCCTTTCAACTGCGCTTCTCGTAGCGCTTCGGAAAGCTGTGGTCTCGTTCTACTCTGTTTGCTGGCCGCGAGACTTGATGATCCATGGAAGGTACAGCCTGACTCGGGATATGCTGAAGAAAACAAGCGGAAACCTGCCTCGTTGGCTGGAGAGGCTGATAATTAAACACGCTAGTAGGAAGAAGAAAGCAAGTCGGCCTTTAACTAATGACATATTTTCTGTAGTGTGAAAAGTGCTTGCCTCTCAGCCTTCCAAGAGGGGTGGCGGGGATGTCTCTATGCTGATGTCGTCTCCCCAACTCTACGGTGACTCCAACCTCCCATCATCTACGTTCTCGCTACAGCTTTGTTATGCATATCATCCAGGGCGAGCGGACAAACATCGACTGTTGTCGCCTTCCACGAACTCGATTGCCGCTTAAGCCGCATTCTTTCGATAAATCTTGCAGGAAACAGGGACGAGGCAGTGTCCAATGTCGCATGACAGGTAATGACGAGGCAGAATATGTGTCTCCATACACCTACGACCATCTCCGCATACTCAAGAGGTTCTCGCGTTGATGATGTCGGTCTCCTCTTCTAGCCAAGCTGCAGCCTGCTTTCACCTGTCTTCAGGATCTCTGTACAGCGACGAGGCTTGACGCGATCAGGAGTAGAACATGGCCACTGACGCCTTCGAAGTTCGGCCAATCGAGAATGACTATGACTTCTACGTCCCTCTCGATTATTCGTGAAGAGATCCGTCATATATTGCTGTATCCGTCGAACCAGTGGCCTAAGATTACTTTAGGCTTCTCTACTGTATCGATCAAAAAGAAACCAGTTGCTCCGTCCGATGTCCTATCATTAGGGAGATATAGAGGATGTCAGAACCATCACCTTGCGATACCGAATCGAAGGTCATGTAAGCGGAATGACAGAACAGCAATTCCGAGTCACTGCAAAGCTGGAGTCAGCACTCAGACATCTGAGACACGAAAACGACTCTCGGATTATGTGGATCGACGCTATCTGCATCAACCAGTCCGAGTATCGAAAGAGATATCTGAGCAACGGTTGTTCACGACCGGATGGTCATCGTCAATCTCTCAGTCCTTGACGCCGGGTTGTCTTAATTCCCTTTCAGCCAGTGGAAGACGTAGCGGTATTCACCACCCTCCCGCTAGGCGAGCGCAGCTCAAACTCCTCACACTATAGATCTCCGTCAGCCTTGCGTAGGGCCCTCACGGCCGTGGTCCCGACGATGACAGTGTTTCACCGCCCTTCTATAGAGTGTTCGCAGCCCGGATTTCTGGCGCAATAAGCCTGCCGTTCTCGCTTGCATCTGTTAGAAAAGCGCGCTGGCGTCGCTAAGCGCCCGCCAATGCCCTAGTGGAGATAACCTCTAGCTGGTGATCCGCGTCACATAGCGCTCCTGTGCCCTGGTGGAGGCCGCTCCCGGCTGGTGATCCTGCATCACATAGCGTTCCCCGCCACCTAAATGGTGCTGCAGATCATACTGAAACTCGTAGACATGGTTCTTCTTAGCCTCGTCGACGGTTGGATCCATTTCACAAGGTGAGCAGCGCATCTCTCCTGTTGTTCCGACGGGTTCGAACATCAGGTCAGCAAAGGCCTGTAGCTGTTCGCTCCAATTCGAGGGTAGTGGCTCATTGTCTTTATCGTTGCCCACTTCGATCTCGGTCTCGATCGCTTGAACCTCTGCATCATTATCGTCTTGTTCGGCGTCGGGGTCAAGATCCACTCCGTGCTCTTCAGCCACGCTCGCGAAACGCATGGGTAGAGAGAGCATCGAGCTCACGTTCTACTTCATCGCCAGAAAGACCATCGTCTGCGTCATTAGGCCTGGCGGCCGCGAGCCTCTGCTGCATCATCTCAAAGATCTTGGAGGGTTTCTTCAGCTCGTTGATACGGGCCTGAACGTCAGCTACCGTTCATTGTCCTCGTTGGAGCTCCTTCTCTTCCTCTAGAACCGCCTCCAGCGCTGCTTTGCGGATGCGCTTGCGGACTTGTTGCAGTTGGTAAGCATCGCCTTCTTCTACCGCAGCTATGACATCAGCGTGGCGCTCCACGAAGGCCTGGATCATCGTATGACGATCCATTGAGACCTTTACCAGCTGAGCCGTGCGGATAGCTTCGCTCGCCTCCAGCTCAAGCGCTGTTGAGCCTCGACCGTCAGTACCTTCGAGGGCGACGCCCACAACATCGAAGTCGTATAGGCCTTAATTATAGTAATCCTTATATGTGGTGGAACCTGTTCGATGGTCCATAAACCTGCGCGCCTTGGGCAAGCCTGATGCGCGTTTAACATTAGTGCCCGCTTTACGCCTCCATGCATACATGGTCGTCTCCTTTGGGTAGCCCTTCCATATTGCTCGTTTCTTTAGGTACTCATTGAGCGATTGCGTCGAGGCCGGCTTGTCAAGTAGATGAGTGCCCTTTGGGGCAGTGGCTAAGATAACAGGCAGTTTTGCTGCCTCTTTCTTCAGTACGATGCGGTATTCATTCCCACCAAGCACCGACTCGCAGTGTTCGGCATCGCCCGACCGGTGGACGAACGAGGGTCCAGTCGTCCGTCTCGCCCGACACGCCGTTTTAACGATATAGACGATCATACGACCGGCTAACTAGATATAGTAACTAGTCAGCCGTCTAAGGTTTAAATCTAAAAGGCTTACAGGTCTTAGTAGGTGTTGAACCTTGCGAGGCGGGGTTAAAAAAGTAATGCTTACTCTTTTCTCTGCGCACTAACCGAGCCACGTGCGAGCATCCTTCTTTAACCCCGTAGAACCCTCCGAACTAATTACCACACGCATAACTCTCTACTAACTAACCACCACGTCCTTATTTTAAGACCTCCGCTCTCGGACGGAGCGCCACTATGCTAAGCCCCTTGTAACTAGGGTTCTACGTCCTTAAACGGCTAGCCGGTCGTCTAAAGCACCGCGTGCCGTTCACGATCTAGACGGACGACTCCAAGACGAACGTCGTCTAGACGATTTTGGACGAGCGATGCCGAACACTGCCGACTCGAAGGAATCGTGATGCTCTAGCAACCCTCGACGTATAAGGATCACGAGGAGACGGTGAGGTATTGAGAGAGGTATTTGGGTAACGGTCGTCGGCGACCGGATGGTCATCTTCAACCTCTTGTTCATTGTTGCTAGGTTGTCACGGTTGCCTTTTAGCCAGCGGAAGGTGACCTTGACCGTGAAGGTCTTACGGTCGTCTGACACATCTCGGCTGATGGTGATGTCCTCCCACCTCAAAAAATGGTCGGGTCGTCGATGAATCTGCCCGAGGGTACCAGGCCTCACCTCACACACCAAGCCGAATAGCCACGCTAGGTGATGGTTTTCCGCGACAGCTTTGTTCGGTGTCTGGTCCATGTCCGCGTCAAGAAGGTCGAGGAGCTCAGCACGGCCGAAATAGACCTTGTTGTATGGGGTAGTGTTGAAGCCACCATGCTCGTTTGCCATTAATCGGATGCATTTTTCTGTCGACGCGCTGTAATCGACACGGCTAGGGAGGGCGTTGGCCTTCTTCCGGGTTGCCAACCAAAACCACAAGTGACGGCCTCGCGTACTTTTGGTTCCTACTCGGATCTTCGTGTCGGTCGTCTTCTCGGCTTGACGCGTAGGCAGGCCTGAATTGACTACTTGCCGGTGATTCACAGGGTGTTCGACCGTCCGTCGGCCCGTCCGTCGGCCCATCCGTCGAAGTTTAAGCGCGTATCTATGATTGGCTAAAATCGTCCCCGTCCAACCGTCCGCGGTCGAACACCCTGCAGGCGAACTCCAGCTGTTTGGACGCGTCTTTGGGAAACAGGGGCCCATCATTGACGTCTTCCGGAGCGTCTGGGTCGAGGATAAGCGCGCCATCTTGCCCGACGCTCGCAAGATACAGTGCTGTCCACTTTCGGTATTCGAACAGGAATTTCTCCTGCTGCGATTGCGTGGAGAGTGCGGCAAACAGATATCCTTTACTGGAACTCCAAATCTCCTCGATTCGATCGAAGGTTTCGATGTTGATGCCATTGCCCTGTGCCGACCAGTCCTCGATCTGTTGGGTTAAAGTCTGCCTCTTCGCAGGAACTCTGAGAGTTGCGAGCGCACGCGAAGTTGGCGGCGCCATCTCGAAGGCGACGCGGTGGGACAGTGAGGAAGGCTACAGAAGAGTAGGAGTGATTTACGGATTACGACAAAGTTGAGCGAGTGTGGAGTTAGAAGGTTTGTGAAGCTCGATCTCAGCGAGCGAGGAGTGAAGTCTCAATTATTGATTGTTCTGAAAGTGGTGTGAGGCAGTCGCTGGGTCCTGAGCCTGGCTCATGGCATATTGTGCAGGGCTCGCAATGATCGGACTTGAACTCCGGCACTCGTCATCTGTCAAGTCTTCGCCTTCAAGCCTGACTGTGATGAAGTCGGTCACGAGCTCCAGAGCCCCTGGTATGGGTTCCGATGGCGTTGGAGAATTGCAGTTTGCGTCCTGAAGAGGCTCCAGGCCATTGGCGGCGGCCGTTCCGGGAGTGGGCGGGGCGGCTTGATCCTCCGCCGCAAGACTCTCAACTGGTTGAGAGTCTTTCATGTTGTAGATTGAGTAGGACCTCGTGCTATCGACGCTGATTTCCAGAGATGAGGATCTAAGATTGAGCGTGGAGGTGAAGTAATGTAAGGGATCTTGGTGTGAAAGTCGTGCAGACGAATCGAGCGTGGGAGTACTAGGAGCTTAATGTCATAGTTCAAAGAGTTCGATCATTTCCTCTCTTAAAGCTAAACCGCTCAGACAACATCAGTTCGGCCCCGCTGGCGACAGTTGAAGCATAGTGTAGACGTAGAATCGGTTCGACGTTCGCCTAAGCCTGATTCTGTGGTAGCTACCTGTAGTACGAGTAGGTACCGCACACTTGAAGACCAGAGTGAGGATAACCTGCAGTAAGCTCCGCGAATAACATTTCGCCCACCAATTTGCCTCTTTGCCAAATCTGCAGGAACGTTAGATTAATAAAACCCTACCAGAGATTGTCTAATGGATTTGGTACGTGTTGGGGTCGCGTCCCGCTCCGACGAGGTTAGTCTTAGCTTCTCCGTGACCGAGAAGCTCAGTGCAACTGGTCAGCCGTTATGAGTATGAGTATATACCTTTTACTCTCGATCATATATCAGAGAGATAATACCTGAAGCGTTCCGGAGCGTCGGAGCGGGGATATGCAACGAGTTTCACTGAGAAGATTTCGGCGCAGTGTTAGCTTTCCGCCATGAATATTAGAAATTAGAGCGGCCTTGCTCTGTGAGCTCTGCAGGTAGGAAGTGAGTGAGGTGAGGTTAGCTGGCGCTGCCTCACGACCGAGACAGGAGTCACGCATAAGGCTGCAGCACTCCGCCCTGACTCAACTTTCAGGCGCCCATGACGCTGAGAGTCACGGATGTTCGCAATATCAAACAATCGATAGAACACCATCCACATTGGAATGCACTGTTCCAAATGGCCCAAAAGGTGGATAAGTTGTTAGAGCGGCCGCTATACGGTAACCTGGAACCCCCTCCCGCCCCACCGCTGTTTCTGCTAACTAGCATCCGCAGTCTTTGACCTACCGGAAGAGATTCTGGTGACTCTTACCCTCAAGGACCAACCGGCTCGAACAACCGCAGAGGATGACAACAATGCCGTTTCTCGTCCGGAAGCAGACGGCGCACGAACAGAGACTCAGGAGGGAGCTCCGGCGGCAGCTACTTCGTGCGCATTGTGCGGCCTAGCTTTCTCGAGTCTAAAGGAGCAGCGCAGTCACATTCGATCGGACCTTCACGGCTACAACCTAAAGCAAAAGATCAAGGGCCTGAAGCCCGTAAATGAGGCAGACTTCGAGAGGCTCATCGGCGAGTTGGATGAGAGCATATCTGGTTCGGATACATCAGATTCAGATACGGACGAGGACGAAGATGCGGCCAACGGAAGCCGGCCGAGGGAAACGACGCTCAGCGCACTGCTCAAGAAGCAAGCAAAGATTGCCGATCCTGCTGGAGACGACTTCATGCCTAAGAAGCGGAAGCGCGGTGCCGGAAAGCCTCCGTTGCTGTGGTTTTCAAGTTCAGCACTGCCGCAGGACACATCTCTCGGCGTATACCGCGCTATCTTCACAGATGCAGAGCAGCAGGAGGAGACTCGGATAGTGGATGTCGTACGCAGCAAGCAACTACCACCAACCCCGCCGCCTAAGTCAGGCGCCCTTGAAAGTGGCGGTGTTCGTCTGCCATCTACAGACATTGGGCCTCACTACTTCCTATGCATGATTGGAGGCGGCCACTTTGCCGCGATGATCGTTGGTCTCGCGCCCAAAACTGGAAAGAAGCACACTGGCGTCGATGAACGCTCAGCTACCGTCATTGCCCACAAGACTTTCCACAGATACACCACCCGGCGGAAGCAAGGCGGTTCTCAGTCCGCAAACGACTCTGCCAAGGGCGCCGCCCATTCCGCCGGCTCCTCGTTACGTCGCTATAACGAAGCCGCATTGACGAACGAAGTCCGGGATCTCCTGACCGAATGGAAGGATGTGATCGACACCGCCGAACTCATCTTCGTCCGCGCTACAGGCAGCGCAAACCGTCGTACTCTCTTCGGTCCCTACGAAGGTCAAGTTCTCCGTCACAATGACCCACGAAATCGCGGCTTTCCGTTCAGCACCCGGCGCGCGACGCAGGCGGAGCTTATGCGCTCCTTTGTCGAGCTTACCCGCGTTAAAGTCAGCAAAGTTGATGAAGCTGCGCTCGCAGCCGCAGCCGAAGCCGAAGCGCAAGCACAAGCACAGAAAGCAGCAACGCCGCCTCGACCCGCCACACCCTCAAAGCCGCCTAAGCCTTCAAAGGAAGATGAAGAAGCCGCGCTACACACTAACCAAATCCAGTCTCTGATCCGTCGGTCTAAAGCACCCGCCCTCCTCTCCTACCTCTCTACCAATAACGTCTCCCCGAACTTCCTCTTCCACCCGCTCGAATCGCAACAGAACCATCACGCACCCACACCGCTCCACCTCGCCGCCTCGCTCAACAGCTCCGCCGTAGTGCTGGCGCTGCTGACAAAAGGCGGCGCAGACCCCACCGTCAAGAACGAGGACGACAAGACCCCCTTCGACCTCGCCGGCGACCGCACCACCCGCGATGCCTTCCGCGTCGCGCGCCAGGAACTCGGTGAGGAGCGCTGGAACTGGGACGCCGCGAATGTTCCATCACCAATCTCCAAAGCTGATGCCGAAGTCCGCGACAAGCGCGACAAAAGCGAAGCCGATGCAGCGGAGGCGGAGCGACGGCGCGTTGAGACGGAGCGCTTGAGGAAGGAGACAGAGGACGCGGAGAAGGATAAGAGGGAGAAGAGGTTCGGGAAGGGAAGGGTCGTACCTGAGAAGACGGGGGCGGAGAAGAGGGAGGAGGAGGCGAGGGGGATGACGCCGGAGATGAGGGCGCGGTTGGAAAGGGAGAGGAGGGCTAGGGCGGCGGAGGAGAGGATGAGGAGATTGCAGGGGCGGTGAGCGCCTTATATCTCTCCAACTTCCAGTTGGTAAGGACTAGCAGGGGATAGCAAAATTAGATCAAACCTGGTAGTTTTTCCAGAGAATTGAGAATTCATGGAACGCGCCTTGGGTACGCGAGTGCGACACGAAGTCACGCTTCTTCGCGTGCCCCCACAACCACCTGAAGCAACCCTCGGCTTGGAATGTGATGGAGCATCCTGCAACTCCCATCACAATTTCCGTCTAAGTTAGGAGCCGACAATATTTTCGCGGCTTTGAAATCTTCTCTGGGATGTTGCCCATGGTGGATAGTCATCTCCAGAATCCGATTGCTGAATGCATGGATTCGTTGCAGAAGCAGCAAATCGACAGCCATGTCTGCGGAGCCTAGTTGTATAAGGCTTGACTTAGCAACCGCTTCGACCTTGCCATTTGGCTCCTTTAGTGTATCCTACATCTCATTCAATATCTCTGTCATCCGTTCGATGTCGTTGTTTCTTTGTACTCTCACCTCATCGTCTTTCTAGGTAGACCTGTTGTGTAGCGGAACGTGACCTTTGAGGACAGCCCTATACACAGGTCAAATTACAATTGCTTGTAGAATTGCTGCAATCGTAGGCTATCTGCTGCTAGGTGCAGCAGCAGTGCAGACACCCAACAGGATTGTGCCTTTGGCGAACAACTGCCGGGTGAGGAACATGCCATCTTTGACGTGTCAAAGTCTGGGTCAATCAAGTGCAACATCTGTAGCAGATCACTGTCCGTCAGGTGCAGGCTTCCCTGCTAGGATGAGTTCCGAGTTCATGAGGAACAGGTGCTGACCGATCAGGTTTCATCCCGTTCGTTGTCTTCTCCATGACAGCTTCGCAGCCCATTCTCATTCACCGCCTCGACATGCGCTCATAACTTGTTCCTTGGCCAAGCGGCCGATGTCACGAGTCCTCCATGCGTTATTATCTCAACTCAATACCTCCACCACCTCCACTACTTCAGTTCCTCGACAAAGCATGATCAACGACCTCTTTCTTCACCTTTATCATTGATCCAGCTGATGCGACTTGAGATCGCGACCATCAACCCTCCATACATCTTTCTGCACGAGCATTGCTCTGGGTCGTTCTACTCTGAAGCGACATAATCACTATTCCGGCAATCGCCATTCACTTCTTCATGGCTTGACCTCAATCAACATCACGCTCGAATCTCAGTTCTCTAGGGAGCCGTTCTGGACCGTGTCTTCTGCACTTGACCGGTAGGGCGGTACCTTCTTTTCGTACAACCGTTGGGTGGTGTACAGCAACGCTTCACGCAGGAACGGCGCCGCTTTCACTTCGCTCTGTATCAGTTGATCATCACGACTGGAGGAAGTACAGAGGCAATATCCGCTGTGATTCGTCAGGGTAAGACAGTCAAAGGTCTAGGTAAGCACAAGAGTCTGTGAGCTGTCTTGAGACCAGGGAGGACTTCCTTTGCTGCATAATACCCCTGCCGCGGTGTTCGGCGTATCGCAGGATGTACCCCGTCCCTCCGCAGATGGCATTGTCCAGCTCACTCAATGGACAAGGCCAAGCAAGAATGAACGGAGGCCCCAAGGCCCATCTGTCACCAAGCGCCACTGGGGGCCGAACGGCTAGCCCGAGTGCATTCGCGAAGCGCTTGAGGCAAATGCGGCAGAAAATACGCGATCGACAATCTCACAACGCTGGCAAGCACGATGTTCACACCAATGATGTGGAAATCTTCTCGAATCATGTTCAGTCGAACCACCAAGCTGTTCTGAGAAATAAGGGCATCCAGATTGGAGGGCTCGCGCGGGTCAACGGCCAAGAAGACGCGCGCCCCGACGCCATGCTTCACCGACTGCCCGTTTCTCAAGACTCAGGAAGGTTGAGTGTCAATGACACTGCTGAATTCATTATTCCCAGATCCGTACCTGCAGAAGCTCGCCTTAGTTTTAGATCTTGCCTCCACGACCGTGCTCAAGAGACCCGGCCAGCGCCTGATGACAGAAGCATGGACTCCCTATCCAGCTCCCTCTATCTCTCCAACAAGGCCCACGCAACGCATTCGGCTGTCAAACGGACTTCTTCAAAAGCCAATCTGACAGCAACTCAGCCTCATCGCAAGCGGGTTCAGGGCTTCGAGTCGTCATTACATCCGAAGTCGAATAACTCTTCCACCACCAAAAGCGCGTCGATCATCGACCTCACCTACAGCGACGACGAGGTTCCGATGCAGAGAACCTCGGCACCTCGAAACGATGCCCGTACAAGCCAGGTTAAAGATGGCGCACTCAAGTTAGGACAGGCGGCGCGGGCGTACAAGCCTACTGGTGCTGCGAACGCACTATTGGCAGCGGACCGCGGAAGCATTCAGAAAGGATATGAAGGAAGCGACAGTGGAGAGATCTTCACAGGAGGGAACGAAACGGAACAAGACGCTTCATCGATCGCGAATACCCTCCAACGTGAGAGCGCAAGGGAGACGATTGATGCCGAGCGTCCCGTCACGAACGAGTCAGCCAAGTACGAAGCGGACGACGAATGGATGTCAGATGTCTGGTGGCAATCTCCACTCGAGACCTCCCAGCATCGACGTAAGAGCAATGGCAGGGATGGAGCTCCTCGCTACGTTCCCAGTAAAATCGGCCAAAAAGACGATCATCAGGAGCAGGCACTGCAGATTTCAGACAAGCGCCGCGTAATGTGCGCGTTGGATCCGACAGATGCGACAGATACCGGTGAGCGACGCCAGCAAAAGAACAGCGAGGCAGGTGTTAAGGGAAGTCATGCCAGACTTCGAACGGAGTCGAGCAACGATTACAATAACCATGCGGTAGGCACAGATCAAGGAACCGGATCGAATCAAATACCCGCTGGAATTCTTGAGACTCAAGACTGCAAGCCGGTGGTCAATCCCTTCTACGAGTCCGACTCAGATGATGGTGCGACGACCAGGCCCAATGCCCGCGATCGAGGCGGTCTCACATTCATCCACACTCCGCAACGCCCAAGGATGGATTTTGGAAGCGCAGTTCCCACAAGCCAAGATTACGAGGCTAGACTGAAGGATTTACAGCCGAAAGTTTGCCCGCCAGAAGGTGACCTGTTCGTTTCCAGGAGCCAGGGCCTCAACCAAGAGCCACTTCATGACTGGCTACAGCAGCCAGATCCCATGGTGGTGGAGACCTCATTCACTTCAAGTACAAGCTCAGGAAGCGCACTGGGTTTTGAGACTCCTCCGTCATCCATCACATCTGACGCTAGTTTTGCAGCGCATGCGGATGCAAAGCCCGCCGATGCGGTCGCCGTCACTTCAACAACATCCGGGGTGCGGACTCCGACAGGCCAGCCAAGAAGCGAAGCCACTGATTCTAAGCCGCCCGCCGAGACGCCACAAGGTAGCCCAAAGGGCAGGGGACTCCCCTTGGACAAGTCGCAGAGAGACAAGATCAAAATGATGATGGATAAAGGACGGGTAAGAAACAGAGCTCTGACGACAACAAAGCAGCCAGCGCAAAAGACTCAGACTTGGGCACGACCTTCCCATGGCCTGCTTGAGAAGCTTATGCAGGGGAAGCGCCCTGGACAACCCGAGGGCACTCACTCCAAGGCTCCGATCCATATCGAGATCCCTGACGACCCAGAAGAGGAGGAAGACGATGACGATGACGATGATTACGACACAGCTAGCGAGGGCCTGCCTGCAATCGACGTGAAGAAATCCATAGCAGCTGGCAAGGACGTACTTGAAGCTAAGGTGAAAGTCTTGAAAGAGCGCCATCCGGGAAGTAAGAACAGCAGCGGCGCAGCAAACACGACATCAACCGAACCATCTGCGTTTTCCAGGGCTATGGCTGTGCTCGGGTCTCCCGAACCACTTGGACGTCCGCAACATGAAGGTGGTCCCGCCGCTGAGAAAGCCGACAGCAAGTTCGTGCCCCTCAAAAGACCTTCCACCAAAGCTACTTTCGAAGTCCACAGTGGCGCTCGAGCGGCAGCTAGAGACGTAGACGTAGCGACGCGCGGGCCGGTTCTTGTTACAACCATTATTGATGGTAGCGTTCCAAAAGCCGACACGGCGCCCACGAGCGCCCAGTTCAAGCCGTCCGAAGTTGGCTTCGACACAGAGTTGCAAGACCATGATCTGGAAGAACACGATGCGATCCGCAGAAAGAAGGAGCATGAAGCCGAGCTGGCGGCAAAGACCGCTGCAGAAAAGGCTGAAGCCGCGAGAAGGGCAAAGCCGGAAGAAAATCGCAGCATGCAGGGTACTCTCAAGGCTCAGATCCAACAGGCTTTGAAACGGGCGGAGGAGAAGCGGCAGCAGGAAGAAGCAAAGAGAGAGGCAGATGAGGAAAAGAAGAGAGCAGATGAGGAGAGGAGGAAGCGTGAGGAAGCACGGAAGAAGGCGGATGATGAAGAGAAGAGAATCAAGAGGGAAGCTGAAGAGGTAGCACGGAAGCGTGCTGAGGATGAAAGAGCCGCCGTTGAGAGGGAGAAGCGTAAAGACGCTGAGGCAGCGGCGAAGAACAGTGAGCTTGCCGCCAAGCTTCGCCTCGTTGCGCAGCGGAATGCCGAACGACGTGCGGCTGAGACCATCCAAATCAATGCCAACAAGCCAGAATGTTTATATGCTCCAGCTGACAAACAGAACACCGACTCGAAGACTGTCAGTACGCAGTCTCCCATTACTGCAGGAGTCCAAGCAGCCGCTGGCGCAGTTTCACCTCCTTTTAGCCTCCACGCAAAGTGTGACAGCAGAGCGCCGAGCAACCTCCCAGATTTCCGTAAGAAGGCTCCGGCCGTCGAACGAGCACTGGACAGCGGGCCCTCGCAAAGCGTAACAATTTCCTCCGAGATCAGGGAACCCCCTACGGCGGCTCAGTTAAGGCGCAAGGTAAGTCGTATCCGATCCCCCCAACAGGATGCAGAAGGCTAACATCTCGACCACTTAGCCAAAGCCGTTGCTCACTCCGAAGCAGAGGCAGCAGTTGGAAGAAGGTAAAGCAAGAGCGATAGAGGTCGCGAAGAGATTGGGGCCAGCTAACGGTTCACAAGAGCGAGGTAAAGTCGGAGCGGCACAGAACACTCAAGAGACGCCGAAAAGGAAGCATAGGAAAAAGGAAGAGGTGGCTGCGATCGAGCAGGTAAGTCGGCCCAGTACACCACTAGCACAAGACAATGTAGGAGCACAAGAAGAGGAAGAAGAGCCCCAAGCACACCCCCAGAAGACACTCTCACAGGAAGATCTCTGGGTTATTCATCATCGCGATAGTGGAAAGAAGTGGAAAGAAATCCTAGCACTATGGATCGAGAATGGCGGAAGAAATCTGACCCAAAATGCGCTGCAGATGAGATATCGGCGGGCCAGAGATGTTCCCGGAGAGCCACATGCGCCACGACAAGGACCTGGTCGGCGTACAGAGACCTTGGCGGATATCGCACGATTGTGGAAGCTACCTGCGACAGAGAGGGCGACAGTCGCTGCCTCCACAGCAGGGCCGGAAACAATCAGCAATGGTGCGGCCAGCCGCTGGGACGCTTTCGATCCCGGATCTGACCTTCATGGCTCTGCCGGGCTACCGAATAATCCGAACCCTAATAGCAACAGGCACAGACCAGGCACCAGCACGGTCTCGGAACAACTCGACGATCTCACTCTGAACCCACGAACCAGCTCCGTAGCAGACCCGACCTCACAGAATCACGGCACGGTGCCATGGGCCTTTCCGGCAAACCGTCCAACAACTGGGGGCAAATCTTACAACGTGGAGGCGTTCAAGGCCTACCTAGCTAGCCTTGATGCGGACGAATCCGATTGTGGCCAGGCTGATAGGGAGCCATCCCCCGTCACCGAGGAAGACGCATACCATTATCGCTATCACGTCAAGCGAAAGACCTGGGCCGAGGACGAGGACGAAGATGACGCCGAGTGGTTCGTGGTTGACGGCGAGACGTCTTACAGCACCCTTGCGGACGCCGAGATAGCGGCTGGCCGCGAAGCTTGCCGGCATCGCCAAGGCATTGGTCTGCGAGACGTGCGTAGCTGGTCGTTCGAGCTTGACGAAAACGATCTACCCCAGTACCTCGGGAGCTGTAGAGACGGACACTTCAGGATCATGGTTGACCGAATTTTGTGCAATGCCAGCTCTGGTCAGCTGCCAGAATCCAAGGTGGGCTGGATATCCAAGAGAGGGTGGGAGATCATGCGTCAAACCACGACCAAGACTGTGACGAAAGCCGAGGACGACCTCTTCGATGAACAGGAGGAGCAAGAGACGACTGAAGTCGAGGTCGTGGACGGGATATATACGGTACTGGACGAGGCGAACAAAGTCGCGAGCAAAATAGTACTGGCGATGACGACCACCAATTCAAGGCGCATGGACGATCATCTGAAGAAGATTGAGGCTGAAAAAGTGATGCGGAAGCATCTGAAGATGCTAGAGGATACGGAAGAGGCGTTCTACGACAAGGTTGTGGTTAACGAGTCGGTGGTGGTGGAGATTTGGGTGGAGGGGCGTGAGATAAAGGGACCGCGGAATATATGACTAGCTTTCCTGAGGAGTGTATCATTAGCTGGTATTTCTGTAGAAAAGCAGCTCCGATCGGTGGCCTCTAAGCAACTGCCACAGTTCGTTCACTCGTGTCCACATCTGGGAAAGGTCCAGTCATCCGTAAACCTCATCTCAACTCTCGTTCTTGATTGTAAGCCAGGAATCGTCGGTGCTGTTTTGTTCAGGTTGCGTAACAAGGGTGCTAGTACATGGCCAGTTCTGAACGAGGAACAACTTCTTGAAGCTATATGAGAAATCATTAAACCCCTGAAGCTAATCATCATAGAGTTGCACCATCCATCCATCCTTCCAGTGCCGAGAATCTTCACGCATGTATATGTGCTCTCGTTTGAATAATCAGATTGGTGACCAGTAGCAGCTCGAAAAGACAGCAAACAAGGTCATCGTACACTGGCGCTGCTGACTGTCAACTTGTCTTGATGCCATTAATAGACGGTTTTGTATGGGGCAGTATCCTACCCTCCAGCAGTGTCATAATGCGTGAGGGCTTGGTCTCGGAAGGAAGATCTTGGCCAGTCGACCCGACTCTCACTCGTTGCACTACTGGAGGGACGGAATTCTGAGCATCTCAGGTATATACGAGTACATGCCCGACAACGTTCAGCGTGCCACGTGACGGTAGAGCTCCTACGCCCCCCCGGAACAACCACCTCCGCAGCCTCCACCACAACTTCACGCGCGCCGCGCTCCCTCCTTCCACAACGCACGAACAGCAGGTCCGCAGCAACCCCCTCCTAATCCGCTATACCACACGCTAAACACTAACACACACCTCTCACAGCACAGTCCCGTGACGAAAACCTCACCGAGCTACGCGAGCCCCTCGCGTCTCTCCTGCGCAAGTGATCCGACCAAAGTGCGGGTACTGCAAAAGAGGGCGCCAGGGGCGAAGACCGAGCCACGAACAGAGATCGTAGGAAGCAACTGTCTGCGCGTTCGTCGTCCCCGCTTCCCCTTCCCCCACAGCTCGAAACCGCAGCCGCCCGCTCCCATACGCGCGCCATGACGACACCTTCTTCGTCCTTGAAGCTCCCGCTTTCTGCTCCCTCTCACTGGCCCAGGACGTTTTTTTAGTCACTGGAGGGTGGGAGGATTAGGGAGTATTGGTGATGCTGGTGAGATAGTGAGAATGTAGTTTTCAATCGGAGTACCGCGCGGGAGGTGGGTGGTGTGGTTGGTTCTGTGCTGTTCGGGGTGGAGTGGGGGGCTGTTTCGTGTTTGGTCCGGTGATGAGACGCAGTGTCAAAAGCCAAAATTGTTAGGCAGCCCTGCCGTCTTCTGTTACAGGAAGGTTGGTATGTGGTTGTCGGTGAGAACCCAAGAGAGCTAATCTGAGGACCACGTTTCTGATTTATTGCAATTCTTCCGCACGTCTGTCATTGCTCAAGCAACGCGTCGTTCAGGATGATATTCTAGCACTTCGCGGACAGTACATAAGTCATGGTGTGAGCAGCTCATCCAAAATGTTGATTGTAGCTGGTTTTGGATATCTCTATCTGTAGCACGTGTACCAAAGCCGCCGGCGAATCCTCAGGATTGAGCGGATCCAGCTATTTTGGGCGGCTGCGCAAAGCATAACGTGCTAACACTGAAACGCCACGCCCTCTCTCTTGACCATGTTCTTCCCACCGCCTGCAAATCCCGTGCCCTCACTCCTCACCTCTACTAAGCCCGGCTTGATGCGATCCTTGTCCTTCTTGCTTTCCTTCTTCGATTTCGGACCAGTCAGATCCTCGCTGCAGACGTAGCACCTCAACACTCCGACTTCATGATCCGGATTGTGTGGATCTGGCTCTGAATGCGGCGTCATGAATTGCGTCGTGCAAGGCTTACAGAGGACGTGGCCGCAGGGGATGGCGAGCATAGCCTTGGTGGAATTTGTGAGCGCCTTGCTACAGGCCGGACAGCTGCGAACAGGATCGCCGCCGTTTGTTGCTTTCTCCTCTGTGAAGTGTATCGTGACGAGAGTCTTGAGGGCGTACGAGTGGGGCTGATCTTCCGCAGACGCCGGACAGATTGACTGAAGCTTCGCCGGTTTTGACTCCACGCCGTTCGCCGTCGCTGTCCCATCACTTCCCGGCGTCTGCGACGGCACCCAAAAGGATGGGAGATGCTTCTTCGAGTCCGCCTCCCTCTTCTCCTCGCTTAGCGCCCTCTTCACCCTGCCCGTCTCCTCCGCCGCAATTCTTAGTAGCTCCTCCTCGTCGATTTCAAACTTCCGCTTCGCGCCTCTCTTGCCGGCTTCCGCACCCTCCACCACCTCCTCAACAACCACTTTTCCCCTCTCCCGGCCCACGATCTCCCTTCCCTTGCCCAACTTGCTCCCCAACCCCATCTGCACCGCCTCAAACTCCCTCACAGCCCTTTCCCTCGCCCTCTCCTCCTCCCTCCCCTTCTCCTCCTCCTCTTCCCTCATTCTTGCCTCCCGCCCCTTCTCTATGCGCTTGATCTCCTTCCGCTGTGCCAGAAGGTTGCTAACAGCGCATTCGCGGCAAAAGACATCGCCATGTGTGCAGGCGACTGGGTCGCGCGAGGGGAGCAAGCATAGCTGACAAGAGCCGAAGGGGAGGAAGGAATCACGGGATAGGCGCGTCGAGCGCGTGCCCCAGGTGCCGCGCAGCTGGGAGCGCTCATGGGAGGTGAAGAAGGCGAGGGAGGTGTTGCGTTTGCCTTTTGGATTGGTTAGCTTCGCGTCATGCGGAGACTGCAATCAGCTCAACTACGTACTGTGCGACATGTTGGCGTTGCAAAGACAGGAAGCAGGTTGTGGGCAGAAATTAGATGCAGCTCTGAAACAAGCAAGCGGCTGTGCCAGTGACGTCCCACCGCGAATCGACCAGGTTTTGCGGCCAAATCTCCGCCAAAACCCCCGGCGCATCCTTAAAAACCATCTCTCCCCCGACGAACTCGATGCGCCAGCAATCGATGATAACGTTTAATGGAAGCTGAAGACTGTCCCGACGCCCCCAGCCTGCCATGGCGCGCAGGCTCGACGGTTGTTATGGGCGTCACGGGGCTGCTAAGCCGCGGGTTTCTTTTCGGCGCAAGCAGGACTGAGGTGCATGGGCTCGAGGGGTTCCTTAAGCTCTTGGATGCGCGGCAGGATGTGCAGAGCAGGGAACGGGGGCTGATTACAGGTAGGGGACTGTGGTGGAGCCTCGAGGGAAAGGATTGATGGTTGACGCGCCCATGGCAGTATCAAACCACACCAGTGTGTACGTACGTGCAGCCCTCATTCCGCTGTCACCTCCTCCAGCCTACATCGACATCTGACACCCCTCATCGCCCTACAGGATAGATGATCCGCTCATCTGGGGCGTCCTGCCCCTACGGTACTGCTTCAACCCGGACAACCTCCGCTGGAGTCTGGGCAGCTACGACATCTGCTTCAAGAACAAGTAAACCCTCCCCGTCCCCATCCTCCCCCCCTCGCTCTTCCACAGGAGCGCTAACACCACCTCCAGCGGCCACACCCTCCTCAGCACCTTCTTCTCCCTCGGCCAAGTCCTCCCCACGCACCGCACCGCCCACTCCCCCCACGGCGGCCTCTTCCAACCCACCATCACCCAAGCAATCCGTCTCCTCTCCCGCGGCCCCTTCCTCGGCCCCACAAATCCCGTCCCGCTGGGCACGACAAATGCAATCGCATCCCCCCTACCCCCACCTTTCTCTCTGCCGGACTCCGACCCCTTCAGCGGCCCGCACCTCACGTACACGACCAACACGGTAGATTGTTTCCCGGCGCCAGCCGCATTTGCGAACAGGCGCCATGCATGGCTGCATATCTTCCCGGAGGGGAAGGTGCATCAGAAGACGGACAAGACGATGCGGTATTTCAAGTGGGGCGTGTCGCGGCTGATTCTCGAATCCGAGCCCGCGCCCGAGATGGTGCCGATCTGGATCGAGGGGTTCGACACCGTGATGCATGAGAGTCGGACGTTTCCGCGGTTCGTGCCGCGCGTGGGGAAGACGATAAGCGTGTCCTTTGGCGAGGCGGTGGATATGGAGCGCCGGTTTGGGGATCTGAGGGAGCGGTGGAGGAGGTTGGTGAAGGAGGACAAGAGTGGGGGTGGCAGGGAGGTGGGGGTGTTGAGTGAGGAGCTGAAGCATGGGAAGGAGGCGGTGGAGTTGAGGATCGAGTGTATGAGACGTGTGAGGGAGGAGGTGTTGAGGGTTAGGAGAAGTAGGGGGTTGCCGGATGAGGACCCGAAGGTCGGGCTGGTGGAGACGTGGAGGGAGGAGGGGGCTAAGAGGGAGGGGAAGATGGAGGATGGGAGTTGGGTGAAAGACACGTGATCAAGGGGGGGTGGGTGGTGTCACTGTTCTGCATTGCAAGCGAGGGGTAGTAGACGGTGTTGCTTTGATTGGGATGTTTGCCTTCGATGTAACAGTTAATATAGAGTATGTTTGATGAGATGTTTCTAGCAAGGAGAAGTGCGAGCGTGCGAGTGCTGTCGCAGTGTGTGGTGTTTTGAGTAGACACCACTACGATGTATAACCGGCGAATGGAAACGATGTAGAGGGAAAACGATGCAGAAAGGCTCCTCCACCTCCACCACAACCAGCCATCAGATTAGATCAAGTTATCAAGCCATCACCAATCGCTTCCCACGAGCGTTCCAGATGCGGGCCCTGCAGAGAAGGAACCACCACGTATTTCAGTCAGGCTTCTAGCACTGCAGAGCCTCTGCATCAAACATCGCTGTGAGAATCCGCGACACCATAAAGGCTTCTTTGTCGCGGTTGCGGTCTTCGGAGGTGCTCTTATCATCATCTGGCTCTGTTCCTTGATGATGAGGGAGGTAATGGAAATGGGGGTTTGAGGAAGGTAGCCTGATTTGAGGCTAATTATGTGAAGAACGCACGGAAAGGGAAGCTGAGATGGAAAGGAGACGGCACGGGAAGGAAACGTCGCCTGTGCGCGACGCGCCTCAGGCATGGCAGAGGGAAGCACCGGGAGTTGCCAGGCAGATGACGTGGCCATTAAAGCGACTTGCGCCGAACAGTGGCAACACGAAAGAGCATTCCAAAGGAAACGTGAAGGCGAAGATGGTCATGGTCTTCTGAAGGAGTGGTGGATGGCCGTGCGATTAAGCTTTCACACAAGCTGCTTTTTTGAAAGGCGGCTGATGTTGTGACTATTTGCGGGCTAGGCAGGGGGGCGTGCAGGCGCAGCGAGGAGCATAAAAATGCAGCTCCCCCGAGAACAAAAGCCCCGCACGGCCAGCTCCCAGACCCACTCGACACCGCCAAGCGCCTCAAAACACGCCAAGCACCCACGTCAGAGAGCTATCGATAAAGCTATTCACTTTTCCCAGCTTTATTTGTTTCCACTCGAATTTCCACGCGCCCTTGCGTTGCTGGCTGCGGGCTTCGGCCTCCCATCAGACAGCCCGCTTCAACTAGCTCCACACCTTATACGTCATACTTGGGCCCGTACCATGGAATCGCCCGGCCCGTCGTGGGCGCCGCAGTCTCCAGACCTCTCGGGCTACCACTTCCAAGACTCCGACCCCTTGCCAGCCTTACCGGCACAGCACCAGACCTACCGCGGCTCCATATCGCACACAATACCCTACACGCCCACCGACGCCTACACACCTCCCAAGAACGCCTACTTCGCGCCGCGGTCGAACGGCAAGACAGTCACCCGCAAGGAGTCGACCATGGAAGAGGAGGACGCCGACTGGACGCCAGAGAAAGCGGCTGTGCCAGTGAGGGCGGCGAAACCACGCGCAACTAAGAAGGCCAAGATCGAGGCTAGTCCGGAGCTACCTGATAAGGCGCCGCCGGCGGCCGCTGCCGAGATCGAGATCGAGATCAAGACCAAGTTCCCGGTCGCGCGCATAAAGCGCATCATGCAGGCGGACGAGGAGGTTGGGAAGGTTGCGCAGGTGACGCCGCATGTTGTTTGTAAGTCCACTCTTTCCTGATCCCTAGTGATTGGTAACCGTACCGCTGGGCTTGGAGCAGAACACTAGCTGACGATTCTCTGTGCAGCAAAAGCACTAGAGCTTTTCATGATCGCCATGGTCTCCAGGGCCGCGGGCGAGGCGAAGTCGCGCGGCTCGAAGCGCATCACGCTGCCGCACCTTAAGCAGACGGTCGTGAAGGAACAGCAGTACGATTTCCTGCTCGATACTGTCAGCAAGGTCGCTGATGCGCCGGCTGTGAATGAGAAGAGTGATCCAGACGATCCGGCGGAGGGGAAGAAGAAACGCGGCAGCGGCAGGAGGAAGCGGAAGGAGAGTGAGGATCTTTAGGTTCGCTTGTTCTTCGGAATTCGCTGCGGTTGAGCGATAGGGATCGGTTACCTTACGGCGTTTGGCGAATCGCGGAGTGTGCGTGTAGCTGCTAAGAGCCCGTAGACGGGGTTTCTTTCTTGGGTTCTTCGCAATGGCTGATGCTGGACATCTTATTCTGCTCAGAATCCACGAAATCTTTCACTTCCTTCTGCACCAGGTTGGCGCTGAATGACATTACAATACTTCCCGCCATTAAACAAACTTAGTTTGGTTACTCTTCAGCCTAATCATGGGGCGAATTCAAGGGAAAGTTTGGGAGTTGAGTGAGGCCCGAACGGCTTTTGCTGACTAAGCCGTCAGTTTGGTCTCAGACTTCGAGGCATGCCCGAGACATTAAGACATTCGCGCAGCTGAATGACTAAATTATCAATACGCGTAAAACGACTTTCGGACGCGTCGCTCTACCCCTGCTTCGTACTCCTCCTGTCTAAGGGACGTACTGGCCGCGAACTCCAAGCTCCAGTATACTGAAGCTTGAGCTATCCACAGCTCGACCATATCTTTCACAGCAGACATCCCCCAACATGTCCAAAGCCACCCTCGCCATAATCGCCGCCGTCAGCGCCGCTACGGGAGCCGCAGCGACGGCAGCACTCTACTCCTCGCGCAAAGAAACCACGCCAACACCCTCAGCATCCCCTACCTCGACCACCCCAACCGCTCCGCGCACCCCAAGCCCAAGCCCAATAATACCATCCGCACCTCTTCCATCCACGCCTACTCGAACCCCCCTCACTCACCCCGTCGACCCCTCCGGCCTCTTCCAATACGGCTTCCCCGGCCCAACCGCCGACCTCCGCACCCACCCTTCCCTAACCCTCTCCTACGACCGCCGAACCCGGAACCCGCACTGGGTCGCCGAGCACATCACTCCTGCGTCCCTCGCCGCCTCCAACGCGGACAGGAAGCACAGCGTCTTCGTCGAAGACACCAGCATCCCCGAGCCCTTCCGGGCGAAGCTAAAAGACTATTTCCGGTCGGGCTACGACAGGGGCCACCAAGTGCCCGCCGCGGACGCAAAATGGAGCCAGGAGGCCATGGACAGCACGTTTGTGCTCAGCAACATGTGTCCGCAGGTCGGCGAGGGGTTTAATCGAGACTACTGGGCGCATCTGGAGGATTTCTGCCGTCGCTTGACGCATCGGTACCCGAGCGTGCGCATCGTGACAGGCCCGCTCTACCTCCCCAAGCGCGACGCTGACGGAAAATGGAGGGTGTCATACGAGGTGGTGGGCTCCCCGCCAAACGTCAGCGTGCCGACGCATTTCTACAAGGTCGTGTTTGGGGAGGATGGGCGGACGGGTGGGGAGGTGGCGGTTGGGGCGTTCGTGCTGCCGAACGCGCATATTGACAACTCGAAGCCGCTGGCCGAGTTTGAGGTCCCGGTTGAGGCGGTCGAGAGGGCGAGTGGGCTCGAGTTTGCGAAGCTGTTGCCTGCGCAGCGGAGGAAGAGATTGTGTAGGGAAGTGGATTGCTCGATTTTGGTGAAGGAGTATGGGGATCGGCAGAAGAGCTTTGGCAGGGGGCAGGGTGGACAGGGTGGAAGGGGGCTGCCGTCGCCGTAGTAGGGATTGATCAGCGGGAACTTGAGGTTGCAGTGTAGAGCGTGATTTATGGTACCTCATTCGTGGGGCGCATAGTGTAGCGGCGGGTCATAACATAGCGTGGAGTCTTTTCCGGCGCTTCGGATGTTTTCACCTTTGTAGTTCAGCGTCTGATCTGCTCAGTATGTGTAGTATTAGATTGATTCTTATAGAACAGTCTTTCAATTCCGTCGGAGCTGAGACTTAAGACTGCAACGGTCCCACCCCGTTAGGTTGGCCGCCTATAATACACAGATTTCCGCCCTCTATTCCATGCGCGATTCTAGCCTGCCGTCCCAAGTGCCGTACAGTTCCCATGCAATACAATCCACCTCAGCCGCCCGAGTCTTCTCTCCCCACTATCTGCAACCCCCTTCCGTATTCCCAATCGCCCCTCCTTCCCTAGTCATATTCCAAAAGTCTAGAAATTCCCACCCAACCCCCCTTGCCCCGCCTCCCGCTGTATGCGCGCAACATACTGCCGACTAACGGTATTCCACGCGGCCATGTACTTCTCCATACACGCCGAGAAGCACGTCTCCTCGGCGCGCGAGAGCGAGGAGCCCGGTTTCGGGATGCAGGCTGTGAAGCAGTGCTCGTTAAGTTTCTGCCATATCAGACGTTAGTCAAGGGAAGCCTTTGGGGGCGAGATCTTGGGATGAGAATGAGGTTGGGGGGATGGGGGAGTGACGGCACCTCGACGAGCTGCCGCGCGTTCTGCACGGCGGCTTCTTGCCGGATCTGCTGCATCACGGCGGTCTTGGGGTCGGAGGAGGCGTAGGCGGAGAGGTTGGACGTGCTTAGGGAATCCATGGCTGCGCAAGGTTTTGGCGGGGAAGGTCTCGTGTTGTTCGGGGTTTGTTGGTGGGAGAGGATTCTTGTTGGAGGGAGGTGTAATGGAAGCTGGCAATGTCAATGATGGTGATGTTTGGAGCTTGCGGCCAAAAAGTTCGCGATGCGGTCGACGATCCGGGATCCCTGCAGCCTGAGGTTTGGAAGGACCGCCGAGCCGAAGTTGACAGCTTCACTCCCAATTTCAAACATCACTGATACAGGGCACACGACCACTGTCTTCTGAGCGTCTGAGGAGCAACTTTTTCCTTTTAGCCGCTCAATTGGTTTTTTCAATTATCCTATCAGCCTGGGCCGTTCTGCCAGGCAACCTACCTTTCGACAGCCATGCTGCTCGCGCGGCCATGGGCAGCCGTCTCGCTGCTGGCGACAGCTGCCCTAGGATGGGTGAATACAGCCTCGGCGCAAGACGATGGTGAGATCAAGAGTATACCGGTACACTCTCCTCATCCCATATCACAGTATAGCGGCTAACATGTCCCCAGCTACGCACACACAGTCTACAACCGGTCAGTTCCCGCCTCAGCCCCTAAGCCCCGATGCGCCTACATCCACCCCCATAGTGACCAGTACCGGTCTCCCGAATACTTGTCCTGACCGTCGGCGTGAGACAGCCCTACCTCGACTCGGACATGCAATCCCGCTGGTTCGACTTCGGCGGCGACACCATCGTCCGCACCGACAAGTACATCCGGCTGACCGCCGACCGGGCCTCACGCGCTGGATGGCTCTTCTCACGCGTGCCCCTAACAGCCACAAACTGGGAGGTATATACCCACGCCCAAAAACTGCACCGTATAATCCACGGGGTAGACCGCTCACCACACTTCCAGATCGAAGTCGAGTTCAAGATCCACGGGCAGGGGAACCTGTACGGGGACGGGATGGCGATGTGGCTGACGAAGCAGCGCGGGCAGGGCGGGCAGGTGTTTGGGAGCACGGACATGTTTGAGGGCTTGGGGATTTTTTTCGACACGTATAAGAATAATCGGCCGGGGGTTGTGTTTCCATACGTCATGGCTATGTTGGGGGACGGGAAGACGCCGTACGACAAGGCGAACGATGGGAAGGCGAATGAGTTGGCTGGATGTTCGGTATGTTCGCTATCGTCCCTTGTTGTGCCCTTCTCTACCCTTTCCCCCCTTTCCCTCCCTCGACCGCTATCTCCTAACCTGACCACGAACAAACCCACTGTGAAGAATACTCAAGATTGACACCCCCACCAGGCCCGCGGCATCCGCAACCAGCACACCCACCCCACAAAAGCCCGTCTAACCTACTTCGCCGAAAAGTCCCTCTCCCTCGAACTGCAATACAAGTCCGAGTCGACCTGGACGCCGTGCTTTGACATCCCCTCCGTCAAGATCCCCTCAGTCGCCTACCTCGGCTTTTCCGCCGAGACGGGCGAGCTGAGCGACAACCACGACATCGTTTCCGTGCAGACGAAAAACCTGTACTCGGCCGGCGGGACGGCGGAGAAGAGCAAGCCGCTGAGCGGGAGCGGGGGCGCGGGGACGGCCAAGTTCCCGACTGCGGGCACGGGCATGAAGGGCAGGAGTGGTGGCGGCGGGTGGGGGTGGTTTTTCCTCAAGTTTATACTTTTTGGGGTCGTGGTTGCGGGGGCGTATGCGGGGTTTACGATGTACAGGACGAACAGGAGGCGGGACAGGTTCTAGAGGAGTTGTTTGAGGAGAGTAAGAGCTTTGTAGCTGTCGCGCCTTTAAAACATCTGCATAACTATACGGAATGTCTGTTCTGTACTTTCTCGGCTTCTATACCCTCAGTTCACGTAATCGCCACATCCGCGTTACTCGCATCCCCTCTCTCCAGCGAGTCTAGTCCTCTGGTTCGAGGTGGTTTCTGCGGACCGAACCACACAGACATTCCGAGCCGCTGACCCTAGACAAAGATCGATCCTGGCCAAACAGGCGACTCGGCCTAGGCGATAATCAGCTCAGCCCTCTCCCTCGCCGGCAGCAGCCCTGTCAGCCTCGTCCTCCGAGTCCGCCTCAAAATTGTCGGGATGCTTGGCAGCATCCCTCCCCTTTTTCGCGTTCGAGAGCGGTTTCCTGGCCTCCGGGATGCCGCCCGAGGTGACCCACAGGAAGTAGGGCTCCCTATAGCTGTCGATGTGTGCGAAGAAGGCGTGGAAGCTATCACACGCGTGTCTTAGTCAGCCAAAACTCTACCGTGCGGCCGCCTCACCCCTCTCCGAGCAAGAAAGGAGGACTTACGTGTTATCCCTCTCCTCCTCGCCAAAAATCCTCTCATAAATCTCCCGCTGCTTAAACTCCTCCATCTCCTTCTCATAGGGTTCAAAAGTGATCTTGGCTTTCCCAAACTTCTCCGCCGCCCGCGCGTTGTAGCTCTCAAACACCGGCCGTTCCAGCAACAAGCCCAACCCGGGCACTTTCGGCACACTCACCGTCTCGCTTCCAAACGTCTCCCCAATCCGCTCGATCGCCGTCCCGCACCGCACCACCAGCGCCGCCATCCCGACCATCTTCCGAATCTGGTGCATCATGAAGCTCTGGCCGTGCACCTTGAGGGACAGCCACTCGGTGTCGCCGATAATGATGGGGGTGTCAGACACACGGAAGGATTTGATGAGCCGTTTGGCGGAAGGGTCGCGAAAGGACTTTTGGATCGTGTAGTTGTGGTAGGAGTGGGTTCCTTCGTACGCCTTGAGGGCTGCCCTGATGCGGTCGAGCCGAGCCGCGGGAATGCGGTACGAGCGTTTCGCGGCGAGGTAGGCGGTTTTGAGGCGCTTGACTGCGGCATCGAGGGCCTTTCTCTGGGAGGGGGAGGGGGCTGTGCCGGAGCCAGTGGTGGTGGGCGCGTCGGCGGTGGTGGTTGTTGTTGAGGATAGGGTCGCTACTGATGAGGAGAGGGATGGGACGGAGTCGTCTGCAGGTTGGATCTCGTCTTCGAAGCGGGGTTTGGCCGGCTGAGAGGGTGCTTGGATGATGATGGCGGCTTCTTCGGTCTTCTCTGGGTCTGCACTCTCTTTGCTTTCCATGTTGTCCGGGTCGACCACCTTGACTGGCTGCCCGATGTCCGCAGCTGCCTCAGCAACCGCCCCTGTCCCGCCGTCCTCGAAGCCCTCAGGATCCGCGTCACTATCGTATAAGGCCTTCAGAACCAGTTCCTTGATCTCCGCATCCAGCTCTTCCAGAATCGGCGCGATATACCTCTCCTCCGTCTCCGCCCAAAAGTCCTTGACCTCCTCCTGCCGTGCCTGATACCCCTCCAAATCCCCGCACTCCTCGGCAACCTGCACCAGCTTCTTCCCGAGAAAGCTGCTTGGATGCGGCGGCAAGAAGCAGTGCGTCGGAATCAGATACTCGTACCACCTGCTATCGCACGCCTGGTAGCAGCTGAAGCTCCCAATCGTCCGCTCGATGCCCCAGACCCTGATCTGCGGCGACAGGTGGCTGTTGATCTTCTGGACGACGTCCTCGTCCTCGACAATCAGCTTGAGCGAGATGACGTTGCCGGCGGCGTGGACGCCTTTGTCGGTGCGGGCGCAGCGGACGAGGGCGCTCTTCTTGGGGTCGTCGGCGTTGGCTTTGGAGATGGCGCCTGCGGCGACGAAGGCGGTGAAGAGGTCGCCTTCGATGGTCTTTTCGGTCGTGTTGCTGGGGGCTGTCAGCTGTGCGATCTGGCCTGGATGTGAAGAGAGCTGAGTCACATCTGCATCCCCTTATACCCGCTCCCGGAATACCCAATCATGACCGCAACCTTCCTCTTCGGCCTCCGATCCTCTGCGGCAATCTCCTCCTTGGAGAAAGCCGCTGGCAAGACTGACGCTTTGCCTTCCCCTGCCGCTCCATCCTCGCCCTCGCCCTCTCCCTCAGTCTTCCGCCGCTTGTTCTGCTCGGCCTCATTGCGGCCCCGTCGATCTAGCTGTTGCGCACTGCCAGAGTCAGTGCGCGCGCGAGGCAGAGTGCGTTCAGCGATTCTGGGGGGGCGGCCGGGGAAGCTACAAGTATTCTCCACGGCCCAGATCCTTCTTCTTATTTCGGCTGCCGTGCTGGAACTTTGTTCGTTCCCAGGCTCGCTTCTGGCTGCCGCGTTTGCGCTTGTTGGGGCGGTCGGGGGAGTCGTTGACGTCGTCGTGGTCGCTGTCGTTGCGCTTTCGACTTGTTGGTGGAGGAGATGAATGGAGTTGCGATAGGGAACTGGTGGTAGTGGAAAGTGCCATTGGCTTGTCGGACGCGGACGCAGACGCCTGGGCGACGGAGGATGCGCGTTCGCTGACCTGATCCATTGGGCAGGTCGAGCGAGCATCTGGTGGTATGTCGAGCTGGTGATAGGGAGCTTCGTGGTGTTGAGTTTCTCACCTTTGTGCCGAAGAGCTGCCGGCGGCCTTCGTCATCCGCCGAAGCTCTCCATTGTCCTATTGTCCCACTGTCCTACTGTTTCTGCGGGTTCTCCTTCCTCGCGCGTCCCTCACTTCCAAAAGGCCTGACTGTACTTTAGTTTAGAACTTCGATAATTATTCTCGCAGTCCTCACCCCAGTCTCTCGTTGGAACAGCTGGTACTGTTTCGAGATATCAGCTTAGACCGCCGCTCATACCTTCGCGCATTCCATCACTTCCTCCAACGCAGCTACAGTCATGGAGCACGCCCGCCTCCTCATCCGCACCATCGTCCGCGCCTTCTACCAGACCGAGCACGTCGTCGTCATCGACGCGCTCGACATCCATAAAGCGTCCGTTTCCCCCCACCTCCGCAACCCTTTCCCCCAAAGACACCCCCACAGCTAACACCCCACAGCCTCACCCTCTCCGACCTCGCCCTCATAGTCGACAACACCAAAAACACCAAACCTCTCGGCCGCACTCTCGGTCTCCTCCGCACCGCCGGCCTCATATCCGTCTACGCACGCTCCGAGACCCGCCCCAACGCCCTCAAACCCACCACCCGCGAATACTTTTACATCGACTACCGGCGCGCCGTCGACAGCGTTAAGTTCCGGCTGTACCAGCTCGACCTCGCGATCAAAGCGCTCGCGAAGCCCGGTGGCGCCGAGAAGAAGGAGTTCTGGTGCCGGCGGTGCGGGGCCGAGTATTCCGCGCTGGAGGCGCATGATCTGATTGATTTTGAGACGGGATCGTTTCGCTGCGCGAGATGCCAGTTTGAGCTTGACGAGCGGGAGGAGGATGGCGGGGTTAAAGGGGGTGAAGACGACGCGGTGGCGGCGTTCAACAAGCAGGTTGCGGGCCTGCTCAAGATCCTGCAGCGCGTGGACGAGAGCGTCGTGCCTGTCGTGACCGGGGAGATGGCCGTCGCGAATATGGTACCCCTGCCCCGCGATGAGAGCCTCAACCCGACGGTCCAGATGGAGGTGTTTGACCCCGCGCGCGCGGTCAGGCCGACGGCGGTCAAGGGCATGGCGACGGGGCCGGAGAAGTTCGATCTGGCCATCACGACGGACGCGGAGATTACGGCGCAGGAGCTTGCGGCGAAGGCGGAGAAGAAGGCGAGGATTGCGACGCAGAATTTGCTGCCGAGCTGGCATACGAACAGCACGATTACGGGCGAGGCGGTGGTCGGGGCGGTCAAGGTCGATGAGGACGGGGCGACGCCGCTGAGGGGCGAGGACGCGGACGATGAGGATAAGAAGGGCGGTGAGGGAGATGCCTACCTAGAGGATTATTACCGGCAGATGAGGGAGGAGGAGCAGGCGATAAAGGCGGCCGAGGAAGAGGCGGAAGAGGAGGATGAGGAGGACGAGGACGAGTTCGAGGATGTTATACCCGGTGGGCTGAACGGTGTTACCAACGGTTCTCCTGCTGGACTTCCCGCAGCAGATGAGCCGGACGCGAAGAAGGCCAAGGTCGAGATTGAGAAGCCCGCTGTGCTGGCTGATCGCGAAGCTGCGGCGTCTGTCCCTGGGCTATCCGCACCAGCGCCTGCTCCAACACCGACTGCGGAGGAGTCCGACGAAGACGAGTTCGAAGACGCGTTATGAGTGATATGGTTTGCGTGGTGTTCATGGAGTACACGGAAAGACAAAAGCGCGGAGAGGTACTCGTGCAGTTTCGGAAAGGCATCGCTAGGCGCAGGACATGCATCTCGATTCGGACGTTCTCAAATCTCGATCTCTCTGGTCATCTAGGCTGATCATCGGTCCTCGTTGTCTGAACCTAGGCCTCATAGCTTTCATCAGCACTAGAACTTCGAGCCGTGTGCATGTGTTTGAGACTCTCGCTGGGTCGCTACGCAAATGATAGGGTCCACATGGCATATCCCTTGTCTAGTGGCTCATCGAGCAGTCTTTCTAGAAGACTCGCGCATGTCTGCAAGGGCACAGCATTATCAGAGAAGCAATTGGGCCCGATTCAGAGCCCAACCCTACGCTCTCGGAAACACAAGCAGTCCATCAACCCCTTCATCAATTGCTTCCTCATAGCATTGAGAGTCAAGATCAATTTGATATACCGAGTACCAGAACTCCCAGAAGCAAGGCTAAACAGGCACAAAAGCCCGCCTTTCCGCCCAGATTGAGCAGAGTAGTGCCCCAACGCCCGTCCGACTCCAATCTCCGCCCACCACCTTCCCATTCCACGGACCCTCACGGCCTCGGCGACAGAACTCCCCTTCCACCTACCAGATCGTTTTTGCATGGCGACCCCTTGGCAAAGGCCTCCATATTCCTGAGCGTGACCTCTGAGATCTCGCGCAAGGCCTCGCGGGTAAAGAAGCCCTGGTGGCCCGTCATGATGACGTTTGGGAAGGTCATCAGGCGCGAGAAGTAGTCGTCGTGGATGATTTCCTGCGGGGCGAGGCGTCGCGTCAATCAAAGGCCTTTACAGAGAGCAGAAACGAGAAGACTTACCGAAGACCTATCAAGATAGAATAGTGAGCTCTCCTGATCATACACATCCAACGCCAGCCCACCCAGCCTCCTCTCCTTCAGCGCCGTGATAACCGCCGGCGTGTCGATCAGCCCGCCTCGCGAAGTGTTGACAAGAATAGCCCCCGGTTTGATCTTCGCCAGCGTCGCGCTATTGATCAGGTTCCGCGTCGACTCCATCAACGGACAGTGCAGCGACACGACATCCGACTCGCTCAGCAGAGTGTCGAGGTCGACGTACTCGCCTAGTTCCTGGAACGCAGGCACGGTAAACGGATCATACGCCAACAAGCGGCATCCAAACCCCTTCAGGATCCTCGCAGTCGCCAGCCCGATCTTGCCCGTGCCGACAATGCCGACAGTCTTGCCGTACACGGTGAAACCCATGAGGCCATTGAGGTTGAAGTTGCCCTCGCGCACGCGGTTGAAGGCGCGGTGCGTGCGCCGGTTCAGCGTCAGCAGCAGCGCGACGGCGTACTCGGCCACCGCTTCGGGGGAGTAGGCCGGCACGTTGGCGACGAAGAGGTTGAGCTGCTTTGCGGCGGCGAGGTCGACGTTGTTGAAGCCGGCGCAGCGGAGGAGGATCGCGCGCGTGCCGTTGGCGTGGAGGGATGAGAGGGTCGCGGCGTCGAGTTGGTCGTTGACGAAAGCGCAGACGGCGGGGGAGCCGCCGGCTAGGGGCGCGGTCTCGAGGGATAGGGCCGTGTTGTGGTAGATGAGCTCGAATGAGGTCTGAGGGTGATGTTAGAAGACCGTTGCTTGGTTTCTTCATTTCCGTCGTTCATCTTCTGGGCGGGTGATGGATGGACGTGTGAAACTCCCTGGGTCTGACAAAGTGCTGCTCATGCAGCTTTTACCACATGCAGGACTGAGACGTTGTGATAGATTTTCGGTCCCTTTCACTAGCTGAAGGAAAGAAAATGAGGGCAGGTAGATGATACAATAGAGAGCTTTGGATCGACTGAGGGTTAAACACTCTTCATCCGTAAGCTGTCTCTGTGACAGAAGGGCATAAGGGAAGCCGCACGGCATCATTAGGAACAAATTAGTCTACGAGTAGATATATAGGACACCGGACGAGAGAAAAGACACTCTTGACAAGTTCTGGAGCCGCAAGATCAAAAGGAACTCTACACCACTCACTTCGTTCGAGGCATTCGACGAGAAGAGCTGTTCGTTAGCTTCGTCAAGGAACTGCCGGTCGTAGGGCTGTGCGCTAAACACCGCGATCTTCATGGCTCCATTAGTACGGCAGCTTAAACTGACAGGCTCTGTTGCCATTGATTAGATTGGAGGTAAATTTTCAATCAAGTCTCTTATGAAATGCTCGGGTGATGTGATCTCCACAGCAGATGTGAGAGTATGCGGAGTTCTTAATCTGACTGGGCTTGGCACTTGGCTGCTTCGATGAGTCGAAAGCATCACATGAGATCTCACGGCAAGGTGAGATTTCAGCCGATGTGCTTGCTGACAGACAAATACGAGTAAGCTTCCTTCCGGTTTCTTTTCGAGCTCACAGTTGTGTTGCTTTCCGCGAATCCTAGTCCAGCGTTTGTAAACGAGGCCTGTTCCGTCGTGCAAAGTTTAGACCCGTAATTGCCCTCGAGTCCATCCCATAATCAGTTCTTAGTAGCTACGGCTCACTGTTACAGGTTTGTCAACTGCTCTTGATATATACTACAAACACCCAAGGCCCGCCTGAGAGCCAGTAGATACTCTCAATAATGCGATGGCTCGTCGCTGAGAAGCACACAGTAATATAACTGCACACTCCCGCAGCTGTTCGCACCATTGTGATCACTGTTTGAACAAATCTGAGTTCCCCCTCAGCATCCGATTGACCCCATCCTGCACCGCCAGCAAGGACCTGTCCCCTCCCACATTGGTGAGTGTGAAGCCGAAAGTCGAGTACTCAGCCGAATCCCCAATGAGGATGTACACATGGCCAGCGGTCAGGCTGTTCGACCCATTGTGTTCCAGTATCATCGTACCCCGTGTCCAGAAGCCGCCAGGCGTGTATCTGGATCCGATCTCGGAGTCCGCGGCGGAATTCCACCGTGTATGGGGGAACTGGAAGTCGGAAGTGGTAAGATTGTACCATGGCAAGGAGGCGCCGGATGTGTTTTGGTGGATGCCGTCGATATGTAGGCGGAGAAACTTGGCATACGATTGCATGGGACAGTGCACTGTGCCGGCTGGGCCGATCGTTGGAGAATTGTCACGGTAACGGAACTCCACGCCTTCGAATGAGACAGGACGCCCAGTGTTGGGGTCAGGGATGTGCGGCCTCGGGTTGTCGATCGATGTGTTCGACGCTTCTGGGTTTGGGCCGAAGCCGCAGCCTGTCATATTGAGAGGGGTGAAGAGGCGGGACTGCATCTGTTCTTCCCACGTAGCGTTAGTGCGGAGCTCGAGAATGAGCCCAACGAGTATGTAGTTTGAGTTGGCGTATGTCCAGGTTGTGTTAGGGGTGCTGGCTGGGGGCTACGAGAGAACCCGGCGAGCGACTTCGAGTCGGCCGTCAGACGGTGCCAGGGCGGGGTTGTACATCTCCTCGAGAAAGGTCAAGTTGAAACTCCAGGTGTCATTAATACCAGAGAATTGAGACGTCAGCATGGCTAGCGTCGTGTCTCGATGTCCCGGATCCACAACCGAGGATAGTTCTGGCAAGGCATCAGCGATCGTGGTATCCCAGGAAAGAAGTCCTCCTCGAATGAAAGAAGCTAGCAGAGTGGCCGTCATGGCTTTGGTCAGAGACCCGATGTGAAAGGTGTGATTTGGCGTGATGAGCGGAGCTGCCCCCTCTTTGCGAACCCCTGTAGCGAGACTCAGGAATGTTCCATTCTTGCTTTGCCCAACTGCGTATCCAGGCAAATTGTACTGGGCTCGCATGGATTCAATCATCTTAAGAAACTGCGAAGCGGACTGCGAGGACGGACTCGATTCTGATTCGGCTGAGTTTCTGAAAGTTTTCAGCAAGCGCTGATAAACATGCTGCGAAACTGTCTACCCTTACTCGTTATTCCTTGTCAGTCCAACTCCTAGCCCAACACCCAAAGCGATCGCGATACAGATCCCAGCTAGTATGCTCCATATCCAGATCTTTCGTATTTTACCTACTCGCTTAGCGCTGCTAGGAGTACAACATGAGATTACTCGAACGAAGCAAAGAGTCCAGTATGACGGAGAGCAAGGCCGTAATAAGAAAGGCTATGAGACTAGATAAGGTCCCCCAGCTACTTGGGAACCCCTTACGGCCGAAACGCAGAGTTACCTATGATTAGAGTCTCCATACAAATTCTCCATAACAGGGAGGGATTTTTGTATGTTGACCTTGGCGGCGGCGCACTTGCAGCTAGTCCTTAGACGAATTGTATGCAATTGCAGCCATTTTGATTGATCTTGGCGTGGTCGACTCAAGGCCGGATTCGACCTACTCGAAGAAAAAGCAGTATACTGCAGCGGCACCATTTATGGCGCTACAGTAACAAGTGGACTGTACTTATGCGATCCACGGTGAGCTCGGAGCATGCTCAAGCAGTTTTGTCATCCGCCTTGTTAGGGGTGAGATAAGTTTTTGTACTCCCGAGGTTGAAGTCGTGATGCTCAAGGCTGCGGAGACGGTTCTTCCGGCACGCCGATGAGGCTCAACGTCCCTTTTCTTCAATGGAAAGGAGCCCCTGCAGTTTTCGCAACAAGTTGCTGTAACTCGCTTGAATCTTTGTAGAAGACCGTCATCGGGATGCCGATAGCTATTTGTAATAATTAATAAACCATTCGCTGGGGTACGGAGGCAAGCGTCGCCATGTCATCGTGGATATCACGAGCGACAGCATCGCACAAGGCCCAGCTAGTCACCACAGCCATTGTGTCTGGCGTCATAGTCGCCGGCGCAGTAATCGGCTTCCAACAAGCCAAGCGCATATACAAGGTTGAGAGCGTCAAGTCGTCGATACCAGACATAAACCAGGAACACGAAGCCACACGGGTAGATTTCTCGCCCGCTTACTCCCCCGCTCTTGATACATTGAACATGCAGCTGACCCTTAAGCGAAGATAAACGAATATGGCGCCGCGAATGACATCTTCGCCCCCTCCAAAGAAGATGAACGCTCCGCAGCGCTCGCCCACCGCGCCCGCTCCGGCGATTACGATGACGAATTAATCCTCGAGCAGCTCGCCCGAAACCGCGTCTTTCTCACTGACGCTGGCCTCGCCCAACTTCGCTCCGCTTTCATCATCGTTGTCGGCCTCGGCGGTGTGGGCAGCCATTGTGTCGCCGCCCTTGCGCGTAGCGGCGTCAGCCACATCCGGCTCGTGGACTTCGACCAGGTCAGTCTAAGCAGCCTCAACAGGCATGCTGTAGCCACGCTCGCCGATGTGGGCACGCCGAAGGTGTTTGCGATGAAGAAGCGGCTCGAGCAGATTGTGCCGTGGGTGCAATTCGACTGCAGGAACGAGCTGTTCTCCGAAGCGGCGGCGGAGCGGTTGTTGCAGGGGCTGGACGGGAAGAAGCCAGACTACGTCGTCGATGCTATTGACAATATTGATAGCAAAGTTGCGCTGCTGCATTACTGTAAGACGAACGGGATCCCTGTTGTTAGCTCCATGGGCGCAGGATGCAAGTCCGATCCCACGAGGGTGTTTGTGGGCGATATCTCTGCTAGCACGGAAGATCCGCTGTCGAGATCGACACGAAGGCGACTAAGGGCGCTCGGTGTAAAGGACGGCATTCCGGTGGTGTTCTCAACGGAGAAGACAGCGCCGGGAAAGGCTCAGTTGCTGCCGTTACCGGAAGATGAGTATGTGAAGGGCAGCGTCGGAGACTTGGGCGTGCTACCGGACTTCAGAGTTAGGATCTTACCGGTGCTGGGGACAATGCCGGCGATCTTTGGGCTGTGTGTTGCTAACCATGTCATTCTGGAGATCACGGGGTATCCGCACGAGTACTTGCCGTCGAAGGCGCGAGATAAAATGTACGATGGCATCCTGGGAAACTTGCAGGGTCTCGAGGAGAGGCTCACGCGGGCGACAGGCGAAGAAGCTGTCGGGCTGAAGATTCCGATCACGCAGGACGATGTGGGGTACCTAATCGAAGAAGTGTACAGAGGACGGAGCGTTCTAACCGGCTTGAGCACAAGACTCGCTCTCACTCGATGGAGGAAGCCGAAGGCAGGTTTCGTTGATAAGAGGTACCTGCCCGGCCAGAAGAGCACGCTGTTACAGCTGAGAGACCTTGTATGCATGACTAAAGAGGAAGCTGCGAAGCACGAGAAGGAGGTACTGAAGGGTGACAAGACGCCGGAGGACCTGTACGATGAAGAGGTGATCAGGCTGGTGGAGGAGAGGATGGCAGAGGAGGCGAGATTTGAGAGACTCAGGTGATGTAATATTCTGCCTTACCGCCATTGACCACTGGAGCTCTGGATACCACTCGTTCCAATCTGGACTCTTTGTGACTGGCCGATCCGACGTACTCGTCAAGTGTATGTCAGCAGTACTGGTAAAGGCTCCGCCACAAATCCAAGAACGCCTACCACCGTATTCAAAGCCCGCCGGAATAGATGGATGGACATTCATTCTGGACTTCTAGGTCCGTGTCTTAATGTCATTCTTCTATCTACATCTGCTATCGCTAGTCCGAAAGAGCGCGTACGGTTGTACAAAAGAGATCACATAAACAAGCACCAGCCGAGGGTGGTGGATTGATTGCATTCTTACTATGACTGGTAGTAGCAGGTACCAAGTGCGCGGTGACTTGGAGCAACAAGGAAGGAGCGGCAGAACCTACCCCCAGTTTATCCCGCCACCACCGCAGGAAGCAAAAGGGAACAACAATGAAAACCCACAGCAGGAGCAAAACTCCAAGCCTCCGAAGAGGCTTGTCCCTGAGAAACACCGTCATATCCTCGACCGGGTCGGGAGGATCGGGGGTTTTTGGTGGGATCGATAAGGTTCTTGCGTTTTCCTTCGCACCTCCTGGAAGCGAGGAGGGCTGGGTATCGAACCCGGCACCCTCCAAGTCCATTTTTTTGACCCGTAGGCCGGAGATTATTGCGCTCAACTAGACCACTGGTCTAGTTGGGCGCAGGTGAAAGCGAAGTTCAGTTTCGCAGCTTATGTAGTAGGATTCAATTCGTAGGGGCTGGACAAGCACAATTGCAGTCTCTAGCGAGCTTTTTATCGCAATGCTGCAGAAGGGGCTTGGTCGCTCCGTGTATTTCGAGGGATTCTGCACGCGTTTTGATTTCAGTCCACAGCATCGTGTCTCCCTCAAGGTAGCAACTACATGCAGCACGTTTTCCACAGCTTCATTTGGCATTAGCTTCCGTCTATCTACCAACTGTAACAGAAGCGCAGTAGCACAGCAGACAAATTGCAAAGCTACAAGCAACGCCCGAAATCCTGCTTCTTTTCGTACCAGACATCAGTCGCATCTCCTCAGCACTCCCTGAACTAAATATCAAGTGCACCACAACTTCTTTCTTTGCGACTTTCATAGCGCACCAAACACACTATGCTCAACTGCAAATCGCCCACCCCGATTTCCCTATCGCAGACTTGAGTATCCATCCTCCGCTCATTATCCGCTTCCACCATCTTCGTCAATGCTTCTCTACAGCAATGGATCAGCTTTCCACCCCTCACCTTACCAAAGTAACCTCAACATACCGTTCACCAGTCCTCAACTCAAAACCCGCTCACACCGCCGCCCCCGCCGCCTTCGCCGCCTCAGCAGCTTCCCTCTCCTCCTTACTCGCGATGATTTCCCGCACTTCTTTCGTGACGCAGGTTTTGTACAAGTAGAGCAAGGCGAAGGCGAAGAAGAGGATTAGCATGAGGATCAGGACGATCACGTGCGTGCGCTTCATTTTCTCGTTGCTGGGAGCCTTTCGTTGCGTGCTTGACGCGGCGGTTTGGGTTGTTTTTGATGGACGTCTCGTTGGACGGGTGGAGGGTCAGATGAAGGCCGGTGGGCTGTTGAAAGGAACAAGTGAGAACGACAAGTGGTTCTGAGAGTGAGTGCCTCTGCTTCGGTGGTGTTGCGTCTGCTTGAGAGAGTGTTGTCAGTCATGCTGATTGCATGGTTGAGCGGTTGGAGAACGATGTACCGGTAAAAGCTCGAGGGAAACTAGAGGCAGCAATGATATCGGGATTGATGCTAGTACAGGACAGCGAGGCAAGAATAGACTTTTGTTCGTCGAAGGGTGCAGTTCTCCAGAAACGAGGGCGGTAAATGTGAATATGATGAAGATATCAGATCTTGTGAAGCAGATCTGGTTGCCATGGCAAGCGTGAATTCACCCATCGTAGACCGCTAAGCAGATGTTGAGCTGATCATGTATTATATCGACTGACCAATGCAGTACCTCAAATATCTACCACCATCCCCTTAGCAAACATTCCCAGCCACCTCGCACAGCTTTGTCTTCATCACGCCCAACCTCTCCACCACCGAATCCGACAAAACCGTCTCAATCTTCTGCAACCACAGCTGATGCACTTCATTCGCCTCCCCAACATCCGCGAACTCTCTCAGCAGCCTCCTCACCTTCGACCCCTCAAAAGAGCCCTTCCTCGACTTCCTCCCCCTCCAGTGCAGCAGGACCTCCGCACCGTAGGTAAGCCGCATCCCCATCACAAAGACCTCTGGCTTCGATGTCCACCCCAGCGGACCGTCCCCCTGCGCCTTTGCGGCGTCCATGAAAACGCTCAAGCCCGACCAGATCCACTTGCTGAAGTACGCAGCGCGACTGCGAGTGACAGCCTCATCCGAGAGGTTTTTAAGGACGCGCGACCAGATGACAACCTCCCTGACGTCATCGACGAATAGGTTTTGCTTCTCTTGCACGAAGAGGGTAGTTGAGTCTCGCTCTGCTTGCTCCAGGACGTCGAGGGGCGAGACTGAGCCATCGCTGCCCATGACCCGGTGAATCGCTTCTTCGCACAGATGGCGAGAATCGGGGTACGTCTTTACGAGGTATTCCGAGAGGCGCTGGCTCGCGACAAGCGGGACAACGTCTTTCATGCCGTCGCGGTAGCGAGGGCCGGCGATGATCCGGGTGACGACTTTGGTGGCACTGTCTCTGATCTCGTTGTCGTCGTCGTTGAGCGCGTCGTAGGTGACTAGCATGAGATTGAGCAGGGCGGAGGCGGCGTGGTTGGAGGGGTCTGGCGTTCTCCAGACGCGTCGCATGGAGTTGAGGGAGGAGACTGCCGCGTAACGGATGGGAAAGGCCTGGTGCTGGATCAGTCAAAGCACCGCGGTGTATGCGGCAGTACATACATTGGACTCTTCGAGTGCACAACGAATCTGCCGCACGAGGCGCTGTGTTTCGTCGGCAAGCTCTGTGGTCCACTGAGCCTGACCCTGAAGCTTGGAGTCCAGGAAGGGTCCCTGGAGACGAAGGGAATTCTCGTATAGAGATGGTGGTTCTGTATGAGTAGCGCGATTTGCACTACTGCTGTTTCTTCCTGAGTCTTTCGCCGGTGTGAGTGGCAGATGGTGTGCCCCAATAGAGTTGATCAAATTAGCAAGAACCGACTGAAGGACCGCCTTGACTTCGTCATTCCTGGTTGTCTCGAGGACGTTGAAAAAGAGTGGCACCACATGCTGCGCTATAGCTAAAAGCCTTGCATCTCTTCCGCGACCGAGGATCTTGCCGAGGTGCTCTACTACAGCGCAGCAGCTATCTGTGTCAGTTTCAGCGGAGTCAGACATGAGATTCCTTAAGTCTTTGACGGCGGAATCTGCGCCAGACTGCTGCGTCAAGGCCGTAGGGTAAAGGACCATGATGAAACATAACGCAAGGTTGCGGGCGGCGGCTTGTCTAAATAGAGACGATTCCGGTCCGGTGTTGCTCTTGATACGCTTTCCACTCCGAGCCCTGTATGCTTGGTGCATGAAACTTTCTGCAAGCTGCCCGGTGGGCCCATCGAACGACATTGCATTGTGAGATTCGCCGATATCGTTCTCCTTGTCCATAGGCGGCATACACGAGAGACTGCATTCGACCAACACAGCTTCGCCAATATCATTGAGAACCTCCAGGAAAACTGCGGCTGTGAAAGGGCAGGTATTTTGCTCAAACAAATCCTCGTAGCGGCCTCGTAGCGTTGACAAGATGTGCTGGAGAATACCTGGGGAACTGTCAGGGCTGCGGCGATAAGACTATTGCTAGAACAAAAGATGCGCAACTGTGACTAGTGTTTATCATGGTTGCGAAGAGCTTACCTTGGTCCTTGAATGGGGCCTTTTGCAGGACGCGATGCACGACATATCTTACGCATAGTAAATCACCATGCAACGAGTTCTGCGAGCTTAACGAGCTGTTGACGAGCAATGCGAGTACGATATCTCTATGCTCCGCTGGAGAAACAAGACCAGCATAAGTGCGAGCGGCCATATCTCGAACATGCCAGTGTGGACTTCTTGTCAATCCGAGCACCAGTTGGCGGATGGTTCTAGCTTGGGCAGGAGGAGGCGGGGCGCGTTGGAGGATTTGAAGGACAGGAAACACCCCTTCGGCGACAGCTGAGAGAGAGGTGTTGCTTCGAGCTTCTCCATCCTTGTCCTCCTGTTTGGTTGGCCTGGGTCGCAGCAGTCGAGTCATAATCTCAAGTAGGTTAGGGTACTTTTCGTAGGAAAGACATGACGCCTTGACGGAATCGTGCTCTGTCCAATTTTGAGTATCCCCACTGCCAAGCAGTCGGTCGATGAGCGCTCTAAACAACATCAGTCCGCAGTTTCTGATAGCCCATCTACGAGAAGGTCAGTGAGAGCGCATTGAACAAGTAGGATGTAGTCATCGTTACACATCACTTTCCAAGCGACTTGCTGCAAGATCCAGTCCGCTCGCTAGGTAAGGCTCGGAACTTTGGCCGAGTTTTGTGTCGGTGTAGATGTCTTTCAGGCAGTTCATTGCATGTACTTGAGGTAAATGCGTTTCTTGGATGTTCGTTCGACGTCCCTCAAGCTGGGCCTCCGCGCGGAGATCAACCATCGCTTGCCTGAACAAAGGTCCCTCAGGGTCTGCGCTCAGCACACCGGTTATCAATGCTGGCATGCCAGCTGATCGCCGGGTAATTGTTGAGCCTTTGTCACGTATGCATTGCAAAGCGTCCTACCAGAAGTAAGCTGAGCTCTAGCCTCAGCGGTATTGATGGAGCTCACCTCATACCAGGCTTTCGGCAGTCTTTGCACTACTGGGTCATCTATCTGACTACAGCGTAAGCAGCACGAGGCGAAGGTCTGAGCCACGGTAGAGAAAGCACCTCGATGACGGAGTTCTGCAAGTTGGATAAAGCATAGTTTGCCAAGGTCCTTGATATCCTCAACACCGAGAATGGCTGTCGCACGGGCATTGCTGAAGGTGGCTTTTGCTATGATGACTCTCATTAAGGCGCTACCAACATTAGCATGACGTATCGAGGGGGGTTCGGTAGACACACCTTGCTTCCTTCAATGCCCGCCAGGCGTAGCTGAGAACATCCTTCGTGGTAGTTTCAACGTCTTCTTGAACATCTTCCGGGACATGGCCCTCGGGGGCGTCGTTGCAGAGTATATCGCGCACAGAGGCCCATATATCATGAAGACACCGAAAGAGCCTCTGATGCAAAAAACGCCAGTCGGCCGATGCCTTCTTAGACGGTGTTTTGATCGAGCGGTAAAAATCAGGTCTGTTGAGGATGTACCTAGCCATGCCGTTAGCTTTGCTTGTTAAAACAGAGTGAGAACATTACTTAAGACTTGCAAGCATGCCATGGACTGGATGTTCATTGACAGCTTTGGAGAGATCGTGGTTCACGACACCAATCGCTTGCTCGACGCCCTCAATGAGGTGACTCACAATCGAGTACCGTGTATTATGCTCCTTGGATTGAACCGCATCTTTCAGTCCACTGTCTTCCTCCTTGGCGGATTGCTCATACAGCAACTCATAAGAACGGGCTACTCCATCTGCGTGGTCTGCACGGCCACTGAGTTGCATCATGCGCTCGGCCTTCTCAAGAAACGGCGGCAAGCTGGCGGCAAATGATTGCCCGGCGAATCTGTGTTCCTGAGTCTTCATAGCATCGAACAAAGCTGGAGCGGCATTACAAAAGGGGGCTGTTCGGTCTCCCGAATCAATCATCTTGAGGGTGAAAGACGCTGAGTGCCGTACATCATCGAAAGGATCGAGAAGGAGATCAAACAGAGCACGAACAACGCCGGGAGTTAGTACGGTGATATGAAATGGCCACTGAGTTCCTCCTCGTGCTTGTCTCGAAAGATGCTGTTGCGGGACACTTCCGTCAAGACCCGACCTCGTTACGGTCGTCAGGCACCTCAACGCCGATATGTGCCGTTGGTAGGGGCCTCCAGGCCTCAGTTCAGTGGAGAGAAAACGTACATACCAACGTATAAATTCTTTGTGAGTATGCAAATCTCGTACCAGAGGTAATGAATCCAGGACATTGGATTGGTGCTCCTCCTGTCTCATTGCTGGTCGACCAGAATCCGACATAGCTTGCTGTTTAGCGAGAGCTTTCGCGAGAGCTTTCGCGAGAGCGGCAGTAACTGCCCTCAAGCGATCAAAGAATCTCTGAATAAGCCCAAACAATTCGCTACGGAAATTCGCATCCGACTCGGCATGAAGATGAGGCAGGTGTGTCTGGAGATATCGGAACGTTTCAACCGTGAACGGTCGAGTAATTGCCACTGAAGTCACAAGTAGCGCCAGTGCGGCTAGCCTTACGCCAGAGGAAGAGTGCGCTAGGAGGCGACCGACGGATCTATCGGGGATTCTGACAACTCCATTACGGAATTCGATTCGTCTGGAAGCTCGATAGTCTTGAGACGTCAGTAGTGTCTCATTTGCAGCCATGTTTGGTTCGTGTGCTCAGACTTACCAACTTCTTGGACCAGCCCGATCTCTTTACCGGCCTGTAAGGCCGCAAAAAGCAGGGTTTCATCGCTATCTTCGTTTTCGAACCCGTTCTCTTCTGAAGCAAGCGTGCGGTTAGATTTGCAAAGACGGATATGATCCTCAAGATGTAGAAGGTTCAGAAACTGAGAGTAGTCATCGAAATTCAGCTTGAACAAGCCAGGAAACAAGTGGTTCCTGAAGTCTGGTACAGACTCCGGCGCTTCTCCGACGGTGCTCCTCAACGGTTGGGCCCAGACCGGATACAGCTCCCTGTGGCGTGCAAACTCTTCCTGTTGTTGGCGACCTTTATCAAGTAGAGTGACCACAAAATGCCCGGCGGCAGGAGCCAGATCATTTCGAGTAACACAGCTGAATAGCCTCCGCAAGAACAGCTGAGTATGATCTAAAGATTCGGGGACCCGGTCTTTGCTCAGAGCATGCCGCTGATTCCAATCCAGGAACGCGTCAAGCAATATGCGGATTGTGAACAACTTCGAAACAAGGAAATGAGTCAATGCCTGCAGAGCCGGCTTGGCCTTACTCTGGCTATTCTGCTCGAAGAGAATGTCGAATAGGTCATCAAGAATGCCATTCTTGATTGATGAGGTCTCAGAGTCGTCTCCAGCTTGTATCAAGAGCGTTGTTAGGACGACTAACACTTGTCTCATCGATTTTCCCTTTGCGGTATCAGATCGCTCAAGGAAGACTCGGAAGAACTTGATCCAGGCACCATTTCGCCAGACGACTGCCCGGACATCCTCCCGCGGGGAGATGGAGCAGCGTTCCAACAGAGCACAAGTCAGATTGCACGCAGCAGCCCGGTGCGTATCGGATATATCTACCAGACCAGCGGTTTGAAGCACTAATTCTAGTACGTCCTCGGTATGTCTATACAAATGCACTTAGCACGTGACTTACACTCTCGGGCAATCGATGTCCACAGACCATCTGTTAGGGGCTCTATATGTCTTACTTTACATTCATCTCCTCCGTAGCAAGGGTGCCATCCGCTGCAATGATAGAGTCAAGTTGTCTACTCGTACTTCTTAACACGTCCTCAGGCACCGGAGCGGCATACTTCCAGATGAAGGTTTCCATTGCGGCATGTAGAGGCAACCCGAGCGTTTCCCTCCCGTTCCCGCGCAAGACGCGCTTGAAATGTGCTTTCTGCGTTCGAGAATTTGTGCAGAGCCGTCCGGGAATAAAGACCTTGCGTGAAGCAACTGCTATTTGGTCTATTACTTCACGGGCGCCGTGCCGAGGAATAGCCGCCACATTTTTCGAGAGGCTGCTCCTTGCCATCATCACCCGCTTCGAGTGCAGGACAGGAGCGCGACCAAGGAAACCACATCCCCCCGGCGTCTTTTCATTTGTTCGTCGACAGAAGCATCGAACCTATACGAAAATGACTATCTGGGACTCTCTGACCGGTCGGAAATCGTCCTCCTCCACGTCGACCTCCGCAGATAGCTCCCATACCCTCCAGGACACAGCAGGCACCTTCCAACCCGCGCCTTTCGACCCATCCACGGCGCAGGATGTCTCATCATTCCTCAACGACACTGCGGCCTTCGACCCATCGGCGCTACATCCCCTCGCAGGCCTGAACCAAGATACCCTCGATTACCTAAGCCTCGAAGAATCCACCTTATCAGACCTTCCCGGCAGTCGCTCTGCTTTACCATCGCGAGGCTGGTCCGACGATTTGTGCTATGGGACTGGAGTGTCATATCTGAGCGCGCTGACGCTAGGAGGCGCATGGGGACTGGCGGAAGGACTCAACAAGACATCCGCTACACAATCTCCGCGATTAAGACTGAACGCGGTGCTGAACGCGGTGACACGACGGGGACCCTTCCTTGGAAACAGCGCGGGCGTCATTGCTCTGGTTTGTACGTAGTTGGCCGAACCAAAACGCCTTTGGCCCCGCTGACTTCGGGACAGACAATGGCATAAACTCCACCATAGGCTACTACCGAGGGAAGCATGATGCCGCCAATAGTGTGGTGGCAGGCGCTATATCCGGGGCTATATTTAAGTCGACTAGAGGGATCAAGCCAATGATGATTTCTGGATCGATCGTGGCCAGTGTGGCGGCTGCTTGGGCGGTTTGTCTCCACAACACTTTGAATGCACATGAGAATGCTGTTCGCTGACTCTGCTAATCCACAGGTGACCCGGAAGGTGGTCTTCTCATAGAAGCGCGCCTCGCACTTCGATTGTTCTTTCAGCTTACGGCCTCCCTTCCCGTGGCATACTGCAGCTTTGGGTCTTAGCGTGTAAAATTCGGCATCGGCGTGCTGGTGGTTGAGGCTGTGTAATTTTTGGTTTCCATCCGCCTTCTGTGTTCATAGACTCACTGGTTGCATCGCATGGAGTCGATGCGGGAACTCCTCTCTGAGAAGATTAGGACAGAATTGTAAGATTATCAAGACGGGTTCTGGTTAGCATGTGAAATTTGTGGACAATTCTGCGCAACATTGGGTTGTATCTGTGCTCATTTCGATTGACGCTCTCCCAGTACTCGAGGAGACACTATCTTGGCTGATTAGGAGCGTAGCGCCTTTCTGCCGGGAACATCGATGGCTCGCATAGAGATCTCTGAGGTGAAGAGACGCGTGAAGGGCATATTGGCTCCTTGCTGCGAACATGGCATCCGGAGCAGGGTCTGATCTTTCGCTTTGCCTATCGTTCACTCACTTTCACAGATCGTATTCATCCTTGCCTACCTCGAAGTTCTGAGTTTTGAACACGAACATCATAGTCCACCGCACACAGGTCTATCCACACGAAAACATCTTGCGATTCCGCATACCTTATCCCCGATGGCGCCATCAATTCCACCAGCATCTCCTGTCTTTGTAACAGCCCTCCAGAAGCAGCAACAAGAGTCCACTCGTAGACGCCGTGAACAGCGAGCCTTCAACATTGCACACGGAACTCCAGCCGCGTCCATAGCTTCTCTTGGAATCCCGAAGGCGCCTGTGACGCCCGCAATTTACGCCATAGATCCCGTCACAAATGAACCTTTTGAGCAAGTCCACGAACGCCTAGTCGAAGCCGCATATATAGCCGATCCAGGCTACTTTGTTCTTACCAGGCACGGCTGCATCTACCACTTCTGGCACCGGTCTGAGACCTTCCTACGCGATCAGCGCACGCTCTTCATCCATCCGAATCTGGCGTTCAAAATCGACTGTCGGGACCCACAGCGGCCAGCGACGTACGCGTACATCTACACGCGCTGGTACTTCACCTATTTCATGAAGCTGCCCTGGCCGGACCTTGTGAGATTTGCTAGGGAACATGGTCTGATCACAGGCGAGCAATGTGACTTTCTAGGCAAGCCAGGCTTGCGCCTCTGCATTTGGCACGCTAGGCAACACTTCGAGGAGACGAAAGATAGAAAGACCACAGAAACACTCCTCGATGAGTTGGATTGGGATGCGGCAGTGCCGTATTGCCAACTTCGCAATGAGCGTCCCTACAAGGGCGAAGACGTCTGGAACGGCTTCTGGCGTGCGCCTCCGCCCAAACAGTACGTCCGTCTCCCGTCCAAGGGCCATCCGAAATACCCGTTGCCGCGTTGAAAGCTTTCCATAGCCCTCGAGGTGAACAGACATAAGGACAGTCAATGGATCAAAATCACATTGCATAATCAATGCATCAAAGATGTAAACTGATAGACAGCTTTTACTCTCTATCCCATGAGATTGGTCTAGCTGCTCTACTATTGACAAGACCATGAGTCCAGTTCGATCGTGAATCCTGTTGAACAAGTCAGAGCAAGGATGCGGCAACGGTTATTTCGGATGGCCCTTGGTCCCATAGCGTACAATTCGACATTTTCCGCGACAGCCGCTGACTCTTCATAGGGATCCCAAACAATCCATCTGGCGACACGGCCGGCACCTCCGCGCCCACCCCTGGACCGAGTCCTTGTCTCAATCTCGCACACATTCCGAGAACACCAACGAACCCATCTTCCAATGCGGCTGGCAAGTCGACACTCAACCCCAGGATGAATCCTCACCTCGGTTCCGCCCACAGTCTGAAGAATCTCGCAGCCCAACTAGCAAGCCTCGCGTGCAAGTGGATGAAGCGTACAGGCCTGCAATGAGCGGAACACACAAAGCGTGGCTAGACAGTGCGGTTCGGCTGGGTCTGTCAGACGGCCCGGGACTTTCGAGCAACCCAAGATTCCCGTCCCTTTCACATCAGCCGCAAGTTTACCGCGCGCCAGTAGCAATGATGGGCTCAATTACGCACGCGACTGCTGCTGGAGGTGCAAAAGAGAACCAGGATGCGACGGTGACCACGGATGGTAGATCAGGAAAGGGAGATGAAAAGTGGTGGACAGAGGCTGTTCATGATTGCACGGATAGAGGAGAGTAAAGGATAGTGCTTGATGGAGCAGACGCGAAGCACGCCATTGCTATCGCATAGGCAGTCGCTTGGCGGCTGTTGTTTTGGACAGTGATTTTTGGGTATCCTGCCTTCGTTGTACATGGGCACCTTCCCCACACGGGTGACAGAAATCTCCCGACTCGTCGATTGCGGGACTCCCGAGTTACTCTCAAGTCACCAAGATTTACTGAATCCACCAACCTTTCCAAGATCCTCACCCTGGCTGTTCCACCTCTAGATATGGCTTGAACACGTTTATCGCGCAGTATACTACGACGGGTTGCTTCTTTTCGTGACCTTGCTCAGCTGGCTGAAGACCTATCCGTTTTTGGATTGCGGCAATTTATGCTCACCCAGGTGCTTCCCAACTCGGACCAAAACACCGGGGTTTCCTTCCTTCACTTTTCATGTCGCGCAGTTGGGCGGATGCACGTCTTAGGTTTTCTTCAGTTTTACTTTTCATCATGCACAATTGCCTTTGGTAGCCCCGTCTAAGATCTTCTTAGATTAAGTCCATCATGCGTGGCCCGTCTCTCGTTCCCTACTCTGACTCTGAGCCAGCAAGTCCCCAAGCTGACAACAATGTACACAACTCGGCAGCACAGCAGATTTTTCAAGAACAGTCTCCGCTGAAGCCCCTGCTGAAGTCACTTCCACAACGTCGAGTCCACCAATCTCCGCAGCCGACAGTTCAACCAGAACAGCAGCTTGATGAACGGCAGCCCCAACCAACGCCCGACGAAGTAACCAGCTGGATCACTCGATACTGGGACCTCACACACCCCCTCCTCGAAAGCAATCCCGCCGCTCCTACCTCACCAGAAGTCTTGCTCCACTATGCCTCGCGCCCACCGGCCCTCACCATCGCCCAATCGCTACAACTCCACCTCGACAGCCTCGTCGCAGAGTCCGACCAGCGGGACAATCTCCAGCACCGCATCACCACCCACCTCTACGACGAAGATCTATCAGGCCGCGTCAACATCGAGCTGAACCGGCAGATGCGTGTCGCCGGCTTCACGCCGCCGCAGATCCTCAGCAGCGGACAAGAGGCGGTTCAGAAGGTGCGCCACATCCGAAACCACGCCGCCATGCAGCGGGCGCGCGACCTCGTCACCGGCACCACAGACCGCGACCTCGATTTCAGCGTTGTGGCGATCCTGCAGCGCGACGGCGCCGTCCTGGCCTCCGACCTCGTGCACTGCAGCGTATCATCATCGACTTGCTGGGCTGAGTTCCAGCGCTATCTCGCGGCTGCCTCGGTGTCGTGGCAAGCGGAGCTGAACGGGTTTCCGGCTGGCTGTGGGAGCGAGAACGGCGGCTGGATGTATCTCGTGCAGCCGCCTCCGGACCCGGTGGGGCTGCAGCAGTTCCGGCAGCTGGGCAGCGAAGCGGACTTCACGGTATTGAAGGCGGTTGTCGCGGCTGGCGGCGAGGTGCAGGTGTGGCATGTATGTGCTTCGTGATCCGTTGCCTATAGCCCGGCGTGCTGACAGAGCGACCTGCCTTAGCATCTTACGGTTGCGCAGAGCGGGGCGTTGAAGGCGGAATGGGACTTCTTGGTCCACCGCGTTGTTGAGCCTGCGGACGAGCCGCGGAATGAGGAGGGTTACTCGTATTTCTGGCCATGGTTTGATGCGTATGATGTGTTGAGGGTTCCGGACGAGGTGTTTAATGCTCAGTGTCTTCGGGGATCATGTTGATCATTGAATCCCACATGTTGAAAACGGATTTGGAGTGTCAGAGAGCCGTGTTATGGCAAGTCCTCGCATGTCTGATATAGCTCTGCTACTGATGTATCGTTCCTGGATTGCGGCCGAAGCGGTTAATCTTCCTCCGCGTCGCCCTCGTCTTCGTCGCTGACTTCTTGCCCCTCTTCCTTCGCCTGTTCCTTCCGCTTCTTTGCTCTATCCCGCTTCTTGTCCAGCAGCTTCTGTAAGTTTTTCGCTCCGTTGAACACTCCACCAGTGCCGGCGCCACAGGCAGCGCAGGACGGATTCTTCCGGTACCGCTGCAAAGCGCATGCCTCGCAGAAATAGTGCCCGCACTTCGTGACTATGGGATTCTTGTACGGCTTCTTGCAGATGATGCACGCGAAAGGTATGTTTTCGAGCAGAGCATCGTCTTCGTCGTCGTCGTCGCCTGTCTTGCCACCTCTGTTCGCCGACGCAACCGTCTGACCGGCAACCTTCTTCCCCTTGGTGCCGATCTCCCAGTCGCGATCCAGCTCCCAGCCCTGTTTGTAGTCCTCGCGCGCGTGAAGGAATTTGCAGCTATCGCCAAACCCACAGAACCCTGTCTGTTTGTAATCCTTGCACACGTCAGGCGCGAAGTCAGTGACAGTGATGGTCCTGATGTTGGTAGGAGCTTTGACCGGCCCGACTTGTCGCTGCGGCGCATTCGGATTCTTCTCGATGAAGGACTGGTAGTTGGCAGCCCCTTTGTATGTGCCGTCGCTCCCCACCTCTGCGTCTGGCTTTTGGCGCGTCTTGCCTAGCAGGTTCTGTGCGCTGAGCGCATCCTTGGCGCTCTCGTCGTACCAGTTCGACTGCTTCGTTGCGTCGTTGGTGCTCTCGATGTTCGCGGAACGGTCGGCGGCGAATTTGGTGGCGCCCTCGATATCGGCAGCGGTCATTTGGGTTGCGGACGACGCGGAGACGAGAGCGCCTGTCTTCTTGCGGCGCTTTACACGGTGGCCGCTCTCGTCTTCGGAGGATGAGTATTCTGAATCGGACTGTGTTGGCGGCGGGGCAGCGGCTTTGCGCACGATGTTCTTCTTGGCTCTCTTCTTGAACAGAGGCGCTGCTGTAGCTGTGTCTGCCATTGTGTTCTCGTCTGTTGTGTGCCCTTGCGGTGCCGAGGAACTCTTGATCGAAGTCGCGCGCGGACGATATATCGAAGAGCTTAATAATCCAAGCTTGCGCCACGGCACTCACGTAAGCGTGGCTGGTGCTTTCCACAAGCCACTCTTCAATTGACAAGCTCAAACAGCACGATCAACGGTGGATGGAGTTAGTGTACCACCCATCGTGCGATCATCAATTCGCGCTACTGTGCATAAGCTTCTGTCGTCCGACAAGCTGTCTCCAGTGCCGGAGGTTGGCAGCCAATTGACGCGCCGTAGCTCCCTGTAATCCATCATCTCCGACGCTGCCGAAGAGTTCGCGGCCAACCCTGGAAGCCGTCAAAACAACGCATCAAAACGTCCCCCTCTCCGTGCCGCCAATCGCGTCCTCGTGCAGACCTACCCTACCGTTCCATTTGTTGTGAAACCCCCATCGTGCATGCCGTTCTGTGGACAAAACACCGCTTCGTGGAGCTGAAGGAGACCCGTTGCTGTCTTCTCGTCCTGCTCACGCCGAGTCCACGCGCCTCCTCTCCGGACTTCACGCCCTCAGGTTCTAGCACAGCTTCACGCATTGCACTTGCGGCCGAGCAACTCAACCTACTGCCCACTGCCAGTCACCATCACGCACGTATTGCTGGTCAACCTGCGCCGTTGGTCGAACTTCGTTTACGCCCTAACAACCTACGCGAACCTTTCAAGTCTACCGATACCCTGATTCCACTTCCGTTACTGTCGCCAAGCGTCTCAGGGGAGAAGGTCTGCTGAGCAAGAGTGCCAGTTGCCGCTTCAATTCTTGATGGACAACTGATCAACTCGAAAATACGTGGACATGGCGACAGTTGCGAGCTTCTCTCCCGGCTCACTGCCTGCAGAGGAGTACACCGACAACGATCCATTCATTACCGCACAAACTCCGGATCAAGCGCGCCATCGCTATTCCGCATTTAACACCAACTTGTTCTCCCTATACTCAAGCGGATCACCCTCACAGACCAAACGCGCTCTCGAGGCTCATCTCGCAGAGACAGAGCGACGACTACAAGAGGCATCGCAATTAGGCACGGTGCTGGTGCAGCAGCGGCGCGAACTCAGCGACAAGCTGAAAGAGGTCGAAACTCAACAAACAGAAAACGAGATCGGGCCCGAGCTGCGGCAGAAGCTGGTGGATCTAGAAAAGGAGTTCAACGAGGTTGGCAGAGAAACGGCAAGGGCGTTCATACCAAAGCCGCGAATACCCAGCGGCGAATCCGTCGGATCAACCAGCACATCTTTATACTCCTCCGAGGCTCAGCACTCGCCTTCCAAAGTTAGCGTACCGTCCCGCAAGCAGAGAAACCATCAGCCAAGCCGGATACACGACATCAAGCTCGCGACGGAAATCAGCAGCTCGCTCCTCACGCAGATCCGAGAACTACAAGCCGTACTTGCTGAGAAGGATGAAGCACTCAAGGCGGTTGTTTCGGAGAAGTCACAACAGGAGCTGGAAGTCGAAGGCCTGCTGCAGCGTCTGCGCGCCCTGGATGAGAGCGAACAGCGGTATAAGGATGAGAACTGGAGTCTTGAGACCCAGGTTCATGAACTGTTGACCGCTTCCAAGGAAGCCGCGGACAGAGAGGCCCGGCTGGCACAAGGGTTAAATGCCGCGAAGGCGGAGAAGGCTGCTGTGGAACATGAGTTCGAGGAGCTGAACCAGGTTCATGGAAAGCTCAGCGAGGAGCATGCATCCTTCAAGAAGCAGCTCGATTCTGAGATCTCTGGTTTGCGGCGCAATGTCAGCATGGGTGAGAGCGAGCGAGGGGCCCTACAACGAAAGGTCGATGATCTCATCTCTCAAAATCAAGAGCTAGCAAAGGCCGTGGCCTACCGTATGAGGGCTGAGGAACAAGAGAGGGAGCGCGATACCGCATCGGACCAAGAAGACGATGCTGCCGGCCGCATTACTCCGGAGCATTCGCCGCCCCCGTCTCCCACTAAAGCTACGCCTCGAAACGGCGCGCTGGAATCGGAAACGCTCAAGAGCTCCCTCGCCCATGCCCATCGCATGATCCAGAACCTAAAGAACAACATCCATCGTGAGAAGACTGAGAAGATCGAGCTCAAGCGAATGCTGCAGGATGCTCGGGATGAGCTTGAGTCAAGGCGAAGTGGCGGCATTGGTCCGGACAGCGCTGTCAAGAAACGCAAGAGTAACGCGCAGCAGGATGTTTTCAAGAAACCTGCGCGACCGGAGAGGTTAGGCGGAGCACGCACCAGCAACGCTGAGATCATCATCGATGACCCTGAATGGGAAGACCATGATGGACAGGAATCTCCTAGCCGGCAAGCCGCAGCAAGGGCAAACAGCGGTACTGCCACAGCGGGTGAGGGTTTCGGAAGTTCTCGTCTCGCACCGCCTTCTTTCAACGACTCCTACCAGGGGTCCACCGATACTTCGGACGCTTTTGAAACTGCCAACGAGCGTGACGGAACTACCACCGAAACGGATGCTTTTATGACTACCGCCGAGACTCTGGATGGGGATAGCAGTGGTGATGCCACCGAAACCGAGGGAAATGTCTCGACCGATATGCTCGCGAGGGCCCGTCGTCCATCTCCGCTTGTGATGAACAATGGTAATCGAAACTCATACATGAGCACAGCTTCTGCGTCCGGTGACGACTATGACGAGAATGACCTCCGGACACCTGTACAAGCACAGCAACCCCGCTACCGTCTCAAGATCAACCGGGGAGGTTACATGCGTGGCTCAAGGTCCAGCACAGGGGTGTTACCCAGCATTGAACCCAGCTTCCAGGACTCTCCGGCGAGCGTCGTCACCAGTTCGAGCGACCACGCAGCCGGGAAGACCTTGTTCTCCGAATTAGGCAACCTGAGCGACGGAGAGAGCGAAGAAGGTAGCATACGCGAAGGCACACCCAGTTATTCTCAGGTATCGTCACGACAGGCCTCCGCTTCTCCTGAACTGCGGAAGTCGGTTCTCAGCCGGGAGCTCAATGACAAGCCCACTAGGCCGACTGTTGCTATGATAGATTCTGGAATGATGACCGAGCCATGGGAACCGGAGAGTGACCTCTCCAACCCTGCCACAATCATAAGTGCTGCACTTGCTGGCGGGTTCGGCCTAGGTCTAGGCACTAGTACCCGGAACGAGGCTACCATGCAACACGAATCTGCTGCGGCACCAGCCATTGCCGAAGCGGACAGGGCGTTGACGGACGCTATCAGGATCCCGCTTCCCGCCGATGAAGTCTCTGCCATAGTCGAAGATACGCACCCTGAGGCAGCCACAACCTCACCCGCCGCAACACGACTGAACATGTCAACAATATCGGCTCTGCAATCGGAACCCATCGAGCCAATCACCGAGAAGTCGCCGGCGCGCGTCCCAGCAGAAACTTCACAGACTGTACTGCCGGCTACGCTAGAGATATCCTCTATAGCAGCACAAGAGGTGGAACCAATCGAGCCGTACATTCCGGATGTCGATGCTTTCAGAGCAGCTACACCTCACGAACAGCTTCGACCTGACTCTGCGACGCTTGGGGCTGCCTTGATCGGTGCCAACACTTATAAGCGCTTGTCTAGTTCACCCGAACTGACACGCAGGACCGTAGAACCACATGTGCCAGAGCTGGAATTTGCCCCAATAGTAGAGGAAGAGGTGGTGCCAGTATCTCCACCAATGCCAAGCACTCCAACGATGCCTATATTCAAGGCTCCTGGACACTCCCCTCCTACATCTGTGGATCCGTTCTCGATTGATTGTGCCCATGGAGAAGCCCTCAGAGAACCGGCATCCGTCTCCACTGACGACCATATAAGAAGGCTACCACCTTTCACCATGGCCATGGTGGGAGAGCCGCAAAGTACAGAGCCTCTGACGCCGGAGCGTCCTACAACACCAGGTCGTGTCCTCCGAGTCAATGCCTTTGCCTCCGAGGAACCCGCAGATGTACCAGCGCTCCCCGGTACCGACGCATCCAAGCCGGGAGCGGGCTTCTTCGGTGCCATGTCTGAGCATGAAAGAACACTTTCAGCGCTTGAATCAGGACAAGACCAGAATGAGATATCTCTGACCCCTAGACAGGAGGCCGACAGGGCGGCCTACGACGCTAAGCGCATCTCTGCTGTCCAGGCCTTCTTCAGGGACAGGAGCAGAACGCCGGAACGCGTCGGGGCGAGTCTGCCAACTAGTGACGATGAAGTTCCGCCTGTTCCTCAGATGAGTAAAACAGATCTGCCTGCGACTGGCAGCGCAATGATGATGTCGTTGCAAAACGATATTGATAGGGAGCTTCGCGACCGAAACGGTGGCCCTACTCCTGTAGATATCCGAAACAAGGCTATTGCGAGCGGTAGCGGGCCCGGTAGCAGCGTGCATACGACAGAGACCTACGTTGATCAGGACTCGGTTACTCCTATCACGCCATCTCGCCGAGACTTGGATAACGAGTTCACTGATCAAAAGCGTATCTCTGCTGCTGTAGACTTCTTCAAGGAGAGCGATAGGAGAAAATCAGTACAGAAGGAAACAGAGTCTCCTGGACCGGTTCTTTCCGCCAGAAGCGAGCGTCGAGAGAAGCGTCCCGCTGGGATGCTGATTGCTGAAGATGGGACAAGTCAGCCAGTAAGGGAGGAACCTGCGTGGCAAGAACTCGACAACGGCCCCTATGAGCGGTATCGTGCACCGGCGGCCCTAGAACTCTCCGAGGACGAGAACAGGGGTAGGAGCAAGACACCTGAAAGGGGTAGAGTGCCTTTCCAGCCCGTGGATGCCAATGTTGTCAACGGTGAACGTCCGGTAACCGCGAAGAGAGACGGAGCATTACCTGCCAGGCGACCACAACTTGAGATGGCTGATGAAGGGACCCAAACCATGGTCTCCGCAGAGCAGATTGAGAAGCTGCTATCACGGAAGCCTGCGCCCATCATTGCGGCTGCTCCACCAGTCCAGCCACCGTCGCCAAGAAAGTCGTCCAGTCCCAAGAGGTCATCAGTAATACCAGCTGGCGTCATAGTTGACCCCATGCCCCCTAAGTCTCGCAGGCTTTCCGGCACCGGAAGTGTCCGCAGCATTCGTGCAGCTTCTCCACCTCCCCTGCCTGCAGACCATAAGCAGGTCATTGCTGCCGCCGCCCAGCGGGCACCCGCACCGCCACCGCCTGTTCCAAGTTCACCTGGCACAATGGGACCCCCAGTCATGCCAGCTTCGGCTTATAGGACAAGCGTGCCATTCCAGCCTCGACCTCGAACCCCTACAGGTGACAAAATGGCAAGCCCAACGTCGAAGGGCGGGACGACACCTCGGCCACAATTCACAACTAGGCGCAGCGACACTTCCACCCCCATCAGTCGGCACGCCTCTGTCTCCTCCTTCGCGTCTGAACTAGACCAACGCTTCAATATCACCCGCAACGCCCTCCCACCCGACCAGTTCGATCCATCTACCACCGATCCCCGCATGATCCAAGCAATAACGCAGACCATGATCGGCGAGTTCCTGTGGAAATACACCCGCAAAGCCGGCCGGGGCGAGATGTCTGAGAACCGACACCGCCGCTTCTTCTGGGTGCACCCCTACACTCGGACGCTCTACTGGAGCGAGCAAGATCCCGTAACCGCGGGCCGCGCACAGCTAAAAGCAAAGTCCGTCGCCATCGAAGCCGTCCGCGTCGTCACAGACGACAACCCCCTCCCTCCAGGTCTCCACCGCAAGAGCATTATCGTCGTGACACCCGGCCGCAGCATCAAGTTCACGGCCACGACAGGCCAGCGCCACGAGACGTGGTTCAACGCGCTGAGCTACCTGCTGCTGCGCACCAGCTCAGAGCGCGACGACGAGGCACACATGACGGACGCGGATGTCGACGAGTTTAACCCGAGCTACGACCGCAGCCAGTCCCGCGCTACCCGCGTCTCGCACGCGAGCCTGTCAAGTTACAACTCCCGCACGACGCGCACGTCGAGCCCGCAGCGCAACGGCGTCCCGACGCTCGCGCAGCGCCAGTCCGCCGCGGCAGAGCGGGTTCAGAACGGCACCACCGCTACGCAGACCCAGGCACCGGGTAACGCGAGCCAGGGCTCCATGTCCGGCCGGCTGAGCAGTCTGAGCGGGATGTTTCGCGCGCCGTCGGGGATGAGGGGCTCGTTTTCGAGCAGGAGGAGCAGACATAGTCAGCAGCCTGAGATGATCTATGATGCGCCCGTCGTGCACGACTCGGCAGAGGATCTGCGGAGGGTTATCGAGACGCAGGAGCGGGAGGCGGATCGGTTGGAGAACGTTAGGGCGTGCTGTGATGGTGAGTCTTTTTTCTTCCCCTGTCCCTGTCCTTTGTCATCACTTACTCCGTATACCTCCTCCCTCTCGCTCGCTCCCACTGGTGGCCACTTTAGCTAACAACTATTACCCCACAGGCAAACACGACGTCGGCTCCCTCCCCCACCGCAAAGAAAGCACGGGCCGCGGCAGCCGCGCAGGCAGACACAGCCTCTCGCTGACCGGCTCCGTCGCGTCGCGCCATCGGCAGTCAGGAATGTCTACCACCGATCGACACGGCCATGGCACGGGGCCGGACGGCCGCTACCATGCGCAGACGGAGATGGAGGCGGCGGCAAGTGGTGCTGGTTAGATTCGCTGTTCGCTCCTTAACCTTTTCCCCTTTTTCCTCTGCTTCCTTGCCTGTTGGTTGCACGTTGTCAGTAGCAGTTTAATCGATCCCCCCTCCCCACGGCCGCGTTGCGGCCCGTGGTCTCTCATCGTCTTCTTCCCTTGTCCTGCTTGCAAGTCAGCCATGGTGGGCTGTTCGCTGTGTGTGTCTCTTGGCTAAAGGTTTTTTTTCCGCGCAGGCCGTTTCTGCGCCTGGGTGGCCGTCTGCGCTCTTTACGCTCTTTTGTTGGCTGCGTGTCTGGTGGCGGAGTTTGTGGCCTGGGTGGCCGGGCTGTGCAGGGCTGTTGGGCCGTGTCTTGCGCCGCGCGTGGTTGCGACGTCTGCGGTTGGAGGTCAGATTGATTTTTGGTGGGGAGGGGGTTGAGTGGGTGAGGGGGAGGTGGGAATGCGGGAGCAGCGCTACAAGGCCGTGGGGGAGACAGATTGAGAGATAAACCTTGACCTAGAAATACCATTTCTTTTCGTTGTTGTTGTTGTTGTGAGAAGTTGGCTTCTGCAGTTGCTTGGGTCGTGGATCGTCTTGTATACGGTTCCCAGTGAGAGTGCAGGGTAGCTTCAACCCAGGGGCTGTATGGCCGTTACGAACATGTCCCTCCATCATGTCCTCATGCTAATCTTGTCCACCTCCATGCGCAACGTCGTCGTACCCTGGCACCCCCTCGATGCCTCGTCACGCGGTATTTACGATGTGGAGGGGAACGCTGGACTGGGTACCACGCCATCCGCGCAGCCTAAGCGTTCAATCAAATACAGCCCGCCTACAAACATCCGTTACCCTCGTGGCGAGCATTCACGATCACGTCTCACGGCTCACAAGAGCTCGTGCTGTTGGTGCTGCTGTGCCCCTCACGCTGCAGTGCGGAAAGGCAAGAGCTTAAGCCAAGATGGAAGCTCGCAAGGGCCAGTTCAAGGTCCAGATACTCTCGCGAAACACCAGCGTGGAGGTGATGCAGAAATGAAAGGACAAAACATGGGGTTTGTGGATGACCGAGAGCAGAGAAAGCGGACATATAGGAGCGAGGAGTGCAGAGATGAGGATACGAGGATACAACAAAAGGCGTGCACCTACCTTGTGAACCTAAAGAGTAGTTGCAAGGGCGGATGTGGGGGTGGAAGGCTTTGGGCTACTGGGAAGAGAGCAGAGACGGGGAGGCGAAGGGTAAAAGAAGGGAGTGGACGAATGTTGAAGCTGTGTGGGATGGTGGGTCTGCTGGTCCTAAGATGCTTGGTGGTGGCCTAGATGGTGGTGCAAGAGTTCCAATTCCAACTCGTGGAGCTAACTTGCTCTTGATGCGTATCCCAAACACCATGATGAGTGCCCCGAAACAATATATAGCTGGCTTCACCAATTTTGAGGTAATCACCAACACGTTATGCAAGACCGTTTGCACACGCAATGCAAGCACCCGCAATGCATTCATGGAGTATACACAAAGCCTTACCGCCGCCCCGCAACACCAACCCCACCCCTCAAAGATCCTCCATATCCCCCAAAAACGCCTCATCATCGTCCCCACCCCCCCTCGCCACCATCCCACCGCCCTCCTCGCGCCCACCCTGCCTCGCTTCCCGCTCCTCCGCCACATCCTTCCTCCTCGCCTCCTCCTCCCGCCGCAACTCCGCCTCCCTCATCGTGCTCTGCCGCCAGGAATGATGCGCCTCCATGTACGACGCCCCCAGACTCGTGCCAGGATACCCGACGCTCCCGGCATCCGCAGGATCGAAGCCAGAGTCTCCATCGATGCCGCCGACGAACGAGCCTATTTCGTCCGAGGTGCGACGCTCGAGGCCGGGCTCGCCTGTTTCGTCGTCGTCGTCGACGGCTTCATCGGCGGCTTCGCCGGGCGGACCGAACAAGTGCGAGATCTCGGCGCCGCGAGGGGCGGAGGAGGCACCGGCTGTTGCTTGGTCGGCGCGGGGGTTGGGGTTGGGGCTGGGGCTGGGGCGGCTGTAGGGCTCCAGAGGCGGGAGAGATCCGGAGCGGGTGCCAGGCGGACTGTCAAGAGGGCGAGGTGGAGACGCAGAAGCAGCTGGATCTGCGGAGAACATGGCATCGTTGTGGGCCGGAGGGCCGCTGTGAGGGTTGGTAGATGGGGTTTGAGGCTGGCTAGCTGACTGCTGGCTTAAGGTAACTGGCAGTTGACTTGGAGGAGCTGACTGCTGAGCTTGAGAGGCTGGTAGCGGAGTTTGATGAGCTGATCGTTCGATTTGTGGTAGATCTTCCGTGCTCGGTGGCTTCAGAGAGTGGTGTGTCGGCGAGAGGGTGGACTCCGGTTCCGAGCCCGAAATGTCAGTCGCAGGATCAACAATCGCGTCTCCAATGTCCAGCGTCACGTGCTTTCGAGGCTTCGTGTGCTGCTGAGAAGACTTCGTGGCGGACGACGACGGGCGCAGCGAGGACTTCCTGGTATGCTTGACTGGGAAAGCTGGCTCGGTCGATGACCGTCTGACTTCCATACGCTTGGCCACATGTACTACTGGTTCTTCTGCCGCGCGTGTCAAAAGATCGGGCGGCGCAGTGTTGCTTCTGTCGTGGCCTTTACTGCCTAACTTGAAGCCTTCGAGCAGTGGCAAGAAGGTAGGAGTAAACAATCCCATCAATTCCTCGCGCTCTTGAGCAGATCTTCGACTGGTAGGTCCATTCTTCGGCAGATCAGGGAATGTGTCTTCCTTGCCAGTCACGGAACTGTCGTCAAATCTCATAGGAGTAGAGTCCGGAAGCTGGGAGCCACGCTCAGGGGGTTCTAAGATATTGGGAGCGCCGTGACTGCTCTGGCTATCCATATTCGCTTCCGATAGCTTGCCATCGTCGCCTGAGATTCCTGCCTCCTTTGAATGTCTGAGTTTCTCCCGTAATTGACGCTCGTATGTCTCATACTCTTTCTGCCTCTCAGCTATATAGAGCGAAATCTGATGATCGAGCTCTCTCCTCTTCTCATCAAGGGTCTTGATAAATGTTTCTGCTTCTCCACTGTCATAGTCTCCGTGTCCGTTCGTGGCGAGAGGGACGATAAAGCTAGACTTGCTAGCTGTAGGAACTGGTCCCGAGCTACGTTCTTGGAACCGAAACTCTGTCATCCTGCCGTCCTTTTTTTTGTATGTGTAAAAGACCTCAGCGACTTCAAAGCATGAGCCCAGGCTCGTAGCCGTTCCGCGAGGTCCGTCGCAGCCTATGCTGCTATTGCAGACAAGATAGCTCTTTCCTGTCAGACCAGGGGCGAATCATATAGTCCAGCTCTTTCCCTCTTTCCCTGTGGTCCCTACTTGGAAGTCTTCAAGCTTTCATCAACCTCTACGGCGGTCTGCAGCTCGAGGCGTGAGGTCTAACCCCCACTGAGGCGGAGCCGTATAAGGTTTGTACGCTACGAGAGTGCTCCTGAGCGTAAGTCGAATTTGAGATCGGTGGGTGCGAGAGCCTCGTTTGAAAGACTATTGTGGAGTCGTTCGGCGAATCGGACGAGCCTGGCGAGATGGGGCAGGCAGATCTGGCAAAACCCTTCCCTTGCCGACTTTCCTCGATAATGAGGTCGCAAGGTATGAGGTAGACGTCTGTGAGAGAACGTCGAGCTCTGGATGACTCCGCTCAGTTGTGTGGGTAGCGGTTTCAGGGCTGCGGCTAGATCTTCCAAGGTAAGTCGCGGAGCCGGTGCGAGATTAACGGAACGCTAGGAATAACTTGGAGTATATTTCCAGAGGATGTCTCCGAGCTGACATGCAATGGAGGTCCCTTCAAAGCATCCACTCGGACTGAGATCTGTCTTCCCTGAGGGTCAATCGGTCGGGCTGACTCGATGACTGGAGCGAGGCTCAGCTTCAGCTGCTTTCCAGGTGAGGGGTGTCGAAGCTGTGAGCAAGCTCTCCAGAACTTCCAGGCGAGGTTAGAAGTAAGATTGAGAGGAGGCAGAAGCAGACAAGACAGTTGCAGAACTCAGTCAATCGGATTGGAAGGAGGTGAGGCACGACTCGGATGCATGACATGCGGCGGAGAGGCCATCGCGACGTTGGCCTTGTGGGGTTGCTCCGAGTCGTTGCAACCCCGGCTCGCCAAGGGGCGCCGCCAACCGGGGAGCTGCCCCCTAGGTGGAGGCGCCGTTTCCACAATCCCTGTAGCACATCTTTCTGCATGCCTAGGTAGGTATTGTAGTATTGCAGTATTGCACTCTACACTACTGCTCTACGCCTCAACTCGAGCTGTTTTTTGTGTCGTGTACTTGTGATACAGCGCTCTGTCATTCCAGGGAATCCTCTGGCTGCGCGCCGACGAACATCTCGACGCCTTTCAAGGACTGCATCTTGCAGTCGCCACCTCAGCCGCGGACAGGGCAGAAGCTATGAGCACCGCAGCCGCGTCGAATGCGTTCATGCAAGGTCTCTGGCCTACGGTCTTCAGCTATAAAATCGCCATATTAAAAGATTGCTTCGCGTGGCTGTATCCTCACACCAAGCACGCCGACAAATTACAACGAATTTCACCGACGCAAAACTGAACTCGGGCTGAACGCAGCTCACAAGGCTGCAGCTAACCCTTCAGCACGTCCCTAAGAGTGCCGATACGCAGCGGCCTGCCGATACTCCAGAAAGAGTGATGTCTTCTGTTGAATCCCACACCGCGCCCCAGTTTGACCTCTCATCAGGCTTTACGCCTTCCTTAACGATCAGCTGCATAATACCCACCCTCATCCATGTGACGATGCGATGAGGCGGTGGCAGCTGAGCGAACAACGTCTGTTTTGACTTGATGAGTCCAGCAGAACGCTCCCTCGTTTCGCCTTCACACGCAGAGTCTCCTTCTCCCCATCTCAAAATAAATCTTCGACAGGAAGTAGCCTCCGAGTCCCCTCGCTGATGTCGACATGAACACCTTGGACAACACGCCATGATCGCCCGTCTCGATGAACACTCTTCTCGCATCTCTCGCATCCAGAAATGAGTTACCAGTAGACCGGGTTCAGCTGTTCCGTTCACGATTCCAAGTCCGTCAAATTAGCTTTTCGAATGGCCAGCACCTCAACGTTCAATGTTCGCCTCAATCCGTGCGGCCGATGCGGGCATTTCGGCTTTAGTATGTGCCATGTTTGTCGCGTCTCAGATGCAACAGCAACATACTGAGCAGAGAGGAAGCGGGGCGTAGCCGGCAATTTGTTCTTTACAAGGCAAGTGTCCACATGTACAACAAACCATTATATAGTACAATCAACACGGAGGTGTTTAGTCATGTTGGTGGCTCGCTTGTCAACTTCAATGATGATTCTATCGGCATGACACTGACAGGACATGAAACCTAGGACGCAAGGCGCGCAAAAAACCCCCAGATTGACGGTAGACCATTGCACTCCAGTTTCCATCGCCGTCCCGGATCGTCGAGATGTGATGGCTCCGTACCGATGCAATCTGTTACCGGCCTTGAGCCTTTATGCAGTACAACGATGATCACGGCCTTTCCCTTTCACTAACACGCACGGCACAGGAGTCGGTTCAGTATTAGAGGTATACTCCAGCATTGAAGAGTCTGTTTCCATCATACACCCGGCCACTCTACCGGCATTCCGAATAACGCGCTGCAGCAACCAGCAGTAGCCACAGGTGGCGTGCCGCATCTCGCGAAGAAATCAAAGCAAAAAGCAGATCCGAATTCCCTCCTATCCCCCTACCACCATCGTGCAACCGCGTAAAAACTCCAGCTCGGCCGGAACAAGCCGAACACTACCGTTGCTCTGCAACAACGTATAAGAAAGTTGAGATGCCGGTTCGAGTCTGTTCGAACGCCACTGCAAATGCACCTCGTCTCGATCATGAGCTTATTGCCATCAGAAAGAGAGCCCTCGCACAAAAAAAGCAAAATACACAAGAAAAAACCATGTGCACAGTGCGTGAGCAGCCCACCATGCACCTGCGAAGGGTACTGAACACGACGCTCTGGCTGAAGACCCTTGTCAGATCCCTCAGAAACCATCCCACCTCGTCACCAGTCCATGCTCCGGAAGCCCAGAGGGTAAATCTCAGACTCATCCTGGGGGTACCATTCGCTCCTCACCAGCAATCAGGACGCAAACCTACCCGCAGCTTCCAACGCGTCCGGATACAGCTGCTTCAAGACCTTCCAGCCCCAGGCGCCGATCCCCTCCATCTGCTTCATGTCGATGATCCAGTCGAGCAGGAGCAGGACGGTGAGTTTGAACTCCTCCTCGTCGCAGTACTGCTCGCGGATACGTATCAGCGCCGGATGTTCCGTGGTCGTGCGCAGGATGAGCAGCACGCCGAGGAAGTTCTGCGTCCACGAGAAAAGCACGGGCAGCAGCCTCTTCCGGTCGCGGCAGGGCGACATGCAGATCGGCCACAGCATCGCGGCTTGGAGACATGCACCCGCGTATCCGGCATCCGCAGCGGTCATGAGTTCCGGGAAGTGCATGGCCTTGTAGACGAACGGCCTGTACATCATGAAGCGGGCGTAGTAGTATCTGGACCGGAGCTGGGCGGTGGAGATTTCGATGTTGAAGCGGTAGTCGGCCGCCCGACCTGGTCCTTCGTCCGGCACGAACATCATCTTCTTCGGGTTGTGCGGCGTGCCATCGTCCGGGTGGGCGAAGCGCTCTTCGTCGCTCCACTGCAGTGCCGCTGGCAGCAGGTGCCGCCAGGAGTCCAGCTGGTGGCTCAGTTCCTGGATCACGTGGACTGGTGGGCCGCCGTAGTCTTCATTCTGCTCGGCCCTCGAAGACGACGCTAGGAGATTAGTCAGCTACATATTGCATGAAGATGGGAAAAATGGGGTGAGAACAATAAAGAATGTCAGTGCTAAACCCCCGGTGAGGTTGTCCAGGGTCCGCGGAAGTGGATCTCGCTAGATCGGAGTACACTCCGTCGCCTAACCTCGTGTTAAGCGGCTCGCAACTCGAATTTCGCTTACCTTCGTATATAATCTGGTGTATACGGCTGATATGCCGGCGGAGCGCAATCATGGCAAGGAAACACATCATCGACTGGCTTTCCTGCCGAGACTCTTCAAAATTGTCCCCGGGAAGTGGTACCTGATCTTCATGATCGCATATGCCGGTGCGCGGAAGATCGAGGTCGAAGTGATACCAACTGTACTGGGTCAGAAGGATTGCCAAGATATGTTTGGTTTTCCGTACTTCTCAATCAAGTTGGCGGACCAGTAGATTCTCTTCATTTGACATCCCTTCGGTGAGTCCCAGTCCATTGGTTCACTAGGTTGGATCAGCTGATGGTGTAAAGATACTCCCGTTCTTGCTCAGCGTAACCTACCACTTCAGCGTTACCTGGCATGCCAGGGCAGCAGAGCTCGTTGCGCGCCAGAAGTCCTATGCCAGGTTCAGTTCAACACTGGCGGGATACATGACGAGACTCACCAGATGCCTTGCGGTCGCTTCAAAGTACAGGCTGTGATCCATGCAACGTCAGCATCTCGGGCTACTATCATGTCAACGACCGGACGGAGAGTAGACTGACGCGGTGAGCAAATGGAGCTGGATGTTCTCCATGTTGCACTGCGTGTTCACGAAACCCAGTCGCTTCCTCGCTTCGTTGAACAAGTCGAGTCCCGGTGGCACCTCTGCTGTTCCTCCTCGTATGCCGCTGCGCCGACCACCCTCGTTAACGTCAATCCGTTGGCCATAGCTTCCTTCGACAGCGACCTGGCCGAGGGCGAGTACGAGCAAGACGAGAACCGACTCCATGTCCCCTTCGCCAAATCCGTGCCGCGCTACTGTTGGAAGGAGGTCCTGGCTGAACTCCTTGTAGTTCACAATGGGAAACAGAACGTTGTATGTACTGAAGTAGTGCGTCGTGTAGTTTGTCATGATCTCATAAGTTAACTTAGGGAACAACACTCGAGGCTGACCATTGAATATTAGGACTTGTTCGCCAGTTCCTTGGCCGAAGGAAGGCAGTGCGGGGAGTATGTTGGGATGCATTGCCATCTCTTGCCTTAGGAACCATGGAGTTCCTTCTTGTAACACGTACTCAAGATCGACCTGGATGTCCGTGCCTGCTGCCGTAAGATGCATATAGATGTACGGCCAGAGCAGGATCTTGTGCGGAGTGGTCAGATGCTCGTAAGCCTGTGGTATCTCCGAGTCCATTGTCTGGGAGTGAGGGAAGAGACGAGGTCTCTGAGGCTGCCCCACGCGCTCAGGTGCAGTAACCATTGCGCCAAGCGACGAATGCTGACTGGTAGGTGACATTGTGGAGCTCATATCGAAGACGAAGCTGTTTGGGCTAACAGTCTTGCCAATGACATCAAGCTTGCCGTTCATGGTGTTCAGCGTATCCAGAATATGAACCAGCGTCTTGTCTTTCCTGCGGTCAAAGTATCAGTCACGTTACAACGAGCCTCCCACCGCTTCCCTCGACCCCTTAACGCGCGACGACTGAAGCTCTGTCGAACTCACTTTGTGGGCTGCGGCTCCCTGTACTGACACTCGACGTTGAGCCGCCGGCACAGGCCGCACTTGGGCCTCTGCTCGTCACATTTCGACTTCCTCGAGCGACACGTTTCGCATGCCTGGGCTGCAATTGCGGCTCGCTCCCTCCGTTGCGAACTCTCCGCAGGGCTCGACGCTGAAGCGCGCCCCGCGGCGGGCTCCATGCTGCTGTTACTGGGCTGCTAGATCAGTCGGCCGACCTTGCATGCGGGCAGGCGCGACCCGATAGCGAGTGACGTTGACAGGGCACGGTAGACGATGGCAGGAAAGACCGAGGGTTTGGATAGACGCGCATGCGTCCGCAAGAGATGGGCGAAATTCAGGTGTGATGTTCGCGGCGGAGGGATGACCGGCTCCCCCGGATTCGAGTGGAGCCGCTGATTGACTTGGTTGAGTGGCTTCGACACGGGATATAGCGAGCGATGCGTTGGTGTGTCTTGCAGGCCGAGGAGGTGAAGGGGCATCAACGCGACTTTTACACAGGAACTGAGGACTCTGACAATGGCTCAAGCAGCAACAACGTTCCTATTGTAGGGGAGTCGGAGCCGTCGCCACTATCGCATCACTATTAATCCAAACCTTTCTGCGGACAAAGCTCCGGAGGGCAGCACGATTCGCCACCAGGAGACTCTGAAATGCGATGACACGGCTGACACGGCGTTTTCAGGATCGCAGAAGCGGACCGCTTCCGTCGCAATGCACGACTTTGGCGAGCAAAAGCGCATAGAACATCCGGACCAATGACTCGGGACCTTGTGCCAAAATCCATTTGTCAGCTCATAAAGCTGGCAATTGTTCGTGCGAAGACACGGAAGGACCTGCATCGACGACGCGCATGGCGCGAAGTGTTCAGAAGAAGACAATCCCCTCGAAAAGCCCTCTCGCCGGAGGCACAGCCGCAAGAACACAAGTACAGAGCCGCCTCATCCTCAGCCGCGCTACTCTAATCCAGGCCAGCTGCAAGGCCAGCTGCACTGCACGGTAACTAACGGAGACGGAGGAGGCTCCGGAGCGTCATGCGTTATGCTTTAACCAAAGAGCCGAGCGCATCAAGGCTGAACCCTCACACGTAAGCGAGCTCTACTCCTTGCAGCAGGTTTCTGGAAGAGGCATGGAAGCGCGTAAACCACGTCGTATGCTGGTACTTTGCAATGCAAGCATGCGCCAGCAGGTTGGGGCGGTCGCGAATATCGGTCAATTCAATTCTGTCTTAACAGCATCCATCGAACGAACACGAAGTGAGACGTGGGTCGTGTCAGGAGCAAGCGGATGGTCCTCCGTACGTTCGATCGGTACGACCGTTGTCCCTGGTCCGCTTAACGGTTGGAGATCCCCATATGCGGCCAGGCTTGGCATTCGGAGGGGACTCCGCGGACTACTCCGCAACAGGAAGAAGACCCTTGAGGCACGTGCCGGTGCTTGTGGGCGACGATGACGAGTTAACTACAGGTGCTCAGGGCCGAGGCAGTTGCCGTCGCTCTTTCTATCCATCCACTTCGACTTGCTGCGCCACGCCATCTCGCCGCACATCAATTCGTTCCAGCTCCGTAGAAACGCCTCGAATCGTCGCGATAGCAATAACCCTCGATGGGCCTAGGCAACGTCCGAGATCCTCGTTGGAGCATTGGCCATCAGCTTAACTGCCACTCTTCTGCTCTGTGGAGCCGCATCCACTACGGAGAGTGCTCCGACTGCCGACTGCCGACTGCCAGACGCTTCCTTCCAAGCGCGACGCCGTAGAAGAACCTTCAGTGGTACAGTTGTATCGGAGGCTTCCGGCGGACACTCATGGAGCTTAAGCCAACCCTGTTTCCTCGGTCACAAGGAATTGGTGAGCTTCGCCATAGCTCTCGCCAGCCAAGTTAGCATTCTCTGAGCTTGTCCTCGAGGCGCTGATGCATCGCCTGGATGGATGAGCTTGAGCCAAGGGAGAACGTCGTATGGGGCTGCCATTGTGAGGTCGAAGGTATCCGAAGGAGTATTGGATTTAGGTACGCACACCCTAAGAGGTACTCAAGCGACCGGAAAAGAAAACCCGCGACTCAATAATTGGGAATCGAGGACTCGGTCCACTACACGTCGCTTTCCATTCCATATGTTTATGTTCTTTGTCCATCACGGTAGCTATGCTCGCATGTGCGATAGTCCACCGCCTTCTGCAATATCTTTTGAAACAATGACTATCGACACTCATGTACACTTCCACTGCACAAGCAGACGCCGGTCTTAGGGCGCTCCACGTTCTTTATCAGTACAGCCACAGTCCCGCACAGCATTGTAGGATGCCGACGCATTTCGGATCCATGCTCCGTCACTCCTCATCGAAACAGGACATGTGACGGTCGGCAACAAATTTGGCACAAGCGTATATTGTGCGTATAGTTTCGCAGCGAGGCCAAGTAAGACAACGGTGCACTGCGGTCTTACAGACGTCTGTCCACTTCTTTGTATCATCTAGCTACCGTCTCCAGATCAGCGAACATGCCTTGCTGAAATGGCTCGATCCAGCGCTGCGCAACTAACAGTAGTCAGAAAGTGTTGAGAAAGCTTCATTTAGTACCACTTGACATTTGTTGCAATCAAGTCAGGCATCATCCCCTTGGTGCCTAGCCCTTGTTGTTACGTTTGACCTGCGGGACACCTCGCTTCCGCTCGTGTGTGCTCGGGTCCCTGTTCGCCAGCAAATGGGTGTCAATCACCCTCGCAACAAACCAGATACCAAACCCCCAGTACTCATCCAGCCAGCTCTCACTTGCACCACGGTGCGATGCCTGGATGCTCATGCGGGGTGCTGTGCAACTCCGTCTCCAAGGAGCTCAAAAGTCACAGCTGGTTATACTCCAGCGGTATTATCATTGTCAGAAAGCAATACCTGGAATGGCAGCTTCTCAACGCCAGGCCGCTTCGCCGTGAACATTAAGTCGTTCGGTTGCGAACCTGCAAGTGATTCTTGACGCCGCCCCTGTGCCAAAGTACATGCGCGTTCGCATTCAACGATGTGTGGTACCGTATGAGACGTACAATTCTCAACAAGCTCATCAACGGGCCCTTGCTCGTGGCCCATGCCTCTATCCGCATTGCGGTGGAACCTGTAGCGGGAAGGGGATGGCGAGCAGTCTCTTCGTACGGGGGCGCAGTAGATGCTTCAACTTCTGCAGGTTTGCAGATCCCTATACATTCTACCGATGCCGTGATCATCGTGCCGTCTTCTCTTCACTTTCAAGTACGGTGCTACTCGCAATACGGACATTCAACCCCAAGAGCAGATGGTCACGTGCTCATTCCGCCGCTCCAACACATCCCGCGCCGTTTTCCGCCCATAGCTTGGCACCGCACGGATCTCGAAACCCAAAACACCAAAGAAGCCATCACTAACACCCTCTCGCATTCCACGCGCCAACACTCCACTGACCCGCCGTGCGCCTCACCGCCAAACCATCTCCACAATGGCACGCCCCCCTGAACCCCCGCCCTCAACTCCATCCCCACTAATCTTCTCCCTCGCAGGCGCGCAACTCGGAAAAAGCGCAAAGCATGCTCTTCCGCTTCCGCGCCGCGCAAGCCGCCGACCTCGGCATCCTCGACATATCGCGCACGCGGCGGCCCAAACTCATCACCTCGATAACCTCGATCCCCGTCTGCGAGAAGTGGCGCGGCCAGGTGCTCAAGGAGATCAGCCGCAAGGTCACCAAGATCCAGGACCCGGCGCTCAGCGATTTCCAGATACGAGATCTCAATGACGAGATCAACAAGCTGATGCGCGAGAAGCACATGTGGGAGGTGCAGATACGTGGGCTCGGGGGGCCGAATTTCGCGCGGGGTGGGAGGGTCGTTGACGAGGAGGGGAGGGAGGTTCCGGGGGGTGGGAAGGGGTATAGGTGGGGGGGTTTTCCTCTCGCTCCTTTGATTCCGCGGGGAACTGCGCGTTCTGCCGGACGCGAAAAGGACAGCCGCTAATCGGGTGTGCTGGTTAACCAGATACTTCGGCCGCGCGCGCGACCTCCCCGGCGTAAAAGAGCTCTTCGATGCCGCAAAACCAGCCCAGCAAGCTGCTCCCACAGAGGCCCAAACCCGCGCTCAGCTCTCCCGCAACATCGACGCGTCGTACTACGGCTACAATCTCGACGAAGAGGACGGGACACTGCTGGAATACGAGGCGCAGAGGGAAAAGGAGGCGGTTGAGAAACTGATGGCGGAGCCAGATGAGGTGGAGGGGCCGGTCTCGCCGACGAAGAGAAGGAAGGGGAGGGAGGTTGATGATGCGGTGTGGCAAGAGTTGCCCGGGGATGCGGGGGATGGGGTGGGCTGGAGGGTGCCGAGTTTGGAGGAGGTGCAGGAGGAGTTGGTGGAGCGGAGGAGGCGGAGGTTGTTGGATAAGCTTGGGTGAGGTCTGCCTGGTGTGAAGTAGGAGGAAGTGTTAGCAGCTCGCAGGCTGGGCTTGTATCGCTTCCTGAAGAAGTACTAGGTAGTCAAATGGACAAGGCCAACACAGGGCACGATTGAAAGCCGCTGAGCGGCTGAGGAAGGTGCAGTCCTGTACGGCAATCAAGGACGTCAGTAGGCCACATGACGACGCAGATTATCAAGTCGTTTGACAGAACCTATTCTCGTTCCGTTACATGGTATACAACCGCATCACCTCTGCGTCTAATCCTCATCCCAGTTCGGGTTGGGACCAGGCGGTTTGGGCCCTCCCGCCTGCCTAGCCACGATAATCTGGTCCACACTGAGCACTGTTCTCGCCGCCTCCGTCGCCAGCTTGATAGCCCACTGCTTCGTGACCAGCAGATCCAAGATCCCCTCGTCCTCCGCATCCAGCGTGCCCGTGCCATCCTCGTTCTCGATATCAACACCCGTACACCAGTTCTTCTCGCCTTTCCTGCTCTTCTGCGCCGCATGCGCCGTGTACAGTCTGCTGAGGACTTCCGTCGCGTCCAAGCCAGCAGACTCCGCCAGCGTGCGTGGTATCACCTCGAACGCCTCGGCGTACTTCTTGATGGCGTATTGCATGAGCCCCGGCGTCTTCTCGCCAAACGCGGTAATGCGCTCCACGAGCTGCATCTCTGTTGCTCCGGCGCCGGGGACCAGGTTCGGGTTCCGGGTGATGGCTTTGACGACGTTGACGCCGTCGTCGACGGCGCGCTCGATGTCGTCGAGGTGGTTTTGCGTCGCGCCGCGTAGCACGAGCGTCGCTGTGCGGGTCGTTTCGTTCTCCTGCCTGAAGACCGTGACGCGGTCGCCGCCGATCTCGAGCGTCTCGACGACGTCTACGCTGCCCATCTCATCGGGCATGGGTGCGCCGAGGCGCGCGAGGGGAGTGGCGCCGACGACGCGGCAGAGGCGGCGGAGCTCGAATTTCGAGAGGATCTTAATAACGAGGATATTGTAGCGGTTTAGATAGTGCATTGCCAGCTCGCCGATTGTGGAGCCTGCGACGACGACTCTGAGGCCCGAGTCGTGTAGTTCTTTAACAGTGTTCTCGATCTGCTCTTCCTCGCCTTTTGTGAAGTCTAGAATCTCCTTTGCGTTTTTCAGCAGTACTGTTCCTTTTGTTTCTGTCTGGCTAATGTCGATCGGACAGCTGAAGACGCCGACTTTGGCTTTCTTGGCTTTCTTGACGGTGCCTTCGGGCTCGCGGCCGAAGACCATGCCTTTGACTACCCGGCTCTGCTCCAGGGACCCGCCCATGATCTTGACCACGCGGATGTTGTCCACATTGAAGTTTGCCGGGTTCTTGGGCAGGACGGCTAGGACAGCCTCCGCGACCATGTCCGCCAGGAAGTCCTCGTTGCCCGATTGCTTCGCCGCAATGACGGTGCTGATAGCCTTGCTCAACTCGCCCAGGTCCCGCATGTCCTCGACTTTGTCCACTACAAGCTCTGTCCAACCATCATCGTCAGCAAAACCCTTCCCAGCATGCCTTCCCACTACCGATCCCAGCGAACAAAAGAAGCACACTCACCATCCAACACCCTCAATGCCTCCTCTCCCGCCCTCTCATACCCGAGCACCACATCCCCCGTCTTCAGCCCCAACCTCAGCAGCTCCTCCGCCTTCCGCAGCAGCTCCCCCGCCAGCACAATCACCATATTCGTCGCATCCCCCATCTCGGCCTCCTGCTGCTGGCTCGCCATGACCAGCAGCTTGGCGGCCGGGTGCACGACGTCGAGCTCGCGGAGTATGGTCGCCGCGTCGGAGGTCAGGATCATCTTCTGTAGGTGGTTGATTACGATCTTGTTGCGGCCGTAGGGGCCCAGGCTGGTTTGGACGGTCGACGCGATGGTGCGGCAGGCGTCGATGTTGCGGAGGACGGCGCCGTCTTCGGCGTCGTAGCTGCGGGGAGGCGTTAGCTGGGTGTTTGGTATGGAGCTGGGGGGTTGTTGCTGGGGGTGTGGAGGGCGCACTGCTGGTAGCCTTGCTTGAAGAGGCCCGCATTCGGGGCGCTGGGTATTGAAAGAGACATTTTGGGTGGGTTGAGGGTGGGGAGTGGTAAAGGTGTGGAGGGAGGACGTGTTGTGTTGTAGATCGAGCAGTCAAGTCGCGATATTTTTTTGGATCGACTTTTGGCGAACGCGTCCCGCCGCATGGGAAGGCTTGGCATGCGTATCAGGGATGAATGACCATTTCGGAGAGGCACTTCACAGGAAGTCACAGCAAAGATCTAACCCGTGACAGTTGCCGGGTAACGTATGCTACAATATTGTACATGTTGGCATTCATTACTATATACAAGCCGAAGGGGTGTGTTAATTGACCCTCACTATCGAAGCAGGATGAACGGCCAACAAGCCAGTCCATTGTATCTACATTAACAACTTCATTGGCTCCTCGCAAGCCTCGAGGATTCGACGGATTCTACACCTTGGGAGATGAGACATCTACGGACACCATCTCCACACCCGTGGCTTCCGCTAGGGGGTAGTTCCTTATGCGTGGAACCGTCAGCAGTCCTTCGCGTCTCCGGGTCCGGCCCGCGAGCCTTTTCATCGTGTCGACCAACTGAAATCCAACGGTCCTCGTCCGATTAGCTTGCGCCCTCCTCCTCGCCAAACAGAGCTTGAGCCACTGGACAAACCGCTCCCGAACACGGTCATCACTCAGGGCTTCGTCTCCGGAGCTGCTCCCGTCCGCACCATGCAGAAACGGCTTTTTCGCCATGCGAAGCGCCTTGTGAAACTTCCTGTCGATGCGCATGTTGGTCGCGAACACGGTCTGCAAGACCCACTGCACGCCGTTCAGGTTCCTTGCCGCGGCGTAGGCGCGCAGGAACACCGTCATGCCGACAATGTCGAACGGCTTCCGCTGCGCCAACTCTGACTTGTAGATAGAAGTCAGTAGGTTGATGGCGGAGGTCGGCCTGCCTTTGTTCACAAGATAGTTCGCGCCTGAGATGGCTATGTAGTGCTGGACCTCGAAACCGTTCTCAGCCATCGAGCGGTAGAAGCCCATGACTATTTTCTCGATCTCATGATCGTCGAGTCGTCGGTTGTACATGCGATGGAGGAGAAAGGCGCCGAGACTGGGACGTACGTTCATGCCCGCCGCTTTTGCTTTAGAGAGTTCTTCGTAGGCCTTGCGCAGGGATTCATCTCCTGTTCTGTGTCCCGCCTCCATGGCTATTTCAAGTGTTTGGGTTGAGGCCGGCAAGCCGCCAACGAGGGTTTTCCGGTACAGTTTCAGCGCTTCCTCGGGTTTATCCCATGCAAGAGATAGTAACATCTGGCTCTCGGTCTGCCGCTTGTTTACGTAAGCTTTGTTGATGATTCCAGGTGCGCGAGCAGCCTTGCGAGTGAGGCCCCCAAGGCGTGTTCTGATGACAGGCTCAAGGATGCGGCGGTTTCCTAGACCAGCTTTGCTTAAGTCGAATGCGAGGGAACTGCCGACAACCGTGTAAAGCTCTTTTGATGCCAGGCTTCGGTCAGCAGCACCATCAAGTTGCTTGACAAGTCCAGTGAGGAACTGGTGTGAGGGCCTGTTGTCGAGGAAATAACGCTTAACCATGTGGAAAGCGCTGTGCGCGTTTACCGTGCGTTTGAATCCCTGTGCGTGCATGCTTTCAATCCATGGTTCTATCTCATCCAAACGCTTCTCGTGAACAAGAGATTTGAGGACCAGATCAACCGTACGCTGGGTCGGCCGGATGCCGTATTTGTCTATAACTTCCTGCAGGAAACTGCGAGTGTCTTCCGAGTTGTGCCGTCTGCAGAATTGCCTGAATGTAGGGTTGAAGAAGCTCCTCATGGGCATGGAAGTGTTGACCATGCCACTTTCATGCACTGTATCCAGTATCTTTCGGACGGCGGCCCAGTCGTCTGCGTAAGCTCGAGAGAGCATGAGGTGGCCGAAGGTGGCCATATCCGGTTTCATCTTCTTGTCTGCGATGGACCCAAAGATCTCGGGGTCAGTGGGAAACCCTTGACCAGCTGTAACGCGTGCCAAAATTAGAGCGTTGTAAACGTCGATCGGAACCGCTTGATCGTTCAGCGCAGCAACCATATTTCGGAAAACCGATTGCACGGCCTCTAAGTTCCTCGTCTGACTCCATACCCGGCTGAGCAAGATCGCGTAGGACGCCTGACATGGTTCGAACGCCTCGCTGCCGAACGATGCGTTTGTGAGTTTAGTGATCATCTTTGTGGATTCCTCGAAAGACCCGAAATGTGCGAATGCTGTGCAGACATCCGGCCGGTAGTTTTCGGGGATATCCAGCTGATCACGGTACCTCGTAACAAGGTTCACAATAATCTCATGCCTTTCGCGCGTCTCTGCGCCTTCATCGCAAGCGTGATATGCCTTGATCACATTCAAGGCACACACGGGGTCCATGCGGTGTTGCGCATGCAGCCATGACAGGATCTGCCGAGTGGGCTCCACTAGTCTTGCTCGCGCTGCGGCATCAGATAACCTGTGAGCCATTTCCATTGAGGGTGTCTTAGATAAATCGTTCTTCCTAGGTTGTAGTGCGCTGATCAAAGTTCGTGTCGCTTGGGCCACGTTTGAGTTCTCAAGGTGGTTCTCGCATCTGTCCAAAACACAACCGATCCACGTTCGAACATGAACTTGGCTGTTGGGTACTGTCCGGAGCCAGTTATTGATCTTCCTCGCGGAACGACTTTTCGTTAAAGAGCAGCTGTCGACGGCGGCCTTGAAGATGTCTTTCTGGATTGTCACAGTGAGCGCTTCAATATGCAAACCTCGGTCGATTGTGTCTTTGAGAAGGGAATGTCCAATAGTTGCGAGAAACAGATCGATAGCATCACCGTATTGGCATGCTTCGATGAGCTTCAGTATAGCTGTATGCACAGTGCTCAAGCAGCTGTATGTAATGCCCCCGAGACTATGTATGCAGTTGAAGAGGGCTTTGAACGGCTCGGAAAGCTTGGAAAGGGCAGTCGCACAAGTGCCTGCGGCAAGCTCTAGCAGAACCCATGCGAGTTCCAAAGGTGGACGAGCTGGGCCCTCGTTGCTGACTGTAAAAAGGTCAAAGAACTTCTCTATCACTTGATTGATGTTTTCTTGTGATAGGTCTCTGCGAGCATTTATCCACAACTCCCGGTCTGCTTCTGGAGTTCCAAGCTCGACATAGCGAGTGTCGGACTTGCAGAATGCGTTGAACCTTTGCAATGCGCATCCTGCCCGTCCTGCTCTAATTGCATCCACTATGGATGAAGCCGCCTGAGGTGGCGTGAGAGCTGGTGCGCTCGCCGGAGTAGGCTTGACGAGCAAGCGGCCGATGGTGGGCGGAGGCTCAGACACGAATGCACGATGTTTGCGGCTTTCGAGGAAAGGCTGATCACCAAATGCATCTGAGAAAGCATCCTTGACTGGATCCGAAGGGCGCATTCTTCTCGCTTGGGAAGGTTGAGATTTATCGGATACGCCCAGGGGGTGCCCTTTAGTTTCTCTAACTCCAGTTTGGCCATCCCGACTCCTAGCTCTTGCCCGCGACACATCATTGTCCTCGTGCTCCCTCCGTTTAGGTTGCCTGCGACGGTCCTTCGACGGCCGGGTGGTAGCTCTCTCGTAAGCTTTGTCTATCTCAGACGAAGACAACGGGTGCCGTAATGCCTCGCGACCATACTCGGATGCGTATATTGCCGGTATCCCCGCGCCCTCTACACCTTCTATATCCCGAGCTGCTACCGCCATCGCATGAACATATCGCTCGCTCGCCCTGAGCTTCCTCGCATTCTCCACAATCTTTCTAGCGGTGCATATCCTCCTCCTTCGTTCTTCTGCAAGCAAGACCGCGGCGCCTGCTGCCACTCCGGCACCGCTGTATAGTACCGCCTGCCGGAGGGCCCGCAAGGCGCCTTTCGAGGGGGCGGGTATGGATTTCTCGAGCATCTCTGGGGTGTGGGGGTCATTGTAGGTATCTGTCGCTCATGCTTTGTCGAGGATTGGTACGACCGGTCTGGCCAAAGGATTTGTATGTGGATAGGACTGTGTTATCGAAGGATGAGGCTCAAAGGATATCAAGATATCAGGTAGCGCGCTAAAAACCCCAAACCCAAAATGGCGATGAGCGGATCACCACCACCGCTCCGCTGCAAACGTGAAATTATTAACTATAGAGCTCGGTAATCATCAGGATATCAGATGTCAATGTCTGACAGAATCGGCAAATTGTGATTCTTTTATAGCCATAGCGCCGCCGTGCAACTTCCCTATGCACCCAATGTGTCAAGCTCCTAGAATCCCACTATCTACTCAAGGTATTCCGCAGATTATTTGACAACATCTTCAAATCTGGAGATCATTGCCCTCCGCCTACCACTTATCCAAGGCCTCCGGAAGTAACGCACTGCAAGCATGGCCAACACTTAGATCCCCTGCTGCTATACAGGGTTCTGAACACCCACTCTATTGCTGCTTCATTGCAGACTTCCGATCCAGCTCTTTTGGTATAATCCTTTATCAGCGTGGCCTGATGCCACCTTCCCTAATCCCTCCATTCCCTCTACATACAGCACCTATAACTCCTCAGCGCCCCTCCATCCTTCGTGATCTCAAGACATCACCACCATCCTATCCCCGCCCCATTTCCCTATCCTCCCACTCCCGCCCATGCTCAACTGGCGTCTTCGGCTGCAACTCCCCGACCCCCCACTTATTTGAGTACTCTGTAGAATCAGTATAAAGTTCTGCTGGTGGTACAGGAAGCTCTGCCCTCTGCGCAGTTTCAAGCTCCACGCGGGAATGCGGAAGTTGGCTGGGGTACTGAGGAACATTGACGGCGTTCCGCCGCCTGCGTCGCAGCAAGAGGAAAATGGCGATGGCGATGGCGATGAGTGCTACGCCGCCTATGCTTGCGCCAATTGCTGCGGAGGCGCCGGATGAGAGGCCTGAGCTTTCTGAGGAGGAGGGCGGTGCTGCTGGAGAGGTGCTTGTGGAGGTGGAGCTCGAGGCGGTTGCGGTTATCACGGCGGTTGCAGATGTTGCGGAGGTTGCGGCATTTGCTATTGCTGTGCTGAGCGGAATCTTTCAGGTCGAGGTATGTTAGACGTGTTCAATTCTTGTCTTCATGACCAGTGATGCGGAACCGTTCTCGCGGATTTCTAGGCGGAAGGGAATAGAGAAGAAGAGAACTGAGCATACCTGGATAGTCGAAAACGCCACATCGTTGATGTCTGCAAGCTCCCTGAACCTGAACCTCTGGCCATCCTGCGGAGCCGTGATGTTCGAGCTCATAGACATCGAAGTCCCAAGACCCCAAGGATTCTTTTGCAAATGCCACTCAGTGCTATTCTTCAAGTTGCTCATGTGAAAAGTGCCGTCGCCCCAGGTATCCATGATCCAGAACACAGACTCGTCAAGAATGGTGTATTTATGCATAACCGGAACAGTATTGCCCGCGTTATCACCATTCTCGTTAGTGGTGCCCGCCGCGGTAGAAAGGTAACCCTCGGGCCCTATACTTCTGGAGCGCAGAACGTAGATGGATGCGTTTCCGGGCGTGGGGAAGATCTGCCATTGTTGCAGGCTCGAGGACGTGTTGGCCCTGTCGAAGTATACCGAGCCGCTAGTCCAACTTTTTGCGAAGAGGATTTCCGAGGATTTCATCGACTGGGACTCGCTGTTCCCGACTGTCAACTGGTACCACTTGTTCGAAAGGAAATTCGCCATGGTGAATGCGTGAGAAGTACAGAGTAAGACGATTGTGAGAGAGGAAGACAAGTGAAGTGTCGGTGATTCATTTCATGCACGGCTGATGGGTATTGGCCCCCAAAGCCGTTTTGGAGGATGCGTCGAGGCGCAGCGGCGTAAGATGATTTGAAGCAAATCGAAAGGCTGAAATGCATGCGCTTAACTTCCCGGAAGATCCATCTTGCTTACCATGTGTGCCATCTTGCTATTTTTACGCATGTATAAGGGTAGCTGTAGGTCTGCGCCTTAGGCCGGAGCTAACATCAACCTCCTATTACGACTCACTCGTCTACTTGTTGTCCATGATTTAGTTATGACAGCCAAACAAACCTATGGCAGCACTAGGGCGATCTATGGTGAGTACAGCATTCGAGTATTACTGGTCAGACATGATGTTGTTTCGAGTTCTCTTCGCGAAGCGAGAAGCGCTTAAAAAATATGAGGCTCAAGAAATATAGTCGGCCCGGCGGCCCTGAACTCAGGCAGATACCACGTTAATTATACTCGATCGCCCTATCTAGGGGAGTACGTGGAGCGCTCTTGATAGTCTGTGAGGTCGCCATTGTTTCGTTCACCTTGAATGTAATATATAGAGTCAATCTGACATGGCGCGAGATCCGACAAGGCAAAGGTAAACATCCAGCTACCCTTATTCGCATCGCTATGCCTCCAACTATCTCGGGCATTCAATCACATCGATTCCCATCCGCGATGCAAAACGCCAGCTATGCCGCATATCCCGACTCACTCTCCGTTCATCAACCCTCAACAAACGCACCTCACCACTTCCCCCCCTTCCCCTTCTTCTTTTGCTTCTGCTTCCCCGGTCCACCACCCCCGCCGGCAATCTTGCCTGCAGGCGTCGGCGTCTCAGACCTACTTCCCGCCTTCTCCTCAACAACCACACCCCCCTGCGTCAACCCCGCCGCCCTCGCCCTCCCCTTCCGTCCCTTAGGTCGGTAATAACTCCTCTCGCGCATCGGGAGCCACCTCTCGGGGTCGACCTTCTTCCCCTCCTCAAAGTCTTTCGGGATCCTGCTCTTGCGCACTTTCTTCGCTTTGCTTTGTTTCTCCTTCTGTGGCGCGGTCCGTTTCGCTGACACAGGGCCCAGAGCCGCAGCGGCGGGGCGGGCAACGCCTGCGGATTCCAGGGCTGCGGCGTCGCTGTCGGCGGTTAGACGCGCGACAGGGGGGAGCGCGTCAAGGTGCGTCTGCTTGATCTTTTCGGGTGAGGTGGTCGCGTAAGCGGCGATGAGGCCGGCGGTCGCGAGGCGGTCGGTCGGGTCCGCTTCTAGCAGACTTTCAAAGATTTCGCCTGCTTTTCGAAGGTCTGTCGGGTCGTGGGAGGCGAGGAGGGCGGAGCCAGCGGCGCGGAGGAGGGAGGAGGGTGGACGCGAGGATTCACTGTGGGTTTGCCAATAGGACGACGCGTTCGCAAGCTCAGTCCGCATGGCTGCACTGCGGCCTTGGAGGTTGTAGAGCGCGACGAGGGTGCTGACGAGACCGGGCGTGTAGCGAGTTTCGAGGTCGGTGGGTGTGCCGGAGGCTTCGAGGCGGCTGAGGAAGGTGGTTAGGAGGGTGAGCGCGGCGCCATTGTTGTTGTTGTCTTTGAGGTAGAGTTGGATGATTGTGAGGACGAGCCCAACGTCGTTAGGACGCTTTTCCAGGAGAGGGAGCATAGCTTTAATGCCCGGTTTGCCGCTTTGGAGATTCGCGGTTGCGGCGGCGTTGAGAACGGAGATGGTTGCTATGCTGGCGGAGGTGGGTAGATCCGTCTGGGAGGAAAGGAACTCGGAGGTGGATTTGGCGACGCCGGAGGTTTTAAGGGTGAGAAGATCCATAGTATAGGCATTTTGGCGGAGTGTGGATGACTGGTAGGTGAATAGACGGTCTGATGCAGGGAGTTTGGGCGTATTGCTGAACAGGCGCTGTGAGAGATACGGGTTTGTAGATTCCGTAGACGAACACAAGGCATTGACTTGGGCGATATGTCGGGTCGAAAGGTCAGGTATACTGTGTGATTGTCAGTCCTGCTCTCTGGTTTCAGTATTGGCAGCATACTCAGGTATATGTATCGTCGAACTCAATCGTTCCGCCTCCTCCATCTTACCCAGCCGACACAGCACATAAACCAGTTGCACCGTAATCGGCATTATCTCCGCCACCTTCTCTTCCTCCGTGAGCTCCTCCAGCGCATTACACAGATCCCTCGCCCTCTTCAGCAGCACCTCTCCCTGTCCCAGCTCCCCTCTAGCAATGCACCCACAAGCGGCATTATACGCGGTCTCAAACGCCTCCAGGTCCTCCCTCACCGGCTTCTTCTTCTGCACCAGCTCTCCCATGCCCGCCCACTCTAGCTGCGCATCCACAGCCCCAGCATTGATCCTGATGTCGTTCTCCTCGCCCCTGGCCTGCGCTTCTCTCCCGCCCAGCTGCCCATAGACCTCCCGCGCGCGCTCGAACTTCTCGGCCCTGTACGTCGCCTGCGCGAGCAGGTGTCTTAGGCCCCTCTCTGCGCCATCATGGTCCGCAACCTCTGCCGCTTCCTCAGGCCTCCCGCTCTTGTAAAGCGTATAAGCGTACCCAAGCCTCGCCCGCTCCTTCAGCGCATCTCCACCCGCCTCGAAAACTCGCAGTGCGTCATCGAAGCGGTCGAGTTTTAGTAAGGCGACCGCTTTGACGTGTTGGGCGTCGGCGTCGCCTTTTGATCTTTTGAGGACGGCATTGGCGGCGCTGAGGATTTCGTCGTGGTCGGTTAGGGTGGTGCGGCTGAGGAGGGAGGAGAGTGTGGAGGCCATGGTGAATGTAGCTCGATGTGACTGAGGTGAGTTAGGGGTAGTTGTCGTGTGTGTCCATGGGCGTTGTTGATTTTAGGAGCAGTGGATGTGGGCCGCGGTGTGGGGATGCTGTAGGAATTGATGGTGGGGCTGCGAGGTGGGCTGTGGTTCTGTATGGAGCGCACAGGACACATGCGTTGTGGAGTGCCATGACTGAGACTTTAGATTGTCATTGATTGTTCTTATTCTAAAGTAGAAACAATGCTTCATTTGCACTTGACACTCTATATTTCCCTTACTTCATATATATCGTGAGCCCTATATACGTTTATCTCATCTGCGCCAAAAGCCTCATTATCATTATGTCCAGTTCAGCGTCAACATATACACATCCGACACTCGAGTCCCTTCATAGACGGTGTTACGAGGCTTCGGCACCAGCAGACCCCAAGCTCCTTAACGGCTTACACCAAAGCCGCTGCAACAGCCACCAACCCCAATGCACCAGACAGCCCATTCGGTCTCCGTACTTCCGCTGCCCCAGTCCGACTAGCACTCGCACCCTGCGCCGTCGAAGACGTCGTCCTCATTGTCGTCGTCGCCGTAGCTGACGTACTCGTCTCAGTCGTACACGTCGTGCACGGCAAAAAGGTCGTAAACGGCACATCCGCCACCGCGCTGCCCTGCACGACGGGCGCCTGAGTCCCAACCTCCAGGTTCGGCGCCGCGGCCGACGCATTGGGCGACAGTACATTGTCCAGTACGTGAATCACGCCGTTCGCGATTAGGAGATCCTGCTGGATGACCTGGGCCGAGTTAACGAAGAGTCTGTTACCGCCAACGCGGACTGTTAGTTGTTGGCCATTGCGGCTTGTGAGGGTCGTGCCGTTTCCGAAGGCGGAGGAGTAGAGCACGCTGTTGTTGACGACGTGGTAGTCTGTTAGGGAGGCCAGCTCGGTTGAGCTCAGGTTTTGGAGCGTGCCGCCGATTGCCTGCATGGCTTCGTTGTTTGGGGCGAAGATTGTGATGTCTGATGCTGTCGAGACGTAGTCGGTTGGATCAGCAGCTTCGAATGCGCCGGCGATGGCGGTCAGGTTAAATTGCACAGCGCTGGCGGTAAAGGGTAGGGGTGGGATGAGGAGGTTATCAATGATGTGTATCATGCAATTGCTGGCTTGGATGTTCTGAATATCGTGAGTTAGTCAAGTTCACTAACGCGGCCTTGGGCAGGGGGATCAAAGAAGTGCAGCAGTATACGTCCTAGCTGAGAGGCAAGGCCGGCAGAAAGCGACATAGCGGCCTTTACAGCGAAGCCGCAATAACAAACCACCACCTCTTGCTCGGCTGACCTTCGGGCTCTGTGTATGTATTCCTCTATGTCTCACGCTTGGGGCTCTCAATGCTGCTTCGCATGAATTCTTGCTTACCCGAGACGTAACAGTCGACCTCGCTCCCCCTCCCGAGACCGCAATAAGGACATCTCCGGCTTGCTGAACCAGTCCGATCCGCTGCCCATTTGTTACGTTGGCGTATGTTGCATTGGTCAACCAGGTTGGGAAGAACTGAAGACTACTGGAGACTTCCTCAGTCCGCCGAATGCCGCTTAGAACATGATATTGCAGAACGGCGCCAATGGCGTCCCTGTCGGCGCTATCGAAGACGGTGTTGAGAGAGGTGTATGGTATCCGGTCCATGGCGTCATTGCTCGGCGCCAGCAGTGTGAAATCGCGGGACCATGAGAGGGCGCCGTATATGTCCGTATAGTTCTGGAGAAACGACGCGAAAGATGTAAGATTCTCATTGCCGCCGAGGACGTCTTGGAAGGACCCGAGGGTCTGAGATGCGACCGAGGGCACCAGTGCCAGGAAAGGAAGGCATTTGGACAAGAGATGTAGCATCACGATCAGATGCGCTTTAGCGAGTTCAACGCTCAACTTGATGCGCTGGTACAACGAGCGTGAGAGTATTAGAGCAACGTCAACGAGTGTGGAGGGGAAAGAGTACAGAAAGATTGACTGCTCTTCCGCATCGCTGCTGCCGCTGCATTTAAGCAGGTACAGCTCCTGCTTTCCGCGCCCCAACAGCTGCATCTGCTTGCAAGCGTGGGCCGCGACACGTTGCGAAGCTTTCTGATCGACAGGGCAGATCCCGCGTCGCTGCACGTGTGATTGGGCAGGCGGCGGTGCCTGACGCCACACACCGGCGGACGGGTGGCGGGGCGTGCATGGAGCTGCACCAGCCAAAGAAACCTAGCCTCTTGGGACTCCCTGCTTCCAAAATAAGAACATGGGCGGTTTCGTCTTGCCCTTTGGACAAGCGATTCTCGTGTCCTGTGGCCGCCCTGTAGTCGCTTGATAACGTCAACACTGAGTGATCCAATGGAGAAAACACTCGCTTACAAAGCTGCACTCAACGGATAACCTGCGATCGTCGTCTTGGGTGATAACAGTAGCGCGGATAAGAATTTTGGCCAAGTGCGGTGGCCAAAAGATCGCTCTAACCTGAGTCGTGACTGTCTCGCCCCTTTGGGAGTCTGACGCTTTTTGGGCGAGTTTACGAGTGTGAGGGTCTTCAGTGTGTATTCCATAACCATCTTGAAACTCGAAGGTGGCTCCTCAAGTCTACGATCGATTGGCAGCAAACCATCCGAACATATCAGACGCATCTTAAGCTCAGAGTCTTAGGAGGTTTCCGTTTGCGTCTGGAGAGGAAGATATTCCCCTTTAGTGGCCTCTTCTATCCAGGGAACTTCTACCGGCCGCACATGCTGGCGCACATAATCAACGAGTGATTCTGAGCCAGAAGCGCCCTCCAGGATGCCGACAACTCCTGCTCGCGGAAGGCCCAATGCAGCGGCGATTTTTACCTCGGCTGCTGGACTCAGCGATACTAGACGCGTCGCTGCAAGTTCCGGACGTAAAGTTGACGCTGTCCGAGACATCAATGGGAGGTGAGCATATACCAGGTCATTGCGAGACTTTGGCAGGAAGATGACTGCCATGTGCTGGGCATCGGGACCATCTGCGGGCGGATCCTCTACCGTAGAGGGCGGTTTCTGCTTGTTGCCTGTGGCAGATGCCATTAGAGTCTCTAGGTGCCTTGTAGTGCTGTTCAAGCCGACGGTGAGAAATTTGGACACCTCTGGCATCGGCGGCAATTGCAAGAAGTCCGTGATTACTGCATCGGGCTTCGCAGGACCTGATCTCTTGCGCTTCTTGCTGCTCTTGCTCGTTGGAGGAGGATAGTGCGCCGCACGATGACGTCCGATAGGAGCCAGAAGACTGCTTCCATAGCCCAAGATCAGTCTCTGAAAGCGGGGCCACAGATGAGGTGAAGACTGTTCAAAGGATGCTGTTAGGTAAGGATGACTACCTGCAGAGCATATCCAGCATGACGGCTTGGTCCGTTGGGGCAACCTGAGGCCTGAGGAACCTTTAGCTGGTTCTGAGAGTCAATTTTGCGTACTCATGATAGGTGGTCTTACCATATTACGCTCGTGTACGGTGAGTCGACTTTGAAGACAGTCTTCGCTGGCTTGCCGGGTGTGTTGGTAGCCATGGTGCGTCGATTAGGTACTCAAAACCATCTAGTGATGAATCTATCTTATGATGGTGTTGTTGTAGACATGATTTGCCCGATGTCACGCGTTTCGTGGATTGGAAGATCGGCGATAGGGGCGGGAACGTAGCGTAAGACTAGCGCAGGTTATCTAAAAAACGAGTTGCCACATGGAAAAGCTATCTGCGAACACAAGGTGGATAACTCAGGAGCAGTTTCTCGTCCAAGAGTGCCCGAGGTGATTGGTGCACGGAAGGATGAGACTGCTGAACGTCTGATCCTCTATATCGCTCGTAATCTGCCCCGTGGATTACCCTTAAAAGGACCATGAGTCCAGCTCAGTCATGAATATGGGTTGAACAAGCAGCAGCCAAGGTGCCGCAACATACTTTTTGACTGACCGTTGCTCGAACCCAGGGTTCCCTTATCGATTGGTGAGGGGCAGCCAAACCGTGGGGTACGAAGGAAAATCCTATGCGTCGACCACATAAAGCCACTTCAGAAGTCAAATCCTTGCCCAGCACCACCAGCAAAAGCTTCAGGAGCCGCTGCATATTCTAGACGTGCAGCAGCTCTCAAGCATCCACTATGTCGTCTACAGACAATGACGTCTACCAGACTCCCCTCAACTCGCGCTACTCCAGTGCTGAGATGAAATACATATTCTCACCGCGCAACAGATTCTCAACATGGAGAAGGCTATGGCTATGGCTTGCCGAGTCAGAACGCGAATTAGGTCTGGAAATCTCCGAAGAGGCTATCCAGCAGATGCGGGAGCACGTCGTGATCAAGGATGAGGAATTCCCAATTGCTGCGGAAGAAGAGAAGAAGCGTCGTCATGATGTGATGGCTCACGTTCACACCTTCGGTCTCGCCGCGCCGGCAGCTGCTGGTATCATGCATTGGGGAGCTACTTCTTGCTGTAGGCATTTAATTATGTTCGTTGGCCTCGCCAGACGTTGACATTGTGAGTAGATTGCACAGACAACGCAGATCTGATATTCTTGAGGGACGGCCTGCGACTCCTCCTCCCAAAGCTTGCAGTCGTGATAAAGAAACTTTCTGATTTTGCAGCGCATAACAAGGACCTCGCATGCTTAGGTTACACGCACGGCCAGTAAGTCTTTCACAGTGAACGAGAAGCTTGTAGATAGTGTGCTAATACTTCCAGGCCCGCTCAACTCACGACAGTGGGCAAGAGGGCGTGTCTATGGATACAAGACCTCTTGATGGATCTCCGAAACCTCGAACGCGCCCATGACGACCTAAGGTTCCGCGGCGTGAAAGGCACTACAGGGACTCAAGCTAGCTTTCTTGCGATCTTCGATGGCGACCACGACAAGGTCGAGCAGCTTGATGAGCTTGTGACCAAAAAGGCTGGATTCGCCTCAGCATATACTATCTGCTCGCAAACCTACTCTAGAAAGATTGACGTTGAGGTCGCGAACGCGCTGGGCGACTTTGGCACCACCTGCCAACGGATAGGCTCAGATGTCCGGCATCTGGCCATGCTGAAGGAGTTGGAGGAACCGTTTGAGAAGGATCAGATCGGATCGTCAGCGATGGCGTACAAACGAAACCCCATGCGGAGCGAGCGGCTATGCAGCCTTGGCCGGCACCTGACTACTCTCCCGCTGGGTGCTGCCGGGACATATGCTTCGCAGTGGTTCGAGCGGACGTTGGATGACAGCGCGATTCGCAGGTATGCCAAACCCTCTGCTAATCAGGCATTCGTGAACAATGTCACATCGCCGGCTGCAGAGGAGGAAAATGCAACGATCGTGATGGCGCTCTTCATCATTAGACAGCTTCGGCTCTCTCGATTTCAAAATCGTGGGTACTGAACGGATAGCTAAGCTGAACGGAGCCTCCTACGTCCAGCTGGACGGCAAGTCTTGATGGATCGCCGTCTGTGGGGCGGTGACATTGTTCACGAATTCGTGACTACTTTCGAGTTTCGGTTGGGCTATGTTAACTCGACATAGGATTACACTGCCTGAGCTGTTCCTGACGGCAGACGCGTGCTTGATTCTTCTGAACAACATCTCCTCAGGCTTCGTCGTCTACCCGGCTGTGATCGCAAAGCGGGTCAAGGAGGAGCTGCCTTTCATGGCAACCGAGAACATCATCATGCGGATAGTGTCTAAAGGAGGCAGTAGACAGGAAGCGCACGAACAGGTATTTCAGCCTCACAAGCCGTAGAGAATGAAGGCCACGGTATGCTGACTTCGCCACTAGATACGGGTTCTGAGTCACCAGGCCGGGGCAGAGGTCAAACAACATGGCCGAGCCAACGACCTCATTGAGAGGATACGCAGAGAGGACTTCTTCAAGTCGATTATCGGCGAACTGGAGGAGCTTCTGGATCCCAAATACTTCGTAGGCAGGGCGCCGCAACAGGTGGAGAAGTTTGTGGGAGAGGGAGGTGAAGTCGCTATAGCCTTAGAGAAGTACCGCGCTGAGGTCAAGGATGCGAAGAGCGTGGACCTGCATGTTTGATCGATAGGAAGCTGTGTGTCTTTCCGCTGTACCAACATCTGCATAGCTTCGATAGAATGAAATGTACTCTGTGCCTAAGGGGCCTTGGAGACAAACCGCTTGAGTGACGCAATCAAGGCTCGGGGCGCCGGAACAACTATGCTCCGTCACAGCTATCGATGGAGTTGAGGAGCTCTGGGCACCGGAGATATTTCTGTGACGGAGCCCCCCACTAACGCGTGCACTTCACGACAGCTTCTACATATCATTTTATAATTCTTCGCAGCCTGCGATCCCGGTTTAGAAGACTCCTGCTCGTTCTCTTCTCCGCTTGGGCACTGGTACCATTGGCGTCACCGGTGTTTGTGTTTGTCTTCCCCCAGCTTTCGCGGCGCAGAAGACATCCACCATCAGGCTGCCAACTGCACCCTTGTCGCTGGTCAACGGTACGGAAGCTCCAGGTGCATTCACCCCAGGACTCTCGCATTCACACGCTCTTTATCCCCTTCGCCTTTGCGCATCACGCGCGCTTGGTTACCCACATGGTCGGCCGTTGCTCATGGATCAAAACGATGTGATGGACACAGTTGACTCCGACCACACTTCCCCATCCTCCAGTCCAGAGCCAGTTTCTCCACACCGCGACTCCCTGGAAGATGGCGATGTACTCCCCGTAAGGAAGCGACCACGTCTTGATATCGGTCATCACACTACAGCCACACCAAGCGATTCGACCGACAACATGGTTTCTGCATCGGACAAGCCGGAGCCCACAACCCCACGGCACGATAGCATTCAAATGCCGAAAGAGAACCCAACCTCCAAGCCTACCCCTACCACTACCATCTTCCAAACGCAACCCTCTGCCGCAGACAGCCCGGAGCCTGCCTTCGATGAATCTCATAGTCCAGTAGTCATCGAGATTGTTGATCCTGAGGACGGCCACAGGCACGACCAATATCCACCGATCATGGTGCTGAACAACGTGGATGATACGCTGGAGCAACACATCCTCCGCCGATTCCCTTTTGCGGAGGCGTGTAGTGGCAACCCACACGAGGCAGCGGCGGCTATTCTCAAGCACATAGCGGACGAACAACCTTTGAACCCGGAATTCCTGGAGCAAATCACCATCTGGTTTGCGGATCAATTGGAAGTCCTCGAACACCGACACTTCCCCTGGAGGCGTTTATATTCTGATCAGCTAGCCCTCTGGAACGATGTTGGACACGCTGTCTTGAAGCTACTCCACAGACACACGGATTTCGGGGGCGAGTTCGCACGTCTTCCCAACGAGCGCGCGCAAAGGGCGATACAGGATCTGCTTGGTCACTACGTGCGCTTATGCTCGCGCTTCGTAGCGATCGATGCGGCGGCTTTAGAAAGCACCCCTCAACACGAAGCTGCGCCGACATTAATGTGTCACATCCACCTGAGGGTACTGATCATCATCATCCTCTGCTCACCTAAGACGAACATCTGGCGACACATTCAAAATAGCTACAGTGGTCATGTTGAGGCTATCTGCAGCTCAATTGCAGGCGAATTCCTGGCCCCGGCAGTAGACGGGATCGGCAATCTCTCGAAGCTCATCAGAGTGGCACTTCCGCGGATCAACAACTGCGCAGGAATTAGTTTCATCGTAGGGCAATGTTTTGAAGTCGCTGATCGTATTGGAGTCTTAGCCGTATGGTCCGCTGAAGCGGAATTTAGGACTAGTCTTCCGTCTCCTTTAGGCGCATATGCAAAGCAGGCTGCAGAGCTAGTTCAGAACGTCGATGGAGAGCTCCACGACACCGTTGCGAGACTAAACTCTGGCCTGCCAATCGACTTCCGGAGGGACCTTGCCCTCAGGCCTGCTAGACTCATCACTCACGCCATGGAACTGGACGAGCATTTGGCCAGACGTCTGTTTGCAGAGCGCATTGATAGTACGAGGCTTGAAGGAAAAGGTAAGTCCTACGTAGGATCCCGCCCAAGCTCCTCACCACTTATGTCCCATTGTGAGAATTGTGTCACTGCATGCCCTGTAACACACTTCATTCACTCTTGAAGCATCAAGTGCATAATCAAAGACGTAAACCCGTCTGGAGGAACTCCTTTCCTTGCCACTGCAGCTATACTGGAAGAAGATATGTTGTTCCACAATCACACATCTCGCAATCTTGATGTTGTCTTTTACGACGATCACCCTATGCATTCGTCGACCTTGGCTTGTGCTGACTGTTTATTATAGTTGAGCTGAGACACTACCCCGATTTGGTCAGCAACGTCTGGAAGATCACGTTTTTAATGAAGTACATCACGAAAGGCCGCATGGACTTGCGTGTGTTAGGTGTGGAAACTTTGAGTCGCGAGCTCGTTGAAGTCTACAAGAAGTTCAACCGATCACCTCATAACCATCTACACCCGGTGTTACAATATCTGGCAGGCATACTGCTCGAATCCAAAGTTGTGGACTACATGATGGGCGTCAACTCCCACCATCAGCTCATATCCCGGAGCGGCAACGTGATCGGGTTCTTGGCAGTCACGCGGAGATACACCTCACGGGAGACCGATATCATCTGGGACACTATCACTAAAGGCCAAGATCCGGGAATTGTTGCCACTACGTTGCAAATGCTTCCCACTGTCACTGGCCTGGTGGAAGCGTCTGAGCTTCTTTATTTCTGCGACAAACTCTCCAGACTCTCCCCGGATGCCTTCAACCCGGACATGGTGAGCTTCACCCGTGATCTATTTGAGAAGATCCGAAACAGGCGCGGTGACTATGCCACGGAAGGAAATAGCCTTCTGCCCCATCAAGTTTGTATGCGGCTCATTCGGGAGACATGTGCGCTCGAAACAACTGATGCTCATGCTGTTTTTGAGATGGCCACCCACGAGCTCCTACTCTTCTCCCAACTCATGGCGAACGCAGATGATCGTCGGACGATTTGTAAAGACTGTGCTCAGAGCGTGAAGGACCAGATGAAGGATGCCACTGGTAGCATACGGATCCTGTTGACCATGGTCAGACTCATGCCGGAGCAAGACATGGATTTTCTTGCCCAAGAATTGGACTTGACACAGCATCTGATAAAAGAGTTCTGCAGCTACGTAGACAACGGACGCCATCTTGGACCTTCGGTGTCGCAGAATACCGGTATGAATGTCCGGTTGGAACTATTATTATCCTACTTCGTGCGTTGTCGTCCGCAAACGATACCGGAAAACCTTTACGGATCATTCTGGGATCATCTGGTCGGAAAGGACGCGCTGCGCAACGACCTTCGTGACGCGGCATGGCAGTTCCTCTCCGACATCCACCGGCAGCCGGGTGTTCATAATCAGTTCCTCGACTGGTGCATCGCGAATCGGCTAACAACCGTTGAGCCCGAACACTTCAGCCAGGTCTTCTACCAATTCGTTACCCAGCTTACGCAGCACCAGATTCGCACCGAACTGCAGGTGTCCGATGATGGCGTCATTCAAATCCCCAGTCATGAACTACTCTGGAAAATGGTGCTTACTGCGCCTGACAACACCATTGAGTTCCACACCGCTAAATTTTTGGCTACGACTTACTTGGACCCCGTGTTGCGTAAACACGTGGGTCTGGCGGTCATGGAAGCTTCGCATACTGCTGTAGTCAATTTGTGCATGCAACAACTTGCCAGTACCTTCGCGGCAAGGCGGGCCCTTGCCTCCTCTGCTCCCTGTTCAAACGCATCAGACCACCCGCTAGAGAGTCTCCCCCAATCTGTAAGTCATGTGTTTTTTAGTCATAACTTGATGTGTCTCCTTTGGTACGAATACTACATCGCCTTCCTGTGCTTCCGTGGACAGCTCGTTTCAGATGCGGAAGACCGCCTTCCTTTTTAATGCAATATGAGCAGCGAAACACTGCAAGCAGTGGCAGCGCTTGTCTGCTCGAATTTCCCTATTTTTTACGGGAGCGGACTAAAATCTCCCTATTGTAACTGGAAGTTTTAGCTTGACGCTGACTTTGTCGGATAGAATACCAAAGAGACTGCGCCCGAAAGTACTTCTATCGAAGCAACAGAGCTTCACTTCACTCGCACGTTACTCTTCCTGAAGACTCTACTGACGCATGTCCGAATCAATCCGGACTATTCACTACCGAAGGCGTTGACTGCCGGCGCAGTTGCCTCATCGTTCGATGAGCTTCCTGGAAATGTAGTTGATCTTCGCTACCAGGCCTTTGACGGTGGTCCCTCGGAGTTGAAGACAATTCAGGTGGGCGACTTGGAAACCCATCTGAGCATATATCGTCGTCTTCAATCTCTCACTGGGTTCGCGGAGTTCACCGTAATATCTGGCGGGCAATGGCTTGACCTCCGGACGGAGCCCAGTCCCACACTTCACGATTCTGCGATCCATACCAAGGGAGCCTTACTAGTAAAGAAGACTGCCGGCGGAGAAGAGGTGAAAGTTCCATCCCTACGGGAAGAGTCTGTAATTGAACGAGGGATCAAGAGCCACTTCGATCAGTTATACAGCTTCATGGATTCGGGCGACAAGCTGAGTAGCTCGACCTACAGCTTCCTCCAGGTAGTCTATCCGAACAACAAACCGCTAGAATCGGGCGCTACTGGAGGCGTGTCACTACAACAGGCCTTCGTCTATGGGAAGCCATTTCAGACGCGGTTTACTGTTTCGGCGTTGACAGATCAGCTGCAATCTCAGCTACGCACGGGCCCGGCGGATGTCGAGTTCCTCGCGCAAGGTGTCCGACTTCTCAGCTCTGCAGTGGTCGACGAGCGTCTGATTAGCGGAGCTCTTGACACGGCGCACGATTTGGAAATCGCACAATCGGTCACCCAGTCCCTTGTGGGCTTCCTCAAGGAGCGTCCACCCAAAGACATATCCAATTCTTACTTTGCCGACAGCTCGATGGCGAACCGATTGGCAGCGCGCCTGATACAGTTGCTGCGAGCCAGTCTGGACAGCTCTACAGCAGTCTCACTGGCATTGAACTGCTACTCTGCCATGCTGGAGAGTTGTATGCACAGTCGGTTAATGTGCGATGCTTTCCTCCATAGTCAAGACTTTCGGGAACTGCACCATCGGCTTCTCCTCACAGACACGAGGGTTGCACTCCGCAGGGGCGTTGCACGCTTAGTCGAAGCAAATTGTGGGCAACTGCCGGACACCGCACCCATCGCGACCACCGAAGCAGTTTCATTTTACTGGTCTACGCTCCGACCAATACTGCGTCATGCCACTGGGCACGCCAAGAACTCGCTTCAATTGTTTACCGCTGCGGAGTTTGTTTTTTCCAGGACGGAGACCCAAGGCGAGCAAGAGCTTAGAGAATATATCCAGGAATGGGGTGGCCAGCTGTTGCAGTTCAGGCACAACGAGCGCGTCGGACGTGAAGCCGTTGACGAAGTCGTGCTCGGATTCACAAAATTGCTGACGCACTGCGTCCGAAGGCTAAAGTCACAGCTCAAGTCCCCTAAGCGGCAGATAGATGTCGGAACCCTGATGGACCAGATCTTCGCAACATTCCTGTTCCCGTCTGGCTCTCCTTCACGGACGCCTGGCGAAGCGGACAGCCTGATTCAGCTTCCTGTCTTGAACCCCCAAACGCGGAGAGCGCTCTATGATCTTGTTCTCGATCTTTGCAACGATGATGCTAGCCTTGGCAAGCTGGTGACACGCACGGCTTCGCTGATTCCGGATGAGTTTGACTTAAGTTTCGATGTCTACCTCTACGATCGGACGAAGGAACTCCGTGCTTCCAATGGCCATGTTGGCATAGTCAACCTTGGAGCTTCGTGCTACATGAACTCATTGTTGGTGCAGCTGTACATGAACGTTCCCTTTCGCGAAGCCATCTTACGTGCAAAAAGCGAGCAGCCTCTACTCGTTCAGACTCAACGGCTCTTCGCCTACATGCAAGACGGCTTTGGTAGAGCAGTAAACGCTCGGGATCTCGCAAGATGCATTCGGATTGATGGTCAATTCATCGATACATCCAAGCAAATGGACACCGAAGAGTTCTACAGCGGCTTGATGGACCAGTGGGAGTTCGCGATGCCGTCGACTGATGCAAGGGAGAATTTGCGTGGCTTCTACGGAGGCCAAATCATCCATCAGACGAAGTCGAGAGACTGCGACCATGTTTCCGAGACGACCGAGCCTTTCAACAGGATTCAATGCGTGGTCCAGGGCAAAGCAACGCTCCAAGACAGCCTTAAGTCGTACGTCGAAGGAGACGTTCTCGAAGGCGACAACAAGTACAAATGTGAGCGATGCGACGGCCGACTCGTGGATGCTGTCAGACGCACTTGTCTAAAGGAGATTCCTGATAACTTAATCTTTTCCCTCAAGCGCTTCGACGTGAACCCGCTCACTTGGGAACGGTGCAAGGTGAACGATCGTTTCGAGTTCCCGCAGGCTATCGACATGAGCCAGTACAAATTGGAGCACCTCAGCGACCCGGGTACCCCAGTAGCAGAGGACATGTTCGAACTCGTCGGTGCTCTTGTTCATACAGGCAGCATCGATTCCGGCCATTACTTTTCGTACATACGGGTACGCCCAGGAGCAAGCCCGGAAACCTGGTTGGAGTTCAATGACGACATCGTTAGAGAATTCGACCCGAAGTTCATTCCTGACCTGTGCTATGGAGGGTACTCCGATGAGACAGACATGCAGAAGCACTGGAATGCGTACATGCTCTTCTATCAGCGCAAATCAACTATCGAGGCAGGCTCGACTGGCGCAACAGGTGAAGTTACAGTGCCTATCCCGGCGAACCTCGAGTTCGAGATAGCGGCAGACAACGCTCGTCAATTGCGAGATTACTGCTTATTCGAACCTTCACATGCCGCCTTTGTACGGCAGGTGCTCCAAAAGCTTCGGACTGTCACCAACGGCGCCTGCTCGGAGGAGCACGAACTTGAGAACGAAACCATTGCCATGGTCATGGAGCACCTAAACCTGGTTGTCGCTCGGACGAAGGGCATTCCTGAATTCGAGAACACAATGATGATTCTTCGGAGGACAGTGAAGGGTTGTGTCGATTGTTGCAATGCCGTTATGGAATGGCTCGATGATCATCCCTACGCGCTGCGCAACCTGCTCCTGGTTTCGACCCAGTTAGCGGTCCGTGAAGATTTCGGAGCGTTCATCGTAGAGATGCTTGTGTTCCTCCGTGCTAAGGCCCCTAGTCTCTACGGCAGCGAGGTGTCCGAGGCTGACTCCGACAACGATCAATGTGATCCGGACAACGGTGCCCTTGCACATATCAGCGCTCAGCTTGCAGAGCTGCTCGAGGGGCACCTGCACATCAACGCTCGGGCCTGGGATGACTTCTTCGGCCTGCTAAACTCGATAGCGGCTATGGGCAGCCGCGAGACCGTTACCCTCGTCGACAAGGGTTGTTTCACCGGATGCTTAAGGATTCTCAGCATCCCGCTTATGCCGAATGTCATGAAAGACGCAGATGACTTCGTGCGCATGTTCGAAAAGCGGAGGCCGAGATTCGATCAACTCACCAGATTCTTCCACCGCATGGTCTCAGCTCTCGATCTGCACCAGCTTCGAGATGACGAGGAAAATTTGCTTGGTCTCTGGTACGAGGACAAGAAGGAACGATGTCTTCCACACATCTACAAGATCTTGGAAGAGTGGAACGCTGCTGAGCGAGCCTTCATCCCTGGAGAGATCATCAAGCACTACCTCGAAGCCGACTCGACGTTGAAGCTTTCTCCATTGCTATGCCAGACGATTATGAGTGGCATTGAAAACTTCGCCCCGAACTTCGTCGACAATTTCCTTACCGCAGGCCTCCACTTCTGCTACCACTGCCACGACATCAAGCAGGCCAGCGCAGTCATCAACGCAGCCGCGCAGAACACCCGGTCGCTGGGCACCGAAGGCGGCGCCGCGCACCTCGACTTCTTCCGCACTCTGTTTCGCATAAAGAACGAGCATCTAGATGATCAAAGCGGCCTCGGCCCTCTCTACCGCTGCGTCGTCCAGTACGCGCCGACCTGGCTACCAGGTCTTCTCATGTACGCCGACATCGACATCCGCAGCGCCACCATGGAGCTCCTGCACTTCCAGATCCTGAACCGCCGGATTCCCCCGAACCCGGACGCCGACGACATGGTCCGCGCGGCGGCAGTGCGGCAGTTTCTGAAGAACGGCCGAAACTGGATCCTGCAGGGCATGAGCGCGAACTCGTCGAAGAAGCACCTGGTCGATCTGTTCAATGGCGTTATGAGCGCCATGGAGTGGTTCAGGGAGCTGGTTGAGGGCGACGAGAATCCGTGCAGCAGGCCGGAGGATGAGGACTTGTTGGAGTGGACTGAGGGGTTAAGGGATGATTTCAAGGCGTATGTGGGGCCGGATGATGAGATGCCTGGTTCTGGTATGTCTCTGTTCTTTTAGCTGTCTTCTCTGACCAACCATGCGAGCTGCAATCAGGTGATGCTGACTGGGACGATGTGTAGAAGACTGGGAATCTGATGAGGCTTTTGATTCTGATGACGTCGACTTGGTGCATACGTAGTGCACGAACGTACCGATTGACACGATGGCTTGACGACGGACATTGCTTGCACGGTTCAAGAGGCGTTTGGGAAAGGCATTCTTCGAGCGACGGAGCAAGCGACAGAGACACGGTATGGAAATGGCGTGGACGACGACACATTGCATAGCGGCAGGATCTGGGAACAGGGAAAATTGTTTGCATTCCTGGCGAGGGTTTCAGAGCGATTCTGCTGGATGGCTGGCAGGCAGCGAACATGGGGCTATGAGCGTGAATCCTTAGGATGTCGAGCTTCTCTCTTCCCAGAAGGCACGGGTTTCGTGTTCATATGCTAGGGCTTGGTCTCTTGTCTAGACTACGCTTTTGCACACGGCCGGCACAACACCGATAAAATATTTGGTAAATAAGCGCATATAAGAATGCCATTGCGAATTTTGTGCGCCGTGCCTATGCGCTGTTGGAGCTAGCAAACCAGATATTTCCCCTCGCCGTGATCCCAGGGTATCAAACCATCCGACTATACGCCAACAATGCTCACCAGCAACCGTTCCCACCCAGAAATCCAGGCAGCCTCTCCAACACCTCAAGCAACCACACCCACCCCACCCGCGCTCCCCTTCCTCGCCGGCGCCGCCATCTGCCCCACAACCTGACGCGACCCGCCCGTCATAATCACGCTCTGCCTTCTCGCATGCGGATGCACCTCAAACACGCCCGGCTGCGGCCCTCCCTCGGCCGGACTCGAAAACCCCACATCGCCCTCCCCCGCCAGAAGTCCTCTATGCGGCAGGCCCCCGCCCCCATCTCCATTCCCCGCAGCAAAACCGTTCGGCACGGAAAACAGATTGCCGACTCCCCCGCCGCCCCGTAACGCGGAGTGCAGCATCTCTTTCATGCGGACGTACTGGTATTTCGACTTCGTGGCGATGGGGTGTTTGGTGACTAGGGGTTGCGGTCGTGCACGGGCGATGGCGGCCATGATGGCTTCTTTCTCTTCGTCGGAGTCGACGGGGCCGTGGGTGTCGAAGTCGTCGGGGAGGGGGGCGTTGGCGTCGATTGCCGCGCCTGTTGGGGGGCGGTGTTAGCGGAGGACCAACCTGAGGTTGGGGAGAGGGGCGGAGAGGGGATGGGAAGGGGGATGGGTTGGGAGATGGGGCGGGGAGAAGATAAGAGGGGGAAGAGGAACTTACGTTGCTGCTTTGCCTGATTCTTCTTCTGGTACTGCGCCAGCAGCATATCATATGGTAGACTCCTCCCCGGCACCGCCCTCTTGGCCCCCATTGAATGGCTCTTGCACGTCAAGCTCCTCGCGCACTGCGCCCCGTTCGGCAGCGGGACGCCGCACTGCTTCTCGACATCGACCGGCCCCTTGGGTTTCGCGGCCTTGGCCTTGGGCTCCTCCTTCTTCTTCTTCGTCTTGACAGCCTTGTCGCCCGGCTCCCCTTCCGCTTTGCGCTTCTTGCCTGCCTTCTTCGTGAGCGCCCTCTCGTCGTCGGCCCCCGCTTCCGAACCCTTGAGCGCGGATTTGCGCGCGCCGCCTTTGGAGGTGGATATGTCGTTGTCATCGCCGGCTTGCGAGGCGCCTTCGCCGCGCTCGCGTCGGAGAGCCGCGTCTTTGGCTTCTTTGGCCTCTTTCTTCTTCTTGAGCTTTTCTTGCTTCTTCGAGAGGCAGGACTTTATGTGCTCGGGGGCTTTGACTCGCAGGACGGGGCGCCGGCAGTGCTTGCATTGGACCGTGTCGGGGGCATCTTCCATGGGGCGCGAGGTCGAGAAGGCGGGCGCGAGGCTCGGGGAGAGGGGGTTTACGATTGGTGAGGGGGGTTTAGGGGGTGGTGAGGACTGCTTCTTGCGGCTGGGGTCTGGACGAAGGGAGGGCGGTTAGCTTGCCCGGTCTCGGTCTGTACAACGGGGTGGGAGGGGCGGCCATGGTATAGGTACCTAGGACTTCGCTTTCTTTCCAGTTCCCAGGCTTCGTCTGCTTTACGCCGGGCTTCCGCAGCTTGATCGTCAAAGGCTTCTTGTCTTCTTCGGTCGATATTTTGTCGTAGACAGCTGGATCGACGAGGTTGTGCTTGGTCTGCGTGCCAGACGAGGCCGGGGGCGCTGCTTGCATTGTGTTAGCTGCCTGCTGTCCCATAGTATTCACTTGAAGGTGTGAAAGCAGGTTACCTTTTCGAGCGCCATTGGCCGCCATGACGGGCTCGGAAAAGCGTTGACGGAGTCGTGAGGTATGCTGACGACAGACCGTGGATGTGTGTGAGAAGTGGGCGAAGTATGGAGGGATTTATTCTGGTTGCGGTGGGGTGTAACGTATGAGCTCTGGTATGAAAATAGAAGGACTCCCGGTGGTGGACCTGGAATGACGATAAGCCTTATCGGTGCGCATTCAGCCGCGCTTTGTCTTGGCAGCCCCGATGTTTCTCCCCTCAACCAAGAATGATGTGAGACTATCGATAGATTGAAGCGATGGTAGTTGCATGAAGGTGTAGCTTCAAATCTGACAGTGTTCAGCGACAGCACGCTAGAATGAAAGCTGTTCAAAACATGCACATGCTTTACGGGTTAACCTTTATCTTAATATAAAGCTTCATAGTTTTTATCGCCAATTGCAAATGGCTCTCTTAGCTCAGTTGGTAGAGCGCGGCACTAGTACCTTCCAAGTCAATGCCGAGGTCGCCAGTTCAACTCTGTCAGGGAGCATCAGATAATCTTTTTGCGTTTTGAACGCACATCGTCCTGCCACTTTCTTTTATTTTGCCCAATGCCTTCGATCTGTCATAAGGCACATCACAGCCTCGTGCCAGCAGAAAAGTGGATTGACTTAATCTAAGGTACAAGGGGCCAGTTTTGGGCACCTCGAGGACACTGTGTCCTGTATCGTAACAAGAAACGGACGCCATCGTTATGCAGACAGAACAGCCAAACCCCAAGCTATGCAAAGCACGATCCGAGCTAGAACCGGTAGCCAAGAGAGAGCTCTTTCAAGTCCGCAGAGAATCCCAAATACCCGCCCGCCCTAATGCGCCAGCCAGTGCTCGTCATCGTGTATCATCAGTCGTTCCGCCGTAAATGCCAAATCGTAGTTGCTCAAGATCCGCTTTACAGGGAGGGGGCCAATAGTCAAGAGAGTCTCTTGCAACGAGAGCAAACGAGCCTCCTTCAGCGCTTGCCGTACTGCGTCCCCTGCCTCGTGAGCGGCTTCCCCGACCGTCCCAGCGGCACCTTCAAACTCCGCTCACTCGCCTTCTTCAGCTTTCTCGGCTTCGGCTGCTCCGCATGCTTATGCCCAAGCTGTCCCTCCGCACGACTATTTTTCCACGCTAAGCACGGATGCAGCGTCTTCGGGTCCACATGCTTCTTATGCCTCGTCTGAACACCCGCTCCCCCCTCTTCCGCCTCGCGCTTCTTCTCTCCCACCGCCTCATTGTGCGCCTTCATCTTCTGCATATATTCCACGATCGGCGCGCGCCAGATCTGGAGCTCCTTCCTCAGATTCCGCTCGCGGATGCCGCGGTCATCCAGCCAGCCGATCAGCGCGTCCACGGCGTCCGGATCATCGATGTATCCCCAGGAGTTCGCGTTGTAGAGCTGGATAGGTCCCTCTTCCTCTAGCCGGCGCTCGGGGACTGTCATCCCGAACGCGTTGCGGTACTCCGTCCACGCAGGCTCCTCACGGTCGATGAAACCGCTGCGCTCGGAGTCGTCAGGGCCCTGAACCCACAGCCTTCCGTTCGCGTAGCCATATCCGGCGGTCGAGCTTTGCGGCATCCCCGCGAACGGCATCCCGTTACGCTCGAACCAGTAGTAGCGGTTGCAGAAGCGGTCGCGGCCGAGGCACTTGGTGCGCTGGCAGTTTTCCTCACGGAGCTCATTGTCGAAGTCCAGGATCTTGTCCTCGCACTCACGGATCGCTTCTTTCTTCTTCTCGATGTCGCGCAGGATTTTCTTGAATTGGGCTGATTGCTTTGAGGTTGCTGCGGCGGCTTTGTCGGCTTTTTCTTGCGCTTTGCGCGCCGCTTCTTCGTCGCGCTTGCGCTTGCGGTCGTGGGCGCGGTCCGTGGAGCGCCGGAGGACGCGGACGGGAGGTGAGGCTGAGGAGTCTTTGTCGCTGTCTTCGATGCCGGTCATGGACGTGTCGAGGATTTCGCTCACTTCTTGCAGCGGTGAGCCGGGCATGTTGTCGGGTAGTAGCATTTTCCGCTGCTCGTCGAGCTCTTGCAGTTCTTGGACCCTGTTCAATGTCAGTTGTGAAGCGAGCAATGTATCATGGGATACTCACAGTGGCTTCCTCTTCCGTTGCCACTCGATCTTCTCCTTCCTGAGCGTGGTCATGTTAGCACTGCACACCTCGAGGTATTCTCGAATGGCTTTTGTTCGGGTGGCAAGCATGACGGCGATCTCAAGTGCGGCAAGACGATCATTGATGTCCAATTTGTTGTATTGACGACGTGCGGTCTCTTGCGTAGGCTCCTCATCATCTGGGGCCAGTTGCGCCAGAATCTTGTCGCAGATGTCCTTGTGGTGAGGTTCTAGCGAGATCTGTCGAAGCAGTCCGACCATGACGACCTGCCAGCCACCGTCCTTGAAGTCACGCGCTGCAAGCCTCTCGACCCAGCCGTAATCGGCTAGCATTTCTGCGGCTCGATGTGAGGTCTTATGATCGGACACGGCTGGGCTTGGCTGCTTGAGTGCTTCAGCTTCAGACTTGGCCAGACTGCTTCGCGTGGTCCTCTTCTCAATCTTGGGAACCACTTCAGGTAGCGGCGTCGAGAGAGTGCTTATGTCTTCCTCCGATTCCTCCTCTTCCTCCTCGAGGTCGGGAAGTGATACCTGGATCTGACCATCGGCACTGACCAATTGCTTGAGGACTGCACAGTGCATCTCCACGAATAGTTCGCATTCTAGCTCCTCGGATTGACAACGCATGGCATCCATAAAGTCATCAAACGTGAAGGAGTCGAGAATAAAGACCTCTGCATGAACATTCAAGGTGTTCCAAATTTCCAGCAACGATACCATCGATTGCATGAGGATACCCGTGCTATGCGTAGCGGTCTGAGTTCCGTTCCCTATCGCAGACGTGGGAGGATCGTCCACAAGAAATTTCAGTGGTGGTCTCTGGAGCCCGTTCCGGCGAGGTTGAATGTCTAGGTCGTCGATAGGGTACTTGATTGGCGGTGGCGGTGGTGGTGCTGGGGGTCTAGGTGGTGGTCCTCTAATGGGACCAGGGTGGAGCATGGGCAACTTGTGAAAATGGCTGGCGTATGGCGCGTTGTTGAGGGAGTTAGGTACTGGTGCCGTTGCGAACACGGGATTGCGTCCATCCAGGTACATGTAATGTCCCTCCTCAAGCTGTCTATTGATATCCTGTTGCGACAGCTGATGTCCGTAGCCGCCAAACATTGGCCGGCCGAGGTCTGTCAAAGCTATTCCCCGCTGGCTTGTTAGAAAGTTGAAGAAGGTTCCTCCCGACTCCGGATTCTTCGCTTTCTTCTGCGCGATGACTGCCTCATGCTTGAGATGCGGGGGTATGTCCATGGGAATCTTAAGTTCTTGTGCCACATCCTCTCTCACCAACCAAGGCGCGCCTTGCCACGGTTCTCTTAGGATGTTTGCTCTGAGGAAAGCGCGCAGAGTCTGCTTGGTGAAGACCTTTCGATCCCGCGTGATCTGGTCCTTCAACAGATACATCTCGTTCGGCTGCCCGGGTAAAGCTTCTACGCCCACGAGATACTTTGAATATTGTTCGCTCCTGGTGCCGTCAGGCTGCATGCGTGCACCAAAATCGGTCCGGCTCCGAACAATTCCTTCCAGTCTGTCGCCGTTCTCCATTAGCACAATGACATGCTCGCCTGGGCTGAAATTTTCCTTGAACTCCTGCAGGCAATTAGACACCGACTCGTCTTGGGGGCCGGTCTGGCAGCTAGCTTACTTCATACACCGTAGTGACTAATCACGGCAGATACATTAGCTTTCGTTGACCCGAGTGTGTGGTAACTCGCTTACCAAGATCGTCAATCCGAGATATCGGCGAGAACTGTACCCTTCGTAGCACAGGGTCTCGTAGAGCTTCCGGGAAGGTGCTCTGTAGCGCCTTAGAACCCTGTGTCTGTTCCAAGTCAGCATTGATCCAATCTGACGAATGGTCCGCTGGACCGTACCTCGCTGTCCCTGGCTTGGAAGAACGTCAGGCCGGAGTGGCCGGTAATCTCGCACGTGAACTTCCTCTGAACCCTGGTAAACGACAACCCCCAACGTGATATAGCGGTGTTCGCGATGTATATCTGGCTTACCTGCTTGTAATAGTCCCGCCTGTCCTTGGTTAGCGTTTGCGGACGTCGTCTCGGAGTCAGAGGGAGGCCAGCGTACCGATCGAGATAGCTCTCGTAGTCCAGGAACACCTCGCCCGTCTCTTGCATGACCCAGACCTAGTGTACGAAGTGAGCCAGCTGTACTCCAGAGATACCGCAAATCCCACACACCTCTGCATTGTTGTCTAGGATAGGCGGCGGCGGGACATATTGGACGGGTTTGCGCTTGATCAGTACCTATTGAGTGTTAGCAGAGGTCCGCCAGATATGGAGGGTACAGATGGATGTACCATGGCTGCGGCTGCGGTCGACTTGATGTGTCCTTCAAGCTCCAATGGCGGGTTCTGAGGCGTGCCGGCGCAGTCAGCCCTACGAGATGCTCGCCGGGACTATATTTCTTTAAGACTTTATGCCAGGCTTATGAAGGTGTATTGAGGTCTAAATGGATGTTGGATGGTCGCCCAGAGCTCAGCTAGCTCGCCTCGCGCTCACAGAGCGCACCTCAACAAGTGACGACAGCTCCGTAGGGTTTGCGGCTCCCAGCTCGGAAATAAATCTGATATACAAGCACTTTACGCGTCTGGCTACTAGACGCGTGTCTGGACGTGTCGGGGGGACGGATGGCGGTCCTGGTGGTGATGGCGGGTGGGTCGGAGGTGAAGGTTGTCGAAAGCAGCGCGGAAGGGGTAATGCGACGAAAGAGGGTTAACAAGAACACTGGTGTGGATATGCGGCGGATCAGAGCACCCATGTCATGCGCGGTGGCTGATCCTTGGCTCCCGTCAAACCGTGCCTACCCACCAACACCAACATGGGCAAACTTCTTGCTGCGACGTACCCACCGATTGCTGGAGCGCTGCCAACGTGTTTATACTCATTCTGATCGCGCGGACGAGCAGAATCTTGTGGTACGCCGTTGGGGACAGAATCTGCATATTGGAAATCTCAAACCGGCTTGAAGCCACACACACCGCCTTATCCCTTCTTCACCTCATCTCAACCCGCCTCCTTCTGTCTCTGAAACTGCTCTGATCAATGAGTTATAAGCCGCACTAAAGCTGCAGCAGGCCGATGTGATACTATACAGCAAGGAAGGTGCTGGATGTGAAGTGTAGGACTTTGCTTCTGTTTTACTCTGTTATACTACTACATCTTCATCTATATCGTCTGAACTTTTCAACATCCCGCTCTGAGCGCTTGAAAGTGACATGACCCGCCGACATAATGCTACTGCTAGCAAGTGAAGTGTCTTGGTTTAAGATAACATGCCTAAGAAGAAAAGTACACTACATGAAATCCAATCCAACTGCCAACTATCCCTATCGCAGAGTAGGAACTGGTGAACATCAGAGGCAGGAACTCATACTTATCCTTGAAAACCAGCTGATGCACGAGCGAGCAGTACACAATCAACGGAATGGCAACAGCGATATATAGCAGAGAGAAGCGGTCAAATAGGAAGATCCTGGGATGGGGTGAACTACACAGACGTCAATGATTTGCAATGAGTATCGGCCGCGGACACAACTTACGCTGGAGCCAGTCTGTCAAAAGCCAGAAGGAACAAGACGAGCCAGAAGACGGTGTACACTGTCTTGACCGGAAACTCCGCCACGGTAAAAAGGAGCGGGAAGAGAGACACGTGACCGGCCACAGCCAATGGGCGGAAAGCGCCGAGATAGCGACGGTCTTTGAGAGCCAGCAGGCTGAAAGGAACAATGACGAGCAGGATGGCCTTTTCGTGGACGTGCCAGCCGAAGAGAAACGACGCGTAGCCGCAGAGGGTGACTGCGCCGACGAAAGTCTCCCACGTAGGCTCCACAAAGAGCTTGGCGAGGCTAATCTGGGCAAGGTCAGAAGCCATCGAACTGTGCCTTGGTAAATCACTCACCGCTTGGAAGAACAAGGTCAGGATAAAGGTAGCTCGTGGGGAAACATCCGGCAGTACCGCAAAAGCGGTGTCTCCGACTAGACCTCTGGTCACGCTGGTAACTGCAGCGCTATTGACAGGAAGCCCAAGGTATGGCGCCACTGCCGTCTGTCAGAGAACCCAAGTCAAGGCTGGATTGTGGTTGGCTTACAGTATATGAGAACCCTGTCTGTGAAGGAGTACATCGCCCACACATTGGGCGCCCAATACGCGTGACATAATCCTCTCGAAAACGGGAAGAGCCGACTGAGCAGTTGCGGCACCTGGTTCCAGTATACGAAAGGGCCGAACGCTGCAGCGAAGATGCCGATAATGCCCGCTCCTAGCTTAAATGCATTACTAAATCGGATTCGGAAGATTGAATTCGGCCTCAGACAGTACGCTCTGAGCAAGAAGACGAAGTACGCCGGGGCCAAGTAAAGGTATATATGCTTCAGACATAGCAGCGCTGCAAAGAGCAGTCCGCTATACAGCAAGGTTGACCTGTTCCGGGCGAGGACGAGCGACCAAATCAGGATGCCGTACAGGAAGCCGTTGTACTGGAAGTGGATGTGGTCAATTATTAGAAGACCGGGCGACAAGAGGATGAACAACGCCGCTGCGTGGGCGGTCATTCTTGATTCTGAGCTCTTGACATATCTGCCATGCTCCGGTCAGTTCAACATCACAGGTGACTGACTGAGTGAAGTTACAGATGCAAGGCATAGATGAGCACAAGTTCTGTGACAATGACTGTCGTCCTCTGGAAGTACACGGTGCGCCAGCTGTCATAGTTCAGGTTATTGACTTGGAGAAGTTCAGGCTCGACAAGAGCGGCTGCCTGAGACAAGATCCATTCAAAGTACGCGAAAAACGGCGGATAGTCAAGAGTCCATTCGGAAGTTTTCTGATCCAAGTTAGTCAGACGAAGCTGAACATTGCGGAAGAAAGTACCTCATAGTACCACTGCTTGACAGGCAGGGAGTGCGTGATGGCTAGCCAATTCCGGTGCACCTCGAAGTCCGTGGATTTACTGTCAGATTCTTTTTAGTACCTTTATGAATGTCATATTTCAGCAGGGTCCAAGCATACTACGCCGGGAACAACAGGATCTTGAGGGCAGCAGCCACGATGGCGCACTGTGTTATCGACGGGTACAGTTCTGCCATTGATGCATCGGTAAAGCCAACGAGCACCGCGAGCGCAAGGTCTCTTACTGCCGCTGCAAACAATCGACCACTCAGTTGTCAAACGCAACTTCGCACCTCTCTCGGAGCAGAGCTTGGGTGGGAAGATCTGGACGCGTGCACGTGACCTCGAGACTTCTAGTCTGACCGTTGATCGGCTGCTCGGCTGGCTGCTGACTTCGGCTTCTCGAACACGGGCAAACAACAGCGAGCGGCAGGGCCGATGACGCTCCAGCAGACTGAGGAGATTGCAATCAGCGCTTTGTCGCTCGTCCGAGCCGCTCGCGTCAGGCACCGTTCCACAACACAGGATGATGTGGTCCCGCCTTAGGCCCGTGCAGCTCAATAGCCGGCGACTCTAGTAGCGCCAGGCACGCCAGGCACAGGCATTGGAGATCAGCTGGCAGAGGTGTAGCATGTCACGATCCTATCTATGTTGTTCGTCCCCTCTCAATGTCTCTCTTTCCGTACAACGCAACAGAGAACAACACTGCTTCATTCTAGTCGTCAGCTGCTCGTCGCTCATATCCAGCTTGTCGAGGTTGAGGCTCTCCAGGGCATCTTCAGAGTTCTCCAGGGCTCTTCAGGTTCCCTGCAGGTCCTAGGGCCCAGGGATCCCGATGCTCATAGCCCGCGGGAGGTCTAACCCCTTTTAGCAACGTCATTTCGAGAAGCCCGTCCACCAACCTCCTGTCTCTGCGCGCCTTCGGTCATACATATGCGCCATAGGTACCCTCCTCCATCACTCGTTCCTGCATCGAGCTCCACCTTTCTACTTCTTCCTCCCTCGACATTCTCTATTAACTTTGGTCTGCCTCTGCCGTTGCCGCTAGAGACAGCGCGTTTAGTTCTACATTCGTTTGCACCCTTCGCTCATTAGCACAGCTGTACCGACTCGCCTATCATTCGAGACAAGCCTCGTTTCAAGCTCGTTGCAGATCATCAGAATAACTGCCTTCGCTTTCGACCCTTGAGATACCCCATCGTGATTCGATTGTTCATCTTGTTCTCGAGCTCTACCCGCTCAGCAGTACGTAGTACAAAATTTTGCAACCTGCTGTTTGGATTCACTGGGCCTTGGATCAACTTTCGCTGTGTTCGCATCTGTCAGGAAGAATAATTCGGAGGAGCTTCGAGAGTGCCTTTTTTGTAATTTCAGGAGCTTGGCTTGCTCCGGGAGCCCCTTCATTGGTCCTGGTAAGTTCGAACGCCTGCTGTCTGTATCGCATTCCTACAGGTAAAGAATGCTAATTGCTGCCAACAGCAGCGACTCTGAACCATTCGTTCCACGATATCCCTTCGTTGTCTATACCAGCCGAGAGGCATTTTATCGCTTTAATCACACCCTAGTAATTCCTGTCCGGTCCTCCCGTACCGGACGCTCTTGAGCCATCACCACGGCTGTATTATCGCAAATCGCGCGGGACAACATAGTCCTGCCACCACACCTTCTCGGTATGCAATACTCAGACTCAATTCCGAGCGGGCCCGGCGCTGGCCGTTTCGTTTCAAATCATCAAAAGCCATCAATCAACGGCGAACACGGCGGCTTCTCCCACGGCGGCTTTCATCAGACACAAGGCTCAATTGGCGGCTATGGGGACAGACACCCGCAGCGAGGCAATGTTCCGAACATCAACACAGGCAGACTTGGCCAGAGTATGCAAAATGCAGGCGAGATACAGACACCAGGAACCGCTTTCAACATGAACTTTACACCGCTGCTTCCCTCTCAGCTGCTATTGGGCAGTCCATTTCAGCCTGGTTCGCCAAACACGTTTGCTTCTCCCCAGTTCCAGAGCTTCTCCAGCTTTGGCCAACAAAACACGTCAAACCAGCAACAGAACCAGCAGACCTCAATGGGCAGCCCGATCCAGCAGCATCAGCCGCTATCTCCTCAGCTATATCACAATATGCTCTCGCATCAGGGCATGAATGCAACTAGCTTCTTCGGTGGTCCCCAGTCTCCGACAGGAACTTTCGGCAGCCTGGCAGGCCAGACCTTGGGTGGTCTCGGTGGTGCTATGCACATGGCGCCAGGCTTGGTCTCTGGTACAAGCCGAACCGTATACCTCGGCAACATCCCTCCTGAGACCTCAGCCGAAGAAATCCTCGGTCACGTGCGCAGCGGCCAGATTGAATCTGTCCGTTTACTACCGGACAAGAACTGCGCGTTCATCTCTTTCCTTGATAGCAGCTCTGCTACCCACTTTCATTCCGATGCTATCCTCAAGAAGCTGGCGGTTAGAGGTCAAGACATCAAGATTGGGTGGGGCAAGCCCTCGCAGGTACCGACATCAGTCGCTCTCGCAGTACAGCAGTCGGGCGCGTCGCGCAACGTTTACCTTGGGAACCTTTCGGAAGACGTGACGGAAGAGGAACTCCGAGAAGACCTAGGCAAATTCGGTCCTATCGATACAGTCAAGATTGTAAGGGAGAAGGCGATTGGGTTCGTCCATTTCCTATCAATCAGCAACGCCATGAAAGCTGTCGCGCAACTTCCTCAGGAGCCGAAATGGCAAGCGCCGCGTCGTGTCTACTACGGCAAGGACCGGTGCGCATACGTCTCGAAGACCCAGCAGCAGAACGCTGCGCAGTACCTTGGCATTGCGCCGGGTTATGCGCATGTGCTGAATGGTGCGGACAGAGACTTGATCTCAAACGCGCTAGCTCAGCAATCAGTTGCCGCAGCCGCCGTAGCTACCTCAGCTGGTGGCGTCAATAATCTTGGAAACAGGACCGTGTATCTCGGCAACATTCATCCGGAGACTACCATCGAGGAGATCTGTAACGTTGTAAGAGGCGGTCTGTTGCACCACATTCGGTACATTCCAGACAAGCACATCTGCTTCGTGACATTCATTGACCCGACATCGGCCGCGTCTTTCTATGCTCTAAGCAACCTCCAGGGACTGATGATCCACAACCGCCGGCTAAAGATTGGCTGGGGCAAGCACTCTGGCGCGCTTCCCCCCGCGATTGCACTGGCCGTCAGCGGCGGCGCCTCGCGAAACGTGTACATCGGCAACCTCGACGAGTCCTGGAGCGAGGACCGGCTCCGGCAGGACTTCTCCGAGTACGGCGAGATCGAGCTGGTAAACACTCTCCGCGAGAAGAGCTGCGCCTTTGTCAACTTCACCAACATCGCCAACGCCATTAAGGCAATCGAAGCCGTGCGCGGCAGGGAAGAGTACAAGCGGTTTAAGGTCAACTTCGGCAAGGACCGCTGCGGCAACGCGCCTCGCCAGACCAATAACATGCAGCACCAGCATCAGCAGCGACAGGCCAACATGCAGGACGGCACTACTTCTCCGCCTCCAACAAACGGCCTGCACCCGAATAGCTACCGCCAGAGTTCCGTGTCGCCAAGCAACACCGGTGCGCCAGGCTCCACGGGCAGCAGTTCCAGCGGCCCATTTCAATCAATGGCCGCGCCGATGCCGTCCAACATCCTCAACAACGGCGGCAACAACCCACTGATGATGTACCTACAGCAAGCTCAGAGCCAGCAGCAGCAGCCAGATGGCACCTCTTATGGCCTGTCCCAGCAACCGCAGCAATCCCACCACCAGCAGCACCACTCCACCTCCTTCGCAAATCCCTCCCCCCAGGCAGCCTTCTACGCGGCCGACGCCACTACATCTGCGCCATCCTACCCATCCCATCCAACCCACGGCCCTAGTTCGTCTTTCAGCCTCATAAACGGCTCCTCCCTCTCGGCCTCGCTCTCCAACAACAACATCTCAGCCGCCACAACAATCGGCGGCCTTCTCGCCCCTTCAAACCTCAACGCCCGTGCGCAGCATGCCCGGGCTGTGAGCTTGCCGGTTTTTAGCCAGGGTCCGTTTACGCAGCCAATGCATGGAGGTGCGTTTGGGGGCTTGGGGGCGGGCTTGGGGGGATTTGGTGGGCTTAGTGGGATTGATGGGCATGCTGGGCATGCGGGACTTGGTGGGGGGTTGCCGGGATGGGCGGAGGAGGAGGTGGGTGGGCAATAGGGTGTTAGGATGCGGTCACTAGCTGTCGGAGCTGTTGCTGCTAGGGCTTTTGTTGAGTACTCTCACTTTTCTTATTCTGTGTTCTTACATCTAGGTTGTCGTTGGTTTGGATCTTGCTGGTTGCACTGTTGCACGGGTTGGCTGCTGGTTGTGCTCTGCATTTCTGTGTGAATAACTTGTGGCTGGATCGTTCGTCTACGCAAACAGCACTTTTCTTCTCTCGTTTACGTCCGCCGTTTGTCCGTTCGAGTTCTTACTAAGGTCATTTTCTGTTGTGCTTTCCTGGCTTTTTTTCTGTTTTGATATCATCTAGATCTCATCATTCACATTCCGCTATTAGCCAGCTGGATCGTTCCAGCATAGCGGAAAGAAGGGGAAGCAAGCGGACCAGGAGGGAGATACCGTTCAGGAGCACCAGCCTAAAGTCTGTGGTGTGTATGTTATGTGGAGCTGTACTGTAGTCTCATGGCGGCGTGTCCACATTCGGAGAGGCGGAGACGCGGTAGCGGCAGAGTAATGGACAGATACTTAATCCCCACCTCAGGGTGGTGTAGTGTACAGCATGTGGACTATGTGTATGGTGACTGAGTCGATAGCTTACAAGAGACCAATACTAATGAAAGTAATAGAGCTAGAGCTATTGATAAGTCCCGCTCAGGAACTGCATCCCTCCGCCAATTCAGTCCTCACAGAATCCGGAATCCTCATGACGTCATATATCATTTCCAATTTGTGATACTTGAGAATGCGTACAGATCGATTGTTGAAATGGTTACAGGAACACCCATTGATCCAAGAGGTTGGAGTCACGTGCATGCCAATTCGCTCAGCCTCTTCCGTCCAGCTGAACTTTCTTCCAAGCTGATGTCTGCCACTCAAGACTTCCACCATGGGGAGAGAAGTCCCTCCCGCTTCTAGCCTCCCGATGATACAGATGAATGGTTTTTTGAGTGTATAGACAGAAGCTATAATGCGGAACATACTAAAGCCTGGTAGCATCACATCCTCAGGCAATCAAATCCTTCTTAAGCTATCTGCCTCAAGCTGCTGTTTCCACAGCGAGCATGGTTGCGAAGGTTGCAAGACGTATCTCAGGAGCAGCAAGACGAGTCCGAAGCTCTGAGCTCCCACGGTGTTTACACGCCGCTCAGCGTCGAACGTCGCGAAATCCGCGTTGCCTTATTACTCCCAGGCCGTTGGTCTGATGGGATCTCCTACGAGCTCAGCGTCGTCCCATTAAACAAAAATCCCGTCTACGAAGCTCTGTCGTACGTATGGGGTGATCTGCAGGACACGGTTCCAATTGAGTTGAACGGCCATGTCTTCCAGGCTACTACAAACCTGCGCTCCGCTCTTCGACGACTGAGGTCAGCATCTCGAACGCGGACGATCTGGATAGTTGCGATCTGCATCAACCAGAAAGACGTGGAAGAGAGGATCCATCAAGTTAGCATTATGCAGGATATCTACTCAAAGACCGCCGAAGTTCAGATCTACCTCGGCGAGAGTCCGGTTCTGGATACGATATCTGAAGCAGAGCAAGCAAGCTGGACAGATCCGCCCCGCACAATCTGGCTTGGAGAGGGGCGATCAAGAGAGAGAGAGAATTATTGACTTTGTAGCGCGGCAACAACCAGTAAGGTTGAATCCGTCCATGTTGCCAGAATAGGCTACTGTTACTTACGGGGAGATCACAACTCCCTTAGACATAATCGAGCGGTCCGATTCGATGGTGCCAATACACTTTGAACGATGTTGTCGGCAGTTCTTCGACAGGCTTTCAGCAAAGCAGGAGGAGATTTTGACCTCCTTTGGAAATCACATGGCATATCTGGAAAACATTCGTCACCAGCACGAGCTTTCCGCCGAGCCGCAGGCAGTACGGCTCCGTGAGCTGCTCCAGCTGACGAGACTGCGGGATGCCTTCGAATGGGCGTGATAAGGTCTATGCCCTTCTTGGCCTCATGCAGCATCTTCTTAACCAATTGCCCGTTGTTCCAGACTACTCCAAAACGTTATCCGAAGTCTATATCCAGACAGCAATGATCTTAATCACGCATTTCAAAATCTTGGACTTATTGGTAACAGCTCAGAGGAAAATCGAGGCTTCGCAAATCCCAACATGGGTCCCAGACTGGAGTTCGCCCAAGAACGACGAGCATAACGACGAGTGGTTACACAGACGCATGACACTCTTTAACGCTGGACCGTCGCCGGAATGCAGAGCATAGCCAGGTTCAGGACACGCAGAGGAGAACGTGCGGAAATCGGCCTTTGTAGCTGGAGAGGCTGAAGCTAAACACGCCGCAAGGGGCGGGGAAGCAAGATCCAGCAGGTAGTTATTTGTTATCTATGGTGATCTTTTGTTTTCCGCAACAGGTCAAGCCCGTCAAAAGACAAAGGTATCTTATGGCTAGACGCTGGAAGGGCTAGAGGGTCGAACTCTAGACGACTCTTTAATCACTTCTCCTCAACATGTTTTAGGTTGCTCAGCCTCTAATTACTAAAGAACGGTATCCTCCTTTCTATGTTTATGATAGGATATTCTTTTAGTATAGTATAGGCGTTCAGCTCTCGTTACGAAGAGCCAGCCTCGAGTATCGAGGATATCTAGGCGGTAGGACTGCCTATCATACAACCGAACCTCGAGAACATAAGTGATAGCTCTTATATTATCCAATAATGGACCGGCTGAACAGCTGTGGGGTTTCCTTACGCGGGATTAGCCGCGAGCAGCCAACAATTCGAAGCCGGGTAAGAGGTGATATCAAATCTTTAGCCGTTCAGCTTCGTGTGGTAGGCAGGCGCCATAACCCCCAAAACAGGCCTGGTCCTACTCCTGACAGCTGAGCTGCAGAGAATGCGTCTCTGCGCTGGCTCTACTGCTTTAAAAGAAGCAGAAGGTTCCCAGACGACACCACATGGAGGTGTGAAGTCCGTCTTCGCCGCCCGGCGGGAAAGCAAGATCGGCTCTTGGTTGGTGATAATTATCTTTTCCGTCCGTTGAAGATGCGTGGCTTTCGGGATGTGGAGAGGACCTTCTACGGGCTTCGATGAGACTGCGGGGAAGTCTCAGCCTCGGGGTGCCATGCTGTTGTCTCCTGTCGCATGTGACCTCGTCTCACCTCTGCGGTGGCTCCAGTTTCCTGCCATCTATACTCTGCTTCTGGCTTATCTACGCATATCATCTAGTGTGAGTGGACTTATATCGACTGGTGCTGTTTCCCATCAAGTGGATCGCCGCCCGAGTTCGCATCCTTTCGATATTCAGCGCAGGAGAAAAGGGGATGAGGCAGTGGCAGGCCAGGCCACGGTGAGGCAGAAACTGTCCCTACATGTACCGGCAGCCATCCCCGTTGTCTTAATTCCCGGTACCCTCGGAAACGTCTTACAGTTTCGAAGACGTAGCCAATCTGTGTATATCACTAAAGCTTCCGCGTTTCCGGTGTCGGTGTCCTCGTCTAGCCAACCTGCAGCCTGCTTTCACCTGTCTTCGAGATATCTGTAAACCGATAAGGCTTGAAGCGATCAGGAGTAGAGCATGGCCACTAACGCGCTCCAAGTTCGGCCAATCAAGAATATCTATGATTTCTACGTCCCTCTCGACCGGTCTCGAAAAGAAATACGTCATGTGTTGCTACATCCGACGAGCCAGGGGCCGGAGATTAGTTTGAGCTTCGTTACAGTATCAATCAAAGAGAAGCCAGTTGCTCCGTACGAATGTCTATCCTACCACTGGGGAAGCACGGAGGATGTCAGAACCGTGACCTTGCGATATGGAGACGAAAGTCATGTAAGAGGGATGAAAGAACAGCGGTTTCAAGTCACTGCAAACCTAGAGTCAGCACTCAGACATTTGAGACACGAAGATGACTTTCGGACTATGTGGATCGACGCTATCTGCATTAACCAGTCCGACACAGAAGAGCGCACGCAACAAGTCGCTATGATGGCCGAAATATACTACAACGCTGCGCGCGTTCTGATCTGGCTCGCCGACCTCAAATATCTACTCAATCCGCAAGTCCTCACATTCGTCGACGCGCTTGTAGAAGAGATTAAGCAGTTGACCGGCTTGGGACACGATGAGCTTCTGGATTCACATGATGTAGAAATCCTTAGGCGAAAGTTGAGCGAGTCGATGCGGCCTTCAGAAAACCTCGATGAGGGATGGCGAACTCGTTACCAAGCGATGGCTATTGCTTTATCACACTTTTTCAGCCTCCCTTGGTTTAGACGCATATGGGTCCTACAGGAAGTTTTCTACTCTTCCTCGTCAACGTGGATCCGGTACGGAGAATGGCGAATGCAGTGGGAGTTTGTTGTGCTCGCAAGTGCATGGCAACGCCAAGCGGTTTATCGATATCGCGACCTCTCTATGGACAGCGTTCACATGTTATTTCTCTTGCCCCTGTGGGAGCGTATCATGTCGCCTGGGAAACTTCAGGGTCTGAAAATATTAGACGTTTTGGTCCTGGCGAGGGGTTTCTACGCTTCTGATACACGCGATAAAATCTATGCGCTGCTTAGTCTGGCCGGAGACACGGATCAGGTAAACAATCTACCGCCAAACATGCGTCCAGATTACGCGAAGCCTGCGGTGCAGGTATATACGAGGTTCACGCGTGGATGGATCGACCAAAACCGCTCACTAGACATTATATCCCTTGTCGATTTCTATACGCGCCCCGGATACTCCCCCTGCTTCGATTTTGTCAATCTTCCAACATGGGTCCCGAACTTTTACGAAGCTCAATTCACAGAACGCATCCTCGGACAAGTGCGTGGGTTCCGCGCTTCGGCGCAATCAAGAGTAATCGTGCATCCCTCTACACTAGAAGAATCCCTATGTATTCAGGGAATCCATTTTGACAAGGTGGCGGGTGTACTCCCGACTGAATTTCCTCATTCTTACGACAAAGTAGACGATGTAGTCACGCACTTGCTGCTAGAGGTCGTTCGTGCGCTGTGGCTGTTCACCGTCGAAAATGTGGCTACCCCCTATCCCACTGGTGAGGACATTTTGGAAGCATACCTCAAGACGCTGATCTGTAATACCGACCGGTTTGACAAATACGAGGATCCTCCCCAAGCGCTCGACACGGATTTATTAGCCACGCCAGTATCGCAGCCTATACACTATCACGATGTATCTCCGTCATCCCGCTCTCCAGATAGCAATCCTGATTCGTCTACTCAGAGCCTTGCCCCCATCGACCAAGCAGACTTACCTCGTTCCATAAGTGCAAGGCCAGGTTACACGGGTTCTGAAATCTTGTTCGCGGATTTTGCTGCCTCCTGGCATACATTCGATCCTTCCTTCTCATCTCTTCCACCCTCGTACCAGAGTTTGCTCCAAGCTATTGCTCCCTATGGCAGTAGCTTCGACTTTGGAGTGCTAGTGGGGAGCTTCTGTCTTAAACGCACATTCTTCGTCACTGCAAAAGGCTATCTGGGACTCGGCCCCCATCTCACCCAGATCGGTGGCCATGTCGTTTTGCTAGCCGGTGGAAAAGTCCCCTTTATCTTAAGGACTGGGATAGATAAATCAGAATCAGGAGCAGAAGCTGGCACAGAGGCGAAGGAGCCATGGTTCTATTTCATCGGCGAATGTTACGTGCACGGCATCATGGACGGCAGTGCCTGGGAAGAGGCGGAGAGGAATCGTGATGAGTTTCCGCTGCGTGTGTTTGATATCAGGTAGAGTCAAGTACGGAGTATATGCAGTCTCAACTATCCACGCAGTTGCGAACTATGTCACATCGTCGGCTCCGGGGGATGTGTTACCAACGGTCATGACGGCGCGCTTGAGCATCAAAACGTCTAAGCCCTCTATTTTCTGCAATTTATTGCTGCTGAATCTATGCTTGAACGGCACGGAGCCTTCTGCGTTGGGATGGACGGTGAGTGTAGATGAACCGCCATTTGTGGGTGTGGGATTGTCAACACACGTATGATTATCGGACTGCAAGCCCCAACGGTACGAAGCCTCCTGCGTCCAGATGGACGCTGGTGGAGGTAAATCGTCCTCTGTGGGATATGATATTGCCCGAAAACGCATGAGTTGCTATCGAACCGCAACCCCTGGGCCTCCCCAGATCCACCTCTAGATGCAACCCTCAAGCAGACGCCAGAAACTTCCATCCGATCCCGCACAGCTGACTAGACAAGCGGACAGATCGCCTCCACAGTCCCAAACACCCGGAGCTTGTTCCCATACACCTCCCAGAACCCGGCGGCGCTATCAAAAGGCGGCATCATTTCGCCCGGCACCCGTACGGCACTGAGGTCCGGCAGCGGAGGCTCTGTGCCTACAGGTTCCTCAACTGCCCAGCCTGGTCTGCGTGCAGCGGCTGAAGGTGAAAGAGGGGATCCCCAGACGTGTTCGACTCTTTCCTCGTCTGTTGGTGAGTCGCTAGAAACGGTGGATGGTTTTACCACGTCGCCATTCGCGACCGGGACATCTTCCTTGGCGCTGTTGGATTCGTCGGCGGAGGTGTCTGTTAGGTTGGCGAAGGGGTTGGCGTGTGAGAAGCGACTAGTTCACATGTCAGTCAAAGAATGGCGAGGGTGAGTGGCAGGACCCAAGTGTGGCGGGGGCCGGGTGAAGAGTATGAGAATTGTCAAAGGTATAAGAGGGAACAGGTAAGTACCTTGTGGCTGAATCCGGAACACCTGCATCTTCCTGGACTCCTTCAGTTGGAAGTGCGACCTCGATAGTAGGGGTGGCGGATGCTTTCTTTGCCTTTCGACGTTGCTTCTTGGCTTTTGCCGCTGAGATGGGAGCTGGGGCCAACGTCGGAGGGAGAGGCGTGACCAAAGCTGGAGCGGGCAACTTCGGAGCCAAGCCTACGAAAGTGGTAGACACATGGGGTATGTTGAGTCCATTTTGGATAAGGTCGGCAGATGGTTTTGCGTCTTTGGGTGCTGCAGCAGGAACATCTTCCGGATCGGGCTTTTCGGCGTCGCCCGTGTAGGTATCTGCGGCTTCGAGCTTGGCGGAAAGCAGTATCATCACAAGTGCGGTCAAGCAGCTGTCGTAACCGGCTTCATGGGCTGCCTCGGCTGTAGCGTATTTCGTGAACCGGGCATGAGTTTCTAGATGAAGTTAGCCTTATGCTTAATCTGACGACAGATTTTGTATGAATGCCGTTGCCTCGGAACTGTTCTCAACAGAAGTGACTTTCACCATGCTGGGTGATCCTAAAGAGGGCTTTCGTATGAAACTTACCGATATGTGGCTTCTCCCGTAGTCGCAACTGCTCTTCAATCTCTTCCAGCGAGCTTTTCGGGTTGATGTCTCCACAGTTGTGTGTAGCCATGTACTTAGTATCAACAACCACCGGAAATAGCTCATGGGTCTTCTCGGCGAAATTCTCCACTGTCTCCGGCAGCGGCCCAATGAAGCACTTGTAGAGATTAACCAAGTCCGTGAATACGTTGTGACCCACAAGCACTGGCCGGCGCCGTTCTAATAGACTCCTAGCGCGATCAAACCTGGCACTATAGTCATCGATATCGCAGTATTTGGCTTCGCCCGTCTCCGGGTTTGTGGCGAACCATTCGAGCTGTATGCGGTTAAGAGAGCCGCCACACAGGGCCTCGATGACCCAGCGGAATGCGGTTCGTTCGGCGATTCTGAGACTCGCCGCTTTCTTTTTGCGTTTCCTGTACGCTTCCTCCCGTTCGACGTCGAGAGGTTTGATCTGAACGGCGGCTGGCTTCGACAGCGTGATGAATTCGGGATACTCAGCGCGGACGAGTTGGTGGACCAGACGCCTCTCGAAGGCGTTCAGCTCTGGGAAGAGGGGATCTACGGATTTGCTGGAGGTGATGTTGAGGTAATTTTTGGACTAAGAAGTTAGCTTTGTGTGGAATTATGGTAAGAGCCAGAATAGCTGCGGCGGCCTGCAAAGATAAGTGTTGCTGTGCGGACTCATGCCCCCCATAGGCGTAGGAACAACGGGCCGAATCGGCGTCATATGGAGTAATAGCCTTACGCTACAGCCGCGGTTTTGCTCCACACATACCACTAGGCGGCTCACAGCTTTGTTATGTCCCTGAAGGAGGTGCCATACTAGGACTAAGAGTCGCAACACCTATCGCCTAGCATGCAGAGCAAGAAAGCAAGTTCTAGATGCCGGTTCAGGAACGAGAAACGCGCGGTTGAGAGTGTGGAACAGGCGAGATTTCGAGACGTGTGCAAGTAAAGACGAAATTGAAGTCTGAAGAACCTTGCGATAACATACCATGCCGCCTTTGATCCATGCATCCAGCTCCATCCTCACCTTCTTCATGAAAGCTAAGCTCAGCAGATCGTCCTCCTTCAACTGGACGTCCGCAATATCACTCTTCGTCAACTTCTCGTTCGCTATCTCCTTGGCCTTCTTCGCCTCTTCTCGGCTCAAGTAGCCGACGCCGCTATGGAACGGTAACCCCATGTCAAACCCGTGGCTCACGAGGAAGTCCACGGCAGAGCTGCTGAAGCCGAAGTCACGCTCAATCCCCAGGCTTTCCTCTACCGTTGGGTTGAGATTGAAGTTGTATGGTCGTACAACATACTTTTGCTGCTCTTCATCCTGCTCCACGCACGTCAAGCCAATCTGCAAAATCTGGTAGCGATTGGCGGCATCCCGGACTTGGCTGTAACGCTCCTGGAGAGTATGGCGGCCCTGGGAGATGCGAGATTTGCTTGCTATGCCTGACAACTCGAGATCGATAGCGACGAAATGCGACTCGGAGATGTGTTGGAGTATCTCAAGGAGACGTGGATAGAAAGCGGTACGATCAATTTCCATCGTGGGCTGTGAGGTGCTGAAGATGTAGGAGTTGTGGCGAACAAGTTAATTTGAGAAGCTTGTAACGGAAGCGTTTGACTTTTACAAAAGCAAACGTACAAGAAGCAAAGACAGGCAGTACTGGAGTACAGTCCTACTGTAGCGAGCGGACCAGAGACTTCGCAGTGTGTGATGCTCTTTAACTGGAGCAGTTCACGCTACGGTGCTGGATGTTGTAGAGAAGTCACGGAAGAAGCGCAGGTTTTACCATGTTGACAGCAATCCCGAAATCTATTATGAACCGTAACTGATGTAGCATCAAGTAAGTCGTGTTTGCCCTCACCTCAGCTAATACACGGCTCGCAGGAAGAAAATCCATGTCTGACACTGAATACAAGACATAAGATATCGTTTAGACGCATCTGCCCTTGTACCATCAGGTCTCAATGTCCGAAGTCTTAGCCCGGCCTGAGACGCCTGATGTCACGTTGTACCGAGGTCCAGCGCCAAACGCCAATTCCATTCCAATGGCATCTTCAACAACACCAGCTCTCCCACCGCGTTCTCGCGGACTCTAATATTAACCTAATGCCAGTATAGCATCCTGCCGGCGTCTCAAGTACCCTAATCGCGCACCCACCAAGCCCATTATGGCCCACAATCCCTACTCCGACCCCTCCGCGTCCAGCCTGCTCTCATCAAGCATATCCTCCCTCTCCAACTCCCGTCACCAGTCCTCCCAGATCGCGAAGACCTACCGCCAAGCCGCGCAGCTCTTCTTGACGCGCCGCCTGCCTGAGGCTCTGTCGACCATCGAGCCTATCATTACCCCCCCAACCCGGCTACCAGACTCCACCGACGGGCAAGATGATCAGACCGATGGAGAGGAGCAGGCCGCGCCCGCACCCATTGCGGCGGCTTCGAGGGGAACGAGGGTGAAGGTGTGGTCCTTCTATCTCACCTTTCTTAACGCGGTTGTGGAACTGGGGTCTGAGGAGGGCAAACACGCATTCGGCGCCGCGAAGTGGAAAGCTCTAGTTGCCAAGACGCGCGATGGCAGCATCTGGGAGGAGGTCGTGCGGGATGGGTACGGAGGGTCTGAGGGTGACGTCGATGCTGAGGTTGTCATCAACCTGTATGTGCCTCTTTCCCTGACACACTTGCTACGAGGCTGACACGAAAGCATAGAGCTACGTTGCTGCTCACACACTCGCCGGACCAGAGGCTGAATCAGCAACGGCTTGAGACATATCTATCCGCCACAGCTCACCCAACCTTCGCGATCGATGACTCGTCCTTATACAAGGAGAGGCGCGCCGAACCACACGGCAATGGCACAGCTACGCCCAGAGACCTGAACACCAGGCTGAAGCTGCTTGAGCTGTATACCTTGCACGTCCTACCGCGGAATGAGGAATGGGATTACGCAAGGGAGTTCATAAGTATGAGTGAGGTGCTAGATGATGAGCGAAAAGACGCGTTTTTGCTTGCGCTGCATGGGCTCAGGGCAGAGAAGGACAATGCTGCTGAGCGTGAGGCAGAGCTGAGGAAGCGGCAGGAAGAGGAGCTTCAGCTTCGCCGACGCCAGTCCGAAGAGAGGAGGGCGGCGGCAGAGGACGAGAGAAGGCGGAGAGACGAGGAAAGCAAGCGAGCAGCGACGAGCCCGCCGGCATCGACCTCGTTACCGCGGTCTGAGGACGGGCGGCCTAAGGCGGCAAATGGCGGCAGGCAACAGACACCATCAAGCAAGCCATCAGCGCCAGCGAAAAAGAAAGCAACCACGCCACCTCCCGGTTTTTATCAGCGTGCATCGTCCGCATTAAGCAATATGCAGATCTTGCTGCGGAGCACGGCACAGAGCATGACAGCCAGTCCGATGGCAATGCTGCGGACGCTGCTCTTTCTCATGGTGTTCTTCTTAGCTTTTGGGAGGCGAGACCTGAGAGAAAGGATACGAAGGCTAATGAGACAAGTGTGGGAGAAGATCAGGAAAACAGTCGGAATGGGTGTGAAAGTTTCTTATATCTGAGACATCTCTCGACCATAGTCTTTGTGCAATAGTTCTTAGAGCCCTCTTGTAATGCCATCAGGGTATGGTTAAGGCATCGCACATGTGCACGTGACATATCTGACCGCACCCCTTTCTCCTCCACCACTTGCATCTCGCACCCTTAGATGTTTGCAACCCATTCGCCGAATAACACAATCATCGAATCTCGGCTTCGGACAGTTCTGCTCTCCGTCAGTCGGCAATAAACGGTCATCATGAAAGCCGTTGTCCGATTGTCGCAATGCGGAAGGTGGATGTCGAACGGTCATATTGTCCCGTCGAGGCGCACTTTGAGAGGAGAAGTAACCACCAAAGCACGCCGTATCGCAGGCGCGTCATCCAGATCCTCCATATTAGTGTCCTGGGCGTGCAGAAAGTCACCCGCCGCGCCCGCATGAGATACGGCACGCAGCCGCTCGGGCAACCTGGTACACCAGCCTCATGCCAGCATTCAGCCATGGGTGACCTAGCATGTCGTCGTCCCAATCGTCAACGGGATCGTGTGCGACACCGCGAGAGATTAGCCTTCTCTCAACTCATGCCACAATTGCCCACCGACGGTATTGATGGGAATCTCCAATCACCGCCCCAAAATTACCGGATCACACGGATTTGTCGCAGCATTGTTTCAGCTCTGGTGGAAACATCTGGGGTAATGCAGGACGGCGCTTTGATCAACGGCGTGTACTGGTCGTCCCCTTCATCCGACAAGCCTTGTACGTGGAGGCGAGATGGACTTTTCGGCGTTCTGCTCTGTCAGGCAGGTCAGATCGGAGTGGCGCAGATGGCCGCAGGCATGTCAACTTTAATATCACGTCGCTGCGGAGAGCATGCGGGCTTATGCATGAAATGCTGCCTGACAGCCTGTGAGCTCCTGCAAGGGGTCTGCTGGAACATCTCCGCGATAAAGGCAATCCCAAGCGAATCCCTGCAGCAATGGCAGATAACGTTATTCGCACCACAGCGCTTGCACCGCGAATGACTTGGTGAGCAGCCCCTGTGACCGCCCGCTTCCGACGGCTATCAAGCCACGAGCGAGAGGCTTGGACGAAAGAGGAAGTCGGTGATATGTCGCAATCGACTACCCTTCGTTGCAGCACACCACTATCGGCCAACGTGTCTTTGTGTTATTTGGCACCATCTCTTGAGACAAAGACAAGCAGCCACAGAGGCTCAACGGCAGCATAAAGACGCCGAATACAGTTGAAGCACATCACGACATCTCAGTGGTCTCGGTATGAGATCCGTCAGTGGTCAGCTTTGAAATTAGACTAACGCTTTAGCCCAGATCAGTCCCGTGTGCTCGTTCAGCGGCCGGCGAAACAGTCCCATGCAAGGCAGCTTGGGGGCCATGCAGATCGGCAGAGGCGTTAGCTTAGCCTCAGGGGCTCATGTGAGCCATGGAGAGACCCGGCAGAAGCGTGGCTGGTGGACCTTGCACCGGCTGCTCTCCAATGTTGGTCTTCAACAATAGCTTCCAGCGCAACGGTTTCCAGCGCCAAAGGATAAGAGCAAGAAGCCGAAACGTGGGGTATCTCTGATAGCACGAGGATCTTCTCTTCATCCAGAAGGTCGAACATAGCAGCAATATATCAATCTGCGCCAGTAACAGCCGCTGTTGGCAGGTGAAGGTGCCGGCAACCATCCCGAGCAGCGGCGCCCACTTGGCTTCGAGCGAGCGACCAATAGCAAGCCTGAGACGATTAGATCCTCCGGGCTGATCAACGTCCTCCATATCTAAGCTCCTTCTTCATTCTACTTTGAGCGCCTCGGAGCACTGCACGAGGTCTTCCCGAGTCACCTTCACCCCCTCCCGCCTCACCATCGCCAGCGCTCCGAGCCGCAGAGGACCGTCAATCTCCCAGATGCCGCTAACTCCCGGGGTGCGCCTCTGTAATGTCCAATGCGTAGCCTTCTGGAGCTTACTTGTACGGAATAAGCAGGAGGAATGGTCATTGTTCTCCACTTCACGGGCTTTGGGGAGCGTCTGTTACAATGCTCTTCACGGGTACTTATACTGGCTTGAGGATGCCCAGTTCGTCTTCATCCAACAACAACACTTCGCTTCACAGTCACTTCAGCAGCAGGTCTCTCACTTAAAGTCTTTCATTCAACATGCTGTCCCTCAAACGCGGTCTTCTGCTCCTCGGAGCCCTGATCCCTCTCATCGCTGCTGCTCCCGTCCCGCAGGATGACACATTCGGCATCCAGGCCATTCCTGGAAAGTACATCATCACGCTCAAGGAAGGCATTGCGCCCCCAAAGGCTGAAGCCCACGTCGCCTGGGTGACCGATGTCCACCGCCGCAGCCTTGAACTCGAGCGCCGTGACGGAAAGAACAAGGCCAACCGCAAGGGTATTGAGCAGAAGTATAACGGCACTTTCACTGGCTATGCCGGAGAGTTCGACGACGCCACCATCAACGCGATCAAGGCCAGCGCTGATGTATGCTCACTTCACCCCTGGCAGCGCAATTCTTGAAGACCCCGCTAACCCCTCTGTCAGGTCGCTGCTGTCGAGATCGACCAGATCTGGCACACGTATGCTCTCACCACCCAGACTGGTGCTCCATGGGGCCTCGGCTCAATTAGCCACCGCAACCCTGGTTTCACCAGCTACGCCTACGACACCACCGCCGGCCAGGGCACCTACGCTTACGTAGTCGACACGGGCATCAACACAGCTCACACCGAGTTCGGCGGCCGTGCTAGCCTGGGCTACAACGCTGTCAGCGGTGTCACCCACGCTGATCGTGACGGCCACGGCACTCACTGCGCTGGCACCATAGGCAGCGCCAGGTACGGCGTCTCTAAGAACACGAACCTCATCTCCGTCAAGGTCTTCGAGGGCAACTCTGTAAGATGGTTTCCTATCAGCAGCCGTGAAGGATGGTACTAACGATGCCATGCACAGGGCTCCACTTCCGTCATCCTTGCTGGCTACAACTGGGCCGTCAACGACATCGTCAACAAGGGCCGCGCCTCCAAGGCCGTCATCAGCATGAGCTTGGGCGGCGGCTACTCTGCGGCCTTCAACAACGCCGTGCAGTCCGCCTTCACCTCCGGGGTCTCGACCGTCGTCGCCGCCGGCAACAGCAACGTGAGTTCTCAATCCATCAAACCCGGAACCATGTGACGCCGTACTAACCCACCGCCACCAGGTCGATGCCGCCAACACCTCCCCGGCCTCCGCTCCCAACGCCATCACCGTTGGCTCAATCCAGTCCAACAACGCACGCTCCTCGTTCTCTAACTTCGGCGCCGTCCTCGACGTCTTCGCCCCGGGCACCTCCATCCTCTCCACCTGGATCGGCTCCAACACCGCCACCAATACCATCTCCGGCACCAGCATGGCCTGCCCGCACGTCGCTGGCCTCGTTGTCTACCTCAAGGCGCTCGAGGGCCTCGCCTCGCCGCAGTCGGTCAGGGATCGCATTGTTGCGCTCTCCACGACCGGCAAGATCACGAACGCAGGAGCCGGCAGCCCGAACAGGATTGCCTACAACGGCAACGGCGCGTAAGGGATTCCTCTGATGGCACGAAGCATGGGATGTGGATAGCACTCTAAGAGGGGCATCTGGGTTTCTATTTTTTGAGTGTGCGGGGCGCGCTGGGGCAAGGACGGCATCACTTTTACGCTCGTTTCCTAACCCCCCTTTTCATTCGTTCATATTTGAGGTTCGATTCGTTGGCACGGCGTTAGATATCCATGAGGTGCGTATGTAGCCGCTCGCCGTGGAGCGCGGAAAATGGACTCTCTTTGACAGACTTCCACGATCGCCGTGACTTGAACATGACCGATTTTCCCATCCCTGAGGCTAAATATGCTTGACTGGGGCGTTTGATGCCACCCTTGTCAGACCTACAGAAATATAAGCCTCCAGTGACGCATATAGTGAGCCCCCGTCCCAGAGTCCTGGCTTTGATAGCTCACATGGATAGGCAGCGCCGAGGCAACGTGGGTGGATGGACGTCTTAATCTGCTTCCAGAAGGAGGTACGTTAGGCGAGTACACAGCACCGAGCCACCGTCAAGCGCGAGACAGATAGATTCCCGGTTCATAAAAGGCTTCTTCCATAGCCAAAATAATGTTGTTCATTGATAGCTTTCCTCGACGCCACGAACGCCATTCCTCCTCCTTCTGCTATTGCTACCTCTTGCCCCGCATGCCGATACCGACTGACGAAAGATGCCTCCACCTCGGATGCGAGGACTTGGTATAACCCGCTACATGCTCCATGTACATTCCCCCACGACACATGCTGGCGCCGCTGAAACGCAAACGACGGAAGCCTCCGCGTCTACTCTTTCTACGCAGTGCTCTCAGTCGACGCCGGCGTACAGATCGACCACGATATTCACAGCCGCGACCAGGATCTCGGCGGCGATGAGCACGATGACGATCCATTCGAGGTATTCGCCCTGCAGAAGTGTCAGCCAGAGGTTGACAGACCTTACAACCCCTAGTGCCGGCTTCCACTCCGACTCTTTCGACAAGCACGTTTTGCATTACTGCCACAGCACAGCGCAGGAAGCCCACAGCAAACTCGGCGGGAACGCAGGAGACGGGGGAAATAACTCACATGACTACTACTCAGCTGCCCCCTCATAACCTCCAGCAGATCCCCTAATACCCCCAACCTCTCCCCTAGGATCCTGACTCTCTGGTCCATCTCCAGATAGTTCCGTACAGCGGTGTACACGGGCTCGAGCTGCGGCTCCGCCCACATGAGCTCCGGGGAATCCAGCACGGAGCCCTGCAGGTGGATGGAGATGCGCAGGATGAAGAGGTGCCCGATTTGCTGGTTTATCTGCTTCCGGCTGAGGGAGATGGTTCCGGTTGTGCTGAGGAGGTGGGGAAGGGAGGAGGAGGTTGCTATCGTGGTTGCGAGGAGGGATTCGTGGAGGGATGTCTGTTGAATCAGGTGGGTTAACATGGGTTGGTGGTTCCCGAAGAGGGGTCAAATACACACCTTGACGCTCTGCGCAAGCGCGTGGCTGATGGCCAGCTTGGTCATGTACGCCTTCTTGTCCCGCAGCGAGATGAAGTCGTTGTATATCCTGGCCTGGTACTCCCGCGTGTAGTAGAAGTTGAAGTCCTCAATCTGCACGTCGTCCTTGGCCAGCTTCTCCTCCTCAAACTTCTCAATCTCGCGCAGAAACCGGTCTTCTTCCTTCAGCGACAGCCCCCACAGTACCACCGTCCCGTACGCAAAGAGAAACAGCTCCGGCACATGGACCTCGGTGTCAAAGTCCGGATTCACCGGCCCCAGCAGCGCGGGATCGACCGCCGTCTCCGACAGCGTCGCCCTGAGCGCCGACCCCGCCGCCCCATCCACCCCCCGCTCACGCAAATCAATCAGGTCCTCCCGCCTCTGTTCGGTATTCCCCTGTACCTCGAGCTCGCTATCCGAATACCGCCTATGCTCCTGCAGCGGCCCCGGCGGCGGCTCCAGCACGGGACTCAGCGGCTTCTCGGAGCGTTCGTACCGCCACGGCGTGTAGATGCACTCATCGAACAGTTTCGGATTCGCGCCCCGGCTGCGACCCTTCCCCTTGAGCCAGCGCATCAGCTCCGCCATCCGGTAGCTCGACGCCGTGCAGTACGCCGTAACGCGCGGCAGGCGCTCGCGGTCTTCTTTCCCGAGTCGAGCTGCATCGCGTCGCGCGGTCGGGTCCTTGATCCGCGTGAACTGCGCGTAGACGTCGCGGCCGCTTTCTTCGTCCGGTCCGTCCGAGAGCGCGGCCGGGTCGGGGAGGAGCTTGAGTTTCTCGGCTGTGCGGGTTGTGCGTTGGGGCCCGATTTTGGGGCCCGAGGCGCTTTGGAGGAAGGTCGGGATTAGGGGGGAGCCTTGGGAGTTGCGCCGCCGGAGCTTGGAGTTGAGGGAGGAGAGGAGCGGTTGTGTGCTGGGTTGGCGGGAGGAGGCGGGGGTGTAGCGGAAGGAGGGGGGAGGCGAGGAGGAGGAGATTGTTGGGTTGAAGGTTACGGTTCGTGGCGGTCGTCGGGGGTGGGATGCGTCGAGGAGAGGTGCAGACTCGGAGGTTGCGCCGGCGGCGGAGGAGGACGCCATTGGGCGATGGGGTGTGTTATGGTGGCTTCGGCCTATCGAGGGAGCATGTACAGTATAGAGTCCGATGTTAAAGACATATCAACCGCAGCGCAACAAGGTCGAGATGTACAGAATTCCCTGCATGTGCTCGACCGTTGTTGTAAGACTCCAGATGACGTTCACGGCGGATTGTCGCAGGAGCTTGGGCCGCCCACGTTTTTTGGCCCGGGTGGCTTTGAGCCGCAACTCTAACTAGACCCGCGATGCGCTCTCTCACATAAACCATAACCACTACACGAACCGGTACGCTGCTACTCCTATCCGACATAAAAGCAACCTTCAAGAACAAAAAAACCCAATCCCTCAGCTTTCCGAAACCACACCCAAACAGACAAGCATGTCCCAGCTTCCCCCACAGACCGTAACCGTCAAGCGCAAGCGAGACGAGGAAGCAGTTGATACTCTAAGTGAGTGGCTACTTACTCCCCGACCGGCCTGCCCACTGACTCTTTGCAGTCCTCGAGAACCAGACGCGCGGCCATGTCAAGAGGCGGGTTGCCCCAGGCTACATTTTCCGCCGTCAGGATGCGCCGCGACGATCCACTAGCCAGCAAGTAAACAACGGAGTTCCTGTCATACGCACCACTCTTCCCGGGCAGGAGAATGTTCTTGATCGCCAATTGCGAGCTCCGGCAGCAACCACCCCCGAAGTCTCCAGCGCGAGCGCACACCGCCGCTTTCACCTCTCAGGACGGGCATCCGTAGATTCTCCACGAATCTCCGCAAATGGCGTCACAAAGCGGGAAGGGCCGATATTTACAGAGAAGCGACGACCGGCGTTCCCGCCCAGCAGGAGACACGAAAGCCATCAGCCTGTGGCAGCAGATCCATATCGCGAACAGCCCGGCTTAGATATGACCGCACCACCTTTACGGAGGCCAGGCTCAACCACTCGTCTAAAGCCGCATGGCTCGAACGAGTCAATCGACAGTCACAATAGCGTTGCAATTACCCCGAACGAACCGCCGCCATCAAACATCCTTGCTGAAATGGAGCGGTTTGCCGCGGAGGTTGAATCCAGTGACGCTCAGCCGATGTTGCCGAATGGCCACACAAGGCTGAAGTATAAACCCAAGTCTCCGCCGCTCAGATACAAGGATCGGCATCCGGACACAGTCACGATAGAGGTCGACACCGAGATGATGGACGTGGACAGTGACGACGGCGATTTCGTGTACGATACCTATGTCCGTGAACCTGATACCACGGTATCCATCGACGAGATGAATGGGAATATCGGCATCCTAGTCATCACAGAAGAAGACCAGGAGGTGTGGGAATCGTACATCGACGAGGATGACAGTGACAAGGACTGGAACAGTGAAGAAGAGGACGAGAATGGTACGATACCTGATCTATGTTTTGGAATGGTTGAAGCTGACTCTTGCAGCGGAGGACTACTACGGCGCCGACTATCCAGAGGACGAAGTGGATTCGGACGACGAGCGCGACGTTGGCGCTTATAAGTATCGACATGGTGCCTCTGATGACGAAGAGTTCAATTCAGATACAGGTGCCTGGAGTGATGAGGGGGAGGATCTGAGTTATCCTTGGAGGCAGAAGGCATGACCCAAAGCTGGTGCATGGGGCGATCATGCTAGCAGCGCCCGTCATGTTTCAACGTCGACTGCGGAGATGCTATGTTTCATGTACCCAAGCTGTCACTATGAAGCCGATCACACCGTGGTAGAACAAAGCATTAAACCCCTATGGCGCGTTCAGTGCATCAATCGTTGACCTCATCGTTTCCTTCTCGTTCCACACCTTCAAGTTCCACACCATGCATAGTTCAGACCGCCACAGACCCAGTTGGCTCCCCCACCGACAGAACGCCTCCTTTCCCAGAAGCATCTCTCAATCGCTCTTCGAGACTTTCCAGTTCCTTCTCTAGAACTCCAGGATTCTCGCATTTGATCGCGCATTGGAAGTCGATCAGAACAGCCCGCCCTTCACGGATGAGAGAGTTGTGCTTGTTAACGTCTCCATGCCTGATGCCCAATTGATGAAGTCTCGACAGAACTTCCCGGCATTTCGAGAGGTCTTCAGGGCCTATGCACCTGAGACTTCGCAGAGGGGAGCGCCTTTCACCAGGGTCTCGCTCGCCGCTGACGAGCGTTTTCACCAAACATTGAATATCTTCGCCTGGAGACGAAGCCGGAACAAGGCATGGAGGTTTTCAGGATTGAATGAGCTGGTGTCTAAGCGCCTATATCCTTGGAGACGTCACTGATCATGCCTCTTGACAAGCTGGAAGAACCGCAGCTATGTTGAATACCAATCCAATCTAGCTCCAGTACCGACCGAGCCTCACCGTAAGGAACCATGACCCCATCTCTTAACTGGATCGAAGTAACACCTATTCACAAACGCTGCCCAACGCAGACTACTTCTCTTGAACGGAAGGAATTCACAAGCCAGCGTTCATCTTGACCACCACCACTACCAATGTTTTTACCCATCACTACAACAGGCCCATGTACTCCAGCCAGCCAACGTACTGCCGACGCAAAGGGCTGTCACCCATCATCTCCATCATCTTCCCGCATTCCTCGAAATGGCTCTGAAACGTCTCCGCCGTGAATTTTGCCGCCCACTGCCAAGGGTCATCCATGTACAGACAACCGAGACAATGAAAGCCCCACTCCAGCGATCTCGTGCGTAGATCTAACCAGGGCGCGCGAACGACCGCCAGGAAGCGTCTCGGGTCCGCCTCACGCTCGTCGTAAGCCTTTGTAGGGCGTGGTCGACGTGGGGTTGGTATCAACGCTCCTTCTGCTTTCAGCTCCCGCTTTGCCGCGTATGCACGACGTCTCTTAGATGCCATCTCAGAAGCGTGCTGCTCCATCGCACTGACGGACCCATGCAGTGCGATCCCGGCCTGGCGGGCGGACTCAGAGTCGACGAGGGTAAGGCGTGTGCGCAGGACCGTCTCGTCCCGCGTGTAGCATCCAGGTATGCTCCTGAGACGAGGTACAGATTTTGGTATCCTGCGACCTAACCCAAAGCGCTGGAGGGCGTCGGAAAGCGGCAGTGGAAGGTAGTCCGGCACCTGCGAGAAACAGAAAAAGCATACGCGCTTGCAGGTGCCGAGATAGAGGTATCCGCCAAAGGCACCGCAATGGTCGCAGTCGGCGGTGCATAGCTGGTCGTACAGCTTCTGGCACGTGATCCACTGCCCGGTTCCGATAGCGAGGATGCCGCGAAGTGAGTCGGGCGCGTGAGCCACGATCACCTGGTACTGCATGATCGAGTCCACGACTTCCATGGCTCTTCGGTTGACGCGCCGGAGATCGGTCAGAGATCGTAGGTCGGTTTGGACGAGTGTCTTGCTGAGGAGTTCTAGAGGGAGCTTGTCCAGATCTCCAAGATGGAACGCAGGGGTACCTTCATGCCGGCCATTATCCAGCGGGCAACGACGCGCAAGACCTTGATCGTCAAGCGTGTTGGCTTCTATGTGCGGATAGGTGAGCGCTTCGCGTTGCGCTGTGCTCATCGATGTCTGGTCCATGTTCTGGAGGATGGTTCGGCGAAGGGTCTTATTCCTAAGACTGCCCAAGGACGATCTATCGGCAGATCGTTCCCCAGAGGCTTGACATAGGCTTGAGCTCTTGACTTAGTAAGCGGACAGCTCTTGTAGTTGAAGATTCTCCGTTGGCGAAACAGCAACAAGGGGTGTACTAGGGTGCCGAGGGCAATTGACAACGTGGTTTTGCGTTCAGGAGCAAAGGCTCGGTAGCTGAAGGTAGGATGCGCAAACGTGCTCTAACAGGATGACAGTTGAGGTGCGGACCCTGAAGGAAGGTGTGGATGAAGCTCGTGTTGCTTGACTGAGGGTATAGCTAGGCAGTGAACTGCAATTGATTAGTCACACACCCTCATGGCGCTTTGTGAAGTGAATCTAGCGATATTTGTGGAGGTGAAGCGGTTGGCTCACGGGTCATGGGACTGGAAAAGTTGTGAAGGTGAAATGGATTAACGGAAAACTAAGACGGGTCAACCATAACGTTACTTGGAGGTTAGGACCTCCTGTGACATGTAAGGAACCCATTCTCCGTCATATGTCATCCGGCTTATACTCATGTAGCATTTTATTGCCTCTCTATGCATAAAGTCGCCATCCGATAGCTTTACAACCCCACCGCTGGCCCCAACATGCTTATGGAACGTCTCCGCTGTGTACAATATCCTATAGTTTCCAGACCCCTCCGAAGACCCCTCCGAAGACCCCTCCGAGCCGGCAATTTCGCACGCAGGACACTGAAAGCCTCACTCCTTGGATATCTTGAGCGATTTTGGCTAGGGCGTGCGAATAACGGCCATGAATCGTCTGAAGTCTAGCTTTACCCAGGGTCGCTCGTCTAGAGGTGAGGGTGGTCTGGCACTTCCATCCTCTTTGTGCCCAGGATGCTTTCTCCGCCAGCGACACGTATTGCTCCATGGCAGTGGCAGACATGTAGTCCAATCTGCGTATTCCCTGTGAGTGGCCCTGTGGGTGTAAGAGGGCGGCTGACAGTCAAGCCTAAGGCCATGCAGCGGACGATCCATGATGATTGTTTGGGGAGACGCGCCGTGGCGGGATTTATCGAGTTGGAGTTGGTTGATCGCGAACGCGCCGCACGCGAGAAGATAGACCCGTTGGCTTCAAGAAGGCGTAGAGACCTCAGGACCGAGGGAGCTGATATTCATGCGCCTATACCGTAGAGGTCAGCGATCCTGCCCCTTGGCAAGTTGGAAACTAGTCTTAGAGACGGTGAATGCGGTATAACATAATGAAAGTCCCACTCAGTGGATCTCGTGTGCATGTTCAGCCAGTAGGTGCGAATAACTGGTTGTTTAGTTCTACCACACGCGACATTAAGACCGGGACCGTCATCCGCCTGCAGCAAAGAAACTCAACAGGCTTCCAACGGTAAGTCCAGCGACAAGGCAAAGTCCCATGAACCCGCCTGCTGCTTCCCTTTCGTCTACATCAACCCACTCGACCGCACCCATCATGCACGAGCTACCAATGTAACCATTCGTGATGCCAAAAAGCAGCTGCACTACTACCAAGTAAAAGGTATCGCTGTTGACCAGTGCGCCACGATCACGGATGTTACAGAGCAGGTACAACGGTATGAAGACGACTCGCGCAATGGAGAGTGCGAAGAGGACTCGCGGGCGAGACGTGAGAGAAAGTCCAGGCACTGCTGTCAGCAGTCTGCCGATTAGGTCTCCTGTGTTCCAGAAGAGGAAAGCCAAGGGTATGAAGGAAGCTGGCTGAAACAGGCGTGGCGCTTCCGCAGGCGGGCGTACGCTTAGGATCTCCTGCGTGTAGACAGGAAACACCATAGTGATGGCGAACGTGAGGAACACTGCGGAGGCCAGCCAGAACAGCTTCCTGGCTAGGGTCATGAGAGGCACGGATCTTCGCTTGGGACTCTCTGTCTCTTCATCGTCATCTAGGCTCTCATCGGAGCTCTGATGACGCTGTTTGGCACTGTGTCTGCTCAGCAGATAGAAGAATGCGACAAGGCTGATGGCCGAGACGCCCGTAGCAGTAAGGAAATAGGCAAATGCAGATGTCGACGACTCCACAGGAACGTCACTGTCGGCATGCTTTGCAGGTATCGAAAGCACGGAGACAATCTGCGCGATGCATGGCAGCACGCCCGCAACCGCTTGACCCGTCATGATGGCTTGCGTATACTCTTCACGCCCGAAGCCTGACACAAAGGCAAACACGCCGTTTTGACAAAGTCCGGTAGCCAGACTTGCACCGAAGACCATCACGATAAGGAAACCGAAGTAGCCCCTTGCGGATATGTCCATGAACAGCCGCGTTGATATGGCGAGAAGGGTGAAGGCTACGATATTGATAGCGAGGGCGGACATGATTCGCTTCGGGTAGGAGGCATTGGCTTGCAGCTTGGTGAGGATGAGCATCGAGCCCAGGTTCGCTACTGTAGATACGGAGAGCTCGGCCGACTGGAAGTTGGTCAAGATCCAGTCGTCTGATCGAAAGCGGCGCTGGAAGTAGGGGCCGGCAGCGAGGAACATGTTCCTGATCAAACATCAGTGCCCGCCCGCTGATACTGCTTATTGTGGAGGCTCACCAGGCCCATAGCATAGCAATCCCAAGCAGGAAGAACACCGAGTACTCCAGCCATGAGAACCGCTCTTTATCCGTCCCCTCGATCCTCTCGCCGTCAGGCCTGACCGAACCGCCCTCCAACGGCTCGTACGACGATCTTCGCCGAACAAGCTTGCGTATCCTCTCCATATTAAAGGCGGTAGGAGTGCGTCTTTCGGGGTGCGAGCTCTAGGATCGGTGCGGCTAATGCTTTATCATGGGCGCCGCAGCTCGCGGGACTGACAAGGGGATCAGTTGGGTGCGAACCAGATGAGGCGGCTTGCGTTTAAGAGTGGACTACAGTTTGCTGGTGAGAGGCGCGTGTTTATATAGCGGATTCATGGTGGTGCAGCGTGGCTAGAACATGTTGTTGGATAGTCGTGGTCATCAGGTCGCGGCCCCTCGTGATGGGTGATGCCTTAAAGATTACGCTCGGACCATGCGGGCGTCCCAAGTCACTTTTCAGGTTGTATATATGCGGCTCACATCACCGCCGCATTATAGAATGGTATAGAATCAAGAACCGTGTATTTGAATCCATCATGGGTATAAAACCATGCTACTTAACGTATAGCATTGAGTATCCTCTCCGCCCACTGAAAATCGCTCAAATCGGCCCGAAATCGTTCTATCCCCGCAGGCGCAGAAGTTCACACCATAACCTGATGTCTTCAAATAGGCCCCCTCGGCTCCCGTCCGGACGCTCATTGGAGAGCTCTTTTGCGCTCGATATGCCAAACTGCTTCCATAAGTCCTCGATGTCGTCTTGGACCTGGCGTAACCCCTCCCCATTCAGTTGATCCGGGTCCGGATCAGCGCGCGGTCCAGCGAGCTCTCCATTCTCTTTCGGCTCATCATTGTCTGGAGCGACAGTCTCCTGAATGCTGACGATAACTCCTAAATGGCGCTGCTGCACGCCGACAAGTCTGAGCTCGCCTAGCCGAATGATGAATTCTCCCACAGCGTACGCGTGGCCGTTCTGGACTTGAACGGTTTGCTTGGGCGTCCACAAAGCCGCATATTTGGAGGTGAGTAAGTTAGCGAAGGCGCTCTGTTGATCAAAAGGAATCGCAATGGTTGCGTTTCTGGCTGGATCTTCTGTGTTCGAAGGGTCCGCTACATGAACGAATGTCTTGCTGGGGTCGTGCCCGAGACGTAGTAGATGCTGATAGCGCCACGGACCCTGGAAATCTATGGAGCTTGGGGTGCTGCGCAGCAGTCGATGATCGAGCGTCCACGAGCCTAGGGGCTCTGGGTCGCAGGTTCGGAGAAGGCGTTCATTGAGTACTTCGACCGTGTTCGATGATTGATTCTCTGAGATGAAGAATAGTCTGAAGGATACGTCAGATAAATCTTGAGAAACGTATAAAGTCAACCTCAACTCACCTAAGGGCACCCATGACTGCCGCGCCGGATTCTAATATTAGCGCTTGGCATTCAGTATTCCAGTTACGGAAGTTTTCAAAAGGAGGCCAGCTCTCGAAGCGTATGCTCTGATGCTTAGCTAAGTAGCAGCATAGCGTTTTTCACTGCTTGGTCGTCTAAGCTTCACCTTCTGCTAATGTGTCGGATATGCGTAAGAAGTCACGTGCAGAAAAAAGCGCCAAGCAAGGTTGCGGGGGAACTTCGGAGCCGGTCTTCACCTCAAGCTGACCTCCATGTTCCCCAAATAATGAAAGCAGCTTCAAGTAACGAGGAGTATGAACACGAAAACACCATGAACGGAACGGAGCAGTCAGAGAAGGCGAGCGCCGATCAGTCCAGTCAAAAACCGCATAAGACGCGAGGCCCGTCTTTGAAGCCGGATACAGTATTCCAATGTGGAAACGTGGAGGGCCTGGTATCATCATTCCGATGGCTCGTAGACAACGCGACCTCGAGCCTCGTCCCAGACGCTGTGACATGTCAATTTATCCTCGGCGTCGATACTGTCGTTGAGATCCGAGCGACAAGCAAAGAAACGCCCTCATTTTTGGCCTTGATTCAAAAGCAACCAGAATCCCAAGCTGCTGATGCAGATGGGAAGTCGCTGGAGTCAGAAAATCCTCCAGCGAAGAAATACACCGTCAGCGTCGCTAGTGCTCTCGCTGCGTTTGGTGATGACGCAGAAAGACTCAAGACCCAGCGAGCATTGGCTCGAGCAATCGTTGAAGCAATCCAAGACGTGGATGGCTATCGGTACTTCGAAAAGCAGGTATGGGGCACCAAAGGCCCGGACGGATGTCGCTTCAGATTTCCTTGTGTGGACTCCCTGCAAAATAGGGAAAGGGCTGCAAACCGCTACGCCAAGGCTAAGGCATTGAACGTGCCCGTCGAGGAGTCCGAACATGGTGAGTGCGTCACACAATTGCCTGGTTCACGTGCTTATTGAGTCTAGCATTGCCCACATTCGACTGTGAAGGTTGCATCGTCATCAAGTTTTCCTCAAGGAACACATGCGTGGATATCGTCTACAACCACTTGCCCATTCATAGGGATGCTCCAATACGTCCGTCGGTCGCCCGTGTTCGCGAAAGACACCGCAGGGGCTCTCAGCTAGGCACGTCGCCACAACTAGCACCAGACGGATCGCATCTTCCAGGCTTGGACCCCGCTCTCCAGCATGCCCAACCGGAAACTTACCAGCCCGGAGAGCCCGTACCTGGCGCCGCTTTGAAACCTGCTAAGACCCCTCGGAAAAGGAAGAAGAAGGATGCGGAATCTGACACAGCCCCTGCTCCGGCTGGAGGAGTCTCGGCCACAGACGGCCTCGACACACTAGTCGACTTGTTGCAGGCGGACATGAACGCTGGCCCGTACTACCAATATCCGAGTGCTGTTAACGGAAACAGTAACGTCCCTGTGTACCTTGACTATGTGCCCACGACAACCAACGGTGCAACGGCGAAGACAGCCCAAAGCGGGCTTCCTGATCCAGATCGGGTAGTTCACAAGCGAAGAAAAGCCACTTGCTTGACCTGCAAAGAACGCAAAATGAGATGCGATCAAGCGAAGCCAGCTTGTGGATCATGCGTCAAGAGCTCACGACCCTGCACTTACGAGGATGATTCAGCGCCGAGGCGAAAGAAGGCCAAAACGGGCGGTGATGGTAATATTGCCAGACCCAGCAACAACATCCAGGTTCCTATCGGGAATCCGTCTCCCAAGAAGGTCCGGAAGACGAAAAAGTCATGAACATCCGAGTGGGGGCGATATCAACTCAGATTCTCCTCAGCATTTTGCTCTTGCATCCTCCGCCAAATAAGTCTTTCGAGTGTGAGACGGTCCGGCAGCCAATACATGGCTGCGCTTTGATGTAACTGTCAGCTTCCGGCAACATCTACGTAAGTCCTGATGTGACGCGGGACCGCATCGAAGCATATCTGACCTTCTTAACAGACCCATTGGGTGTTATTCTGCGGTATCTCGATAGCACGTTGCAGGCAAAACGAAGGATGGGTTGCTCGAAGTGGTTTGGGTGCAATTTTAGCGTTTAACTTAGGACTAGCTGAGTCGTGGAGTGTCATGTTTACTGCGATCGGGCTCGCGCTCTTGGCGCAGCTGCCTCTAACGCTTGCAAAAATCAGCGATGCGCTGTGAGGCCGCGTCAATTCGCTGGCTAGCATGGGCGGAATAGTTTTGGTAACGGAAGGGGCGACATTGATGGCTGGTGTCATTGCTATTGCGGAGGCGGAAGGTAGTTTCTGCAATATATTTTCATCCGGCGACCATAATTCAGCAAGCTGGGTTTACATTCGTTCCTTCCTAAGTTTAGCCCAAACTGAGGGCACCCGTTCTCAGCCATCCATCCCAACTGAAGTGATTTCTTCTTCGCGTCATCTCAATCAACTACGGTCGTCCATCTATCGCGCGTCGAGAACTTTTCACACCGAACATCTATCAAGGTATGTGCAGCCCGTGCTTCCCGTACCATGGTTCTGGCGCCCCCAGAGCATTCACACAATATCCCGGAGGTATTCCTCGTACGCGCCTGCTAATGCTGACTCCACGACGCGCAGCTCTCCAAACATCCGGCGGAACGAACACATGACGATGAAGTCGCCCTCGGTGAACCTCCACGCCTCTGAAGGCGGCCTTGAAAAAGACGTCAAGGCTTGCGCACACGACCTCTCAGCCCTTGACGAATACGTTCAAGCCTTGCGGATACCTAAACAGGATTCTGCGGTCCCAGAGGGAAACCTCACAACCGAGGGTGAAGAGGTAAGATATGAGTTTTCTCGCTCATCACGATGCAAGCTCACAACTGGCAACAGAGAGCACAAAAGGAGGATGACCTCATCAGCATCGCCTCGATTGTCGTCCTTGCTATCTTCTGCCTGTACAAGCTCTTCGGAGAGGACTATCAGCAAGACTTCTACTGCAAGTCTTCTCAAGGCCGGTTCTACTGGGCCTTCCTCGTCAACGTAGTGAAAGAGGCCCTCATGAAGTACACCGCCAAGGCATTGCAACCGTCGGCTACAGGAGAGCCAGAGGGTGCCGGCATCAGAGCACTGAAGCGGCTATGTCGAGTCTCTAGGGTCCCTCTCTTTATCCTTGTGTTTTCGGCAATTACTGTTGCGCCGGGAGCGTTTTGCAAGTGCCAAGAGTAGCGGCGGGAATGCATGTACGTGCGGTCACGACTGAGCTGAAGATGTAGTCACATAGCAGTCTTAAGAGCTCATTCGCCAAGCGCATAAGACATCCTGAACATGTAGACTGTGTGTTTGGTGTTGCAACTCATGTGAGAATGAATTGGGGTTTTGCAGCACCATTGTCGCAAAGCCAGTTCGCTCACAATTCCATATCCGAGGCGGCCAGTGTGCAATGCCTTTCAGGCAAAACGTGGTGCTTCCGTGATGCCGAATAAATTTTTCGATCAGGCACCATGGAACGTCATCAGGCCCAGCCCGTTTTCCCCTAGCGCCGGCCCGCCGCCCAGCGTTTTCCTCTGCGATAACCCCAGAGCTGACACACACACCGACTCCCACAACCCCAGGCCACCTCTACTTCCACAAAACCCCCAGCGTCCACGAGCAGTTTGCTCTTCTTCCACTGTTCAACCCCACAAGACCGCGAAGCCGTGCTTATGCGTGCTTCTCAGACAATCTTCACTTCTCAGGTATGACTCTCTCGCGCCCTATGTCACCGCTCGCCTTATCTGTGGGTAAATCGAGAATGGCACCGTCGACCGACCGGCGCTATGCGGTGATGACGACTCTTCTTGAGCCAATTCTCTCTAGAATCCTTCTACGCACTTTACTCCTGAACCCTGGCTAATTACTGTACATAGGATTATATTTCTGGTACGCCATTACCGCCGCTGGTTCCTGGTAGTCGTTGCTAACCCGCCGTTAGACCACCTCTGGAAGGCCTCCGTAAACTGACCGCCACTTTTCACCACCAAATTTACCCACTATCAATACCACACACACGATGCTGTCTCGCCTTATCAAACCTTCGGTGCTGAAGCCTACTACGGCTTTTGGTGGAGCCTCCAGGACTGGAGCACAAGCTCGCTCCTTAGCCACGGTTCACAATAACAGCGCCCGTCGCGCGCCATCCACAAGGCCTCGGTCTACTCCGGTCTCCCAGGAACGGGCTACCTTCACGATCAAGGTATGTATCCCAGCGTCCGGCCGTGGTATGACCCTGTCACTCACCGCATCTTCTACAGGATGGACCAATCTTCCATGGCAAGTCCTTCGGCGCTAAGAGAAATGTCTCCGGAGAAGCGGTCTTCACGACTTCTCTGGTCGGCTACCCCGAGTCCATGACGGATCCTTCCTACCGTGGCCAGATCCTTGTCTTCACCCAGCCTCTGATCGGCAACTATGGTGTCCCCTCATCCGCTCGGGACGAGCATGGCCTTCTCCGATATTTCGAGTCTCCGAACATCCAAGCCTCCGGTATCGTTGTGCAGGATGCTGCTCTTCAGCACAGCCATTGGACTGCTGTAGAGGGTCTCGGCGAGTGGTGTGCGAGGGAAGGCGTTGCTGCGATTTCTGGTGTCGACACCCGACAGATTGTTACCTATCTGCGAGAGCAGGGTTCTTCGCTCGCTCGTCTCACCATCGGCGAAGAGTATGACGCTGACGAAGACGAGGCCTACATCGACCCCGAAGGGATCAACCTCGTCCGCCGCGTGAGCACCAAAGCGCCCTTCCATGTCAGCTCCTCACTCGGAGATCTCCACGTCGCGCTCATCGACTGCGGTGTGAAAGAGAACATCCTCCGCAGTCTCGTCTCCCGCGGCGCCAGCGTGACCTCGTTCCCCTTCGACTACCCGATCCACAAAGTCGCCCACCACTTCGACGGCGTCTTCATTTCAAACGGTCCGGGCGACCCAACCCACTGCCAATCGACAGTCTACCACTTGCGCAAGCTCATGGAGTCCTCGCAGGTCCCCGTTATGGGCATCTGCATGGGCCACCAGCTGCTGGCACTCGCTGCCGGCGGCCGCACCGTGAAGCTCAAGTACGGCAACCGCGCGCATAACATCCCTGCGCTGGATCTCACGACGGGGCGGTGCCACATCACGAGCCAGAACCACGGATACGCCGTCGACGCTACCTCGCTGCCGTCGGACTGGAAGGAGTATTTCGTCAACCTGAACGATTCGTCGAATGAGGGCATGATCCACAAGTCTCGGCCCATATTCAGCGCGCAGTTCCATCCTGAGGCCAAAGGCGGCCCGCTTGACTCGGCGTACCTCTTCGACGCGTACATTGAGAACGTGAAGAAGTACAAGAACAGCCAGGCGGTGTTTTCGCCGCAGAAGGATAACAAGCCGAGCCCGCTGCTAGTGGATCTGTTGAGCAAGGAGCGCGTGGGTGTGCATCCGGGGCTGCCGGATTTCAGGCCGGGACAAGGAGGCGAGGGGCAGACGGCGGTGGGGGGAATGCCTGCTGCTGCAGCTGCTGCGTGAGCGTAGCGGACTCCAGAGGAAGTGATGGGTGGTTGAAAGGCTGAAAATTGCTACACGGAATGCAACGGCTGCTGGGCCCCTTTAGAACGTGGCCATTTTGCTTTGTTTGTGCGATGGAGTTTTGAATTGGGTGTTTGCAAAACTGTTCTGCCTAGTGGGCAGAAACTAGCTTACGACACAAATACACCAAAACACTATAGTGAGCACGAGAACATCTGCGCATCTCAAGATTACTCTTTTCGTCAACGAGAACTGGAGCAGCAACTCAAGAACGTGACCGCAGATATATCCCGCCCGCTACCGCCCTCCACCCCCTTCCATCCTCAACTCAACTGATCAAGCCCCCTCCCCTCCACCGCGAGCCCATCACCCGCGCCATCCCCGCCCACATCACCTCCACCGCCCCCACCCTTCCCAGCCATCCCTCCCCCCTCCCCCCCCGCGATCCTCGCGCTCCGTCTCTCCTTGGCCCCCTGCTTCAGCACCTCCCACTTCTCGCGATACCGGCCCAGCACAGTCTGCAGCTTCTCGTTCTCGCGCGCCAGCTGCGCGGTCTCGGCTTGGGAGATGCGGAGGCGGTCTTCGAGGTCGCGCAGGGCTATTGTGGTAGGTTCTACTGCCGCCACTGTGGGGGCGGAGGCGTCGGCGGCGTCGGCGGGCGGGGCGAGCGAGGGACGGCGCGAGGATGCTGGGGAGGTGGGGTAGGGCGGCCCACCCCCACCGCCGTGAGGGTGCGGCAGCCTGTGCACGCTCTGTGCCAGCGCCATGCTCTGGCTCTGCGAACTGGCTTCCCACATCGCGAGACGTCGGCTCTGCGTATCGAGCAGCTGGCGCAGGGCGCCGTTTTCGAGCTCGAGCTCCTCGCGCGTCTTGCGGGCGACATGCTGCTCCTGTTTCGCGGTAGCCGTTGCTGCGGTTGCGGTTGCGGTCTTGGCGGGGCCTGCTCGCACCGAGCGCGGCGAGTCGGGCGTCTGTGGATCCTCGCGCGCGTCGACGAACTCGTCCATGTTGCCTGAGCCGCTTTCCTCGGGCACGCCGGGCAGCGGCGGATGCGGGAGTGCGTGGCCGTGGTGGTGGTGCTGCGCGAGGATGTCGGCGTAGCTCACCGTCCCCCCGCTCGTGGGGACCAGGTAGAAACTCTCGGCGCCGCCGAAGGGCGTGCCGTGCGTGTTGTGTTTGTCTTCGCGGAGGGCGCGGAGGGCGGCGCGGGAGAAGAGTTGGGAGTATTCCGGGTCGGTTGTTGCGCGGGTATGGGGGGTGGAGGCTGCGGGGACGGCGGCTGGGGTGGTGGGGGAGGGGGCGGAGGGGGCCACGGACGGGGTTGAGGCGTCTAGGGGGAGGCCGGCGAAGGCGAGGGGTGCGGAGAGCTTGGTGAAGAGGGATTCGAAGGTCGAGAAGAATTTTTGGAACGGCTCGTCTGTGGAGGTTGGAGGCGGTGGGTTGATGGTGGAGGCGGGCTGCTTGGTGGAGGGTTGCTTGAGCGCGGCGAGGGCTTCGGAGGTCGGTCGGAGGGGGCGTTGGGAGGGCTCCTTGGACGATGTTTGCTCCTCTGATGGACCGGCCTTATCGGGGCGAGTGGAGAGCCTGCCGCCAACATGTTGGGCGGATACGGCGGGCAATGATGGCGTTCCTCGTCGCTGTTGAGACCCTGGTATGCCTCTTGCGGTAGCTAGATTACTGGCGATAGAGGACTGAAGGTCTCTTGCGGGCCTTCGACGGGTTGAAACAGGAGATGAAGGCTTTGCCGTGCGGGTTGGGGACAACGGGCGCGCGCCGACAGCTTGCTGCTCAGCGGGCGTTGTGGAAGATTTCTCTGAGCCTTCCTCTTGCTTCTCGCTGAAGAAAGTCGTAGTGGAGGGTGCCTTTATTATCTGAGACAAGCGACGATGGTGATCTTCCAGGAGTCGCAGGGTACGGAGTGCCTTCAGAGCGCTGTAGTTAGCGGAGTGGCTCGGCAAGCAATAGCAGTACAACGGACTTCAGTATCCTCAGTGCCTCTCGTGGCTTTTGCGAACTCAGCAGCAGCTAGATCATGCTCTTGACTGGCTACGACGGCGTTGGCCTTCCGCGTTTCGAGAGCGGCGTTGCGGGCATGGGAATGCGCCTGAAGCTGTTAGCAGAGAAATATGCACTTCGGGGCCGCAAGCGCCACGTACGAGAGTTAAAGGCGCGTTCTCCATGGTCCGTTTTAGGTCTGGACTTCCAGATAGAGGTTTGCGACATGTGCACAGCTGAGAGAGGGAGAGGGGGAGAGAGAGAGTGTAGGCAGTTGTCGGCAGTCAGCAGTCAGCAGTCAGCAGTCAGCCGTGCAGTTTACATATCACGGTGTTTGCGGCTATCGTGTTCACCCCGGTCGGTGGCTTGTGGAGCCTTGGAGTCTTGGAGTTCAAGATGCACGGCATGTGACGTGATGGCTGTAGCGGCTGGGCGACAACGAGAACCAGGCTTGCACGCCGCATACCCTACCTGTAATGCTGCCACCACCGTCAGACCCATAACCTAGCTTTCCATTTGGCGATTCTACCGACATCTGGCCCTGTAGAGACATTGCTTGCTTGCAATAATTGCCGTCGTACGCGCACAACACAGCAAACACAGCAAACACAGCAAACACAGCAGGCACAGCACCCGCACCCTCCCCACCGTTCATGCTGTTCTCAGCGGCCAAATCAGGAAGTCGGAGCATAGCGAGCCAATGCTGAGAGACGCGTTTTCGTCCTACACATAGATCATCACCATCTCTCTGCCTGCCAGCTACACTCCCTCTCGGCGTCAATGTCACCCCCCACAGAGCCTCCTCAGGCTGCGTCTGAGGGCCGCAGTCCCCGTCTCTCTGCGGTGCTCAAGGGACGCAGGAAGAAGGACAAGCTAGGAAATGAGTCCACCACCTCCCTGGCAAGCACCGGCAGCGCTCCTGAGGAGGGCAGTGGGTTCAAGGCTACCCTCGACGACGCGCTGAACAAGCTCAAGGACAAGACGCTCAAGGACAAGACCAGGCCCTCACACGATCATGGCAGGCGTGGAAGCATCGACTCGGTCAACTCCCGGCGGCCATCCATTAGCCTGCGAGCAAGGCTGGGCATCAAGAAGCGGCGAGATCAAGGCGCTGAAGAGGAGGACGCCGCTGGTCGCGCTGTCGACGAGGACGGTAACAGCTCGAACTTGGCGCCATCAGACATCCGCAGCACCAGCGACGACTCCCTCATCTTGACCAAGAGTGTCGCCAGCAGCTTGCTGACGGAAGACTCGGACGTAGAATCGTAAGTTTGCTGTCAATTCCAAGCACCAGAGGCTCCTGTCCCTGCAGTGAGGTGGAGATGGAAGCCAAGCACGACCCCGGTTTTGTGGCTTTCAAGGGTGCGCGCCATCGCTCCCGCAGCAGGGATATCCACGCTCATCATCATCCATCATCCATCATGTGCTCTCGAGCTGTTCTCCACTGCACACTGCACACTGCACTCTATCCACAACACCGCCTGCGCTTCTCACCTACTCTATCCCTGGTTTGATGCACGCCGACCAACTCTAGCAACCTGAATTCCTCGCGGCTGTCATAGCTGGTCGCACACCGCTAATCAGTGCTCTGTCGTTGCCTTAGCCCACCCGTCAGACCCACCATATCCCCTCACCAGTCTCATGTCGGATACCTGACCCTATCCTCGCCCCTCATCGCATCGCAAACAGTCGACTCCACCGCCTCGTCTGTTCCCACAGATGTATCTCTAGACAACAACAGCACACTGGCGCCTGGAGACGCCAAGACCCTTGAAGCAACTCCATCGCAAGACAGCAATCAACCGCCAGTCGGAAAGTTAAAGGAAGCTTTTGTGCCGACGCGAGGGTCAACGGTATCAAAACTTGCTGAGGACACAGGATCAACCGCGTCGGCGGCCGGTGATGGCGGAGGAGGACTGGGAGGCTTGTTCAGCGGAGTTGGGAAGAAGAACGGCACAAGGTCTCGAAGAGGTTCGCAGCCATCGCTGAATCCATCACCACTTGGCCAAGCTGTAGAGGACACATCGAGCGCTACCAAGACACCGACAACCCCCCAGCCGATCAATACCAAAATCCCCGCTACGCCTCCGAATCTACATTCTCCCCCTCTGACTTTGGTAACGCCACCCACACCCATTGACGCCCGCCCATCTACGCCCTCGTCGGCGGCTAGCGGCAAGAAGCCGTCGATATCAGACCTCCCGTCCCACAGACCTTCGCTCTCCAACCCTAACGTAACAGCAACCCCTTTTAGCATCATGGCAGCGCACCGAAGGGCGAGGTCAGCGAATAACCCGCCGAGCAAGCTCTCCAGCGGAGTTACAGGGACACTGACGCCGACGGTCGAGGAGGCCAAGACGCCAGGAGGCTCCCTGACTAACCCAGGGAGCTCGGGAGGTGGCTTCTTCGCTTCGGTCTTCTCAGCCGCGCAAAACGCCGCCAATCAGTTCACAAACACTATCGGCAACAACGCGAACAGCCCTGCGCAACGGGTCAGGAGCGGTACAGGACCGGACAAAAACGAAGCGGAAAACAGAGATTCCACTGGTGGAGAGGAAGTGATACCTGGGCCTGACATTAGCGCATCCGTCGAGGGCTCTAGTATCAAGAAAAAACCGCTCGCTGTCGAGACGCTCGGCTCGGGTGATCTAAGCTTAAGCCATCTCGGTATTACTGACGACCCAAGTCCTATGTCGTCACGGGTCGATTTGACAGACAACGCCGCGAAAGCGTCGACTATGAGGAGCGACGAGGCATCCGCGCAAGCCGAGGACAATGCAGCTTCTCAAGCAGTATCAGCAGCGTATGCGGCAGACAGGACAGACGGTGCTACAGACCGGCCGCTGTCGCTCGCATTGTCGGATGCCGCGACACCACCACGTGGAAGCGATGCGGATGGTTCCACAATCAAGCGAAGCGGTAGCATACGCAGCCGCATCAGCACAAGCCGGAAGCGACGCCATCGAGGCAGTTCGGCTACAACGGGTAACACTCTTGCCTCTGCAATCAATGCGAGCAACTTGACCTTGGCTCATCCGGGCGCCAACGGTCATCGTCTTCCGACCGGGTTTGCAGTTGCCAATACCAAGCGCAACCGAGACTTTCACCAACTGTTCAGGAGCGTGCCTGAGGACGATTACCTAGTCGAAGACTATAGCGCTGCTCTGCAGCGAGACATCTTGCTGCAGGGAAGACTATACGTCTCGGAAGGTCACATCTGCTTTTCGAGCAACATCCTCGGCTGGGTTACCAACGTGGTCATGAGCTTCGATGAGGTGGTGTCGGTCGAAAAGAAGAGCACAGCTGTCATCTTTCCAAACGCCATCGCAATCCAAACACTTCACACTAGAAACATCTTCGCAAGCTTCATCGCTCGCGACTCGACGTATGACCTCATCATCAGCATTTGGAAGATCAGCCACCCAAACCTCAAGAGCTCCCTCAACGGCGTCACGCTAGACAACGACGGCACAGGCGACAAAACAGAGAAAGCCGAGTCCGTCGGCACCGCTGGAGAGGGCTCAGAAGACGGTTCCGACGACGAAGACGTGTACGACGAGGACGACCAAGACGAAGACGAAGACATGGGTAGCTTTGCCGACGCCGCCAGTATAGCGGGTAGCGACGTCGGTGAGGCTCTCATCAAATCCGTCAGCCGCAAGACCTCCACAGCAGCCGTCGGAGCGCCCGTTAGCGGCGGCACAGCAAAGGTCGTCGACAACGTCGAGGCCGTGGTGACGGGTGCGGCGGCTAGTGCAGACTTCCCCGGCCCGCAAACACACGCCCCGACCGAGTGCGGCGACGAAGCGAGCCACTGCGACAAACCGCTCACAGACGTAACGGTTCCGGCGCCTCTAGGGAAAATCTACTCCCTCATGTTCGGCCCGGCTTCAGGCGCCTTCATGCGCAAATGGCTTGTCGAAGATCAAAAATCGACGGACCTGCAGATGGAGGATGACAAGAAGGGCTTAGGCGAGGAGAAGAAGAGCTTCACGTTCTCGTATGTTAAGCCGCTCAATGCGCCGATCGGGCCAAAGGCGACAAAATGCATCGTCACCGAGACGCTCGAGCAGTTCGATCTCGAGAAGGCTGTCACGGTCAGTTGCAGCACGACGACGCCGGATGTGCCGAGCGGGAACGTCTTCGTCACAAAGACGCGGTATTGTCTCATGTGGGGCCCGAATAACTCGACGCGGTTGATCATGAACTTCACTGTCGAGTGGAGCGGGAAAAGTTGGATAAAGGGTAAGTACTCGCTCTCCGTTTTCTTACCCCGAGCCTTGCTCTTCCGCCTCCATCTCTCTTTGAGCTGAGGAGCAAGTACTAACAGACCTGCCCCCCACTAGGCCCCATCGAAAAAGGCGCCGCAGACGGCCAAACCGTCTACGCCGCCGCCCTTGTCGCCGCGCTCAAGGCCGCCGTCTCCACCAAAGCGGCCGCAGTCGCCAACTCGGCCATCAAAGCCAACGCCAACGCTTCCGGTGCCCGGAAAGGCGGCAAAGGCCGCCGCAGGAATCCCAATGGGAATACCGTCCCCGCCACGACAGCGACAGCAGGGCCGACCTCCACGAAAACGAATGCTAGTAGCTGGGGCCCGCTCGAGCCGCTGCATGGCCTCCTGGGGCCGGTGGGGGATATCGTCGGGCCGCTCTTCAGCGCGCCGGTCGTTATCGCGGTGTTGAGTTTGCTGGTCGCGTGGCTGTGGTTCCGTGGCTCGGGAGCCGCGGCGGCGGGTGGAAGTCTAGGGCTGCCGGGGATGGCGACGCCGCAGCGCATAGCTGCCTACGAGGAGATGTGGCGGGGCGAGGAGGCGCTGTTGTGGGATTGGCTGGAGGAGCGGGCAGGGTTGGATGCAGGGGTTGTGGCTGGGATGAGGCAGAGTGGAGTGGACGCAGCAGGGGGCGCGCAGAAAGCAAAGAGGCTAGCGGAGGCGAGGGGCTTGCGGAAGAAGCTCGTGGATGAGAGGATGAGCCAACGGGAGATGGAGGAGGCGATTAGAGTTACGGAAGAAAGACTAGAGGCGTTGAAGGAGGCGGTGGGACATAGAGGCGATAAGAAAGGGGGGAAGCTGAAGAGAGCCGGGACGGCGTAGTCGAAGCCCCACAGCATGTTTTTCACTGTTTTGACAGCGCCTCATTTCTAGCGTGCGGCATCGGGTTCAGCGTTGCTCTTTTGTACCGCGACACCAAGATAGAATTGGTTTAGAAAAACACCCTTTTTGACTAACCTGCGCCCATATACGCCTAAAGTCCCCTATGAAACAACAAACGCCCCTTGCAAACTCACCCCCTAAGCCCCCTCCACCTCGTCCCATTCCTGCGCATCCCTCTCCGGATCCAACCCCAAACTACTCAAATCCCCCGCCGAGTCCGGATACACGACTCTGAGCGTCTCGCGCGGATACGCCGCCTCGAATTCACTGCTCTCGAGCAGACTCGACCGCACATCCCCGCACCGTCCGGGCCTCATGTACACCTGGCCAACTGCCATACTACCGTCCCTGCCGTTCGGAACGAGCTGATAGTCGTCTTCCATGGCCTCGGCCTCGGCCTCGGCAGAAGCGTCCCCACCCCACCGGCCCAAAGTGCCCCATCCACCAAGCGGCAGGATCCTCGGCGGCGGCAGCGAGGGCGCCTCTGACCTCCTCTCCGTCCTCGCCTCTGCCCTCTCTCCCAGATTCCCCGACGAAGCCTCCGGCGAGGTCCCCGCCGAGTGCGCGGACGAGTCTAGCGAGCCCGGCAACGACAGCGCCGACGGATAGGGCGTGGGGTTCCGCTTGGTGAGCGCGTAGCTGCGGTCTGCTTTGCGGCGGCGCGCGCCGACGCAGAGCCAGCGGTAGCTGCGGGCGGAGGCTTTGACGATGTCCCAGGGGTTGAAGGCGTCGAGGAGGGCGAGGGCGCCGAGGGGGCCGCCGTGGTAGGGAGCTTGGTGCTGTGAGCCTCGGTAAGCTTGTATTCACCATCCGGCTCCTCAACGCCAACGAAGTCCTCGTCATGCGTTGGAGTGGTTCGGGAAGTAGGAGGTTGAGGCCGTGGTTGTTGTTTGGTGGAGGAAAGATGGTGGAGTGAAAGATTGCGGATGCTAGGATGTGGTGAGGAAGGAAGCGTGGGGGACTCACAGCTCGATGCTGACCCCCGTCCACGAACTTGTATTCGCGCCACGAAAACGCAAAGAGGTGGATGGTGGCGAACCCGGCCATCTCGATGCACACCAGCACCCCTGGTATCCCGACCTGGATATCTGGATAACCCAGCTTCTTGCTCGGCTCAATCGCCCCCCTTGCGATCAGGAAGTCGATGATCTGACGCTGCCAAAAGCACAGGAAGACGACAAGTTTGATGCTGAGCAGCTTCAGAAACGGATAGTGAGACGCGAGATCTTGCTTGAGCTGGACGTAGAACTGGACGAGGCACAACATGGCGATGGCGACGGAGATGCTTTCGACAATGAAGATCCAGAGGTGGGCGAAGTGCGGAGACAGGGAGGAATCGCAGTAGAGGCCTGTCATTTGGGTGAAGACGGAGACGACGGTGCAGGCGACACGGATAAGACAGTACTGGAAGACGCAGAACCAGATGATCTGCAGTGCAGAGTTAGCATCCTGTGAGTTGCTCTAGTTCCAGTGTCGACTAGAACATCCTTTGATCCAGGGGACAACAGCTTAACGGCAGGGATCACGTTACGAAGGCCGTTACATAACAGTGCTGGGAGAGCATCCGTTGCTCTCGTCATTGGACTGGGGCGCAGCTTGCGCATCATGCCGCGAGGAGGGCGTGATAAGGAGAGATATTATCAGCGTACATTGAACCAGGTCAGCCCGCTCTGCGGCCTTCGAAACGGTCCCTTCTTCCTTCCTCCAGTGCACGCTTGTAGCCAATTGATAGGCCATATCCAATTCTTCGGATTCAACTCGCGGAAGTATTCTTTCTGGTCATGAAGGTTCGGCGCAACGTAATGAGCGAGAAGTGTGAAGAACGACGCGATCGCGAAGGCCTCGTAACAGTCGCGCAAAACTTCCAAGTAGATCGCGTAGCGAAACTTCAGGATCGAAAGGAAGGATACTACAGCGTAAATGGGCACCACAAGGAGGATGCGAATGATGCTGAGCCAAATCAGTACGCAAATTCGGGGCGGTTTTGGCAGTGATGCCTACTGCTTTTGTTCCCATGGCCGGAGGTAATGCGTCGCGTGCTGATATATGAGGTAAAGGCAAGTGGCGACGGCTGCCACCCCAAAGGAAAAAGCAAGGCTGAGAGCCAGCTGCTGGAAAGAGAGCCCACTTTTCCATAACGGTACATCACTGACTACGAGGGGTATCAATGAAGGTGCCTTGGATGTAATGGCTTGGGTAACGCTCACCAGTGGCCTTTGCCAATGTGCTTTTGCAGTGTGGCATGCTCCGAGCCGTTTCGGTGACTCGTCTTCGGCGGCTTTTGGTGTTGAGATGATCGCAATGCTAGTAGAGGGTCCGTTTAACCATTCGCAGTAAGGTCGACAGCGTTTAATAAAGATGAGCTGCAAGGTAGTGATAGTGCGATTTGGCGTTGCGATGATAGCTGATAGACCGGGACGCCCGCCAACACTGGTCGCCTTTAGGTGTGGAACGGATGCACAAGGCGAAAACAAGAATGGACCCGGTCATGGGTACCGTAGGGAAAGAACTCTAAGTAGAAACTCCGGTAGCGACTTGGAGCAGTGGGTCGTGACTGCTCCATTCGTACAGCATGTCCTCAGACTTGCTGCTCCGCTCTTGAGACAACTCCCGCTTTCAATGCAACGACTCCCCAAAGGACCGAAATTTCCATCGTAGACATGAGAACCCAACAATACATCGTAGCTAGCTGTCGAAAGCTCCTTGGCCTAAGTAGCTACGGTGGTGCAACCAGTATCGTACCCTTCGGAAGGTGGTGAGGAAGTTCACCTGCACTTGCCTCGCGGATAGTGCCAAGCTTCTTACCCTCGAGCTCGCATGCGCATGCACAAGCGTATTTAAGGTCCACGCCTGCGTCAAATGGAAAGGGATTGAGTTGCCAAAGGCGAATGTACAACGTTCTTAGCTAGCCTCCGGCGACCGGGCGAACTGCCTATCACCACGAGAGGCAGTCATTTCAATCGAGACAACGCCACCTTCAATATCTGCTGCACCGACTCTTGGACTAGTCTTCTCCCTTCCACGCCGGCGGTCCTCGTCGTCTTCCGGCGTACCATCCCGACAGGCCCAAGCATCGACGAATCGGAGAGTTTCTCGGTTCCAGATCTTGTTCATCAAGAGTAGCCGAACGGGGACCAGCGCGATGATGATTATCGGAAACGCAGGTCCGGCTACAGTCAGAGTCATGATGAAGATACCTGCAGTGACCAAGATCTGCGTTACTGTATACGCATGGATGGGCAAGTAGTTCGTGACGCTCCTTGGAAGCTTTGGCAGCTCAGCAGGAGGGGTTAAGAGGTAAAACGTTCGGTATAGAATAGGACTTCAACGATGTTAGCGATTGGGCGACAGCTCAGGTTGCTTTAGGACATACTTGACTGAAAGGCTCTGCTCGCCCATGAAGAGGAACAAGCCGGCCAAGACGCTCGTTGGCGTAAGACCTAGGACGTGCATAAATGGCGGGCTTACGAAGCAAAGGATGCCGCACGCATGTAGGAAATGACTCCAACGTTGTTCGTAGACACGGCGCGAGACTCCGGTCTGCACTACTGGTTCGCCGCCTTGTCCTACGGTCGAGATGTTCTCCCTTTCGTCGTGCATCAGGCTCTCCGAGTGAAGCGGAGCTTGAGGCAGCAGTCCGTTGGCTGGAGGAATGCCTAATATGCCACACAATGCGGTGGTTGTACCCAGCAGCACTATATCCCATGCGAAGCCACCAGGCTTTCGAGTACCATAGCGGTCGATCGTGCAAATGATACTGCTGACCTCATGATCAAAGAAGAACAGAACGGTGATGATGAAGCCCGGTACAAGTGCTGCGAAGACCCAGGTGATGGGCAAACGCCAGAATTGAACGAAAAATACGGTCCGATCAGGACTTGTAGGCCGGAACGAATTGGTGACGTGAAGTGTTTCCTTGTCTAGACTCGCTAGTTGGCCAACATGGGGCAGCCCGATGAATATGATGATGCTGATGGCCGCTGCATACTCTCGGAGCCCCATGCGGATGTACCGGTGGAACAGCGGCTTCCAACTCTCTGCGGACGACAGAAAGACTGCGACGATGAATGTGCCGATGGCTCCGATGACGGAGTATAGGAAAGCAGCAAACGACAAGTCCCTTTGGGCCCGCTGCAGCTCTTGTACAGCCTTGTGAAAGTAGATGATGCTGTTGAGCAGAGAAAATATCTCTGTGGAGAATGTTGTGACATAACGCATAGTGTAGTCATGTGCGTTGAGAATGGCAAGAAGATAGTGCATCCATGCCGCGTGTATCAAAGACCATGCCATGAACGGCAGAAAGGGTACCTTGAACAATTAGAGAAGCTCCGGCGAAAGACCACTAGATGTAAGACGTACGTGAAATGACTCCTGGCATAAGGAGTAAATATTCTCGGCAAGAATTGAGAAAGGTCCAGTTACTCCGAGTATAGTAAGCGGCTGGATAGAGAAAAGAGAAAAGATAATTCCGCATAGTCCAGTACTGAGCACTACTTCAATCGTGCCCCAAGTCTGTCCAGTAAGTACGTAGAGGTCGCTAGCAAAGGTGATGCCCGGAAGTAGGTTAGTGAAGAACACATAGACCGCACTGGCAAATATCAACTGGTTGAATGTTGTCCAGTCCGATAGATAACGCCTGGGTAAGTTCCGCAAGTCCTGCTGGAGCAACCGGAATGGCCTGAGAGTTCCATCCTTCCGAAAGGCCTTTGATGCCTTCGATAACGACTCAAGCATGTTCAAAAGCCTGAGGTGCTAGGTTCCGGCGGCTGAGTGGTAATGAAAGAACGGCAAGAAGAAAGGTCATGAGAGTGTTCCTCAAGCTCGTCGCCGGCTTGAAGATGAATGCCACCTCTGGTCTATGAGAAGAAACACACAGCAGCATAGCCTTGACCTACAATTTTGTCACCTGCCATTTTGATTGTCATGCGTCGTGACGCGGTGTGATCGGATAGTCCCTTGGCTTTTCTTGTGTTTGGGGCGGTGGCAGAAAAGTTCCATCGTGTTGAGGCTCGAAGGCTTCCCCCTACAAGACATCTCCACCTGCATGATGCTCGATTCCTGCAGTGTAAATGCGTCAAGATGACCTTCCCACTTAAGCATCCACTATGGGCGCCCCGTTCATACCTCGAGCGGTCTTCCCGACCCTCGACTCACTCCCTCGGTCCTACTTCCTCGGCCACCACCGCTCCGGACTCACAAAGATGAAAAGTCTCCTGTCGTCCATCGATTTGATTATCGAATGTCGAGACTATCGCGTACCACTAAGCTCAAGAAACCCCCTCTTTGAGAGCAGTCTCGCCGGGCGCGAGCGCCTGGTCGTATACACGAAGCGGGATCTCGGTAGTCAAGAGACAAGAGCTGATGCTCAGAGGGAGCTGCTGCTGCGGAAGTGGCTCGCGCCCTCATCCGTCCTTTTTTCGGACCACAGGGACCGGCAAGATGTGAAGCGTATCCTCAATCATGCGAAAGCTCATGCCTCCGCCTTGAATACACTGACCGGATCACGCCTGCTGATCGTCGGTATGCCCAACGTTGGCAAATCCTCGCTGCTTAATGCACTCCGACAAGTCGGTATTGGGAAAGGCAAAGCTGCACACACAGGTGCGCAACCGGGTGTGACCCGCAAGATCGGCACAACCGTTAAGATAGTGGAGGGTTCCGAAGGCAGTGGAGAAGGGATCTATCTTCTGGACACGCCTGGCGTCTTCGTTCCATACATACCCGACGCCGAAGCCATGCTCAAGCTCGCATTATGCGGCAGCGTGAAGGACACTATCATACCTCCGACCACATTGGCCGATTACCTGCTATATCACATGAATCGCAACTCGTCGAACCTCTACTCCGCTTACCATTCACCAACGAACGACATCACCTCGCTGCTGGAAGCGGTAGCTCAGAAAACAGGGCGTCTACAGAAGGGCGGTATACCAGACACTGAGGCATCAGCGCTGTGGTTAATTCAGCGCTGGCGCAACGGCCATCTGGGACGCTTCATGCTGGACGAGGTCACGGAAGAGGCATTGAGAAATGCCCAGGACCCTAAGGAGTTTGCGCCCAGTTTTAGTCAAGCAAAAAGAGCAGACAAAGACGCTAAAAGAGCAAGGTCGCGATCAATGAGTGTAACAGCAGCCTGAACGATGGTGCCGCTAAACGACTGATGCTTCCATCAGAGTGGGCTTTGCCGGCATATGCTCGCGGAGACCTCAAGCCTTCTGGCTGGATGAAGCCGAGTGCACGTGATGAGGATTACTTGCACGCGGACCATACGGCCATCCGCTTCGATAAGAAGAATGGCAGGGATGCTGGTCCGATTTGGATCTCCTCACTACGGTGGTCGACTTGATGCCGGATTGGCTCGCATCCATGCCCCGATGTATGGAATGCTTGTTCGCACAAGAATCGCCGAAATCTGATTTACATTTGCAATCTTCGTCAAACCGCTCTTCAGCTGTAGTTTTGAAGAGGCACCAGATTGGCCGTTCGCAGCATACCATTCAGCTGCTTCGATGTTCTGGTGCATCGAAGCTACATCATAGAAAGCTTCGAGGGGCTAGTCGAGTAGGAAGACTTGGGCAGGAACGAACATTTTATCCGTTGTGGTCAAGGCTTGCCACCAACAACTGGGTCGTTGCACCCAGACAACTGCTCATACCAGGAGTGCGGTGTCTGATATATCATCTCACGAATGGCGCTAAGGGTGCATGGTCACTGAGCTTCTGCACCATTCACCCGATTGTTCGAGCTGCAATGACACTCAGTATCTATATAAACGGTTGGATTAGTTTGGGAATTCCAAGAGCGTTCTGTCGCGCAGTTTAAGTGCACTAGATCACATCTATTGGAGGCGGAGGCGCTGCCGTGACACTGAGTGAGCTCTCAACATGGTAGCCTCAGACGCTTAACAGCCGTCCGATGCCCGATATTCGCACCTAGCCTAGAGAAGTTAACAGCAAGATAAGGTTGCGGCATCGCTTGTGGGCGTTGGGATAGCGGCAGATCGACCTGGCTAAGATTCATGGTCGACCAAAAACACCAGCTCGTGTCCTGGATCTTTACGCGAGGTTCATGCGGCGGGCAAGAGCTCAAGGCGCTGCGCGTCTCTGGGTAGCTCTCTCTGAAGGACGGCAAGCATACCTAGAGTAGTTGCGCTGCTCAAGACAAGTGCGTTCCGTGTCAGACAATGCCGCTCCTCGAGCATAACGTCATTCGGAGTTAACACCTCAAGCCACCGCTTTGGTAGACCACCAGCCGTCTGCCGTGCTATCTACGTCACGCATCTCGGAGTGTGCGCGGATCCCGACGGCTTGCTCTCCAAGTTTCAGTCAGAACGGATGTTCTATCTTCCTCAACCGCAGATGGTCGTCTCATCACCTTAGTATCACGCACGCAAAGATATCTAATCTCATATACCGTCGACCATCACCTACTTTCTCGCCATTGGTCAGATGGTGAAGGTCTGTGTGCTGCATCAACCTGATCTTTCAACTCTTCCCCGCCTTTATATCGTAGACACTTAGACTCTTGGTTCACATCCAAAATTATTCAATACTATGCCTCGAAACTACAGCGAAGCCACTACTAGCAAGACGGACGAGGGCTCGAAGAAGAGCAATGAAGGTACTGGGGCCGACTATGGCAAGCCCAGCTATACTCGTTGGGTTGCACTGGCTCTAACATTGCGCAGTCGAGGACTCTGGGGAGCAGCCAAATCTCACGAAGTCGCAAAAGTACCCAGATATTGATATCGTGGAATGGAACGGCAGACGAGACCCTGATAATCCGTAAGACTCCACGGGTGTACCTGTCTTTATCCCCAACGGACTGATAAGCGACAGGTTCAATTGGTCTGTAAAGCGGAAGTGGATGATTACTATCACGACATGTTTCATGTACGATTCTCCCGTTCCCTCACCAGATAGCTTCTAATGGCCCGAAAAGTTCCATTCTTACCGGTCTGCCAGCTGGAGCGTACGGCGCCGGCAACGAGCAGATGTCCGAAGAGTTCAACGTTAGCCAAGAATCTTTCCCCCATCTTTTCTGGGCGACAACGAGCTGGAATATGGGCGCGGCCCTGTTTCCGCTGCTGTTCGTGCCCTTGACAGAGCAAACGGGACGGATGTCGGGATACTTTGTGCGTGTTCCACCTCTCTTTGCATTGTGCCGCGCCTAACTGCGCTCGTCAGGCGTCTTATATCGTCTTTCTAATATTCCTTCTCCCGTCCGCGCTTGCCCAAAATTTTGCAACGCTCGTCATCACCCGGTTCTTCGGCGGCGGGGCTTCCTCCGTCAGCATCAACATCGTTGGCGGGACGATTACAGATATCTGGAAGACCGACAAAGACAGGAGTGTACCGATGTCCATCTTCGGCATGACCTCCGTCGTTGGTATCGCCCTTGGTCCGTTCATCGGTTCAGCTATCCAACGCAATATGAACTGGAGATGGTACGACCACAGCTAATCTTTCGTCCCTCGGATGTTCGATAGGGGTCTGTGAGTGCGCTGACAGTGATTAGGATATACTACATCCAGCTCGCCTTCGATGCCGGCTGTCTTCCCATCTTTTGGCTCATCCTAAAGGAGACCCGAGGCGATGTGATCCTGCGCGCCCGGGCCAAAAAGCTGCGCAAAGAAGGCAAAAAGAACGCCTACGCGCGCTCCGAGATCGAGAAGGACTCTCTCGCCACGACCATCAAAATTTCCTTCATGCGCCCCGTGAAAATGCTCATGACCGAATTCGTCGTCTTCAGCTTCACAATGTGGATCTCCTTCGCCTGGGGCATCCTCTTCCTCTTTCAGAGCTCGATCCCGCAGACCTTTGGCGAGAACTACGGCTTCGACACCTTCCAGACGGGACTCATCCAGCTCGCCATCTCGGCCGGCGCCGTCATCGCCACCGTCATCAACCCGCTGCAAGACCGCTACTACCTGCGCAGCCGCAGTCGCAACAAAGAGTCCCCCGGCGTCCCCATCCCGGAGGCGCGGCTGTACTTCGCCGTCCCGGGCTCGCTGCTCTTCACGGCAGGCATCTTCTGGTACGGCTGGAGTTCCTACCCGCATGTGCACTGGATCGTGCCGACGATCGCTATTGGCGCTGTCGGCATCGGCATCTACGAGATCTACATGGCGGTCGTCAACTACCTGGCCGATGCGTACGAGAAATACGCCGCGTCTGCGCTGTCGGCGGCGAGTTTGGGCCGGAACACCTTTGGCGCGTTCTTGCCGCTCGCCACGCAGAGTCTGTATACGAATCTGGGGTTCCAGTGGGCGAGTAGTCTGCTCGGGTTTATTGGACTGGTGCTGAGTCTTGCGCCTGTGGTGTTGTTGTGGAAGGGGCCGCAGATTAGGAAGAGGAGTCCGTTTATGAATGAGAGCAAGAACGACCCTGATGGGGATGACGAGGAGCCGAGCGGCGAACAGAAGGCGTAAAGCTTTAAGGCAAGCGGAAAAAAGAGTTTCGGGTAAAAGATCCGGGTATACCTCGTCCTTTGAAAGCGGATCTACTGCATCTCTTCTCACATATCGGATCTACGCCCCTGATTGCTTGAGTACGAGTAGAGCGCGGCGTTCTCAAATAGGCGGGTACGATATCACAGGAATGTTGGATGGATTAACGGCCTTCTTGGATAGGGCGCAGGTGCTGGCCCTAACTCCTTTGGATCTATACAGTATTACGATCATCGCCTCTTTAATCCTGCCGCAAGAGCAGCAGTTCACCGGAATCGTGCCTTGCGGCCTCATCTTCCTACTGCAACGGGTTATATACAAGAATCCACGATCCCAAGACGTCCGTGAGGTGTTTCCAAGTTGTTGGAAGGTATCAAGCGTTGAAACAAAGCTGCCGCACGTCCACACCGCCCTCACTAGCCGCTACCTCCCCGCCGCCAGCGCCTTCCCCCGCCCATCCAACCCCCGAACCCTCTCCCTCATCTCTCCCCACCACATCTCGAACTCCGCTTCCACGGCCTCCTCGCTTTCGCCAAGCCGCTTGCACTCGGCCCATTCGGCATCCAGCCGCAGCGCCGCATGTCGCAGCCGCACCAGCGCGTCCGAGCGCAGGTGGCTCAGCTCGGCGTGGTAGTACGCCGTGGCTGGATCCGTCGGGATGGTCGTGGTGGAGGGGAAAGGCTTCAGCAGCGGAGAGATGTTGTCGTGCGGCGAGGGCGGGGTGGCGCGGCCGGAGGTGGACAGGAGATGCAGACTCGTGCTTGGTGGTGGGTAGGGGGAGAAGTCGTGGGGGATTGCGTCTAGTCTCTTGGTGCTGGTAGCGCTGGAGACGAGGGTGTATTCTGGGATTGGTGACCCCGGAACCGTGATGGCGAAGGTAGTTGGGGAGGTCGGATCGGAGTGCGTCAGGCTTGGGAGCGTGGAGGCCGAGCCGCTGGACCCGAGGGAGTCGTGCCGCGAATGGCGGGCCTCGAGTTTCTGGACCCGGGTCGGGAAGGTGCCGGTGGCTGCGGCGCCGGCGTCGAGTCCGTCGCTTCCCTCATCCTCCTCGGCTAGATCCGGGAGACTAGTCCCGAGCTGCTCAAGTCGCTCGAAGCCGGTCAGAACAGCGGCGCCTGCGTATTGCAGGGCCATGAGACTGGTTAAAAGGCTTGGTGGGAGCCGGATCCACAGCTCGTTTGGCATGTACCATGCGTTGAGGTGCTGGGGGTCGTAGGAGAAGGCATTGATGTCCTTGGGACAGTCGGTGCGCGAGACAGGGAGTGGTGAGTTATCGTATGGGGACTCGCGTCTGTAGCCGGACGAGTGGCGACGCTCATGATGGCGATTTCCCCTCCCGGGTGCCGACGAGAATGAGGAGCGCTTCGGATATGCTGAGGGTGAGACGACCATGATCGCGGAGGCCTTGAGAGTGCTGCGAGCAGGTTCTGGGTATGCTTTTCGGAGTTGTTGATGGTAGGCGTGCAAGTCGTTGTTGAGCTGTAAGCAAGGGTGTGGTTGTCCTGCCGAAGTCGCTCGAGTATAACAGCGAGCAACACTAGCTTTATAGAAGACGCACGCGTCTGACTCAGCCCCACCCTTGAAAGCCAAACAATGGGAAAGTCTGTCGTGCACCGGGTAATAGTGAATCGGTGATTTAATGTTTACACCGTGGTAAGGTAGCGGAGAGCCCATGAGCTGACGTGCAGATCAGCACTAGGACGGCGGATTCCGTTGGGCGCCCGGGACCCACCCACGGTTGGGGAATGGAGGAATGCGGGATGCTATCGCTCCGTTCGTGGGGATGTGCCGCGACAACCGTTTTTGAACCAATGGCCTGAGGCGATGGGATTGTGGGGTGGCCAATCGCCTTACTCGGATCGCGCTGTGTTTCTTGGGGTGTTGCGTGCTCAGCTTGCGCGTAAAGTCGTCGTGTTGCCAGAGACAAAGGATGTGGAACCACGTGGCGAATGGTTCGCATCGTTTGCGGACGCGCTTTGCGACGGCGAAGTCAACGCTCGGAGAATAAGTAAAGCTACAATCCCTGCGTTAATCATGAGCGTCAGAGCGACGACACAGGGTCAAACGGCTCTCCAAATTTAAATACATATGACGATTGTATGAAGTGAATGGCTTGTTCGTCCGATACTCCACCAGATGGCCGCGCCGCGGAAAATTCTGGACATTGTTCAACATGTCGATGCAAAGTCGGACCGCCGAATTCAGGGGGTCCTGGCGGCTGTAGCAAGTCTCTGTGTTGCTGTTGGTTGTGACACAGGAGGCATGCTGAGCGAAACAGGGGTCTCCAATCGGCGACATCGATTGCTACTTGCACAGACGAGCGCCCTGTCAGATTCCGTGAGGCATCTCTTTTCACATGGGTTGTTGGACAACTATGCTCGGCAGTAGATTTGCTACCCAATCCTCAAAGTCTTCTGCCTATGACTGCTGTAAATCATATCACAAGGCGCTGCAGCAGCTGCATGAATGGATAGGAGGCTGTGAAAGCAAACTTTTGGAGAGCATGCCTACTCCAACCTATGAATTTGTTGGAGTTAGTCAGTCTCTGCACGGCTATGTAAGCAGGCACAGCATGCGGACACTTACCTCTCTATCAAGTGAAGGCCTGAGGCAGTCTCCACCACATGACTGACCTCGCCCGGCTTGAGCGCAAACGACGCGTCCTCGAACTCCTTCTGCATGTCTCCCTTGCCAAAGAAACCCCTATCATCATCTGGGGTCAGCGTCTGCTCGAGCCTCTATCCAGCCTCAGTCCGACTCACAAGTCACCCCTCTTCCGTGCGCTGCTGCAGTCTGATTCCGATGTTGCGAGGTCTCCCAAGCTGGTCGCTCCAGACCGAATTCGTGCTTCGTGACCCAAGATGATGCTCATTGCCTCGTCCTTGGACCGTGTGATCTTCGCTTCCTTCCAGCTCGACGGCCGCCGGCTGCCCTCGTGCTTAACCAGTAAATGCGCGCACCGTATCTTGCCCTGATATGAGCCCGCACCGTCTGCGGCCAGAGGTCTCGAGCTGTGGTAATTGGCCATGTACACCTTGAGCTTGTCCGAGTCTGCGCCCTCCGGCGGCTCCCATCTCGACTCCTTGGTCTCCGGGTTGAAGTAGTAGGGTAGGTTCTTCGAGTTTGAATGGCGGACCTCCCAGCCCGCAGGCAGACCGGATTCGGCCTATGTTATTGGAGCAAGCTGTTAGCCGGGTTCGCCGCACTTTGTTCTGGCGAACGGGCATTGGCCTCCACGAACCATGGTTGCACCTCTTGTAACCCTAATGGAGCTCAGAGAAATGTTCACAGGTCTTGGAGTTTACGAGTGCTGTGAGCGGCAGTGGCAGTGGCAGTGGCAGAGGCAGAGCTGTATGTTTGGAGGCTCAGAGCTCGTGTGCAGGGCGGGTTTGCAGGATGGGCCTAGGCGCTGCGAGGGGCAGCAGTGACGGGCGACGCGATTGGGCAAAGTTGCGGATGCCAAGAGCTAACTTCACATGATTGGGCTGTCAACCTTACTCATCACCATTTCTGTCTCTGTGACTTCGCTCCCACCGCCCATCCACCCATCCAGCTGCAAGAACGAAACCACCAACAGCAACCAGAAGTCTCAAATTTCCGGAAGCGGCCTTTGCACACCGCAAACCACATTCCACCTTATTCGCCACAACTGAACTTCCCATCGCGCGTCGAGAACAGCCTTGAACATGGCCGCATCGCCATCTGCATCCGACGGCGCTGCCGCTGCCCAGAGCAGGAAGGTTGCGTTCCGTTTCTGTGGCGAATGGTAAGTCCCACAAACCTCACTATCATGATCGCTTCTAGCTCCAAGCCTGAAAGCTTTGGCTTTCGTCAGCTATACGTGTAGCCGAACCATCCCACAGCGTGGATGTCAGTATAAGCTAACCTTCCCACTTCCACAGCTCCAACCTCCTCTACCCCCAAGAAGACACGGAGAACAACAAGCTCATGTTCGCCTGCCGCAGCTGCCGGTACAGCGAGCCCGCCCACTCCAACTGCGTCTACCGCAACGAGCTCAGCTCCACCGTCGGCGAGACCGCCGGCGTCACCATAGACGTCGCGAGTGATCCTACGGTTGGTGAACCTATTCCTGGCTTCTGCACCATGTGTGGTTCGGAGATCTTCTGCGTGAAGTGCGGGCAAGAGACGGAGAACGGGTTCTATCTCGAGGTCGAAGATTTCGACGTACACATGGTGTCGTGTGAAACCTCGCCTATCGCCGAGAGCGCGCCGCACCCTTTCGGGCGCAAAGACTCGGCGGACCCGAATACATCAAAGACCTGATCTTGGGGTTGCGTGTTCTTGGATTTCATAGTATTGCTCGGTTGGCGTTCATCGCTTGAGCTTTGATCGCTGACTTTTGGGTTATTTGCCGAACAGCTTCCGCATGCGCAGAAGCAGTGTCCGGCGTGCGGCGAAATGGAGGCTGTGTTCTTCCAATCTCAGCAGCGCGGAGACGAGACGGGGATGGTAAGCTTTTATGCCGCTCCTGCCACCGGTGTGCGTCAGGCTGACAGCATCTGTCTCCAGGCCCTCTACTACACTTGCTGTACTTGCGGCAAGACGTGGAAGCCCAGTAGTGACAGCGGTTAGCTATCTCGCACACGTTTTGGGGATATTGGCTTTGCTCTCTTGGTCATTTCGCATAAGTTGGCAGGCAGGAATTTTTCACCGGTGCGGGCATTAGCAAGGAGTTTTAGGACATATCCTGTTCGGTCGATGGATCCGGCGTCGTTTCATCCTTCTAGCCTGGTCTTCTCGATACCCCGGAGATCTACTATGCAATACAAATGTTACAAATTCATCACCCTCGCCTTATAAACGCCGTGCGATGCCAGTTCTCAGCCATTGCCTACATCTTACACATGCATCGGAGCAAGCGACAGAATCTTCGACCACTTCTTATCCCGCAGCTCGGAGCCCACGACACCTAGACAGCATCGCGTCAGCACATCCTCCAATCACTAAACCTGATAACATCCTGCTCTCCATCTCCCCCCATCCTCCTCCTCCGCATACATCCCTACTTCCAACCCCCCTATCTCAAACACAAAATCCCCAAAGATGGATCCCACTCACCATTAAACCTCGTCCCAATGGGATCCCCCCCCTTATTCACCAGCACGCACGCGTTGTCGTCGAACTTGACGACGCTACCATCCGCCCGCTGGTACTTCTTTACCGTCCGCACAACCACTGCGTGCCGTATGTCGCCCCGCCGCACCTTGTTCGAGATGGAGACGGCGCCACCGCCGCCCGCGGACTCGGGGCCGAAGTTGCGCTGCTTTTGCACGACGACTATTATGCGGTCGCCTGGGTGTGGGAGAAGTTAGTGATGGCATCGCTGGGGGTTTTTGGAAGTGGTAGTTGTGGTTGTAGTGGTCGCCGTGGTAGGAGCTTGGAGGGTTGGTGGTGTAGGTATGGGGCAGCCGGACGGTGCGAGCCTGGGACTTGATGGATATGGGGACGGACCTATTCTGGCATGTCTTTTCATCCGCATCACCTTGACGCACTCGACGATAGCGGCGCCGGAGTTGTCGATGCAGTTGACGAGGGTCTGGTGTGTGGTGGTTAGCGTTATCTCATCCCAGAAGCTACCTGACATCCATAGCGTGGTGAAGCTGAGCTGCGCGTACCTTCAACTGAATCATCGTGGCAGTCTGGCTCTCCGCGCGAGAGCACACCCAGTTGCGCGAGAAGGTGTTCTGGTGGCAGAAATGTGCAGCAGCGAGCCGGCCAATGGAAGATGCCGAGGGAGATCTTCAAGGCGTCGGCTTCGCGCCAGCGCCGCGCAAGGGGAGCCCTGCCTCTCGACATCTCAGGCACGCTTCAGCACTCCTGACTTCGGCGCTCACGCAGCTTGATTAACGCTCTGTTTGCGCTTACGCTGTCGTTCCTCTGCTATATCCTCTCGCTCGCATTTCATTAATATTAGCCCATTTCCTTTTGCGGCCATATGGCTTTGTTATAAGACGTGGCTTCGTGCGGCGCATCAATGTCAGATACGTCACTTACTGCTTTACCATACCTCCGGCTTTCGCACTCGGCCTCTCCAGACACTCTATTGCTTCGCGGTCTTAATCGCACATTAAGATTGTAGCCTTCGCGCGCCAAATCCGGTATTCAAAGTCTATATGGCACCAAAAGAGCTGGGCGAGGCATTGGCCAAGAAGGGAGGGCTTACGCTCTCTCAGCTTGCCAGCTACGATGATCTAATCACAGACGCTTTGATAGACCATGTAGGTAGAACCGCGTCAACATCGGAAACAGCGCTGGCAAATCCGAAGAATCAAACCGCTGACGTTTACTGGTTTGTCAGGTCTACTACTGGACCACGATCCGCAAGAACCGCGCACGCTACTCCTCATGTCGTGGCGTGCGCGAAGAAGAGATCGCGCGGATCCTCCAAAACTCCGTCATAATAGCTAAAGACCCCGCGGAAGCCGTACAACAGCTTCTGCAAACCGCCGGACTCCGAAAGTACCACGAGCGCCTGGCGACAGACGACGAGAGGGAGCACTTCGTGCGCCACCTGCGAAAGTACGTGAATATCTACATGCTGGACTGCCCGTGGGAAGTCACCACCACGAACCGGTACACTATTTCCACGCCCGAGGCGTCAGTGACCGCGCGCAAGGAGATCAGGAAGGGTGAAGTGGTGAAATATCTCAGTGGGATCCAGGTCGCGATGACGAAAGAGGAGGAGCTGAATCTTGATCTGACGCGACGCGACTTCAGCATCGTCATGTCAAGCCGGAAGAAGACGCCGTCGTTGTTCCTGGGACCCGCGCGCTTCGCTAATCATGATTGCGACGCTAATGCGAGGCTGTCGACGAAGGGGCCGCATGGGATGCAGATCGTGAGCACGAAGAATATTGAAGTTGGTGATGAAATCACAGTCACGTATGGTGAAGATTACTTTGGCGAGGACAATTGCGAATGTCTCTGCGCTACATGTGAGAAAGAGCTACGGAACGGGTGGGGCGCCGAAGCCGGCGAGAGCGCTGTGGAAGACGAAGTCATTGAGCAGCCAGCAGACGGTCCGTACGCTTTCCGGAAGAAGCGGAAATATGTCGTGGATTCTGAATGTCAGTCTCGTGCTGAGACGCCGGTTGTCGCTCAAGCAAGCCCGCCGAAAAAGAGAAGGCTGGAAGATCCTCAGCCCGCTTTGAACACCGCATCACCCGCGAGGAAATGGCGTCCAGGTGGCCCCGGCCGGCCCCCAAAAGATTGGAAGGAGCTCAGCCAGTTACGCCACGAAGTGCCTTCTGTCACTGTAGAGCATGAGAAGCCCGAGGGAAAACTACCCAGTATACCCAGGCGCTTACTGCGCCGCAGCATCCACGACGACGGCATGCTAGGTGCTCATTACCCAGATGATTCAGGCTATGGGTCAAGTTCGCCCGCGTCGTCCACCGCCGATGCGTCAAATTCATTCCAGATCACCACTGCGATTTCCAGAGCCGAGGAACCACTAGTCACCGAAGAGGTAATAAAGACTGAGGTCGTCGAAATAGTGGACAGCATTCCGGCCTGCACGTCCGCCAGCCATGCCACCACACTGAATATCCCAACAACAACAACTACCACAGCCCCAGCGGCCGCGGACACCGAATCCGAGCTCTCCGAACTCGACTCAAACTATGATCTCGACCCAGCAACCCGTACCATAATCCCGCGGCCCCCACGCGCCCCCTCGCCCAAACAAACCCGCTCGCGCTCGCGCACCTCGCACAGCAACCCCCCGCCCATCCCCACCACCGAACCCAGCACCAGCACCCTCGACCCCTCCGCCCGCCGCCCAGGCGACTACACTCTAACGCCCACCCTCCTGTGCCAAAGATACAGCCGCTGGGTGCGGTGCCAGACGTGCGACGCCGACTTCGTGCAAGAAGACGCATACCTGACGCACCGCGAGTGTCCGCGCTGCGAGCGGCATAGCAAGCTGTATGGGTATGCGTGGCCGAAGACGGAGAGGGAGGGGAAGGGGGATCGGGAGGAGAGGGTGCTGGATCATAGGGTTGTGCATCGGTTTGTGGAACCGGCGGAGGAGCGGGGGATTAGGAAGGGGGGGAGACGGAGCTTGTTGAGGGAGGGGAGTGGGAGGGAGAGTGTGGTGAGGGAGAGGACGGGGAGTGTGACGCTGGCGTCGCCGAGGAGGGGGGAAAATAAGAGGAAGACGATGTAGGAGCAGATTTTGGGGGCAGTATCTGCAACCAGGGTGAGGTCCCGCGGCGCGTTTTTGTATCTCGCGTGGCGCTTTGTCGGCGCGAAGTTTGCGCTTTTTTCTGTTCGCACCGCACTTGGAGCGGATGAGAATATTGGAATCTGAAGGGGCCTGCAGTCTCGCAATGTATCATGGCGGGTGATTTGTAACAATACCATTCGCAGCGCTTTTGTATGTTTTGGGATTCTTGGAAGACGGGGCTATGCACAATGTTAAAGTCGGATCAACCGACGGCTTTGTTCAGGACTAGATAGCGCAGCCTTCTCACGGTGTGGCACTCGTGGAGAGAATAACACAGTACGGACGTCAACAGGTGGTTTTTGGCGGTGACAAAGGCTGAAGTAATGTAGAGCAACTAGACCCTGCCGGATGCCAGTATATTGAGCTCCCAGCTTAAATGTTTCAAGCCCAACAACATCAGCTCTCCGTATAGCTCGACTCCCAGCAGGACAGCAGCGCTCAGGCAGCAACCTGCCCCAGACCCTCCAACCTCTAACTGAGCCTCACAAATTCGCCTCGCTTCCCCGGATCCACTCACACTACCACTCCACCCCGCCAACCTCACCACCCATACTTACTCCCCGCCTCCCTCTTATTCCTCTTCCCACTTGCAAAATGCTCCTCCAGCGCCTCCCGCTGCGTACTCGCGGCACTAACAAGCTGCTTCAAGCTGTGCTTCCCCGGCGCGATCGCGCGCACGGGGTTGTGTTGGACTGTCTCGCCCGCCGCGCGCAGGGCTTCGTTCGCGGCGTACTCGGCGTCCGTGTTGAAGTTCAGGACGTTGATCGCTGGAGCGCTTTGGGCGGAGCCTTTGCCGCGCTGTCGCCCGAAGAGCTGACGGCGCGCGGACTCGGAGAGGTTGAGGTCTGAGGCGATGGTGTCGAGGGACTGGGGGCCGCGGTCTGTGGGTGGGAGGTCGTGAGATGTAGGGGGTGGGATAGCTTCGGTATCGGTGCTCGAGTCGAGAGGAGCGTCGGGGGGATATGGAGTGTCGGAAGTGGTGACTGAGGTTTCGGCGGTGTAGATTAGGGGTGTATATTCTTCATTCGACGCAGGCGCCGGTGCGGTGGCTTCCTCCTGAGATATGGAGAAAAGAGAAGCTCTAGGTTTGGGTGCAGGTGCCGGTCGAGCAGCCGGTGCCGTGGGATCTAAAGCTGCAATGCCACTGCCCCCAGTCGAGATGGAGGCAGCCGGCACTGGCTTCTTCTTTTTCTGTGGCTTTCTGGCCACAGAGAGCGGCTTGAACATCATCGGCTTCCCCACTAGCTTCACTTCTTGCGCACCATCTTGACCATCCGCTGGAAGTACAGAGCTTTCCGCCAAAGGTGATCCTTCTGGCGCTGCGCTCTCCTCAAAGCCAGTCTCTTTGGAATCCTCCAGTGACGTCTCCGCCTCCGGCATAGGCTCCCGACTAAACCCAGGCGCCGCTCCCGTCTTCAAGCTGATACCGCTACCCAGACCACGCCCAAGCCCCCTTTTAGATTCGCCCGCTCCATCTCCGGTGCTTTTCGTAACAGCCTGCGACCGTTTAGGCGCTGGGAGAAAGGAGTTGAAGCCGCCAAATGCCCCGCCGCCCGTCCGCGCTTTCTTTGCTGGCGGAGCCTCTTGCTCGATATCATCAGTTGCTGCTGTGCTGGCGGTCGTGGTGGATGGGAGGGTGACACGGATTTTGTGCGGGTGGGAGCGGTCGACGACTTTTTGGAAGGCGGGTTTGGAGGAGGTGGTGGGCTTGGGTGGTTCTTTGGGTGCGGGTGCAGGCGCGGCTGTGGTCTCGGTGTCGGAGGTTTCAGAGTCTGAGTAAGATACCAAGACCATCTTGGAGTTGTGAGTTGCCTCTCGTAGCTTCTATGAGCTGCCGGTGTTGGTGTTGTTTTTAGAAAAGGTGGTCATCGCGCATTGAATGCTGAAGCTTCAGTTGCAGATGCGGGTTCGCGGGGACTCCTCCGGCGGCGGACCACATGCCACAAAGCACCTGCTTTCACCAGCACCGCGAAACAACCCCAAGAGTCTCTCCTTACCCCTCAGCTGGCTTGAGGGATGTATTTCACGCAGCTGGGCTTCTGCTAAGGATGTCACTTAACAGCAACCGACATGTCACTATTGCAGAACGAGGAGTGAGTGCACCTAAGACATACATCTCGTCCGAGGCGGGCCAGTATTTGTAGAGGCGATCAAGAGATGCAGCGCTGACATCTATCTCTGTAGGTTCGTTCTGTATCAGCTTAGGACAGCGTACCTCTCGTGCATCAAAGACGGCGTTGGGGAACGACTGATCAACGTCAACACATCTGTCCTCAACAACCCTGCGTTCCGAGCGGCAGGATGGGTACCCAGTGCCGCAGATATCAAGCGCACATACTCTCCACCGATACCGACAGCGGTAGCATCCGAGTACTTCCAGGCTCCACGGTCAGCGGGTCTACCGGGGACAAGTTTTGGGGACGATGACGACGAAGGCGGGATGGTCACTGGAGGGGGAGGAAGCAATGATACTGTCGGTCCGGCATTGAACACGAAGAGAAGACGACGGAAAGAGCAATTAGGGGAGGACGACAGCAGCGACCTCAGCGATGAAAGTGACGATGATTTCGAGGCCGCGCAAAGGGCAGCGCAGCAAATCAGGTTCAACAAGATGCCAGTGCGTACGCGTGCGGGTTCATCTCCATTGAGAAGCTCAAACCTGAAGGATGGGCCCGCTTTGTTGGTCACGTCACCCTCACGGCCTCCTGAAAGCAACCAGCTACGGCGTGGTTCATTGGGAGCGGTTGAGGCTTTCAAACAGCGCGCCCGCAGAGACACGACTACGAGCAGCGAGATGTCGTCGGAAAACGAGCTGGATCCATCGCTCTTCAAGAGGAAGCAGGTTAATCCACAACGAGCGGCTCAGGCAAGCCACTTGCTTTCTCAAAGGATTCAAGAGGATGAGCGGGAGAATGAGACCTTCCCGCTCGAAGCTGATCCAGGCGCTGAATCTGACGACAGCACACTGTCGTCGGAGTTTGCTGGAACGGCTGATTCTGAGTCTCTACTTGGGAGGGCCCATAGGGATGTAGCCGATTCCTCCCTTCCTCTTCGTGGGGCTCCAATACCACCTGCCATGAGTCCTCAGAAGACCTCCCCAAAGAAGTCAAGACCAGCACCGGCTACGCTGCAGGCTTTGCCTCCCCCAAGACCTATCAGCGTCATTCAGCCAGTTAGTGCACTCACTCTTGCCCTAAAGGCCAAAGATAGGAAGCCAGTAGACCCATTTGAGCGTTTTGCAACGCTCTCAGGCAAGGGCGATCCGAATCCGCTCTACATAAGGGTTTACGCGCCATTTTCAACAAAGCCCACGAAACCATATGAGATGCTCGTCCTGCGAGCCACGATCGGCGGAGCTAAAGTTACGGTGGCGGAAGCTATCGGACTAGCTCTGTACAGATACGGCGAGGAGAAATCTGAACCTGCTATCGAAGGCACTCAGAAAAACGTAAACCGATGGAACTTCAGGATGATTGAGGATGATGAGGTCGACTATGACTTTCCAGCCTTGACGCGGAACAGACCTTTTACAGACTTTACGTCCAACAACAACCGTGGCACTCGCGGGCGATCCCGGGAGAAACCCTGGGACGAGTTTGCGCTCGTCGAGGCGTCTGAGAAGGAGTTTAGAGAGAACGAGGCGCTCACCCCCGAGTACAGCAAAGAAGCTGCGGCTATACAAGAGAACGCGCAAACCGACACGGCGGCGCCAGTACAGCCGGAGCCAATATCACGGCCTCCGCCACCGCCCGGTCCGTCTGTATCTTTCCACAATCCTATCACCGGCCCGAGCTTCGCTCCTACAGCTCCCCGAAAAGATGGCACCAACCTCCTGGACGCTCCCGCTCCACAGACCTCGCATGCAACACCTCGCACCGGTGCACCCAGAACCCTGACTGTTCGGTTCATGAATGATGACTTCGTAACGCGAACCACGAAGATTGAAGCTACGACAGACACTTACATCGCCGAAGTCTTCTCACAAGCGTGCAAAGTCCTCGGCGTCGATCCTGCTATGTTCGTTCTCAAGGTCTCGGGCACCAATACCGTCGCGCCCTCCGATAGGACCGTGGAAGCACTGGGTGACCGGCTCACACTCGACTTCCAGAGGCGGCGGTTCGTAGGCGATGGCGTCATAGGTATAGCAGGCTCACCCGGAAGCTCATCGCCAAACGCACCTCTGCTCATCTCCTCCGGCGGCACGCCCAAGAAGGGCAAGAAAGGCCCAGCCGCCCTGCTCCATCCTCTCGCTCAGAAACAAGACCTCTTCGTGGCGCTCAATACAGCCAGCTACAAGCGCTACGCCGTGACCCGCAAGCAACCCATGTCCTTCTCCTCTTCCTCTTCGCGCATCCTAGCGCTTGATGGAGAGTACATGCACATCATGCCCGCGGAGAACCACCCGAACACCACGAACAAGATCTTCGAGGCGCCGGCTAAGACCACAACCGTGCCGTTCTCGAGTATTGTGGGTAGTAAGGTGTCGAGGAGGCATCCGAGGATGTTTAGAGTTGTGGTGTTTAAGGAAAGGGAGACGAAGAGGTATGACTTTGAGGCATCGAGTCAGGCGGAGGCGGCGGAGATTGTGAGGGAGATTAAGAAAGGGGTTGAGAGGTTTAACGAGGGCGTCGTCTAAGAGTAACGTTTCGGCATCGAAGGCGTCTGAGTGTTAGCAGACAGGCTGTGGACATGGGCTCTATAAAGTCTCACTCTGCGTTTGCTTAAGCCTCGGTGTCTGAAATCGGGGTTTATGAGGCGTCCCGAAGAATTTGGCGATGCGGGCCGCTTTTTCTGACACGATTGGTGGTTTAGTTCACTGCTGGAGGCTTTCTGTGCTGTGCCGCTAAGCGCTGGAAAGCTATGAATTATTGCAGCGCCCCCTTCTGACGTTTCTCAAAATCGACAGCACCTCGGAAATACTCAACAGACGGATCGAGGTCAAGAACATAGCTAGAAATCTCCTACCGTACCTTTGGGCTGATACAATACCTTGCGCCGAGCTAACTACCGGCATGCTAATTTGTTACTGACGATCCTGCAGAGCCTCAGCCTTGCTGCAAACCCCACCCAGCTGTGTCATACCAGACTTGCAACCTTCAGGATCCCTTCACAGTGTCTTGTCGAGTCTCTACTGATTAAGTCAGATATACGATTGCGCTCGTTGCGTGTCTTCTGCAGCCTCCTACCATCTTCAGGCCGTGAATTTTGGCCTTTCAAAGACACTGACGCGGCCGTCCTGTCATATCGATTCAAGCTCTTCGAACCGCGCAACGGCTGAGACTCATCCTTCTGTTCAGGACAATCCGGAGTGCCCCAAGGGCACTTTGAAGACCGGGAAGCCCATGGAGCTAAATCATGCTGCGCCTTCTGAGAACGAGATGCCTCATAGAGAAACAGCACCCGAGCGAGAGCCTAGTAATTCGTGGCCCTCTGATAATGACATGGCACGGTCATCGGACTAAGATATCACGTGGACGCAAGAGAAGCAGCCCGAAGTATATTCAGATTGGGACCGGGACCGTGGGTCCAGTAATCCGTCCAGTAAGGCTCGCCCAGCTGTCTTTGCTCGAGCTACTCGTACTTAGGCTGATGATGCAGGTAACATACGGTCAAGCATTAGCACCTACGGCAGCTACATCACGGCAGCTTCATATCTTTCCGCAGCCTCAGGCAGCTACCGTTACCCCTCGAAAAGGCCAGTATTGACTGCAGACAATCAGCATACTGCTCTGGCACGGCACGCGGGATTAGTCTCACCCATCGAATCAGAGGATTTCGATTGGTCAGGTTTGCGATACCCGTCTCCGTGATTTGCGTTGTCGTACTAAACTGTTCATATGCAGGTTTCGGGCGGCACGTACAATATCCGATTGGAGCTGATCTGCCATTTCAGGACAACGAAACCATCGCAACCACCAGTCGTGCCATAGTAGATGCGGTCCAGTGCAGAAGAATCCGCCTAGCTCTCAAGACCATGCTGTGCCACCGTCGATTCACGCCTAAGGAAGCGCTGGAGGAGGTCCGGCACCTTCAGGCACTCAATCACGGTCACGTTGTCCGCCTCGTGGGCAGCTACGCTCAGGGAAAACATTTTTCCGTACTCACTTATCCCGTAGCCGAGTGTGACCTGAAGGCCTTTCTGGCGCAGATAGAGAGGCGGGGTTATCCGTTCCATAGCAGGAAAGGACTTGCCAAGGGGATCAGCTGTCTATCTGCTGCCATTGAGCACATTCATGCAGCAGGTGTGAAGCATATGGATCTCAAACCGCAAAACATACTCGTCGAGGACTCGAACTGCCCAAGCGTGTTTAAGCATCCCAGATTCTACATCACGGATTTTGGCATCTCCCGGTTCGTGCAAGATCTGGAAGCAAGCGAGACTGATGGGTTCTCTCAGCGTACTCTGATGTACTGCAGTCCTGAAGTAGCCGCTGAACAGCCACGCGGACGATCATCAGACATCTTCTCACTCGGATGTGTTTTCGCGGAAATGTTGACTTGCATGGCATGCAGGTCGCAAGCAGAGTTTCGTTCTTATCGTGCGGATGATGGCGAGACCTTCCACAAAAATCTCCCACAAGTGGTTGAGTGGATAGACGATCTACCTGCTGATTATGTCGGGATAGTTCATTTGCTTGCAGCAAAGAAAATGACGGAGCTCGAGCCGCAGGAACTTGAAAATACGGAAATCATCGCAATCAAACGAATGCTGCAACAAGAGCCTAAAGACAGGCCCACAGCCGCGGATCTGGTCAAGTCCTTTCCCCCCTGGTTCTGCTGCAGCTCAGGATCAGAGCCCTTTGTAAGGGTGGCTTAGGTCAAGACGGTCAAACATGGAATGAACTAAGGAGCATGTTCTCAACTGTTCAGGCAGACAGAACCCTCGGACTGCTGGAGAAGTCTAGGGACGCAGGGCCACAAAGCCACGGCCTTCAATCTCATGTTTTTCTGGAAGCCTTCTGTGACCCATTAGAGACGATATTCTGATGACATGCTCCTTTCGCCATCATCTCAAAAAGTCAGGAGCGTGACGGTGGTTGAGGTTTCGCCCTTCCTTGACACGAAGTGCTGGCAGTACTGCCTTCGAATAGTATCAGCATATGACGACTTCAAGCCAAAATTCATCTGGAGCACTGCTTCTGATAAGTTATCTCTCTATCGGCACATACGGCTAGCATTCAACCAAAATATGTGCTACAAGGAAGGAACAACATCACGCTCTGATCAACTCCTTGTTTTCCTCATTACGGCTCCAACAACTTGTATCCTTCCCGTATCCGCATAAGGCGGCGAAGACAGCTCCTCCCCAAACATGTCCGGATGGATAATTCGATAAGCCACCAACTCCCCGCCCTCGACCTCCCGTATACGTTGGAGGAATGGGTCATGGCCAGGCTTCTCGTAGAATACCGGAAGGCCCGTATAGATCATCAGAAGCCCGCCTACAGCCAACGCCTGGATGCCCTCCGAAACAATGCGGAGAGGCAAGGCGAGACCCTGCTCAGCGCCTCCGGCTGCGTACATAGGCACGTCGCTGTCTTCCGAAGAAGCAATGTACGGTGGATTGCTTACCACGAGGTCGATATCTTCTCTTGACTTCACAGCCACGAAAAGGTCTGACTCCGCGAAGTCAACCTGGCAATCCGCCAACTTGGCATTGATCTTGCCCAAGGTCAGCGCTTTAGGATTGAGATCCAGTCCAATGACCTTGCTGCTCGGGAGACTGCGAGCCATATGGATGGCACCGGCGCCGGAACCACAGCAGACATCGACAACAACTCGCGGTGGGGTTGCCCCAAAGTATCTGCTCGCTTGGGACAAGAAGTCTAGGAAAAGGTACGTGTCCGGCCCGAAGAACACGGCATCGGACTGCGTGGTTGGAAAGGCCGAATGGATGTAGTACATCTGAGGGGCACTGGTGCCATCTTGTATGTGTGGCAAATATAGATTCGATAGTCGATACTCGGATTTGAGGCGATCTTCGCTCTCCACTGGGGTGATCACAGACGCCTTCAGCAACTGCTCCAGTAACTCCGGAGGGAGTAGCTGGTCTATGGTGTTCCTACGGAAGGTTTGAGCTTGGTGGTAGATTTACGGCAGCCGGGTGGCTCGGTATGTTCCTGCATACCTATCGGCCTTCAAACTCCAGCCAAAAAGGTCCTCAAGATTCGTTACATCTCGCCTTTCCGGACTTTGGATCCTCTTGGCAACGACCCTCCCATGACTCTCGGGTGTCGGGCAGATGAAGGTGTAATTCTGCCGTTTGAGGTGCGCTGCCAAAGCCAAGAATGCTGGTTCTGCACCCATCTGGACACGCAATTCGAGCAACTCGCGCTAATCTACGGGTGTAGCTTGTGTACGAATATCAATCCTCATACAGAATTTCTAGGTACTGGTACACCGAAGGTGTTTACACTCTCGTCGGGCCAATTTCAGGTGTTATGACGATGAGGGGCATTGTAAGGTGGGGTGGAGGTCTGGAGGCGGAGAAGCAGCCGCAAATCGGAGTGGAAAACGATGTTTTGCAGGCTAGGGCGTTTGAAGTACAGCGTGTAAATGCCACCCATGGAAATGAGCCCGTCAGTGACATATCAGCGGGTTTCTACAGCCTCTGCTTGACAGGTGAGTACTCCGAGCAGATCTATGAAATGGATATCGTCCAGTCTTTGATAAACGTCAAGCCACTATTTTGCAGTTTGGCAACGTCGAAATCAATCTGTTCCCTGTTCCATCCGAAAGCCAGATTCTAGCCGCGGGTGATCGGCGTGTCAGATTCGTATGGGGTTCGCGGTCCCATGCCATGTGCTGTCATCATCAAGCACACGGATATTGCCACTACCCATGCATCCCCCACCGTCCCCAATGCAATTCTAAACTTTGTCCATCATGACTGCCGCGCTATGGCAGAATCGGCTACCGGATTTATCACATTGACCAATAAGATAAGCAGCTTTGCCTGGCCATGAGCCGGAGCAACACTGCTTACCTCCTTCCAGGTTGGTAGTTTGGCCGAGCCAACCCCACCACGAACGCGGCCATGATTCCATCGTCCCTCACCTGAAGAACAAGCCTGTCGAACCTGTCAACCAAGCACGCAACTGCTTGTTAACCGGCACCTGACCGTTGCCAGCGGGACCCTCCCCCCACTTCTAGGCCTGCCAGGGCGGATGGGATGGCATCATGACCTTAAGCCCCTTTGCTAGCTGCGACGTTAGGTACGGTACACCGCACAAATCACGTAAAGCAGAAAGAGCTACCCCATGGTGGCAAGCATTTCAGCCACAGCGCGCTGAAGAAGTCATGATGTTCTGCTACAAACTTGGAACGTTTCTTCTTTTACCCTTAAACTACCCTTACATATCGCCCTCGTTTGTCAGACCTCAACGTTACAGTCAGCGGAGTCGGATCTCGTAGTGTCAGCATGTCTCTTGTTCTACAGGCCATCTTTCTTCTTTGTGTGGCGTTTTCTGTTGTTAAAGCTGTCGAAGCTGCAGCACGACTCCTCACGAGGAAACGAAATCGGAAACGAGATGTCGAGCGGCCGCCCAGTCCCATTGTCAAGCCTCTATCCGGCGAGAAGAGCGTACCGTCTCAGGTAGCACTGAGAGACAAACCAAACGATGTCGAGTCGGCCTCCCTACAAGAGCACAAGGATCTGTACTACAAGTTGCAAAATCTCGAGCGTTACCCCGAGATCCTGCCGCGATGCAGGGATATACTGATCCAAATGTTCGCCGAAACCCTCACGGATGCGCAAGAACACCCCGAGACCGGCATTCTGTCCATAGAATGCTATACGCGGGAGAACCTTGCTGCGTTCTTGCGCAGTGAGAACGATGGGACCACCGAACAATGGGAGCAGTACGTTGCAAGGAGAAAAGGGGGGTCAGTGAGGGAGATGTTCAAAGACAAGGAAGAAGCAGTGTGGTGGCTCAAACAAGCCGCGCCAGTAAAGTATGTTGACGGCGCATGGCTGGGCCACATCAACAAGATCTCGACTCCCTTTGCGCTACGCCGGTCCACCAAGGACGCTTGGCAGGTCATGTCGGAGGAGTTGGGTGATGGCGATCTGGACAAGAATCATGTAACGGTTTATCGCGACTTGATGGAGGAGATTGGGGCCGGACTACCTGAGGGCGATACCCTTGACTTCATACACCCACGGCATGATCTCAATGAACCCCGCGTCTGGAAAGCAGCTCTCGCTCAATTGCTCATATCCCTCTTCCCGCACGAGTTCTTGCCGGAGATACTAGGCTTCAACATGGCCTATGAGGGCTTGCCACTGCATCTTATGAAGACCGTTAAGGAGCTCGAGGAACTGAAGCTCAACGCTTACTACTTCTTGCTCCACATCGCCATCGACAATGCGGACAGCGGTCACGCCAGGATGGCAATGGAAGCAGCGGTTGGATACATAGAGCAAATGCGGGAGAAAGGCGGAGACGCGGCAGCTCAACAAGCGTGGAAACGCGTACAAGCTGGTTTCGTTCTGGCCGAAGGTCTACCAACTACACCTCAGTCGCCGTCTCTCAAGCTACCCGCTGTCGAATCTTTCCCCCGAAACGACCGCGAAGCCGAGGTTGTCAAGATCTTCCAGGCCAAAGCACCCGTGGCGCACAAGATCCACTGCAGCAGCAGGCTTAAGATCGGCCGTCACAGCCTGGTCGACTGGCTCGAACCAAACGCGTTCGCTTCGAAGCAGTGGCAGATGGATTTCCTGGATGATCTCTCAAGCATGAAACCTTGGGTACGGAAGGGCGACAGCAGTAACAGCCGGCTCATCCAAGAGCTCTCCTGGGAAGGAAAAATGTTTGGATCCTTCACCCAGAGCGAGGTTGAGGTTGTCAAGGCTTGGATTGACGGCCTTGGTGCTCCAGACAGCCGCATCTACTGGTCCTTCGTTGGGCGGGACGCAGTTCCTTCGAGCGAAGCATGTCAGATGAACGACATTCGCGAGGACTACCCGGTCCTGAAGCAAGTCCAGTCCTCAGAGGTTTCCTCGGAGCCCGTACCGCAGGAAACCCTTACCGCGACCGATCTCTTCTCCCCCAACCCAACGAACATCAACAGATTCATCCCTCTCTGGTTCGCCCATCCTTGCCTCCTCGAAAACTTCGTCTCCATCCCTGCGAAAGTAGCGAACAGCACCGGCTCCGCAGTCGTCCGCGTTCTACGTGCTCAATCAGGCTTCGAGAATGAAGGTCCAGGCGTAGCGGGCATGGACGAAGTGCGCCGGCCGCATACTGTCGGCCTAGTGGAACTCGGCTTAGAGATGATGCAGCGCGCGGGTCTGTCCGCACCGCGATCTCTCAAGGAGGCACTTGCTGGTCGCGATGACAGCTTCGCGATCGAGATGCTACATGCGTCGATGAAGCCCATACAGAGCGCGAACTTCTTAATTGGGATGGCCTGGGCGTTTGTGCAGCTTCATGAGGCGTTGACGGCGTCGAGCTTGCTGAGTGAGACGAGTCAGGAGGTGTTGCGGCAGATCGCCCGGAGGGAGCGGGATGGGTTGAGGGCGTGCTTGGAGGTCATTGAGCAGGATACACGGCAGTATACTGATTTCTCTAGGGGTTATAGCCTTGGGAGGGCCGAGATAGAGTTTTGCTTTACTCGTAGCTGACGATAGTTCTGTACAATGAATTCGGTATCCGGGTTTGGCCCTGGAAATCTTTATGACATTACAATCTATCAAGATTCATTCCAAAGGCCTTGTTGAGTTGTGATAAAGAGAGGAGACGTGCATCTTGATCTTCGATTGCCTCGAAGGCTACTCTTCTATGCCTCTCGTGTGTGATTCTCTCTACATCACGCCCGCTCGTCTCGCGCCCACTTTAGCAGATCCTGCTGGTTGTCTGACTCTCAAACCACAATTCGTGTATCAGCAACAGAACCATTTCGCCATGGTGTTTCTGGCCCCCTTCCCAGCTACATCTGTGTGCGCTGCCAGCTTCCGATTGTCCATCCGTGCTCCGTAACATGCCGATACTTTCACCCCACCACACCACTCTCCTCTTCCCGCTTTCCTCTTCCGTGTCGATCACCCCACACCAGCAGTGCCTCACCCTGCGGCCAGGCACCTCGGTGCATCGATGCCGCGGGGTTACGCTTGGCGGCCTGTGACTCTCGCGTGAGAAACATGAGCGCGGAAAGATGGCTCCCGCTTCTGCAGGGAAACCCGCCGTAAGATGCCGAGGGGAGGATCTTAATAGGTGGAGTCAGGTCTCACGATGCGGGAGGATTGTGGGAGCTGGCAGTCTGGAAGGCTGAAGGCTCCGAGGTCAAGTGGGGATATATGCGGTGTTGTCCTGGCAAATTTCAGGTCTTACGCTGTCGCGGGAGCTTTTACCAGAAAGTAAACACGCTGTAAAGCTGGTCGTCGTATCTCTTCTAAATACGGCCTTGGCTGTCTTGCTATTCATTCAAATATCGGCAGCTTATAGCCTCATCTTCTTGCGAAGCATAACCTCCTCTATCCCCTGTGAGAGCTCAATACATGTCACATTACCACATCTTCCCTTCAAAAGCCTCAAGACCACCTTCAATGGCTCCACAGGCCTCCTCTCGACCCTTCTCCTTGGCCGCACGCGTCTATCCCCCACTACCTCCGCTTCTCGCAGCGCCACCTCAGCAGCCCGTGGTCCAGCATCTGGCGAAGCCGCAATTAGGTCGGCTAGGTCTATTAGCTATCCCCGCTGTAGCAGTTGTTGCGCTTGGTAAGTTCTGCATATATGACTTGGTCCAGGTGAACAGGTCTGACAGTTCACAGGCTTTGCAGCGCAAGAGCAGATCGAAAAGCAAGTGCTAGTTGCTCATGAAAGCGCAATCAGCGCTCAGCGGAAAGAGCAGCAGTTGCAAGAGATGGAGAAGAACAGGAAAATGCTCGATGCCTTTGCTGAGAGGGGAAGCCTTGCGGATCTGGAGAAGGCGATGGAGGCTTATGGGACACGGTGAATGACCACCAGCGTAGCAAGCTGGGACACGTTTGGAGGAATGGGATGAGCCGCTACGAGTTCGGATGCGTGAGTCGAATGATAGATGGATGGATTCAAGAGATGGAAAGGTTATGAATTCATGAGCAGGCGTTCGGTGTCGCTCAAATAGATGAGCGTTTCAATCCGGCTCGGGCATCTGGTGGCTGGCGTTGCGGATTGACGAGGCTTCATGGTATGAAGTCGAAGGCATTGACTGGCCGGCGACGAGCTGCTGGTAATATAGGCTTATCGGATTGTTTGTTTTACCTACAGTGGATTAGAATCGGCGGAGGAACCAGACGAAGCATATTGATAGAACGTCGGATTTGGCATGTGTGTTGTCTCGTATAACCACTCGAGGCATCGGCGAGTCGTTCCACGTCTATAGAGCAAAAGACCTGTAGATACCAATACCTATACACGACTATAAAAGAACGAACATGGTATATGAACCTGGAAATATTGTTTGGCAAGCCTCCAGATTGTGTTCGAGTATAGCATCCAAAGTAAGCACGTGATGCCAAGTGCCAACCTTTGCATCTGTATCTTCCGTCTGTCCGAGTTACGCTTGAGAGGAAAGCCTTTAGAACCCATCGAATAAGAGCTAAGTGAGTTGGCAAGATATCCGCACCGGAAATCTCTACTTTCCAAAGTTACTCGAGTGATATGATGTCGTAGACTGTTGACTTTCAAGATCCGTTTCTTGGAGTTCACGTTCTACGTGCGAAAGGCGTTTTTCAATGACCTCTTCATACTGAAGAAAGCTTCACTTCCACTCACACCTCTACCCTGTTGACAGTGCTATTTCAGCTCTCGTAACTTCTCACAAGTAGACTCGAACAGCCGTAGCTTCTACGAAGTTCCGCACTCCCTAAAGGACCCCTTCAAGAAAATTAGGCTCATTTTATCAAGCTCCCCCCTAGCGGAATTTCTTTCTGCACGGCACGCCCACTAGTGACCGAAATCTCAAGCCTCTCCTAGTCTCACAGCTACACCTGGGGTTCTGAGGCCGAAAATGTCCGTCTCCCGCAGCACTGCCGATGCAGCCCTGGAGCCGCCACACCGGCGTGCATTCATCGGCAATGCCTCCAATTTCTGGCTCCACTCAACACGTACGGGCTTCGACTTAACCCGCTCAGCGAAGGACCAATCCGATGAGCTTACCTCTCCGCGCGTCCGCATCGAGACCACTACAACCCCGATCACGCTGTCATCTGCAAAGACCGCGCTGGTTATAATCGACATGCAGAACTTCTTCCTCTCGCCTGGATTCGGCCGCTCCAGGGGCGCAGGCCACGCTGCGGCGGAAAAGCTGCTGGAGTATGCTATCCCTGCGGCACGCAAGGCGGGTATTCAGATCATCTGGCTCAATTGGGGTCTCAGTGAGGAGGACTTGCGAACTATACCACCAGCTGCGAAGCGAGCTTTTGGCTTTGAAGCTGTTCCAGATGACGAAGTTGATGGCGGTGGTGAAGCTGGAGATATTCCGGCTATCAGTTGCAAAAGAGAGGCTGTTGCGGAGAAGCCGGAGAGCATCACTGCTGACAGGCACAACGATGTCCGCCGTAAAGAGAGGAATCGGCTCCTAGAGAATGGAAAAGACGGCAGGATCTACAAGGGCCTCGGCGCACCCTGCGGCATCCTAATACTCCCCGATACTGGCAAGACAGTCGATGCCGGACGGTTGTTGATGCGAGACACCTGGAACGCCGCACTTTACGCACCGCTTACCGCTGCTTACGAAGAGGGCTCCAAGTTGTCCTACAAATCCGATGTATGGATCCACAAGGACCGGCTGTCCGGCCTCTGGGGCGCCAGTACCCCATGTCAGGAATTTCTCGAGGAGCAGGGTATCAAGAGCCTGCTGTTTGCGGGCGTCAACACCGACCAGTGTGTTAGCGGCACGGTCACGGATGCATTCAACAAGGGGTATGACTGCGTGCTGCTTAGCGATGGGTGCGGTACTACATCGCCGAGCTACGCTCAGCAGTGCATTGAGTTCAATGTGGCAAAGACGTTGGGGTTCGTTACTTCCTGTCGACAGTTTGCAGAAGGCGTAGAGCAGCTGGGTCTGTGAACGGCATTCCGGTATGCCACCTGTTGCGGTTTGTCGTCTGGTACCAGCATCAGGCGGCTTAGGTATTTGAATAAACTCGACATACAAGAGCGATGCAACATCACGGCTGATACACTTGAGCGGTTGTACGGTCTAGTGAAGCAATGACATATCAATGCGCTTTTGAGACCGGTAGGGTGGGTATAGAACAAAGCTCCCCGTCGCGACAAGTATCGAAACAGCAAACCAGGCGCAACAGCAGGGGATTGAATACCCTCTCTAGCCTTCGGATAAGGCAGTAACAACATTTCTTTCGCTATCCCTATTGGGTGGCCTCCAGTCGAAAAGATCAAACGCCTCCGTGCTCCATGGTCCAATATCCGTATCTTCGACTACAGGCGGTGGCGGCGGCGTAGGAACGCGACGTACCGGTGCAGCATCCGCTAAGCTCTTCCACCGCTGCAGCGGTCGCTTCGGCGGAGCTGTGGCCTTTGCGGCTGATGCTCTTGGCTTGTTGGCGAGTGGAGCTGGCTCGGAGTTGGCTGTTCCTGCTGGAGGGTCGGACGGATTTAGCGCAGCGTCGTTCTCAGAACGTACGCGGCGGAAAGGGCTGCGAGGGCGGGATGCGTTGGCAGATTCAGCACCAGGTTTGACACTGGTATTTGGGCGCGCGCTCTTGAGTCTTGTTGAAGCCGTCGTCAGTTGCGCGTCCATTTTACCGTGTACAAGGGCCATCTCATCGAACGGAGTTGTAGTAGAATCAGCGGGCGGTAGCTCATCCGGACGCCCATTTCTGGATAGGTTCTTCCTTATGGGTTCCCCGAGCAACTTAGATTTCGCAATGCCTGGGTTCCGCGATGCAGCAGTAGAACCCGGAGATGCGGACTTCTCATCTGCAACCCCAAAATCAAAGTCCCAGTCGGGTGTCCCTTGACGTTCCACTGATCCGTCCCTCGGTGAAACGCCTCTGCTTCTCTCGATCGGGGCTCGCATGTTGCTATTACTGGTAGCTTGTCTGGATTTTGGCCTGGCTTCACATAAGAGCATCTTCTTCCGTGGCGCCACCACTGATAACCGAAGTGCCTTAGTACGGGGATTTGATGCGGACTCAGTTTGTCTCGAGTCAGCCGAAGCATCAAGGGGTTTTGCGGCACGCAATGCTGGACTACTCGTTGTACTCGCGGCCTTGTCGATCGTGTTCTGGACTGCGTGTATCTTATTAGTCGTGCTGACAGGCGGCGATGATGGCAGCTGAGGGTCTTTCTGAGGGGGTGGTAAAGGGGGCCGAGATTTGGGCTTCAGGGTTGATTTGCTGTTCTTGTTTGAGAGAGGAGATGATGACGCTTGGGTCAAACCGTTTGGGGCCCGTGAAATGCGCTGTTCAGGCTTTCCATTACTTGTACGTTGTAGAGGTGCGCCCGTCTTGGTACTTGCGGGAGCAACAGGCGATAGTCTTGACGTCGAGGCAGCTATCAGTGTGCCCGGCAACGTCATGTCAGAGAAGTTGTCTTCAGGGTCAGATGTAATGTCGACAACCTCCTTCACGGTAAGCCTAGCTCGACCTGTCGAAGACTTCACGTTTGACGACGTCGGCTTCGTGAACTTCCCTTTGCGCGCATCTGAGGTCTTTGCCCAAAGAGGTGTCTCCTTTTTCGACCCAAACGCTGATACTTTAGTTGTCCGCAAGACGTCCCAACCTGTATACGTGCTATTGCCTCCTATTCGAGGACGTTTTGCGGCGGGTCCGTCTTCCCACTCATTTGCCGTTGCTCCCTGCCGGGCTTCATATGGTGACTTTGAAGGTAGAACCGCCCTTCCAAGCGACCCTCTCGGCGTTCCCAGCAGTGTGTTCAGAGATCTATGGCGCAATGGTGGTGGTACAAGTCCCGCAGTGCTGCGCATGGAGGAGGCTGCCTTGGCCGGAGAAGTTGCTCCGGCCTTCTCGGGTGTCTCCTTAGGCTTCCTCTCGAACAGCGGGCTCAGATCCGTCTCTGTAGTTCCGACGACTTCGCCGACCTCTACAAGCACGCCCTTGTCCAGGGTCACCTCATCGCCTTCTTGCAGCTGTGCTCCTTCTTTCCAGTGATGGTCTCCAACATAGTTCCTCGGGACATCGTACACCATAACCCTTTTGTTGAAGGTATGGAAGCGAAGGAAGCCATCTTGCCAGCGCTTTTGCTTGCGTCGAACATCGTGGGTATAGAGGCAGCGGAACTCGATGACGGGTGCGGTATTCTGGGACGGCGGAACACTGAGACTCGGTGTACTGTAGACGGCAGTTGACATGGCCAGAGGAGGGGTATATGTGCGTCGTCACGGGTGGCTGTCGCGATACATAGCAGTCATTGAAGTTTGCGGGGCCGTGAGGCGGAAGTGGGATGGATGGTGCAGGTGATGCTGAACTTGATGATGAGACGCGTCAAGGCAGTGGCGTGGCGCGGCCCCGCGCGAGCACGTGATCAAGCTTAGCCCTCTGCTACTCGAGACTTGAGTGCTGATGAGTGTGCCTCTTTTCTCTCTTAAGGTTCCCTTAGGGATGAATGTGGTGCAAATCAGCTATACAAGGTGGGCGGGCAAAGTGCCATTAGGTTGTCCTAATCAGAGAAGCGAATCACTTTCACAGGCTCACTGCTTGGGGCAGTCGCGAGGCTGAAACGCTGTGGAGCTCCGGCCCCTCTGTCCATCCATAAGGCAACTACTGCGATGCGAACACACTCTTTGTCATTACCGAGACTGCTCTTGTTTCTCTCCTGGACTGCCTGTCCAATTGTCTGTCTATCATTCAAGCGTTTTGTTTCGATCCTCATCCCGCAATGCAGCGAGTTCAGCGGAAGTTTGGGAGCTTTCTCCCACGGACAGCTGACGAGACACAAATCGCAACTCTGCTGAACGACTTCAAGGAGGCAGATCAGATGCTAGTCAAAGTACCGTTCCTCCGTTACCTGGGTGCCAGAGGATCCGGTTGACAATCTGCCAGATCATCGAAGGTGCCAAAGCCTGGCGAGAAGCATGGGCAGCCATTCTGCGACACCAACTTTTCCTAGCGGCTGAATATGAGACGCTATACGGACCCATTCTGGGAGCCATGGAGGACCACGAGGCATCACACGTACCAGTTGAAACCCCGCAGCACCTCTTGGAGCAAGTGAAGAAGCTTCGTGCAGTCTACAGCGAACTAAAGACCGACATGGAAGAGGAGGTAAACACCATGGACGTAAAACTTATCAAAACGGCGAAAGACGCTAGAGAAGCTCTTGCACCGATGCATAAGATTATCAAAAAGAGAGAAGATAGGAAGGTGAGTAATGGGTACTTGGTGGGGTAAGGAATCTACTCATCAATTTTCTTCAGCTCGACTTCGAGCGATACAAGGGCCGTGTAGAGCACGTTGAGAAAAAGGACAAAAGATCCGATCGTGATAACACAGCTCTCGCCAAGCATCAGATTGACTTTGAGCATGCTACGCAGGTACGTGATAAGGCTATACAAGTCAGATTCTCCATGTCTGACCATATACGGTTTAGGAATACCAGTCTGCAGATGCCCATCTTCGGACAGTGCTCCCAGGGATCATCAATGCAACCTTTGCGCTGGTGCCGCATCTGTTGGCCACCCAGATCAGTATTCAAAACACCATATTAGCGCAGTTTTACACCTTGCTCCACAACTACTGCAACGAGCAGGGATTTCCTTCACCACCTCCGGAATGGGAGGATGTTGTGTCGACCTGGGATGCCACGTTCACGTCTTTCCGGAAAGAAGTGGAGAGCGGCTTCGGCTTGATTGCGCATGGGAAAGCTGTACATCAGCCCATGGAGCAACGAGAGGCCTCCAAAGATGGCAGCATTACCGGCTTTGGCATTCGCAACGGCCTTACAGGTAGACGGACAAGCCATCAGGGGCTCGGAAAACCTCCGCCACCGCCTTCGTCGCGCCGGACGAGTTCTTCGTCGGCAACCGTGTCACCGCCAGCTCTGCCCGGTCCTCCGGCTCTACAAAGCCCTCAACCACCTGCTGTCGATACATTCCCCAAACCTAGGATTGCCTCTTCCAACTCCATAAGGCCTCGGATAGGCTACAATCTTGGCAAACAGTTATCTCACGACGGTTCAACTGTAATCACCTCACCTTCACCAGCCACATCTCCCTCCGTGGGCGCTCAACGTTCTGCATCTGGATACTTTGGTGCTGGTGATACACGGCCTCGTATCTTCTCATCCGCTTCTTACTCATCCCAAAGCCTCGAGCGGACTGTATCAGCCAACAGCACCGGCTATGTCCGGACTCCAATCGCCACCGCGCAGTATGCCAATACTGCCACTGGTGGCATCACGTCCCTAGGTACCGCTGCTTCCCCCTCATCAAGAGGCTCCTCACCGGACGTCAGCAAGAAGAAACCCCCTCCGCCTCCGCCAAAACCTAAGCGCATTGGTTCTCAGCTGGCAGATTTCGTGACAGCACTGTACGATTTCGAGGGCCAGCACGATGGTGATCTAAGCTTCCAAGAGGGTGACAGGATCAGGGTGATCAAGAGGACGGACAGTGCCCAGGACTGGTGGGAGGGCGAGGTTCGCGGCGTTAAGGGGAGCTTTCCGGCGAATTACTGCCAAACTTGAAGCCACTGGGGCTCTCCCGTCCGCATATGAGTCAAACAGATATGAGACCATGCCCGCAGCAGCCTTGAACAGGAATCTACCCTTCTTGCTCCCGTCTCAAGCTTTCACTTTGAGTTGGCTCTGCATCATGCTCAGCTGTCTACGCTCCGAGCTAGTATCTTTATACACCGTTTAGCCTCGCCCCAGTCACCGCCGACGTGCGCGGCTCAACTTCGTTCGTTCTGCCGCAGGACATGTCTTCGGCTGCAACAATTACACATTCATCTAGCTTCTGATCAGCCATATTACGCGGGATACGTCGCCGACCCTCACGAGCAGTAGTAACGCGTTACGCTATCCCGGACACCTGATATTGTGCGAATGAGTCCACACAGACACCTCGCATTAGGTGCTTTGTCACCACTAAGTATGCATTTCTTCACAGTCGCGCGCACATCTCGAAAGATGCTCTTGAGCAAAATATATAGCTAGGGTATCTACATATTCTCACTGTAACAGCCACAACACGGAAAATGAATTGTTACCGCCCGTGGCGGCCGTATTACTCAGCCCTCGTAACCCGCCTCCGTCCTCTTCGCGTGTCCTTTCTCAGCTATATCATCCTTCCCCATCATACCCCCCAGCTTCTCCATAATCTTCCCCCTCCTCGAATCTGCAACCCGTTAGCCTCACCCCCCTCGTTCCCGTCAACCAGCGCAAGACTCACCACTATACTCCCCCTGCGTCTTATTCCCAAACCCCGCTCCCCCAGTCGTCCCACTCCCATAACCCGAATGCCCACTATACGGATCAGTATTATGGTGCGTATTGGTCCTGAGGTCCGTATTATTGTAGCTATCGTCCTCATCACCGCTCGTCACGGACGAGAGCTTGTTCCCAGCGCCTGCGCCGCCTGTTGCGCCTGACCCGTACTGGGTCGCGTCGCCGTAGGGGGCCGAATCGTGGTGTTTGTCAAAGCGGGTCTCGTGGCCGTCGAATTCGGGATCTACGGAGGTTTTGTTGCCGAATCCGGCGGTGCCGATGTTATTGGCATTGTATTCGGGCATCGTTTTGGTGGGGCGCGGATTTATAAGGTTCTGCTGAGGAAGGAGATAAGGTGGCTCCAAGTAAGATTCTGGTAGTAATGTAGGATGTGAAAGTAGGTTTGATAGCTGGGAGGAAGGATTACGCGTCTAGAGTACAAGAAGGGATGGAGACGGAATATATGCGAGCAGTGCTTGATTGAGCCACCGGCGTCACAGTTGAGGCCGTCGAGCCTTACGCGATGGGCGGGCTTGGAAGCCAGAGTCAATAGTGGCCGTATCGAGGCCACCGTTCTAGTCATAGCTCCCGCTCCATGGCGTCCAGATAGTCAGATAGACAGGGTAAGTTTGTGTGGGGAGGGCTAAGGTAGGGCATGGGGCCGATCTCAGGGTCCTTGAGAACGATGTAACAATACTCTAGTAAGACCGCAAGACTCGAGACTGATCTGCGAGGAATGCCACTGACTGAGACGTCGGTCCGTACTAATGGTTTATAGAGTTTCTGCTGGCATATGAGTCGCAATATCAGCTGGAAGCCACCAACACCTCTTGAGAATTTACTCTCGTCCAGTTGAGGAAGTTTCTCAAAAGTCGATGCCAAGCTCAAGACTCTCTTTCGAGACTCGTTGTGGTTCGCTGGCTGATCTGTAAAGATAACCTTAATTTATGTTTATCTTTCTGACGGCAGCTGTCCGTCAATCAGCTCTAGTCCGCTGATAAGGTACGGTTGCATCATACCAAGCTTCAGCCGCAACGCCTGACCAATAGCCCACGGTGGCAACAATACGCCGCCCGAAGTGCTCCATAGACGCAGAAACGTCCAAGTCGGACAGCGCAAGGGGTAGAGCACGATGAATGGTCTCGATCATCGCACGTACTTGCTCTACGATGGCTGTCAGTATGTAGAGAATAGCTGAGCACGAACACAACTTACCATAAAGCGCTTATGGAAGTCCGACCGCAGCAGATCGTTGACAAACTCTTTCTTTTTCTTGTCCTCAGTTCCCCTGGCCTGATTCTTGAATACTACGTCGTCGTCCCATCTACGCTTGACATTGAAGTCTTTGGGGTTTAGTAAAGGGTTGCCTCTCGCAATGTCGAACTCTCGCTGCTCCTCATCTTTCGCGGCTCGTTCGGCTTCCTGTAATAGTTCATCAGCACTTCGATCCTGGACCGAGAAGGGGGCTGGGAGGTGAGGAAGCCTACCTCTTTAGCCTTCTGCTCTGCCCGCTCCTTTTTGATCTTCTCCAGCTCGCGCATGAGCTCCGCAGTCTCATCCTCCTCATCCTCATCGCTAGGACCGTGTCAGCACCAAATCCGGCCCCGAAATCTACAATACCACCCCACGTACTCTTCATCCTCATCGCTGCTCTCGCTGCTTTCCCCATCCGAATCCGCATCAACCTCCCTCGCCTCCTCCAGTATAAGCCGCCTGCGCTTAGCTTCCGGATCCTCTTCTCCTCCCTCATCCTCTGGCGCTGCCTCTAGCTGTCGCTTTGATCCGGTCGTACTAGCCGCCGATTCGTCATCCGCTGCGGGTGCTCCGCCATTCTTCTTCGCAAAGTGCGCCGCTTCTGCGCGCAAAAGTTCGGCGCGGAGGTCCCGCACTTCGGCGTCGGCATTGCCGCCTTGGCCTGGTTGTCGGTGCTTGAGGATCGTGTGCGCGGGAAGGAGGCGCTGGTGGTAGGCGGGTCCGCGCTGGGCTTCTTTGCCGCGGGCCTAAGTGGTTGTTAGTTTGGTTCATTGCGTGGTTAAACTTCGTAGGACTCTCTTACCGGGTCGAAGGTAGGTCTGTGGGCGGTTGTCATGGTTGCGCTGGTGGAGGAGGAGAAGTCGCAGGGTTCCTGCTGTGTTGCGGCTCTAGGGCTTTCACAAGTCGCGACTTGAGCTGCACCGGAGAAACCTCGGCGCAGTTTTTAAGATGACGGCGTTGCCCAAAACTTCCCCATGGTCAAAATGTTATATCCAAAACGACAGTAGATACAATCCTTGAGGCGGTTGCAAGTGACGCAGTGCAATCATGCCACGCGAAGCAGAGCTGTCACTTAACGCACGCGAATTCATACTGCAAGCTCTGCGCGAAAATGTTCGCCTTGACGGCCGAGCTTTTGACGACCTTCGAGAGCTGCAACTCTCCTTCGGCGACGAGTATGGCGTAGCAGACGTGCGGTTAGGCAAGACGAGGTTAGCCAGTACTTCCTGAGCCTTCATTCCAGCACTGACACGGATTACAGAGTTCTCGTTCGCATCTCCGTTGAAGTCACAACCCCTTTCCCCGACCGCAAATTCGACGGCATCTTCACTATATCGACCGAGTTCTCCCCCATGGCTTCTCCCGCTTTCGAGGTCGGCCGGTACGCCCTACTCCCTCTCCTCCCTCTCCCCTCTGGCCCCTGCCCCCAGGCCGTCCCACTGGCCCTCTCCTCTCATCCTCCCTCACCCGCTCACAGACACTCACAGCCCAACAGAAGCTGAAACACTCCTATCACGCCTCCTCGAGAAAGCTATTCGCCGATCCTCCGCCCTCGATACCGAAGGGCTATGCATAATAGCAGGCTTGAAATGCTTCGCGCTCCGCGCCGACGTCCACGTCCTTGACCACGACGGTGGCCTCGTTGACGCAGCATGCATTGCACTCGTGGCCGCTCTCCGGCATTTCCGCCGGCCGGATGTCAGCGTCGAGGGTGAGAAGGTTACAGTGTACAGCATAAGAGAGCGCGAGCCTGTGCCGCTTTCGCTGCTGCATCATCCGCTCTGCGTCACTTTCTCGTACTTCAATGGCGGGGAGATAGCCCTGGTAGATGCGAATCTGGCGGAAGAGCAGGTTAGCGAGGCGGAGGTCGTTGTGACGATGAACAGACATGGTGAGGTGTGTCAGGTTGCAAAGTATGGAGGGTTGCCGATCGATGCGCTTGCGCTGCTGAACTGTACGAACGTGGCGCTGGCGAAGGTGCAGATGCTGGACAAGGTCATACAGCAGCGGCTAGAAGAGGATGCGAAGAGGAGAGATAAGGGCGGGTTGATGGCGGAGTTGAGTGCGGAGAATGCGAGGGCGAATGCTGCGATACCTGGATGAGATGGATTTCACTGCCACTCTATGTACTACACGGTCGGCCTGCTGTCCGTCTTCTGCCCCATCTCATCTTTAACCAACAGAGGGGCAACGGTATCAGGCATATCGCTCCGGATATTGTAAAGCCCTACCCTGGCCCTACGCGATGGAAAATGGTCTGCAGAATAGCTGCCCCTCCGGCTGCAAGAGCGCAGCGGATAACGTTAAGTGATGCTTGCACTGTAACGGGACACAGGGGCCGGAGGTCCACGAGAAGAGTGCCACACATCTACCCGACGAAGTTTAGTCTTCTTCTACAGGCAGGCGAATGATGTTCACGCTATAACTAGGAGAGTTGGTTATCCGAGATACGCGGGTGCACCCTTAGTAAAGTGAACTCTGAATATTGGGGCTGAGAAGTTCGCGGACCGGGGTGTTTTATATTAGTAACCCTAAGTGCATTTAGGTTTTAGGCGTACGGTGCACTCGAGAGACCAAGGCGGCAAGGCTCCATCGGCTGACCTTGCTCCGCAGCTCCCAACAGCTCCTAGCTATATGAAGGACGACAGATATGCTAAGTGGCATCAAAATGCCACCACCATGCCTAATCCCAATCCACGAACGAGAAAGAGAGGAAAATGCGTTTGGAATATCGCTTATAGCAGCCCGGAGTAGGAAAGATCCCATCTGAAGCAGGTCCGTCTCCAAAATCATTCATCATCCTGTTCCTGGGATTTTTAGGATAAGCGCTATATGATGAATGCAGTATCCTCTTCGACAAGGATCTGTGCCGCAGTTCAAGGGACTTGGCAAGAGTCATATGATCTAACGTGGCTCCGGGAGGCAACTCTAGAGGTTTCCTTGTGGTGGGTCATCTCTAACGCACTTTTCTTTAGAGAATTCCTTCACGCACTGGATCGCCATGCCCATCAAAGAGGACCTAGGCGGAGACCTTCTACCATCGCCTCCAGAAATACTACTTAACCCTTGGCCAAAACGAGAAGACTGGATTGGTCGCAACCTCCCACGGGAGGAGAGGGAAAGAATCAGCGAAGAGAACCGGCATCGGCGAGCTGATGCGTTGGCAGCAAAACGGTGCGGCTTACTCTACGTTATTACTTTTTCTATGTTACTGAGGACTGACTATGATGCTTCTCAGCGCCGCTTGCCCTGTATTTTCTGTCTCTGTTTGTAATTGTGACAAGGCATCGGAGCTATCACTTCCCAACGGTAGCATGCCCTTCAAAGTAACACTAAAGTACGAAGGGATGCCCGTGAACCAGCCGCTACACCAACACGTTGTGCTCCACGACCCAGCCGTGCTCTCCCCAAAGTCAGTCTCTCGAGGCCATTTCAAGATATATACCTCTCCAACCTTCGAGCGCGCTATCCCATTCAGGCCTCCGCAACCAACACTTAGGTTTCCTAGGAACCCCGATGGCCGCTTGGTAGCACTACCTTCTACCTTCCGAATTAGCGCCGAAGAAGGCTGGATCGAGTTAGCCCCTGGAGACAAGATTAGTAGGGATCTCACGCTTGATGTGAGCGATAGCAAGGATTGGCAGGACTCTCTAGAGGTCGGAAGGACGTATTATTTGCGATACGACCCTTATGGTGTCCACCCTTTTTGCAAGGCGGAAATTGAGAGCTCAGGGTGGAGATTTGGAACACTAGCTGTGAGCTTTCCCTATTTGCGTTCTTGATTGAAGGCACTGTTCGTGTAGAGCTAATCTGACGTAGGACTTTGGAGGAAAAGAAGTGCCTACTAAAGAGAATGGCCTCTATATTGGTATTCCGTTAGAACCATCTGAATCAGCTGTGGAATTCCATGTTATATAAGAGAAGGTGCTCTCTGCGAAGGCTTATGAGGAGGCTTGCGAGGGCGAGATGTGAAACACCAAGGCCGATAAGCAGCTTGATCAGCGAGACGTCCGCTCATACCTCACAGTCCTCACTAGAAACGCTTTAAGCTAGCTCCCACCAAGGACACATGCGTATTCCCAAGACTGATCGTCGACCTGTAGCCCCCTCAACCCAGTCGAACTGTTCACACCGACGTACATACCTACCAGTGATATCCGCATTACATTGCCCTTGCCGCCTCGCCCTCAGCCTCTTCCGGCGCCCTCCCCCTTGCCTTGCCCCTTCCAATCATGGGAATGTCAACACCGTAGGTAGATAGCTTAATTTCTCTCCTCGTAGAACGTTCTCATACTGTCGCTAGCAAATTGAGCTCTTACGCTCCTAGCTTCTGCCATATGTGTATAGTAGGGAATATCTTTATAGCGCACAATTGTTAGCTATAGTACCCCTGATATCTGACCGCACTCTAGACCATGATTCCGGCTCCTCACATACAGCTACGAGAAATGGGGGGAGCAGCGATTTATGCGCGTTGCATCGCACTTCGCACGATACCATGCGGCGAGGCTGAAACCAAAAACAAGGCTGCAGACCTACCTATCGATTTTGAAACATCAAATTCTACTAGAGCTTGTTGGGTTTCCTGCATTCAAGCGGGGCTGTGTAACATGGCGGGTCAAATGTTGAAAAGACGGATTCCAAAGAGAGAAAAGAGAGAGGTAAATCCTATTGACACATGAAAAGCTTCTCTTGTTCCCTGTACAAGCCGTAGACACATACATGCAAATTGAAACGATATCAACGCCAACCATTGATCCCCTCCAGAACAGACTCCTCAAGCTATCTAACAGCGAAGTCAAAAGGGTATATCTACACTAAACACCATATATAGACACAGATCAGCCCGCCCTGACTCCTCCTACTTCAGCACTCACCACCTATAGCACACCAACATCCCCATCCCTCGTCCCCCTCTGCAACACACTTCCCACCGCCACCTCCATAACCCTTTCAAACACCTCCTCCCCAACCACCAACTCCTCCGCAGCCTGCCAGTTCCCATCCCAGCCCTCAACCTGCTCCTTCTCATCCATATGCACGCTAAAATACCGCAACCCCCTCAACTTGGCAAGGTTTCGGAACCCCTTATGTCCGAACGCCGGCGGCAGCATCTCGACGACTGAAGCTTCCGGCGGCAGGAACACGGCGTGTGTGAGCCCCGCGCCATGCACAGCGGCCAGGACATCCGTGCGCGCCATGATCTCGGTCTGCTCGCGGAAGCTCATGTGCGCCAGGTCGACGGCTTGGATGTGGAAGTCCGGGGCTGGGAAGCGGCGCTGCAGGGCCTTGAGCATGGCGTCCTGGTTGTGCAGCTTGCGGGTCTTGCGGCGGTCGATGAAGGTCACGGTGATAGGTGCCTTGGGATCGCGGGCGCTGGGCGAAGGGATGTTGTAGTGCGTCTTCAGCCGTTCGACGTAGGTGGAGAGTAGCGCGCTGTGCGTGCAGTCGTGCGGCGTCCAGTCGCCCTGCCACATCGGATTGCTGGCGCCGGGGAGGGGCAGCAGCACATTGTTAAGACACAGGGGTTCGCCGGCGGTAGACTTGGCGGCGAGCTGGGCCTGCCATTCTTTGAGGCGGAGGACGGGCTTCTTGGCGAAGAGGCGCCAGAGGTCGAAGAAGGGGCCGTCGGGGTGCGAGTCGAGGAGGACGACTTGCGCGTTGGCGATATCGGCGGAGGTGAAGTAGGGGGTTGAGGTACTGCGGGTGGTGGAGCGTAGGACGTCGAGGGTTAGTAGCAGGGAGAAGATTTCCATCTGCGAGTGCCAGAGATGGCCGCCGCCATCGCGCTTGATGAGGATCGTGTAGCCGTCTGTGGCAGACTTCTTGCCGGCACAGGCTGAACGTGTTGCGTCGGTCTCGTCTCGCAGTGGATGCGTAATGTTCTTGAACCAATCGTCAAAGATGCGGTGCGGGCCGGTCTCGAACATATAATCAGGGAACGTCTGGAAGTCTGGTGTAACAGGTTCGCTATTGGAGGCGGCTGCTTCAGCAGCGAAGTTCCGAAGGTGGCAGTCGAGGCCAAAGGGGTTGTGCTCAGCATGTGGATCGATGGAGACGGAAGACGCAATGCAGAATGAGTCGGTGTGGTCTGTTGTGATATTGGTGTGGAAGCAGTTCAGCGTCGAGGTTGACGATGCTGCTTTGCAATATTGCTGGCCACTTCTCTGCAAAGAGTATAGGTAGTTGAGACCATATGTATCCTCGCACCTCGGGTCATCCTTCGATTCGACATAATATTCGGCTGGCAAGCGGAGTGAGCCTGGAGTAACTGTTGGGACAGCCGCTACGGAAGGCAAAGCTGGAGTGTTGTGAGGAGCAGGTTCGTCAATCTGAAGATCGTGGTCGAGCTCGTCGACTACAGGCGCTTTTGAAGGACGGTCGGTGGAGGCATGATCAGACGGCGAGGAGGTGGGACTCCACGAGAAAAGCTCAGAATTGCTCCAACATAGCAAGAAGATGCTGACAAGGACTAGCGAGAGTAACAACGACTTGCGGACAGCTGACGAGCCGAGTTGGGAATAAATGAGAGATTTGCTCAGATTGCCGTAGGCCATCTTGCCATGGTAAGACAGAGGCGCTGGAGAGGAAGGAAAGACGGAGAAGCGGAGAAGAGAGCGATAAGGCAGTCCGCACTACCTCGCTGCTCGAATAGAAGGGAAGGCACGAACGAGCATGCTCCGAAGCTGCTAATCACAGAACGAGAGGCTCGGACGGTTGGGAAAGCGAAAGGCTCTCCTCAGCCCACTCCCGGCTCCTGGGAGCCTGGGAGCTGAGTCGTCACATCGTGCTGATACCTGATGAAGTAAGATTAGGCCTACGTAAGTTACCTGGCTGTGGGTTTTTCACGCCTGGGTAGCTGCATCAAATGGCGCATAGGAGTCAAGGCGCCGGGCAAGGGCACAGCCGGACCCGGGATGAGATGTGAGAGCTCAGCGCCACTCCATTCCCACCTGATGATCCACAGCGCTTTGCCATATGCGATAAAACTGTTCAGCCATCGTTCAGCCCAACGACGGGCCCGCGCGTGTTCGAGGCGCTTAGAACGACATCGCATTGGCCGGCTGACAGCAGCTAATCTAACGCAAGCCATTCCCGGTGATGTGACGGCACATCAGTTTGCGTAAGGCTTAGAGCGTGCCAGATATGAGGTCCATGTACGGAGTACGACTACGGAGTAATCATCATTAGGGTCGTGCTCGTGCTCGTGCTCGTGCAGATAGCGTTGATCTTTGCGGACGAGTTAAGCATCTGTCGGAGGAATATGTGGTCCAACAGGTGGCGCTCGCTGCTCGTGCTTCGGAACTCAAATGCATCCGCGCCGTTGTGGAGTCTCGTTTCCCAGTGCCTTACTCGATAACCACTAAAACGAATTCTCGCGCGCCGTCAGGAGTAGCTTGCTGCTGTAGCCATATTCGATTTAGCCGATGACGAACTTGCACGGATATCGTATCCGGAGTAATGCGTTCTCATAATGAGGTGGAGTGGCATTTGACAGACAGCACTAGCCCTTTCACTTCAATTTCACGGTGCACGAATCGCATTCGATATCAGTAGTATCGTGTATCTTCATGCATCTCCTCGAGCCAGCAGCTCGTGGAGTAATAGTGGTATGGTACAAGAATGTGGAGCATTGGATATCAAGCCCTGGATAAGCGGCCTCAACGCCAGCAGCTGTGCTGTGCAACCGACTAACTCCTCGTATACCTTGACAACCCCAAACAAACAGCAAAAGGGGTATTTTCTAAGCATGTCCGCAGCACCATTCATACGCCCATACTATCCGCAGATGAGATTCGTCGAAATCGCCAAAATAGCCAGAGAAGCCCCGACATCAACGTGAAGTCCTCGCAAGCCACAACATCAGACCTCCGATTGGCTAGCCATACCAACCGCGCGCGGTTACTTGCTGACCTTCGTCGTCCTGTCGATGAGGTATGAGCGGTTCCTCAATGTCGAAGGCTTCGATCAGTGACTGCCAGGTGGGCCAGTCTAGACTGAAGATGGCTTGGTTCCGAGAGATGTTCTGCTCGCGTTGATCTGCGATCTTTCGTGGTTTTGATGGGACTGCGCATTCCGACATTAGCGACGCGCACGACACGACCGATGGGTGTTGAGCACCGCAGCGAACGGCAAATACGAGATACGGAGAACTCACCAAGCACGGGCAGTCCCTCATGGTCCTTCTCCACAGCGACCGTGCCCTCCTTTATCAAAAAGCTAATGTAGAACAGATTCTCAATCGTCTGGCCGAATGAATGGGGATTGACGGCGAAGTCGAGTAGAGAGACGCAGGGCTCGTTGGCCTTGTTCTGCGCCATGCGGTGTCTTCTCAGCAACACAGTGACTTCCTCCTCGTCCATGTCTTCGGCCATTTCTTCCTCACAGGCACTGACACCTTTATTGATTGTGTCGACTAAGGTTTTCCGGATGTTCGTGCATAAAGTAGTCAGATTGGAAGCTTGCGTGCGTGCTAGGTCTTCCGGCTCGAGTGATTCAGGCCTCCTAGTCGGCCCGGTGGGCTTCTTTTGCTGTCGTCCCGTCCGCTGGGTAGTCGTGGCTTTGCGCTTCTCGACGGAGAGAGGCCCCAGCAAGAAGCCAGGTACAGGCGGCCGAGAATTGTTCGGAAAGCAAGCTCTTTCACCAAACGTCTCCCAGTCTAGCGCATCGCCATCGTCCTCCTCATCTTCATCGCTGTCGACGTTCCGTCTGCTCTGCCGACGGTTACGAGCCTGTGTTGATGCCGGCTCTTCTTCGTCTTCACCCAGAGGTCCACCATTTCTCATGAATGTGATACATTTCGAAACAAACTCGTCTACGTCTATGCCGATGCTTGTATCTCCGAGCACCAGCCGGTTCGTCTTCTTCAGCGCAAGATCACTGGTCTCCACCAAGTTGCGCGAGTCGTACACCGCATCCGCTGTCTGTTTAACTCTACCGTAGGTGTCTGTCATGCGATTCACGTAGTCAACAAGGCCATCGTTGTCCGGTTCGAGGAACTCGTCGCGTCGATCTTGGTTCGCGAATTAGTGGATGTGGTTCATGCGAAGGTGATTGCACCCACCGTAGAGTTCGCGCTGATAGCTGCGCATATCCTTTCGCACCTCCCTCCGCTCTTCCTCGTCTTGATCTGGATCGTAGTATTTGAGATCCACAAGGGTCGCGGCATCTTGTTCATGCCCATCTACTGACAGTGTGACATCGTGCTCGCCAGTGCGTCTTCGCTTGCTTGGTCGTGGGGTATCGGACACCGGCGTCGGTAGCTTAGGCGGGCCCATTGACACTGTCTTGCCCTTGTCTCTTGCGCCCAAGGGGGTACTCTCGTTTTCTTTATCTGACGATGCGGCTGTGGGCGATAGTGTCGCGTAGGGTGTAGATCTTGCTGTCGACCTGCTGGTAGTCTGTGGTGTGCGCTCTTGCAGAACTGACGAGGCGCGACTGCTGCTAGGCGGTATGGCCGTATTGAGCCGCGCCATTGTGACGGGAAAGTTGGGTCGGGTAGACAAGGCGCAGCGCCTTGCGGCTGTCGGCCGTGACGCAGGAGACAGGCAAAAGGCAGAGGTGGAAGCCTGTAGTTGAGCAGGTAGTCAAGATCGAGAAGCAAAAACAATCTAGCGGAGATTTGCCAGCGTAGAGGACTGATTGATGAGTAGGGAGTATAAAGTTGCGACGTGGGGAGCGCGGCAGTCAAACGCGTGCTGACGGAAGGCGTGCGGGCGTTTTGTCGCGAACTCCAGAGCGCTGGACCGGCCGAATCTCGGTGCAGATGAGCCGCAAGCAACGGCCGCCGGCCCTGTGAGCCCTGGGAGAGCAGCGTGCAGCCAGTGAGGGCGGCACACGACGTGGGGAACAGCTGTGTGCCTGATGATCTTGAATGAAGAGGGCGGCATGTCGTCTCCGCTTCATCTTCTATGGAACCTTTCTCTTTCGCCAGTTCGTCGGCGCTGAATCTCCCTGTCAATGTGAAGATGTGAGCGCACTCTCTCTTGCGACACAACAAAAGCGCAGCATGGGACAGTGGGCTGATAGCTTAGCAGTAATAGCCTGGACGGCTATCAGAAGCCGATCCCTTTCTCCGTCTTGCTAAAGGACCCTGACTTAAGACACAGAGGCTCAAATCTCAGGTGTGACGAGCGTCTTCATCTATAGCAAAGAAGCAAGCTAAAAACAACCAGCCCTCACTCCGAGCTCTATGTCACTGCACAGCTATGGGCTGACAGCAAGCCCTTGACCGTGCCTGTCCAGACTGCGTACAAGACTTTCAAAACCGGCAGAAGATGGAACGAATGGTTGACCCTACCCATCAACTACTCGGTCCTCCCCCTGTCTGCGCAGCTCGCTATTACCGTATGGGACCTGTCGCCGACTGGGGGCGAGGGCTCCCACTTCCACGCCATACCCTTCGGAGGCACCACCATACCTCTGTTTGACAAAGACAACACCCTGCACAAGGGCAAGCAAAGGTGCAGGATCCACCGCCACAAAGCTGCAGACGGACTGTCGACCACCAAGACACCCTTTGCGCGACCCCCTCAGAGGAATCGCAAGGATGCAGGGCCAAGCGTGGACGGTATGGATGAGCGGATGCGAGAGTTGGAGAGACTCGAGGGTCTCCTGAAAAAGCTCGAGATGGAGGAGATACCTCAGAACCAATGGCTGGATCAGCTGGTATTTCGGAAGTATGCACAGCTGGAGCAGAGCGTGCTGAAAGAGAGGTCAAGACAGGGACACAGGGCTGCTGCTCAGCACAAAGATGGTCAGAACGGTGCCGAGGACGGCTCTGAAGGGTCCGATGACGGCGAGAACGACGAGAAATTCTACCTTCACATCGAGTTCCCGCGGTTTGACCACCCGATTGTCTTCACCGATCAGGAGTATCCACCACCTCCAATATCCAGCTTCAAGCTCCCTGGTGGCTCTGCGGCTGAAGTACGTTTAAGACCTCCCCCCGAGGTGTCCTTCGGGCCCGGCATCAACATCGATGCGGCGGGCTATGGCGATTCCGATGCCGGACCGTTGATTCGCATATATGATCCGGAGGTTGGTTTACGCAATAACCCGGCGGAGATCAAGCACAACGCTTTGATCCGAGGAGATCGAAGTGCCGTCATGGCGCGAGACGCGAAACCGAACAATAAGGAGCGAGACGATCTCAAGGTCAGCTCTGCAACAAAAGCGGCCCGAGGCGCAGTTTGCTGATTTGCACATAGATTGTCCTCTCCTATGGCCCTACTCGTGAGCTTGACGCTACGGAGCAGAACTTAATCTGGAGGTTTAGGCATCACCTAACGAAGGACAAGAAGGTATGCTGACGCAATCATTATATGCGGCTTCGGCGCTAATGGCGCATAGGCTCTGACCAAGTTCGTGAAATCAGTACAATGGGACAACCCGGTTGAAGTCCGACAAGCTCTACAGATTCTGCCGAAGTGGACCGCGATCGATGTTGATGATGCACTGGAGCTGCTAGGCCCCAGCACTGACAACCCCATCGTTCGTGCTTACGCTGTCGACCGCTTGAGGAAGTCTGACGACGAGGTTTGTGAGGCCACTGCAGTGCCAGAACACTGCTAACAATGTATCCAGGAGTTGCTTCTTTATTTGCTACAGCTGGTACAGGCTCTAAAGTTTGAGAAAGCTGCCGATGAAGACAGTGCCGCACAAGACTCATCTCTGGCACGGTTTCTCATTTCACGGGCAGCCAACAACCTTATGCTTGGGAACTACTTGCATTGGTATCTGATGGTCGAATGCGACGACCGCAGCCCTACACAAGGCCAAGAGCATCGCAAACTCTTTGCAAAGGTGGAGTACGACTTTATGACCGAGCTCACTAAGACCCCGGATGGACCAGAGCGGCGCAAGACGCTTCTCAGGCAAGGCGAACTTATCACAGTGCTGTCTAAAATCTCGAAGGAGCTGCGCTTTGCCCGCATCGACCGCCCGCACAAGATCGAAAAGCTGAAGAAGTTCCTTGCGGACCCCAGCAACGAGCTCATCAAGATCGAGCCACCACTTCCACTCCCGCTTGACCCCAGTGTCTCCATTACCGGCTGCTTTCCCGACGCGGCGAATGTCTTCAAATCGACTCTCAATCCCCTTCTCATCACTTTCAAACTCGCCGATGGGACGAAGTACCCGCTCATTTTCAAGACGGGCGATGACCTCCGTCAGGACCAGTTGGTCATCCAAATCATCACGCTTATGGACCGGCTCCTCCGCAAAGAGAACCTCGACCTCAAGCTAACCCCCTACCGCATCCTGGCAACATCGACCAGCGCCGGTGCCGTGCAATTCGTACCCTCCATGTCCCTCGCAGCAGCCGTCGCCAAATACAAAGGCTCCTTACTCGCCTACCTCCGCGACAACAACCCCGACCGCCAAGCGCCACTCGGCGTGCGCAAAGAAGCCATGGACACGTACGTCAAGTCCTGCGCCGGCTACTGCGTGATAACCTACCTGCTCGGCGTCGGCGACCGACACCTCGACAACTTACTCCTAGCGCCCGACGGCCACTTCTTCCACGCTGACTTCGGCTACATCCTGGGCCGTGACCCGAAGCCCTTCGCGCCTTTGATGAAGCTCTGCCGTGAGATGATCGAAGGCATGGGCGGGACAGGGAGCACCCAGTACGCGCAGTTCAAGCAGCACTGCTTCACGGCGTACACCACGTTGCGGAAAAGCGCGAACCTGATACTCAATCTTTTTGCGCTGATGCAGGACGCGAATGTGCCGGATATCAGGATCGAGCCGGATAAGGCGGTGCTGAAGGTCAGGGAGAGGTTTTGTTTGGAGCTGAGCGAGGAGGATGCGATTAGGCATTTTGAGGCGCTGATTCAGGACTCGGTGGGCGCGATTATGCCGGTTGTTATTGATCGGTTGCATGGGTTTGTGCAGCATTTTAGGGCGTAGGGTGGTGTTTGGGAGGGGATTTAGCGTCGGCACGTGCTTGTGGTTTATTGGGCAAATGTCGAATCGCGCCTTTTGCGATTTTCTGGATTGTGAAGGACAAGACAGTTTTCCACGGCGTTCATGCCTCAGAACACCATCTTTCGGACCATGCCAGGCCGGCCGCTCGATTTCCCCTCGCTGCGTGGGTGACTTTGTCCCGAGTGCGGCACCGGTGTGTGGGGATCCCCACATCCTCAAGGAAAGTTTGACACCGGAAGACCCGAACGGTATCAGGTCTTCCGTTGAATTGAACCCGGTTTCGGAGACAGGTCTTGTGGATGTTACGCGGATCTAAAGTGATGAAAGCATGCTCATAGAAGGAACTGATTATTTCCAACAAGATCTCGCCTTTGATCTAACATCTTTGACTCAGCCCATACGTCCACCTTGCAACTACCAACAGAAATGTCTTCCGAAAAGCCTCTCGGCCCCTTCAAGCTCGTCACCGTCAACACGGCTCCTGAACGAGCGTACAGACTTGTTGGCCGCGTGGTCGAGAATGTAAAGAACAAATACACCATCATCCACGCCGGGAACGCGGAAAGTGAGTCAACTGCAGCAGCTCCAAAAACTGCTCCCTGTGTGAACTGACATCTGACCTTTCCGAGCAGACATAGAGAGCGTCAAGGCAGTCGTTGAAGAGGCCAAGCCAGATATTCTGGTGAGTTGCCGCGGCCATGCTTCCTTGACGCATAGCTAATGAAATGCAGTTCACGGCGTCGATGTGGACGCCAGAGGAGAGTCAAAAGATCATTGGGATTGCGAAGGAAGTTGTGCCTGATTTGCGCACGTTTTCGCTGCCGCAGGGTCTGCAGGTTGAGCGGGGGCCGGATGCGGTGGTGGAGTATATTGAGGAGCATTTGCCGGGTTTGCTCGAGGCGTAGGGGGAGGGGTTGGTTTGTGATGTGAATACCTAATAAAAAGTTGCCGCTTCAATGGCGTTTCGTTCACGGAAGATGAAATAACTTTAAGTGGTTGCAAGCTTTAAATAGCTTTTCATTGAGTTTCTTGCTATGTCTCATTCACAAATTCTGTTATCAAAGTCCCGATATACGGCAGGATCTCGACCGCGAACCTATCCCCATGACGCAAAAACTCCTGCGGCTTACGTCCTACACCGACTCCAGCCGGCGTGCCCGTAATAATGACCGTCCCAGGAGGCAGCGTCGTGCCCTGCGAGCAGAAGCTAACAACCTTCTCCACGCTGAAGATAAGATCACTACACTAGAGGTCAGCGCAGGTTTCACGGATTCTATACTCACACATCACTTACTCTAAACCGCACTCCTGAAGAACCTTCCCATTCTTCAGCCCCCGTAGCTTCAGCTTGCTAGGATCCGGCACCGCAGCCTTCGAGACCAGCACCGGCCCGAGCGGACACGAGCCGTCAAACCCTTTGGAAAAGCACCACTGCGTCTGCGAGAACTGGCTCTTTCGGCTCGAGACGTCGTTGGCGGCTGTGTAACCTAGCACGTAGTCCATGGCGTCTGCTTCGGACACGTTTTTGCACTCTTTGCCGATAACGACTGCGAGTTCGGCCTCGTAGTCGGCGCAGTCATCCTGGATCGTGAATTTGGGGATGATTGTTGGTGCGGGATGGGGGTCGGCTAGGGCTGTTGAGGGCTTCCTGCAAATGAACGTTAACACGAAGCTCAGCACTAGAATGAAAGCCCGAAACTCACAGGAACAGCGTAGGCTCGGAGGGTATCGGAAACTTGACTTCCTCGGCATGTTGTTTGTACTATGTTTCTCCGCGTGAGCCTACGTTCGGCAAGGGAGAGGGAAAGCGGTGCTCACGTTAAGGCCGATGCAGCGAATAGTTCCCACCTCCTCTCGAGAAAGTGGTGATAAGAGCTTGCCTATGCTCTCTGTCCGCTCCGTGAGAGATCCGGGATCAAGCACAGATTGGCCCGTGAAAACTTGAACAGTAACATCTTTCCCGTCATAAAGCGCTGCTCCGACGTCAAGATCTTGCTCAACGGGCTCGCCGAGTAGTATTGAGTTGCTGTCACTGGCTGGAATGAAGCGAACAATTCCTGGGCTTTTAGCTAGGAAGAGATTGAATCAGCAATCGAAGGGACACTTACGTGAGAACTGCGGCCTTGAAGGCTGATTGCCTTGGTGTGCTGAAGGCGCCATACAATCAATCTCTTTGGTCTTTCTCCTCCGAAGAGTTTTGAAATACAAGGGCTGGAAGATGGCGATATCTTCTGGACGATCTAGATCCAATGCTCACACATCTGGAAGTGCACTCATAATGATTGATATACACTTTGAATTCGCAACTTCGCTGTATTTAACTGCCGGTATTTGTCCCGAAGTTATTGTATACGGCACAAATCTGCGGGGCCCCACGCTTCTCCACAGAGCTGTGGGGATGTTGCTCAAGACAGAAAACCATCATATGATCAAACGAACCTCAGCGCCTGAGTTCAGTTGATAAGGCGGGCCAGTCTGTCGTATCGAGCGTGTTTTGAGATATCCACAACTTGGCCAAAACAAAGTACACCTTCACGAATGGCAATCATGGCAGCACCTAAGAACTCGGGATACGTCCAAACAAGTGATCCTTCCCGGCCACGTTCAGACGCCGTTATCCCATTTCGCGAATTGGTCCCGCCGCCCGGCCACCCAAGAATCAAGGGTATTGAGCATTGCAATGCGCTCGAATGGTGCGAATCAAGAAGGCAGATCGAGGCTCCGGCGTGGTTGATCAACCGACTAGCTGCACCAAACCTCGAGAAGCCCTACAAAGGTTTCACCAGCGATGGTCACGTGGAAGAAGGAGTTTATCATTACGCCGAGGATGAAGGCGCCCCTGTGGAAGCAATGACCGAAGCTGCGGAAGCACTACTGGCATTGCTTTCGGCGAAGCAGAAGAAGGCGACGCAGTTTGAGTCAGTTGAAGCGGATGAGATCCGGCTGTGGTCAAACCCTGAACTCTATGTAAATCCTGGTATACTCGAACACTCTGTATAAGTGATGCTCTGCAGGGACACTGACGCAGCTACAGGCGGCCTACGTCTAGACGAGTGCACCGCCGAGGTGCAATCTGCGGTGCATGATATCCTGAAAGCTTCATTCTCTAAGAAGGGCTATGAGAAAGTGCTAGGCTGCTGCCTCACAAACGACTTCCTGGGCTACCTCGTGAACGGCAGATCTGTCATGAACGAGCACTCCTACAACTTTCGTCTTTTTGGCCAGCCAGATCTCCAGCGGCCATGGGGCTACACCTTCTTCGGTCATCATCTGTGTCTCGCAGTCGTTGTGCAAGGCAGGCGGTTAGTGATCGGGCCAACCTTCATGGGAGCGGAGCCTGATCGCATTGACGAAGGCCCTCATGCAGGATTAAGGCTGTTCGAGGTGGAAGAGCTACTGCCCTTGAAGCTCATGCAAAGCTTGTCGCCGGAACTGCAGGCAAAAGCTACGCTGTCCGAAAAGATGGATGGGGAGTCTTTGCCGGCGGATCGGTGGAATCCGTTTGATGAAAGACATCTTGCCGGTGCGAGACAGGATAACCGCGTGGTCCCATATGGTAAGCAACATGTGCAGAAAATGCCTCTACAATTGCTGACGAGGTCCTAGAGGGTTGTCCGGTCAAGCTTTTCACCAGAGAGCAGCAAGATCAGATCATTGCGCTCTATGAAGCTTTCAATGAATACTATCCGGAGCAAGTACTCCGACACCGCGTCCAAAACTTCAAGGAGTATCTCGACCAGACGTACTTCGCGTGGATTGGCGAGCACGGAGACGAAGATCCGTTCTACTACCGAATCCACTCGCCTGTGGCATTCATGGAACTGGACTTCCACTGCGGCAGTAAGTTCGTCGGAGTTGTATCAGTGTATTTTCTGGGCTTACTCTACATAGTCTTCCTAACAAATACCTCGCCGGCACGTTGCCACATACATACCACCAATCGGTTACCCAACAGAGGGGACTACGGGAAAGCATTACTCGCATCACTGTGAGCAGCATCGCCGAGACTTCCGTCCCTAGTAATCTCTGCGGCAAGACAGAAGATTCATCAATTCGTACGGATGAGAAGGCCTAGCGGAACGCAGTGGGTCTTCTAACGCTCCGTTGAGCTCGCGCAATTGATCAAGCAGGAAAATTGTCCTCTGCTGACCCGTAGCCTCTTGGGCTCTTCTTGTGGTGACGGTTGTACCGCATTATTTCTATACGTTGAGCGCATGTTCTTTTTCTCTTGCCTGCGTTGGAGTATCGGAGTTGCGGGCATTAGAGGTGGACTAGGTCAATGCTCAAGTTACTCGCTGAAGCTTCCGGTTGTTGCGTCTAACAGAGCACGTGGAGCACCAAGTGGATGACTGTATGAATGTTAGGGGATAGTGAATGCAAATGTCGCGAGTTGTGGCAGCGTGCCGCGCATAGGTACTAAATAAAGGAGATCGTCGCCAATGCGGCTGAGACGGGACGTAGACAGGGCAGCTACGGCTTAAATCTTGACGACTCTAGTTTGATCTTCAACGCTCCCCAATTACAACTGCCAATATTGCTTGTACTGTCCATACACGTTCAAGAGCCTTGTCCGAAGTAGCTGCGTCGGTGCCAGGCGTTCGCGGCCCGATTCACGGTTGGCAGGCGTTGGCGTCCATACCAAATTGAGTAATAGGGCACAAGACACAAGGCAACGTCAGGCTGACTACGCGCGGTCCCCCAGCAAAAAAACAACGATAAGCCCGAAGATGCCGAGTCTCTTGTCGTTCCAAGATTTCCACCAACCTCTCCGCATGCCTCTAGCCCTTCGTTGCACCAAGAGAATGCCCAGTGCCAATCCTTGAACACAAGACGGGCCGCTGCATGAGCTACCAATCCCCTCCCTCATCTCCAGGAACACGACTCAGCCCGAGTGTTCTACAACACCTTGCTAATCTTCTACCCTATCCGGATCGTGGACCCTCCCACTCACGCACTGTCTCTACCGGGTATCTTACATCGCCGTCTCCTCCACCGCACTACGCCCCCTAGGGCTCTCCAACCTTGCCACTCCACCCTGTAAATATATGGCGGGCCATCATGAAACGCCATCCGACCCAGAGTCTTCTCGCTACTCCGATAGTAATGCCCCTCACCACGCACACCAAACACCACGGCCCCTAATAGACCTAATACCAACCGATTGGAAGAACCTCGGCGACCACCAACACACCGACGACTCCGACGACGACCAATTCTTCTGTGCAGAAAAGGCCTCCCCCTGGAAAGACTGGCAAAGCCCACGAATGGCGCGCTGGCCCCAGAAACTCCTAGTTCCGCGGCGGGTCCAGCGGCACCTGATCATCTACCTCGTTATACTCGTCACCGTGTGGGCGACCTGGAAATGGTACCTGCGGCCAGCGTGGCAGGAGCGGGAAGCGATGGAAAAGGCGCTCAGGCCGAAGGCTGTCAACAAGGGCATGTTTGGCAGCAACCTACGGCCGGACTTTACGGACATGGTCATGGTCAAGAAAATGGACAGTGACCTTCTACCTGGCGCTGGGGAAAGGCGGCGGCTGATTTTTGTTGGGGATGTCCACGGGTGCAAGGACGAGCTAGTTACATTGTTGGCGAAGGTTGACTTCCAGCGGACGCGGGACCACCTTATTCTCACTGGCGACATTGTCGCCAAAGGTGTGTTCTCTATATACCTGCATGTCCTGGCCATCCACTGACGGCGCGCAGGTCCCGACTCCGCCGGCGTTGTCTCCCTCGCACGAGACCTAGGCGCCTCATGCGTCAGGGGCAACCACGACGACCGCGTTCTCCTTTCTGCCGCGCAAGCAGCCTCTCACTCTCAGCCCTCAATCGAACAGGAGAAGTCCGCCGTAGCCGCCGCGCTAGGGAAGCACAATCTCCGTTGGCTGCGCGAATGTCCTGTGATCCTCAACGTCGGCGACGTACCAGGCATGGGTGAAATCCTCGTCGCCCACGCAGGCCTCGTCCCCGGCGTTCCACTCGAGAGACAAGATCCGTTCGAGACGATGAACATGCGGAGCATCGACCTCGAGACACGCGTTCCATCCGAGGAGCATCCTGTGAAAGAGAAGGGCACTATTGGCTGGGAGATGTTGTGGAATTACTACCAGAAATCTCAGCCATCGAAGAAGCGGCAGACGGTTGTCTACGGCCATAATAGCAAGCGCGGCCTTAACATTCAGGAGTACTCTAAGGGCCTTGACACGGGCTGTGTGAAAGGAGGAAAGCTTACTGCGCTTGTTGTGGACTCGGGCGGAAGGCAGTCATATGTTAGTGTCGCGTGTAAGAAGAGGGGAGGTTATAAGTAGGGGTGGTGCTGTGGGGAAGAAGTGTTCATATTTACCGATACCCTAATTTTGATAGCGTTTGTCGAATACGCCTACTATCAAATATATATACATATACTTTTGTCGTCCTGGTTGTTGCAAAGCAAGCTACAGGGGAGCATAACGCTCATTCGTCACTTCCCCCTTTCCATGTCGTAGCTCAGTACAGACTCTCACACCGCCAATTCTCTGCCTCGTCCTCATCCCCTTCTCCACTATACATCGCCTGCTTAGGATACGCACATATCGGCCGCTGTCTCTCCACGGTATCATGCAGGGTGTCGTTCTCCCACTTGGTCGCTATGATCTGATCCGGCGCAGTTCCGTTTTCAACCCACGCCATCATCGCGAGCAGGACGTCGTGCTGAGCGTCGGAGAAGCCGGGCACGCTGTAAGCGCTAGTGCCCAGCCGCCTTGCCTGGTTCGGGCCTGCGAAGTACCACGGTGCGTTCATGTTGGACGGGGTACCGACGCAGTGCCTTGCCGTGGGTTAGTCGATAGACTCGACATTGTTTGAGCCAAGGGTCAGAAGATAACTTACTGCAGGCCTGGGACTAGGAACATGCGATACCAGGGATCCAGCTCGATTCCATTGGGCTCCAACGTCTTCAGTATCTGGTTGTAGAGGTACAGGCTGGCTCCCGTGGCGATAGAGCCGTCAGACAACCCATGATAATGTAGCAGCTTCCCGCCCTTCTCGTAGAACGGGGAGAGGTCGAAGTTGTCCGCAGTGGCGTTACCCGGGTTGATGCGGTCAGAGAGGGCTATGACGCTTGCGTTGAAGTCTTGCCATCGCCATTCGGGGCCCTCGCCTAGCATGTATTTCACATAGTCCGTGCCAAGGGTAGCCGGCTCGGGACCGCCCACAAGTAAGTCCCACTCGGCTTCGCTCCCGAGTTCGAAGGGCGGAAAGATCAGCGTCTGGTTTGCTTCGTACCAGGGGTTGTGGAGACGATACAGCGTGCCGATTTGGGGAACCGTCAGGCAGCTGCCAGCGGTGCCGTTCGTTACATTCGCTGGGCAGAGCAACGCTTCTGGGTTGAAGTTGCAGCGAGTCGGATCCGAAATAACGGTGTCGACCACGCCATCTTGGGGATCACACTGTTTCAACACTTCGTCCGCTATTACTGGGAATAGCTCCCGTGGGATATGGTGCGGCGCATCTTGTGGTAGATTGTCAATTCCGACTTTCATGTTCCACAGCTGCAGATGGGTGGTCCACCAGGCAGGCGCGCCAGCTACGATACCATCAAAATCATCGGGGAACTCTTGAGCTTCTTTGAAACCTTGTCGGCCTCCGGTTGAGCAGCCACTGTAGTAGCTGTACGCGGAGTCCTTGCCGTAGTAGGCGGAAACGACCTCCTTGGCGAGCACAATCGACCCGTGCAACGCACGGTAGCCCCAGTCCTCCACCTTTTCGGGGGCATTGTAAGCCCAGCTGGCGTCCAATGCCGAACTGTTGTGGCCGGTGTCTGTCGATATTGTGGCAAAGCCGTAGCCTACTCCCACGCCCTGCAGTCACAATGAGAAAGATGAGACAGAAAAAGAGATTATCCTATGCTTCCGCCAAGGGTGGCTCACCATATCGGCCCAGTTGATGCCTCCGCCAAAGCCTCCGTTACCAACGGCCCTGTCTTACATGAGTAGAGGCGAGGAGATAGGTACGATGGAACCTACAGAAATCTACCGTTCCATTCCGCGGGCAGGAACAACCCGAAACTGTACGATGAGTTTCCACTTGATGGCTGTCTGATTTCGACGGCACAAAGCGCACGCAACCCTGTAGGCGAGACCCGATACGGGAGGTTGCCAGCCGGTACCTGGAAGGTAGAGTTGTCGGACAGGGGGTACGCAAAGGTAACAGTAGCATTCGAGGGCAAGACCTCAATAAATGCGGACGGACTGCACTCGAAGGCACTAGCTGCGCCTATAGCGGTTGTGTACTGGAGCCAGTTGGAGATTCTCATGGTGGGAAAATATTCTTTCGATGGCAATGCTGTAAGAGGAAACACAAGAGAGAAGAACGTGAAGCTAATTTTACGACTTCAAGGGGCAAGTGCATTAAATATAAAACCCTCATAGTAATGACTGCTCCATTAAGGCTGAATGTCAACATGCAGCTCACGGCGTGTGTCTGGAGTACGCGTACAGGGTGTGGGGCCCGACATCGCACGTTGGTTAGTGAGTGACGGCCTGGAGCATATCTTAAGCGTATTGACGCGTTGCATATTGCAGGTTCACTTGGAATTGGCACGGCAGCTGTTGTTGGATGTCAAGGTTGCAAAGTTGTAGGTGAGGAACGGTACGTCCGAATCTCGGCGTCTCTCCACTTGGTCCCCACAGACTTTTCCATCCAAGTGCCAAGCTCCCCACACTTCCGATCTTTCTATCACATAATAGAGGGGTATTGCGGCAGACAAACCGCTGATCTATAGGCTTACCAGCATCCGTCTTGTCGTGCCGGCGGCTGAACAGTTTTCCAGACGTCTGACTTCCAAGCAGCTGCCCCACGCACTGCCAGCTTGTGAGCCGCTTCGAAGAACGGGTGTTGGAGTTACTCATGAGGATATATGCTTGCTAATGCTCTTCAATCTTCAATATCACATCTGCGAACCTTGACTGAACTTACAATTCACAAAGCAACAGTGCTTTGAACACCTCTTGCCGAGAAAATCAACTACCATGGACGCGGCGACACAGAACCTAAAGATATGCATTATCGGTGCTGGTATGGGCGGTTTGACGTGCGCGCTAGCACTGGCGAATGCGGGATTCAAGAACATCCAAGTTTATGAGTTTGCCTCCAACTTAGGCTTTGTTGGCGCCGGCATCCAGCTGGCTCCAAACATGGCCAGAATCCTAGATAACCTAGGCGTTTGGGCCGAGATCGAGAAGGAGGCTGTAGATCTAAAAGACACCAGCATCAGAGGTGCGTAAACTTCTCTTTTTGCTAAACTCTTAAACTAACTTATATAGAGGGAGCCACCGATAAGGAATTGGCGCACGTGGACTTACGATATATCCGGGGAACCTACAAGTATCCACATATGGTCGGCCACAGATCGTCATTAGCCAACGCTCTCTACGAAGGTTGCAAGCGGGCCGAGAAGAGCATCAAGTTTTTCTTTTCTACAAGTGTGGAAAAAGTGAAGACTTTCGCTCCCAAGCCATCTTTCACAGCCATACCCCGCAAAGGGGGTGAGCCGTACGAGGTTGAGGCGGACGTTCTTCTAGGTGCGGATGGTGTCAAGAGCAACACCCGCGTTGAGATGCTCAAAGAGCTCGGTATTCATGCTGAGGTCAAGGATACTCAGCAGGCGGCGTACCGCATCATGCTACGCCGCGAGGAGATGGAGAAAGACCCGGAGCTACTCGAGCTGATCAACACCGATGGGGTCATCCGATGGATAGGAGAGAAGAGGCACATCATAGCCTATCCTGTGTCTAATAAGAACATCTACAACTTATCCACCATTCAACCGGACGTCAACTTTGCGGCTGCCCCCTCGGCGACGTATACGACAAAAGGAAGCAAGACTGCCATGCTTCAGGTCTTCTCCGATTTTTGCCCTATGATACATCGCATGCTCAACCTCGTGCCTGAGGGCGAAGTCTGTGAGTGGAAACTACGGGTCCACTCGCCTTTACCAACCTGGGTCCATGGCTCCGTAGCTCTCGTTGGCGATGCTTGTCATCCAACTCTTCCACATCTGGCGCAAGGCGCCGCCCAAGCCATTGAAGATGGCGCTGTCATCGGTGTTGTGCTTTCACGCATACCCGACCAGTCTCCCGAGTCCATCAACAAGGCGCTACGCGTGTATGAGAAGGTGAGAAAGGAGCGTGCAGAGAAGCTTGTAGAACTGGCAGCTGCGTCAGGGCGGGCTTTGCATCTTGGAGAGGGCGAGGCGAAGGCGGAACGCGACAGACAGTTTGCGGCACTGAAGGAGGGGAAGGGTTCAGTGCCGGACAAGTGGGCAGATGCGGATGTGCAGAAGTACATCTATGGGGTTGATGTCGTGCAAAATGCGCAGGACACTTTTGACGAGGTCTTCGGGGCCATGTCAACCATGGCCCGCATATAGGGATGTCATTGTATAGCCTTAGTACTACGTATTGTTACTGCGAGCGATTTTCCAAGATGTAGATTCAGAAGAAGAATCTTGTTACTCTGACTCCTTGCCAGATGCCTCGTGCTGTGCCTCTTCTTCCAGTCCGCTGAACAAGCAATTCGAGGTGCCCATGGTACCGGACTCCTGTCTGTCACAGTACCTTCGAAATATCAACAATGTAACGTTATATGAGGAGCGCAAGTGCACCACGACGAGAGTTAAGCCAGCTTTGTGTGCCTGAGGCCGTTTTGTGGGGACATGTGGAGATCCGCGCACGCCGACCGCCAAAATGCTCACCCGCTGCTGCTATTTGCCACTTGATCAACTCTTGTCCCCGCATTCTACATATCCCACGTCCCCAGATTCTGTCCGCCATGGTAGTAGCAACACTAAAACAAACAATGACTACGCCAGACTCAGCATTTGGTGGAGCGCGAAAGCTGGAGTGCAGAGTCTGCCAGAAAGGATTCTCCAAAGCGGAACATCTCAGGGTAAGTTACTATGCGCTTCGAAGCGATCTTACACTCAGCCACTGACAGGTTCCGTAGAGACATGAACTCAGTCGTAAGTGAACGGTCGATGGCCCCTGTTCCTCCACCAACTGACCAGTCTATCACTATGTTCAGATACGGGATCCAGGCCATTCGCATGCAAATGGTGTAAACGAGCTTTTGCGCGTCAAGACTCTCTCGCGCGCCATGAAAGACTACACAAGCGCAAAGAAAGCACGGGGCGTCCTTCTTCGCCATTAACTCCCATCTCTGAAACCGCCGTCGATGCTCTTCTCGCATCGGACGGTGCCGATGCTCCTACCGCTACCGTAAGGAACGGTTCCACCGAAGATCAGATATGGGGTGAATCGCAACCCGTAGAGGGCATTAGCTTGCAGAACATGCCCAATGTTGCTGCTGAGTTGGACTTTGAGCTTTTCTGGCCCGATTCGGAGGATCTCTTCCAAACGATCATCTCATCCGACACCGTAAATCAGTGGCAGATGCCATTGGGGGCCCTTCCATTTCCGCCAGTCTTACCTCAGATGGGCAATCCCAACTCCGGGTCTCCGGGTTCATTTGACGAGCGAGACTCATCAATCGGCGCCATTCCATCCGGTGGAAGTCACCAGGCCGTCCACGATGTCACTAGAATGGTTACCAACTTGGTGCGTCCCTTTGTAGCTCATAAGCTTGGATCCACTGCTAATGAAACAACCAGTCCTCCAGCGTGACAGCTGCGCTAGACGCCGTTTCTATCACCTCAGTTTTTCTTGACGAAAGCTTACACATGTTCTTTGTTCGCTTCATTCCTACTTTCCCTATCCTACACCGAGCAACATTCGTCTTCCGAGAGTGTACACATCCCTTACTGCTCAACGCTATCGCTATCGGTTCTCTATACCTTGGCCCGAAAGACGCGGTCGCGAAGGTAAGCTGAGTAATCTGACTCGCCCATGGTGCTTAACTGACCAATCGAAGGGAGAGGCTTTGTGGCGTCTTGCTCACACCGCAGTCGCGACATCGGTAAGTTTTTAATCGGGTTTTCACTTCTGTAGAGCTTGCGGCTGAGATTCCGACAGTGGCAAACACTGATCACGCATCGTGGTCCATATGACGCTTGCAAAGGTGTTCAACTAGTCATCACCGCCCTTCTTAGCCAGATATATGGTGCTCTCTCGAAGGTACAGCAATATACCCATCTTCACAAAGCATTGTCTTACGTGTTGCACAGAACCGAGCTATTCGCATCACGAGTCAAACGTTCCATGCACTCGGCTTCTTCTGGGCGAGGCATTGTGGGATGTTTGACACCGAACCATTTTCGGTGAACAACTTGCCATCTTTGGATGCTTCGGAAGCGGAGAAGGAGCACCAGTGGAGAACCTGGGTGTCCAGGGAGATTCAGAAACGAGCACTGCTGGCTCACTACGTGTTGGACGGCCTGATTGCTCAGATGTCTGGGGAGAATACTTCGGTTCGTCATGCTACCAACCAGCTTGGCCTTCCCAGCAGCGAAGCCGTTTTCGAAGCTAGCACCGCCGACGAATGGATAACCCGTCTGCGCTCTGAGAAGGCGGATACTACTTCATTCCGTAGCATATTTCGCTCGCTCTTCACTCCCATGGGTGTTTCCCTCACCCTCGACTCCCCATTCTCTGCGTTCTCACTCAGAGTCGTCCTGGAGGGACTCCAGTCTCTTATATCTGACTGTGACGAAGACGACGTTGCTGCCGTCGGCGTCCCAACAAAGTCCGAGATCCGAAGGGCACTGGCTCAAGTCCACGAGATGATCACAAGTAACGTCCACCTTTCTGAGACAGATCGCCTCGAGACACTGCTTCGATGGCACGCTATATGTCTTGACGCCGATACTAACTCTTCCCTGCTATGCCGGTACGTATGCTCCCGCTACAATATCGAGCAACATGTGTTTGGAGGCGGTAAGGGAATCAAGCCCGGACTTGACCTAATAAGGTGGGCCAATACGGAGGGCGCCCGCAGAGCACTGCTCCACGCTGCCGCAATCCAAGACATCGTCGAGCAGTTACCAAGAGGACGAGCACATGTGATCCACATGCCGAGTTCTCTCTTCGCAGCGGCAACAGTCTACAGCGTCTTCATCCTAGCCGGCTCCACCACTGTCGGCCTTCCCCGGACCGTGGACTGGAGGAACGTGTTGTACAACGAAACCGATTCCTGGATGGCCTATGAAGAGCTTTCAGGATCTGCTATCGGTTCAGAGACGAGGAGATACATACGCGGCGATCCTCCGTCTTTTTCCAAAAACCTGGGAGCGACGAGGAATCTGTTGTACGAGCTCAACTCGATGCAGAAGCTGTTCCGCTGCCTTTTTTCGCAGTGGGGAGTAGCGCATGATATGGAGAATGTTGTCGACCAGTGGATTGCGCTCTGCCACTGAACCGATACCGCTTCCGAGGCACCTCTGGTAAAAACATTACCCTAAATCTGTATTCGTTGTTGCGTCTCAACTACGGCGTTCGGGGTGCAAGAGTGCCGTTTCAACTGTCTGCAAGACGCAGCACAAACAGCAGGCCTACGCCAGCAGGTCGTGGTGTTCGTCCGGAGTGCGAAACTGTCGACTCGAGACTGGCAGGGCGGCTTTCCGGACTAAAACGGCCGGCTAAGCTGGAAGCATCGCTGCAGCGAGCCTGCGTAGCAAGACCACGTCTTGGAAAGCATTTGGTGGAGAGTCATCGACGTTGAAGTCGCCCATGGATGGTACCAGATCTAGCGACCGTACGTCGATGGCTCTTCTGTGGTGCGAAGACCAAGCGCCGTAGTGTGCTGGCCACCGCCTCGCGCTCGCCCTTCAATTTTCCATTCGCCGAAAGGCGATACGAGCTGGCTAAGTCACGTCCCTTCAGGTCGTGTCACGAACGAGATGCGAAGGTGGTGAGCTGTGATGGAAACGGACCCGACTGTGGCTCCAAAGGAGCCTTGCAATGATCACAATGCCTCAGGCTGCGGGCAATAAGGATTAACATTGTGATATTGCTCTCGGCAACATCCAGTGCTGGGTTAAAAGTAAAAAGGAGAGAGAAAGACACTGGCTTAACTGGCTAAAACTAAGTAATATATCAGTGAATGTATCTGATCGGAAACTATCATGCTCCTGATTCGTTAGACCTCCGACGGCATCAGGCTGGGTACTGTGTCAGATTATGGCATCACCTGTTGCCTTCTCCCCAGTTTCAAAACATGTCCAGTACGTTGTCCGAACCCCTCAAGCGAGAGTGGTCATAAAAGCATCGTAAGCGTAACTGTTCGAACGGCGTGAAAAGCTTAATTGACGATGCATGACGAAGGCCTTGTAATGCATATGCGTAGGAAACTGAGGTCCGTCTAACAGTTTCGAGTTGAAAAACAATAGCAAGTTTTCAAAGCTGGAACTCACGACCTTCTGATCTAGTTAGGATCAGTACTTCATGCTGATCGTTTGACGCCTTCGGCTTCCGCACATGGGAGCGGGGCGGCAATGCCACTAAACGCGCTGCGCTTGTCTGTTCCTATCCCTCGATATATGCCATAACAATGTCAGAGCGGTATGATCTACATACATGTGCGAAAGTTGTTTGGAGAGTTAAGGTATTGAAGGGACCCACAGGCCCCCGGTTGTCAGCAAGGTGATGCGCGGACAGCCGCAGAGCCGCGTCAGCCCTACGATGCGCCAAGCCTTGAGGTTGTTGGAATGCATCCGTCATGTCGCGCCCTCCCTCCCACCGACCTCACCCTTGCTCCGAAAGCTCACTTTGTTCCAACCTCACCTCACGCCTTCCCCCTCGCCATCTACCCCAAATCCCAGTCGCCCGCGCTTTCTTTTCAACATCGGCATACACAACTAGCGGTTCCTTAGAAGGGGCGTCGCAACCGCGCATAGTCCGCTGACATGCCTCCCACAGGTCAGTGTTTGATTCATTTCCGCTCTGTCTATGCTCGGCTTCCCCGTCCATTCTGGCATTTCCGGGAGGTACATCGTGGCTGTCAACCGAAAAGAGCCGGCAAGCGAAGATTCAAGGCCGCAGAAAGATTGTCCCCCGCATCAACTCTCCAGACCACTGCCACTGCGGATAGGAACCCCCCCCCCCCCCCCCCCGGCCACATCCCGATCTATATCAGAAGCGTCAATAGGGAACGGTTGTTCAATGGATCCCCCGTCAGCAACGAAAATTCCAAACTATCATCCCGAGCCGGCGCATCGAGTGGACAGACGTGATACCGCTCGAGTCACGGGTTGGGGCGCGAGGGCTACGGTAGCCCAACTGACTGGGTATCGAGCCGATGAGCCGTTGGAAGGTATCCAATCCTCAGGCGACAGCGTACTCGGGTCAAGCTCGGACGAGGAGGATGGCGACGAGGACAACCAGAGACACCTGGGCAATGGGGACATGAGCGCTAGAGGAAACATTCGAGAATCCAGAAACTATGCCAGAAACAAGCTTTTCATGTCATTCTTGCCACCGGCTCCTGGAGTCCACGCAGGCTTGAAAAACACTGGGTCTTTCACCAGTCCGGAAAGTCCGAATAAAACGAACGGTAAACCCGCGTTTATCCTTCCACCTATCAAGGTGGCACATGAACCCTTACCCTCTACACTATCTCAAGCCGAGATGCGCGAGACAGGGCCTGGAGCGAGGAATAGCCTACCAGCCTCCGCTGTATTCGCTTGAAAGCTATCTGAGACGCCGCCCTTACAGGCTTCACATTCCAATGTGTCGGCCTCGGTTAACTCCCCAGATGTTGCGAAAGCCGCGCTCTTACAGAAGCCGGAGTTTTTGTTGTTAGTATTGCCACCACCCTATCGCACCATCGCCATTGCCATTGGACGCACCGTCTATACCACCGTTCGCTATACCATCATCACTACCATTCGCTACGTCAACGTCCGCCACTTCAACATCCGCCGCACCATTGTCGCCACCCACCGCACCATCGTCCCGGACCAAAGGCAGCCCAGACACCGGAACCCACCAGCCACATTAGCGAGCGGCTGGGAAAGAAAATTCAGCAACGTGAATCAGAGCAGTGTCAACCTGATCAGAGATCAATAATTCTGCGGAGTGCCTTGACCCGTTCTCGAGGCTGCCCGTCTAGCTCTCTTATTCTTAACCAGACCGAGCAAGATGAGCCCACTGTTATGCCTTGGCTTCGCATCCAATTGCTAGATTTAGTGGACTTGGCAAGCTACCGTTTTCAGGATGCCGATTCGCGAGAAAATGAGGATCAACAAGCTGATTGTATGCTGTAGGTAAAGCAAGTTCCACAGGTACCGGGACACAGAACAGCAACCTTCCGCCATCGGTGGAGGAGGCATACCACAAGAAATGCATCGAGCTGAAGCGACGCATCAATGAAGTAGAGGCGAACAACGATGCCGCTCGCCTCCGGAAGACGCGAGTGAATCGTGCGATTATGAAGCTGCGACTCGAGCGGGCTATGCTCCTTGAGCAGCTTGAGAAGCGAATGGAGGCCAATGTCGATGAGTCGGATAGGAGTACTAGCCCGCCGCCAACAGTAAGTTCTACCAGATCCTACCAGACAAATACAAGCGGTCCAAGCCTACGGGCGAAACATCGAGAACGTACCATCCTCTGGCAGTGACCATGTTACTCCGGCCGTACTGCAGGGTGCTGAGCATTCTGTAATATTCCCTCATCCACCGTATCCCGCTACTGCCCTACTTGCATTGGTTTGGCTCCGTCCCGAAGCTCGTGTGTTGTCTGCCTCTCGAATGGGTAGCGATTCGATGTCCAACTTCCTGCATCTTTGATCCAGACTTACTAAGCTCTCACCTTCTCTTCCCATCATCAGCTAGCAACCGAATATTCACACCAAGACTCTAACATCCGCCACTCGAACCAGCCACAAGACAAGCCCCTCCGTTCCAAGCGCGCCCACCGCAAAACTACACCTCCTCTCCCCGACGCCGGGACCGCAGCAGGGACGTCCCATCCATCACCACCTCAGGGCCCGCCCACACACCAGCGCCCACACATGACTCTCCTCGACCCATACTCCTCGACGCAATCAACCCCCGACCCGGCCCGCCATGGCGGTTCTCTCTTCTTCAGCACCCTGAACGGCACCTCAGACGCCAACCAGATCCCGCCGCTCAGCTTGCACCAGGCTCACAGGCAGACGTCGCATGGGCTGCCCTCTATGCAACACTACGATCATCATATGGGCTACGAGGACCGCCACGGCGAGAACGGCACTCCTGTGGACTATACGCCCCACGGCCGCAGCAGGGCGTACAGCGGGGCTAACGGCTCGGCGGGACGAGGTGTCACGGGCGAGATGGTAGGGGTGGGACCTGAAGTCAGGATGGATGCGAATGGGGAGAGGAGGGTGCAGCCGGAGGTGGAGATGACGGAGGCGAGTCCACCGCAGGGGGGATTTGGAGGATTTGGAGGCGGGTTTAGAGCTGTGAATCGGTGAGGTGCTGAAAACGATATGATGACCTGGCAGGCCTGTTATGGGCAAAAGGGGGTTCTCGACGACTTTGCGATGGCGTCATCACCGGGCCGGGAGCGAGGCATAGCTGGAGGGCGGTAAACTTAACCTTAATTGCAGAGCAAACCTTAATTCGACCTCTTTGGACGACGCGACGTTCTACGAATCCTCATCCATTGCCAGACTAGGCAATCCCGCCTCCGCTGTAGAACGTCGCTGTGAATGTTCAGGCCTCTCTGACCGGTGACTTTGACCCGCTGCATGTCACCCACGCCCGCATACCTCACACATTCTCCGACATATATGAAACTCGCCTAGTAGATAACCGCATACGCGAGTCACATAGACATGCGCGATGCTACCTGTACGCGTTCCTGGCGCTGCGAGACTCGAGGCGATCCCACGCAGTGTTCGATATAGACGTAGCAATTTACGAGCGGTGGGTATGGTAGCCATTACATGGAGGCATCTCCAAATCCAGCCCACAAGCCTCTTGTAGTTTTTGCTCTACCTGAAGTTCACAAATAAACCCCTTATCCCACCAAGAAACCCCCCTTCTTCGCCCTCCTCTCAATCTTCGCCCCCACCATTCCCTTGCCACCCCCTTTCCCGCCCCCCCTTCCCAACCCCTGCCGCCCCTTCAGCCACGCCTCCCTTAGATTCCGACTATTAGCGCTCGCCTTAGGCGCCAACAGCCTGTTCGTCTGCTGCAGCACCCGCACACTCACGGGGCCGCGCTTAACATCCTTCGGCGGCCTCTCATCCGCGTCCAGGAAGCGGTGGTGCTTGGCTTTCCTCGCCACTGCTTGCGCGGCAGCCGGAGGCGGTGGCGTAGGCGGCCGCACCTCGGGCGCCGCGGCTAGTAGCTCTTCCGGTAGCAGAGCCGGGAGGTTATTGACGTCGAGCTTGGTGGGTGGGTGGAGCAGCGCCGGGGCTGCGTCGTCTGCTACCTCGTCTACCGCTGGAGCCGCTGCGTCTAGCTCAAGTACCCCAGCCCCCTTCGCCTTCTCGCGCTCCTTCCTCTCCCTCCTCCTCTCCTTCTTCTCCGCCTGCCGCCTCGTCCTCTCATCCCTTTCCCTCCGCCGTTTCCGCTCAGCCTCGTCGCGCTGCTCGGCCGCACGCACAGCTTCTTGCTCGCGCGCGCGCGCGGCGGCGAGCGCGGAGGCTGTGGTGATGGTCTCGGGGGCTTCGTCGTCGCTTGCGTCGTCTGAGCCTGCGGGGAGGTCTGCGTTTGAGGGCTGGGAGGAGGAGGGGATCTCTAGGGGTGCCGAGGCGGGGGGCGGGGGCTCTTCGCTGCCGAAGCGGATGTGTGTGCTTTTTGGTACGGGGGCGGGGGGTGGGCGGGAGGGTTTGGGCGTCGGTTCGGTTGAGGAAGGTGAGCCGGCAGGGGCCGCGCTGCTTGAGCCGGCATTTGCGGTGGATGCGGTTGGTGGTGCTGAGTTGCGTGAGACGGTGGGGGAGGCAGTGGGTTGTCTGGACGTGTTGCGGGACCTGGTGGGTTGAGGCGTGGATGCTTCTTCTGTCATTTCTGAGTCCAAGGTCGAGCTGGGGACCTCTGGCACGGGGGTCTTCCTTGCCGGTGACATTTGCGTTGTGCGGAGTGTCGTTGCGGGTGTTGCGTAGACGGACGCGGTGGCTGGTGTTGCCAGGTGCTCGTACATAGGTTCCTGCTCTGGTGTGCTAGCGCTTGCCGTACTTGGAATCCGGGCAGCGTCCGGGTGTTCCTCGCGGTGCGAAGTGGCCTCGATTACTACTTCCGGGCTCTTGGGCCGCACGTGTATCGTGTCACTTGTATCTGCGGCGGTCCCGTCTTCCACAGAAGAGCCGTCGCCGCTCGCTGATCCATTCGAGTTTTCTTCTTCTACGACGCGCATTTGCTTCTCGTGCACAGCGCCGTTTGATTTTGCTCGAGCGTGGATTTTGTAGACTCTCCTTCTCTTTGCAACACCCATCGGTGTAGTGGTACTCTGCTCAACCTTCCGCTTCGAAGTGGCCGTTTTCGCTGTGATTTCAATTGTAGAGCTCTCCGACGTAGGTAAAGGTTTGTTCGCCGGCGTGCCCGCTGCTGGGCTGTCCGTGTCAAGGCCGCGCCTGGTGGTGACCATCACTGTCGCGCGGCAATCTTGTACAGGCGTAGTGGCAATGCTTCCCTCTTGATTTGCGATAGGTAGCACTCCGGGAACTGATATTATGTTCCTCACAAAGTCACTCGCGCTGGTGAAGAGCCGGGCCCACATGAGGACGTGACTTTTTTTATGATTGGCGCTACCGACTCTAGCGACTTCAGGGTCTTGATCTTCGAACTCGCTCGGACCGAAGTGCCGCCGGCCTCGCCTTGAAGCTCTGCCGCAACTTGGCTTTAAGCTTCCACACCTTTCCTGGCCCATATAACATGCTCCCCCGCACCATTGCCCGCACCGCCAGACCTATCGTTGCCCCCACAGCCGCCTGTCCCTTCTGCGAGATCCGCGCCCTCTTCGGCAGCCCAATCCGCCGCAATGCACCATCGAGACGTTACGCCGCCCCTCGCGGGAAGCCTTCCTCTCCTCGGAAGTCGCAATTCACCAAAAGCAGAGAGTGGCGGCAAAGGGGACGCATACTCACCGAAGAAGACAAGGCCAAACAAGCCGAGGCAGAGGCTGCCCTTGAGGCCGCCTATCATCGGGGCCGCTTCCCCGAGCCTCGCCGTCTGGCAGAGGCGAACAGCGCCGGCTTCTTGAGGACGTCACCAAAGGATGCTCACTGGGCGCTGGCGAAGTTTGAGTCCTTTGGGATCGATCCGGCAACACGGAATGTTAGGATGCTTGGAGAGTCGCTGGGCGAGGCCCTGGGACAGACGGAAGAAGCTGGGCTGAGGGACTTGACTGCGCTGGGACGGATCTGTCTCAGAAGTCTGAACCCCGTGCAGCGGTTGCTGGGAAAGAGGCTGTTGATAGCGCTCTCTAATGCTGGGGAGGCTTCCGCAACCGTTTCTCTGCTTGGCACTGCGCTCCAGCAAGACAGAGCCCTTGGACCAACAACCGCTCAGGAGGCTCTCCGCCTACCCGAGATGAGGAAGGTCCAGGAACAACTGAACACGATCGTCAAGCAAGGCGACAACCCTCAAGCAATGATTCTCAAGGCCGAGATCTTATACTCCGAAGGCGACATACCTAAAGCCAAAGCGATGTTCGAAGCCGCCATCAGCTATCTCAACAAACAAAAAGATGCAGAGCAAGCCCGTATGGCACAAGAGGAAGACGAAGACGTCGGGACAGACGCCGAAGCAGTACCCAACGACGACATCGACCGTCCTCTCAACGCCGCCTGGCTCGGGCTGGGCCGTTTGCTCCTCCATCAGGGCGACGTAGACGGCGCAAAAGCAGCGTTCGAGGAAGGCGCCTTCAAGCACAACGATGCCGAGGCGTATCATGTCCTTTCCGGACTGGAGCCCCTGTATTCCTCCAAGTGGGTCGAATACAATACCAAGGCCGCGGCGGCCGGCAACGCTCTTTCAGCCAAGTACCTCGGCGACTTCTATACTCTGTCACCAGCCGCGGTGGCGAAGCTCGAGGATGCGGACGTCAAGCAGGAGCTCGCTAGACAGTTCCAGACATCCAATCTCGAGCGGTGGACCCGGCCATTCCTCCCCTCCTTACTCGTCCGGCTGCTCCAGCAGGTGAAAATCTTCTATCCCCCCACCGCCGCCCGCATCGACTATGGTCTCTCCTGGCTCGCCATCGCCGCAACCTCACCTCCCACGCCGAACGGTCTATCAAAACTCGTGCCGGCCTCAATCACAATCGCCAAGACCTACATCCGCCACGCCGACACCTTCGCCGCCGCCGCCGCCGCCGACAGGTCCCCAATCTCCGAACCGGGCAAGCGCTCCAGAAAGCCGATCTCCGGTGGTAACAGCGCCTCAGACTCCGCCGAGACCAACGTCTCCCTCGCATTCATAAACCCCCTGAACCTGCTCGCGACCGTCAAAGGCCCCGCCGTCGGCGCGTACGACCGCACCTCATCGCTCCTCTGCGCCTACCAATGGCTCAACTCGCTCTCCCTCCTGCGGGGCAACCCCCACTACGAGCGCACCTACCCCGACATCGCCACCGAAGTCGCAACATTACACGCAGCCGTAGCAGCGGAGCTGAAAGCGGCAGGCCTCTCAGACGAGCACCTGGCGAGTTCTTCCCGCTTCCAGAATTTCCGCGCCCTATGCCAGTGGAACTTATTGTGGGCCGAGTGGCAGAAGTACCATGCGGAGAGGGGGACGCCCGAGCGGGTCGGCACGAAGGAGGAGTTTCAGCGCGCGGCGGACATCGCGGCTTTGTTGGCTGCCGTGTTCAGCCTCACGCTGTTTTGGACGCTGATGTGGCCGGAGCACTTCAAGGCTCGGTTCCGGACGAGGAAGCAGAAGAAGGAGGAGGAGGAGGAGAAGAAGAGGGAGGAAGAGGAGAAGAAGAAGAGGGAGGGGCCTGATGGTGGGGAGGTGGATCGAGACCGGGTTTGGCGGCCCACGCTGGCACATGGTTTTGTAAAGGAGAGGTGGGGATGGAGCTAGAGGCTGTGGCAGGAGACTGAGGGATCTGTCTCCCTGGGAAAGGACCGATGGCTGGGTGGGGTACGGTCCGCCATCGGCGCCGTGTGGAGAGCCTTGCGTTCTAGCCTATGGGACACGGGCATTTCAAGCAGAGCAGCAGGTAATGGTCAAACGAGCTGTAGCCCCATGGGGCCTTCAGTCAAGCCATCCTACTAGAGCAGATCTTAGGCAGATCTCAGGCAGAGGTGACAGCGGCGAGATGATCTACGCAGCTTGTAGCTCTCACGCGTCGGGAGAGGTGTTCCTGGCCCGTCCTCTGCTAGGATGAGAGCGGCTCGGGGAGCTGTTCTTCTGCTACGGATCGCTGCGTCAAAACACTGTCCATCGAGTGAGATCACGATCGCTTTGACCAGCATCTCGCAGCTTGTTATAGAGATGGAGGCGGCTGTTAGCTACGAGCTACATAGCTGCTATGGCGTGGAGATCCTCCTGTCCTATCTGAATCTCATGATTCAATGAGGAGATCTTACTAGTACAACAACTCCACGGCAGGACTGCGGATGGGCGCCAGAATGAATCGGAGGAGGGCGAGTCAGGCGAACCACAGATATCCAAGAAGCGGAGTTTATTAACTGATGGAATATGATTCCCTGGAGTTGACTCATGTTCAACATGAAAATAAGTTTCATAAGCTACCTTGACAAGTTCTCATCGGAGCCCACAAGCGACAACCAGAACAGCCCAACCAACCCCTACCTCGACTCCAAAACATTCCTCTCCACCCCCCTCGCCGCCTCCCTGACCCCGGGGCAAAAATGGCACCTCAAAATCTCCCCCTCCCACACCGTCCCCGCAAACGGATTACTCCCCTCGACCTCCCCCCTCAGCGGATCAAAGACCCCATCCCCCCTCCTCTCCTCGCTATACCACATTCCCCCGATCTTAGCCCCATGCACCTTCGTCACCCGGCCCAGCAGGCCCAGCATCGCCGTGCAGGATTTCTCTGGCAGGTGTAAGGAGGCGGTTAGGAGCTGCTTCGTGAAGGCAGCGATGCGGGTTGGGGGCACGGAGCGCAGGGCTTGCGGGGGGAGGAGCACGGAGGAGAGGGAGCGCAGGAGGAGGACAGTTGTGGTTTGTATGTTTATCTTGTTCGAGGATGGCGCTGATGCTGAATCAGGGGCGTGCGGGTCGGGGAGGCGAGCGGACTTGGCGCTGAGCTCGATATCCGGGTTCAGCGACACCGGGTAGAGGGTGCGGTAGAGATGCGCGATGAAGAAGCTGAGGTCGACGTGCAGGGTCGAGGCGGCTTTGGAGACGTCTTGGCCTTGGAGGAGGGCGAAGGCTGTGATTACGCAGAGGAGGGATTCGCGGGTCACGTTTCGAGAGACGTCGCTTTCGTCGCGGTCGTCTTCGGTGGCGTCGTCGGCGTTGTGCGACGTTTCCGCGCTGGAGACGAGGTCTTTCAGTGCTTCGAGGATGTCGCCGAAGAAGTCTTGGTTGATGAGGTGGGCGTATTTCGCGAGCCCCTCGAGCACGGCGCCCATGAGGGCAGGCCTCCGCGCCTTGAGTACGCGGAAGTAGGTCGCGAAGACCAGCTTCAGCGTCTCAGACTGCATCCGGTCACGCTCCTCGTGGCTTACTGCGGCGTCCGCCTCCTTCATCTCCTTCTCTATGGCTTTGTTCTCTTTTGCGAGCTTGCGCTGCTTCTTTGTCCTAAACTCGCGCTTCTCTCTGAGCTTCTTGCCTTTCTTGGAGTCGTCGTCAGCTTCGGGGCTATCTATGCTTGTATGGGACCCCTTGACAGCAAGCTCGGATAGCAGGCGAAGATGCAGGAAGGTATTTAGAACGCTTTCGTCCACGTTGTAGCTCCGTGCCTTGATCATCTTCGTGAGCATCCCCACCGCTTCCAGCGAAGCGTTACCATCTTCGTCGTTCCGGAACAGGGTTTCCAATGTCTCCCGGCACCTGACGAAGTCGTCGTCCACTCTCTTGACGCTCAGCTTGTCGACCAGAATCTTGAGAATCTCTCCCCTAAAATTGAAATGCGGCACCGAAACCAGCAGATTGCAAGCACAGCTGATGGCCACAGCAGCCAGACTAGCCACGTCCTCGGACGCACCCGGATTGCTACCTTTTGCATATCGCGCCAGCTCCCGCACGTAGCTCTGGTACCCTCCGACAAGCGACTGCTCGTAGTTCCTCAGTTTCCGGACGTCTTTGGAGACTTTCGTCTTCATATCCTCCTCCGAGAGCGGCCGTATCCTGTATCCCGGGATGATGTCCTTATACACCGCCAACTGGCTCGCCAGCGCCAGTTTCTTGACCGTGACATTCGCCGACGCGCCTATCTGCGCCATCGCCCGCAGCGATCCCGCATGTTCCTCTGGATCCTCGTTGACGAGGGCAGCGAGCCGCGCTAACTCTTCTTTCGCCTCGATGATCTGCTGTCTTTGGGAGACTTTCGGCTTTTCCTCAACTGCCTCTTCTGCCTCGGCGTCGGAGTCTGTCGCTTCTTCGTCTGAGGCGCCGGAGCCTAGGAAGCTGTCCGCATCTTCGTCTTCTGCTGTGGTGGGCTCTGGTGCTGGCGCTATCCACCCTTCTGCGGTCTTGATGGGCAGGCGGGAGCTCTCTTTGCCTTTTTTTCCTAGTTTGCGCGGCCGGTTCTCGTAGTCTTGCTCTAGGTTCCATTGCGCCGCGTTACGAGAGAATTCTGCGGCGACTGGTGAAGCGTCTTCCGACGATGCAGGATCAGAGTCGGGCGGTGTTATGCGCCGGCGCTTCGCCGCTGGTAGGCGTGGCATGCTTCGTGCGGGTCTGTCGAGGAATTGCTTCTCCGCGTGGAAAGGAAAAAAAAAGGTCGATGCAGATTCCACTTCAGTTCCTGCGTTGAGGGCCCGCCTCGTGCGCCGTAGCGGGGAAATCTACAAGGCCTACGGGAAGCGGGTCCTCCCAGTCGCGCAATATCAGAAAAAAGTTCGGACAATCCGCTGTGCTCCCCAGATCAACAGCTGCGCCCGCATACACGTCCATCTTCCAACACCCGCCGCAGACTCTACGACACTACGCCGCAAGAATGCGCCCCCTAACAGACACCGAGACCCAAACCCTCTTCACAAAACTCGCAAACTACACCGGCCGCTCCCTAACCCACCTCCTCACCGACACGACCAGCACCAACGACCGCCACGTCTTCCGCATCCAGAACAGCCGCGTCTACTACGTGCGCTCCTCGCTCGCCAACCTCGCCACCTCCATCGCCCGGCCCAACCTGCTCTCGCTGGGCACCTGTCTCGGCAAGTTCACCAAGACCGGGAAATTCAGACTCCACATTACCGCGCTCGATGTGATTGCGCCGCATGCGCGGTATAAGGTGTGGGTCAAGCCGAACGGCGAGATGCCGTTCCTGTATGGGGGGAATGTGGTTAAGGCGCATGTGGGGCGGTGGAGCGAGGATGCGCCGGAGCACCAGGGGGTTGTGGTTTGCGGGATGGATGATACGCCGTTGGTGAGTCGAAACTCTGCTGGTTCTTTTCTTGCGGCACGTGATGTTTGGGGGGGGAGGGGGTTATGGAGGAGGGGAGGCAGGCTAATACGGTGAACAGGGATTCGGCGTCACGGCGCGATCGACGGCGGAGGTCAAGAGGCTGGAGCCGACGGGCGTGACGTGTTTTCGGCAGGCGGACATCGGAGAGTATTTGAGGGATGAGGATACGTTGTTTGCGACTTGAGAGGCTTGGGCTTGCAGCTGGCGTGCTGGGATCATGGAGGACGGGCTGAGCGAAAGCTGTTCAGACCAGCTGGGATATACCACTGCTTCGGCTGAGAACAGCCAGCGGTACGACTCGGGACGTTTAGTCAGAGATTTGAGACAGAGCGGCTGAGATGTCTCCATGATAGAGTTGAGGAGAAGGCGCTTGACCCGTGAGTAGAGCAGACGTCGAGGAGCTGGGGGCAAGCTGCTACTGCAGTTTGACAGGCGTGACGAGACTGATGTAGACGGGGTCTTTGGTCCATACCTAGCCTGTCCATGCCTGTATGTATGCTATGGTCAAATCACCGACGCCTGTCGCTTGCTGCCTGAGCACTTCGGTTGCTATAGAGAAATTTGTTCGCTTCATTACGAAAAGGTATCCAACCACCTTTACTACCCGTCCCGGCACCATGTCCAAGCGCCAGAAGCGTGCCCATCAGCCCGATAACGACGGTCCATAAACGCCATAAGTGAGAAGGCCAGAAGCACCGCCTCTCAAGGCCTGCAACTCGAACCGTCTCACCATGCCAACGCGCGACACCTGCCCAGCCTACACCCCCATGGTGAAATCATGCTCAATACCCGGCGTAACCGACGCCATAAACTTCAGAAACACGACCAGGTACTGATCGACCCTAATCGCGACCTCCTCCTCTCCCGCCCTCTCATCCAGCACCTCCCACTCATCCCCGCCCTCGGCCTTCTTCTCCTTCTCCCTCTCCGCCACACTCAGCATCTTCGTCCTATCCACCAGCCCCTCCATCCCCGCATCCACTCTGTTCACATCCTCGCCCCTCTTGATCTTCGCGAGCCGCAGCTTCAGCGCCGCGTCCGCCCGGTCCAGCAGCACCTTCATGACAGACGCGTGCTTGCAGGGGTGGATGGACGCCATTTTGACGGGCGAGGCGAGGAAGGGGAAATCCTCGAGTGTCACGGTCTTGTCTTTGTAGTCGCCGACTATGTCGTCCATCATCAGGTGCGGCGGGAGCGGCTCGGAGGGGGAGAGGTAGCCGGAGAGGTAGAGGCGGGGCGTGCGGTAGTAGGGCGTGTAGGTTATGTAGAGTGTGTATGTTCTTAGAGGTCTGCATCACTTATCGTCAGCCGTAAAACCCCTCAACAGAAACCGGCGCGGCATCATGGGGGCTATTGGCGGAATGTACTCACGCAGCACCCCCACCCCCCTGCGGCTCCCTGATAATCGCTTCCTCGTCATCCTCCTCGTCCTCCATATCCGGTAACACCTCCTCCTCCTCCCTCTCCCCCACATTCCCGCTCTCGTCCACAGTCCGCACATCCCTCACCCTCGCCTCCTGGCTCGCCGCCATGCCCCCCGTCCTCAACCACCCCTCCTCATCATCCCCGCCCTCACCCCCCAGCATATCCCGGATAAGATGCTCATCCTGCCCTGCGTCCCCGGCGAAGTTCTCGTCGAGGCGCCGGTGGCACGGCACGCCGCGCGTCACGAGGAACTGCTTGCTTTCCGGGAGGTAGGAAACGCGTTTGGGGGGCTCGGCGGGGGCCCACGACCACGAGGGGAACTTGTAGACCAGGAAGTCGCCGGCGAGCACGAACTCTTCGGGCGTGATTTGGCCCGTGCTGCGGAAGGTTGAGGTGTGTGTTATGGGCGCGTAGCGGTCGCGGAGGGTGTCGATGGTGCCGCGGAGGAACTGCATGGTTGCTGTAGTGCGGTGACGAGCAACTTAGTATGGGTGCCACTGAGGCGTGTTTGGATATGCTGGGTAGGTAGTCGTGGAAAGGTGGATTAGGTTGCTGCGAAAGAACGGTGGAGCTGAATCCGGAGAGCTTGCTAAGTGGTGGGGCTGGTGGAGCGAGATAGGGATCTTATCTTATCTCATCTATGACTTTCCCTTTGTTACCAGACGGGCACGTCGCGGCTGCCTGCTGCGGATCGAGTCTTTTCCCTACAGTTGCTCGACGATCAAATCTAGTGGGACCTGTAACTGTACGTACAGAGCGGTCAGAACATGTAGAAAGTCGCTGAGATCAAGGCACTGCTTGTGATGGCCTGCTTGTCACAGCGGCCTGTCACGAGCACGAATCACTCTGGCAGACATACATTGTCACGGGGTCCGCGTCTCCGCCAGAATATCATGGGATACGGACGAATGCGACTAGAAAGGCAGTGTTGTACTTTACGACAGTCTGTCTTGGAAGGTCGCCCTTGAGAGGACGGCGCAGAGCTGCAGATAAATTTCTGCTAGATAAATCGTTGGCCGATACCTGCTGTAGCTTCCGAGGACATTGTTCCGCCCAACGAAGCTTCCGTAATGTGCATAGATATTGCTGCAGCAGTCGGAATGAGTTTTACTTGCTGCTGGAACAATATAGGCCGTGAATGCGGTGGCGACTGCTCGCTGTATCGACACGACGGACTGGTAACGGGTCGACATGCACCGCAAGAAGAGTCTCCATGTTAAAATTTCGGTTGACGAGCTGCACTCATAGCTTAACAAAATACCATACAAACTGAAGACTCTTACGCAGGTTTTCCTTAAGTAACAGTCAAACACGTGGAAAGACCCGGAGTAGAAAACATGACCAAGGAAACCTCGCACTGTGAATCGACCAGCCTTATGTTTCGAGGAAGCGGCGTGGCGTTATGAGGTAACATGGAAGGCTGATGCAAGGGAAAGCTTCAGGACAGATGTGGGATGACGAAGAAAGCTTCTAAACGTAGAGCAGGACTACTATACTCCTGGCCCAGATGATACAACCTGCCTGATACGCATTTCGAACTAGACCCAGATTTTCCAACCACACGACCAGGAACTTGATGCAGCTCAAATCTTCTACGCTCGACTCCCTTAAGCCGCTCGAGTTCGCATAAGTGACAACGTGCACACCCTCGGCCAAGCCACTACGATCTTGACCACCGACTCAACCTTTCGATACTGCTTCTCCCAGCATGGCGCCCCTACGAAGAGAACTTCCTCGTGATCTTCGCGATAACTGCAGCACCGTCAGCTCCTATCCATCCCCATCCCTTCCCCGCCTCTCCTTCCTGCCTACTCCATCAAGAAAAACTCACCATGCAACGCAACAACACTGATAATAAACCCGACACTCAGCACGAGCACCACAACCGGATCGACCTTCAGCCCCGGGCTCTCATCCGTGTACAGCCTAAGCATGGTACTGCTGCTGCCGCCCGCGCCCGCCGCGCGCGTGCTGCTCGGCCGTGCATTCGCGACCTTGTCGGCGCGGTCTGCGGCTGCTTTGCGGCGGATTGCGGTTGCGGGACCGCCTGGCGGTTTCGGAGAGGAGGGGCGTGCGGTTGTTGAGGCGGTGGTTTGGCCGGGGAGGGGGGAGGATGGGCGGGGGGAGGACTAGTGGGGCTAGCGTTAGCGAAGGATTTGGTGGTGAAGAGATGAGGTTGAGGAGTGGTGGGTTAAGGGTAGGGGATGCGTGGGGAAGCCGAGTGACGAGTTGGCAGCGCGAAAGGCACGATTGAGGTTGCAGAGGCGGCACAGTAAGAGGGCCATTGGAATGTATGGTCTTTTCTCGATTGGCGGGTTGTAGCATGCGGTGTATGCCCCAGCTGGGCTCTGCTCCTTTTCGTAGTTGCGGTGGGTGTAGTGAAAGCTCCCGAATCAAATTGGGTTGAAGTTGCTTACCATTGTGACGGCGGCGGTATGTTATTCGGGCGTGGTGAGGATTGCGGTTGTGCTGGCGTGCGCGATTTGTAGAAGGAGCAGGATTCCAAAGGAGCGTAGTTATTGCCTGAGGGTTTGGTAGAAGTTCAAGGACACGTTAGGGTTCTGGAAAGCTTCGGGGAAGGAGTTAAGGTCAGTGCGCTAGGGAGAAGCGAGCAGAGCCGCAACACCAGACACCATTCAACCTAGGTCCGAGCTTCCTAATTTGGCATCGTGGAAGCCTGCACAGCCGTGGAACAGAATGTATCAATGGCAGAGACGAACAGTCAATGTATATCAAAGATATTCACGGCGCAGAGAGAAGAGGTTTGTAGCCCCATAACAACCACTTTTGCCCTGTCCTAATGCGAACTCCAACTGTCCTCCCAATAACCGTTCAATGTACAAATTCCCAGATGCAGACACGAATTACAAAGACCGCACACTCTCGCCCTAGCAAAACCGCACCAGCTCCTCCGGGAAAGCAGACCCAGTACAACCAGCAAACCAGACCCAAAACCAAAAGCAAGACCGCAACCACCAGATGTCAGACTGCAACGCAAAACCCCGATGTGATTACCCCGCCATGGAACTCGCAAGAGGAATAATGCAATGATCCGACGATGTAAAGCGACCGCAACCCCCAAAACCCATCCCGGCCTACCCATGGAACATCAACACACTGTAATGCCCGGAACACCTGGAATGCAGAAACTCCGGTAATGTCTGTGCTCACACAACTCCCCCGGCCCCTTGGCACACACAAAAGTCAGACTGGTATCTTTCTAGCCCCAAACAGAGGCTTGAACGCCGAGGGTATTCTTAGAAGTGCCCCAAACTCCGCTGTTGCTCCCCCAACCAAGGCTGACGCCCTTGTCGGCAATGCTGGATGAAGGGTTGGAGGAAGTAGAAGTAGATCGCTCGTTAGATTTGTGTTGCTCGTTGGCGCTAAAGCCAAAGCTCAAAGGAGACGGGAGAGGAGTGGTCGACCGCTTGTTGATACCCGGGGCTGCAGGCGGACCTTGACTCTGAGCCGGGCGAGTGCCGATAGGAGTGACACCGGCAACGGTTGGACCTTTACCGCCCTGGACCGGCGGATCACCTCCGGTCGGAGACGAGTTCGAGGTGCGGCTGGACTGCTGCGCGTTGTCAAACAAGCTGAAAGAGGCAGATGTATTCTGATTGGATGATGGAGAAGAGGTGCTGTTGGCGCGTGAGCGCTGCGCACCTGCGGAAGTATCCTTGGCCTGGTCCCTCGATGGCATCTGAACTGCAGGCTCTGCTGAGCTACCCAGACCCTGACTTCCGAAAGGGTCGTAGGCCAAAGGTGACTGTCCGCGGCCGCCTGCCATGGATGTAGCGACTCGGACGTCCTGGCTACTTGTGCGCGTGGTGCCATCATTCGAGTAAAGAGCCGACTCATTGCCGTACAACGCACGATGCTGGCGAGCGATGAGCTCACGGCGGTCTTCCTCGCTCATCGCGTTGGGGCTCATGGAGCGGTCGGACTTGGCACCAGAGACGTCTGTGAGCACACCTATACTGTAAGCCAGTGGTCCTCTCCAAGGTCGCGACAGAAGACATTCTCACTCCGATTGTACTGCTGCTCCTGGTGATAGTTGCGAAGCTCGCGCTCACGCTGAGCAGCCATGCGCCTTTTGGCCTGCATCATTTGGTCTGCGTCACTCTGGCGCGGCTGATAGCGCTGGCTGGCGTAGTAACCTTGGAGGTTCGACGCAGAGTTGGATCGCATGCCATCGTAATCGCTAACGGAATGATGGCGCGAAGGACCGCCCATACGAGCATCTGGAATCTCGATGTTAGCGCCCTCGGCCGCAGTCAAGTGCGTTGCTTGTTTGTAAGCTCACCGCCGTATCCTCGGCCTGCAGCCATTGGCATCGACTCTCGGCGACCGGGCATGTCCGTGGGAAACATCTTGCCGCTCTTGAGTAGATTGTCGGCAGCACGATCGACCTCTGGATCGCGAAGTCAGCGTCAGTCCGTGGCGAGTAGCATCAGTTCCAACGGCGCAGAAATGGAAATTTGAGTCTGTGCGGCACCCTTCGACGCCTTTGCTTGTTGACCGCAGCGTGCTAAATGGTATAGAAGGCAGATCTGTGCGTACCTTCAATCTGAGAGAGAAAGGCGGCGGACTCATCGCGGTTGGCGGTCGAGCTGGCGCCTGTGGCATTGTTATTTTCTGGTGTTTTCCACATGCTCGATCGAGCGGTCATACCTGAGCGCGTGGGAGGCGGCTGCTGCTCCCATGATGGCTGACGGCCTGGTGCTGCCCAGGGGCCGTTGTCGTAGTAGGACATCTCGGAAAAGATAGTAGAGGTTGACGGCTGCTAGGAGCAGGTTCCGCAAGGAGGGTCCGGAATGAGAGCTAGATTGGCTGCAATAAGAATTTGCATTAGCGACTCTGAGATTAACGATGACAGCTCGGAGGCAGAAAGCTGATGCCGCAGAAAGCTCCTGTACGTCGAGGTCGAGGGTTGCGCCTGCGTATGGAGCGGCAGAAAAGATTTTGACGAGCAGGCGGGACTCGGTGCTCGGCAATTTACATACCTAGCGTGGGGAGAGAGTTCTGAAGGAGCGACCACTGCACCGCACACAGGGGAAGGAGAGGGGAAAAAGAATATGAAGCCCGTGAGGAAGGTGAGGAAGATATCTCGGAGCGGGTTGGGGTGAGTGAGGTAAAGGGCTGCGGGCCTGCTAAAGGAGAGTGCCAGTGAGCGTCCAGCGTCGCGCTAAGTAGGGCTCTGCCGAAAAGCACACGCCTTCGGAAATGAGGTTGCTGGGTAAGATTTTGCCCTCACGGACCGCCCCAGCAGCCAACTCTGCAGCCCTTTGGGGCAATGAAAAGGGCGCTGCAAGCTGCTTGCAATTGCTGCGTCCTCCTCGTCAGTGCGATGGCCTTCCCTCTGCTCAATTGCACCGACCGCGCCGGCAACAACGCACAGCGCCTCGGACGAAATGACGTTCTCCAGACTGCCGTTTCACACTCGGCTCTGCACGTTTTAAGCGACCCAGTTTTGACCCGCAGAGGGCGGGAAGAAACGCTCTGTCGCCATGGCTAGCGCTCGACACCCTGACCCCAAACGGCGTGCCGGTTTGCGTTAAAGCAGCAGATTGAGTGCGACACGCTCTGCACCCGCGCCGCTGCGTCGCCGTCTGCTCCGCTGTGCGTCCTTCGTTTCGGACCGAGTCAGATCATCCTCGACCACGTTTCCTCCATCTCTGAAGGACAGAAGGGAGATCTGCGAGACTGATGGTATATCTCAGTTGGGGGTGTGCAGAAACGCTCCCCAAGCCGATGCCAATGCTGCAAACCCCGCTCCTATGCCCTGTTGCGCTTCCTCTAGGTAGCCAACCCTATCCCGAAGAACAAGATACAAAAATGTAACTGGCCATGCTGCGGGCCCGGTCCTTGTTCCGTACAGCAGATCAGTGGTGATGCACAGAGGCAAGTCTTAACCCTATGTCTACATAAGACTACTGCTCCTGCTGCGAGCTATTCTTCGCTCGCAGGAGCCGGCTCCCCCGCAATGGAGTTTGTTCTGTCCTCCGTTGCTGTTGTACATGTCCTGCTGGCCGGCGAGGAGACGCAGTACAGACAAGACGTAGGAAGACTTGTCACATGCCACGGTTGCATGTACCGCGTAGTGGAGGAGGTGGTATGGTGGCACTGGTGGCTTGGATTTAACGCTTTGTAGATTCGTCGAGTCACTCTCACCACCAGCATGCAGATTTGTGCCGGTTCACGAGACTGGCGCTGCAGCTCACTTGTCGAAACACGGCAAGGTGCCGAATCGAATGAACAGGCGAGCAGCGTGCCGTCGAGACATCTGATGCAAGGCAAACTCCCGTCAGGACCCGTCAGGAAGAGGCGCCGTGACAGCGACCTTTTATTGACTTTTTTTTTGACGCGCTTGCAGCGCTAAGAGATGCTGCGAAGCACAGTCGCACGTTCAGTGGCCGGCCAGAACGGCGCACTGTTCAGACGCAGAACATCCATCCTCAGCCGAACTCGCTGCATGAAATTGCCCGCTTTGGGTTTGGACAGCCTTGGCAAGATTTAGGGCTAGCTGGTCTTATGCCGCGGATGTTACAGCAGAGATATTTAATGCTAAAACACTTTCCCCCAAGAACTGCTTCTTCGCGGGTAGAATGGGTAGGCTCAGAACTCTCAGTCGCGGCATGCCTAAGCTGGACCCGTAAGACATAAGGATAAGCTAAAGATTATGTAAAACCGATATCACGTTCAACGCCGTATATTACCTGGACAGTCTTCTGCTCTTCCATGTTAAAACCCGCCTTGTTTGTTGTGTCTTCAAAGTCAGGATATCAGTTTGCGATTAATCAGGACAAAGTCTTTCATGTTGTCTTACCGTACCTTTGATTTTCCGGTGCCTGTGTTTCCCGTCGTCATGCGTCGCTTCCTTTTACACATCAAACAGCTTCCGCGGTTGATGGACCAGGTGATATGCCTCCACGTGCACATTCATGCAGCCAACGACAAACACCTCTGCTTTGTTGAATTCTTGTCATGAGGTTTTTTCTATGGAGTGAGCACACGGGAAAGGGATCATGGGTTGTACCCTTGCTCCTGGAACGTCTTGAAGTGTTCTTGCACAGAGCTCGGTTGTTATAAGAGTCTTAGAAAGTACCACGGGAACAGGCCGGCGCGAGAGCCTGCGTCGTCACCTAGGTCTAACGAAAAGAAATTGAGCGTCATACGCGCTTTACAGCATGAACAATCACACGCCTAACACGCGTGGACTGCAAATCGCATGACCTTTCTAGTCCGAAATTATTCTCGTCTTTGGTGTCTCTTTTGTCCACCGCCATGCCTGGCTTGCCTCTGGCGAAATGCTGTGTTGCCTTGCTAATGCGGCAATCTGTTGTTCGTGTGTTTCTGTTACTTCCTTATGCACGACATGCTCTCGAAGTGTGTCAGTTCTTGCATACTCGGCTTATCAGCCATAACGCGGCTTCTTGGTACAAAAAGCTCTCACGAGAAAGACTTTGCGTATGCCACGAAAGCCTCGGAAGCCAGCGGCGAGGCTGTGTGTTCCTTACATCTTCCGATCTCAGAACAGCGGCCTCCCGGTTCGGCGACGCAGTCTCTGCTCACTTTACCGACCGAGCTTCTGCTCATAATCGCCTCAGATCTCGACCCGTCCGCGCTTCTCTCCTGGAAGCTCTCGCATCCGCTTTTCTACCACATGCTAAAGCTGCCGGCCGACGTGACGCCGGCCGTGCTTAGCATCTGCGCGCGCCTGGCAGTTCGCGACTACCTCAAAAGCTCGGACGTCCAAGATAACCGCATGCGCTGTGCCCTCTGCAAGGGCCTCTACCCGCCCGACATGTTCAGCTCTGCGACTAGTCCGGCGTGTATTCCATTCCGTGACCTTAACCGAAGGCGGCAGGAGGTGTTGGACATGCCCGAGAGAGTCTGCATATGGGACATCGGCCGGCTCGTCCGCTTTGAGGCTGCGACTACTGCAGCGGATGAACCACAATGGACCAGCTCGATGGAAAGCGTGTGCATGCACTGTGGAGCGGTGCAGAGCTGGAACCGTTGTGCGTGCCAGTGTCAGACTTGTAGCGTACGGGAAGCGAGGACTTACACGCGCTGGCTGAGCTGCGGAGAGCCTCCAGGCGGCAGATTTGCCTTTGCCAGGCACAAAGACGGGAGTCTGTGGGTCAGGGAATGGGGACTGAAGGGCGGAGACCGTAAGTGCTTCGTCGTTGATGGCTTGCGATTACAATCACAATTATCATGAGCCAAGTGACCCAGTACCATGAGCATTGCTGATAAACCTCGCAGGTGATGATCCTTCTGTAGAGATGTGCGTTCATATTGAATAATCCTTTCATCGCTCCCCTCGTAACGCTGTACCAATTCGCTATTCGTGTAAGGGGTATATCATCAGCCATGATCATCCACGACCTCACTCTCAACTGTCCTAGGTTCATGGCCGCGTTACCAGTCTTTCAACAACAGCCCAGCCTTCTCGATATCAGGCGCTTCGCCATGTCCCACTCGCCTATCCACCGAGTCACGCTTTTCGCTTTCCTCCAACCGACTCTCAACTATCGCTTCCTTCTGCGTTAAGTCTGTAGCATATCTCCTAACCCTTAGCGCGCACCACCACTGCGCGATTACCGTCCCCACCAACACGGCCCCGACAACAAGCTGCACGACCCCCATCACCATCGCGCATCGTCGGATATCCCAGCCTTCCACCAACCACTCCTCCACCCCTCTTCTCGCTTCTTGTCCCAGCGCCCCATCTCCGCCTCCGTCCGGCCCCAGCACCATCCGCTCGCCTGCACCCGGCAACCCAATCCCCAGCTCCCTGCAAAAACTCCCCGGCAGCTCCGCCAGCAGCGCCAGTACCAACAGTCTCGGCACCGTACTAACAACCGCGTCCACAAGGAGGTAGTTCGCGAAGATCGTGACAAGCGCCGCATTGTGTCGGATAGCGCCGATCAAGCCGGAGAAGCTCAGCACGCCGGCAAAGGCGGCGTAGAGGGTCGAGGTGCGCGTTAGGTGGTAGGGCTCATCGGGGAGGTATTGGAGAGTAAGGGTCGTGAGGGTGTTTGTGAGGAGGGCGAGGGCGCTGAGGGTCAGGGTAAGGCGGCTGGTAGGGGATGGTATTAGTATGGGCGTGTTTGTTGAGGGGAGGGGGCGGGGCGCACCGTCGACTGCTCTCGCTGCTGCTGCTATGTGCCATTGAAGTTTTCTGGGGAGCTGTTCAACAGCTCCAACACTCAAACTCCCGAGACGCTGTCTTGGGACTGGTGCAAGGAATCGAAAGCACTGCACAGCAGCGTCCTATCCCCACCACCAATATCTCTCGAAACAACAAGCGACGAAGGTGGAAGATGACTTAAACAAAGGTTTGCTCATGTGCATGCATGGTGCTGAATAATATTCGTATCCCAAGCTTGGAAAGCCTGCGTTTCCGCGCCTTCCGAAAAGTCATCCTTCGTCATCCCTGTGTCAAGCTCGACGCACGGAGCAAAGCTAATCGCCGAACCACTGACAAACACGTTATCGGCTGGTGTCGTCATCGTGGTCGGAAAACCCGTTCTGTCGGTTTACAGCAACGGCGCGTAAAGCTTGTTGAAAGCATGAAATGAGAGGCTGTGACCTATCGCCCAGCAGGAAAAGCTTCTGAGAGGAACAGGCACGGGACGCTGCAGCTCGCTTGACCTTAAGTTCTGAATTGGGCATCTCCGCGATACCAAGCTTCCCCCATGATCTACGCCAAGAGACTTGAGCGGCTTGGTATTGCTTGTTTCGTGTCTCAATGTCCAAGTTTGGACAATGGGCTTTCCCTACGTCAACTGCGCTTTTCCCTTAATACAGTCCCATACAGATCGTGCTCTGAAAGCGTTTTCAGATCCGGCTGTGCGGCAGTAATAGGCCACCGAAGGACGAGCTTGTAGGTTGGGCCCGAGTCAACCTCTTGGCCTTATCGGGTATGGCGGCCTTAGCAGCGCACCTCAGATATCTCTTTCCGACCAGCTTCCTCGTGTTTCCTCTTTCACACGAGAAACTGCTGCCTTAAGGTTGGATTTGCAATACATCTATCATACAGAGTGGGATGATGTGTTCTAGTCTCAAAAGAATGGAACAGTCTATCCTAGTCTCAAGATCCGTATATCTCTGTGGTTTGTTGGATCGTGATAACTATACTGCAGCTCTTGGAATTAGTTAAGGAAGAAGTCCTACGGCATATCCTTTAGCATCTAGAGACTGCTATATCTAAACCCTATCTACTATACTTCGTTCCTAGAGAGCCGAAGTAGTTCGCGCATTCCCAGCAGGGGTACGTCAAGACTGGTGTAAATGGTTTTTGTCCTGTGAACACCCGTGATGGATTCGCTTGTGGCTGCCCTGTCTTTGCGCTCTGAGCTGCTCTCTGAATAAGGCTATCAAAAAGCTTGACATAGCCTTGGGCGCTGCCTTGCTCGGCTGACGGCTACGTCAGAATGCTAAAGGGTTCTATACTTGAGCAACAGGGAGTAACAATTCAAAATCTATGTCACTCAATAGCTTTCTATCTCACCTTGGCGTTTCCTCTTCTTTGGACATGCATCCGAACAGGATGCGGGCTTGGTTTGGACAACCGGTACTAACAGGTTTCCTCTTTCGAAAGCGAGTTTGATATCTCTCTCTTCGGCCGTTTCCACGCTGTGGGACGCTGTGTATACAGACCTCGAATGCACGTGTGATTTGATAAGTATAGTGACCATCTCAACAGACCAGCACTGCGCTAATCAACGGCTTGTTTCTAAGACTATAGGTCTTTTTCCTCTTTCCATAGTGTGTGCATCATGCACCATGACGCCAAGCAGAAGCTGTCATAAGACGTCTTGAGATACGATCCAAACAATCCACGGCTTCATAAAGTCGCTTCCAATGCCGTAAATCAAGCTGGCCAGAACGATCAACGAGCCGCACGGGATAGAGAATACATATACACTCACTCCAGGGCTTATGCTTGCCGTACCTATACGCCCGTAACTGTACATGCTTACAACAAAGCCCTAATCCCGCTCCCTATAGTCTTAGTCTCACTTTCACTTTTGCGAGACAAAGGCCGACCTAGGTTGGCGCCGATGTGGAAAACCCCTTCAGGCCAAAGCAGCAGCTCAAAAGGGAAGAAAGAAGAAACAGCAAAACGCCCCTCATGTCCTCGAACTCGCCATCTCGCCATACCGCCCCCTCTCCCGCGTGGTGTCGTACACCTGCAGCACACGCGCCTGGCTCTCGTCCGTCTGGGAGAAGGCGTAGCCGCGCTGCTTGCGCATGCGCTGTACTTGGCGCACTTTGCGGATTGCTTTTTGGAATTGTTCCATCCTGTACTGGCATTAGTGGCGGGCCCTGTTCCAAAGGAAATGGGGAAGGCAAGGGATGGGAAGATGCATACCGTGGCCGATAATCCTGGATGTTGTACTTCTGGATCTCCTGTATGTGGTGGTAGGCTTGCGGGTAGTACATGCGTTTCGCACTGCTCCGAATTAGCCAAACGAACAACCAATGATACTGCAGGAGACGGGTGAATGTAAGACTTACTACTTCCACGCAAAATCCCTCAACAAGCACAGCACCGGCAATACTAGCCCCATGAGCCAGAATACCGGACTCGTGAACAGCCTCCCAATGACGCCCACATACTCCGTGCTGGTCCCGGTCTTCGGCGCCACAATTGCATAGATCGGCAGGAACACCATCCAGATGATCATGCTGCCCGGAATCGCCGCGACAGTGTATTTCGTCCAGATATTCGTGATGAGAGCTGCCTTGCCGAGCACCGTGGCCAGCGCAGCGGTATACAGCGCCGTGCCCCAAACCCAATGTCCCGCGACCTTGCCGTCGCCCTGCGGCAGGTCCCACAGCCAGATAGCCTGAGAGACGAAGTACAAGATCAGAGAGTGATAAAACCCATTCGCGATCCACGAGAAAAAGCTATGCATCTTGAAAAACACGCCCTTCTGGCTGAGCTGGTACAGCTGCGGATACCGATCCAGCAAGCGTGCCGAGACAAACTGGTCGAAGATACCCAGCACAAATGGCGGCAGCACCGTGAAAAATACGTTGTAGAAACTCAGCGTCCACGACTCGTAAATCACCTGTCCGGAAAAGGAGTTTTGGAACGAGAACCAGAATTGCGTCATGAAGAGCGCAATGTTTTTATAGAAGGAGTAGAGGATTACTTTTGAGACGCGCTGATAGGACCACGAGCCGTGCACGAGGAGCAGCTTGCGCAGGTAGCGGAATTGGCCGATGGCGACGTCGGCGGAGCGAGCGGCTTGGAGACCCTCGACGCCGGAGATGCCGACGCCGACGTGGGCGGCTTGGATCATGGAGACGTCGTTTGCGCCGTCGCCGACGGCGAGGAGGATGGCTTTGAGGTGGCGTTTGACTAGTTTGACGACGAGCGCTTTTTGCAGAGGAGATACTCGGCTGAGAAAGGTGATTAGTGTGAGCGGTAAGACAGTGGAACGAGGGAGAGTTGTATATACCAGCAGATCACAGCTTTGCACATTACAGCTAGGTCAAGGAACATCTTCTCCATATCCCGTTCCAGCGCGAAAGTTAAGGACTTGCCGTCGATGACAAGGGCCAGCGTTTCCATCTCGATGCCGCCGGCCGATTGGCTTCGTATAGCGTTAAGCTTCTTGGATAAGTTGTCTCGCGTGCCTTCTGCGTTCTCCTCGTTGACCATCAGTAGTGTCATATCCTCGCTGATCAACTTGCAGCTCATGCCGATGTTGATGGCCGTCTCCTGCCGATCACCTGTCAAGACCCAGATCTTGATACCTGCTGTCTGTAGCGTATGTATGGTATCTGGAACACCATCCTGCAGCTTGTCTTCAATGGCCGTAGCTCCAAGTAAGGTGAAGTCATGCTCAATGATCTCAGCAGCTTTGTCAAGCTCCTCGGCACGATTCCCGCTGACAGTCGTCTGCGCAGTGTTAAAGACCTTCCACCACTCCTGAAACTCGTGCTCAGGGACTTCGCGCATCGCAAGACAAAGCGTACGCAGACCTTCCGCGGCGTACTCTTCCAAGTGCTGTAATGTGACTTCTACGATGGGGTTGTTCTTGCTCATCCGCTCTAGGATGACAGTGTCGGCGCCTTTGCAGTAACACCTGATCTTCCCGTCCGGGCAGCGAAATATGGTGGACATTCGCTTCCTTGTCGAGTTGAACTCGCACACAGCTAGCAACTCGTACTCATACTCCCGCCCTTCGACGGTGATGGTCACCAACCGCGGCTTACGCGCAACGAAGCGGTATCCAAGCAAGACTGCTCCTTCTACGAGGGCCCCTTCATCGGGTGAGGCGGCCTGGTACTTAATTGAGCCCGGCTTTTCGTCGTTCTTCTCGGGTATGACGGTGTGGCACGTCGCTAGCAGAGCAAGGAAGTGGTGTATCGTGTCGCTCGTCCTGTGATTCTTCCCGTTCTCGGCGAGCCTCTTGAAGTCATGGATACCAATCTCGACACCATCCTGCATTGTTGCCCGTCGGTCTTCCGGAACCTCGTCGGCGTATTGAATGCCCCCGATCGAGCATTGCCTGAACTCCATCTGGTTGCATGTCAACGTGCCGGTCTTGTCCGAAAAGATGTACTCGATCTGTCCCAGCTCTTCGACCAGGGACGATGTTCGGCAATTGGCCGGCGTGTCTGTCTTGTCGTAGTAGATGTCGAGATCTGAGTCAATCAGGTAGGCTTGGTAGTACTTGACGATTTCGATAGTGACGAAAAGTGAAATTGGGACAAGATTCGAGTAGAGGACCCAATAGGTGAAGATATCAGAGAAGAACTGCCGTGCTGCATTGTAGTCGTCATACTCAAGATATGCCAGTTTCGAGCTTGCCGTTGCTCTGACAATGACATCGCCGATCGAACTGATCAAGCTGAGTGAGATCAGGATTGCACCAAGCATAAGGATCTGGTAATTGACCATTCTCTCAACTGCAGTCTTCTTGATTGGCGTTGCGGTCGCATTCCGCATCAGCTTCGTTTCGTGGCCTGTGAACACGACTACTCCATGTATCCAAGGCGTGTTCCTTAGCGTAGCTCCACGAAGCAGAAGCTGGTCAGGCTGGAGCGGAAGCTCCTTTTCACCTCCGCCGGCCGCAATAGTGAGAGTGGCCTCATACGTGTACAGACTGCTGTTGGGCTGCTCTGATCGTAGCCTGCCACCAAGTCGGCTCAGCTCCGCCGGACTGACCAAGTCCGCGGTTTCCGGTATCGCCTGCTTGATCTTGAGATTGGTCTCTCCGTCAAGATTCGCTGTCTCGATATAGCACAGCCCTTCTGGCTCTGAAGATGCTAGAAGGACTAGATCTGCGGGGAATGGTTCTTCTGACTCCACTCGGACAATGTCTCCTACAGCGACGTTGACCCATCGAACATCCTGGAAGCTCGAGCCCTTCAAGACACGCGCCTTAGAGTTGTTGAGTGACTTGTCTTGGGTCTTCCGCCGCCAATCTTCAACAAGCTCCTTGATGGCGGAGACGAGCAAAACGATGATTAGAGGAACGATTGTGGTATATCGGTTCGTAGGTGATATGTTGGGTATCTGCTGTAAGATGGCGGTGAACAAGAAAAAAAGATTGGCGTATCTGGAGAACTGCTCAAAGAGGAATTTTGGGAGGAAGCTGGCAACGTTGTATTTCGCAGTCGACACATGATTGTTGACATACTTGTTGGACGCGTTCGCGGGGGGATTGTTCAAGTGTATTATGCGTGGCCCTAGTTTAGAGGGATCCGGTGCTCCTCTTCCAAAGCCGAACTTGAATTTGCCAGCATCGAACTTCTTAGGTGGCGCCTTCGCCCGCTCTTCAAGCCCTCCGCTATCCGCCCGCGAGCCTTGTGCGCCAGTCTTCGTCAGCGGGAGGTCCATCTCAGAGTACTGGGGGCCCATTCCAAGCATATTTTTCGCCTTGCCCAACATGCCGCCTCCCAGACTCAGTATGCTGTTTCTGTTGGCTGGCTTGCTCTGTCCGCGTATGACGGCCGGGGCGGTAGACGCATCGTCCGCCCCTCCTCCGGCGTAGTAGCCTTGCATCGAATGGTCATCATCCATTGCGCCGTCATAGTCTGAGTACCTCCGGTAGTTTTGTAGGTCCGACGTCTGCGAATACATTCTGCCCCCAGTTTGGAGAAACGGCGGCCGTGAGTCGCCCGCTGGTGGCGCACCGGGTCCACCAGGCAGACCTGACGTCGACTGACTTGAGCCCCCCACGAAGTCATCGTAGCTGACAGATGGGCGCGCTTGTGGTGCGTCTGAATCCTTTATGTCGTACCGGCGCAGAAGGTCGTCGTCGTTGACAGGCGCGCGCTGTCCGGAGGTATATACGGGGCCTGAGCCATTGTCATCGAGGTCAAGGAGAAGGTCATCGTTGTTCGAGGTAGAATGGCCTCCGGGGGGCCTGCCTGCCATTCCGGTCAGGGTCTTCGAATGCGTGCAAATGCTCAGTCAAGTGCGGCGGTAGCTCCTCCAAAGTCATCCAGCTTGTTTTCTGATGTTTGATGTTGGCCTCCTCTTCAGTAGTCCCTCAACGGTGCTCTTCTCAGCCAGGGGGTGCTTCGTTATGCGCTTCGTCAGCTGTCGCGTCTTTTGTCCATGCGTCCCCAGCACAGCCTCCAGCTACCCGGCGCTCTGGGATACGAGCTATTCTTAAGGGACCTGATGCGCTAGTGGAGCTTTGAGATTCGTTCAAAGTGCGTAGGATTCGGTGGGCACGTCCGCCTGGTAGATATGGAGGGCCTGAATGCGGGGCTCTGTGCTGCCGTGCTGCGGAGGGTTTTGGGGCTGCTGTCAGTCCTTTTGCAGAGACCCTGACCTGAAAGCTGTGAGGCCAAAGCGGAATCCGGGAGTCGGCGCTCGGTCCGCTGCGACAAAGCGCCGCTTCATCTCAGCTGGCGCGTCAAAGTGGCCTTCACCTGGGCACCCTGAGCATCAATCACGATTTAGAGCCACTAAAACTCTGCGATTTATTGTACTGGCTCTGGAGGCGTTGTCTAACTGAGAAACCTCCTAGGGGAGGAAATACATCATCTACGGCTGTACCAAATACTTCAGCCCTACTCACAGCACGACCATCATGGTCTGCGGCAAATGCCAACAGCTGCAAAAGCAGACGCAGCTAGCCACACCCGCCGTCAAGAAGAAGAACGAGATGTACTATGGCTCTCCAGCCGGTAACAAGACTGCTAGCACGAGTGGCAGCAAACCCTCCGCGACGCTGGGTCAGACGGGTGTCAGCAAGGTATGGACTGATTTTGCATCGTGGCCCCCAAAACATAAGGCTGACGCGTGATCCTGTAGAGCAAACTGCTGAGTAAGAGCGCAAAGAACCCGTATGCCATGTACTCGAGCTCTTGCGACAAGTGCAAGACGAAAGTCGACAGCGGGAAGAAGTACTGTCATCGATGTGCTTACAAGGAGAACTGTAAGTCTGCCTAACAGCGAGGCTTGGATATGTTAGCTAACGGGTACAAAGCTTGCGAAATGTGTGGCAAGAGCTTAACGAAGAGCTCGAGCACGAAGGGCGCGCCTGTGGTTCAAGGGCAGCGCTTTTCTGCCAAGTAATAGATGAATGCTGCAAGAGCACGTTTAATGAGCCAAACAGATACCCAGTCTATGCATACGAACCCGGCGCATGGCGTACATGAGAAGCTTAGGACCTTTTGTACACTATAGAATACATCATGACCTTCTTGTACAAAGTCGACCTCTACCTGTCAGCCAACATGTTCCGTATAGCACTCCAGTACCTCGCAGTAACCGTCTTTTCCAACTCTTCCTTGGCTAGCCACTTGAAGTCCTGCAAACCAAACTTGTTCTGCTCCAGATTCGCCTGACCAGCCATGATGCGAGCCTTCATGAAGAACACCTTCTCCCCCACCTCTTCCACATTCTTCTCCTCATTCATTATCCCCTTGGGAAAGTCGGCATGGAAGTATCCTATGGGCGCATTCCCCACCACCCAGGTATTCATGTTCACTCCACCAGCCTGAACGAGTATCCTTTCGGCGGCCTGTGGATAACAATCAGCGACTTCCTCATTAACCAGCCATATCCAGATGACCTACCAGATGCAGCCCTTCTCTCCCAATCAACCTATCACAAGGAAAAGTCCACCTCCCTTCCCCATTCTTCACCACCAAATATAACGACCTCTGCAACAGCCTATCTAAACTCTTAACATCCCCCCTCCTATCCGCCTCCGTGACCCTACTCATCGGCCTCTCAACCTCCTCCCTCTTCTCAACCATCGCGCCCGCCTGCGCGCCCGCACTCGCCTCCCCCGCAGCCGGGACCTCCATATCCTTCAGCAGCGCCTCAACTTGCCATTCCGGCTCGCTCTCCTTCGCGCCCACCAGCACCTCGTCATTCCACCCTTCCTTCCCATACGCATGATAGACACCGATATCCCTAGCCGCCGTTAAGCGCGTCTTGGCCTTCCGCTTCCACTCGATGTCGGCGGGGGTGTCCTTCTTGAAGTAGAAGTAGCGCGTGAAGGGCAGCGCGAGGCGTTCGTTGAGGCGGCGCTGGTAGAGGAAGAATGCTTTCTCGAACGGCTGGAGATCCCGCGTTATTTGCGGCGGCCGGCAGAGTACTACGCCTGCTTTCAGGGCGTAGGCTTGGGGGGGCGAGGAGGTGGAGGTTGCGGGTGGAATGGTTTGGAGGGGAGCGGGCTGCTCGACTGCTGCGGCGGCCGCGGAGGAGGCATGGCGTCGGCGGGAGATGCGGCAGGAGAGGCAGATAGGGTCTTGGGGTCGCCAGCCTGGAGGGTAGTGATTAGCAGGGGCTTGTCTGGGATGGAGATGAAAATTGACATACTCGACCTTGAGGCTAATTGCCTCGCGCTCTTCTGGCCGGCGTTCATCGAATGTCAAGGTCAATGACCGTCGTACTCTCCTGTGATAGATGGCCGCCGGAGAGCTTCAAAAAGTCCGCTAGATGCACTCCCGAATGGCTGAATCCCGGCTGAACTCGACGCCAAGACATCGCGGTCTGGAGAACTTTTTGGCTGGAGCAATTCTGCTTTCTTTCCATCTCATGGCACTAATCCTTATCTCCAGTGCCTCACCACAATGAGGACGTTGGTCATTTAGCTGTGCCTAGAGCAATTCATGCAGTCTTTTTCGCTAGCGGTACCCTCTCACCAAACTAGGTGTACGGTTAGATAGATCCTGCGGAAATCTCTTCAAAGGGCTTTGGGTCATTCTGGTTGAATGGTAAAGCATGGCGACAGAAAGCATTTCTTGTACGTGTCGTGATGTACCTCAGATGAAAAGCTGTCTGGTGGACAGGGAGAGTGTAGTATACAGTCCCTAGTTCTGTACCTAATACATCAAACTATTCGATCCAGAGTTCCAAATTCTCCAGTGGTGCTACCGTACTGTCATCCAGATGGCCAAAACATTCTCCATATACAAAAAGGTTCTCCAAGCGTCCAGACATCACAGGTCAGTGACCAGGCTCCCTATACCACCCTCCCGTAGTTCCCAGGAAACAGCCCCGTCCTCCCCGCATACGCACCCCAAAACCAATCCCCATTGATATCCTGGCCTTCCCTAATCTCCGCGCCTTTCGGGAACATCAACTCATCTTCCACGCCCTCCGCCGGGAAATACCCCCACAGCGCCTGCACCCTAAGCCCAAAACCCCCATCCGGCGGAAACCTCGCCTGCGGCATCCCCATCGCGCCCACCAGCGCCGTCTCCCTACCACCCCCCGCCCTCGCCTTCCTTACCGCCCCATCCGGATCTCTCCAGCTCCAATTCGGCGTGGCCCTCGCATCAGCATTACTCCCCTGCCCCACCACCGCCTGACTGTCGCCTCCATCTTCATCCTTCAGCGCCAGTCCCCCCACCAACTCCCGCACAACGACGCGTCTCTGGCCGTCCCCCCGTTCCTCGAAGCCCACGACCAGCATTCTATGTCCGCGCTGGCAGCGGCGCCACCCGCTCGGCCCGTTCTCGGCGCTTATGCGACCCTTAAGAACCAGGCCCTGGTAGCAGGATACGCAGATGTCGTAGTCGCCGTCGTTGCAGCGTGGACAGTGGAAGCGCGTGTGGGACGGCGGGATCGGGTAGTGGCAAATGTCGCAGTTGGTGGTGAAGGTTAGGGGCTTGAAGAGGGTGTTTGCGTAGGTGATTAGGCCGGGGCCGCGGGTGATGGAGGCGGATTTAGGGGTTGTTTGCGGCGGGTTGGAAGTCTGACTGGAGTGGGGGACGTCCTGGGTGTTGGCGGTGTTGGAGACTGTGGTGGCGGCTTTCTGGGCGATGGGGAGGAGTGGGTGCGTGCAGTGTCGGCCTTGGTTTACGCAGGCGTTGCAGAAGCCCCAGGCGCCCTCGTTGCAGGAGTCGCACTTCCAGTAGCAGGAATTGGCGAAGGCGTGACAGATATCGCAAAAGACGCCAGCCTGGAGGCGTTTGGATGGGTCTTCGTCTGACATGAACGGTTCTCCAGCATTTTCTGAGCCAACTAAACCTCTACTAGGTTGCGAATATCGATGACCGGTCAGGATGTGTGGCTGCTCATGGCCTGGTGGGTAACCACCAGGAGGGGCTTGTCGTTCATATCTTGCCCATGCTGAATTGCCAAATCCATACCAGTGGAGGCATCCTTTGCCTAAGCGGTAGCAGCGCATACAGAGGTTGAAGTTGCCTTCCCTGCATCTGTGGCAGTTGTAGTGGGCCTCGTATTCGATATGTGGCTTCTCGCAACGATCACACGATATCGATGGTTCGGGATACAGTGCTGGACGCGGAGGAGCTGCGTTGGCGGAGGAGGAATCGGGCCGTATCTCAGTCACAGGAAGTTCGATTGCGGAAGGATTAATAACAGATGGAGGAGTGCGGTTGGCGGGCCGCAGCGCTTGGCCAGTAGGAGTTGGAGGACCATCAGCTGCGTGCGGAGGCACAACCACAGTAGCTTCTGAACCTGGCGGGACAGTTGATGTTGGGCTTTCGGTGGGTTGCGGAGCGAAAGCTGCTCCTCGTGGAGAATTCGGGTTAGATCGCCCATTCCCACCGAGGGCGTCGCTGCGCCATTGGTCTCTGGCGCGGCGAGTCTCTGGGTCAGTAGTTCTACGGTCATGCGGAGATAGTCTCCGCTGTCTTTCGGCGCTGCCTCGCGAGCTCGGTGGACGTTCTAACAAATCAGTCGTTGAGTGGGCGGCGGGCCTGGAGGAGTCGATCACGAGCTGTCTCGGATTGTGGCTTCGCGCGGAGCGTCCGCTGCCCTGACTTGATGATCGTCGCTCGTGGCGTCGACTTGCGTTTGCATCCTCGAACAGATGAGGTCTAGAGACCGGAGGTCGAGCTGTCTGTGTTTGCTGAGCGTTACCGCTCTCCGAATGCGCATGTGGGCGCCTGCGTTGTTGCTCTGCGTCTGGCAATCTTTGCGGGGCACGCTGATTGCTACTATTGCCGTGTTCTTGGGACTGCCTCCTGCGTTCCCTCTCTCGCTCCCTTTCCCGCTCTTGCTGCCTTTGCCGTCTCCGGTATGCTTGAGCGATCCTCTCGCTAATTTCATCCTCTTGCGATACATCGATGTTGTCGAGGTCTATGCCATCCAGCAGTCCTTCCTCCAGTATCTGGCGCATGATCTCCTCTTCCATCTCCGTAGAATCCAGCTCCGAAGCGCTGAGAAGTGAACGTAGGCTAGACTGATGTCCTACTTGCCTAGACGAAGCCGCTCTCTGTGAGGGATGCGGCCGTCTACCTCCTTCTGCCGGTCTGTAATTGAGGTACGTCCCACCTGGGCTTCTTCGGTTTGCATCGTACGCCCGATGATGATCTCTGGGGCCTCTGCCAGTCTCCCGGCTGCGCTCCGTATCTCTACCAGGCCTGGACTCTACAAGATTGCTGCCACCGACACCCACCTCTTGCAAGCTTAGCTGCCTGATCTGCTCCATGAGCCTCTGGTCTTCGGTGTCCGCAGGGGCGCCTCTCATTGTAATCTTCGGAACTACATCGTCTCCAGGCTTATACTGCTTCCTCATTGCTTCTTTCTCTTGCTCTGTTTTCCCACGGCTAGGGTTCGCCTGGAGGAACATGTCAAGGAGGGTGGTGACAGTGGCGTTCGGCCGGGTCGAGCGGACCGTAGCTCGGCATGATGGGCAGGTATACGGCTGTAAGTTCGTAGAACTGGCGGTGCTGGTACCTTGGAACGTGAACCATTCTTTCAGACAGGCGCCGCAGAAGGTGTGGAGACAATCGAGGAGCGTGAGCGGTTGATAGAGGACATCTGTACATATCTGCACATATCAGCCTTGCCGCCTAATCATAGTGTTCCTCGAGTACAGTACTCGAAACTCGAGGCTCACGAAGCTCTGGGGAGCTTGTCATGGAACACAAACTTACCGAGCAGGTCAGCTCCTTCTCCAAACCGCTCGGCTGCCCCTCGGCCATCGTGACCAGTCCGCGATGCTTCTTGAGAATGGTATACCTATTCGATTCACTCTAACAAAGTTGGAGGGCAAGGCTCGCTGCCAGCGGTGAGATGCGCCTCAGCTTGGCGATTGGTGCGTTGTCTTGACCTCCGCCTCAGCTGAACTAGAGGCGAGATGCGGCGGCGACATCTTGCAGGCCCCGACGAAGGATGAACGGAACCTCGTCTTTCTTTGCTCTCGAGGCCTGGTCGTAGTCTGTTCAGTCTGTGAATGTGAACATCACCTTATCATTATTAGAAAAGGCTCCCGCTCTCTCAGCTTGATCTGCTGGACATCTCTGTCGTCTCGTCGCTTGTTTTTCTATGTACTTGTGCCCAGTGCTTGTAGCTTGCCAGGTTTTACAATGACACCCAAGACTACCTACCTAGGCGAAGGCAGACCCTAGCAATAGATATTATACCAAAATCCGATGCGTCTAAAGATCCTTCTACAAGACGTGAACCCAAAACATACTGCAACATCTATACGCCTCCAACTCCATTGCTAAATGTTCTCCTCGCTCATCATAGTCCCTCATCAATGCTCCGTTTTAAATCCCAAAGCCCCATTCAGATCCCGGAAATCACCCCTTAAACTCTCGATCCCCTCCTTCCTGACCTCATCCACCAGCGCCTTGACCTTGGGTGCGATCTTCGTGCCTGAGAACCCGAAATGATCATAGCATTTCGCGCCAGGCAGCGAGTGCCCAAACGAGCTCATCGCGAAACCAGCATCCGCATACCTCTCCCAGCCGTTAACAGCATACGCCTCGATAACCACAATAGGTCGGCCTTTACCGTACTGCAGCACCTCGCGCTTGTACTCGCGCGGCTGAGCTTCGAAGAGGCGCTGGCAAGGGAAGCTGACAACGCGGGCTTTGATCCCGTACTCCTTCTCAAGGACTTCCTTCGTAGAAACTGCAAAGCACATTTCCGCGCCAACACCAATGAGCGTCACGTCTGCGTCTTCCTGCTCCATCAACACGTAAGCGCCCTTCCGGACACCCTCACGCGATGAGTGGGCGGGGTACTGCTCGAGGTTCTGGCGGGAGAGGGAGATAATGGAAGGTGTGTTCTTGGCGTTGAGTGCGGCGATGAATGCACCGGCTGTTTCTTCGGAGTCGCAGGGCCGGATATAGAGCATGTTGGGCATAGCGCGGTAAAGCGCGGCGAGCTCGACGGGTTGGTGAGTTGGACCGTCTTCGCCAGTGCCTATCGAGTCGTGGGTTGCGACGTGGATGCATTGGAGGCCTTGGAGGGCGCCCATGCGGACGCCGGCGGCGGCGTACTAAAAGCGGCAGTGTTAGTAACAGTTCTCTCGAAGTGTGTGGGTTTGAGTGGCATACAATATAGAACATGAAAAAGGTCGAGGTCACGGGTAAAATCGTGCCTTTGTTGTACGCAGCGAGTCCATTGGAGATTGATGCCATGGCATGTTCTCTTATACCCCAGTGGATGTACCTGCCGCTGTAGTCTCCGTTGATACCGCACGCCGTTTTCAAGTCAGGCTAAGAAATGTCAGCGACGTGGTTGGGCTAGAGGAGCTAGTCACTGCAGGAACTTACGTGCTGAAAGTCCTTCTTGTTTTTCCACACCATGTTTACTGAGGGTGTCAGGTCCGCAGTCCCAACCATGATATTGTTAAGGTTTTGCGCCAGGGGGTTGCAAACCAGTCCAGCCGACTTTCGGGACGCAGTAGGCGTAGTCGGAAAACTGTCTTTTGCTGGAATATACTTCATCCAATCCTGCGGCATCTGACCCGCGACCCTCGACTTGAACTCCGCTGATAGCTCGGGGTACTCTTGAGAGTACGCATCGACCAATGCGTTCCATTCCCACTCGTAGTCTTGGCCGCGCGATCGAGCCTCGTGGAAGAAGTCATAGACATCATCCGGGATATAGAAGTGCTTGTCCACATCCATGCCGAAGGTTCGTTTGATGTTCGCAACATCCTCAGGGCCAAAGGCAGCGCCATGCGTCTTTGCGTCCCCGGCGAGCTTGCTTCCAAAGCCGATGACTGTGCGGACGTTGATAAAGGTCGGTTTGTCGCTTGCGCGGGCGGTGACTAGGGCTTGCGTTACGCCGCTGATATTGTTGGAGCCATTAAAGACGTCTATTACGTTCCATCCACAGGCTCGCATCTTGGCGTTGACGTCCTCGTTGCATGCCAGATCGACCGAGCCGTCACAGGTTACCTGGTTGTTGTCGTATACAATTACCAGATTATCTAAGCGCCAGTGTCCGGCTAAGCTGATCGCTTCTAAGGCGACCCCCTCTTGAAGGCAGGCGTCGCCGATCATGCAGAAGATCATGTTGTCGACGACCGGATAATTAGGCCTGTTGTACGTTGCTGCAAGGTGCTTCTCAGCCATAGCTAGGCCAACGGCATTGGCCACGCCCTGTCCAAGTGGACCGGTCGTAACCTCGATACCGTCAATTTCGATCTCTGGGTGACCGGGGCAAATTGAATCCGTCCGTTTCGAATGGTAAGAACGGAGTTGATCGAGGGTCATATTACTGTATCCAACCAGATGCATAAAGGTATACTGGAAGAGACAGGTGTGTCCTGACGCAACGATCAGCCACAACCTTTACATCTACAGGGAAGAAAGACCAACCATTGCTGAGCACGAATCTGTCCCGATTGAAGTAGTTGGGATTGCTGGGCGAGTATTTCATTGCGTATTTCCACAAAGCTATCCCGATGCCAGCCATGCCCATCGCACCCCTACAGCTTGTAAGCATATTTCCATGCGTGATTATAGTATATGAAGGGGAAATAATACCCAGGATGTCCGCCCTTGAATTGTTCACACAAATCCGCAATAAAACACCGGAACACTCGCAGGACCAGATCATGCTTCTCTGACTCTTCTAATCGAAGACTGCTTGCACCGTTGACCACCCCATTTTTCTTAGGCACAACTTTCATAGGAAGTGATGAGGAGACTTCCTCGTACGATTGCAGAGATGGAGGCATGTTGAAAACGTGATATGAGATCAGGAGGATCGGTGAAATCAGAAGAACAGTTGATGAACGAAGGGTACACTGTCTGACTGGACCGTATTGCTATATATTCCTCCATTCTGAAGGTGGCCAACAGCCAGGTCCGCGACTTAGGCTTGTTCTTGCCCGTTTGTTGTGGATCACCGGTTGCGCACCGGGTCTTGCTGGTGATGCAGAAGGCGGCGATGTCGGTTGGAAACGCCCGAATAGGTAACCCGCAGCGGCGCCTCAGGTTTCCCTTTTAGTACTGTGGGGATTTGGCGCCCTCTCCGCGTCGCGGAGGCTGTCCGCAGCTTCACAAGCCATCCGGATCAACACAGGGTAGACTGCGGTTTGCACGTTTTTGGTAACTGCAGGCTCCGGCTGTTAGTCGAGTCGTGCTCCGTACGGTCGTCACCCCCGGGACATGAGGCCCCCGTCTCGAAGAAACACCCGATGTTGTCAGAATATGATAACGAGTTGACATGACACAGCGGGTACAGGCATAGGACATGGAGCCTATCCAGCTATACCAAGCTATCGGGTTTCCCCGGCGCATACTTCTAACACACCCAGATTGAGACGAAGGAAACGAAGGGTGCCTGGGGTGTTCAATCTTAAGCCAACTGAGATCGTAGTGTTGAAACCGCAGCCCAGATATCTGCAGTCTTCCAAGCGTGGGCCTTTTCCGAGCCGTAAGTACTGACGACTAGCGTTAGTTAAGCCAGGGGGCTATACAGTATGAACCCCAGGTTGCCTGAGACAGATAAGTAATTAAAAAAATTCACTTTGGGCGAAGTGAAACGTGTAGGTTAATGCACCAAAAATTTGTGCATAGATCAGTGATCTGGCAGTGTTATCCGCCTTGCAACCTTCAAATCTGCAGGTGCAGCGATTCTACTTTGTAAAGAGCTCACCGCTCTTGTGCCCTGGGCCTAAATCCTTAACACTGCCTTTGGGGACCTTTCCAAGCTACCGGCTATCAGCAAAGCCAGGACAGAGCCAAAGGGTTCAGACCATGGATCAGCAGAGCAATGTCGACCGTCTCTACCAGGCGAACTGGCAAAGTACTCTACGAAGCCGTTCACAAAGCTTGCAAGCGCGACGATCAAAAGAGTATGAGATCTCTTCTCCGCTCTATGCTCGAAGATCGTTTCCTATCTAACTTCTAAGCTACATAGAGCCGGCTGTCTAATTGCATTTCTGTTGTCGACAAGAAAGGCTCCCAGGCGACACTCCATGGACCATATCCCATAAAGCTCTCAAAGTCATCACTAAGATGGAGGGAATTCTCAAAGCTAGAAATCTTCCACCAGATCATGTTGTTCAAGAGAAGGGGGAGATAGCTTAGGACCTACTTGATAATATGACCGAGGTCAAAGGGCAAAAAGAGGGAGAAGCTAAGGGAGATGGAGAAGTCATCCCGCAGGAGACCACTGAGCCGTCTTGGAAGGTAGAGCAGCCCTTCTCTGAAGTCTTGATGACGACTGAAGCAACTACCAGTAGAGATCTGAAGTCATCCACCCAAGCTTCTTCTGTGTAGGGCGCCTAGTCCCATTCATATGTCTGTTCAGTACTTCCAAGATGCGCTGTGCTGACTACCTTCCCCAGGTGCCGATACTGTCAATGCGCTCGCCAGCCTCTCTGCCCTAGGCACCACCGAAGCTGCCATCGGACAACTCCCGAGCTCTTATAGGAGAGTTAGTTCCGAGAAACACAGCAGCTGAGCTGACTGAGGAAGATAATGAGGAGCGGAACCGTTTCCGGGTGGGCCAGTCTTATTGGAAGATGTAGTGGACTAGTATTGCGGAGGACGACGGGTGGGACAAGGACAAAGCCAAGAAATGGGAGTAGACACCTTGTCAGCGTCTAGGGACTTGTGAAGCACCAGTATGGGCTTCGAGCGGTGGACTCCTACGATGCACTCTCTGGCCATGATGCGACCTTACTCGTCTCAGGTCTCGATAGGTTCTTGTTAGCCTGGTTTCCCACGATGCAGCTAGGATGCGTGGAAGCTGTCAATGTGCAACTGCTATCACAAGATGCCATGTCGATGAAGTATACTTGGTGACATGATCCACTCTTCGCTTTTAATGTGATCTAACTCTTCCGGCGGCGAGAGTAGGTATGGTAGCCAAAAGATCAAGAAATTACTCACATAAGAGTCAATTAAGAGCCGGCTGATAGAGCTGTCTGCTTGTGGGCGCTGTCCGCGGATACCATAGCATGTTACGATTCGTAGAAAGCGCGTGGCTGGTATTTTTCTACAGCCAAGTAGCCTCATTCGAAGCTGGTATCACAGTGAAAGTACCATCTGAAAAGCCCGTTGCCGCATGGATAGCTACTCGCGGCCCTGATGGTGGATAGGCCAAGCCCACAGCCCATTGATCAAAGCCACCTCAGGTGATCGGTGCATCAAAGAGCTAGATTGCTGAGCACCTTTTGCTCTTCATCACGTGGAATTGTCTAGCTGCTCTACCATTGACAAGATCATGAGTCCAATTTGACAGTGAATCCAGTATTAAACAAGCTGGAGCAAAGATATAACGACGGTCTCTTCGGGCGGCCCTTGGTAATGGAGGAACTGTATGTTCACGGGATTCTTGGTACGATTTGACAATGACACTATGATGGACTCGCGATACTTAGAGAATTCTGGTCTGAGATTAAGTCGTTGTATCTTGGTTGTGCTGAGATGAAGGTTCCGGTGTTGGTGATTTCTCCGTAGCCTCACGGCAAGCCCCGTGATCTCCTTTCATCCCGTAACAATGCTGGCGAGTTTCGGGAACCACCAAGAGGCGGAACATATACGAGTGGAATGTAGAGGCGTTCGCCCGGCACTCCTCGGTGCCTATCCACCAAGCTGACCATGCTCGGTGATCAACATGGCGAATCTCTCAGGGCGTGAAGCGCCACGACCTCTCAATCAACTGCCATCATTGGCAGGCCGCGGCCATGCAATCACGAAGAAGACTAGGGGTCGGACGGGCTGCCTGAATTGTCGGCGTCGGCGAAAGAAATGTAGATATTCCGTTACCTGTTGAGGCTCTGCTGACGTCTGGGTCAATCAAGGTGATGAGAGGAAGCCAACGTGCTCTAAATGCCACTCAAGGAGCGAGAAGTGTGAATGGGAAACCGCTGGCATCACGTTTCGAGTGAGTGGCCTTGATTCGGAACATCCATCCATGAGACAATCGCAGACGGAACACCGGCATCGGCACAACCTACAAGTGAGTGGCAACTCTACCGTGGCTGTTTGCGCTCTGTCCGCGAGCTGATATGAGCAGATCGTTGATGTGACGTTCAATTCCGACAAGTGTGGGGCAACAGAGACGACTTCTGCCTCGAATCAACCACATGGATGGACCTGGAACAAAACTCACAAGGCTGTCAATAGAGATACATCGGATTCTGACTCCAGTCAGATCTTCTCGCCGCATGCCGAGTCCGCTGCTGTCAGGATGGAGCCCTCGAGCCAACGGCATCCCGGATCAAGAGGACTTGACCAAGTGGAATTTGTAGCACCAGAAGGTTATGTCCAGCTTTCACCACCTCACTCTCGCATACCTAGTGCCCTCTTAACAAGTGAAGTGGACGGTGCCCTGGGTAGGTCATCGAGCAAAGAGGGCGGTTCCAACTTTTACGGTCCCAGCGAAGCTGACGCGAGCCGCTCCGCAGTTCAGGCGCAAGATGGAGGCTCAGTGTTCTCAAATGCAGATGCGGTGGGGGCCTATCCTGAGTTGACCTCAACGCCCGCCTCGAGACTCTCACTGGACCACAACAGCATTCACGGAGACCAGTGCCATTCTGGGTTTACTGCTGCGGGATTGGAAGCACTGGATTATCTGACGTCGTACCCGACAAACGCAGGCCCGCTGCCGTCCACAGCAAATCAGGACGGGACTCATCCATGGGTCTCACATGCCGGCGACGCTCGTATACAAGCCTCTTTACCTATTGATCAAATCATGATCGATTCGCCTGACGTTTACGCTATGTACTATCCCGATCCCGTATATCAAGAGTTACACGGGCTTCTTCACAGCCACATCTTGGAAACCGCCAGGAACACGGGATTCACGCGGCAAGGAACTCCAAACCCCCCTGCTCGAGAGACTTCGCCGACCCGGCAGAGTTCTCCCCCGCTCTCAGATAGAGACCGGGAAGCTGGGCCCATGCAATGCTCTGAAATGTCAAATGTCTCCCCGAAGGGCACTAGGATGACTGTAAGGAGGGAGCTGGAACTTTGGCAAAATTATCTTGACGAAGTCGCCGTATGGGTACGTATGACACGGATACCTCTATTGCGGAAGGAGGCTGTCAATCAACCTCATGATCTTTCATGACCTACCACGGTAAGAGCTAACGCTCCTTTCAGCTTGATATGTTTGACAACCAGCGTCATTTTCAGCATACGTTGCCGATGATGGCGAAAACAGCTAGTCATCTCCGCTACTCAATCTTGGCTCTCTCAGCGCGCCAAATGGAGAGGAGAGACCCGAATAAACCGTATACCGAGAGCCTTGGTCTCTACCAAGAAGCTATTCAGCTTATAGTACGGGATCTTGCGTCCATGGACACCGCTGTTATCGCTTCTTGCGTGCTCTTGTGTGTCCTCGAGATGATGAGCTGTTCGTATATCCTACTAATGCTTCCCCTTGTCCGCCATCGACCCGCTAATCAGCCTGAAGCTTCACCAAAAGACTGGAAACGTCACCTTGATGGTTCTGCAATGCTCCTGGAGGCGGCAGGCGTCAATGGTGTTGTTGGCGGCATGAGACAAGCACTATTCTGGTGCTTCGCGAGAATGGGTATGTGGAATCCGTTGCCATGTATCGGAAGGTGTGGATGCTGATGAGGACGAGCCAGATGTATGGGGAGGCTTCCTCTCAGACACTTTCACAAAAATTCCGACGAATCGCTGGTTCCTGCCAAGCGGGCCGATGTCTACGGCTGTAACGCGGTTCAAGATGGAATCCAAAGGGTTTGACAGTTACGCCAACTACGCAGTATTCCTCTGCGCAAGCGTTCTCAATGTAATCTCAGGTCAAAGTGGCTCATCCGCTGAGCAAGGTGAGAATAACTCAGAGCGAACGGGCTCATACTCCGCTCGATGGCGGGCTTTATATGAGCTTCTGCAGGACTGGTATACGAGCCGACCAGAGGAGATGAAACCTTTAATGACACAACCCGCCGCGGTTGACGATCACTGGAACCCGTTTCCGATAGTTTTGTACGGAAACCTGCCAGCAAGTACGTTCTCCTTCCGATTTCGCACGACGTCGCCAGGCTGTGCCTTGCAGACCCGACAATCAAAACACTGATGCCTCTTCAGTCAACGGTAACCAGCTCTACCACACATCTGCGCTTCTAATGCTTCAAGCAAAGCCGAAGGACGTTCGATTGAGCAAAAACCATGTAAGTCCTCACCCCTGTTCAAGCGGAGCAGGTGATGCCTGGCAGACTTGCGATTAATGTGCTAACAACTGAATAGAAATCTATCTTGTGGCATGCTCGCCAGATCTGCGGTATCTCCGCCTCAAACTTCAACCAGTAAGCGCTCGTCTCGGAGACCTGAAGCCTGGAATTTTGACTAAACCGGTGCAGCGGGCCTTGGATCAATGCCCTCCAGCCACTTTGGATTGCTGGAAAAGTCATGTCACACCCGTCCGAACACAGAAAGATCCTCGAGATCCTGGCGCGCATCGAAGCAGAAACAGGATGGGCAACATCATGGCGTGCGGAAGACCTCAAAGAGTACTGGGGAGACATGGACGGATGAGCCCCAGAAGCATCGGCAAGGGCGCTCATCGGATTGCCTTTTGTAGAATCCCGACTACGCGGTAGCGCCTTGGCTGCAATCCGAATTCGGCAATCACAGGCGCCTCCATCTTGAATCCAACAGGGTTGATCATCTGCGACATTGGGGTCTCACGCTTGGGCGTGCTTGGATGTCACCAGAGAAAGTACCATGGCTGTGTCACTGGGAAGTTCACGGCGTGACTGACAGACCTCGGAAAGAGCAGAGAGGCATCCTGAGAGAGGTCTTAAACCGTCAATATGGCAACCAACGTGCAAGTCCTCTTCCTGAATCAGGCCAAGGCGGTATCTTACTCTTCGCAATTACGCGATAACATACAATGCTGGCATCTTGCGACTCCGACTCGAGCAGATCATCCGCATGTCTTTTACAGATGCATCAACAAAATCTCCAGCCTTTCAGAGGAAGCACAGGGACGTGCCGTCAAAGTGAGGGGAAAGTCTTGTATAGGTTGGGCGCCCTCCACCATCTAAACAGTCACGGCCCTGCTCGAAGCTGATGGTTGTTAGCACCTTATTCGACCAACCCATAGTAAAGACTGCCCTTCTCAAGATCGAGAAACAACAGCTACGTGGTCATGGAACTGAATCACCTCCCGGACACTTCGCGAAGAGAATGGGAATGGACTCGAAACTTGTCATAGTCATGGTTGGCTTACCAGCACGGGGCAAGAGCTATGTCACGAAGAAGCTGTGCCGCTACCTGACTTGGCTTCAGTACGAGACAAGAATCTTCAATGTTGGAGAGCGACGTCGAACCGTAGCAGGGCGACCGCTTAAACCTACGGTATCGAAACAGTATTTCAAGCCTACGAATGGCGCCGGCACGGTCTTGGATGAGCCTGAACACTCTGCCAGCTTCTTCGATCCTGCCAATGCTGAAGCGGGGAGATTGCGGGAGCGAGTCGCTCTGTCAACGCTGGACGATCTTCTTGATTATTTGCTCGAGGGAGGCGGCTCAATCGGGCTCTTCGATGCAACAAATAGTACGCTCGACCGGAGGAGACTGATAGTGGAAAGAGTCAAAGAAAGAGCGGGACCTGAACTGGGTGTGTTGTTCCTAGAAAGTCAATGTTTCGACGAAACCGTATGTTCATGCCTCACCCTCGAAGCTCGGTCTTTCTACAGTACTGATGCGTTTCTCCAGCTGCTGGAAAAGAACATGTTACTAAAGTTATCAGGGCCTGATTACATTGGTCAAGATCCGGTTGCCGCGTTGAAAGACTTCAAGGAGCGGGTCGCAATGTACGAGAAGAAGTACGCACCGATCGGAGATTACGAAGAACGCAACGGTCTCTCATTTTGTCAGATGGTTGACGTTGGACGTAAGTTCGTCACGCACAAGGTTAACGGATTTCTGGCAACACAAGTGGTCAACTATCTCCAACACTTTAACCTCGCACCTCGCCAAGTCTGGCTTACGCGACACGGCGAATCCATGGACAACATTGCCGGTAAAGTTGGTGGTGACTCTGGACTCAGTCCGTACGGCGTCAAATATTCAAGAGCACTGTCAAGATTCATTGACCACGAACGTGACGCGTGGACTCGGCGACAACAGTATGGATCACTCTCCGGTCAATGTGCTCTCGGTGATGGCAACGAACTTGCTGGTTCAGCAAAATGTAATGGCCTAACCTACGAAGAAAGCCATAGGAAGCGGTTTTTTGTCTGGACTTCCATGATGCAACGGAGCATTCAGACAGCGCAATTCTTCGACCAGGATCGCTACGAAGTCGATCATATGCGCATGTTGGATGATCTCAACGCGGGGATGTTGGAAGGCCTGACACACGACCAAATCAAGGAGCTCTATGCCGATGAGTACGAGCAGCGACAGAGGGACAAGTTGCGATATCGGTATCCAGGCAAGCGCGGAGAGGGATATCTCGACGTGACGAACCGGTTGAAGTCTGTCATCCTGGAGCTGGAACGCGTTCATGACCACGTTCTACTCATTGGACCGCAATCCGTAACGAGGATATTGCTGGCGTATTGCAGAGGCCTGAAGAGCGAGGAGATCACGGACCTCCATGTTCCGCTGGGTACCCTATATATGCTGGAGCCGGTTAGTAGCTTCCGTTTCCCTGTGGGTGTTGGCTTTGAGGATATGGACTAATTTCAAATCACAGAAACCTTATGGAGCCGACTACAAGGAGTTTGTGTACAATCCTGAAATAGACTGGTTTGATCTCAAAACCAAATAAACGACCTTGTAATCCAGAACTCTCCATCGATTGACCTGAATCAGTCAGTCGTTACCCTTTCCGTGCGTTTCATCCCGTGATACACTCTATCACTTGATTATTGTGAGCTCTTATCAGACTGCTCGCTTAATGAAAAGTTTTCTGAAGGCAATCATGCCTGCATCATTCCAAGAGACGCCCGAGGAAGTCAAGCGTTGGGCCGCGGGCTTAACAAGACTGTCTTCTTATTCCATATGAACCACTCAACGCCACTGGATGGAGGCGCTGCCTCGACCCTTCTTGTTCCTATGGCTACAGGCGCCCGTTTACACATGCCTGAAGAAGTGTATTATGCAAAGTGCTTCAGCCTCGAGTTGTGTTGTTCGTCGCGGAGTGAAGACAGACTTGCTTGCCGCTCACGCGAGTGACAGAAATCGCCGGACTCGTAAACTACCGGACTTACAATAACTCACTCGTAAATCACTAAAATCTGCTAGAATTATTACGTCTCTAAAGATCTTTACTCTAGCTGTCCTAGCTCTAGGTATAGCTTACATATGTTTATATGGCAGCATACCATAAGGGATTGCGCCTAGTTATAACCTCCCTAAGCTGACTGAAGACCTATACTCTAGCTATCCTACCTCTAGTTATAGCTTGCACATGTTTATATGGCAGCATGTTATGAAGGATCAGGCCTATTCATGATCACCATAAGCTGACTGAAGACCCATCTGTTTTTCTAGAGTCCGGCAATTTCCGTTACCTAGGTGCCGCTCCGCATTAAGCAACTCGGCGCTATCCATAGCTACAGTGATTTACAGCGTTCTATATGCATACGTGACTTGATTCTAGGAAATGGTAATCCTCATTTCGCCTTCCTCGCTTTCCTCGTACCCGCTCCATCGTCCTCTGCGTCGGCGGGAGTTTCTTCTCAAAATCTTTTCGTGAGGGACTCGCTTCTTCGCGCCTGGCGCCGGACACATAGATAGTCGTTCCCGGAATAGAGATCACTGAATATGCTGTGCGCTGAATGTTCAGAACAAGCCATGGGTCTATTGTCTACCGATTCTATACATCTATTATCATGCCACCAGATCTACACCTCGACATCAAACAAAATTACGCTGAAGCACAGTGGCCACCATCAACCCTCAAATCCGCGCCGGTCATGAAACTGCTGCCATCCGCAAGCAAAAAGATCGCAGGGGCCTTGAAGTCCTCCGGCGCCCCTAACCGTCCAAGCAGCGCACCAGCCATCCATAGCTTGTCGAGTTCTGGTTTTTCCTCCAGCAGCTGATCGGTCATAGCTGTGCGGATGTAGCCTGGTGAGAGAGAGTTGACCCTAATGCCGTACTCGCCCCATTCAACGGCCAGTGACCGTGTCATCTGTTGTACGGCGGCTTTGGATGTGTTATACGCCGAGCAATGAATGCCCTGTTTATACGTTGTTAGTTGGGCCTCCTGTGTTTGACCAATGGCTGAATTGTTCCTTAGATAACTCACTCTGTTCGCTATCTGTCCAGACATTGACGCGATGAACACGATGCTTCCCTGAATTCCCTGGTCTCTCATCAAGCGAGCAGTCTCTCTGGCAACCAAGAAACTTCCCGCTACGTTGACTTCAAGTATTCTCCTGAAGCCATTGAGAGGATAATCAATGGCATCGATCATTTGCTGTACACCAGCGCAAGAGATCAGACCACGTATGGGCTTCCCCCGGTTCGCTGCTTCGCTCGCTGCTTCCGACAAAGTCTGGGTGACAGCATCCTCCTTAGTAATGTCGCACTGATAATACCGGGCTTGTGAGTTCGACGCCTTCTGAATCTTGGTGATAACATTCCATTCGGCCTCGCTTGGTGCAGGCAGTATATCGAGGCAGACGGCGTCACCGCCAGCTTCGAGTACAGCGACAGCGAGTGTGATACCCAAACCACGTCCAGCACCAGTGATAACGACGGTCCTTTGACTCAAGGAGAACAATAGGTTCGTAGGCGCATTTGCTGGTGTTTGCTGCGATTCCGGCACGTCCGCCGCCAGGGTGGTATCGGAAACGATCGAGGGAACCATCTCAACAGTATACTTTGATAAAAATGCGCAGTGTCAAGCAGTATGGCAACAGATAACGATTCTCAGAAACAGGTTGCTGCGTAACTGGTCTTCGTTCCAAGGCATTTGTACAAGTCATGGCTGTTCCAGCTAGTCGTCTTCCGAGAACGAATGATACCTGGCAGCAAAGAGTATCGGCTTACGAAGAAAGGTTAGAAGCCGACAGTGCCGTCTTCACGATGGCCTGAGTACGGTATATCGCTGTACGTATGTTGAAGAGTTTCCGGACTTCGGCGAGGCCACATCCGGCATCGTAAGCGCACGGCGCTTTAGGGGTAGCTGGCGGGTCGAGCGCCAAATCATCCAAGACAGGAAATCTCAAGCGCTTCGCCCCGCCACTGCTGTCCTGTGCCAATCTGTCCAAGCACTTCGGAGGCTTCTGGACAATCCATTTTGGGGGAGCAAGGACACAACTGCGAAGCATGCGACAACCTTGCCCGCCCGATGCCTGGTCTGATGCACGCCACGTTGCAGGAGAAGGACATGGAGAAGCTGGAGACCTGAAGAGTGCATCCGATCCAATCATGCCACAACGGGAAGTACTTCATCCTGTCCAGCTCCAGAACTATTAAAGGAGTCAACGTTCCCTTGCTTTCAACTCCATCCTAGACATCTCTGAAGAACGTCACTTGCCTGTTTTCAAGGTCTTTCCTCTCCACTTCATCCAAGTCAAGATGTCTTCACTCACTGGCAAGGCCCTCGACTGGGCGATAACCGCCGCTGCTGGCTCCGGTTTCTTGCTGTTCGGATACGACCAAGGAGTTATGTCAGGATTATTGACTGGATCAGCTTTCACAAAACAGTTCCCTGAGATAGACACGACTCCAGGGGCTGGAGGCAGCTCGTCTTTACAAGGAACAGTGTAAGTCTCAGTACCATCCCGATCTCCTTGGTGGCCATCTGTCGTAAACACACGCGTACTATCACCCTGAGCGGCCGGTGATTATGACAGAACCGCCAGCGAAGAGTTTAGCGTTCCTCGTAGCTCACTTATGGTGTAGCGTTGCCATATACGAAATCGGATGCTTTTTTGGTGCAATCCTTGCATTCGCATTCGGCGAACGCCTTGGCCGGCGCTGGACCATCATGATCGGTTGTGCAATTCTTGTTGTAGGGGCCGCGATTCAGACTGCCGCCTATGGTATTCCCCAGATGATTGTTGGGCGAATTGTTGCCGGACTAGGGAATGGCCTGAACACTGCTACCATTCGTGAGTCTATGATGGAGATCGCAGAGCGTACGGATAATGAACCACAATGGCTGACGACTTCTAGCTGTATGGCACTCTGAGCTTATGAAACCCAGTTCTCGGGGAAGAGGGGTATGTAACGCCAGCCGCAGAGTCTAGACCAAAGCTCACAGTGTATCGCGTTTTAGCTTTCAATTGAGCTGGCCATTACAGTCGCTGGTGTCATGATCTCGTACTGGACTGGTAAGTGGCAATGAAGGGTATTCACGCTGTTGGCATGCTCAAGCTACTTCTACACGAAGCCAAGGGGGAGTCATACTTGTCGATTTGTGCTAACGCGTACTCATCTGCAGACTACGGCATGAGCTATGTAAACAATGAAGCACAGTTCAGGTTCCCGATAGCCTTTCAAATTTTCTTCGCCCTTCTTACAATCGCCTTGATAGTCTTTCTTCCGGAGTCACCCCGCTGGGTAAGCCTGTTCCGGTTGTACATTCAGCAACTTCCAGCACTAAACTGATACAGCTTATCGCTCACGGTCGACCGAGTGAAGCTCGCACGATTCTATGGAGGCTGCAGAAGGACGCACATTCTGTCAGCGAGAACCACCCAATCATCAACGCCGAAATGCATGAAATTGAGCACGCATTTGAGGAGGAACAAAGAGCTGCTGGGGGCGCCACATTCAAAGCGATATTCAAGAGCGGTGCACAAAAGTTTCGCCGGAGAACACTCCTGGGTGTCGGCGGACAGTTTATGCAGCAGCTCTCCGGCATAAATCTTATCACCTATGTACGTGAATCCGTTAGGGACAGCCACTATCTTCCACCAAACGCAACACTGACAGCAAGATACAGTACGCGCCCGTAATTATGGAGCTGAGTGTTGGCATTCGTAAGTCTATTCTCCCTCACAAAGCTAAAACCCATTCCGGCCAGGGCTAACTCAATTTGCTTTCAGCCCACAACACAGCCATGCTACTCGCAGGCTTCAATGGTATCGCCTACTTCTTGTCCTCGCTCATCCCAATCTGGTGCCTTGATCGGTTCGGTCGACGGAAGTTGATGCTCTTCGCCGCTGCTGGCCAAGCAGTGTGTATGGCTGTACTTGCTGGAACCGTCGCTAATGGTAGCAAGTCGGCCGGTATTGTCGCCATTGTAATGCTCTTCCTCTTCAACTTTTTCTTCGCGATCGGTTTGTTAGCCATCCCTTGGCTCCTGCCGGCCGAGTACGCTCCGCTCGCCATCAGGACCAAATCCGCCGCACTCGCCACGGCTTCGAACTGGATTTTCACCTTCCTTGTTGTTGAGATTACACCGATATCCATCAACAGCATCCAATGGCGAACTTACATATATTTTGCGGTTTTGAATGCACTCTTCCTTCCCCTCAGTGAGTCACTCTTCCCGGAAGACAAAGCCTATGCGATTGCTGACTTTTCCTTCCAGTTTATTTCTTCTATCCGGAGACAGCCAACCTCTCACTCGAGCAAGTCGATCTGCTTTTCACTGGTGGGAAGGTTCTCCTGCACTGGCAACCAAGCATGGGCGAACGACAAGGCTCTTTTGCCGTCCCGGCTGTTGCTACGCTTAGGAACGAATCACCTGAGTCTAGGGAAATGTACGGAGAGAAGTCGAATGAATATGGCGTGCGGCATGTCGAGTAAGACTAGTAGGCTGATTGAACCTTGGAAGCAGCTCGTCTACCATACGATTTGAACGATGATTTGTGCGGATGCTTTCAGTCCAATTTCCTTTGGAGCCGATACTTCGTGTACATATTTAACTCAAGTCAAGGCCGAACGGTAGAGCGGAGAAGGGCGGCTGCTTGACTAAGTGCATATTTTATCTCTCACACTGAAACATTAATACGCTTTCTTGTGTGAGCCGCTGACGATCAATCATCGTCATGGTTGATGGATTTGCAGACTGGTAAGGTGGCTTTGACCTTGAAAGCTGAGTCGGCGGAGTACACCACGTCTCAGGTATGGAAACCACTCGCTTAAGATGAGAGACTGTGTTGTTTGTCCAGAATCGTCCCAGGAAGAGCCACTGGTAACAAGTGTCGTATCTCTTTGTTTGCGTAGATCCGAGACTAGGCTCCCGCGTGGAGTAAATACCTTGTTCCCCTTCTCGTCACTGGTTACCTCAACTCTCTCATGGCTTTTCCTAGTGAATAGTATGCATTCTAGAAGCCCGGTGTGCCAAGCTAGCGGATTAGCTCTCCGATCCGCTGATAGGACTTCATTTATCACGAGGCACAAACAGGCACGCGGGTGACAGAAATCGCCGGACTCGAAAACAGATAGGTCTTCAGTCAGCTGAGGGAAGGTCACGGGTAGAAGCAATCCCTCATAGTATGCTACCTTATGAGTGTGTTCAAGCTCCAACTAGAGGTGGAACGGCTGAGGTAAAGTCCTTTAGGAACGTGGTGAGTTTGATTGACTTTGGGAATTTAGGAATGAATGGGAAGTCCGGCGGTTGGCGAGTCCGGCGATTTCTGTCACTCGCGTGACAGGAACTACGGGATGTTACCCCGCTTGGCGTTCTATTTCTAGGCACCTCACCGTCCTCACGATGGGCAGTTCGCGAAACCGTCACTCCCACTGGTCAAGTTTTGGAATCCGGGCCATACAAGATTGGGACTAAGTAGACTTCGTATCGTGCCGGTAGCAACAGCAGAATGGCACATCCAGGGCCTCGCCCTCTTCATAAGGGGAGCTTTCCCCACGCTGATACCCGTGGAAATCCATATTCACTCGCTCAATTCAAGATCTGATAGATCAAAGCTAGAAACTGAAGACCAACTACAAGCAATGGCTCGCTTCACATTCGTTCTCGTAACTGCTCTTGTTGCTGTCTTCCAGGCCGTTGCAGCTGAAGATACCTTCACCTGTGGAACCGCTCCGTACTATCCATCGCAGTACACCTGCTTCGATGGAGTATTCCTCTGCCCCAAGGTCAATGGTCTCGCATATCTGAGGTACTTTCTCCTTCATGCCGGGCAGTCGACAGTGCTGACCAAAACAAGATGCGGCGACGCATGCTACAACCACAACATGTATACGTAAGTTCATCTACATCGGCCACATAGCCGTACATCCGTTCCCCTGCTAACGTTTCCAGTTGCCCGAACAACAAGCTCGTCCTCATCGACTGGAGCGTCCCGGAAAGGACCCAGCAGTGCGGCACGGCGCCTTACTACCCATCCAAAGTCTGTACTCTACGTTGTCATGTTCGCGGTTCAAGCTACTAACTTGCCGCTGCAGTATGTCTGCTACAACAGCAACTTCCTCTGCCCCATCACCGGCGGAATAGCCTACCAACGCTGCGGCCAAGCATGCTACTCACCCTCCCAATACAGGTACATATCCTGCTTTCGGAACCTCCTTCCCACACGTTCAACGGACCACTAACAATCGCAGCTGCTCGAACGGCCAGCTCAAGCAGGTCCCGGCTCCTGAATGTGTCAGGGAATACTCCGGCTGCATTCGAAATGATGGATTGGTCCTTGCCTGCTGCCAGGGTCTGTCTTGCGTTGCGAGCAAGTGCCGGAACTTGACCAATCTGCTCGGGCGGGATGTTGAGGACGGCAAGGCTAAGTTGTTCTTTGACGCGTAAGAAGTGTTGAGGCGGAGAATGTTGGCCAGGTTGAATGCCCGCGGTGGTGGAGCTACGTTCGTTAAGCAAAAGACCTGTAGTCGTGCCGCTCCTTTGTGTGTCTTGTGACGGCCAAGCGGTTCGCTGGTGGCGCGGAGTTGTGGGTTGCGCTTTTGACGGCGCTGAATACTGAGACGGATATACGAGACATATAATACAATTGCCCTCAAATGGAAGTTTGAAGATACACTGGATTGAACGCGACGTTGTTTTCGCCTAGCATACCGGTGTAGTACCTGCCTGTCAAGGGTCTTCGTCGGGTTTCGTTCACGGAGATGAAGCTGGGCGGCGTGATAGGAAGGAGAGATACAAACAACGTTTGACAGCAGCCAGGCCGAAGCGCTGTTCCAGCAACTCCAGGAGCTCGACATGGTGCTGAAGATCGTGTTCATGACGGCTCCATTCGTCACGGACGTGCTTCCGCCATGTTCGTATCCGCGAGTCCATGACTCTGAGCAAGGAAAGGAAGAAAGACAGCGGGAAGACACGAGGCGCCACGACGCTATTGAAACCTCGGATACATGACTGATCTACCTTCCTCTACGTTTACAGTTATCATCATTGGTTGTCGAAGGAAAATGTGGCTCTTCCTGTCGCTTGGGGTAGCCGGATCCTCTCCATACACGGTGTAGCTAGGCTTTAAAGTGCCGATAGTCTCGCATACGCGATGCGCTTAACGCTGTCGGTTCCATTTGACCTTGGAAGGTTGCACGGAATGACGTTGGAGATCGAGCGGGAGGTCTTGCCGATCTCCCGCACCTCGATCACGCGGCTCGGGCTATTAATAGGACAATTTCTGGACCGCTTCTATCGTGCACATTCTGTATGGACTTCGATTCCTGTAGCCTTTCTGAGGTGTTACAGGTCAAGTGATGATGGAGATCGTGCAAATCGCACAGCATACGGGATAGGGCATGATGAATTCCGCAGCAACCACTCGGAAGCTTGCACAGCACCGACGTTTCCCCAAAGGAAATCTTATACAGAGAATCAATATAGCCTCAAAGGCGGGGTAAAGACGATAAGAAGCAGTCTTCAAGCCTCCAGAAGTCTCTGGAATGTACAATAGTTGATTTTAAGTCTACAACCAGTTACGTTGCGCTTGAAAACTACACCAAAATGAAGCCCATTACCTTCATAGCTCTCTCAATTGTTTCAGTGCCCGCCTTCTCCCAGACCTGCCCCCCAATCCTCAACAACAGCAACTTCACCTTACGGGCAACAGCAAACATGCAAGGCTTCCCCGGCAACTTCTGCTCTATCTGGAATTACGGCGGCGGCTCCTACGTCGACCCAATTGGCGGTCAATGCCGTGGTAAGTGTTTGCCGGCTTGGTCCTTTCAAACTTGCAGTATGGTCTCTCCAAGATCTTGTCAATGACACCGGCTTCAGGCGAAACAGATTTCCTGCCTGGAGAGATCTTCTCCGAGTGCCAGGGCGGCGGCAACCCGCGCGCCTTTACGTTCACCCCCCAAGTTGGTCACAGCGCTTACTACTCTGTGCTGTTTCCGGGGGAATGTCAGCCGATTAGAGTGTTCGCTGATCGGTATACGAGGATCGAGGAAAATGCGAGGGTGGAGTGCACCAGTGCTACGGGAGATCTGTATTGCACCATCGACTATTGAGCCGTGACTTCAGCGGCGGTTGGGCAGGGTTGTCAGCTCGAGCTTTCGTTTGTACGCTATGGCTGACGTCTATGGGAATGTCAATGACAATGCTGATACAGTGGGCGTGATTGTATCGAGATTGGTTTCGGTTGTCTGCCGGCGGACGTATCGAGTACGAAACTTCAACTCTGGACGGATATGTTGCTTTCCTGTATAAGAGTTCGCCTGACAGATGACAAGCCGGCGCGCTGTCATGAGACTATGTATGACATCACAGCCGATGGAGGGGTGGGTAGACGAGAGGTGGTTTGTCATGTTTCTCGTGCTGTAATGCCTTAGGTGTTCCGTATTGGAATACAGGTATCATAGCCATGCCGACGAATTCTTTCGGGTGACGGCCGAAGTAAATATACTTGACATAGAGTTACGGTTGGCTTGGACTTCCAAATCATGTAGTGGAGAGCAATGTGGACTAAGTCGATATGACAAATAACATTAATTTTAGAGGTATCTTGAGACTTTGATGAGTAATACATTGCAAGAACACTGAGGACGTAACCAAGTATTTCAGCTTCGACAACCCTACATAGATCATATAGATACAACTTGACATTCCCTATACCGTATGAAGGCAATTTCAATTTGATTGAAACTCCGCATCAAGTGACTTAGAAGCTTTCGAGGCTTACCCACCTGCCGCCCAACATCAGCATCCGTCTTCTCAGTACTGTAGGAATGAAGGACGGACATAATGCTCGACCGCGACCGATACAAGAAGCCGACATTCATGTATGGTGGCGTGAGAGCTATTATGCGCATCGAATCCAAGCCTGAGACATGACGTAGCGGAATGAAATGTGTTTGCTATCGAGTTCTCGGAGAACATGCTTGGCTGCTTTCCGGGGAACTGCTAAGGGAATTTTCAGGCACCGCTTGGGATCTCTTGTGTCAATCGAGTTTTGAAACCTGGACAGTTCGATGCAGATTCGGTTACGCTGCCTTGGTCTTCAGCTGTACGCCATGCCAATTCTTAATTTCGTCCGCCAGCACCTGATTTACAAGCCTATGTTGTTTGATCACCGGTAGGCCCTTGAACTTCGGAGACACTATATCTAGAGCGTACATCGAACCGCAGCCACCACTAATGTCTTGTACCTGCGTACCAACACCTAGTATTAGCCTATCTTTTACGTAAGGGGTGTGCGACCGTTGCGTCGGGTTTCCGTCTGAGAACTGCGTGTTCGAACCGAGCGACGTCGTACCTCCAGCTTGACCGGCGCGAGTTGCTCTTTTAGCTTCTTGAATATGTGTAGTTCGCCTTCCGAGTAGTAATCTTGTGGTTGTGGCCCGCCGCTTGCTTCGCCGGACATCGCTCGGCTAGATGCATGGAGGTTGTTTGCCAGTTGCCATTGCTGCGCGGAGTATACTCTGGAGGAAGGGGAGGATCTTGCGGCTTCAATTGAAGCAACTCGCGGGAAGTGATGATGCGAAAGAGCAGTTGTGAGTCGGTATAGCCCTCGTGAAGATGCCATCGTGCCTCTACGCAGCTGTGTTAAATCGTATGTTCTAGCTGTAACTCGGTGCGTTTGAAGCTTTCCGGCACTCACAGCTGTTGGAGAAACTCTTGCGGTGTTTGCTCAACCTCAAGCCCGACAGCAGCAGCAACAGCTCGAGCTCGAAGCCTCAAACATCATCGTGCAGAGGCTCGCGTGCTCCAATCAGCCACGGCGCGCTGTCAGCAGTCACGTGTACTGACCGGATTCTCGATTTTCCTCTCTCCGAGAAGTACCTTTGTACCTCACTGCAAATTTTCACCCCGTCGTTGGATCGGCGTCATTCCGTCCGAAAGTTAACGCGGAGGCCGAATCTGGGGAAGCTTGTAATGTAGCTCGTGTGCCTCAAAGTACCTCGAAGTCACCGCTTCATCACCCAACAGCAAGTCTTCGAAAAAGAGGGTCGCGCGTATCATTCTCAACATCCCCAGTCTCCACAGGAGGATCCAGACATGGGATGGCGCGGACAGCGCTTCTGGAGCCCCGCGATTCCCTTCGTACAATTAACGTCGCGATCGAAGGCAAACAAGCATCTCTTGCTGCTCAAGACGTCGCTGATCTTCGGACCCTGCAGTCCTGCAGTGGGATCATCCCTCTGCCGCTTTGGACGGCGCCAAAACGGTGTCAAGGTGATCGTCTCTGCTTCGTGTGGTCCAGTCCCTGAGGCCTTCACATGTCAAGGATTCTGATATTTCGCAACCACCCTGGCCTCGAACAGATGCAGGGCGCTGCATGGCGCAAGCCACCGGGGTTTAATGCTGCGCCCAAACCGTCTCTCCTCCTCAATACGGCATGATTTACCCGCAGCCACCCACACCACCCGTGCCAAATTCGAGAGTCTTCGCTGAGGTTTGATGTCGAGGACGTGAAGCCGCCGTCAAATGTAAGTCAGGATCCACATTTCATTCCACCGTCGTGAACGGAGTTGCATCCAGCGGCTCGAAGCGGGACTTTTTGTTCTCGCCTCCCATGGACATCCCCGCCGGACTCCACCTCATCCGATTTCTAGCAATACTCTAAATACTGTGGGTCCTCTCGATGCAGACCCCGTCTGCTTTGATTATTTTTGTTGAGAGAGGTCTCTTATGCACGGCGGGCGCTTAGCGTCCTCCCTAAGCTTCCTCGGCTATTCTGGAAATAAGAGTACTCCATTCGAGACTGTGCATTACCAAATCAAATCAGAGATAAGAGGGTAGGAGCGCTCTCCGTACTGGAAGTGCTGCAGCCGCACCGTCCATGGATATCCTTCTAACTTTCGACGGTCCGTCCGCACTACGGACCGCGGCAACCATGGATAGCGCTCAGGGTTCGATACGAATTCGACGGTTCTTGCCAGATGACACTCGACTCTGGCAGCTTGTGTCTGGACCGTCTGCTTCTCTTGTGAAGGCCCGCAACATGTCTAAGGAGCCTCCGCGCACCATCATTCGGCGACACACCCACAGATCATGATGAGATCAACAGCATGCCGCTCCACCAGCCGCTTCATGCTCTCCACGTCACGTCGACCTATGGGTAGCAACTCCGAACCATCTGCACCCCAACTCTCCGCAAAGCTTGGGCATGGCGGCATGAAATTGTCCGGACATACCATGTCAGTGTCGGCCTTCGCCGCCAGCTGAAGCTGCACGACATCAAGCGAGGCTCAGTCTGCGCGTTGCAACGCACGATCTCGGACGATGTCACGAACGCATCACCCGTCGCACGAAACCTCGATGAACCCCACAGGAGCACTGGAAATTCTGGAACTGGCGCCTTTGCTGATTTGATGGCCCATAGGAGGTCCCAAGAAGTGGCGAGACAATTACTGCAGCTCTTGACTAGTGCTGTCGTGCTTAATGAGAAGTCATCGCGATCGTGATGCAGGCTGTCTTCTGGGACCCTCTCATGAAATAAATTTCCGATACAAAGTACTTCCGAACCGCCGGCCTGGTACTGCGGTACCTGAGGCGCTGGCAGCTCGAGCTCAATGCTGTGTTCTCACACTCTAGCATGGCCTAGGTGCAGGAAAGCTCCGTAGTGGGCTATTGATCTCAGACTATGCCAGCATGACGCAGCTTGTTCTAACGAATAATTCATTAACAAGGCCGCAAAGCAGCAAGGCCGTCAAGATAGTGCTGCAATAGACAGGTGATTGAGAATACTTAGGTAACCAACAAACTTCGGAGTCGGACTCGTAATCCGCAGCACAACACGGGACTTCGCATCTCTTTCACTCTAGATTTACGCAAGGGTCCCGCCGAAGCGGAAAGGACCGAAGGGATTTAAAGCGTACCAAAGTTGCCACGCTAATCCGGCTGGGCGACCTTGAACTGTCCTTCGCTGAGTCGCTGCATATTTTACGCTACACTTATGGCGTGAGCTGATGAACCTCTGCAAATATGATTAAGGTCCCAAAGTGGGGGCTGGAGCCTGACCCAAGTTGAGGAAAGGGTCTTCAAGATCCTAGGTAGGTCAATGGAACAACAAGGTCCGGGTCGTGGCGTGATACTCTTGCAACTGCCGTCTAAGCGGATGTTGGAGATGTTTTTCGTCATGTAGCGTGATCTGTGCGTCTGCATGGTGAACGTTGGAACTTGAGTCGCTCTTGCGAGAAGCAATGTCTGGATCGAGTAAACATCGCCGATGGGATTATCCTCGTGAAGCGACATCTTCGATGGAGAGCAACTCTGCTCGTTCTGACTCGTGATGCGATGCTTCGAATATGGAAAGTGTGGGGAAACTGACTCGGATACGTGGTGTTGAACTTCTCGGAACACATGCATGAGACTCGCCTTCAACGCTTAGAAGTGGGCGCTTGGATGGTGTTTGAGGTTGGTTGAGGATCTTCAACGACTGCTTTCTGATGATAAATACTCCGAGCGCCGCGCTTGCTTGCTGGTGAGTAGTTCCATCGGGCAAAACCCTCGAACGCGACAAGCGCGTGCGTGTTGAGATGCGGTGCTTACTCGGCTTGCTCGATCTCTAGGAAATTTCTCAACTGTGGAAGTTGCTGACGGCGGCAGTCTTGCATTGTTGAGGCACGCACCAGCTCATGGGCGTTTTTGGCGTTGATAGAACGATCCCTATCGGAGGAGAGCAGGCGTCCGCCTCATGCTCCTGGAGGTCGGCTAAGACGGCGTTAGGGCGTTGGCTTAGCCGTTTCACGTCAAGCGCCGGGAGGGAAGCAACTGGTGGGGGATCGGCGGTTCTCCGGCTGCTTTGAAATGATATGCGTTGGCGGTGAGAGAATTGCGGGCATTCTCTGCCATGGAGGTTCAGATATCTAAGCGCTAGCGAAAAGCCCATGGTGCTGATTCGTCTCAAGCTGGACTGTTGACTGGATATGGCTTGAAAAGCCTTGCTTGAGGCTGGATTTCGAGATGTATGGGCTGGTACCAGGACCTTTGTTGCACATATGGGCGCTCCGTCTCATAGCGAGCCATGGTTGCTTACACGAAGCCAGCAGAGCATGCCTGAGGATAGACCTTGCTGAAAGAGCTGAAAGACATAGCGGAGAGGGCCCCCTCGTTTGTATCAGTAAAGGCAGGTAAGCAAATGGATACGAGCTGAGTGGTTTTTGTTGCATGCGTAGCTTACTCAAGCGGTAATGCATGTACTCGTATCTGATCTCCCCTTGCAAGGTTGGGCAAACTCGGGTCCAGAACCCCTCTCCAGCACATGGCTTCAAGCCATGAACAGACTTGTATGAAAGAAGGCATCGCATCGGATTGCAATTGTGGACGCGGATTGCAGGATCTTAGACAAGAGCCATGCGCGATGCTCAGCCACAGCGAAGCGCCATCGGCATCCTCAGTCTCCGGATACTGCTAGTGGTCATTCTCAAACTTGAAAGTGGATATCAAAGCACGGCCGGCTGCCACGCTTCTCAGCCGCTCTGCAAGCAATGTCCTAGATTAATGAAGCGCACAAAACCTAATCAATTGGCTTGGATGCCGTGCTGATATCGAGAGTGCGGGGAAAGTTCTGCCCCCTGATCCGGTGTTTCCAACGGTGTGAGATGCCAGCGAAAAAACGATTGGCGCCGTGGTGTAGCGCAGCCCTGTAGTAAGCATCATACAATCCTCTCGTCGTTGAGGTTTCATGTTGCAAAGCGGTATCGTGGGACCTGCGTCCTCGCCCTCGGTACGACCGCTATTGCTAAGGGGTACATATCGCGGCTGCGTCCGTGTTTAGAAACTCTGGACTACTTACTACTACAAGGCCCATCATCGCTGGGGTTGCGTGCACGGAGAGTTGCTTTGCGCCCGTCGACTGTCCGGAGTGGTTGTCTTCCAGGTGTTTTGGACACCAAGCACGAAAACGGTCGTGGCTCGCTTGCGGCTCCTTGGCCACACCTCGTGCAGCTGTCGCACCGTGCGCGGCCAAGTTTGCGCGGCGGCTTGGAACTTTGTTTGAACCACAGCAGCTGATTGGCCAATGCCATAGACCGCCCTTAGGCGAGGAATGCGGCGTCTGCGAGCGGGAGGGGGAAGAAATTCTGGTCCTCCAAGCAGCGCATTGCCACTCGCGCGTCCTGGAGCTTTTGCGGGCGCGAAGCTGAGACTCAAGACTCGCCGCATGGTAAGGGTCGTCGAGTGGAGCCGTAGTGTTGAGTTTCCGTGGAGAAGCAGAGAAGGTGCCGATATTTGACGGGCTCCTCTGGCAATCTCGTGTACTCACTAGCCTCAATCCGTGAGATGGGCAACGTGGTGGCTCGAGTAGCATGTACCTCATCCGCCTACGCAAACGGCAGCCAACGCCTTGTCTCGAGTACGCAGGTTTGCGGTCGTGATGTCAGACGAACACCTGATGAGGATGCGGTTTGCCCTCTTGCACCACACAGCAGCATCGCTATGTAGCTACGTACCGGCCGCCGCGACATCCTGCCCAGTTGAGGTTGTGCTTCAAGCTGTTTTGATAAGACATCCCTCGGACCCCGTCGGTCAGCGCGCCGGCATCCGCCCCCAGCGGCCGGCGACCGAGAAGTACTCTCTTTGTACCGGCTCGTACACCACGGTACGGCCGATCCCACCCAGAGGTTGCTCTCTCGCAGAGACCCAACCTGAACGCCGCGCACTCTGCCGCGTAGCTGCCCCTGCTTGCCCACCCTAAGCCGTCCACAGTTAACCCCCCAGCATATGCCCTGGTCCGTTGGGGGGAATCTCCAATCTTGGTCCCGCCGCTAGCCAGGCCACTTCGATCGCTTCTTGCTCGTGCATCAGACATTCAGACACGGTTAGAGCGGACGTGCGTTGCGCCCAGGCCATCTGTCGAGGATTATTCCACTCCATCCTGGCACCTCCATCCGAGTTTGTTGTAACGGCCGCCCCAATAGCCTCCGGCCCTCACCTTTCTCTGCACCACTGGCGCTCACTTCCTCAACAGCTCTCCACCTTTTCTCCGACCATCCACATCCGTCTCTGCTCATAACTACCCAGAGCATCCCCTCAGTGCGGAGTGCAGAGTCGAACGACTTCATCTTACAGCGGGTGGTTTTAGGTGTTGAGCTTATCACCAGAGGCAGAGGCTTGATCCGGTATCAGCCCACCACAACCACAGCAGGCACGCTCCTCCGACAGAAACCTCCACACCTGTCCGGATTCTCGTGGCCTCTCCTTCCTAGACCGACGAGTTCTCCCATATCATTGTCAGATTCATCGGCGTATCGTCCTCGGTGTTGTTCGTCGCCTCGCTCGATTCGGCGTCACAGCTTTAACTAGTTGTGTCTTCCGGCGGCCGCGTCCTTCACCTACCACGAGCTTCTCCAGGCGTCTCCGTCACAAAGGCGCCTCACACAAGCACACCTTATTCCGTAAGTCATCTCACACGCTTGTTCGACGTCTTCACGGGCGTTGGGGTGCGGCACTTCACCCTTTGCGCCGTGCAGCTCAAAGAACAAAGGCTGACCACCAACCCTTGATGCAGAATCAACTAGTCGTTTTCTTCTAATGCACTTGACCTCCCAAGCGCTGCCTATTTCTCCTCCATAACCGCAACGGCCACTGGGATGCCTTACACTCCGCCCGCCCAACGGTCTCCTGCTACCTCAAGCCCGAACAGCCCCACCCTCAGTCGAACACATTCATACGCCAGCGAGAAGCCCGGCCTGTCGCCGAGCCTCGCCCAACGGCCTGTCCTGCCCCGGTCAGTGTCGTCGACGTCCTATCTGTCGAAACACCGTCGCAGCCCATCTCTCCCACAGAATAATGGCAACTCGGAGGATATGAAGTCGTCTTCGGAGGGTCCCTCGAACAAAGCGTCCTCATCCAATGGTAGCGTTCGCCAGTCCCCTCCTCCTGTGAGCACCCAATTGATCCCTCCAGGCGCCATCACCACACCGCCGGACTCGGCAGAAGGCTCCGACACGGAAGAGCGAGGGCGGCAGCTAGAGGAACTGCAAAGGAACTTGCACAACAACATCGAGGTGAAGCGTGGACACTCTCCCGTGCGTGGCGAGGACGAGGCGAAGACCGTCGCTGCCACTTCGTCAGTGCCGGAGTCAACGCCAACGTTGGGACCAGCACTCACGCCCGAAGCTCGGAAGATATCTCACTCTAGATCCGCGAGCGAGCTAACTACACTGACGACACACACCAACATCCACGAGTCGCCAGTACAAACGACTGACGATAGCGATGATGACGATGATTCGGACAACTCCAAGCCGCCTTTACTCCGCAAGAAGTCTGGTGAGCTGGTCAAGCCTGCTCTTCGACCCCCATCGCGTCGACGGCCGTCCAGCATGCCCGGTACACCGACGTACAACAAAGCTGTCCACTTCAACGAGGATATTGAGCAGGTGCGACACTTTCTACAGGTCGATCGGCCTATTGCTGTCAGCGCTGGTTCATCACCAGTGGAAACGTATGACAGCGAGTCCGAGTACCCCTTTGGATACGATGACGGCCACGCGTCCAAAGTTGTCGAATGGGAGATTCGTCTGGCCAACTTCCCAGTAGAGACCTATGAAAGGAAGTCCATGCCTGTGAGGGTCGAGCGGATTTTCTTGTCGGCTGATAACAAGAGCTTGATCGGCAATGTCGCTGTTGCGAACCTTGCCTTTCAGAAACTGGTTGTTGCCCGGTTCACGCTGGACTACTGGAAGACAACGTCCGAAGTTGTCGCTGAGTTCAACAACGACGTGAGGAAGAAGGAGCCCAACGATGGTTACGATCGATTCAACTTCAGCATCAGGCTCAGCGATCTAGCTCATCTGGAATCGAAGACAATGCTGCTCTGCGTACGCTACAACGTCAACGGACAGGAGTACTGGGACAACAATGCATTCACCAACTTCCAGATTGACTTTGTTAAGAAGACGAGGCCGAGGAAGGGTGCGAAGCAAGGGCCTGTGGCCGGCACATTGGGAGCCATTCCACGGAGCCGACATTCCCCACCTTCCCGACAGCGCACGGCACCAGCCTCATTTGAGGATGACTTCGGCGGCGATGGCTGGGATTCGAGGTACGACTTTGGCTCAACCAGGTCAATTCTCGGCGAGTCACCCAACACCTCTATCAGGCTCAAGAACAACAGGAACAAGAGAGGCAGTCTATTCCCCGGATCGGCACCAAATGGCACGACCGGTCCCAACCAGGCGTTCTCATCCAGATACGACTTTGGCGCTTCTCTGTCGGCTGCTCTCACTCAGGCCCAATCTACTCTTGGCGAGCGGAGCGGCCTGAAGCTGAACGCGGCTCCGAAGCCCAAGCGAGGTTACTTTGACAACATGCCAAACAGCTTGGCTCAGCCGGCTGATCCTGCTTCAATGGATAATACTCCGCCGCCTTCTGCACTGGCGTCGGACAAGCCCGACCTGAAGTCTGACCAGTACAAGGAGTTGATCCAGAAATATTGTTTCGTACGTCCCTCACGTCCAGGCCAGCTTGCCTGATCCTGCAATACTGATTGGCCACGCAGTTCGGTACTGGAAAGAACTCGCCGCAGGTCTCATCTCCAAAGCCTCAACCGGAAAGCCCGCTCGACAATGACTCTGACTCTTCTCCTTCCAGCAACGGGGGTTCCGGTTCGAGCAGCCCCAACTTTCAGAAGGAAGGTGCGCCGCTGGATGGGGCCCACGACTCCCAGGGTTCTAGCCGCAGCATCAGCCCATTTCTCTCCCGCTCAGCCTCTCCTGGCCCCCTGACTGGTTCCGATATCGGGTTCCGGGCTACTTCTCCAGCATCTTTCGGTTATCCCTACAACCATCAAAACACACACAACAGCATGTTCTCCGAGTCTCAAACGCCTACTGCGATCAGTGGTTAGCTTTCGAGGCAAGGTGACGTACACATTCGACTGTTCTTGCCCTTCGCATCACTGGTACGAAATAACGAATCTTCTTTACCCTACGATCATGGTATTATGAGATGCCTGATGTGTCTATCGGCTGCTACCATCGGTCCTATCCATTATCCTCGCGCCTCAGAAACCTATGGTTTACTCTTGTGGCCTGCTTGCCTGGTTCTGCGTCTTCATTGCTCGCATTTCAGCCGGGTTTCTTGCATTTCTGGTTCCGACTTCTTGCATGTCATTAGTTTTGGCGTTGGGGGAACGGGTGGCGCCTTCTGTTGTCTCCCATTAGGCTCGTCGTCCCTGTTAATAGACCGGTGTGTAGTTTGTGCAGCTTCCTCTCTGCTTCTGCTTTTCTCAGTTGTGCTCTCCTCTCAGATGCGGCTTATGGCGCCCTCTGTGGAATGCACCCTTCGGACTAAGGGTCAAAAAAGTTGCTGGTTGCTGAGTTTGCTTGGGTTCACTGCCGTTCTTTTGCTCGGCTCAGTGATGCGGTACATATCGTCGGCGGTCAAGCTCAGCTTACCGCCGTACTTGCATTCTGTTGGTGCTTGCCGAGTAGAGATATTCACCTGCTCCGAGGCTTGCATTACTTGACTTTTAATGGCGTGGGGTTTGTTCTTGGGGTCTATCAAGATGGTGCGGGTAGAGACTGGTTGTGAAGATGGATAAAAACATCAATCCAAAAACATTCTGACAACTCAATCAGTCCTCACTATCCAAAGCTGAAGCCATTGGCTCCGCCTTGAATCTCTCACGCTCAACACTGTCGCACGCGTGAACGAACCATTTACCTAGCGCAGCATCCTGCAAACACCTCGTCTTGACCGCTCTTTCCACATGGGAAGATTAGAGTTCGTCCACCATGTGCCTCACCACGCTGCGCATGCAGACCATGCAGCTCCATGCAACTCCGAAAACGACATGCCCCACCACCCCGCGTTTCAGCTCCACGCAACACCACCCTTGACGCCACAACAGCAGTCTCGCCCCTCGCCGTGCCGAACCGGTCTGTGCGGCCTTCTTGCGATTTCGGCCCCAGGATCATCCCTCAGCACCCGCACCCTCTTCAACGCATGTCTCGGCATCCTGATCCGCCTCTGCTTCGAGGTGCTTTCCCGAGTATCGCGTCTGCCTTAGGCACCTCCCTCATCGCTCCTCTTCTTCTCGTTCTCCCCTTTCCCCTTCTCTCCATACCCCTTCGCGCCTACGTCTTGAACCGCGGCGAGGCTCCACGGCGCAGCATACGGCACCGACCCGCCCAGTGCTCTGTGGTAGACATATGCGGATGCGGACGAAGGTGAGATGGAGCTTGTGTGGGTGCTGGGCTTGTTGGAGCTGGCGGGAGTGCTTTTGACGAAGGGAGGGAAGATGGAGGATGAAGGGGAGAGCGTGGTTTGGAGGGGATATATTGGCAGTAAATAGACATTACGTCCGAAAGTTCGAGGTCCTGATGTTATCCGCCGATACTATTCACGTGAGTATTGTCTTCAGAACGCTATGTAGGTTGAGCTGCGTTGAGATAAGGCGGGTTTGTACTATGAGCAAGCTTCACAGGACGGCAAGTAAGATGCGTAGGTTTGTTATTTGACAGTACCCGATAGAATTGTTACAACACACTCCTCATATTACTCCCTCCTAGCTCCAGTGAGTGTGTCCATTTACAAGAGAAACATGGGGATTGTTGTGACCTTGAGTTTCGTGAAGTAGCGGGAGGGATACGCGAGTTTGACGCGCTTGATGCGTTGCGCCTCGCGTAGCGACGCGACGGCGTGATCTTCAACTCTGACCGAGCCAACGACTTCATCAACCTCGAATGTGTACGGTTGCCTAACGTCAATTCACGAACCGGCTGGCTGCCTGGGTGCGTTGAAAGGGCTGCAGTCACGGCAGTAGCAGTAGCTATAAGAGCATAAGAATGCTGCCTTCCATTCGAAATACTTCATAAGCGCATGGCCTTCGACGTTGGCCGGCATCTTAACTTCACCGATCACTTGTCGTGCGAAGCTTACACCTTTCTATTCGAGTGGTTTTGTTTTGCTTTCTCTGTGCTTCTTCTACAGCTCGTTAATTGCATCCTTTTCCGGTGTCACGTACATTCCGTCTCAAGAATGGCCAATCAAGCGTCAACGACGCCAGCGACGCTCCCCGGGCCTCTCAGGCGGGACAGCTGGAACAAACTTCCAGGCTTTGGTCTCCCGTTGACGGACATGCCTCGCCAATGGAAGGACCGTGGTAACGGCCGCACTCGGTTTCCGAATGCCATTTCAGACTGGGCCGTCGAGGGTGTGACGGTTAGGGAACGGACAATGCTCGAGTTTATCAACCTGATCACTGACAAACCGGACTGGGATCGAAAGGTCTTTGATGAAGGCATCGTCCAGAAGTGGCGGCTGGAGAGTGCGGCGCATGGGGCTGATTTCTCCGAGAAGATGTTTGATTTTGTGAGTATTTACGGCACAGCAGGGTCGAAAGTTGGCATTCCCAGTACTATTCCTTTATCAATGCCTTGACCTACAGAGCAAGTGGTCTATGTCAGTGCTGTGGACGTTTGTTGCTCCGTATCAAGGAGAACCACCTTCGGTTGGTCTTCTATACATCACTGTCAAAGCAGGCGTTTCTTGGCGTCGACGGACTCATTGCGGCGCCTGAGCTACGCAGACTGTGGAGATCAAGCTGACCATCGACGCAGTGCGTTCTCGAGCTTCGAGACAAAGCCAAACGGTTTCAAGAGACTGGTATGGTGGCTGTTCTGGACACTCAGGCCGCTGTAGTCAAATCTGACAACATCATTCCGCCTGAACTCCAAGAAACGCTTCGCTCCGCAATTCTGCCTCTGGAGGACGTTCCGGAGAACGAAAAGGACTGGCACCCAGGATCTGACGGGAAGGTCCTTGATCTGGTGCACCCATCCTTATTTCCTCTGATCTATGGGAGATCTCGGATACTACCAAAAGCCCGAGTAGGGCTCGCAGATTGTTTGGAGCGTTGCGGTAGTGGTGAAGTCGTCCCTGACAATGACGACGATCTAAACTGGCCGCCGAGCAACGTGCCGTGGCTTAATGCCTCCGATGATTCACCAAATTTTTGGTCGAACCAATTCCAGTGGCTGCCCTGTGATGTTCATTTCACCGCAGACGATGGTGTCAAGATTTCCAGCTACATCAATAACTTGCACCCTATACAGCATGCGGGTCTCTATGGTGTTATCGAACAGTTCATCACAAAGACGATCCCATTATGGGATGAAACACTAACGCGTTTTCATCCAAGGCTGCGAATTAATGTGGACCACGACGAATGGGAGTATCCACTGGGACGTTCACGTCCCCCTCAGGACGACGATCCGCCCTCCGATGACGACTACTTTTGGGAACTCGAGCACGACTGGGAGATGACCAACCGCGTGCTCATCCAGCCAGAGCCCGTGGAATACACCAACCGTTACACCTCAATTCCGGATTGTCCGGTCAATCTAAGACAACAATTCAGGAAACAAGGCCTTCAGGTCATCGTAAAGCTAGCCAACATACATCTGACACCGGGGACAGAGTACAAAGGCGGCTCGTGGCACGTGGAGGGTGCTCTGAACGAACATATTTGTGCCACGGCTATCTACTACTACGATTCCGTGAATATCACTGAGAGCTTCCTTGCCTTCCGGCAACGTGTCGATCCAGAGGAAATGCTTATGAAGCCAAACCAGGTAAGCTGATCTCCAGAAAAGTGTCACGACAGAGGTCTTCCAAGTGCGCAATGCCGGAACTGTTGCTCGAGCAATCCCGCAAACAACAATGTTTGGTTATAGTCTACCACAGCCAGAGAGCCGCTCATGTACTGTTCCTGCCAAGCCTACGAGCAACACTTCACTCATCATCTTGCGTGGACATCTCTTGCTTCATGATTCATCTCATTCTGACTACACTCTCAGGGCGACTGGGTTGGCATCGAACAGCTCTACGGCATTGAGAATGAAGGTGCCGCGGTCCAGCCCGTCGGCCTCATCAACACCCGTCAAGGCCGTCTCCTCACCTTTCCCAACGTTCTCCAACACCGCGTCAACCCCTTCCGCCTCGCCGACCCCACCAAACCCGGTCACCGCAAGATTCTGGCTCTCTTTCTCGTAGATCCACACATTCGCACCATATCAACGGCCAATGTGCCGCCACAGCGACAGGATTGGTGGACCCACGAGCTGAGGAGACAAGACACGAGGCTGGCAAGGCTGCCTGAGGAGCTGTTGGGGCATGTTATGAGTTATGTGGATTTCCCGATTGGAATCGAAGAGGCGAAAGAGGAAAGGTTGAGGTTGATGGCGGAGAGGGCGGTGATTGATCATGGAGTCAACGATGAGTACGAGAAGGTAGAAGGACTCGACGTCTGGTCTTTCGTGTGTTGAGCTGATGGCCTTGTAGGATACGTTCAACTTCTGCGAGCATTGAGCTGCTTGGCGTCAATGTGTTCACGTTCTATCGCCCAGACGCTGTGTAGCATCCAGAGGCGCTGCTACGGCCTGCTTCTTACGAGATGACGGGTCTCATTCGTCGCTTTGCCTGCGATGAACGACCACGAGCACCGAATGTGCGTTGTTGCTGTTCATCATGGAGCCAGCTTTGTACCGGATGTCAGCTGAATGAGTGTCTAGACTTTGCTGTCTTGTGGGAGATTTACATAGCTGTTCTTGTATGTAGCTTACTCCGAAGTCCATAATCGTAGCCCGTCATTGTCAAATTATATTATCGCAATCAATCATTACCCGCTCTTGCAACGGGAATTTTTGGGGGTTGAACGTTACTATTGTCATGAAGTTGCATAGAGTTCTGGGCCGACAGAACCCACCGCCGCAACCACGGGCACTTTCTGCGCGGTCGCAAAAGTCTTTACGCGCGACCACCGCATCGCGATTTCAGTATATTTATTTTCATTGCACTCAAAACTTTCACATACGGCCATAGATCAAAGAATACTGGGCATCCCGTTCGCTCTGCCATTACATAAGCTTTGAATCGGTAGATTAGTAGTTAGGTGGGTGACCACTAGCGAATACCTACTGCTGTATGTTTTTGCATTTTTGTCCAGAAGAAGGATTTCCTGGCGTGTATCTTTGCGAAAGGAAGTTTCGTGCTCGGGCTGTTTCAAGCGCTCTGAACGGGGCATTCCCACTTCCGTCAACGTTTTTGTGTGGTGCACCATCTAAGGGCTTCCTCTGTCGTGACCTTTGTTGTGAGAGCCACGGAAGCAGGATCCCATAGCCTGTTGTATACAGGACCACAATTAGCGAACGTCCATCCTTGCACTCTGTTCATCGGCTCTGTAGTCAATCAAATGTCTCCAACCTCCGCATTCCTGAAACCTAAAAACACCTCTCCTGCGCCAAATTCAGCTACCGGGAGGAGGAAATAAAGGTCAGGCGGCAACAGCAATTTCGACTCAATGACCCGTGGCTCAACTGCTCATTCATATATCTTCAATCTGTTCTTCAGATTACAACCCCTAAGCTTAGTCCTACCCACCCCCCCCCGCTCACAGCGATGGAAGCTCACCCCTCTCGTCCTATGAACACCACCAAAAAAACCCTCTACTCGGACCAGGCGTGAAACCAGCCCGCCAAATGGATAACAGCCGAGCCAAGAACCGCCGAAACAATATGTAAAGCACCCCGCGCAAAGAATGTGCGCCGCAAAACCCCAACAGTCCTCTCGGCGTCCTTCTTTCCCGTCCCTTTTCGCAGACTTGAACAAACACAGCGACACAAAGCGATGGCAGCAGTCCTGATGACGCCGTCCAGTGCTCCCCCTCCCCAGAAGCAAAAAACAAACTTCCAGATTCCCCTACTATTTCCCAGCACAAAGAAAACACTTCCATCGGCCGGATCACGCCGTGTCAAACGCATCCGACACATTGACGTCCGACGTATCCAGGCTCCGCCTCTCAGCCGCGGAGGCCCGGTCTACGACCATGTGGTCCGATGGAAGACGATCGGGCAGGCTGGCCGGGCTGCCGGAGCGGTGGAGCTGGTCTTGGAAAGCGTCGTCGGGTGGGGAGAAGGACCAGACCTGCAATGTTTAGTCAGTAAGACGATTTCATGGCTGCTTGGCTCGTACAGCGCACGCCGAAAGCGAATGCAACAGAGGACAAAAGAGAGAAGACAGCCAAGGAAATGACGGGAAGAAAGGAGAGGGAAGAAAAGGGGAAACAACAAACCTCCATTATAGTCCTTCCCCCCCGACTCGCCATCACAACCGCCTTCTCCTCCTCAAACACCACCCTCCACACCGCCTCCGCCGGCTGACTCAGCTCGCGTATCAGATTCCCCTTCTTGAGGTCCCACACCTTGACCCTGCCGTCGGACCCGCCGCTCACAATCCGCGCATCGTCAAACTGCAGACTCGTGACGCTGTTGTCGTGCGCCGCGAGCCGGTGGATGGGTTGATACTCCGTCAGCGACCATACCCGCACAGAGCCATCGGAGCCGCCCGTCACGAGGATGTCGTGCCGCATCTGAAGTTGGCCGACCAGGGAGGTGTGGCCTTGGAGGATAGCGAGGCAGCGTCTGTCAACCCAAAACGGTCAGCGTCCTTACTCTCAACCCACAACCACGCGCGGTGAGCGGTAAAACGGTTTGCAAAGGGAGTAGAAGAGGGGGGGGGGGGGGGGAAGGGGCATAGCACACCCATCGTTAGGATCCCAGATCCTCACACTAGTATCCAGACTCCCCGTCGCAACCCTCCGCCCATCGAACGCGACGGCATAGATCTGGCTAAAGTGCCCCGTGAGCGTCCTCAAGCACTTCCCCTCGCTAATGCTCCAGATGCGGGCCGTGGTGTCGTAGCTGCCCGAGACGATGCGGTCGCCGTGGATCTCGAGACAGCGCACGCTGGCCTGATGGCCCACGAGCACGTGCTTGCAGATGCCGCGGAGGATGTCCCAGATGCGGAGGGTCGTGTCCCGCGAGCCGGAGATGGCGGTGTATTTGTCGGACATTTTTAGGCAGCGCACTGTCGAGGTGTGGCCGCGGAGGGTGTGGACGCTTTTGCTGTTTGGGGGTTAGCCATGCGTGCTCTGCTGCCGCGAGGGGTGTAGTAGGAAAGGGGAAGGGGGGCCGGCATAGGTACCCAGTCTTCATATTCCACACCCGCACATCCCGATCACATCCTCCGCTAATCAAGACGTCTTCCCACGGCACCATCGCCCAGACACCCATGACGTGCCCCTGCAGCGTCTTCTGATGTTCGCCATTGGTGTCGAAAACATGGATCTTCGCATTGTCCAGCGCAACGACAATATACTTGTCCGTGAGATGCAGACTCGTCACCACGCCCTGGTCCGGGGTAATGCTCCTCGAATCCACCTTCCCGCCGCTCCGCCACGCCGTCTCGACCATATACCGCTGCTTAAAATGGCTCCGGTATGTCGTGACCCTCGGCCTCCTCGACGCCGTACCCCCTAGCGCCCCCTTATGCCTCCTCCCGGCCTCCCGCTGGTCCCCATCCTCCACCTCCGCGCCCCAGCTCCGCCACTCGTCGTCGCTGAACTCAGACTTCAGCCCCGGCGGCCTGTTCCAGCGGTTCTGGTAGCCGTAGAGGTCGGCGTGACGGTGGTAGGCCGAGCTCGCGGAATCAGGCGAGCCGTCAGGGGTGCGCCGCTTGCGTCCTCCAAGGGGGGTCGAGGGCGGGGAAGAGTCGTTCGAGAGGCGGCGGTAGGCGTGCTTGTCGCACAGGGATTTCCAGGCCATGTCGTCGGACACGAGCTCGCGCCAGCGTTTCGAGACCTGCGAGGAGCGCGCGAGGGTCGTGGGGTCGTCGATGAAGGTGAGGATCTGCGGGGCTGGGTAAGCGGGGGGGCATGTCCCTGCGGCCAAGGGAAGGGTACGTACTCGCAGACATAGCTCGTTGGGCAGGCTCGTGAATGGGTCTTTCTTTAGCCGTGGGCTCACGAAGTCGTGCACGAAGCTTAGCTGGTGGCTGTTGCACATGTTCAGTAGCTCTCCCAGCAGTCGCTCCTTCTCCGCGTCGTTCATGTCGCTGAACCATGCGCGCACGTTTCTGAAGGTTGCGTCTTCGTGTTCGGACGCTGTGCTCCAGTCCGGTGCGCGGTGGTTCGGCGTCGGGCTCGGTGCGGGTGTTGGTGGGGAGGCGGGCGCTGCTGGGAGCAGACTAGGTGGTATGCTTGAGTCTATGGGGCTTGTGGGCGTGTGTATGGGAGCTGGCGCACGTGTCCGTAATGCTCGCTTGCGAGTCCTGGAGGTTGCTGGTTGCGGTATAGGTTGCGATACTGGGAGGGTGGATGAGGAGGCGACGACCTCGTCGACCGTGGTCATCTCTTCGTCTGAGTCGCCGTCCATGACCTCGTTCGGTCTTCGGTATAGCTGGTATTCTTCCTCCATATCGAGAGTCTGCCGGCGCACGCAGGGGACTTCGAGCGGTATCGTGGCGGAGAGTAGCCGAGTATAGCGTGCTGCGATTTAGGGCAGCGGAGGGCGGAGCTGCTGCGGGAGCGTGGTGAATCTTCGACTTGCAGTTCTGTGCAGTCGAGAGCGGTCTGCAAGGTGGGACCAAAGAGAGTATATGGGGTGGGAGCTAGTGTTTCAAAGCGGTTTGTTCTGGGAACACTCAGGAGCGCTTTGTGGACTTGTCCGACCGTTTCGAGAAAGCTGACTACACGCAGCTTGGTGGATCCGAGTAAAGACAGGTACCAGCCTGTTCGGTGTTGTATAGCAATGTGGGTATGGACGTTCGGAGCGAGGATGTAACAGGGCGGCGGCTGAGGGCGAAGACCGTGGGCGTGCTGGGTTGGGTGATGCAGGTTGTGTCAGCTTTGCAGAGCAGAGTGAACCACGGGCAGATCCGCTGGGGAATCCGGGCGGAACTCCGGGGGAGGACGCTGCTGCAACAGGGAACAGTCCAAAGGGGCCATGCAAGCACTTTGAAGATGGCGACCCCATCTGACCACATCATTATGCCCTTCGTCTCCACTGCTCCTGGCCTCGCGCCCGGTCTGCCGCATCCGCCGGTTACACCCTTGAGACTCCGTTCTGGCGCGTCTCGTGAGCGCTCATTCAACCGTGCGGTCATTTCCGTCATTCCCGTGAGACATTACCGCGAGTCAGAATCTTGCTTTAGTCTTAAGAGGTAGATGACTTCCTAGCTCCGTACGGAGCATATTCAACAGCAGTGCAATTCGGCTGTTGGACTGTTGCCGGTTCACATATTGTGGAATCGGCAAGAAAAGGCGTTCCCTTGAGAGCGTGCTGCTCATCATCGAGGGTCCTGGGTGTGGACTCGTAGGTGACATGCCCAAAGCACAGCCCGCTTGTCACCTCTGTCGGTCTGATATTCGTGCCTTGCACTCTGTGGCCCGCGAGTCCTGGCGTTAACGGTCATCTACTCTGTATCTTGATGCACTTTAAGCTGAATCCTGGTGCTGAAACCGTGTCTGCGTTGTAGCATGGTAGTATGGTGCTAGATGGAGCTCCAAGTGTTCAAATCTATCCAAGTCTAAGCTTAATCCAAAGTTGAACTTCTCTTGACCCGCAGCTCATCAATGCGCATGTCCGACTTGTGTAATCAGTGGCAGCAGCATCCCCGCCACCGCGACAGCCGTCTCCGACAACGTGACGCCCTTCTGTCCCTGCTGCTCATACGAAGCAGCCTCGACATAGCCGTTACTCCCGCCATAAACGTGGCGATACCCATCCGCCTGTTCACCTTCCACTCCACCACCATGCGAATGCCCTCCAAGCGACTCCTGCATAGCATGCATGGCGACATATCTGCCAACCCATTAGCACTCCATACAACCGTCTCATACGTGTCCATGCTCACAGAAAAGTTCCTCCGCTAAACAACAACACACACCCCGTCAGCACCCCGATCCCCGCCTCGCCCTTCCCAACCACCCCCTCCCCACCCACCGCACTAACAACCACCCACGTGACCAGCGCGCCCACCGGCGCCGCAAGACTAAAAACAACCAAATGCATCCTCGCCGTGCGCTTGCTGAACCCCTGCTTCAGCAGCACGGACGTAAGCCCAAACGCCGCAGGGGCTTTGTGTATCATGAGCGCCACAAACACCACCAGCCCCAGTTTCGTGGAGGAGGATGTGGAGGCGCTGGACGAGGCGCCCAGCGCGATGCCGTCGGCGGCGGCGTGGATCACGAGGCCGATGGTCGTGGCGGGCGGGCGGGTCGTGTCGTGAGGTGGATCGGGAGAAGTGGGCGAGAAGGTCGAGGGTGAGGAGAGGGGCGGGGAGGAGGCGTCGTGGGGGCCGCGGGAAAGTCGGTCCAGCGAGATGTGGAGGGGTTTTGGGGCGGAGCGCGCGGAGAGGAGGGAGGGGAGGGTCGAGATGAGGTGCATGAGGATGAAGCCGCTTATGAGGGAGAGGCCCACGTAGGCGTGTGGGGAGGGTGAGGTTCGCTTGGGATCATCCTTGTCGTCGTGGGGCTTCTCTGTAGGGTGTGCGTTCTCCGGCTTATCTAGGGGAGCTGTGGCTTCCCTGAACGTAAGAGCATGCGCTTGCCTGGGCGGAGTGTTGTTGAGATCCAATGTGCGAGAGTCGTCGATCAGAGCGACTCGGTGGTTGGGTGCTTCAAGTGGAGCTCGATTTCTCTTCGTGTGCGTATGCCCTGTCGTGCCTGCGCTGTACAGCGTTTCGATACCCTCCGGTATGATGACAATGAGCGAGGTGCCCACAAGAACGCCTGTTCCAAGGGCCGACGTGAGGCGCAATTGGCGTTGCGATAGAGCGAGGGACAGCGGGAGCATGCCAGCGAGGAACGACCTGCGCAGCTTGAAGTCAGAACACGGTATTGGTCGCAGATACCAGGCTGCAAAGAAGCTCACGCAATGGCCATTATGGTGCTCAAAGTGAGCAGCATGAACAATCCGCTCCACATCTCTGCGGGTGTAGTTGGGTGATGTTGCGGCTGCGCGCAAAGGGATGACGTGGGAAAGGCAGAAAGGCAGCACTCAAGGAGCGACTTGGGCTGAACTGAGGATGGCCATTCTTTGTGACCTTTAGCCAGATTTGTGTTTCGGTACCTGACGTTTACATTTACTCTCACTACTCGGGTTAAGTAACTAGTGGAGAGTGCGAGATGTCAATCGGTTGACCAAGCTTCTTTGGTGCAAGGGCGCCGGGTAGGGCTGAAGATGGTCCAGTCAAGCCACGGGCGAAACGCGCTGCGCGGAGCTCCAAGTGCTCGTCGCGTCCGCCTGCTTCGATGCTTTGCAAACTTCTCGTCGACTTCACCAACCATCCCGTACAAACCCGTAGCATCAATTAGTGAAACAGGCACGTCCTCCAGCTTCAAGCTTGTAGACTGTCACACTCTGTAGCCGTCGACAAACGTAGCCGTCGCTGTCCACTCCCGATCCAGCCACGGGCGCCGACAGATCTTACCGCGAGGTGATCTCTTGACCGCCGCGCCACATCTTCCCGGATGAGACATCCGTAGCTTCGCCTTGAACCGTCGCAGCAGAGTTCGCGCCTCGACGAGATGGAAGAAGCGCTGAGCGAATGTGAGCACCATCTCCATCTCATATCAGCCGGACCCCCCAAGCTAACGTCCGTAATCAGGGCTGGCCAACGCCAATGACACCGTGAACATCAACCTTGTACGCGCTGGCAAGGAAGCCGGCACATCAGAAGCAGTCTTCGAGGAACCATTCAATCCAACATTCACCTACACAGTGTTTGGAGAAGAAGAGGTCATCTTTGGCTACCGCAGTCCGCAAATGAACCTACGTTTTCGCGCGCACGATCTCCAGCCATCATTAGAGTTCAAGCACGATGGCGTCTTCGAAGCGATTGGGGAAACGAAGCCGATGGACATTCTGGAGATATTAAAGGATTTCCTCCCTGAAGGTAAGCGCTTACGCTTCGATACGGGTGCTCACTTCATGGGTCGAGGCTTCAAACGCATCGTTTGCCGTGTTCTGTTACACGGGTTTGGCGTGTACTAACGGCTCGGCAGATGCCCTGCGAACGGACAACCAGTCTCTGGCGGACCTAACTGCAACCGATACAGGCGCCAGCTCCTGGACCCCACCGGGCAACCTTCAGCACAGCTACACGCACAATGAGAGAAGATTCGAAATATGGTGTTCAAGCCTAGCCGATCCGACGGCGAAGGAGATCCTACGACGTATGCAGATCCTGGTACCGTTCTATATCGAAGGAGGCACGTGTCAAAACCTCGACGATCAAGATTGGACCCTGGAACGATGGAAGATCTTTCTGATGTATAGGTTCAAGAGCCGCGGACTACTAGGCCTATGCTAACAGTCCACAGCTACGAAGTCGCAAACCCTCCTCCCGCAAACCCAGCGCGATCCCCCTACACCATCGTCGGCTTCTCAACATCCTACCGCCTCTGGGTCTTCCCCTCCGGCCGCAAAACCATCGACGAATTCTTCATCCACGTCTCCAACGGCGCCGCCTCCCTCCCCACACCCCCACCGACCCTCGACCCAGAATCCATAGACCCCGAAGCGGCGCCCTCCTTCCTCTCTTACAACCCCCTCGACTCCCACAGCCGCGAGCGCATATCCCAGTTCCTGATCCTCCCGCCCTACCAGCACCAATCCCATGGCACACACCTCTACACCGCCATGACAGAGCTCTTCCTCGCCGACCCCCACGTCTGCGAAGTCACGGTCGAAGACCCCAATGAGGCCTTCGACGACATGCGCGACTACTGCGACCTCCTCCGCCTGCGCCAGGACCCCTCCTTCGCGGCCCTCACCCTCGCAGACAGCGTATCCCCCGGCTCCCTCGACCCGGAAAAGGACGTCCCGACCGAGCAGCTGCTGCCCGAATCGACCCTCACGGCTCTCCGCCAAGCGTCTAAGATCTCGCCGAGGCAGTTCAGCAGGTTGACGGAGATGCAGCTCCTGTCGAAGATCCCGCCACGCCACCGCAGTCGAGCGCGCATCACTCGCAAAGCCAAGGCCGCCGATCCGAATGATCGAAGATACTACTTCTGGCGCCTCGCTGTGAAAGTCAGACTCACGATTAAGAATCGGGATCAGCTGGCCCAGTTGGATGTAGAAGAGCGTATCGAGAAGCTTGAGGAGACGCTGGCAGGCGTCGAAGAGGAGTATGTGCGTATTCTCGACGGGGCAGAGAAGAGGGCGAAGTTTGTGGATAGTGTCGCGAAAAGCAGGGAGGTTGCGAACGGAAGGCCGAGGAGAGGCTTGAAGAGGAAAGGTCGCGTTATTGATGACGAGGATGACGATGACGATGACGATGAGACGGTAGCTGGCAGTTTCACGCAAGCGTCGGCGGGGGCTAAGAGGCCGAAAGTCGCGGATGCTAATGCTGATGAATAGTGGCGGCGGCAGGTCGTGCGTCGAAGCCTGTCACTGCGCATACCGATTCAGCGCACATCCGTTTCCTTTTCATGCTTGAAATTCCTAGATACCACTCTGGGGGCCCGAGGCGTTCTATGGGCTTAGGGCTGCAGTCTTAACGTATTCTATTCCGGCTGACTGAAGCTATGACGCTTCTCCGCATTTGATATTCGGAAGTCTTCGATCTAAACTCTTGATCAATGAAGCCGGCGGCGAATTACCTTAACAATATCCCCCAACCCCTTCAGCCTCTCCTCCCTCGTCTCGCCCAAATAAAGCGCAGCAACCGGCCACGCATGAATCGAGCCCTCCTCTTCACGCACCTCCACCTCCGCGCCCGCCTTCCGGAGCAGCGCGACCAGATCCCTCGTCTCCGGCCCCAGCACCTCCTCAGAGCCGTATAAGAAAAACCATCCCCTCGACGGGCTCGCGCGCAGCCACTTATCCGGATCCCGACAATGCCCGGGCGACACCATCGGGTCGTCTTCCGGGACCTTGGAGCCGACGTACTGGCGCCCGTACAGATGCAAACTCTCCGCGCAGAGGTAGTCACTCGCCGTATCCCGTCTCTTCTCCGACACGATCTCCACCCACGGCGATATCATCACCGCGAGTCCCGGCAAGCGGCCGCGATACTCCGGATGCTCGGCCACGTACAGCAGCATACTCAGGATGAGCGTCGCGCCCGCCGAGTCGCCTCCTACGACCAGATGGGACGGGTCTTGGACGAGTGAGAGGGCGTAGGCGTAGCCGGCGAAGGTTTGCTGTACTTGGGTTGGGTAGACGGCGTCGGGGACGAGGGTGTATTCGAGCGCGAGGAGGGAGGGGTTGGTGTAGCCGGTGGCGCGGAGGAGGGAGACCCAGGCGAGGAGGAATTCGAGGTAGAAGTAGCTGGAGCCCATGGAGAAGCCGCCGCCTGTAGTGGATCAGATTGGGGGTTACAGGTGGTTTACAAAGCATGTTTCGTTTCGGCTTACCGTGGCAGTAGAAGACTACTATGTCGGGTTTCTTGGACGGGTCAGGCGTGATCCAGATGCCTTGGAAGTTGGGCTATAGGTCTCTTAATGGTTTGCCCTTACGTAGCATTGCCGATAATGAAGCTGCTGACTTACTTGTTTCACCTCAGTCCAGGAGATGGGTGATTTCAAGAGCCCATGCCTAAGCATCCGGAAGCGGAGCAAGGGCAGCGAGACCGCCTTGGAGAGGAACACCCTGCCGATATACGCCGGCAAGTTGGCGAAGGCATAACGAACATATCTTACGACGATGTCTTGGAAGAGAGTGGCGCGTTGAACAAATGGTGAACGACGTTCTCTAGCAGTGAAGAATCTTTCCCGGATGAACTGACACGGTACCTGAAGAACTGCTCTATATTAGAGCTACCCCATTCTTCACTAGAAGAGATCTTATACCTAGATCCGGAAGTGCGCCTAGCACCCATTTGGCTGTTGTCCACAGACCAACTTGAATTAAAAGTTGCGGAGTGAGGAAGATGAGAAAGACAAGGCAATCTATATATGAGATTTGACTCAGAATCATGGCGGTGAGTCTACTCTAAAGCACAGGATCTATGAATGAATGAGTGTGTTACGCGTTGAGAGAAAGCCAATGCATGACGACGACAGGCCAAGGACTTTTTGATACAAGCATATATCTTGGGACTGCCAAAGTTATTTATCAGTGCCGGCTGTAGGGAGTAAAGACAGAGCTACGGAGCGTACCATCTACCTAGGTAGCAACAAGAGACGCCATGATTGAATGCTGAGTGAAAAGCTCTTGAAGGTTGAAGGATAGCTGCGCACGTGACTTGACGCGGCTCCTCGGGAGTCGCGAAATGATTTCGCGGAGGTTGTCTTCACCTCCAAACTCTACGCCGCAGGCATTCACATCGGCTATTCTGAACAGCCTCCAGCATTGCTTTCCGCGTGTTTTCCCTCTCCTTGTTTCTGCAGCATGTGTTGATCACGTCGCCTGCACTCGTTTGACAAACAGGCAACGCGAAAGCTAGGCTCGTCTCCCGGTCATCCAGCTATATCAACCCCTCCTTAGTTCTACCCGTCTTCAGCGACATGGACCTCGCTAGGTAAGACCTAGGCTGTTTGAGTGTTCATTGAGCTTGTCCTAACATGCTGCTATCAGTACGCTGTCCATGGACGAGATTCCTACGAAGCTCAGATGCGCCATCTGCAACAAGCTAGCAATCAATGCATTCCGCCTCCCTTGCTGTGACCAGTCGATATGCGAGACTTGTGAGTAATATAAATCAGCTGCTTCACCGGCCTTAAGTCCGCTGCTAAACTCACATCAATTAGGTCAATCATCGCTACCCGAATCATGTCCAGTTTGCGCGCATAGCCCCCTCGCCGCCGAGGATTGCAAGCCGAACAAAGCCCTGCGCCTGACTGTGAAGGCTTTCTTGAAGTCGGAGGAGAAGAAAAGGGCCGTCAAGCCGGCGACACCTGCAACACCTGCGGCAGTAGAGACGCCCACTGCCGCGACTATCGAGCCACCGACAAGCGTCACCGAACACCCGCCGCAAACCGAGCAGTCTGAGCTCTCTACACCAGCGGTTGCTTCAATCGAAGAGCATGCGCCTGCCGGCCAGACGTCCGAAAACCAGACGCAGCCAGATGGGCTGGAAGCGGTCGCCCAACCCACGGCCCAGGTATGTGCGAAGCTAGGTGCTAGCCGACCAACAGCTAACTCCGACCAGCACCAGGCTCAAGAACCAGAAGAGGCAAAGAGAGAGATCAGTGTGGCGCAAGGCATGCCGGAAGCCGAAACAGCCGAGCAACAACAAACGGATCCCGGTATTGAATCACAAGGGGCGCAAGATGGAGCACAAAATCAACAGCCTGATGGCAGCCAAGGTCAGAACAACATGTGGGCCATGAACGGAGGTCAGGGCCAGCAGCAGATGTATGGCGAGGGTTACGGTTTCGACCCCAGCCAAGCTGGCTATGGAGACATGAGCTGGAACAACGTTTCTGGCTTCAACCCTATGATGCAGGTGCCCATGCAAAACGGAACGGGCGGCTCGTGGAACAACTTCTCTGGTATGATGGGTACGCCACTCCTCTCTGCGGATGACTTGTACAGCTATACTAATACTCTCTTCCAGGCATGCCGGGAATGGCCATGGACCCCATGAGCATGCAACAAGGAATGTTCGGAGGCTACGGAGGGCAAGGCATGGGCATGAACGGGATGAATGGGATGAGCATGGGTACGGGCTACGCAGGATTCGGTGGTGGATGGAACGGACAGCAGATGAGTGGTGGTGACTTTGGCGGCGCACATGCTGGCTATTATCCCGGAGGTGGATATAATCAACAATCGCACCAGCAGGGGCATTTTCCCCCTCATCAGATGCATCACCAGCAGTTCCAGAAGAATAATTACCAGAACCAAAATCGTTTCCAGGGTCAGGGCGCGTATCACCAGCGGGGATACAACCGTGGCTACCAAGGCAATGTTGGTCCTGGTCAAGGGCATGCTCATGGACAGGCTCAGCTTGAAGATCGAGCTCCAAGCCGGGACCCGTCCCAAGTCGCTGGTCCCGAGACTCAGGCACAAGAACCACCGTCCGAAGATGATCCTTTCTTCCACCAGCTCCCTGCAGGACTCCGAAACCGCCGTCCTTCTCAAGCGAAGTCCACCGACCCAGCGTCAGGTGGTGCGCCTAATACACAAGGAGAAAACTCCAGGCCTGCAGACAACTCAGAACAAGTCATCTCAGCAGATACCGAGAAGAATGCCGCAGCGGAAGGCAAGTTAGAAGGTGAAGTGAAAAGTGATACTGACGCTGCTCCAGCCGAGCAAGAGAATGCAGGAGACGATGACTCAAAGGATCTGGACCGACGAGGGCAACATGTTGCCTCTGAGTCCGAGCAACCGGCCCAAGGGATGCCTAGCCAGGAGAACACGTTCATGGACCAAGGCCTGCAACACATCCAACCCATCGAATCCATCGAGTACAACGACGGACCGAGCATGATGATGGACCCCTCAGGCATGCCCATGGACCCTACTGGAATGCACATGAACCACTCACCCGCGATGTACGGCGGACCAGGCCCCATGATGAACCAGCAGTACCCCTCACAAGGCTCGATGCACGACTTTCCAGCCCGCGGACGAGGTCGAGGCGGCCGACGTGGCGGATATAGCCGCGGCGGATTCCAAAACCAGTACCAGGACGAATTCCAAGGCGGTTTCGGAGGCCGGGGCGTCAAAGGAGCAGGCTTTACAGTCAACGGAACTTTTGGAACGGAAACTTCCGTCCCCGTTGCAAGTGCTAGAGCGGCAGAGTTCACAGTCGTGACGCCCCAGGAACCTAAAGGCGTGGGAGTCGAAGGTGCACCTACCGGCCCGAAGGCTATGAGGGAGGGCCATCCTAATGCGAGCTTCAGAGGGCGAGGAGGCTTTCCTGGTACGCCTGGGCGAGGTGGCATAGCGGCTTCGGTCACTAGTGAGCGGTCGAGGGCGAGGAGGTAGGTTTGATCTGTTGGTTCAGCCGTTGGTTCAATTGCTGATGATCCCAAGCACATCCCCAGAGCGTCAACGCTCACGCTCAAGAACCCGATCCCGTACTCGTTCGCGCTCGCACTCAAAATCGCGCTCGCCATCTCGCCACCACCGCCGTAAGCACCGTCAGCGATCACCCAGCATATCCGCCGAATCCGATTCCCGAGAGCGTCGGCGTGAGCGGCGACATCATCGTTCATCTCGCAAGTACGAGGATGAAGACGACGTCACTCCTACCGAAGAACCAAATGAATCGAGAGACCCCTACCGTCGCGACCGCTCTCGCGACGAATCAGTCGAATCGACGCGCCATCGCAGCCGCAAAGACAAAGATAAAGACAGACACCGCTCCTCGCGCTCTCATCGTGATCGCAGCCGCGAGCACCGTAGCCGAAGACACCGATCCCGGTCTCCAGCCGCGGAGGCCGACCCAGCCGATAGAGAAGACGCCAGCATAGCAAATGGCACCGACATCCCGAGCGAGTCGAGCAGCCGACGTAAGAGCAGAAGCGAGAAGTACCGTGATCGCGACAGGGAACGCGACAAGGACCGCAAAGCAGAGTATGACCGTGACAAGGAGCGTCCTCGAGAGCGAGAGCGGGAGAAGGAGAAGGAGAAGGAGAAGGACAAAGACCGCAAACGCTCCCGGCGGGATCGTTCACCCTCCCCCCACGACCACGACCACGACCACGAAGCCGAAGACCGGCACCACCGCTCTTCCCGCTCAAGCCGCAAGGATCGCGACAAAGACCGCGACAGGGATCGTGAACATGAATCTGAGCGCGAACGGCGCCGTGACCGCGACCGAGGCCGTGAGCGAGAAACAGCTCCAGCAAAAGCCCCCCTAAAAACCGAGCCCTCCGAGCCCTCCATCTCCTTCAGCATAAAAGGCCGCTCCCGCAAGCCCTCCCAGCCCACCACAACTATCACCAGCACAACCATGCCTCCTCCCTCCGCGCCAACCGGCCCTTCCTCCACCCGCCGCGATCGTGACCCGCCGAAGGGACCCGCAGCCGACCGTTCGAGAGACAAACGCCGCCCTTCCATCACTGCGCCTGGTAGCCCACCCGCAGCGAGAGGATCGGTAGCAGATGTGGTAGAGGCAAAGGAGCCATCAGACCCGCATGCCCTGGAGCGCGAGGCGAGGAACCGGGAGCGCATGCTCCGCGAAGAGCAGCGGCGTCTCTCATCCTCTCTCTCCAGCTCGACAGACCGCAAGCGCAAGTCTTTCGGTGCTGCAGAGGAAGCGGAGAAGCCCTTCGCGCCGCCGACGGGGCCGAGTGCTGAGAGGGCGAAGCGGGCGCGTGTCGAGGGGGGCAGGACGGGCAAGAGGAAGGTTAGTGTCAAGTATGAGGATGAAGTGGGGGATGGGGATGAGAGGATGGGAAGGGGGGAGCGGGAGAGGGAGATGGGGCGGTGGGGTTGACGATCTTGAGCGCGCCATCCCGCGAACAAGAAGCTTCTGGGTTCTGCGTGTGCGTCGAGTGTGTTTCACTATAAGACTTGCGGGCGTGTGAGGGTGCGCCTTTTTGGACCCATGACGAGAGTCTCTCATCGGCATTGTCTTTTGTTGTGGGCTGGTGTCACTGCAGCGCCAGTGTGTGAGTCGTCTCGAAAGTAGAGCGGGGCAGAGAGAGAATGCACGAGTGTATTCGTGCTGTAGGCAACAAGCTTGATTAGGCCCACTTCTTTTTCAATGGATGCGGAATTATTAGTTACTTACTGCCCTGTCCAAACCCAAAAGGAATACAAAAGGTTGATTCTGACAGCGTCCGGCCCTCTTGGGTTCTTCCATGGCTGCAAGGCCTATCAAGCAAAGGCCGAGTGCCTCAAAGAAACATGAACATACGGTTGAAAATGGGTATGACGTGCCTCTTCACTAATGTCAAACCGAAGGGAAGGGAAAGATAGGGACGTGATGGTGGAAAGAGCGTAAGCGCGCCTAAACATCAAGGATAAGACCCATGAAGATGGTGAGGGGGCCAGGGCCAGAATTTGGGGTCCCTAATCCACACATCGAAGTATCAAAGCAGCAAAGTACCAAGATAGAGAGGAAAGGCTTTACACCAATTGGCAATGCTAATCACACACTCTAACGAAGCAGCAGCCACCAAGGAGAAGAGTAAGGTATCCATAGCCGCTCGACCCATTCTATGCCCCACTTTTCTACCAAAACTAGAGGATACAAAACAACCCATGCTTGTTTTCCGTTCGTTCAGCTCATTACGCACACACTTATGCACTCATTAGCAACCTCCACCACTACACTTCTCAGCAGGGCGGGCCGATCACCGCGATGTCCGACTTTACTTTCCCGTTGATTAATGGATTAGGACGTGACGTTGTTGCCGTAATAATACGCCGCGAAGGCTGCGGCGGCCATGACGGTAACGCTTCTACTCACGGAACACGAATCAGCCCGCTTGACTCGAATGTCGCGTAAAGATACAGCCAAACCCACTCCGCCGCAAATACGCACCGTGATTCTCACCCGCCCTCGTCCTCACCCCCATGATCAACAACAAGAAGAAGGGTATCCCTTACGCAGTAGCCCCAACCGCCCTCCTCGTCCCAAACAAACCCTCAAACCACCTCCTCAAGCTGCCGAAGATGGCGCGCCAGATTGCAGCCAAAAACCCGACGCTCTCATGAGCTGGCTGTCTCTCCCTTTCCGTCTCCCCTTCTCTCTCCGTCTCTGAAGACGAAGCCCTCTCCACCTCCCTCTCCGCAACCTCAGCGCCCTTGTCCTCGTCACCTTTCCGCCTGCGGAGCCCCTCGGGCTCTGCGGTGGCCGATTTGGCAGACGACTCGTTAGCCCGTCTCTCCGTCAACGCGGCAGGCTTCGTCTCATCCAGCAGGAAGCCCTTCGGCGTCATCGGCGGCGTCAACGGTGCCGCATTGTCGGCAGCGGGGGTGGGGACGTCATGGGAGCCATCCGACTGCCCCGGTGCGCTCTCCCCACTTTCCGCACTTTCCGTGCTATGCTGCTGGTCTCTCGCGAGTGCCGGGGAGGGCAGATCTTCCTCCTCGAGTTCCAGTTCGTCGGCTTCCGGAACGGCCCCGAGCGGCGAGCTCGACTCGACAGAAATGGCCGCCGAGTTGAAGGAATGCCTCGTCTCGAGCGGGGAGGAGGGCCTCGACGAAGGTCGCGAAGTCGGCTCGGCGGGCTCGTCTTCCTGTAGTCGGGACTCCGTGCGTGCGATATGTCTGTATATCTCCGCGCGATCTGTCGGGAATTTCTCTAGCGAGGGATCGTTGAGGTCGACCTCCTCGTCGTCCTCGTCATGGGAGTTCATGATAGCGAGGTCGTGGTTGCTGGTCGAGCGCTCGAAAGCGAAGAGAGGCGTCGGGCCCGACGTGACTGGTGCGTCTGGATACGGGCTTGTGGCCTCGTCTTCGGAGTCTTCAAAAGTTTCGTGCTTGAAGGTTGGGACGCGTTCGAGCTCGGACATGTCGCCGTCATCGTCGGAGTCTTCGACGTGGTCTTCGTCCCGGAAGGACTCGTGGCGGAACATTGGAGAGCGCTCGCATTCAGGAACGTCGTCCTCGTCTGTGTCTGTTTGGTCCTCCGGGTCCGGCGTGATGACGACCGCGTCAGGTTCGGCGTCTGCCAACCGCTTCTCATGCGCTTCTTTCTGGCCAGCTGTTGCGTCGGGGCCCATGTCGTCGCCATGGCGAGGCTCGTCGTCTGTCTTCTCGACGATGAGTGTTGGGATGGCAGGGGGCGCGTCGGACTCGGGTGCGCTCTGCTCGGTCTCCGCATTGTCCCCTGGAAGCTCATGAACTGCGTCCGGCTCGGCATCAGCTGAGCGCTGGTCCTTCTTCTCGTGTAGGGACTCGGCCTCGATGTCGCCGTATTCGGGCTGAGGTTGGTCTGGGACTTTCTCCACTACGGTGAAAGGTATGGGGACCGATTCTTGGGATGCCGCGGGGGTTTCTTCTACCTGTTTCTGGGGCTGTGTCTGTGTGTGCTCGGTCTTAGGCTCCTGTAGGAACATCGCCGCCTCGGTGGCTTGATCTGCTATATGGGTTTCCAGATCTTCGGTAGACATTGGTGCAGGCGGAGCTTTGGGTAGCTCGGATGTGGGCTGTACGGTCTTTTCGGGCTCGCTGGGTGCTGAGAGCGCGGGAGTCGGTGCCTTTACGACTAGCAGATTGTTTCGGAAACCTGCATCATCGGTAACTTCACCCAGCAGTTAGCCTCCATGCGCTGTGTCAATTGATTGATTACTCAACATACCGACTGATGCCGTTTCGTCCAGCACCCACCAATCCCCCGGCCCTAGGCGGAACTTGTACTGATATTCGCCCTCCTTGACATGCTCGAACTGCTTCCGGAAGATGAGGTCGCCGGCGTCGGTCTTCTTATCGTCAATGTCCATCTCGTACGGCTCCCATGGCGGGGAGGTCAGCGAGGCGGCTACGTAGACTGGTGGCTGGGTCTCGGGGTGGGTGTAGGAGATCTCGACGGTCTGTTCGGAAGCCATGGCGGGCAATGGGTGTGGCTAGGTGAGGAAAAGAGGCACGCGACTTTCGAGGATCGTAAGCCGCTGGCGTGAACGGCTTATCGGTTCGAGCGAGGAAGATTGTTTCAGTAATTGGGTGTCAGCAGTCGGGTTTACTGTGGTGTGCTGCTGCGGTTAGAGTGTTGGAGCAAGCTCTGTGACGTTGAGCAGTCGAGGTAGGTGATAGCAGGTAGTAGTAGGAATGGATAGTGGCGTGGAGCTTGCAGGAAGCTCGTAAAGCGGTCGCGGAGTGAATGTGAAGTGGTGGTTGCAGGGCGATGGTGAGAATTTGTGCATGGACGGGCGCGTGTCCAAAAGGTTATTCAGGCAGGCAGTGATAAAAGTGTTGACAGAGCAGGCATGGGTGGCATGGGAGGCATGGGAAAGAGCGGGAGCCAGTGAAGCTTCCAGCGAACAGGAAGATCTCTCCGCGCTAAGATTTTCGGCGCCAGACTTTCCTCAGATCAGAGTTGGGAAGCGACGCGCAGCATGTGTGGGCTCTTGCTCTTGCCGGCCATCCAACCACCAAGCTTTGTTGGGCGTCTTCACCCTTCCGACAGGGGTCCGGCGTCGATGTCGATGTGCGCGATACGCAGATGCTGCATGCACCGACACAAGTTCACGCACGAAAACGCGGGGAGGGCATCCTTGAAGCCTTGGGGGCAATTCAGGGGACTCGATATTTGTGCCTGATCCAACCATGCGAATCTCTCTATTCCATTGCTCCATCTCGAGAGACGAGCCCGTCAACCATGACATGGGGAGTTGAGGCACAGGGAAAAAAAACAGCTGACGTTGAGCTGCGGACTCGGCCATCCGGTTCTTTCCACAAGCTGTGGCGGCGCTCGCGCGTCAGCCTCCGAGTTTGGCCGCTTGGCATCCCCGCACTATCTCTTAGCCCTCCCGTCGCGTGCAGGCCTGGTTGGGGCCCGGGGTGCGAGCGGCGGTTGTCTGTCTGTCTGTCGATTTTTGCTCAATCGCGCCTGTCGATCATGGACTCTTGCACGCTTCCCGTCAGGGCTCTCCGCAGCCCGACGGCGGAGCTGGAGAGAGCCCCAAGCGGCTTGGTCTCGACGGGATATCCCCTCGGCTTTTCACGTGTTCAGCGCCACGAGAAGTACGAAGAGGCGTGATCGCGTGAGAGCACGTGAAGAGATCCAAGTCCATCTGCTAGAGTAACCTCTTCCAACGCCGTGCTATGCTCGCGGAGACGCCTGCCTATTGAAACACGCCTCCAAAATTTACTGAGAGCAGATTACCATCCCCAGCTTCAAGCCAAAAATTCCTTAACATTCCCCCCAACCCCCTCAAGATCTAGCAAAAAAGTATCGTGCCCAAACAGACTCTTCTCCTCTCCCAGCTCCACATGCTTAACCGTCTTATTCCCCGCCCTCCTCAGCGTCTCCGCAATCTCCCTCTGCTGCCACGCCGGGAACAGAATATCACTCGCCACACCCATCACCAACGTCGGCGTATTAGCCAGCGGCCTCATCCCCGCCACCAAGTCCGCCGGCGGTTCGTGCGCGTCCACCTGCACCGCAGGCTCATTCGACGGCTCCACGAGCGACGCGGAAGGCGCGTCCTGCTCCTCATACGGCGTCTCCGGCAGCGTAAGACTGCACGCGTCGCTGTTCGTACTCTCCCGCGCGGTTTCCCTCCCCGCCTGAAACGCCGCCAGCTTCTCCTGGTTCTTCGCTCTTGATGCTATCATCATATTGCGGTGCTCGAGCCCCAAATCAAACAGGTCCATGGCCTTGGAGACATAGAGCAGGCTGTTGGCGTCGTACTCTAGACACCATTTCTCGCCCGCGTGGTCAAGGTACGTCTCGATGAGGAAGTCTGGGCAGAGGGCTGGCGGCCGCGAGGGGTCGGCGCGCCGCCGGCCGAAACGCTGCTCCCATTCAGGACCGCTGCGGTAGGTCACGGTCGCGATTTCGCGCGCGAGTTTCATGCCGCCGTGGGGGGGGATGCGGTCGTAGTAGAAGCCACGGGACCAGTTGGGGTCCATCATGAGGACTGTACGCCGTGTCAGCATCAATCTTTGAATGGTCGTGAGGTTGATACGCACCCTGCCGCTGCGTATGCCGCATCGCGATGCTGTAGGGATGACTCCTCGCACAGCCGCTTATGCTTACGATGCGCCCAACGCGCTCTGGAAACAGCACGCCAGCCGCTAAACTCTGCATGCCGCCCATGCTTGAACCCACACTGGCGTACAGCTTGTCGATGCCCAGATGGTCCAGCAGCCGGAATTGTGCCCGCACCATGTCCTCCATTGTAAGAATGGGGAAGCGCGTCGCATAGCGCTCGCCATTGGCAGGATCGCGAGAAGAAGGTCCCGTCGAGCCGTAGCAGCCACCAATGACGTTCGTGCAGATGACAAAGTATCTGTCGGTGTCCACTGGCCGGCCAGGTCCAATGAATTTCTCCCACCACCCTGGCTTCGGGTTGGCTTCTGTGCTATGAGCGTGGCTCGATGCGGACAAGCCTGTGTGTAGCAGGATGACATTGCTCCGGTCCTCGTTTAGCTCGCCCCAGGTCTCGTACGCTATGTTGAACTCTGGCAGTATGCCGCCCCAGTCCAGCAATAGCGGCTGCTTCGAGTGGAAGTTGAGGTGTCGGCCAGTGGTATAGGAGGGCTCAGGGCCAGCGGTCGACCGGCGTTGAAGGGATGCGGAGCGTAACTCTACGGCGTCAAGGCATGGGAAGGAGAGCGCAGGATTCGTGGGCTCGACAGCTGCAGCAGCTTGCGCTTTCCGAGGCGCATGTTGGTGGATGTTACGGGAAGCTTGTGCGGACTGCCATCGTGATGAGGTCGAGATTGGTGCTTTGGAGGATGGGCGTGGTTTGGTTCCGGTGTGGCGCAGAGCGCTCCGAGAAGCAGCTACGACACCCTTTACTGAGTTCATGGCGGTTTGAGGTCAATTGGACAGACCGCAGCACCGAAACAATATGAGGCATTCATTGCTATTGACGCCATTGGGAACTTTTGTCAGCGACTGGAGCGGTCGATCGCGCAAGAAAACGTGATTTGGACCCTGGTGGCTGAAGATGTGGCTGTGGCTGTGGCTGTGGCTGATGAGATGCTTATACAAGCAATTCCTTGCACGTGACCACAGCTTCTGCTGTCAAACATCCGCTTTGTCTGTTCTTGGAGAGGACCTGCTTGCACGGTCAACATGAGACGAGCTTTGCGATCCAGCCTTACTGCAGGAGACCACAGATGCTGCTTTCTCTCATGCCTATCCGGTGCTTGCTGTCTTCTCCGCCAATACCGATCAACGCGTATTTTCAGAAGAGGCATCGACGAATGCGCTGGCCTGGTCGAAGCAGAATAGCGAGAGGGGCGAGCTTCTCCGTGCCAGGGGCGATTGATTGTAACTTCTTGTCTCTGGCACAAGCCTCCGGAGACCGTGATTCAAGAACGCAGCCATAGTTCTCGTGTTCTGAAAAGGTCAAAGTGCCTCTCGTGGTTCGTATAAACGCAACTCGCAGCCGGTTAAGAGCTTCATGTGCCACTATACCGGTATACTGGATGGGCCCTCCAATACACTGACGGAACAGTGAAACCAATGCACCCGACATATGACTGTCGTGGTATCCAGTGAGTCGTAGATATCCAGCACATGTAAAGTGGACTAATCTGAATACGCAAGTGGCTAGATGATGGACTATCGGAAAAAAGAAGTAGAATATTGAACCTGTTCTACGCATATGAGTGTCTAGCAGAAATACTAGAAGATGCTCAACTCCGCTCCGTTCCTGTACTCGTTGAGTTCGAGAAAAGATAGAACAGAGACTATATGAAAGTATTGAGCCGCCTATTATATATCCGCTGCGTGGAGCTCTTTCCTTGCAGCTTCAAGGAAACTGAAAAGTGCCCATGAGCTGTACAGTATCAGCCCGGCCATGTTTATCTCACAAAGATATAAGCATTGCATGCATGAAGTGTAATTGAATTCGAGATTCACACAGTCGTTGATGCTGAACAGCCGCCTTGTCTCGGACATCCACTTGATCGATCTGGGAGCGGGCTCGGAGAAACCGTGGAGGAATCCGAACGGAGAGCTCAAGTCCCCAACCTCAACGCCGGTCAACGATTCCCAGGCGGAAGAGCTCAGCTACCCATTCACTCCGATTGCTCCCTCTTCCATCTTCCTCCTACCGTAAACATGTTCTCCAGAACGCTCAGGAAGAGCGTGTTTACGCCGGTGCGGCGCAATGCCTTTGCACCGTTGGCGCGACGAGCTGTCACCACCGACGCAGCTTCATCGCATGCGGAAAACCTACCGGAGGTCAGTCCGGACAACGACCACTCGTGACCTTCATATACAACACCAGAAGCTGACAGGCCGGCAGAAAGATGAAGAGCCCTTCGAGGTCCAACTCTCCGACGAGAGCTTCGAAACCTATGAGCTCGACCCGCCGTCCTACACCCTCCACACAACGAAGAAAGAGCTCAAGCAGATGTACTACGACATGGTAGCAGTCCGGTACGCCCCAGAACCACGCAGCCCTCCGACCACATTATCCGTCTGAAAGCAGCCTGATAGCTAACACACACACCCCCACAGCCGCATGGAAATGGCCGCCGACCGGCTGTACAAAGAGAAGAAGATCCGCGGTTTCTGCCATCTCTCGACAGGCCAGGAAGCCGTCGCCGTCGGCATCGAGCACGGCATCACGAAGAAAGACCACGTCATCACCGCGTACCGCTGCCACGGCTTCGCGCTCATGCGCGGCGGCACAGTCAAGCAGATCATCGGCGAGCTGCTGGGCCGGAGAGAGGGTATCGCTTACGGCAAGGGTGGTTCTATGCACATGTTCGCTACGGGCTTCTATGGCGGCAACGGTATCGTCGGTGCGCAGGTGCCGGTTGGTGCTGGCATTGCATTCGCGAACCAGTACGAGGGCAAGGAGAATGTGACGCTGGCGCTATATGGTGACGGTGCGAGCAATCAGGGTCAGGTGTTCGAGGCTTTCAACATGGCGAAGCTGTGGAATCTTCCCGTCATCTTCGGCTGCGAGAGTAATAAGCATCTTTACCTCGTTCCTGCCAGGACGCCGCTAACCAGCTCGCAGACAACAAATACGGTATGGGCACTGCCGCCAATCGCTCCTCCGCCATGACCGAGTACTACAAGCGTGGCCAATACATCCCCGGTCTCAAGATCAACGGCATGGACGTCCTTGCCGTGAAGAACGCTGTTGAGTTCGGCAAGCAATGGTGCAAAGAGGGCAAGGGACCGCTTGTCTACGAGTTCGTGACATACCGATACGGCGGCCACTCGATGAGTGATCCCGGTACGACCTACCGCGTAAGTTATTACTCCACGTCTCCTCACCCCTGCCTTGCCCCTGCTCCACCTTATTGCTCACAAACAACATCCACTAACCCACCCTTCTCTCATAGACCCGCGAAGAAATCCAACGCATGCGCAGCACCAACGACCCCATCGCCGGGCTGAAGCAAAAGCTCCTCGACTGGGAAGCCTGCACCGAGGACGAGCTGAAGTCCATCGACAAGGAGGCGCGCAGCATGGTCGACGCCGAGGTCGCCGAGGCAGAGAAGATGGAGCCGCCGGAGCCGACCCCGCAGATCCTGTACGAGGACGTCTATGTGCGGGGTAGCGAGCCCCCATTCTTAAGGGGACGTATCCCGGAGGAGAACTTCTATTACGAGAAGGCGGACATTCCACCCAGGAGTAAGGAGGACTATGTGACGAGGACGTAGGGAGTAGGTCGGTAGATATCGGTTGGACTGGGATGTGGGTACCAGCGACATGCTGGAGGAATTGTTACCTTGAGATTGTACTTCTAGTCCCGGCTTGGTCATTCATCAAAACCTGCGTGATTGGGGGGATTGAGGGTTAGGAGAGGCGCGTTCGACCACTACAACAGAGCCAGTCTACATGAGAGCTGTTTTTTCCGCTTGTTTAGCGTGTTCAGGTTCCCTATTCACTTCTGCCTAGCTATTTGGCAGCTTTGCTGCGCCAACAAGAATGTCAAGCAAAGCTGCGTGGACCGCTTAAGAATCTTCCGCGCCATGCAGTGATCCTAGAATCTCCATGATCTCCTCCGCCTCGTCTCTCAACTTCTCGTTGTCGTTCTCAGAAAGCCAAAAAGCAAGCGCAGAAGCAGCAGCAGTAAATATGGGATCACTAGTAACACGTCGCTTGATGGAAAGGACTTCCTCTCTGGATGCTTCACTGAACTCCAGGGATGAACGCCGTCGTGCTGGTGGCGACGACTCCCGTTCCGCATTCGCCCTTCCCACACTCGCCCCTTCTGCATTCGCTGCGTCCCACCTGTCCTGCAGAAACTCGATCGTAAGGGACATGGTTTTGTCGATCTCCTTGTAGAGGTTCAGAAGTAGCTCGGGATCCATGCCGGAATCTTGGTCTTCCGGAAGATCTACAAGGTAGCGGAAGAATCCGTGCAGGACCGTGTAGGCGGCCGACAGGCGAACAGCAGTCTCCTTATACGCAGGTTCGCGCAGCAGCTCGATGAGAGAGGGAACGGTGGCTTCAATGTCGATCGTGGTTGCCTTGATGAACAGGTAAGCGAAGGGCTTGCTGTTCGATGTCGACGTCGATGGGTCTTCGGAAGATGCTGGGGCCTCGGTCCAGATGGTCGAGGTGTCTGGGATGTGCTGCGTTAGGTTTGCGAGGAGGATCACGGCAGGCTTGTAGGCCTTTCCGGAGGGGCTCCGATGGAACGTCTTCTGCACGGAGGATATCAGGAGGGTGAGCCATGGTGGTGCCTCGGGGAATTCGGCGCTCATGAGGACGTCCGAAAGCATTGCGTGTGCTGGCGTGGCGTCTGCCCCTTGGTACGCTAGCAGCAGCTTTGTGATGATGCTGTGTTTCTTACTCCAGCCTTCCGCTCCAGCTTCTTCCTCTTCTGGCAAGAGCATGAGCTTTAAGCAATGTAATGCTAGCGGCTGTTGCGGGCAGATCTCGATCAGAGGGGAGAGGTCCTCGAGTGCGAGCAGGCCACTTGTCCCTTTTCTCGTACTGCAAATGACCAGAAGCATCCGCAGAGCGTTCTCCGTTGTGTCAGGGTTGGCCTCAATGAGGCTGTGAATCAAGCCCTCGGACATGGATATCATCTTGTCACTCTCCAGAGCTTCTTGTGGAAGCAATTGGGAAAATGCGTGCAGCACGCCGACAGCAAGGTCTACAAGGAGGCGAGACTCTGCTTGGCTCCGCTGCTCGTTCTGTTCCGCTCGAAGTAAGCGCCTGAGATAGCTGGTTGAGAGTGCTGTCCAGCACTCTGATATCGCCTCCGGATTGCTGCGGAAACTTTCATTGTCGACCAGAGGCCGTAGAAGTGTCAGGCCAAGGAAGCGAGATGTGTCGTCCTTCTTCTTGAGGTAGGAGAGGACCTGTTCAAGCGAGACACGCATGGTCGATGGCTGAAGCTGCTCTGCCTCTCCTTGCGGCAGCTGCTGGACTTCGGATTCCATGCTGAAAACACATCCGCAATACGTCTGAAAAGGTCTTGGAAGGAGTGAACCAAGCTGTAGAATTCCTTTAGAGACCTGGTTCCCCGTGGAATTTACGGCTGGGCCCTCAATGGTCAATGCGAGTGAGAAGTAGAAGAAAGCATCCTGATCATGGACACAAAAACTTCCCAGGCAAATACACTGTCAGCGTGTAGAGGTCTTTACTTCTCCTATATCCGCTCGCTACATGAGTATCTCTTCTCAATTCTCTTGATGGTTGTGAAGTGTCGAAAGACACGTCAGGGAAATGGAGGTTGATCGGACGGGAGCTTGCTCCTCAAGTGACGGAATCCGCTCCGCTACCTTGGCACCGCTCTCCGCTGGGTTTCCGCCGAACCGCACCTCACCTCCACCTGGGCAGGCAGACCTCAAGGCCGTGGGAAAGTCAAGGTTGGGTTCGCTCTCCAGCTGTGTTCTATTTGAATTGTTGGACACACGAAGTACCCATGATGTGCCAATGAGATGTTAATTTCGTCCTCTATACCGTCTAGCAACTCGCGCGCCGAAGCGTCGTCCAGCCACGCTCCTTCTAGGCATGCCGCAGTCGAGGATGGAGGCAGCGACGAAGAGGAGGACCTGCTAGCTTCGGACCCGCTGACTAGTAACCTATCTCAGGGGTAGGCCAAGACAGTCATCAGTCCAGGAGCTGCAAAGGCTTACAATTCCGCGCAGAATCTCCTTTAAACGAAAGGCAAAGGCTCCTACATCCGGCTTCTCGATCCCGCGTTTCCTCTCCTCTCCCGCCCCTGGTAGTAATTCCCACCAGCACTCGCCAGACTCTCGCCATCGTCAGACGCGTGCCCGCCATCAGGCCACCTCAACCTCCGATTCTACCGCAGCAATCCTCTCGTACCTTGACACGCCCGCAGACGGCGGTACCAGTCTCGAAGATACCAAAGACGGCAACAGCTTGGACTGGTATGTAGAAGGCCCTGGCCGCCGCGTCGGCTACGACGACCTCACGGCCATCGACTGGATCTTTGAGTATGCCAAGGAGCGGCAGAGGCTACGGCTGTTATACTCCAGTGCAAGTGGCCTGATAGGACATGTCAAACAGTTAGCAGACGCAAGCCAGATATGGTGGATCTTGGTGGCTACGGGCATATCTGCTGGATTGGTGGCTGCATTCATCGATGTGGCTAGTGACTGGCTGGGTGATTTGAAGACTGGACGTTGTAGAAATGTCGATGGGGATGGCAAATTCTATTTGAACAAGGTGTTTTGCTGCTGGGGCTATGATTGTGAGTACTTCTTCCGAGGTCATGATGGGATTCTGACAAACTCGGAGCCCTCGATAAGTGCCATGATTGGACACCATGGAGTAGCGCCTTAGGGGTGACCTCTAAAGCCGGGAGTTTCGTGGTGGAGTATATCTTCTTCATTGTGTTATCGGTAAGCTGCGTCAATGTCCCTCTCCATGGCCTCTGCTGATGTATTACAGGTTGCGTTTGCGGCATGTGCCAGCGTTCTAGTCCAAACTTATGCGATTTATGCGAAGCATAGCGGGATACCCGAGATCAAGACAGTGTTAGGCGGCTACGTTATCCGGCGCTTCTTGGGTGCTTGGACTTTGGTAATCAAGTCATTGGGCCTGGTGAGTACCTGCTTATGGTTGCCCCAATACAGGCTCGCTTAGCTGACGGCGTATCTAGTGTCTTGCAGTGGCGTCTGGTTTATGGCTTGGCAAGGAGGGTCCTCTGGTGCATGTAGCCTGCTGCTGCGCGAACCTCTTCCTCAAGTTGTCTGGAAGCATTAACAACAATGAAGGTGCGTACACTATCTACAATGCGGATGTAACTGCTAAGAAACAAATGCAGCTCGGAAGCGGGAGGTACTCTCGGCTGCAGCCGCAGCAGGAATCTCGGTCGCCTTCGGATCCCCTATTGGTGGTGTCCTGTTCAGCCTTGAGCAGCTTTCCTATTACTTCCCGGACAAGACTATGTGGCAGTCGTTCGTCTGCGCTATGGTTGCAGCCGTGACCCTTCAGGCCTTCAATCCCTTTCGGACAGGAAAGCTTGTCCTTTACCAAGTGACCTACCATTCCGGTTGGCACCACTTCGAAATGGTCCCTTTCGCACTCCTCGGCATTCTTGGTGGCCTCTATGGTAGCCTCTTCATCAAACTTAATATGCGCATCGCAGAGTGGCGGCGCTCTCATCCCATCTTCAAAGGTCCCGTTCTCGAAGTCATTTTCGTTACGCTAATAACCGCACTTATCAACTTCCCGATCAAGTTCATGCGCGCTCAAGCCTCTGAGCTTGTTTATGTGCTCTTCGCCGAATGCGCCGACATTCAAGATGACCAGCTCGGCCTCTGCAAATCCGGGAAGGCGAACACGGGGGTGATAGTCTTACTACTCATCTCCGCGCTCCTGGGCTTCTTCCTCGCCTCCCTAACCTTTGGGCTGCAAATTCCAGCTGGTATCATCCTTCCATCCATGGCCATTGGCGCACTCTACGGCAGAGCCGTCGGACTGGTCGTCGATGTATGGCAAGCCGCGCATCCAGGATGGATAGTGTTCGCAGCATGCGAGCCGGACAAGCCATGTATCACACCTGGAACATACGCGATCGTAGGTGCCGCTTCTGCGCTAGGCGGTGCCACCCGTCTCACGGTATCCATCGTAGTCATAATGTTTGAGCTTACTGGGGCCCTAACCTATGTTCTTCCCATCATGATTGCCGTCATGATCTCCAAATGGGTTGGTGATGCTATCAGCCCGCGCGGCATCTACGAGAGCTGGATTCATTTCAACGGCTACCCCTTCATGGACAACCGCGACGACAATAGCGCTAGTGTGCCGGATGTGCCTGCCTCGAGTGTCTTCACCCGGATAGAGGATCTTATCGTCATCACAGGCACTGGTCATACAATTCAAAGTCTTAGAACTCTCTTAGCACGGCATCCATTTCGCGGCTTTCCCGTCATCGATAACCCAAGAGACGTGATATTGCTGGGCTACATTTCTCGCACAGAGCTCGACTACGCCCTCGGCGTTGCCTTGTCCGCGCCACGCAACCTCTCGCCGGACACAGAAGCTCACTTTGCGCATCAGCCGCTGAGTGATCCGGCAACTAGTCTGGACCTCAGACCGTGGATGGATCAGACGCCTATCACCTTGAACGCCAGGGCCGGACTTGGGCTGACGGTGAACATGTTCATGAAGCTGGGGCTGCGATACGTAGTATTCGTCGAGAAGGGCGCGCTGAGGGGCTTGTTGACCAAGAAGGATGTTTGGCTTGTGTTGAGTGGACAGGAAGAGAGTAGTGCGCGCGGTCAGCTTAGAGAGGACGGCGGTGGAGTTGAGGAAAGGGGCTTACTCGATGACGAGACGGGAGACCAGGATGAGGAAGAGAGGAGGGGACTTGGATAATGCAGATATGGTCTGATACCCAGAAACATTTCGACGAATGCTCCAGCGCCTTTCATTTCTTCGGGAGAGCGTACGCCACGGCTGCGTGACAGCCCCGCTGAACACCGCTTCATTTATAACGCCGGCCCAATGCTTATATCCGATGCGCCATGCTCTTACCCAACGCCTCGCTGCTCGCATAAGAAACCCAGCCTCTCAGCCATCATCAAACTCAACAGCCATCCTCCTCTCCGCCGCCTCCTCCTCCGCAGCGAAAAAATCATCATCACCAATATCACTACCCTCCTCCCACATCTTCTCAAACTCGATGTCGTCCTCCCCACTAACAGCCCATATACTCTCCCTCAGCCGCTTATGCCTCTCCCTATCCTCCTCAATCCTCTGCTCAATCTGCCTCTTATCCAACCGTCCCGCCACCGTCCCATTCCGTCCCGTCGGCGTCTCCATCCTGCTCCCCGCCCCCCCACCGGCGCTCCCGTTCATCGCCGTGTCATCCTCGCTGCCCAGCGCAACTGCGACGTCGCGCTCTCGTAGGCACTCTTCGAGCTCCACGACCGTTTGCGGGAGGAGAACGGCGTTTTTTTGAAGGCTGGCCAGCACGCGCCGCACGACTTTGACATTTGCGGCGCCGGACCCGTCGGCGGGCGCGACGGCGTCGATGATCCGTAGGATGTCGCGCTGTAGCATCCGGATGTAGTCAGGGTGGGATTCGCGCTGCGCGGTGGTGCAGAGGTGCTCGATGAAGTACATTATGTTTGCGCGGTTGTTCATGTTGTTCTGGTATGTGGGGGCTTGCGCATTAGTACGAGTGAGCCGATCTGGAGGGAAGGAAAGATGAAGGGAAGGGGGGAAGGAGTGGGGCTGGAGGGAGGTTTACACGTTCTAGCTGCTCCAGGATACAGGAGTGCAGGTCTTCGTCCATGTCCCGGTATTTGAGCGCGTAGTTGGCGGCTTTTTGGGCGGAGGTCACGGAGGCGTTTAGGTGCTGCAGCTGGTTTGTGAAGCGCATACGCACTTCGAAGGGATCGGCCATGGCCATGGTGATGGTGGGTCCTGTGTAGGAGTTTATGCTGTAGTGTACTTTTACGACAACAATAGTCGGGTGCCTCGAGGTTCGGGAGTGCTTTGACCACCTCCGTCAGACCCTGCAGCTCTCCCCCGCCTTCAAACACCAAAAAAAATATATCCGCGATATCGGACGCTGACGGGCGACTTCACTCTTACAACACACACATCGAACACCATGGCGCAAATGAACGGAGACTCCGGCCTCACACTAACCGTCCTAGGCTGTGGCACAATGGGCGTTGCAATCCTGGGTGGCATCATGGCCTCCCTCACCTCGCCCTCAAAACCCCAATCCTATCCCGCCTCCACCGCACCCTCCGGCACCGCAACCCCCACCGAAGAACTCCCTCCACGCCTCCCCTCCCGCTTCATCGCCTGCGTCCGCCGGCCCGAGTCCCTCAAAAAAGTCCGCAACGCGCTGAGCCATTATAACGTCCCCTTCAAAGCGCTCGTCAGCGACAACCTTCGCGGCGCGCAGGACGCAGACGTCGTGCTGCTCGGCTGCAAGCCGCAGATGTTCCGGGATATCCTGGGCCAGGACGGCATGCGCGAGGCGCTGGCGGGGAAGCTACTCATCTCGATCCTGGCGGGCGTCACGACGGAGCAGCTGGAAGAATTTCTGTATGGCGGCGTGTTGAGCGGGCAGAACTTCCCGCCGGATCGGTGTCGCGTTGTCCGCGCTATGCCGAACACGGCGTCCTTAGTCAGGGAGAGCATGACTGTTGTTGCGACGAGCACGCCGCCCCTGGATCCGGCGCAAGCGCAGCTTATCAACTGGATCTTCACGCGCATTGGACGCGTCGTGACGTTACCGCCGACAGCCATGGACGCGAGCACCGCGCTCTGTGGATCTGGCCCGGCGTTCATGGCGCTGGTGCTTGAAGCCATTGCGGATGGTGCGGTCGCTATGGGGCTTCCGAGGGCGGAGGCGCAGATGATGGCTGCGCAGACGATGAGAGGGACGACAGGGTTGGTGCTGAATGGGGATCATCCGGCGATATTGAGGGATAAGGTCTCTACCCCTGGAGGGTGCACCATCGGCGGCTTGCTGGTGTTGGAGGAGGGTGGGGTCAGGGGTGCTGTTGCGAGGGCGGTGAGAGAGGCGACGGTCGTGGCGGCGCAGCTTGGGAAGGGCGTCACTGGTGTTAACGGCACCAGGTTTTGAGTGGGTGGGGGAGTGCGTCTGATGGCGTTTGTGGCGTCCGCATGGGAGAAGTGATTTAAGCCTAAGGGATGGGGTTGTGGTTGCGCATCTACGGCCAGTGGGGAGACAGTTTCCTGTCTTGCCACCTACCAATTTTTTCTGATCCTGACAGCATCGCATCCACACGACAGGATGGTTGGCACCAGAGAACGTTCGTCTTACATGCTGGATACTCTTGGTTCAGGTCCGCACGGCCGCTCTATCAGACAATCGGCAGATGACACAGTTTGGTCTGCGCTAGAGAACCTAAACTCAGCAGTGTTTAGTGAATTGGAGAAACCATATCTGTACAGTTCGATGTTCTATACACATATCGCACAACACACATAACGCCTCCATAATGCTCTTCGACCTAATATCCCCACACCTCCTTTCCCTCCCGCCTCTCTTCCAGTCTCCACCCTACTCCATCACAACAACCGCCCCGAGCGCCTTCAACGTATCCACAATCTTCTGCCCCTCCTCCTTCGGCACACCCTCCTTCATCATCTTCGGCGCGCTCTCCACAAACTTCTTGCTGTCCACCAGACTCAAGCCCAACATGCTCTTGACCTCCTTGATCACCTTGGGTTTCGCGGCCGCGTCGAACGACTGCAGCTTCAGGTTGAACAGCGTCTTCTCCTGCGCGGCGGGCGCTGCTTCTTCCTCTTCTACGGGTGCAGGCGCAGCGGGGGCGGCGGCGGCGGCGAAGCCGCCCATGGGCATGTCGGGGATGTTTAGGCGGGACTGTGGGAGGGAGTTAGTGTGTGATGGCTGATGGGTCGGGGAGAGGTTGGAGGGTACCTTTAGGGTTGAAACAAGGTCTGCCGTCTCCAAGAGGGTTAATTGGCTGATCTGGTCAACGATGGTTGCGATCTTGGGGTTGCTGGGTGCTGTCGACTGCCATCGCCGTTGGCGGGAGAGAGGCGTTGCTGATGCGCGGAGGGTGGGGGTGGAGGATGATTTAGCTACTCGGGCGCAGCACCGGATGGCTGATTGGTATGAAAGAGACATGATGAAGGTGAGAAGAGGGTGAATCTGGGTATATGGTTGATGCTCGTGTTGATATCGAGGTCCGAAAATCACCTGCATAGAGAGGCACGGGAATGGATCGGGCTTAGCGCGGCTGAAGAGGCTCTTTTCCGCGGACAGCCGGTTTCGCCGATCCGGCGCGTATCTGAACTTTTTCTGAGCCTCACGATGACATCTGTAGGCCAAAAAGCTTCTTCCACGCGGAGGTAACGAAGAAGACACAGGAGCGTATACAACTATGGACTGCTCACAGTGCACCTCCGCGCTTCTTTCACAACTCGACCGACTCCCTCCGTCCCTCATAGAGGTTCTCCGCACTGGTTCAAATCAGGAATACCTTGATAGTATAGCTTCGATAGCACTCACGCCACACCTTACGGACAAGATTTTCGTCAGTTGCGAACCACTTTTCGCCGAAATCTGCGCTCGATGGACCTCAGGACCGAGCAACTCTCCTTTGGGGCGAATCGCGGCGCTGGGGCGCATCCTACCTTTCGCGCCATATCTGGCGGAATATGCAGAAAATTACCTAGCGGCGCTATCGGCTTCGGGCAAGAAGCTGGATGCGCTCATATCAGCAAGGTCAATAGCGCCGGCTAAGGATGGAGTCTCAGAGGCCGACCTACGCGAACTCCTACACGGTCTTTTCCGGCTCCTTGTCCTTGACAGATCCTCTTTTGGCCGCTTCGTCAAGATCTCAACCCTACAAAACCTTTTGCAACACGGCGATCGGGCTACACGCTATCTTGCTATAAGGGTACTGTGTCTGCATCTGCAAGCAGCTGATGCAGCCATGCAAGCCATGATCGCAAAACACCTAGGGGCGGGTCCCATTTTGGGCCTTTGGGAAGGAAGAAACATAGACTACAGGTTCTTTAGTCTCTGGGAAGAGAAGCGATCTGAAGACGTGAGCAAGCGGTTGCTAGAAGCGCGTCTTCTACGGGAGAACAGCGTTGAAGAGCCGAAACATTGCCGTGTTGTCACTCAGGAGGATCTAATGGATATGGTGGTCGAAGTATATGGACTGCTTTTGCCGCGGCTAGGAGCTCATATTTTGGAGAACTCGCACCACTTCTCGCTTGTTCCAACCGCGACCATTGTCCGAAACGTGAAATCTGTGGCCGAGGGTCTTTTGAGTCCGCAGCCACTCTTGCTTACCGGGCTCGCTGGTTCCGGAAAAACGCTCGTTGTAACGCACCTAGCCAGACTGCTAAACAAGCTGTCTACGATGATCACTCTTCACTTGAACGAGCAGAGTGATGCGAAGCTTCTAATCGGGATGTACACAGCTGGAGCCACGCCAGGCACGTTTGCATGGAAGCCTGGTGTCTTGACAACAGCCGTTCGCGAAGGCCGCTGGGTGTTCATCGAGGACCTTGATCGAGCGCCAAACGAAGTCATCAGTACACTTCTCCCCTTGATCGAAACCGGCGAGCTTTTGATACCGGGCCGAGGAGAAGTCATCCGTGCAGCGCGGGGCTTCAAGCTCATAGCCACGATGCGCAGCAGTGTAAACCTTCGAGGCGAGGTAACAATCCCTGGATCCAGTATGCTTGGAGGGCGGTTCTGGCGACACATCGCAATACAAATGCCGGCCGAACAGGAGCTGGCGGAAGTCATAGCAAAAGCCTACAGTGGTTTAGACGGCCATGTGCCATCGATAATGGCTATTTACTCACGCTTACGCGCGCTCTCTCAGAGACCTTCGTTCGCGGCTGAGAGCAGAATGGGTGTGGTGCGACCACTAACCCCTCGTGACCTTTTGAAATGGTGTAGCAGAGTATCCGCACTGCTTTCACGGTCGTCCTCATTCACCGACAGTCACGTCGATGACATATATCTGGAAGCAGTAGATTGTTTTGCTGGCAGTTTACCAGTTGGTCGCGCTCGAGAAATGATCGTGGCAATCGTTGCCGAAGAACTGCAGATTGACCCACAGCGACGGGACCATCTGCTTACGGACCGTCAAGTCAAGTACGAGCCATCAGCCAAGGGCTCTGGAGGCGCGTTTCGTATCGGCAGAGCAAGTCTCAGTCGAAGTCGCCTACCAGCTTCACGGAAAACCAGTGTCAAGAGGCCGTTTGCCACCAATGGCCACACGGTTCGCATGCTTGAACGAGTTGCGGTAGCCGTTGAGCAAAGAGAGCCGCTGTTGCTGGTGGGCGAGACGGGCACTGGTAAAACCACCAGTATTCAGCATCTCGCAGACCAGCTCGGTTGCAAGCTTGTCGCATTCAACTTGTCGCAGCAGAGCGAGAGTGGTGATCTGCTCGGTGGTTTCAAGCCAGTCAACGTCCGAAGTCTAATCATACCCATGAAGGATGACTTCGACGATTTATTCGCATCGACTTTCCAGAAGAAGGAAAACGAGAAATTCATGCAGATGCTGGGCGAATCGGTGGCGAAGGGCAAATGGAGACGTGTCTGCATCTTGTGGAGAAAGGCACTGAGCATGGTCGAAGATCACGCTCGAAAGGCGCACCGATCACAAACACCGGAAACCGAGGAAGGGGAGCAACCCAAGAAGAAGAGAAAAGTCGCGCTTGCGAAAGAGAGTTTCCCAAATGCTAGATGGGAGAAGTTTGCCAAGGATTTCAGACAGCTGGATGCTCAGTTGTCGGCCAGGCCGGATGCTTTCGCGTTCACCTTTGTGGAAGGCAACATCGTCAAGGCTGTCAGAAATGGAGACTGGGTCCTCTTAGATGAGATCAACCTAGCATCGCCAGACACGCTCGAAGCTTTAGCCGATCTTCTCAGCGGTGGCCCTGGCGGCTCTCCCTCAATTCTGCTGACGGAAACCGGCGACGTTGAGAGAGTGAAGGCGCATCCGAACTTCCGTATCTTTGCCGCAATGAACCCAGCAACCGATGTAGGCAAGAAAGACCTTCCAGCAGGCATCCGATCACGTTTCACTGAGATATACGTGGAAAGCCCCGACCGCGACCCGAAAAGCCTGCATAGCATTGTCGAGACATACATCGGTAATGCTACAGTCGATTCGAGCATTGCCGCAGATGTGACCGCGTTGTATCTGAAGATCCAGAGCTTCGCTGCGCAGAACATGCTTGTGGACGGTGCCGACCAGAAGCCTCATTTCAGCCTCCGAACCTTGACAAGAACCTTGTCTTATGCGAAAGAGATTGCACCTCAGTGCAGTCTGCGAAGAGCACTGTACGAAGGCTTCCACATGAGCTTCCTTACCTTCCTCAACAAGACCTCGGAAACCTTACTTGAGCCGATCATCAAACAGTATCTCTTTGGCAAGCACCGCAATGCTGCAGCAGAGCTAAAGAAATCCTTGTCTAGACCCGAGGACGACAGCCGCGGATATGTAAAAGAAGGTCATTACTGGTTGCGGCAAGGAGTTTTCTCCGTCGAAGAACAGCCGCACTACATCATCACTCCCTTTGTGCGGCGCAACCTGGATAACCTTATTCGAGCGGCGTCAACGCGACGTTTTCCGGTTCTGATCCAGGGACCAACGTCTTCCGGCAAGACTAGCATGATCGAGTATCTGGCTAAGCGGTCGGGCAACAAATTCGTGCGCATCAACAATCACGAACACACGGATCTTCAAGAGTACCTTGGCACATATGTCTCTGGCGCCGATGGCAAACTGCAGTTCCAGGAAGGCGTTCTTGTGCGCGCATTGAGGGAGGGCCATTGGGTAGTGCTCGACGAACTTAACCTGGCGCCGACCGACGTCCTAGAAGCTCTAAACCGCTTACTGGACGATAACAGGGAGCTACTCATCCCAGAGACTCAGGAAGTTGTTCGGCCGCACGAAGATTTCATGCTCTTTGCTACACAGAATCCTGCCGGTCTCTACGGCGGTCGTAAGGTTCTTTCGCGAGCATTCCGCAACCGATTTTTGGAGCTACATTTCGATGATATTCCGGTAGAGGAGCTGAACGAAATCTTGCAGAAGAGAACGCAAGTGCCACCTTCGTGGAGCGAACGCATCGTCAACGTATACAAGGAACTATCGGTCATGCGGCAGGAAAACCGGCTTTTCGAGCAGAAGAGTTTTGCCACCCTTCGTGATCTCTTCCGCTGGGCACTTCGAAAAGCTGATACGGTAGAGCAACTGGCCATAAATGGCTACATGCTTCTCGCTGAGCGCGTCAGGAAAGCGGAAGAGCGACTCGCAGTCAAGGCGGTCATTGAGAAGGTCCTGAGCTCGAAGGGTCCGCGCGTGCGCATTGACGAGGATTCACTCTACGATGCTCACAAATCTTCCGACATTGCCCAGTACCACAGCAACGTCCCTTCAGCAGGTGTGGTCTGGACTCGTGCTATGCGCAGGCTCTACGTACTCGTCGCTGAAGCGCTACGCAACAACGAGCCTGTACTCCTCATTGGCGAGACTGGATGCGGCAAGACGACTGTATGTCAAATGCTTGCGGATGCCTCTGGTAAAGACCTTCACATTGTAAACGCACACCAGAATACGGAAGCAGGTGACTTGATCGGTGCGCAGCGACCCATCCGAAACAGAGCTGCCATAGAGGCGTCGCTGGTCGATGAGTTGCGCGCTGCTTTGGGCACCGATGCGTCCGCCGATACGAAGCTTGGGGACCTCCTGCGAGCTTACGATGCTCTCGGCAAGGCCAGTCTGGAAAAACAAGTCCCACCGGAGCTGCGAAGATCCATCGCTGCTCACAGGACGAAGGCTGCGGCTTTGTTTGAGTGGTCTGATGGTAGCCTCGTCCACGCCATGAAGTCCGGGCAATATTTCCTTCTCGACGAAATCTCTCTGGCCGATGATTCTGTGCTTGAGCGGCTGAACAGTGTGCTAGAACCCTATCGGTCGCTGTTGCTCGCAGAAAAGGGGTCAGACGACTCTTTTGTCATCGGATCAGAAGGGTTCCAGTTTCTGGCAACGATGAATCCAGGTGGAGATTATGGAAAGAAAGAGCTGTCGCCGGCGTTGCGCAACCGCTTCACTGAGATATGGGTACCTGCGATGTCTGACCTTGAGGATATCCTACAGATTGTTGAGGCGAAACTGAATCCTCATGCGAAACGTTTTGCCTCGGCTCTCGTCTCGTTCGCACAGTGGTTCAATACCAGATACAACACTTCCGCTGCGTCGTCAATATCAATCCGCGATACTCTGGCATGGGTTCAGTTCATCAATCGACGGAGTGACTCGGACCCAATCTTCGACATTGTCCACGGCGCGGCCATGGTGTATGTCGATACCCTAGGTGCCAACCCGGCAGCAATCCTGGCTATGTCTCCTGCCAGTGTCGACGAAGAGCGGAAACAGTGTCTTCATCACCTCGGCAAATTACTGGGTCTGGACGCTATGGAGATTTACAATACCTCCGTCGACATTACTGCATCAGACGGATGGCTGAACATTGGTCCTTTCTCAGTGCCAAGATCGCCTTCGGCAACTGTTGATGCACGCTTCACTTCTTCCGCCCCTACTACGATGTCCAACCTTGTGAGAGTCGCTCGTGCTCTGCAATTCACGAAACCTGTGTTGCTCGAAGGCAACCCGGGCGTTGGCAAGACTACCCTGGTAACAGCCCTGGCTAAGGCAGTTGGCAAGCCATTGGCCCGTATCAACCTGTCCGAGCAGACGGACCTCATGGATCTCTTTGGTTCCGACGTACCTGTCGAAGGCGCACAAGCTGGAACATTTGCTTGGCGAGACGCTCCGTTTCTCAGGGCAATGAAGAGTGGGGAGTGGGTCTTGCTGGATGAGATGAACCTGGCTTCCCAATCCATTCTCGAAGGACTCAACGCTTGTCTCGATCATCGTGGCGAGGTCTACGTCACAGAGCTTGACCAAACTTTCACTCGGCATCCAGATTTCCGGGTCTTCGCCGCGCAGAATCCGCACTACCAAGGGGGAGGGCGGAAGGGATTACCGGCTTCATTTGTCAATCGCTTCACTGTTGTTTATGCTGACGTTTTTAGGCCGGAAGATTTGTTACTGATATGTAAACAAGTCTTTCCCGATTATCCAGACGACGACATCCAAAAGCTCATCAGGTTCGTTGCGGAGCTCGATGCTAATGTTGTACAGTACCGACGCTTTGGCGCGCAAGGCAGTCCTTGGGAGTTTAATTTGCGAGACACCTTGCGCTGGTTACAACTTTTGACTGCCAAGGATGGACTCTTGCCGGCTGGCGATGCTCGCGACTTCCTCGATACCGTATTTACTCAACGCTTTCGAAACCCAAGCGACAGGCAGTCTGTGGCTAGCCTGTTCTCGACTGTGTTTGGCATGACACTGCAGCAACGTGATTACTTCCACAACCTCAGTAGTCGCAGCTTGCAGGTCGGCCTTGGATGTCTGCCAAGGGAGCCTCTGCTGCAAATGAGTCCAGATTCTGGTCGCTGTTTTGCTAAGCCATATCTGGCCGCTATGGAGTCCTTAATGATCTGTGTCCAGCAGTCCTGGCCGGTCATACTTGTAGGGCAATCCGGTGCAGGCAAGACAAGTCTTGTAAAGCAACTTGCTTCTACCGTTGGCGCAAATCTCGTCTCGTTCTCGATGAATGCAGACATAGACGCCATGGATCTTGTAGGCGGCTACGAACAAGTTGATCCTTCACGGCAAGTGAATGCGTTCTTCGGCAAGCTTCAGACTTTCCTTCAGCGCGAAGTTGTTCATTGCGTTTCCTCAGAGTCGACTCGACTCCGTCAGGCTTCTAAGCTTCTTGACTATTTCGAGACATCCAATCAAACCGGCTCTCTGAATCTTGCTGAGATATGCACTGCTCTCGAATCGCTTGGCAGCGATAGCAACTCGGTCGAGTTGCAATCTCTTGTCTCCGAAGCCCATCTGCTTCAACTGAGGTCAGACACAATTGACCGAGCTCAGTTCGAGTGGGTCGACGGTCTTCTTATTCAAGCGCTGGAGCAGGGCAAATGGCTTGTGCTCGATAACGCCAATCTTTGCAGCTCGTCTGTTCTAGACAGACTAAACTCGCTGCTCGAGCCCGGCGGCTATCTTAGCATCAACGAGCATACCAACGAGAACGGTGGGGCAAAAGCAGTGAAGCCACATCCTACATTCCGGATCTTCATGACGATGGACCCGAAGTATGGCGAGCTGTCCCGCGCTATGAGGAACAGGGCTGTCGAGATCTATCTCCTTCCTAGTACTGACACGCAGATCCATGAGATATATCCAGCACCAATTACTTCTCCTTTAGAGTCTTCCATCTACAGATTTCGTCACATCAGGCAATCTATGTCTTCAACATCAGCAACCAATGGTAGTGTCATTGACATATCCCTTGACCACCTATCTTTCGAAGATTCACCTCTTCTCTCTGCGTTTCGGGAACAAGCTGTTGCAGGGCTGGTAGAATTTCGAGATGCAACGCTGCAAGATACCTTCAATACAAAGCTCGAGGGCTGGATCAGCGCCGGATTACTCGGTGACTGGACGTCCATGGCACTGCAATGGCAAGCTTGGTTGGCAGGCTTCTCCAACTCACAAGAGGATTTCCGGCAAGCGCAGGTCAGTGGCCTCGCTCCGAAAGAGTATGGCGGGATTGCTGATTCGGGTCTTTTGTATATAGACTATCCATCCATTAAACAATTCAGCGCTAGTACAATACAATGCATCAAATACGTCTCAAGCCTACTCCCTCGCCGCACTTTTCGACGTTTGTCTCGATGTTTCGAAAATGCAACAGACCTGGAATCGGATCAAGAGAGAGACAAACGAGAAGAGGGTAGCGAACATGACACGTCTGGAAAGGTCTTTCGCTTCCGCTGCTCGCATCCCGAATCTCGCACAGGAGTCTACGGCTGGTGCTGCGGTTTTCTTGAGGGATGTCTCCGAGGCGATCTCGGCATGGGCCTCTTGCGTCGCCAAGGAAGGCGTGCCAGACGAGGTACGTGCTGCCCCTTGAACTCTCACTGTATCAAACACTAAATCTCCCAGGCACCTGTCGATTTCTTGGGACGCGTCCGTGCATATTGGTGGAACTTCCTGGCCCTGGTTCATGCACCGTCCTTCGATGAAGCTGTATTCCAGGTGTATCTCACCCTGGGTCAAGAGGCACTTTCCTCGTTCGAACTAACCATGCCGTCATCTGGTTCTCTGCTGCGAGCGTTGAAGAGGGCTGTCGCGAGCTTCAGTGCCTCAACGAAGCTTACTACCGGACTCAGTATGGAACGAATATGGAAGAAATTCAGACCCCAAGTACCCCCAGACTACGGCCGTCTACAGGTCTTACTACGGTTGGAAGGGCTTGCGGATCGGTTTGATGAGGACATGTGGAAATTCAAGGCATCTTTGACTGAGCTCTGCCGTATACGTAACGCACTGAGCGATGCTATCAACCTTGTCCTGACGGAAGGCGTGGATGCCGAAGGCCTCATTAACGTAAGTGCAAGAGAACCGTACATACGCAACAGTGCTGACGCTCGCAATAGACTTTCGATGAGGCAATCAACAACCTCAGTAATGGCACACAAGAGGATGCAACACTGACGCCGTACTTTGAATCTGAGTTTGAGGGTATCTGTCAGTACTCGGACATCAGCAGTTCCGATGATATACAAACAGCCCAACTTCGGCCAATACTGCAGCTTCTTGCAGGCAGGTCAACACGCCATACCTTGCGGCGCAGCAGCCCATTGACAAGAACTCCCGCCGAAACACTCAAGAATCTTTCCGATTACTTAGGCGGTGATTCTTCAGACAGGCGTGCCGTGGCGCTCAATGATTATCTAAGTATTTCTCTCCTCCGCAGGCTTACGGGCGTCGGGAGTGTGTCCCTAGCGCAGCTCGATTTGCTGGACGCTGAGCTTAAAACTTTGGGGGAAAGCGTTGCTCTCGCAGCGCCAAGATTTGTCCAGGACCAGGTGTCAGTACTGGATGTGTCTCTCCGGCTGCTCATACGCGAGCTCCTGGGTGCTCACCAGCATTACTTTGAAGTGAATCCAGGGACAGAAGCAGCCTCTGGATTCGAAATGACCCTGTCAAGTAGCTTGCCGCAGGGACACTACTTCCGAGACATCTTCAGTGCTTTCCTCGAAAGGCCACTGCGCTACCTTGATACCGCTTATGCTGCTCGACATGAGAAATGGGCCGCCGCTGGCTGGGCATGGATAAACTTCGCCCTGGGTAGCATGCTTCTTTACATCCCGGACCGGCCGTTCGATCCTGCGTTGAGACCTGCCGTCGAACGCCAATGGTTTGCCAACTACAAGAGCGATGTTGAGGGCAAACTTATTGCTCTACAGCAATTCGAGCTTTTGTTCACAGGACAGTTGGAGAATCTCCGAACACGGCTGCTTGAAAGGGAACTTGTAGAGCTAGGAGCAGAGCCGGTGGTACCTGCGATTGCTCGCCCGCCCATGTCCGAACTGAACCAGCTGCAAGGAGAGTTCACCAACCTACTAGGACTTCTCAAAACTGTGGTATCTGCCACGCGCGAAAAGGGCAGCGAACCCATCCAGGACTCAACGCTACAGCAGAACCTTCTCAGGATCAACGAGCGGTTCTCCACAGGCTACCGAGCCTACGATGACATCACTGCACCTGTGGTAGGCTTTCTCCATTGTCTTAATGTTGGCATTGGCTTGGTCAGTGCTGGCGAGCGTAGAACCAGGCCTACTCCTGATCATTTCTACCTGGAGTCAGTCTTGCACCGGGCAAACGCATTCCTCGGCCGCGCTAAAGATTATTGGCTCGACGGCTACCTAGCGCAGCCAATACATCTGACGATGGTTGAGCCGGCGATTCGGCTTCATAGGCTAGCTTCGTTGTCCTTAGGCGTAAGCATCCAGCCGGAAAGGAGTGGCCCTGCGCGTGTGCGTACCGTAATCCACGACTGTTTCGAATCTTTCTATCGCACCTGGAAAGAGCAACTCAGCTCAGATCAGCAAAAAGCCGCAATGAAGTCAAGTTTGTTCAGGTATCGCGATGGGCAAGAGGTGGAAGACGACGCTGCTGAGGATGAGTTTCAGGATCTGTTTCCGAGCTATGAGCAAGAGAAGGCACTGAACCTCACATCAGAGGATGTATCGTTCCAAGATCTCGCACCAGAGCTATCTGACTTACATGCGGCCATATTTGTCAACAGACAAGAACCAGTCGCAAAGATGAGAGCCTTACTCGAGCGCTCCGCCAAGATTCTGGCAACATATTCCAACGACGCCGAGTCAATTATCCCCACTAAAGCTACGCTTCCCAGTGTGTTTCTCATGATTCAAGAGAAGCTTGGCTCACTACAAAACATCGACGGACCACGACGGACGTACAACATCTACACTGACCCGAACATTATCGAAGCCAGGAAACTGGTAGCGCTTGTGCAGAGGCTCCAGCGCCGCTTCAGACAACTGCGAGAAGTCTGGCCCGAGCACGCCACGCTCTCTGAGGTTCTTAACATCTGTACCGAGCTCCTTGCGTTCCGTCACATGGAGCCAGTGGCCAAACTCCTGACGAAGGGCGAGCAGTTGCACGCCACAGTCTACGAATGGCAGCGTGTAGCAAGCAAAGAGTACAGCGCTGCTTCGTTGTACGATGAGCTCACAAATCTCCTCATCAGCTGGCGACAGCTCGAGCTGACTACTTGGGCACGACTGTTCGATATCGAAGCGGAGAAGTGCGTTGAGGATGCAAAGCGCTGGTGGTTCGTTGCCTACGAAAACATTGTTGCCGTACCTGAGGCTTTGCTCTCTTCCGAACAAGACATGAAGACTCATGCCCGAGAGCTCGTCAAGACATTGGAAAGCTTCATCCATTCGACTAGCGCGGGCCAGTATCAGCAGCGCCTTCGTCTCCTAGAGCAATTCCAAGAACACCTAGCTATGCGTATCCAGGACGAGCCAGCTTTGCAGCCGGTTCACGCAGCCCTCGCGCACTTCATCAAGTTCTTTGCCCGCTTTGAGCAGCCTGTCAATGCTACGCTGGCTAAAGGACGCCAGACTCTAGAGAAAGACATGAGAAATGTAATACAGCTTGCGGGCTGGAGAGATAGAACAATAGATGCGCTGCGCCAGAGCGCGAAGACATCCCATCGTAAGCTCTTTAAGCTGGTACGGAAGTTTAGGGCTCTCCTTGGTCAGCCTGTGGATGCGATTCTCAAGCAAGGACTGCCCGATCTGATCTTCCCTGACCTGACCGAGCGCCATATGCCCATTCGATCGGATGCGGACTCGAAGGCTCTCGAAGAGTGCGAGTCCGGCATATCGGAATGGGTATCAAGACCTACCCGCTTCATAAACCTGACAGCGACGACTTCCTTGATGCGCAAGATGGCCAGAGCGAACGAGTTAGCTGTCGATGGCCCAGCCTATATCGAGTCTTTCTTATCCAATCTTGAATCGGAGATGGTTAAGCTCCGAAAGGCGACTCCGTCGATCTTGACGGAAGAGAACAAAGATACTGTCCAGCAACTGAAGTCGAGGAAACGCAGACTTTTTGCGGACACGCTGAAAGAATTGAGGCAAATGGGCTTCAAGTCAAATCTTGGGGGCGATGTACTCGAGATGCAGGAGTCGCTGTCGACCGTGCTAGCATCCTTGCCAGTCTTACCCAAGGCGTGTGGAGACGAGCTTCAAGCTGCGGCCGAACACCACCTTTACAAAGCTCTTGACCTCATGGCTTCTGTCCGAGACGTCAAGCGAGAACACTCAGGCGATTTGACAGCCAACGAGGTTGCTAGAAGTGTCGGGTTTCTGGAAAGCTTATTGCATACTTCGATTACGCAACGAACGTTTTTGAGCCAAAGCATTACACACTCATCTACTCTTGGCGCAGTGGTCAAACAAGCCGAAGCGCTCTGGGCGCCGGACAAGTACGAGCTCTATCCCGCGTCCCTGCACGACACGTTGGCAGCCAATACATCCGAACGCATCGTGGCATGGTTGTTGCCCATTGCTACCTTGGGCGCGGACGTAGTCGCCGCTCAAGCAACTCTGGGAAAGTTTGACGTGTCTGCATTGGTGAATGACTTGCGCAGCTATGCAGCGGCTTTCCAAGCCTTGAACGAGGAGACCAGAAGTCTGCCGCCAGCTCCAGAAGGACTCCAAACCAGCAGTCACATGGAGCTTGACGACCGCCGTCAGGTCGCCATGAAAGAGTTTAACCACATCCTCCATGGCTGGAAAGAGACATATCCGGTCCTTGCTCCTGTCCTGGATCACATGATACCTTGGGCAGATTACGAGGACTCCACCACTCCTAACGGTCACATCATCAATGGCACGCGAAACCTTGAAGCGGATACGGTTCGCGATCAAATGTTTAAGACTCTGGACGACATACTTGGCTCGATCCAGGATCTAGAGAAGGCCCAAACCTCACTGCCGACATCGGTCGAAGACGCCACATGGTTTATGACGGAAGAGCAGACAATCACAAGAAGTCTAGCGGCGTTGCAGGGTCCGCGGATCGCTGCTTCTCTCAGTGCTCTCCTGGGAGGACTACGGCATGTCAATGTCCTGCGTTCTGCAACCGCCTTGTTCGCTGCGGTGCTGTCGATACTACAGCAGTACGTGCAGATATATCAGGAGGCCCTTGCACGGTTCGCATCTCACCATCAAGCAACGACAAAAATGACATGTCGCCTCGCCAAGGCTTTTATACAGATAGGCACACAGGGCTTCTGCATGCCGTCCGAGAAGTCGGATGAGAAGGGCGACTCGGGTGACAAGCTTGAAGAGGGCACTGGTCTAGGAGAGGGAGAGGGGGCGGAAGACATTAGCAAAGACATACAGGATGATGAAGATTTAACTGAGCTGGCGCAGGAGCCGAATCAAAAGACGGATCGGGAGGAGATTGAGGATGAGAAGGATGCTGTCGACATGGCAGATCAGGAGATGGAGGGAGATATGGGTGACGCACCGGAGAAGGACGAGGACGACGAAGCACAATCTGGCGACGAAGGGGATAATGAAAGCATCGATGAAGAAGCTGGAGACGTCGACGATCTCGGCCCATCGACATTGGATGAGAAGATGTGGGACGATGGCGGAGAGGAAGCCGACAAAGACAAGGAGGGTGATCAGAATAAAGGCATGAGTAAGAAAGACGAGCAAGTTGCCGGCCAGGACAAGGAAGGCAAGCCAGAAGAGCAGCAAGGGGAGGAGATGGAGGAAGAGATTGAAGCTGGGGCGGAAGAATCTGAGATGGTCGGTAGAGAGGAGATGGAGAAGACGGACCCGCATCTGCAGGAAGGCGAAACTCTAGACCTTCCGGATGAGCTTGATATGGACAACAAGTCGGAGGGATCTCAGCACGACTCCGACTTTGAAGGTATGGAGGACATCCAAGATGGAAGGGAGGAGGATGCGGAAGAGCCTGATGGTCCTGGAGATACCGCTACGCCGCCCGACGAGAGGGACGCAACTCCGACAGAGGACGCAGAGGTTATGCAAGAGGAGACTGGCGACGAACAAGAGGCAGAGAAGGCCACAGAGCCCGAGAACACCGACGAAGCAGAACAAGGTGCCGAAGACGAAGGTCAGCTTCAGCTGGCTGACGAGCGCGCAGGCGCCGAAGATGTTGCGGAGAGCGAGGTTCGCGGAGCTGGGACCAACGCCCAAGAGCAAGCCATGGAAGACCAACAAGCCACAGCTAGCGCAAGCAAACAAGAAGAAGGGTCCAAAGGCGAGGCTTCTGAGCAGGAAGAGGTACAAGCATCTGCAGAAGACGGACAACGAGGTCAGGCTTCCACCAGAGATGCCGTTGGTAAGAGCGACGATGATCTTCAGGACTCTGCAGACAGCCAGCCATTCAAGAAACTTGGCGACGCGCTCGAGCAGTGGTACAACCAGCGGCGGCAGATTCGGGACGCCATCAAAGACCAAGAGCCGCTCAACCAGCAACTCAATCAGGATGTGGACATGGCTGATGCCGAGTTCGAGCACTTGCACGATGACCAGACCCAAGCCGACACGCAAGCCCTCGGCGCTGCTCAAGAGGAGCAAGTACGTGCTCTGGACGAGAACAAAGCTTTGGCCTCGAACGACCAAGAGCAGGCAACGGAGGCTGTGCCCGATTACGTTGATGTTGATGGGGATGAGGTCGAAGATGCACCGATGCAAGATCATGAGCCCAGTGCAACTACGCAGCCGCGAGGTGGAGAAGAAGGCAGACCAAACGCCTTTCAAGGAGATCACAAGGACATGCCGATCGATCAACTTGATGATCATATGGACGGCATTGACGATGAGCGGGAAGACGATGTGGAGGAAGTCGACACAGCTCTGTCAACAATTCATCTCGACCAATCGACTCCAACTCCTCGCTCAGCGGACGAAGCGCGACGCCTCTGGACCCACCACGAATCATCCACCCGCACCCTCTCGCAGTCCCTCACCGAGCATCTGCGCCTCATCCTCGCACCAACACTCGCCACAAAGCTCCGCGGCGACTTCCGCACCGGCAAGCGCCTGAACATGAAGCGCATCATCCCGTACATCGCCTCTTCCTACAAGCGCGACAAGATCTGGCTCCGCCGCAGCCAGCCCAGCAAGCGCAGTTACCAAATCATGCTTGCACTGGACGACAGCAAGAGCATGGCCGAAGGCGGAAGTGCTGACCTCGCTTTCGAAACTCTGGCGCTTGTGTCTCGCTCGCTGTCTATGCTTGAAGCGGGTGAGCTCTGTGTGGTCCGTTTCGGCGAGAACGTGGAGGTGGCCCATCCGTTCGAGACACCCTTCTCTTCTGAGGCTGGGGTCGAGGTGTTCAGGCGCTTTGGATTCCAGCAACAGAAAACGGATGTGCGGAAGCTGGTCACGGATGGCATTGAGCTGTTCCGCGAAGCTAGAATGCGGGCCACCAGCTCTGGCGCGGAGCTCTGGCAGCTCCTCATCATCATCTCCGACGGCATTTGCGAAGACCATGCCACAATCCAGCGGCTCATTCGCCAGGCGATGGAGGAGAAGATCATGGTCGTTTTTGTCATTGTGGATGCCGCAAACCAGGCTCCTCCGCAAGGGAAAGCGGAGGGCTCGAAGGGCGGACAGAGCATCCTTGACTTGCAGACTGCGGACTTTGTGCAGGTTGGTCAGGATTTTAAGGTTGTGACGAAGAAGTATCTGGACACGTTTCCGTTCAGGTATTACCTTGTTGTTAGGGATGTGAAGGAGTTGCCGGGTGTGTTAGCTACGGCGTTGAGGCAGTGGTTTGCGGAGGTGGTTGATACTGCTGGTTGATCTGCAGCATGGGTTTCTGTGAAAAGGCGTTGCTGAGACTGTGGGAGCGAGTAGTGGTTTTATGTTCGTTTGTGTATTCCAGTACATGTTCACAGTTTACAACCAATATAAGAGTCCAACTTCACCATGAACACCAAACGCCATGTTGCAGCTGGTTCCAATGTGTAACACAAAGCTCTCCAAGTCTTAAGAATCTAGCCGAGATCCATTCATCAACATCACTCCAAGTTGACACAGCCAGCAACCGCCATCTACACTGTCAGGAGTCCCACGCACGCCTATCTCGTTACAACATCACGAATGCACAGCTTCAGAAACCCCTGGCGACAATCACCGCAATCTCTGCGGAACTCATGATTAACAAGCTCTTCACAGAAGCACGCCTTCCCTCTCCTTGCCCAAATGCATGCGTAGAAGTTCTTGGCGAGCTGACCGCAGCCATGGACGACGTGCTCGACTGTGCACATGGCTTTAAGCGTTGTGAGTATTATTGGGGGATCCTTGACGTCCTGATGAGGGAAAGTGGGTAGGTGGATGCTAGGAAAGCTGGGTTGGTATGATGGTGTGAGGGGTCTTGGGCTGTCTGGTGAGGAAGCAAAAGGCGCGGCCTGATAAAGAAGAAGATACGTGTGAGTGGTAGGGAGTAGTACGATCAAATTTGGCGCGCAACTGTGGGCTGGAGTAGAGTCAGACGTTGTGATTGTTATGGGAGACGCATTTTCAAATGCGTCCAAGGGGCCTCGTGAACGCCCTGGGGCGCCGTGAATTGTCAACGGTGAGTTGGGGAAGATAGCAGCAAATAGCGGTGTTTCAGGAATACTCCCGCTCCAAGCAAAAGCTGGTTCAACATGAAAGAACAATATCGGTGAGACATTCGTCAGACTGAGGCCAATGCTTCGAAATTGATAACATCTCTTTCAGACGCAGAAACTCTATGTCGATGAAAGAAAACAAGGTTAGTTGGTCGAAGGGTATGACAGCTGGAACATTGAGATGTCACAAGCGCAAAGATGATGAGCTGACCACCAGACCTTCGGAATACTCATCATCAAATAACTGCTAGCTTCAAACCAGAAGCTACTTAAAGTCTTGTCGTCTTTCCGCACCCCACGAGATTCAAGAGGAGGACGTACTAGGTTCTGAAATCTCACGTGTTTGATACCTCTCCGAAAGGCGTGATTCAATACCAAAATCGTTGTAGCCGCCACTTGGCGCCAAACGCCCAATGTTGCCCCTTCCGCCCAACCAGCAGGACTCAAAAAGTCCCACATGCGCCCGAGCAGTGACATTGAACAATAGAAGACGCATATCAGAGGTTGAACCTTCCCCACAGTACCCTTGCTCAAGCAACGCGTCAGTCCTTCACCCTAGTCTGCTTCTTAGCTGTCCCGATGTGCGTATTGTGCACCTGTGAGTCGCATGAGTCAGTAATGTTCTTGCCGACGCTCCAAGCAGAGACAATGTAGAAGAAAGAGTAGTACAAACCTTTGTAGCGAACTTCAGACTCGTCAAAGTCTCACTCAAATGCGCCTGCAGCGGCGAAATCATGACGAACATGAGCGTCTTCGACTGGCCACTGAGAGAGTATTGCAGGAGGTAGGTCAACTAGCACCACGCATTAGCCTCATCACTACCCAAACCACTATACTCTACGAGCGTAATGCATAGATACCTTGCTGTTCCGATACGGCACATGCCCCCCACCCCCTTGCCCAAGCGCCCCAATAACATCCCCTAAACAGCTCAGACTCTTATTAATATTCTGCGTCTCCTTCAGCCTATCCCCCGTCGCCTGGCTATGCGCCAGCCTCTCGCTGCCCGCCAGATCAACCAGATTCAGCGTCCCTGTGCTCGTCTCGCCCGTAATGCTGTTCTCCCCGATCAGCTTGAGGATAAAGACACTATGGCTCCGCGAGGACCGCTCATTCGCCTTCGTGGCCGCCACGGATCTGTTTTTCGACGCGCGCGCTAGAAGTTCGTGCACGCGGTCCGCAGAATCCAGAACCACGCTCTCGGCGCCCTTGAGCTCGGTACGCTTCTTATCGGTATCGTGCCTAATCTCTATCTTCTTCCTGTCCAGCTCCCCAGGCTCGCCGAGGAGGTCGTTCAGGTCCTCGTTGTAGACCTCGACGAAGGAACCGGCCATGCAGTAGCGCCACCCCTTTTCTTCGAGGGCTTGGGCCGAGGCGTAGATCTGGGACACGGCGCGCGGGATCATGCCGTCCGGGGATGTCATGGTGAAGGTCTTTCCGGAACCGGTTTGGCCGTAGCAGAAGATGCAGACGTTGTAGCCGTCCAAGGCGGATTGGACGAGTTGGGAGATCTCTTCGAAGACGGCGGCGTTCTCGCTATTTGGTCCGAACACTCTGTCGAACGAGAAGTTGTGGGTGGATGTCGTGACCTTGCCGAGTGCTGACTTTTGCTCGGGGCCTTGGATTGCGACTTCTTTTGCGTCTTCGATGGAGTCCGGGAAGTCGATCTTCGCTGGTAGCTCTTCTTCTGTTGCTGATGGAAGCGTAGGCCGTACTCGACAGAAGACTCGGATGTTTCCTTTGAGTTCTTGGACTTGGTTGTGGAGTTTTCGGCGTAGTGTCTCTTCAGCGCGCAGTTTGGCGTTAGCTACTTCGGCGGCTTCGATGGCTTCCTGCATGCGTTTGTGCAGGTCTGCAAAGGCCTGACTTTGTGCCTGATTATCCGATTCCAGGAAGTCTATCTTGGCTTTCATGGCCTTGTTCGAGGTTTCGAGTGACAGGTTGTTTGCGTGAGCCTCAGAAAGACTGTGTTTCAGTGAGGCATTGAGCTCCTTCTGTCGGTCAAAATCGGCGTGCGCTTGAGCAAGCTCCTTGCGGAGCTGATCGTTTTCTCGGTCTTTCTGCTCAATATCTAGGCCTGTGTTCTGTCGGTGGAGTTCAAGTCTCGTCGAGACTTCCTGCACTTCCTGGATTCGGCGACTTCGCTCATCGTCGAGCTCGGCCTTCAAGCGCCGTTCTACTTCGGTGAGCTCTTCTCTATGCGCCTGGCGAAGAGAGCTGGAGCCTGTTTCTGCTTGCCGCCGCAGCGTATCCGCTTCTTCTTGAGTTTCTCGTCGTAACCTTTCCATCTCTTTACGGTGGGCGTCCTTCAGATCATCGTGATCGTGCCGGTGTTTCCGCCGAAGGTCGTCAACCTCGTATGTGTGCTTCCTCCGCGCGTCATCTAGTGCCATAGTGGTCGTCGATAGCTTTACCTTTGCGTCTTCTAGCTCTGAATGAAGCGTGTTGTTGGATGCTGAAAGTTGCGTTCGTATCATCTCGAGCTCATTTACTGTAGGCCAGGAGTCAATATCATCGTTTACAGGGGAGCTAAAGTGTTGTGCGAATGATAGTTCGGGGCGGCTATCCGTCCGTTACAGGGATTCAGAACGTACACCTAACCTTCTGAAGGCTGAGCCTTTCCTCCATGTCATTTCGCTCAGTGTTCGACCTCTCGATCATGCCTCGTAGTTGAGCATACTGGCTCTCGACCTTTTCGAAACGGTCGTCGACGTCGAAGGCGGGAACTGGTGCAGTAACGTTAGAGCTACGAGAAAGGAACATCTCCTTTGTAGGAGACGTGGAGCGATTTGGTGTTTTGTAGGGGCTGATGATTGTTGAAGGGTGTGGCGGCAGTGGAATTTGTGGTGTGCTTAGTGGTTTTCGGGGTATATAAGAAGAAGGGGTCTTAGGGCAATCAGGCTCCCCGTTGAGATTGACTGCGCCATCTCTCGGCTCCGCCAAAGCTGAGCTGATGCTGAGGTTTTGGAAAGCCGTAGATAGCGAAGAGTCTCGAAGAGTCTTTGAATGAAATTGGGATTGTGCTTGGAATTGCGTGGATTGGGCAGCGCGAGAGCTCAGCCAGCCGTCAGATATATAATTTGACTGGTTGTCATAGCGTCCTCGTTGTTTTCTGAGCTGCAGCGCGTCTGCGAATTGGTATGTCGAGATTGAAATAGGTACTATACCAGCTCGGCTTCCGTTGACTGCCGAATGATTCTCCATTGCCGTCGCTGGACGTATGTTCGATGCCGCGCTTTGTGAGGCGCTTCTTACGTGGCCCATGGCGGTCTGAGGGCGATGGTTGAGGGAAGATGGTGGTCGGCTCCCATTGCTGGTGCTGCTTGCATAGGAGCTGCTCGATATGTTTCGCGAGGAGGTCGTGGAAGGAACGCGTGAGGAGGTTGAAGAGGATAGCGAAGGGTTTCGGGGACCAGCAACTGCCGCCGCTTTGACTGCGCCATTGACTGGTCTTGAGCTAGGTGGAGCGGCCCCGTTCGTGCGTGTTTCACCTGCTCGCTCGGCGAGTGTTTTCCGCTTCGGCGCAGGTTCAGGTACTGAGAACCGTCAGACGCTTATCAAAACACTCTCTCTTCATTCTACGTACATCCGGACACTTTATGCTTCATAGGGATTAACCCTGGCGGTGGCATCATGCTCGCTGCGGCGGCGCGAGCATTGTTGTCGGACGCTGACATTTCGAAGAGGCCTTTGGCTGGCGTTGGCGGAGGGATCTTGCTGGGTTGCCGAAGAGTGGAGGCCTTCACTGCCTGTGTTGCGCTTGAGCATTAGCATCCGATTGACTTGGTGTGATCGCAATTGGATTAAGAAGTTACGGATGTTAGCAGGGCTTATGCGCGTACACAGTTCTCGTTCGACTCCATGTCTACGACGTTGCGCCGCTCCAGTTTCCGTGGTGATCCCATAGTGAATGTCACATTCAAGCTGTCGTGCTCTTAACAGAAGGCGTAATGAATGACAATGGTCGGCTGGTGGTCTGTTATAGCGAAGCTGGAATCGGCTAGCGGTAAACACTCGAAAACATGCCCGGAGATGCCAAGACGCGATTATCGCAAGCGAGGCGGCGGATCTAATCAGCAGCGCTGCACACTCAATTTTCGAGCTAGCGACGACGTCCCATCGACGACGAGGACATTTCGCTACCACCCGCCCACGAATTCCATCCACTCAACACAGGATCACGCAGTCGGTAGCCGCTCAGATACCCTCAGTACGTCGAGCCTGCGCGCGGGCAGCAGACTCCCATCGCAGACGCCAGATCCTAACTCGAGAGACAGTCCATCCACCAGCAAATCCGTTCACCATGGCCGACTCGCAAGTAACCCTGCGCACGCGCAAATTCATCCGGAACCCTCTTCTGGGCCGCAAGCAGATGGTCGTGTAAGCCATTCCCGAAAACCCCCAATCGCACACCCCATCAGCAGCCCTTTCCGGCTCGCCCGCCACAATTCCCACAGCCGAACTAACACCCTCCACCCCCAGCGACGTCCTGCACCCCGGCCGCCCGAACGTCTCCAAAGACGAGCTCCGCTCCAAGCTCTCAGAGCTCTACAAGTCCGGCAAAGACCAAGTCTCCGTCTTCGGCTTCCGGACACAGTACGGCGGCGGCAAGAGCACGGGCTTCGCGCTCATCTACGATTCGAACGAGGCGATGAAGAAGTTTGAGCCGCACTACAGGCTCGTGCGGGTGGGCATGGCGAGCAAGATCGAGAAGGCGAGCAGGCAGCAGCGTATGTACAGCCTCCTCGTGTGCAGGAAGGATGGGATTAGGGTGGCGGGGGTAGACGGAGAAGGGCTTTGAGGAATATGCTGACGGTGGATGCGATAACAGGCAAGCAGCGCAAGAACCGCTCCAAGACGATGCGGGGGACGGTCAAGGCCAAGGGTGCCTCGAAGGACAAGAAGAAATAAGCGGGTGGCGGGGAAGATGCGGAGGCGATGGTTTATGTGCTGCATGGTCATCATGGGAACAGAATGGGAGTTGGCATTGTGTACATCTGCGTACGCGTGATAGTGTTGCGTGGCAACTTTGCGCTTGGGGACGAAGCCGGCGTTTGAGTTGCTCAGGCGATCCTGCTGACCCAACCTTGCATAGCATTCAAACAGGTTCTTCTTCGCAGTCTTTTGTTGGCGTGCGAGCAATCAAGAGAACGCGTCTTCAGTCAAGTGTCAAGCCTGGTGCACAGTTGGTATAAAAGCTGTTCATCCTATTTTACAGTACCGGTGTTGCCCCAGTAAACCCCACAAGAAACCCAGCCATGACCGTATTGGTATAGTAAGCCCTCGCATCTGGTTTAGACATCCAAGCTAGACATCCAAGCCAAGCCAGAGACCAACGCTTCAATGATCGCCCGCGCCAGAACAAGCCTTGCCCCACGTTATAGTAGAGTTAGCCGATAGGTAGGACAAGAGTGCTCTCCGAGAGGCTAGCCCAACCACCAGGTCATTAAAGAAACAGCATGTAGAATTGAGGAGGAACCAACACCCATAGAAGCCTCAAGTACACCAAATGTTCAAATCAGGCACAGGCCTATCGTAAAGTGAACCACTACCCGATCATTTCGACCAAACATCCTAACAAGACTGATGGATCTCGGCAGCAAGCACAGAATCGAAAGGGATGGTCCTGATCCATGGTTGGGCACGGCTGGTGGTCTTACTCCTGTTTGGCGATTACGAGATCTGGCTGTGATTCCGAGATCGGGGTATGAATCTGGGTAGAGTACTCGGTGAATTCCGAACTCGATCCTTCGGTAAAGATGCGCGCCGGAAGGGGATGAGGGCGCTGGGGGCCTGACGCGGGAGCGATGGTAGTGAGGCCCGGGATCTGCACATGAGCTCGAGAGTTTGTGCTGACCGTGGTCGTTGATCCGTTCGTTCCTGGCACGGTACTAGTTACTGGATACGTGGGAGCGCTGGTGACTCTTCCGGTGCTTGTCGCAGAAATGAAGCTGTCGATGTCGAGCCCGTTTAGGTTCTTCATAGCATTGGTGACTTGCTGGTGAAAGCCGGCTACTGCGCCATTCATGCCATCGACAGCCTTAAGGACTTTGTCAACTGTGAGGACGTTAGCTCAGCAGGCTCTTGGTAGATTGTGAACAAGGTAGATTTCGCTCAAAGCTGAATTGAATAGCGCTCCCAATCTGCGAGAAGGACTTTTGATAACCGGGGCGCTTGAAAGCTAAAGTCATGACTGGAGTAGACATACTGTTTTCATGGAAGTTGCCTTCGACATTGAGAGCAGCCAAGTCAGCACGGCGACGCTGAAGGACTCGGCGCACGTCAGTCGAGGCCTGGTCCATAGTTTCAAGTCCTTCCAGGAAACGGTTCTTCAATCGAGTGATTCTTGCTTCTTCACGTCGTAGAACCTCTCCTTCAGCGCGCAAGGCCTTTTCGCGGCTCACTGCGGCTTCCTCGCGGGCGTGAATGGCGTCCATGTGGTATTCGGCTTGCCGACCTGCAATGGCCCGACCGCGTCCTGTACCGACTGGGGCAGAAGCGACCATGCCGGTGTGGTAGTGAGCGTAGTAGCACTAGTGAGTCATGTCAGTCGCATCGATGCTTCAGGGCGGGGGGTTGATACGAACGGCTTCGTCAGACTTGTTGCAGCGGCCGTTGTAGTACCAATAGAAACAGGTCAGAGGCTTGGAGAAGTTCTTTGGGAGCTTGCAGTTTTCGTGTTCGTTCGGACCCAACGTAAGATCTGAACGTGTTGTCAGTATATAATATATACACAGCCACGTGTGCCGTCGTCTGTCTTACGGCCTGTTGTCGTACCGCTGTAACGTCGAGCCAACTGCGAGGATGAGCTTTGTGGACGTTCGGGCCCGTCTCCAGAGACAGTGTAGCTGCGACGGTCTTCGCCGCGAGGGGACATTGAGCGATCACGTGTGCGAACAGAGGAGCGTTGTGGTGTGCGGTAGCGGTAGAGATGCTCGCTGTCCGATGATTCCGGCGTGTTAGGTTGCGAATGAGAAGCAACTTCTAGGTAACAAGATTAGCATGTTCACAGAAAGATGGAGGTGCGGTGAGAGCTCTTCAGGATTGCGCTTCCAGTGAGAAGAGAGATAAGGGTCCCCGGCACGTGTTCTGTGACGATGGTCGAACGGATCTCACTCACCAATTCTAGCAAGCGGTTGATTGTATTGCTGTGTCATGCTGTGCGAGAGAAAGCAAATGCGAAGCGGAACGATGCGTGAGTATTTGAGAGCAGAGAAGCGATATTGTTGAGCAGAGTTCAAGTGTGAGTCCGGAAATGGGATGACGAAATTTGTTGATATGCGTCTGCCGGCATATGCCACTTCACTTGCTGACACGCGCATGGAGAATCACTTCACGAATACAAGCACGGGACGATTGGTGTTCAAGCAGGCATTCACAAACGTCGAATTTCGACCGACACCTTGCAGCGACACTGCTAGTTACCCAACCCTGAAAGAAGCATCTGTTTCCACACGCATTGTGTTTGCGGAACTATCAAAGGAAGAGCAGTGATTCACTGAGACATAAGAGCAAACAGAGAGGTAGGCTGGGTTGGGACAATGCAGAAAAAGTTGTTTACTTCTCCTGTCCAGTTCTTCGTCTACTTGAGTCTTGCATAGCCGCCACAAAGGATTTTAGCGGCAAGCAGCGAGTGTAAATACAGCCTGCGTACGATATCTCCGCCACTAATTGGAGGTTGACTGTGATAACAAGCTGCAAAGCAATCTCAAAGTATGAGGGTCGATGTAGTCTAAGCCATGCAATCAGGAATTACAGCGCTCATCTCCCAATATAAAGCTGCACTTAAACCAGCACAGTCATAATTTCCAGTCAGTTAGAAATCTGGGCGACCTGAAGTAATCTTTTGAAGGATCCAAAAGTTGCCTCTAGGAACAGCATCAAATTTCTATACGGAGATACCAACAGTAGCGGTCATCAAAAACCTCCAGCTCTAATTCAATCCAGACCTGGGTTCTCATGCGGAGTATGTACTGCTCGCCTGTCTGGATCAAATGTTCATCTGTAGTTGAAGAGGACTGCTGGTCAGACGTTGAAAGATGACACGAGGCCAAGCCGGGGAAGCTCACCCACGGATGCAAGGCACTCCCGCCGTTGAGCGATCTCCGGCCCTTGGCGTGGTGGGATCCAAAACACCCATCCAACGTTCTTTGCAGTCTAGACTCTTACTTTCCTTCCTATCGAATAATCGTCGGTATGTCTTCCAGCTAAGGAGCACACACGAAAACTGGCTGATTTGTATCGGGATCTCCTGATATTGAACGTGAAAGAAACACGTAGCCTTTACTAGATTAATTGTCTATCGATATCCTGCTGCGCACGCAATACCTGAACAAAGATGATGTGCTGCAGCTGACACGGAGTGCTTCCGTCTTGGAGACCTGCTTATATTTGAAACACAGAAAGTCGGATATATATATATATATATACTAAGTCCAAGTGCTTTGTCAGGTGCAATGAATATCGCTTTTGTACAGATCCAACCCAGCACACCTCATTGGCGTTGGAACTGGCTTTCCAATCACCCTTCACTCGTTGCATATAGCCATCAAATCGTAAATCGCTGGAACGCTGGCAAATTGCCTCAATTATGCTCTTTTTCGCCCGTCATGCATATGGCCACTACCGTCTCTTCCGCGTCCAATCATTTATGAACTCTTGCTTGTCCTTGACACCTAATCCCACTCGCTTGACTCTTCCCAGTCTCGCCAAGTCTTCTCCAATGCGCTCCAGCACCCTCTTCTCCTCTGCCCCAAGCCCCTCGTCGCTTTCGCTCTCGCCTCCCAGCGTGTCCGAGCTGCTGACCTTCTCCCCTATATGCAACTCATCGAAGAAATTCGACTGATATGAATTCTTCCTCGCTTTCACCGCCGGCTGATCTGCGCCACTACCTGCGCCAACGCTGAACTGGCTCTTCGTCTTGGATGTATTGTAGACCGCCTCGGCGATTCTGACACGTATACAGTGCGTGGGCCGACTGCACAGGTTCCACACGAACTGCAGGTATGTCCCTGGAACCGGCGTCGTAATGTCCGCGGGCGTATATCGCAGGCTTACGGGGAATATTTTGGTCTTGGGCGACACGCTCAGCAGCGCGGGACTGAAGGGCAGGATACCGCGGCCATTGGTAGTGGTGCATTCCGGGAAGATAGCGATCGTAGCGCCCGGATTTTCAGCAACGAGCGCGGAGAGCGAGGTCAGTTTCGCGCCGCGAGGCGGTGTCGGCTCTGGTGGGAGTAGCGCGCGCACCATCGCCTGGAAGAGAGTGATGCGCTGCACGAAGCGGGTGTTGGGGTACGAGGCGGTGAAGATGGGATCGAAGATTGCGGCGAGGTAGAGGCTGTCAATGGGGCTGGTGAAGGAGCTCGCGATGATGGTGCCGGGATGCGGCAGCCGTCTGCTGGTGCCGCTCTTCCCCAGGCTACCGCGCCGGACGCCGTCGATTTGCAGGTCTACCCACCAGATGCCGGGTATGCCCAGCAGAATCCATAGCGCGCCTTTCTTGACCAGGGCATTGAGTGGCAGCCAGGAGAGGAAGGCGAAGTAGAAGATGAAGGCGGGGATCAGGAAGAAGATGCGGACGCTGAAGAGGAAGAGGTGGAGGGGGAGGTTGATGCCGGAGGACGCTGCCGGGATTGGGAAGAAAGGTGCGATGCCAGAGCCTGTAAGTGTCAGCCCACTGCACAAGGAACTACGTGATGGTGACGGGGATGGCTGCCGTACCTCTGTCGCGATACTGGGAGTACTTCTCCATCCTGCTGTGTTCTCGATGTTGGCCAGCCGTTAGCTGAGGGCGCTCATAGAACGACAGACCATTGCAGCGACGAAAGGGAGGATTGAAGGCTCGTGATCACAGTGTCATTTTGAGCCCAGAGACCACAACCTTGAGCCGCCCGCATGTGACAATGAAGCATATCACGTGATCGGCATTCTCTTGACCGACTTCGTCGACGGCCTTTCTCCCTTACTGAAGAGTAACTTATACCAGCGCTTCTGCAAATGACTCTAGACCCTTCAGTAGAGGAGTCGCTTGCTCTGCTGAGTCGGCAGTACTTTCAGTTGCTGGATCCGAGCATATTGAGATGGCCGGAGGGAAAGATATTGAAGCAGCCTGATGTACAGGCATGGCTTTATGCTCACTTATTCGATCAACAGACCTTAAGGTACCCGCCGCCTGAGCGCTATCAAATGCGGGCTCTCAAACTGCTCGTTGCAAAAATCGAAGAAGCACTCGACGACCCCGAAGAGGATGTAGGCTTTCCTTCCTTCCCTTCTATTCATCCAACTTTCCCAATTGGCATCGAAGCATTATGTTTTGTAAAGGATTGTGCACAGCGGTCCTGCTGAATATACCCGCGCCTGAGAACTACCTTCATTATCCTATGATCGATGCCTTTCAGCAATGGTAGGTGGATGCTGCGGTCACCTCTTCCACCTAATCTTGTCAACTGCCTTCCAGCTGTACTGTAGTCGATCTGTATTACGAGTGGAGTGCGCGCTGATGTGAGACTATTCTCGGAATGAGTAGGAATTATCAGATGATCTCATGTCTCTACTCTCTTCATTCTTGAGCTCGAATCTACCCTCGGAGGCTGCAGTGGCACAGCAGAAAGCCTATGTGACGTACAACTTCAGCCGCATAGATGCCTCCGTTACTTTGCTTGAGTCTCGCTCCGTGATCTCGTCCTCTGGTACCACTGGTCTACGGACATGGGAGGCGGCTCTGCACCTTGGAAGCTATCTTGCCTCAAGCCGTGAAATAGTTGCTGGCAAGAACGTGCTCGAGCTAGGCGCTGGTACCGGCATTCTTTCCGTACTATGCGCAAAAGGCCTGGGTGTCAACCGCAGCATGGCAACTGATGGCGATGAAGGAGTGGTCGACGCGCTCAAGTCAAACATATTCCTCAACGGCCTCGAGGGAAGCCGTAAGATCGAAGCGAGTGTATTGCGGTGGGGCAGAACCATCAGGACAACAGCGTTTGAGGAGGACTTCGATGATGACCCTTATGATATCGTACTGGGCGCGGACATTGTAAGTACAGGTTCGGTCGAGTTAGTCGAACCGGGTTTAACGACTCTCTGGACGGACAATGAGACTTTGAGGGAATTTGCGACGTGGCCGTTTGAGTCTTGTTTGGAAGGTCAGAACAGAGTTTATGAAGCTGACGAACTTCCAGACGTACGACAAGACCGTCGTGCCATGGCTTGCATCAACACTACGAGAGCTGTTCGACCTAAGACCATTCCTGGAAGTCTTCATATCGGCAACCATCCGCAACAAGGACACGTTCAACGCCTTTGTACGAGCATGCGGTAAGCACGATGACTCCCGTAGTCCGTCAGCATTCCGGCTACCGATATCCCCGGCTGAACTTGACCGCAAATTCGAAATCATCGAGCCGCTAACCACAACCGCAGGACGCAATCACCTGGACGTTACAGACGTTGAGTTCGAGCCGGTCCCAATTCATAGGCAGAACGGACCTTTCTATCCAGTGGAAACGCCAATTCGCATAGTGCACATTACCTCGAAAGGCTCTTATGATTCTTTTGCGGTTTAGAGTAACATCCGGAGGCGCGACGACACCACACCGCAACGGTCCGCAAAACATCTAATGTACCGCAGCCACTATTGATCGCTGTTCCCAGGATGACACATGACTGGAAGCAAACCATACCTTCGAAGCACTGCATATTCAATGATATCCCCATGACTTCGCGAGCGAGCATCGAGAGGTAGATGAGAACATCACGAACTTGCGCAAGAGTATGTCGGGATTATAGCACAAATCACATGTATTCGCAATAACCGCCGCAAGAAACAATTGCTCCAGTTCTTTAGTGGAGTAAGACGCGCGTTGATGTCTTTGTCAGACCACTCCAGTCATCACAATCTGTACTAAAAGCTCTAGTCACATACTTTGGTGAAACACTCAACGAAAGACAATGACATCAGTCTAGATCGAGTTCTTACGGGCTGATGCACCCGTTCCACTACTTGTGGATACCCAAAAACGCTATCACGATTTAGCTGAAGCGCTCCTACTCGTGCAGCCCCCCGCTGAAGCTGTATGGGCAGGGCCACTCTAAAAGCTAGTTGCCGCATTGCAAGCTCTCCATAGCGCCGGAGATGGATAGTCTTCAAGCGCAGTCCACAGCCCAAAGCCATCTTAGGCGATTAGTACATCAATGTCATAGACCGCTAGATGGCTTTTACTCTCTGTCGCATGGAAGTGGTTTAGCTGCTCTACGATCAACAGGATCATGAGTCTAATTCGATCGCGAATATGGTGTTGGACAAGCTGGAGCGGAGATGCGGCAACAGACTTTTCAGCTGGCCCTCGGAACATACTCGACAGACCTCGAGGATTGATAGCTTGGCTGTCATCAACCGACACAGAGCCGTGGATCGGAGTCCAATCTGATTTGCTAGTGCTAGAATGCTGCAACGCGCCGCGAAGGAGCCAGGCATCATCCAGGCATACACCCATCCGCTGAGGCAGGACGGCGGGGAGCGTTTAGTCAAGCCGAAGGGAAGAGAAACAGTTCGAGATTGCGCGTGCATATCACGGCATTAGGACAAGTAGCTAGAGACTAAAAGGGAGCTGATAGTGGTGGAGAGTTCTACCGTGGAGTAACCTAGCGGATGGGGGTGCTGGATGATAACAAGGGCTCCGTCCGCCATCGGCTCTTGATCTTTCGCCATATATTACACCGCTTCCCCTGGCCGTTTCCTGTCTCGATAAAGCCATTGAGACTCAGTACCCTTTCTGTCCCTGCAGACAGAGACGTCCACTGCCCTCCTCTCTCATCGGCGTCGTCGACAGTCTCGGCAGGGCGAAGCTTATCGCCCCGGATCGACAGAGCGGGAGACGGCCAACGCTCACGATTTCATGTGACACGCAGTGCGAGGGCGGCTTGCATCGGAAGAACATCTGTGAGCTCCCTCACCTCCACCACCCCTCGCACCCCTCGCACCCCTCGCACCCCAGCGCTTCTCAAACAGCCCAATGTCTCTTCGCTGGCAACAGAGATCCGACATGTGGCGTCGTAAAGAAGGCGGCTTTTCAGCCGTTCCTGGCTAAAGCGAGTCTCATCGCAGCTGCAGACGACTCCGCGATAAGCATCGGACAAGGACAAAGGCGTGCGTATCAGCCCGCCGTGTCACCGCCCTTTTCAGGGCGTCATTCGCCCACATCGAGCTGTCACAGTCAGGCCTGAGGCCCGGCGCACGCGACCAGCGCCGCTATCGAAGAACCGCAAACCCTCGTATAATACCCTCACCGTCTCGCTCAGCCCGGCCATGGCAACTCAGCTGCCCGCCCACCACCGTACGCCCAGCAGTCACCACAAGAAAGCGTTGCCGCCTCACGCTCGGCCGGCCAGGCCTACTGCTCTACACAAGCGTGCTCTCAGTCACCGACCGGCCAAGTCGGTACAACTTGAGAGTCCGTCAAGGACTGACGACGACGACGAGGAGGAAGCAATGGCAGCAAGCTTCCTGCAGTACTGGTGAGTGAGGCGTTAACCAGCCCCAAGTGGCCCCACCACTTACAGAACACCTGGGCCGCAACAAACAAGGAGCTTCCTCTTTCAGCACACATCCCTCATTGCAGTGTTTGCCTACCACGTCTTTGAGTTCATCTGGCCCCAGATTGAGTGACATACTGATTCGCTTGCAGCGCGTTTTGCGAAAAGCAGATCATCGTTCCCAACAATGCGATCCTATATTGCTCGGAAAGGTGCGTCACTCCGCGGCATTATCTACTAGCCACTTGTCTCGTCTGATATGTCTACTCGCAGCTGCCGCAGGAAGGACAACAATAAGACGGTCGCGTTCACACCATATACGTCTGAGCACTCCCCTCCGCACACTCCCTTCGCCAACTTCACATTCGACGACCTACCTGTCCACAACATCGTACCCCAGCGATCACCAACTGCGCCCCACATGCATCGGATGTCGTCTACCTTCTCCGAAGCGTCAGAGGACGAGCACATGTACTCCGGCGACGAGTCGCGCATGACCAAAGACACGGAAGCAGCTCGCTACCTCCGCCAGTTCCAATCGCAGGACGGGTCGTCAACACGGGCCTGGCGTCCCCGCTACAACCGCTCCTCCACATCGACCGCGGCATACAGCACCGCACCCTCGTTATCGCACACTCCTACTTCAACCGCCAGCGTGTCGCTCCCATACACCCCGTCGACGAGACCGCTTCCCCTCCGCCAGAATCCGTATAATTCGTATGGCTCGCGGTCGATAGACCTCGTCACGCCGTTCGCGGCTGCGACTACGACTGCACCGTCGAGCTTGAAGGATTATTCCTTGAAGAGTGCGGCGACTGCGTCGACGTCGGCGGGGGTCGTCGAGCCTGGCTTGCTTTACGAGAAGAAGTCGTCATTACCGCCGGCGTCGCCGAGTCAGGGGAGTTTGAAGCAGCTGTTTCGCTTCAACGAGATGCAGGCGCCGCCTAGTTATAGTGGGGCGAGGCGGCCGCCGTGGTCTTGAGCCATCGTTTCGGATTGAACGGTTGATATTCTAGGGGAGCTTCCGGTCGTGAACGTGTGATTAAATGGACACGGTTTATAATAGAAGGAGGCGCGGTTTCTGCAGGCCTTTTTCGCTGGTGATGCCCTCGCCGGCACTCGCTAAAAGTTTTGGAATTTTCTCACTGGCGTTGGGTTTGCGCTTGCTTGGCTACCATATACCACAGAGCTTGCTAGCCGCTGCATACTCGATAGGGTCTACCTCCGTGGTCGGCTCAACATAGAGAAAAGAACACACCATCGATACGTTGGATTCTCACTTTACATTCCATTCTCTTGATTGTTGCAGCCCGGAACAGCATATGTTCCCGTCTGGTATTTCACTCCTTTAATGCCGTTTTCCCTTACAGCTCTGGACTTCTGGGGTGCTCGACTATCTATCGCACGCTTTGGCTTCTTACTGCCAGAATCAACGTTCTTGTCACATCGCCTTGTTTTGCAGCCCAGTTCCAGCTTGTCCGACCCATTCCGATCCGCGTCTACGTACAGACCCAACAAAGTCCACCCCGTGGAACTGAGGTCAGTTTGACAGGTGACACCGTAACGATCCACAAGCGTCACGCCTCGACCATGACACCTTCTGTGACACGCGCAAAGTAGCACACCAAATCTCCGGCGCATAACGTAGCACAATGGCGACTTTCTGAACTAAGAGCCACAGCGTTTTCACGCTCGGCTTAGCTCAAGCTTCGTTTTAGCACGAGATGTGTCGATATCAAGTTGTTGGAACGATTAGCCTCCCGTGCTGTCCTTCAGGTTTCCGCAGTATCTGAGCTAGCTCGAATCTTGTGCAATATGTACACTCCTATCCAACTAAGATCTATGCCTTCTTCTATCTTCTATTCGACGGCCCCTTCCCCAATACGTCCTCAACCGCAACATTTCGCTGCTCTTTGCGCCCATCGCTCGATTGCAGTCGCTGCGGCTCACGCAAACTCTCGTCTTCGTCCACATCGATAATCTCAACGTCCCCATGGCGTCGGTTGGTCGAGCTACCAGCACCCCCGTCCGGCCCCTCGAGCGGCTCTAATCCAGTATTCGAGAGCTCCGCGTCCTCGTCTTCGGCCAAAATCGCACGCTGCTGACGCTTACGATCCACGCACCGGCGCCAGGGTTTATACACCAGCACGCTCAGCGCGCCGAACACGACGAACGAAGCGCAAATCGCTCCGCCTGCAAAGCCCATGTCAGCGTCTCAGTGTCTCGGCTTCCTATGCGGGAAACCAAGCTTACCGATTATGTCGTAGTGCTCCCCCGCCTTCTCCACCCCGTCCCAAAACCTTCCCTTCGGCTCCGCAACATTGAAGACAAGATTCAGCAACTGAATAATCCCAATAACCACCGCCACCACCACCGTCACGATCGTCAACACGATGCTGTAATACAGTATAGCGATCTGATCCCGTGCGAGCGCGGTGCTGGTGTACAGACTCATCATGAGCGCGCCGTCGGTGGTGTCGAGCATGCACATCCCGGCCGTGAAGAGCAGCGGGAAGATCAGGATCAGCCAGATTGAGGTTCCGCGGGCGGCTTGGATCGAGGAAATGCCGAGGATGGCGATTTCGCTGGAGGTGTCGAAACCGAGGCCGAAGAGGACGCCTAGGGGGTACATCTTCCAGGGGCTGCAGTATCGTATCAGCTGGGCTCTTCAGGGCCAATGACTCCGAGAAAAGGAGAGAGGGGAAGGGGAGAAGGTGTTGAGAAGAGAGGGGAAGGGGGCCAACCCACCGGTCAATCAACTTAAACATCCTCTTGAATAGCTGAAACAAGCACCCCGCGCCATGAATCTGCAGCCGCTCCTCCTCACCCGGCCTAGCATCAATATGTTTCCGCATCTGCTGCACCAGCTTATACAGGATCCACATGTTCATCACCCCGAGCAGGAGCAGGAAGGCCGCGGAGACGGACGTCCCGATTATGCCGCCCACGCGTGAGAAGGAGTCGAAGCGGCTCGAGACGGCCGAGGCGGTCGCGGCGACGATTAGGGAGGTTATTATGACGATGCTGGGAGGGGTGGGTGAGTAGGGTGGTGGGGTGGTAGATCCTGGCAGGGGGGAGGGGGAGGGGAAGGGGGAGGGAGGGGCGTACGTGGAGTGCCCGAGCGAGAAGAACATCCCTACGGTTACGGGACGTTGACCTGCTGCTATGAGACGGCGGGTCATGAGGTCAATCGCCTGTGGTTGTCAGGACGCCTGCAGTTGCTTCATGGCTGCGGCCATACTGATATGTGGTCTGCGTCCAGCGCGTGCCGTAAACCGAGTGTCCAAGAAAGGACGGCGGTCGAAATGAGCGCTCTAAGGGGCCTCTAGGTCAGAGAATGCTGTGCCGATGCTCCCACGTAGTTCGGATAGAGTCGTCTTACGGATGGAAGTGCTGATTACGATTGTATGTTAACGGCTGTATAGCTCGACTCTAGAGGACTGCATACTTGCCAGAACAACTCCCGTAGCTGCCCACACCACAAGATTCACCACCACAAGCGCGACAATGATCGCTACGGCCCGGAACGGCAGCTTGCTAAGATACGGCACCCTCCCATGGTAAACAACAGCTCTGTCCGTCGCCTTCTTGAGAAACGAGCGTTCTTCGTCTGAGATTCCCGCTGCGTATGGGGTGGGGGTGGAGGAGTCCATTGTGACGGTAATGACAGTCAAGGTGGACCACGGGCGAGCCTCACGCTCGATGAGGACGTTCATCAAGCGGCAGGGGAAGCGCTGGCAGGGAGGCAGGGTACATCATACCTAGTTAGCTGGTGCCGCAGTCTGGAGCGGAGCGGAGCTTGCAGCTGTCGTCTGAAGCTTATCGCCGGGACGGGCTTGGCGCAGCCATTGGCGGGGTGGAGGGGTAGTGGACAGGGATGTTATTGGCGGTCTGGCCATTAGAGATGGAGCAGTGGTATTGAAGAAGGTATTGATTAGTCAACACAGAGGACGCGTTGTAGACCGATTCGCATGCAATCGACCTTTACCGCTATTACTCCAACTCGTGGCAGCGCACGCAAGACATCACCCGTCGAACTTGCTGAAACAGAGACTGGCATTCGTGCCTCCAAACCCGAAACTATTCGATAGCGCGACATTGACCCGCTTGGACTGTGCGGCTTTGGGAACATAATTGCAATCGAACTCTTCGGGTGGATCTCCCGGGCTCTCCAGATTGAGAGTGGGTGGTAGGATATCCTTTACCACTGTTAGCGGGAAACGGTAATGTAAGGATTGAGTGCGCTTACATGGTGGACTGCCAGAACTGAGAAGATTGCTTCCACCGCGCCGGCAGCTCCTAAAAGATGACCAATGGCACCCTTGGTGCTGCTGACGTTGATGTCGGATGCCTTCTGCTTCCCGCTCTCGCCTAGTAGCAGTGCCTTGATGGCTCGGTTCTCCGCCGCATCACCTAATGAGGTTGATGTCGCGTGAGCGTTGACGTAGTCCACTTCGTGTGGTTGCAGACCGGCGTGTCGTAGGGCACGCTTCATGGCTAAGAAGGGTCCTTCGCCATCTTCTCTCGGCGCGGTCATGTGGTGGGCATCGGCGGAAAGCCCATAACCTAGCAATTCCGCGTAGATGCGTGCCCCGCGGGTCTTTGCGTGCTCGAGTTCCTGATCAAGGCTGAATAAGTCTTGGTGGGGAAATGGATTCGAGGGCTAATTACCTCAAGCACCATTACTCCAGCACCCTCTCCGATGACGAATCCGGCTCGGGAACGGTCAAAGGGTCTAGACGCTAGATGAGGCGCATCGTTCCAGTCTGTTGCCAGACTTCTTGCTCGAGCGAACCCGGCAATGGCGAGCGGGTGGATGCAGGACTCTGATCCGCCTGCAACCATGACATCCGCGTCGCCGAAAGCGATGAATCTGCCCGCATCACCGACTGCATGAGCGCCTGTTGTACACGCTGTAGTCGCTGCGTGGTTGGGGCCCTTGAATATGTCAACATCTGTAAAGTATGTACGAATAATACCAAACTCACCTTAAAACCGTATCTCATGGAAATATGCCCAGCAGCCAGGTTTATCAATAGTCTTGGAACAAAGAGCGGCGACACTTTCTTGTAGCCCTGCTAGAGTCAGGAAAGAAGGGCAAGCCTAGTGAACATCAGACTCACACCTTTGTCGTAGGCAACTGAGGTGTCATAGACATCGTCGAAGGCTCCTATGCCTGAGCCTATGTATACACCCTGTGCTGCGTTAGATGTGATCCGTACAATGCCTGTCAGCGTGCCGCCCTACAGTCGCCTCGAGATCCTTGGGCTCTTGAGGGTGCCACTCTGCATCTCCTAAGGCTTCTTGAGCTGCTGCCATAGCGTAGTGCGAAAACTTTGCCATCTTCCGCTCATCCTAATGAAAGGTCAGTATCTGCCCAGCTGCTACATCGGACCACGTACAGTGGGAGATAGCCATTCTTTGACATCCCAACAGCCTTGCTCTTTACCTCCAGTGGGCACAACCGCCGCTACCTGGCTCGGTAAAGCTGCATATCGGGGTCCTCTGTCTTTTACAGACACAATGCCGCAATGCCCGCCGATCAGCCGTTGCCATGTTCGGCGGATACCTGGGAAGGAGTCAACGTAGGCCTTAGCACCTATTCGGTTGCAGTCTCACCAACACCTAGCGGTGTCACAGCTCCGAGGCCTGTCACTACCACTCTTCGCATTTCATGTCAAGCTGATGGTTGGTGGTTGATGGTTGATGGTTGATTGGTGATGGCGAATGAACTCGTTCGACAGCCACACTGGGCAAGCCACCGCCAATCGACGGGAGCGGGAGCGGCGCCAGCCACTAAGTCATCAACCACCTGCGGGTGGGCACATATTCCACTCCAACAATCTTCTATCGCGAGCAGGATTGAAGCGGATGTTTCAGAGAGCTATGGCAATCTTGGTCCACGGGGAAGGGAATCAAGGAGCTTCGAGTGGAGCTTTCAAACGGACGGCGTAACCTGCTACGCTACACTAAGGGGGTTGGACGCGATGGGAGCACTTCATCACCCCAAACAAGTATGCTCTGCATGATCCATGAGGATCGAAGCCATGTTGCAAACATTCTAACATGGAGGTCGTCGAAACACGTGCTTGACGGCAACGATGCAACAAGTATTGTGAAGATACGTTCAACTCTTGTATAAGAAGGGACGACCGCTTCGACAGGCTAGTAGGCGCGATGGGCCGACGTGGAAGACTCCCATTGCTATGTAAAATCGTCCCTCTCGACCGAAGACTAAACACTCTGAACCGAACAGTTTGATTGTATTTTTGTTCGTTCCGCAAACGGCTACTCTCAAGCTTCCAGATTCCGCCCACAAAATGGACCCTTACATAAAGAGCTTGGGTCTATCGATAGACGAACCCAAGCCACAAGCCAGCACCCGTACCGACTCGCTGTTCGTCGCGCAAACACAGATAATCCCCTACCGCCGTCTGGCGGACCGCCGTCGGAGGATCATGTCTGTTCCTCAAATTCCTGGGCTCAAAGCTGAAGAGCCCCTGGCGGAGGTCCTGCGGCGCGAGGTTGCGGATCTACTGCGTCGGAACCCGGTATCATTCCCCGGCGCGCAACCCGTGAGCTTTGCGCGCAAGCATATTGAAGAGCTCCAGCAAAAAGAGTGAGTCCACTGTTGTCCTGTTGCTCCTCGCGAATATACAGACTATGCCCTGTCGAGGCCTTGTGCCCTGTCATTCTCCAGCCTTATGGCTAACGGGTTTTCCCAGTTACTACCTCTGCGAGAAAACCGATGGAATCCGCTGCCTCCTCTACGCAACTGACGACCAGGGGGAAGAGATCCACTACCTCATCGACCGCAAAAATGACTACTACTTCATCCCGCCCAACAACGTACACTTTCCTATGCCTGGAGACGACACATTCCAACGCTTCCACAAGAGCACTCTCCTCGATGGCGAGCTTGTCAACGACAGAGTTGGACCAGGACCCGACGACTACCGCCTCCGATACCTAGTGTTCGACTGCATCGTTCTCGATGGCGACATCCTTACCCAGAAGCCGCTCGACAAGCGCCTTGCTCGGTTCCACAGCTTTGTCCTGGACCCGTACAAGCGCATGTTTGCAACTTGGCCTCAGGAGCTAGAGCACCAGCTGTTTGAAGTCGCGCCCAAATCTTTTGGAAAGCCATACAGCATTACCGAGAAGTTCGATGAACTGCCAAGGCTGGCACATGGTAACGATGGGCTTGTCTTTACATGCAGGGAGACGCCCTATGTCTTTGGCACGGACGAGAACATCCTCAAGTGGAAGCCGGCGCACGAGAACACTATCGACTTCATGATACGGCTCGGCGAGTTTCCAACTTTTGACCCGGAGGAGGGTGATACTGGCCCGGTGTACGATTACGAGGCGCAACCGACTGTCGAGTTGCTGGTAAACTGCAATGAGGGCAAGTACGCAGTGTTCGCCGAGTTGCATCTGGAACCGGCCGAATGGGAAGCAATGAAGAGCGTGAATGAGTCACTCGACATGCGTATCATCGAATGCTACAAGGACGAACAAGGACGCTGGCGCCCGAAGCTGGAAGGCAACGGAGCACCACGCTTTCGAGACGATAAGAAGGACGCGAACCACATGTCCACGGTCTACAAAGTGATAGAAAGCATCAATGATGCCGTGTCGGAGCATGATCTACGAGCAGCGGAGGATGCCATCAGGAGGATGTGGAAGAACCGGCACCCCGAGGAGAAGGCACAACAGACTCAACAGGCACAACAAGTACCACGCGTTAATCACACACCTGTCGCTAACGGTGATATGTCTAGGAGAGCTAGCCGGCCAGAGTAATACCCACGGAGGGCAGTTGGGAAGATGATCCCTTGGATTCTGTCATGGGCTTGGGCGTTTTGCGGCCTTTGTATTAGGAGCTTGGCATGGAGCTGGTGATTTGCTGCTTGCGGTATTGGATATCGAGGCTTTCTCAATGGCAAGGCGTAAGGATATGAAGACGGCCAGGCGATTTGGACTTGGGATGCCGCTGTTTCAGTAGCTTTGTTCGTTGCTGGAAATACCACGCCGAGGACCTTGGTGTATTCTATAGAGCTTTAGCATCAAATGAACAACCAAGTGCTGTGACATTCCTGCCAATAATATTCGCTTCAATCTCTGTCTTTTGTTATGTCAACGACTTTGTCTAATACGTCGACCAATATGTATGACGCGTGATGATCCCGAACCACTCGCGAAGCTCAGTCGCGAAAGCTACAACTTTCAGCACTCGGCAACACCAACCCAACAAACTCCACAACCACCAACTCTAATGGCTTCGAATCAGACATGCAGAGCTTGCCTGCGCGTCGTGCGCCAGCGCAACAGCGTTTTTCTCCAAGTAAAGCCCCGAATCCATCCGCCTACATCCCAAAGCTAACCATCCAGAACACCCGCTTCCCCCAGAACTCCTTCCAGACCTCCCTCTTCCGCGCCTCCCAGCCATCCCCTCGCAGACTCGCCTCCTCCAACGCCGGCGCCTCCGAAGCCTCAACCTTCGCCACCCAAAGCCCTCCCCACGCCATCCCGCCCGACGCCAACATTCCCGCTCCCAATGTGAAGCCGAACCCCGGAGAGACCAGCGCAGGTGCGCCGAGCATGGCGAGCCTGGCGCGCGAGGTACGGAAGCGGGCTGGCGCGGCGACGGAGACGTATATCGCGTATGCGGTGACGGAGAAGCTGTTCAAGGAGTGCGCACGGCAGGCCGACTATTCTATTCCGGCTGTATTGGAGAAGGGAGGCGTGGCGCCTAAGACGGAGGCGGGGGAGGATTTGGGTGTGGGGGAGGGATGGTGGTATAATGGTATCCTCTACCCTCTGCTTGCCCTCTTCTCTCCATAATCCCCCACAACAGCACTGCCAACTATCTAATAACAAGAGGAAGGGAAAGGATGTTGATGTTGATCTTGCAGAACTCGGCCTCACCCCCACCTTCAACACCTGGGCCCAAGTCTCCTTCATCCACATGTACCTCCTCACGATCCGCTTCCGCCAATTCCCCGCCGCCCACGCGCCCGCATGGCACCAGCACCTCCTCGACCACTTCTTCTACGACGCCGAGAACCGCATGGCACTGTACCACGGCATGGCGGCCCGGGGCGTGCGCAACAAGTACCTCAAAGACCTCTTCGTGCAGTGGCGCGGCGTCATTGCGGCTTATGACGAGGGGCTCGTGAAGGGGGACGCCGTGCTTGCGACGGCGGTATGGCGGAATGTCTTTAAGGCGGATGAGAACGTGGATGCGGTTAAGCTGGCGGAGATTGTGAGTTATATGAGGAGGTGGGCGGGGAAGTTGGATGGGATGGATGATGCGGATGTGGCGGCGGGGGGGATTACGTTTGGGGGCGCGGAGAAGGGGAGGAAGGACGTGCTGGAGGAGAGTGAGAGGTTGAGGGAGGCACTTTAGGGTGTAGGGCATCCCAGGGGGATACTAGACGGCGGTGGAGGCGATGTGGCGCACAGGGTATGAGTGTTATTGTACACTGGAGGATATGTCCGTTTGTATCATCATCAGAGGTGCTTGGTTGGGCTGTAAGGTATATCTGGTTATCACATATGATAGCTGGCTAGGAGTAGGTCCACGTGTGACCTGACTGTATAGTATGTACTGTAGATGCAGCAAGCAAGGAACCTTCGATATACAATAGTCCCACCTCGGCCGGCCCGGAAGATGTCAGACATGAGTGGGATTTTGTACAAAGCCATCAGATGAGGTCGAAAGAGGAAACATCCCGAGCCTGTCCCGAACTGTGGGTATTCAACTAACTCTCCAACGCCATAGACAAGGACCACTAAATGCTAAAGTTGAAGGGAAGTCGTAAGTCATTCCGAGCAAGGGGGAATGTTTTGGTGCTCATTCGTCGTCGGTGTCGGGCGGCTCGGATAACTCCTCATCCGACGAGATATCATAGACCTCCTTCTCCTTCGCCTTGCCACTCTGCTTTGCCACTCCGTTCGTCTTTTTCGCTCCCTTCTGGGACCACGCCAACAGCTGATCAAACGGCGCACTCCGTCCTGGCACCGCCCTCTTCGCGCTCAAGCTATGCCTCTCACACGTCAACTCGCGCGTGCATCGCGATCTATTCGGCAGTGGCACTGCGCACTGCGTCTCTACATCAACAGACGCCTTGGACTTCGCAGTCTTCGCCTTCGGCGCCTCTTTCTTTGCTGCCTTCTTTGCCCGCTTCTGCGGCTCTACCTCACTCTGGCTCTCCTCGGAGTCGTCGGCACCGCCACGCGTATCTTCTTCTTCTTCTTCTTCTTCTTCTTCTTCTTCTTCGCTACCCAGATCCTGCATCTCAACGTCTGCGTCTTCGTCCTCGTCACTGGCCTCGGCGTAGTTCTTGCGGGCTGGGCCGCGGGCACTGCGGCGGATCTCGCTTGATGGCGCGGTGTCGTCGAATTTGCGGGTTTTCTTGGAGACGGGCGTTTTGAGACCTTTGCTGGCCTTGCTAGCTTTGCCCTTCGGTACCGCTTTTGGCCGGGATGTGCCGTTGCTGGTTGAGGCCTTGCGTTTCTTTGCGCGGTGGTCTCCATTGGTCTCGGATTTGCGCTGTGCTGAGTTAGCGTCTGTTCAACTGCAATGTACTAGGGCGAGTATGGTTGGTGTGTTGGTGCGAACTGCTCACCTTCTTCGTCCGTAGACCCTCCTTGATCCAATCATCAAGCAATTCCATAGCCTCCTCCGGTACGTAGTTCTTCTGTGCAATCTTCTGGGCCACTTCATGGCTTGGAAGAGCAGCGAACAGGGCAGCCGGCATGCGGATCTTACCCGGCCATGCTTGCATTGCCCAGCCGTGCTGCTCTTGGAAGCGGCGGATGACCTCCTGGGAAAGATCGGATAGCAGATACAGGTTCTCGCTCATCTCCGGATTAATGCCATCCTGCACTGACTTCACCCGTTGAGCGACATGGAAGATCAGTGGGAGGTTATCCTGATTGGCGACGCATTTTAGGTAAAACAGAATGTATGTGACTTCGTCCTTCAAATCTTCAGCATTTTTGCGGAAGTCAGGATGGTGGGCACGTAAACTAAGGAATCGCGCAAAAAGCGCTTCCATAGCAGTGTCTTTCTGCTTGGCAAAAGCGGACGCTCGTGCGCGGAGCCAGGTAACGGCGCGATCTTTGATATCCTGGGACGGTTCGTGCGCGAGCAGAAACACGATTGTGTAGAAGCGCTTAGGCAACTGTTCCTGACCTAGGTACTTCATCAGTTTTTTGACAAACCCGTCGCGCACCTGCTTTTGAGGTAGTTGTGCTACGGTGGCGAGCTGATTGAAGTCCTTCGGCGAGAGTAACGAGTCAAAGCGAGCTTGTCTGGAGAGCTTGAGCAAGAGCTGTGCGGCTAGCAGGCACAGCCAGGACTTCTGCGCTGGTAGGGAGTCGTTCTTTTTCGACAGCTCACCTCGCTTCGCGACGAGAGCGTTGAGGAGTTTGTAGACCGGATTCGCGACTTCCTTTACCGGCTCCTGGTCTTTCAGTGAGCGCAAGCGATTTACGAGTATCTTCAATGCCCACGTCTTGGCTACAGTATTCTCGTCGGGTTCGTCCGTCCAGTCCGGTGGTGCAGTGCCGTCTTCCGACTCTGGGTTAACTATTCGAGCCTTAAGAAGTACGTGGTTGATTGCAATGTCGATGACCGCGTCGATCTCCTCCTCAATGACCTCTGGGGGAGCATTCAGCATGAGCTGACTTAGAGTAGCTAGTCTGGCCAGATAGTTGCCCTTGCCGAATTCAAAGCCCTTGATAGCATATCTCAGAAGATCCTTTGCGAGCATTTCCTTCTTGTCGGCGCCGCTCAGGATGATCGAAACACCATACTTTGCTGCTTTTGGTGTACCGAACTTTGCATAGCTGACAAGTGACTGCATGAACTTGCGATCTTTTGGTACATTGTCGGGGAATCTCCTAGCAAAGCCCGCGCATGCTTTCAGGTCGGCAACGGCACCGGGCGCGTTGGACGTGACTGCTGTCGGGGCTTCATCCTCAAGCGCCTTGCAAAGGTCTTGCACGTGGGCTTTGAAGACCTCGGGATTGTGGGTCGAGATTTGCGTCAGGACTTCATGCGCCGTTTCCGCAAACCCCTTCTCGTCGGTCCTGGTGTAGTCGATAATCGCTGGCACGTGAGATCTGTTGTAAAGCAGGATACTGGTCCGGTACAGTAGAGGAGTCAAAGTCTCCACCATAGACCCTGACGCAGACGAGGAGTCCTCGATCCGCTTAATTGTCTCCTTGATAGCTCTGTGAACCTTTTTGTAATTGCTATCAGGTGCCGTGGCGAATCGGATCAGCTGATAACTGCGGCGGTCGTGCATTTTCGCAAACTTCCAAAGGTCATCGGAAGCTTGAACAGGATTTGGTAGAGTCTTGCTGTAGAAGTCAATGAGCCGCGTTAGATGCTGCTTGATCTCTTTCTCTCCTTCCTCCATGATGCCTCCATTGTAGTCCTCGCATTTCTCCAGGAACATACCCATGTACTTTGCTAGCGACGCTTGTTGTTGGCCTGTGCGAGCGTAGAGGATTGTTTTAGCCTTTGGTTCAAGACCACGGATGAGGACCAAAGCGCGCTCAACTCGTATCCTGTCGGCGTCTGATTCTGGCTCATGATCACCGTTTTGTTGGCCGTCCTTCACGCGCTGCGATGCACCGTTCGTTTGCGGCTTGGCCTTGATCGGAGGATACGCGAGGGGGAACAATGACTCGTACAGAACGCGGTCCACATGAGCGTTGACCTCAGGCGAGTTGACGTAATACGTGTCAAGGATGCGCGAAGGAATGGCCCCTAGCGTCATGCTTATCCGGTCATCACCTTCAGCAATGGCGCCGACGGCTACTCCCCAAATCTTGCCAAGCAGGTCCATTGCTTCTGTCCGCACGTGGGCCTTCTTGTCCTTTACCCGTTCCGCAAGGTTGTGTAAGATCGAGCCTGGTTCGCTGACTCCTCCCATGCTGCCCAATTTCCGTACAATGTCATTGAAATCAAATCGCCCAATGGCTTGGATGGCAGCCAAGCGGACCCTCTCATCCACGTCGACCAACATGTCCGCCATGTCGCGGATCAATCTCCTCTCATCCTCAGGGTCCAGTCCAACGCCGCCGGCTGATGTCATTAGGATCCTTCCTGCACTCGTTGCCCACGCAGATCTCACAATCGCGGACCTATCGTTTCTGTGGCTCAGAAAGCTTTGGTATGCTTGACGGTATCGCGAAGGGAATGAGTGCGGCGAGGTTGGAGTAGTCAGGAAGTTATAGACTCGCAGGTTGTCGGAAGGATGCGCAAGGCTTTGGGACGGATAGGCTACAGGATTTAGAACTGACGGAGGGGGCGGGCCGGCGGCACCTATTCCGGAAACCATGTCGCCCAGAGTCTCAGTCGCTAAGAGCCGGAGCTGTACATCGTCTGCGCCTAATTCGGTCTCCAGCTGGGGTACTATGTCCGATAGCACAGATGGTGCGGACCGCCACAGCTCGCGAAGCAGCCTGTGAGCTTTCTTGGTTTCGTGGAGGTCCTCTTCGCTTGGTCCGTGTGGGCTCTCATCGTCGGATTCGCCCGCCGGACTGCTTCCTCGCTTACTTGCGCGGTGCCGTCCAGGTTTGTTGGCTGAGATAGACGAAGCGTCTATAATGACAGAACTGAAGTACTGGCTGATATATCGCGCCATTTTCTCCGGACATGCATTGCATATGTTTTTTGCCATGTTGTAGGCCGGCGGCGCTTCCTTGAGTAGCAGTGTTGACTGTCGATCATCAATCTGGCCACCCTTGTTTTTTTTTGGGCCTCCCCCGGACATGGCTCGAGGGTCTGCGCGCAGAAACTGGGCTAGAATGACATCTACCACCTCGGCCGGTAGGCCCTGCGACTCGTCCACCAGCGTGGCCAGAACAGCGGTCATGTGGTGCTCGACATTCTTGCTCAGCTCCTCGCCGTTCTCCGCCTTGGAAGGTGTAGACAAAACATCGAAGCATGCGGTAAAGAGCTGTAGGATCAGGTTCGAGGAGGAAGGTATATCTGTCAGCAGAACGATGCTCTTAACCTCAGCCAGTGACTTCAGGACGTAGATATGCTGGTTGTTGTATGGATTCGACGGATCGGCCAGGGCGGGAAATATCGTGGTGACGAAGAGGGCGAAGATATCCTTCAGCTGCGGGGCCGTGTAAGGCGCATCTGGGGCGCATAGTCTGAACATGTCTACTATATTGCATGCTGTCCATGCTCTAACGCCTCGGTCCTTGTGCGCGATCAAGTTGTGCGAGGCGAGCTCCTTTGCGACGGGCATGAGGGCTTCCCTGTCCGCCTCCTCCTGATCCATGTCGCATAGCTCTTCTTGTAGCGCCTTCAGCCTCTTCAGAAGCTCCCCGACGGGTATGGGCTTTCCGGCGCGCCATGTCAACGGCTCGTTAAACTGCAGGGTGGAAGTCTGTTCAGGCGCATCCTCGACCTCGACGGGTGCGGTCCCGCGGGTTCGTGTGCTGGGCATTGTCGCGTGGTCGTGTGGCGGGAGGAGCTGAGAGGATTAGAGTGTTAGAGCATGCGAGACGGTATGCTTCCCTCCTTACGCGCTTTGACAATGGCAGTGGAGGAAGTGTTGGCAGATGGTGGAGTGGGTCGCGACATGCGAAGCCCAAGTAACTACTCGTACGCGTCTTGGATGCGGGACGTGACACGAGACCGGCAGGAGCTGTCGGAGCTTCAGCCGGGGAAGACTTCGGCGAACGTCACCAGAAACGAGCCTACCTTAGGTACCTAGGTAGCCGCAAGGCACATGTTCCATACCGGCGCTCTATTCACCAAAACCTCTCTGAACACTCAGACGGCCTTCAGCGAGCTCGAACATCTAACATGCTGAGGTGTTGCACCGATATGAGCGACAATGGAGAAGTGGCATGCCCTCACGGAACCCGGCCAAGGCAGCCCTCTCACTTCCACGATAAATCCTCCAAATCCTGAGACGAGGAACAACACATTTCAAACAGTTCGTCAAGCGGAGAGTGTGCAGGCAAAGTGTCCCGGTTAATATCTGTACAGATCAAGAGTCCTTGCGTTCAGCTCAGCCAAGCTATTTTGTCCTTTGCAGGTAGATCAGGAGACCCAAAGGATGTCCTTGTCGGACTCGAGCGACTTTACGAGGCTCTATTGGACCTCTCTCGCCACGAGAGTGTAGTTGACGAGAAGCTTGCCGAGTACATCTTCTTTCCGTTGTCCCACGTCTTCCGGGAGAGCCAGCGATTGCCCCTGAAAGCCCTTGAGACAGCACTAAAATGCCTCTCCATCCTGCTGCGAACTGGATGGAGATCCCAGGTCTCGCCGGAGCTCAGTAGGCAGCTCCTTATACTGCTAAGCTTCCTCGCTAGCGGCCCTTCTGATGGTCAACCATCTTCCAGGACGTCCGAAGAGCTTCAAGCTGCCGCTTTCATCTGCTTGTCAGATCTGTTCGAATCTCTTTCTCAAAGTCTAGTTGGAAGAGCATCGTTAATTGTGACTGCTAACATCCCTCCACTGGGACACGCAGTCACAACGATCCTGAATGGCATCACGCCCGGAGGGCCGAAAGAGATTCAACTCACCGCAACGACAGCTCTGCAGGCTTTCTGCTTGGCTGTGACCGACCAGGAGGCCTTGGCGAGCTTTCTGCCCGGTATCGTCTCTTCGCTCACGAAGGTTCTTACATACAGTACAACGTCCAGGAAACCTTACAAGGTCCTAGTCCGCGGTCTGGATGTTCTGTCACGCGTATTGCGGTCGGTTGTAAGCGACGACAAGACGAAAGACCTACCGGAAAGCCAGGAGACCGACAAAGTATCAGATGCAGCATCCCCCATGCGCCTCACAACTTCTTGGCTGAAAGCCACTGCAGCCCAGCTGAGGATGGCCCTTGCCAATGTCATGAAATTGCGGCAACATCCTCGTGCTGAAGTTCGTCAGGCATTGTCGGAAGTCTGTGTAACTGTCCTCGAGGCTTGTCGGAATTCGTTGTCCGAGTGTGGACCGATGATGATCGAAACCCTTGTAGTTCTGTCAGCTTCTAATGATGACGAGATTGAGCATTCTTTGAAGCGTCTCCTCGCGACCAACGCAAAGACTGGGGAGCTCCTCACAGCCAGCCTCTTTAGCTGGGTAGTATCTTTGCCGCGCGTCATGCAGTCTGCAGATGACAGCGCGAAGCGCAACACTATTAAGCAGGTCTCCCGAGCTTTCACGGTACTCTCCGAAAAGGGAATGGGTCTTACCATCGTCAACCGCGCCATGGCAACGAGCCTGCGTGACAGTCTCTTCGCTACAATCCACACCGCAAGTGAGAACAGGAGTTTCATTCAAGGCGGGAGAGGCGATTCCGCCCTAGACCTGATTCTTCCAGGCCAAAAGGGCTCCACCGCTTTTGAACCCATAGTAATGACACTCAGGAGCCAAGCGGAAACAGCTGATGAGTTGGGCTCGCTACTCAAGAGCCTAAGTACAGCAAACGCCTCCATGCAGATCACAAAGGAGCTGATGCTTGCAATCCCAAGAAGTCAAGGTGAGATGCAACTAGCGAGTTTCTGGCTTGCGCTCAATTTACTCAAATCTACTACAAACACGAACGTCGCGCTCGACGACTTTACGGATCTCGGACCGTCTTCTCCAGATTTGCAAAGCGAGCTGCTAGACGACATTTTTGCCTATTCCATATCCATTCTCTCTGAGTCAACGCTCGATTTGGCAACGGATTGGCGCATGCAAGCTGTTGCAGTCGAAGCGGTCGCCCATCGAGCCACTCAAATGGACGAAGACTTTAGAATCGAGCTAGTAGATGCTCTTTACCCGGTCGTCCAACTTCTGGCATCGCCTGTCGCTCAATTGCGAAGCCATGCAATAACATGTCTCAACATCATGTCAGACGCCTGCGGGTATCCTAACACAAGCGAAATGATTGTTGCAAACGTTGACTACTTGGTGAATGCGGTCGCACTCCAACTCAATGATCTCAATCTTTCTCCACAGGCTCCTCAGGTCCTCCTGATGATGGTCAAACTTTCCGGTCCTTCGTTATTACCCTACCTCGATGACCTGGTTGATAGTGTGTTTGCAGCTTTAGAGAAATATCACGGCTATTCGAAGCTTGTGGAGCTACTGTTCAGCGTCTTGAAGGGTATCGCAGAGGAAGGTGCGAAAATGCCGCAGCTTGCAATCATCAACAGCAAAGAAGGCATCAAACGAAAGGAAGCGTTTCAGTATATTACCATAGCAGATGTCACCAAAAGTATCAAGAAACTACGACGTGGCACCTGTCGGATGGAAGAAAATCTTCGCTCCCAGCAGTTGGAGGATGACGACGAAGTCTTTCCTAATCGGCCTTGGAAAGACGACCTCGAAGAGCCATCCGCATCCGCGCGCGATAGCGCTGGGGATGTTGCGCGAGACGGAAACGGGAATGAAGCGTCCGATGTCGCTGGACAGACCCCTCCAGTGCCGAAAACCTACGACTTGTTACTCAAGGTCTCTCAACTGACGCAGCACTACCTCACGTCTTCCACGCCTGAACTTCGCACATCGCTCCTCTCACTCTTAGATATCACTATCCCCGCCCTTGCAGTTCACGAAGACTTGTTTCTCCCCTTGATCAACACTCTCTGGCCGGTGCTTGTTCCTAGACTGGAGGATCCGGAGGCGTACGTTGTAGCCAACGCTCTGGACGTCATCGGCTCGATGTGCATGCACGCCGGTGACTTTATGCGAGGCCGCATCGACGATCTTTGGGAAGGGATCAAGAAGGTCCACCGCCGCAACACCCCCGACCAGGCCGGCAAAGCGCGTGCAAGACCATTGCAATCAAAGTCTTCGCTTGAGCACGCAGGAGTGACTGAAACGAACAGTCAGTTAACATCCTTCCAACCGAGTCACTACATCAAGACACCTACGCGCCTGGTTTGGGACGCCTTGGTTCGGTTGCTCACCACGATTGTCGATTACGTGGTCATCAACGAGGAAGTGTTTGACGAGATTTTGGAGATGCTCAGCCCGCTTCTGGAGAAAGATGTGGAGGTGAAAACCGCTTTGAGTTCGCGCAATCCGGACGCCGTGTGGCTTGCCATGCTGAAACGTAGCTTAATAACTGGACACGCGATCGATGGCCTGCCTCCTCCAAGTGTTGCAGCGGACATGCGACCAGCTAGTGGCCAGGATTGGGAGTTTGCAGCAATCAATGTATGAGGCTCAAAACCGGTCCTGCGCACCACCCAAACCGTGCAAACATCATTCTTACACTCAAAAAGTATCGAGGCATGCGCAACCTGCTCGAGCTTGGTGTGGTGCGCGCTCCATGCCGAAGTTGAAGTCGTGTCGTTGTTGCTACCTTCCATTTTTAACACCACGGTGCTACGATGTTCAAGGACGGAAGCTGCCTAATCTGGGCTGCTATTGCCATCTCGCTGCTACGCTGCAGGAGGGCCCCGTTGTTGGTGTTTGTCAAGAAAGCGTTCCGAATGGGGCGCCTGCTCTTCTCTGTCTCAGCATCCTTAGCACTTCAAAGCGAAAAGATACTCACTTTCACTCTCCATCTATCTTTACATCGCTTGATCCGGTTGCTCTATTGAATCTCGTATCACCGGAACGGTCTCATATCGCCGGAAGAGTCTCGCTCTCATCTCAAGGCACGCACTTCGCATGCTCATCTTTTCTCGCGGCAACGTACCGTCACCACGACGACCACCAGGCCTAGCCTCCATCCTTCAGGTGCAAGCTCTTCCATCACCTCGCGACCTGGTGAAACCCTACCAACCGGAATCGCCGCTACTCTCCCAATACTCGTCAAAGAAATTCCGCCCAACAAGACAAGATGTGCTACTTCTTCCTTATGGTGTTCAAAGGATGCGAGCACAAGGTCAACATGCACCACAACTGCGGCTATCCAATAGTCGAGACCTACGAAGGCGTACCCTGCTGCAACGAAGTGATATGGGAGAAGCGGAAGCTAGCCGAACCCTGCCTGGTCTGCCGCAGACGGGCTCAACAAGGTAAGTTCACAATACCTCAGCTTGCTTCGGCTAATCATGAACTTCCAGGTGCAGATGTACGCGATGTCAACTCGAAGACTTGCAACATCCATCGGAATGATGTTAAGGTTGTTAAGGGTGGGTGTGAGACGGGGCGGGTGGTGTATGGCATTTCCGCGCTCTCGACTTTGGCGTTGGTGGCAGTGGATCAGATCGGACAAGATGTCAAGGCAGCAGGAGCTCCAGCGGTGCCAGGCCCACAAGATTACTCTCTGCACCCAAAGCCTCATCCTTCCGGGTACCATGCAAATCCAGCAACTCGAGGGTCGGAGGGAAGAGGTCACGAGAGGCAAGACTCCCACGCACTAGGGGCTACAGCGGCACGAGGGCCACAAGGCTATCCTCTGGTTCCACAGCCTCATCCTTCGGGGTACTATACGAATCCAGCAACTCCAGCATTGGGGGAAGGGAGCCAGAATAGACAAGATTCCCACGCAGCAGTGGCCCCAGCGGCACAAGGCCCACAAGACTACGCTCTTATTCCACAACCATATCCTCTAGGGTACTATGCCAATCCAGCGACTCTAGTGTCGCAGGGAGGGGGTCAGAACAGCCAAGGTATCTACGTATCGGGGGCCCAACCGGCACGAGGCCTAGTCCCAATGAGTTGGGCCCCGAGGTATTTTACATATCCAGCAGCAGTACCGCAACAGGGAATATCACAGCAATCCGCACCGCTTCCCGTGCGCGCGTATTCTTCGAAGCGCAAGAGCGAATGGAGCGAAGAGGACTGGGCGCAGTACAGGCTTGACCTGAAGGAAGAGCGTGTTTATCCGCATCTAGGTAGATTCAGAGACCTGCGTCCGGCATAGCTATTGCAGGTGGGACGCTCTCTCTAGCGACTGCACATCATGTACTATATAGTACGAGGGTGATAATAATTGCTAGACTCCAAAACCATCGAGTCGTGAATCCATCATCATGCCTACTACAACTATGACTATAAGCTTCTGACCTTGATTCTACTTCCAACGGATTCAGAACGCCCCTGTCGCCTCTATCCACGTACGTTTCGCAACCGACTGCTGTCGTACCCAGTGGAGGCTCAGTATCAATGGCGAACGCAGTGCCGTAATTTAGAAGTCTATATGTCTTTGTCATCCAGGTGCACAGCCCTCACCCGAACTCGCACACCTACTAGTTCGCCTCCTTCATCTCCCCCATCGCCTTTTCCGCCCCCTCCTTTTGGGCCTCCTCGGAAGTCCTTGACTGCTCCGGATCCATCCTCGTCTCAATCCTCCTAATCACCCTCGCCGGGTTCCCCGCCGCAACGTGAAAGTCTGGCACATCCTTCGTCACGACGCTTCCAGCCCCAACCACGCACCCCCGTCCCAACCTCACGCCCGGCAACACCACCACATTTCCACCAATCCAGCAGTCCTCGCCAACGTGGATCTCCTTGCCCATCTCCGGGCCCTGCGTCCCGTTCCGCAGCTCTGGATCCAGCGGATGGGTCCCGCTGTAGAGGGATACGTTGGGCCCGATTAGGGTTCGTGCCCCGATGGTTACGAGACAGGTGTCCAGGATTGTGCAGTTGAAGTTTATGAAGGCGCCGGAGGCGACGCGGACGTTGGTACCGTAGTCTATGACTATGGGGGTCAGGATGATGGGCTCGGAGGCGAACAGTCTGTCGTCTTCTTCTTGGGTGTCTTTTTGGGGCGGTAGAGGCGTTTTATCGCCGAGGACGCTGGGATTGGTGGGTTAGCAGGTGTGGTGAGGGTTGGACGGAGGAGGGAGAAGGGGATGGGGGCAGACATACTTACTCCCTCCATAACTCTACTTGTCGCCGTCGGGATACTTCGCCAGCGCTAGCGCTGTTGTAGCGTTTTAGGGCCTGCGCGCAACGGTCGCGCTCGGCGATGAGCTCGGGCGTGAAGGCGTGGTAGAGCTCGCCGCGGAGCATTCTTTGTTTGTTTTCTGAGAGGGCCATTGTGGACTGAATCTCTTGGGGAGTAGGTGTAACTTGAAGTTTCAAGGTGCTTCGACAATGAATTGATTACAGTGAAGGGGCTTCGAGTGAGCAGACACTGCAATCGGAGGGTTTGGAGGAGTTGAAAGGTCCAATTCTATTTTACAGCGGATCTAACGTTAGGACTTGTGGAGGCGGGGTATGCAGTCAGTACTTGGGGGACAAGACGGAAAGATTCTCGGGTTGCCCATCTAAGCGATGATGCAATGCATCGCGGGGGCGGCTTGGTGTTTTTGGTGTTTTGGTTCTGGCGGCTCTTCGAAGGCGGTGAGGGGCAGGGCGGCACGGCGGCCACAACCACAACCTTCAGCCACCCGCCGTGCCGCCGCGAGGCGCAACGTTAAGACGTGCATCTCAGCTCAGAGAGGGCAACGTTGGAAAGCACGAAACGCGTCTTGCACTTCCTCCCGTCCTTCGTTCATGCTAAGGTCGACGATTACGATGCCCATGTAGGTCATTACGCTGGGACGGAGACTGGACAAAAGGGTCGTGTGTTTCATCGCCTTCTTCCCCGTCGGACAGCTTTGTCCGCTTTCATCCCAAACCCCATTGTTTCAATATCGAGTCTTGCGGCTCTCTGTCGTCTCAACCCTACTTTCATGCCAACCTTACGTTAAGTTCCTGAGTAGGGACCCTCACGTTGCAGCCGAAACTTAACGACAGCTGGCAGCAGCTAGTGCATTACTCAACCCTCAGCCTGAACACTCCCTCCTCGCGCCCAACCTCACCATGTCGTCCGCACCCAGCACCAGCAACGGCTCCGCCACAGGCACCGGCAGCAGCCATCCCCCCAACCCCACCTCGAACTACGCCCACGACCCCAGCTCCCCCGCCGACCTCCCCGGCTTCCACCTCCTGCGGCGCCTCAAACAACGCGCCGCCGCCCTCAGCAATGCCAGCGAAGCGCGCCAAGAAGCGCAGAACCACGAGGCCGAGGAGTCGCTCAAGGCCTCTCTCGCCTCAGTCGGCGGGCCGCGCTACGTCCCCATGACGGAGTTCCTGCCGCACCACGAGCGCTCTTTGTCGAGCATCGCTATGCACGCCTTCCTCTTGGGCGTGGTGCTTGCGCTCAGTCTTGTCGCGACCTTCTCGCTGCTCTACATACCTTTCCACTCCAAGGATCCGGATGAGGGGAGGGAGAACTGGACCCGCCTCTGGCGCGCCACCCTCTTCACCGCCGTCCTCTCCTTCTTCCACTTCATAGAATACTACATCACCGCCATCCACAACTGCCCCGAGGCAAAAGTCTACGCCTTCCTGCTCAGCAACGGATCCGCCTACCTCGTCGCGCAAGGTTCCGGCCTCCTCGAAGCCGTTTACACCTCCCTCTACGCTCCCCACTGGCAGTCCCGCTTCAGCTCCCCCTACTCCATCGCCCTCGGGGTTGTGATGATCGTCGTGGGCCAGGCGGCGAGAAGTATCGCCCTCGCGCACGCGGGCACGAATTTCAACCTGCAGGTGCAGACGAGGAAGAAAGCCGAGCATGTGTTGGTCAGACACGGGATTTATGGCTATCTGCGGCATCCGAGCTACTTTGGGTATTTCTGGTGGGCGATTGGGACGCAGGTTGCGATTGGGAACGTGGTGTGCGGGACTGTGTTTGCCGGGGTGCTGTGGATGTTCTTTGTGAGGCGCATACGACGTAGGTTTTTTTTTCTTGTTGGGAGGTTTGCAAGATGGGGCAGATTGCTGACTGCGTGTTGCAGGAGAGGAGAAGTGGCTGGAGATGTTCTTTGGCGACGAGTACGTCGAGTATCGCAAGCAGACGCGTGTGGGAATACCCTTTTATTGGCTGAATGTTTAGGCTGCCATCGAGATCTAGTAATGAGAATCTTCCTATCTGGCAACATTTGTCACCCCTAATGTGAATCCAAGTCAAAGACACGTCTATCAAACGCCGCTACAATGATTCGATCCAATCAAGCAGTCAACGCTGAGCTGACCCCCAAGATCCCCATCCCCACAAATGCAAATGCCATGCATAAATTCCGGCTGTGCGTCAGATCCCAAGCCTCGGTGAACAGCTGCAACGCAACCGACGCCATAATGCCAGCTATATCACAGTGCGTCAGCATGCCATCTCCCTAACCTAAGACGTTCCCAGGACCCGGAATGTACTCACCAGTAACAGCAAACATCCCCCCATAAACCCCCTCCCCAGGTTGCATATCCCCACTCCCCGCCAGCCTAAACCAGAGCGCCGCAACCCCCGCACCAAGCGGCTGACTCGCGCCCCCAAGCAAACTGCTCCAGAACATGGCCTTCCACCTGCTGTTGATGGCCAGGTACAGCGGCAGCGCCATGGCGAAGCCCTCGGTGATGTTGTGGATGAAGAGCGCGAGGAAGACGGCGAAGCCGAGTTTGGGGTTCGCGTGGTTCGTCGCGTAGGTTATGAAGCCTTCGGGCAGCTTGTGCAAAGCGATTGCTATGGAGGTTTGCAGGCCGATGGAGAGGAAGGCGTTTGTGGGGACGTGGTGGTGGTGGGGCTGGTTGCCATGGCCCTCGTGATAGTCATCGTGGTGGTGCTCGTGGCCATCCTGGTGCCCATGCTCATGCTCGTCCTGGTATTCCGGCTGGATCGAGGGCGCACTGGCGGTTTTGAATAGTTCGGCGTTGGGGCTGCCGCTGAGCGTGCCGGAGCTGGGCGGCGACGTAGTCCCATAAGCCCGAGTTTCAGACCGCACGGGAACAAATGGCGCCTCCTCTTCCACATCTGGGAGTAGCGGCTGGCGCTCACCGGGGAAAGTTTGCGAATACGGCGCCGTGACGCTCCTCATCAGGCCGGGCTGCCGTGGCTGAAACGACGGTGGGATTTTGGTACCACCACGGGCCGATACATTCTTGAAGCAGTCCTGGCCGCACGGATCAGAGTAGCCGAAGCACTGGCCGTTCTCGTCACACTTGTGTTGGGTTCCAGATACTATCTTCGACATAGTGGCGGTCAGCTGATGATGCAGAGATGGACGGCGAGCGAGGCCGTGGCGTTCTGCCCTTCGAGCTTCCTGACCACTAACGGCGTCGAGTAGATGCTGCTGCGCCTCATTTGCACCATGCGTCGGTAAGCCAACGCCAGGTCGCAGTGGCTCGCCTCTCCAACGCTGAGGCTTCGGTTCGGGCCTTGGATGGCCGTTCTTTCCGTGGTGTTCCTCGTGACTAGCTTCTTCTTCGTCGTGAGAGTGATCGCAGTCTACAATGTGTGATGGCATGTAATGGTGTAATATCCGGGAAAGGAATTGGATGCCAACCACGCCGGCCAGGAAGCAGCCTATTAAGGTCCATGCGGCCGCCTTGGGCGAGAAGCCGGCTTTTTCCAAGGAGCTCTTCGACGACGGCAGCATGCTGTACAAGGACGAGAAAAGCTTGGTTGGCGGAGTGAGTATGAGGCATACGGCACAGAGTGTTGTAGAAGCTCACCATGACCCCAAAACTAAGACTGAGAGAAGAGGATAAGAAGGGATTGCTGTCCTGTATCCTGAAGTTCCTCTTGCCAGGTACGAGGCGTACGAGGACATCCACACATATGATCGAAGCTGTTACCGTCAGTCCTGACTCGGTGCACTGCTATCGAGACAGTGCTAAGTACCTCCTAGAATGCAAGCTGGAGCCATGGAGTCAGCTACGAACCGAACAGCGTATGGATTCTTCTTACCGAGACCGCTGGCAGCAGTCATTATCCAGCCTCGGGTGTCATTTTCGAGCACCATATTGCTGAGGGCCCAATGCGGATCAAGCTGCTGGGTTTAATGTGGCTGCCCGAGGCGATTACTCTATCTCCCGATGATGTCACAATGAACAGCCTAGATTTTCAAGAATGGGAGGACAGGAGATTTGGTGCAAGAGGCTATTCATATGCTGTGTTCATACATCAAGGGAGATATCAGCAAAGACATGTGTCAAAACACGATGAAGCAGAAGGTGCTATGTATGGAAGTGCGAATTGTCCCGCGCTTTGTCGCCGTGTCGCAAAAACGTGTCGACGATCTCAAAGCCGGGAACTTGCCGCACCTCTAGCCTGAAACGGCATGCCGGTTTTCCGCTGAGCCGCATCTCACAATCCAATATCAGCTTATATGCAAGATGCAGGTTTGCCCTGCTTAGGTACAGACTAGGCTTGGGAAAAAGAGGGTTGAGTCCAGCTTGCTAGCCAGACGTTCAACCTACCAAGGAGGGCTTTATTTCGCTACTTGCTCTTTTTGTTCATCAAGTCGTTCGGATGAGCTAACTATAAAACGACGAAATCTTTGAAAATGCCCGCGACCCCTGAGTTCATGTCTTCTCAGAAACATGTCGTTGTCGCTGGGTAAAACACCAGTCTATTCCAGGGGCAAGAGACTTGTTCAGGGCTGACTCTCGTGAAGCGCCGGCGTCATTGGATTGCAGACAGCGCTCTCCCTTCTTGAGGCCGGGTATACTGTCACCATCGTGGCGAAACACTACCCCGGAGATGAATCCATCGAGTACACGTCACCATGGTAATGCCGCTTTCGTTGTTCACACACTTCACAACTCCGCCGGTTCACTGCGTCCTTCCAGTTCATCGAGTTCTGTCTGTGGTATTGTTTCCTTACTTGAGATAACCTCGGGTTATCAGGGATGATGTAGATGGGTCACTTATAAGGGCTGGGTATAGACTGATGTCAACATTACTCTATTCCAGGGGCGGCGCGCAGTGGCGAACTCATGCAACTCCCGATACACCAGAGCAATGTCAATGGGATATCGAAAGCTACCGTTTCTGGATGGAAATCATTGACAAAGAAGAGAAAGACGGATCACAGGCTTCTGCTCCGAAGTCGGGTCTAGGCGTACGCACCACCTTTAGATCCTTTGAAGTTTCCCGGCAGCATTGTCTCCCTTAGCTTAGTTTAGCTGTGTAAGTGTATGACGCTTACTGTATTCACGAACTACCCAGAGATTTCAACATGTCTTCGGCTGGTAAACCTCCATCCCCTTCATCTCTACGTCCTTGCGCGGTCCGCATCTAAGACAACTCACCAGGACTTCACCCAGATCCGAGACTATGCATAATGGAGCTCAATCCGTTTGGTGGTCGCCTTACGTGCGAGACTTTTATTTCGTTCGAACTTGCAAGGCGGCACCAGCCTTCTCTCAACAGTCAACGAGACTCGCGTCCTACACGAGCATCTCCATCAACGTACCTCGATACCTTCAATACCTTCTCAACCGGGCTACTTCCCTCGGCGCCCGCATCATCCGCGCCTCTCTCCCGACCGATGCCAGCATCAGCGGAGCAGTTCTCGCTGCCGAGACCGTGGTCGCCAACGAGACGCCCAATAGCGTGTCCATTTTAGCATTCATCAACGCCACAGGCATCGGCGCACTCAAGCTTGTCCCAGACGGAAATGTCTTCCCCATCCGCGGCCAGACGGTGCTGGTGAAGGGACTTGCGCCGCAGATGCGAAGCTTCGAAGACGCCAATCCCGCACCGCCAGCTAGGGCCTCAATTTCTTACATCATACCACGGCCAGGGACGAACACGACTATCCTCGGTGGCACTAAAGTGGCTGGGGACTGGCGCGCTGAGTCTGACGAGGAGATTACGAAAGACATCTTGAAGAGGTGCAGAGGGATGGCCCCAGAGTTGTTGAATGGTGATGCAAGCAGAGATGAGGGGTTTGAGGTCCTTGCTGTCAACGTGGGACTCAGGCCGGGCAGGAAGGGTGGGGCTAGAGTGGAGATTGAGGAAGTGGAGACAGAGAGGGGAGTCAGGATTGTGTGTCATGAGTACGGGCATGCGGGTGCTGGGTACCAGAATTCCATTGGGAGCGCAAAGAAGGTTATCCGGCTGCTTGAGGAGTACTTCGATAGGAGATGTGCGAAGGCGGAGGACCCAAAACTGTAGACGATGTCCACAACATCGTATCAGTTTCTCTGCTTAGAACGATCATATACACACGTGCACATAGTAGTATGGTCTATCTCGCTGCCTTTTTCATGGCACACCTGATGCCTCAGGCCCGAGGCCGAACTTTGGAGCCAAATCTGCCAAGGCCGTTTGCCTCAAGCACAAAGCGACGGCGGCCGCGGCGCCGCTGTGGTTGCGAACAATGACCAGCTCGACCACTGATCAACTATCAACTCCACCCCAGCCTTATATAGAAGGTCTACTCAATCATAGACTCGCGCTATCACTTTTCCCGTCGGACCCCTTGACCTCAACTATACCGGTGTGTCCCAATCGCATGCGCTCAAATGTCTGGCCGCTTCGTCAGGGCCTCAAAGTACCGTAAGCCACGGATCAGTCCAATTGCTCCAAGGGCTTACAGCTGATGCGCCGACTTAGGGCACGTCTTTGGACGGTCGACGAAGAAGGTGAGCTCTCGAGCCACTTATCCGTCGAGCCAGCAGTCAGCTAAAGCGAGCCTTCCCAGGAACAATGCTACGATAACCTGCGCATCTCCAAGAACGCCTGGGATACAAACCTGACCAAGGTCGGCTCCAACGGAAGATTAATACTGCATAGGACGGTATTGACAGTTAGGGCAGGCGAATCCACAATACATCTCCGTCAATTGGGAAGCCAGCGGTGGAGGCGCATTCGCCGTCATACCCATCAACGAGCGCGGACGATTACCTGAGCAGATACCACTGTTCCGCGGCCACACTGCAGCAGTCCTTGACACTGACTGGAGTCCATTCGACGACTCGCTGGTAGCTTCTGGCTCCGACGATGGCAAGGTCTTCATATGGAAAGTGCCGGATGGGTTCACGCTATACACCGATGCCGAGGAGCCTACAGACGTAGCGCCCGTCTCAAGGCTGACCGGACATTCGAGGAAAGTGGGCCATGTGCTGTTCAATCCAGCCGCGGAGAATATCCTCGCCAGCTCGTCCGGCGACTACACGATTAAGCTGTGGGATGTCGAGACAGGCTCCTCGAAGCTGCAGCTCAGACACGCGGACATTGTGCAGTCTCTTTCATGGAATGCTACAGGAACGCAGCTAGTCACCACCTGCCGAGACAAGAAGCTCCGCGTGTGGGACGTCAGGCAAGAGAAGCCGGCGCATGAGGTGCCGGGACACTCGGGTGCAAAGAACAGCCGTGCAGTATGGATGGGCGAGCATGATAAGATAGCTACAACCGGGTTCTCGAGGATGAGCGATCGGCAACTTGGTCTCTGGGACGCGCGATCACCGAAGGAACCGATTGGCGGCTTCACCATCCTCGATCAAATCTCTGGCGTCTGTATGCCTTTCTGGGACGACGGCACGCAAATGCTGTACCTCGCCGGCAAAGGGTGAGCCTCCTTTCCATACTGTCTTCCTCCTTTCCGCGCAACTGCTAGGGGTAGACCATCTAACACACCTGCAGTGACGGCAACATCCGCTACTACGAATTCTCACAGGACAAGTTTGAGTACCTCTCAGAATACAAATCCGCCGATCCACAGCGCGGCATCGCCTTCCTGCCAAAACGCGGTGTGAACGTGCACGACAACGAAGTCATGCGCTGCTTCAAGACCGTCAATGACACCTTCATTGAGCCCATCTCCTTCATCGTCCCACGGCGCGCCGAGGTTTTCCAAGAGGACATATACCCACCGACGACAGGCACCACGCCTGCTGTGAGCGCCGCGGAGTGGTTCGATGGCAAAGACGGATATCCGCCGAAGATCTCGCTCGAGAGTGTCTATGAGGGGGAGGAGCCGGTGGAAGTAGCGGTGGACAGGAAAGAGACAGCACAGCCTGAACCGGCAGTGCCTGAACCGGAACCGGAGCCAGTCAAGCTAGCCGCGGCCCCTGTACCTTCGCCCGCACCGGCGCAGGCATCAGCTTCAAGAGGTCCACCACCCTCAGTGAAAGACAACAAAGCCTCCCTCTCATCCATGGCCTCTAAATTCGCCGACGAGGACGAGGACTCTTCCGAATCCGAGACCTCATCCTTCGAGGAAATCCCTAAGCCTGTTGAACGACCCCTCGCAGGCCGCATGGAACAAAAGACCAGAGGACCCGAGATGGCCAGAGCGTCTACCACAGACGCATCTACCGACCGAACAACAAGTCCAACACTAGCCAAGAGGATGGAAGAGAAGACAATGGGACCAGCTATCTCGACCGCGCTCCAGCCATCCGCAAAAATCGACCCCGAACCCTCGTCTCCACCCGCGGACATCAAACCAACTCCCTCCATATCCCACGCGCCAACTTCGTCGGTCTCTTCGATAGCTAACGGATCAGCGTCAACAGGCGCGCGCTCTGCAAGCGGCGCTGCGGCAGGCGCAGCAGCCGGCCTAAAAGACTACCTCCAGGATATCAAGAACATGCTCGAAGCCCAGAACAAGACCATGTCGGGTCAGAGCGAGCAGATTGCGCAGCTGACGGCTGAGGTCGGGGTGTTGAAGACTCAGCTCAGAGGCTCTCGAGAGGGGGGAAGTGAGAAGGATGAGAGGATTCGGCAGCTGGAGTTGGAGCTTGAGGAGGCGAGGTCGTAGGGGGAGGGGGGAAGGGGGAAGGGGGTGGAGGGATGGGGGCTGGAGCGAGTGGGCACGCGGATGACAAGGTTCATGGAAAAGTCTACCGGAGAATTCTGGCTAGAGAAGCTGGTTGACTGTAAACTTACTGCAGGCAGATGGGTAGCGAGCGGGCCCTTGGACATCTTCAATCATTCACACTTCTTGCTATATCTGCAGCGATCACAATGATGAATCGACAAGCAACGTTGCAAGAGAGCCGGCAACGATCAAGCCATGGAGCGCAGAGCGTACGGCGTGCCATCAATTAGTTTCGGTATTGATGCTGCTAAACACAGCAGAGAGCCGTCCTATCAAGCACCACCGACCACGACGCTGAGCCGATCAACAAGTCCATGGTCCATGGCGTCACGTGCGAAGTGTCACGTGCGAGGTGTCACGTGCGAAGTGTCCCGCTCGCTGCGGAGGCCAGCGCTCCCAATCAGCTCCACCAACCCACCAAGTATCATGTACATCGCCACCCTCCATCCCGCAATGGCTCCATCACTTCGGATCGCCCTTCTCCAGCTTCATGAGCCCGTGCTCCTGAACCTGACCGTCCCAACCCCGATCAGAGCCCATGGACGACCCGTTCCAAGACCTCCTCCGCAACCCTCCCCCCGCCTTCGACCATGATACCGCACCCCCTTACCTGTACAAACCGCAAACCCTCCCCATCCTTCCCGCTCCTGCCTCTGCAACACGCACAGCAGCCCCAGAAACACCAGGCGCATCAAACGATGACCTCCCACCAACCTACACCCCCCTCGACGACGCCGCGACAACCTTTGCCCTGCACGCGCCGCTGATCTACACCATCTCCTCCTCCTCGCACACCCCGCGTTACCAGCTCTCGGTGCTCACCACCAAGTCTGGGAAGCCGTACCAGTTGCGCATCCGAAGGCTGCTCGCGACAGAGAGTCGGCGCCTGTCGCTCGCAAGGAGCTACAGCGCGCCGGGGTATGTTGAGTCGGCTGCCCATGTTTCACCGGTCCCACCAGCCTCGAGGGGCTCGCCGGTCTCGCCAGGCCCCAGCCGCGGCAGCATAGCCAGCATAAGCGGCCGTCGCGACAGCGCCGTCGCATACGACAACGAAGGCACCCTCTACGAAGCCAAAAACGTCTCCGCGCTTGGCGGCTGGGCCGGCACCAGCGTAGCCGCCGGGATCGAGATCCGTGGGTGTCGCGCCTCCACTCTCCCGGGCCTCATACGGCTCGAAAAGGGCTCCTCGCTCACGGCAGGGAAATGGTGGAAGTTTTGGCACCTGACGCGGAATAAAGCGAATGATAGCCTGCGAGAAGAGAATGAGCGGAAGATGCAGAAGTATGGGTACCATGCCGACGAGGAATGGAACCGGGAGCTGCTGTATAGGGCGAAGGCGGGGAAGGGGGAGGTGGAGTGGGCGGGGGGAAATGGGAGGGTGGTGGCGGTGGAGTGTGGGGAGGCGTTTAGGATCTTGGGACAGTTGGATGGCGGGATGCGGGATTTGTTGGTTGCGTGTTGGGCGGCGAGATGTTGGTCGTTGGGGGAGATGAAGTGGGGAGGTGCTGGATGAGGGTTGTGGAGGGGTTTGGGCGGTTTTGCTCGTTTTTGCAGGGCGATTTGTTGGTCGCGAGATGTCACAGTGACAATCTGCAGTGGGCTCGGGAACGTTGAGATTAGGGAGGAGTTTGATCGACGTATCGTGGATGGCGCGAACATGGATGCAATACTCAGTGGTTATAAGCTCGACTCCCCAATGCAGTTGTCCACCATTGATCGACAGTGGCTCCCAGCACCGACAAACGTACGAACCACAGCAAGCATCTACTCCAAACTTATCAACCAGCTATTATGTATTCTCTTCTCTCCTATGCAACACTACCACCACCCACCCCCAGCTCCCCACAGATACTTATAACGATAAATCAACGATGGCCGCAAAACAAGCAGTAGCGCCTGATAAGGCTTGGTATCGAGGAGAAGGAGAAAGACTAGGAATGAGCAAAGAGAAAAAGGGAAGGGGGCACAGATGATCCAAAGACACCCGCAATGCTAGCCAAGAAACGAAGCATATGCAACTTCTTCTCTTCTGTGGATGATAGCAGCGAACAAGAAAAAGAAAAAGCAATGTAGACAAAACGCCCGTTTCTCCGTCTTGGCCTCACGCCCCGCTCTTATTCTACGATCCGGGTTGACCGGGCTTGCTGTACAAGTACATCTCTGCGCGCTGAGTGAGAGTGGCTCCTACGCGCGGTGCTCGAAGCTTGCGTAACAACTCGATGTGAGGATGGATCCATTGATGAGCCGGTCCTCCGAGAGTCGAGCTGCGTGCGACAATACGTATTAGAATGATTAAACAGTGTGTTCCGAGTCCGGCAATCTCAACAGAATCAGCCGCAATCGGCGCCGGCGAGGCAAGTTCTACGCTATAAGCCGACGTCGAGTACCAGGCTTACGTCGCTGACTTGAGGTCCGGCCAGGTCTTCGAGTACTGGGATGAGGTCGAGAAGTTCATTGTCGTGGGCATCGGAGAACCAACTGCTGATGGGTACGGCATGCTGGGGATGGAAGATGTACGATGTTGGAGAGTTGTCGATGATGATGGTTTCCCGGAGGTCACGTCCCACTTGCGAGAGATCCTGGAAGGTGTCAGATAACACATTGCGACTGCACCGCGGGTACGTTTACCTTGACATAGTTGCCTTGGTGATTGTAACAGCTCTCTCGGAACAGACGATGATGTACCACACCATGGATGTCTAGCTGATCGAGAAGTGGATCGCCATACTGCGAGGGTGATTAGCGGATGAACGAGGAGTTGTAAGAGCAGTCTTACCTTCGACACCGATGCTGTAAAGACCACAACCTCGTACAGCTCGCCGACACGCTTCATGAAAGCGTCTACGCCTGGTCGTTTGATAACGTACACGTTGTGATACTGTCCTTCTATCTCGACGGGTATGGTGAAGTCTGCCTGGTGCAAGATCTAAATCACGTGTTAGGTGGATAAACAAGGCATTTGTCGATCGAGGTATTACCTTGAAGCTGCTGTGCACCAGAGTCTCATCTAAATCCAACACCAAACATTTCTTGCCCTTAAATTCTGGCCGTATGGGCGGTAGGAGCCACTTCTGGGTTTCCGGGGGTGTGACGGCAACAGATGTATCTTGAGTCCAAGGTGTCGTTGCTACTGCTGCCATACCGGTCTGGGCTTGGCGTTCTGCAAGTGGTGGAGGTGGAGGCAAGTCAACTTTGGGAGGTCCAGCTTCCCTTTGAGCTGCATCACCTGACGTCGTGTCCGTCGCTGCAGGGACCTCACTTGCTGCGAGCGGGAGCGAGGGTCCAGAATCGGTCATTTCGATATCCGTATCTGTCTGTGCTTGCTGGGGCGTCCGGTCCGATATCACCTGCTCTTCTGCTGGTGTCATGACTGGAGTCGGTGCTTGAACGGTGACTTGTGGGGGAAGGACTGCAGAGGTTGTATCTAAACGGCCTGGCTGGTTCGGGAGAGGTGGTAGTGGCTGGTCATACGGTCTCTTTTCATCGGAATGTCCAGCAGGAGCGGTAATAGTAACAGCTGATGGAATCTCCGCGGTCGACCTGATCATCGTCACGTCACCTTGTGACGGCGTTTGCGCCGCCTTCTTTTCTGAAATTGCTCCTGTGTTTTGATAGACTGGTTCGCTGCTTTTCTCGTCCACGGGTTCTTTTGAATCGGCAGTACTCGATTCTGCCGCGCTAACATCCTGCTTCTTAGAAGGGCCAGGTTGTGTATTACGAGTCGGTTGTATCCTGGCGGTCCTCGACGCTTCTGAGGTATCCTCCTGGCCAACCTGATTACCGTGTTCTGGAACTCCACAGCAATTCAAAAATGCTAGGAAACGAGAGACGCGCTTCTTCTTTGGCTTCGTTTGTGTGGTGGCTGTTGATGGGCCAGCTGCCGGTGCGGCCCCCAAGCCTTTCTCTGACGTGGCAGGGGGCACCTGCTGAGACCGCTTGCTACTGGTGGTGCTGCCAGCCCTCCTCTTGCCCGTTAAGCTGCGTCGGGACCCACGCCCTATGCTGTCCGATCTCCCGCTCACTGTTGCTCCGCTTAAGCCTGTACCGGCAGGCGCAGGGTCATTGCTGGCTGAAGTGGACGATTGCGGGATGTTCAGGTGATCGGATGTTGGTCCGACAGAAGGTCCACCTGTGGGATTGTTCGACGAACTCCCCTGGTGTGGTGCTTGCGAGCCTGACGCATAAGCTGTGGAAGGCCCGGCGGCGTTCTTGGACAGGACTAGGATAACGACACTGATTAGTCACTGCACGGGAAGACGTATACCCACAACGCCATCGCTGCCATTGAGCGAAGGGGGCGGGCAGAACAAAGCAAGACGACCTACATGCGCCGCCAGACTGGATCGCTGATGTCGCGTTGATGTCGGCGATGCCCTTGTCGGCGGTGGGTGGACGTCCTGTTTGGTCTCCGGGCGGCTGGGCGGGCTCGAGGCTCATGTGGGGCGACGAGAGCCTCTGTTCGCGTGGTGAGGCGCAATGGACGGGACTCTAGGATGGAAAGCGTGGGAAGAGGTCGATGGCGGAGCTCCTTGCTTCGTCGCGTGGTGATCCCGTCGGCCTCGTGTGGCCAAGCCAATTACCCTGAAAGGTTCCAAATGGGGCAGTCCGCGCCCGGACGTCGGTCGGCAGCAGCGGTGCTCGGGAGCGAGCGAGCGAGCTGGAGCCTGGAGCGGTTGCTCGACGGAGCCGGCTGGTGGTAGAGGATGATGGAAGCCGTGGTGAGAAGCGCGATATAGCGACAGAGAGGCCGACGTCAAGGGCTGGGTGAGCTTTGGGGGGGTGTGGAGGTTCGCAGATGGCAGAGGGCAGAGGGCAGAGGGCAGAGGTGCCAGTGCGCGGATGAGGCTGGGAATCCCGCCAAGCGCGCTGCAAGCGAAATGAACCAGAAGTCACTCGAGTCCTCTTACCTTGCGGCGATGGCAGCCAGCCCACGAAAAGGCGAAAGAGCGGATCTGATCTGACTGACCACTGCCGCTTCTCCGTCCCAGAGTGCCAGTCAGTTGCACCGGTGGTCGAGTAGCTGCAGAGTGGCCAGATGTCCAGAATCCACCGTTCCTGGTGCAGCTGTCAACTGCACAAAAACGTTCTAGCGCAAGCAGATGCGCACACGGCAGGGCAAGCAGGAGATGCAAGTGCGGCAGAGGAGGCCTGAAGGGGAACAAAGAGGCGGCGTCTGTGGCTTTTTGCTGATTTTAGCTGCCGCTCTTCGCAGCCTTCCTGCACTGCCGTTTTCCATGCGTGATGGGTTTTGTCACAAACAACTAGTAGGTACCTAGGTAGGCAGCAAACCCGCCGCAACGGCATAGCAACAGCACCTGGCGTGTTCGATGCAATGCTTCTTGAACTCCGATCACGAATTCGGTCGAGCCACCCGGCAATCGTCAACCGTCAACCGTCAGCATGCGCCGGGCGGCTCCTTAGGGAACATGGAAGGTCTTGGAGCAGGCCATCACATCCGCTTGGCGCTTAGCGCGGTCACAGGGAACAGAGGCGTCCTCGGCCAAGGGACCCCCTTCGCATCTTTTGGCCTATGGACAGCTCCAAAGCTGCCATTCATGTCCGTCCAGCCTTGTTTTGGAAGACAAAGACGGCGGCGGCGCTGAGTTCGAGAGCCGAGCTGGTGGTTGTAATGGGGTCACCAGCCGTCCTGGGAGCACACGCTGCGGGCTCCTGAAGTCATTCATAAACACAGATATGTGATGTACCTAGCATGTAGTAAGCATTGGACGAACGACAGCACGTATTTAAGACGTTTCTCGCCCACCACGCGCTTATGTATATAGCGGCCGCTTGACTTCCAGAACCCATGCTACAAGGTCTATCCAAGGAGAGTTCCCTTGATGTCCACAATCTTTTTCAGGTTCTTCATCCAAACAACCGCCCTCTATCCAAGTCATTGTGCTTCTGCCACGAGGATTGTCCCTTCTGTTATGCATCTGCCAGTCCTCTTCGCCTCCCACCCTATCCATCGCCATTTCGACTCGCGGCTTCTCGTACGCGCTGAGTTTACGTTTACAATAATGTCAATACTTAGCATTTGCATTGCACGAGGCGGCGCGGTAGTGTTAAACTCCGCTGAAGATAGTACTTATGCGCTGGACGTTGTTATCGGTATGGACTTTGTCGGGGAGCTGACTGCTGCGAGTCTCAGGACCTCGCTTGCCATGAGTCCGAAGACGAGCCGAAGGTAAAGTAGTCAATACTTGGTGCTGTCAATCCTTACTCTTGAAAAGGAGGACTCAACGCTTGCCTCGACGGTGGCTTTATCGGAATCGTCGCGAACGTAGCCGTGCAGATCCTCCCTGGAGATGCGTTGTAGTACCTCCTAAGCGGTCGGATGCTTGCGCAGGCTGAAGAAGATTAGGCCAGCGTTGATGACGAACACTCCGCATTCGAGAGCTATTCGGAAGTAAAAAATATCGCTGTAGAGGCGCCGCCGGAGGATTAGAACACGCTAGCCGCGTGGCTTGGTGGTTTGCCTGTAGAACGCAGCCCTCTCGGACCTCTTGCCAGAGTTGGTAGTTTGGTCAAGCATCGGGCGAGCTTTTATGTACTAACGAAGTTTTCTAGGCACATGAACACACCCCTGAAACTCGTGGGCGGCAGTTGTATAAAAGTGTGTTTAGATGAAGCGAAGCCACGGGGATACTTGTTGTATGATGACCATCCTGGAGCCGATCCAGGCATTGCAATTGATTGAAGCTACTCTAGAGCCTCAACCCCCAAGTGAGGCTCGTCCAAACGCCCGTCACCAGCCCCCTGACAGCTGCTTGCGTGCGGCCCCAGCCCTGAGCCCAGCCTCGCTGTCGCCATTGATCACGACCACGTGTAAAGCTGCCCTTCCCCGGCATATGAACGGTGGAGGAGTACAGCAACACTCAGTCCGTAGAGACGGGGCGGCAGCACAGACTTCACACGATTGAGCCTAAAGCGATCGCCAGTGAGCCTTATTGCGCCTCCATGCCGTTTACTATAGAAAATGCCCGTCAAAGACCAGGGGATGTCGTTGGCCTTCACATGCTGCGCACAAGCCGCATCGTCATCCCGTTTGGGTGGGAAGCCTTCACACAACACACACGACGCGCACAACGCACAACGCACCAGGCGCCGAACACAACCTTCGCCCCTCCCCATGCACGGCAGGATATATTGGGAGTAGGTGGTCGCTCCGCCCATGGCTGACAGCAACCTCCGACGAAGCAGCCGCAACTTCACAAACACCGCACACCCATGGCATCATCCGAGGAGCCCACGGCGAACGGCGACGGCAGTCCTCGCAAATCTCCACGCAACAGCAAGGGCTGGGATGGCAAACTCAGGCTCGAAAAGAAGGCGCTCATAACCAATCCAGAGGCGCTGTCGGATCCGGAGTACTCGGATGAGGATGCACCGCCTGTGGAGCAGATCGCGGCGGATGAAGGTGTGTCTCCCCGGTGGCACCAGCCCTTCACCGGCAGAAACAAGAATGGCACCACTGACAGCGGGTGGTACGCAGACTTGCTGGAGGAAGAGCCTGAAGATACGGATGCACGTGCCCTATGTCAAAGAGGACGGCAGTACCGCATAATCATGGGTTATCTGACAGACCGTATATAGGAGATCGACCTCGTACACTGCCGGATAGCGTCAATACCCGCGCTGAAACTCGAACGGTTCAAGCAGCTTCAGGTCCGTATGATCCAGCAATCCCACGCGACCAGCATCCTCTGTAGCCGGGAAAGCTGAAGAGTTTGCACCACTAGAAAATATGCCTCCGCCAGAACCAGATCAGCAGTATCGAGCTACCCGGCAGCCTGGGCCCGAAGCTGAAAGAGCTCGACCTCTACGACAACCTCATCTCGCACATCAACGGCCTTGACGACCTCACAGAGCTCACAAGCCTGGACCTAAGCTTCAACAAGATCAAACACATCAAGCGGGTCAACCACCTCAAAAAGCTGAAGCACCTCTACTTCGTACAGAACAAGATCTCCACAATCGAAGGTCTCGACGGTCTCAGTGACCTCGAAGAGCTTGAACTGGGCGCAAACCGTATACGAGTGCGTCCCGCGCCCCCTCTCTTCTCCAACACCAGCTAAGCCCGCCCATCCTTAGACAATAGAAAACCTGGAAACTCTCACCTCCCTCGAAAAGCTCTGGCTCGCCAAAAACAAAATCAGCACCCTCGGAAACCTAACTCCCCTCACCTCCCTCAAAATCCTCTCCATCCAAGCAAACCGACTAACCGCCATAACCGGCCTCGAGACCCTGACCTCGCTGGAACAACTCCACATATCCCACAACGCCCTCACATCCCTTTCCGGCCTCTCCACCCTCGTAAACCTGCGCACCCTTGACATCTCCAACAACCCGCTCACGCATCTCACCGGCCTCTCCGCCTGCGTGCACCTCGAAGAGCTGTGGGCGGGCTACTGCCAGTTTTCCGATTTCGGCGAGGTTGAGCACGAGCTAGGGGATAAGGAGGAGCTGGAGACTGTTTACTTTGAGGGGAATCCGTTGCAGACGAGGCAGCCGGCGTTGTATAGGAATAAGGTTCGTTTGGCACTGCCGAGGATCAGGCAGATCGATGCTAGTGAGTGCCCTTTTCCTTTCCTCGTTCGGTGCAGTGGTGTTGGGGACGAGGAGAGAGCGATGCTGACAGTGATATAGCGTTCGTGAGGGTGGATTAGGCGGGTGGGACGGGCCGAGGAACGGGGTGCTTTGGGGGTCTAGGTTTGTAGAGAAGACGTAGAGGGGTGATTCATTTGGGTTCGAATGGGGCAATCCTACATCTGGGGCAGCTGCAAGGCATGCGTGTACGATGTGTAGCGGAGCATATTCGGCAGATCCGGGTTAGCATTGTGTGCATCACGGCAAGGGTTTGAAAATCACGGGGTATTCGAATAAATTAATGCTCGCATATAAACAACATTGATAGTACCACACTCCAGCGATGGTTCGCCGCCGTCCTGGCAGACGGGGTCTCTCATGTCAAGTTCTTGCTCACGCGGCCTGAACATGCTCCTCTCTCCAAGCGGCCCTTAGCATGCTGGTCGCGACAGCGACTTAGTAGATCTAGCGTTACGGCGTTTCGGTTACTGATATTTGGGGCACTGAGTTTCGACTGAGCTGAACTTGTGGTTTATTCTGGGGGCGAACAATTAAAAAGGATCTCATGCCTAAAGGATGACAGGATGAAGAGGTGATCAGAAGGCCACCGCTTCGGCGGATTAATTACCTAAGATATGCTTGAGCTACAATCTATGTCTATGTTGTCCAGCTCTAGATCGTATCCGTGAAACAAACTGCGGCAACGACATACTACATCCCTCTCCGTCTCCACCACGGCCCGTCACTCGCTCAACCCTCATATGCTGATCCCTCGGCTCCAAACCGTCCTCCGGCCCTCTGTAGGTCGTCCCGGCGAACCCACGTGATGATCCGCCGAAACCACAACCAGCGGGAAGTATCCTACATTGCAAGCGGTGATCAACCCGAGTTGGGGGATGCACGAGGCTGAGATGACGTTCTGACTAGGCGGGCTGTGAGTATTAGAGCCCTGCTACACGTATCAGCACCATAATAATCGGTTCCAACATATGATGCCGGAGGTCAGATGTGAGAAGTTCGATCATGTGTTGCAAACGGTACTATGTTGCAAAGTCCACGGTGCCGGGAACACCGACACAACTCCGTAACCCTAATAACGGTTCAAAGCAGGCCGTGATGTCAAGATTGGTGCAACACCGTACCATTTGCAGTTCTCAGTCAGACACATCATCTCAGCGCGCTCTTATACTCATCCACTTAGAGGAAAGCGAACAAGCAATGAAGCTGAGAGCGCTGCGGAGTGCAACTGAGGCAGCTCCGTCGGTCTAGGGCGCGAATTGATACGGTTGCGATATGGAAAGAACGCAGCGCCATCCCTGATCGAACACCCAGATGACAATTGAGAAAGAGGACATTTGATACAGCGGCAGTGGACTGAGGCGACCGATGTGGAAAATGTTCGACCTACGTGGAGATATACCAGCGGGTGGGTTAGGTTGGCTGAACCAATGTCAAAGTGGTGATCTCTAATCACGCCTTCGTGAATGATGCTACATCCCAGAGACGACGAGTTGCGTACCCTTGCTTCATCTTGGGCGTAGGGCGACTTCGTCGAGCTAAACATTGATGTGGCGGCTTCAGGTTTCACGCGCCAAATACCTCAAGAGCCGCGATGAGTATCAGTGCTCCTGCCCCGCAGGTGGCGACGGGACATCGTTTGCGACTGCATGATGGATATCCTCGTAGGTAAAGCCGAGCGGTCCTCATTCAGGACTTTTAGCGGCGGCCGCAGCTGCAGCCGCCTCGCGCTTCCTTGCCAAGTATCTCTCTTTGGCGCTGCTGATATCCGCTTCCGTTTTCCTGCTCTTGCTCGCCTGCTCTATTTGCCTCTGTTTTTCTGCCTCTTCATCCGCCTTCCTTTTTACTGCCTGCGCCATCTGCGTTTCCATCATTCTCCCCTGGCGCTCAGCCTGTGCTCTCCTGCTTGCCACATCGTACTGATACGTCTGCTTGGACGCAGTATCTTTTGAAGAGCTTGAGTTAGTAACGGCCGCCGACTTGGGTTTAGGCGCGATATTCAAGCCTGCGGAGAGGAGCTGCCGCTTGTCCGCAACCTCCCCCTCGTCGTTGATAAAAACGTTCCTCCCCTTCGCGTTCAGCTCCCGAGCAAGCTCCAGATCACTCTTCTCCTTCTCGACATCCTCCGCCGCCTGCTTACCCGCCGGTCGAGCCTGCGCAGCCAACTCCATTGCCTCCTGATGCCGCTTCTCCTCTTCCTCCATGATCTTCTTATAGAAACCCTGCATACCCATACTTCGCTTCTTCTTCGCCTCCTCTTCCTCCCTGATCTTTTCTTCCTCTTCCATCCGCCTGATCTCCTCCTGTTGCTGTTTGTACGCGCTAGTAACGAACTTCTCCTTGTCGGCGAACTCGTCGCCTTCGGCCTCTCGTTCGCGCTGCAACAACTTCTCTTTTGCGCGCAGCTGGTCCCGCTTCCGGACCTCAGCACTGGCCAGCAAAGACTCCATATATTTGGGTTTCCTTTCAGCGGCATCAGCACGTGCAGCAGCCTTCCTGGCCGCGTCTTTCGCATGTAGTGCATCGTAAGCTGCGTCGTAGTCGTATATGGAAGGGTCTAAGGCTTCGGCTTCCTGCTGGTGCTTCTTCTGGCTCTGGAGGGTGGAGAGATCGCCATATTGCGAGGGACCGAGGTCTTTAGCTTTGGAATTAGGCTTGAGCACAGGTTTGATGGTGCCGTTGATCTGCTCTGATGGTTTTGAGGGGGCATCTTCGTCGAACCTACTGATTTCCGCGGCGCCATTGCTTGCGGGAGCGTAGGTTTCGGGCTCCGAGTCGTCGTCACCGAAGACAGGCTTCTTTAAGGGTGTTTTTGGACGTGATGGACCTCCTGAGGGTTTTTTCGCGATGTTGAGGCCGTATTTGAGAGTCGCCATCCTGCTGACTGTGGCGAAGAGGGCGTCGTGCCTGGTAAGGTGGAGGATTTGATGGAGACGGCGGGAGAGCTTCAGCTTTCCCGCCGGTGGAACTTCGGGCGCTCGTGAGACGTCACTTGCACGTGCTGCGCGCGACTGGTTGCAACACTCAGCAAACCTCCAGCAAACCTCCAGCAAACCTCCGATGGCTATTGAGCTTGGGCGAAGGCATGATGGCTTCAACAGATGGCGCCGGAGTCGTAGACGCGGAGTTTCCCGTACACGATAATAACAGCCCAAAAAGCACCAAGTTCCGCTTCAAGAAACGCTCCAGATCCGCTGAGCAGTCGGAATCGCACCCACATAGCAAGCGCCAACGGGTTCATCGCCGTGATCACGACCGAGACTCGAGACACCGTCGGCGAGATCGTGGCAAGGCTCATAAGTTTTCCAGCACCGGCATCCCAGACGACCCTTCTCTCTACGACGATATTTTCGCCGCCAACACCCGCTCCTCTCAATATCTCGACCCCGATCAGGCATTCCGAGAAAGCCTCTTCGACGCGCTCGCCGACGACGAAGGCGCTGCATACTGGGAAGGCGTCTACGGCCAACCAATTCACACCTACCCTTATCCCGCATCCAAGCCCGGCCCGGACGGCGAGCTCGAGCGCATGAACGAGGACGAGTATGCCGAATATGTGCGCAGCAAGATGTGGGAGAAGACGCACCAGCATGTCATCGAGGAGAGGGAGCGAAGGGAGAATGCGAGACAGCGGCAGAAGGCGTGGCAGGAGCAAACGAGGAGGATGGAGGATGATCGGGATGCGTTTGAGAGGCAGGTCGAGGAGAGCTTGCAGAGGGGTGAGAGAAGGAAGAAGGCGAAGAGGCTGAGGGAGGCTTGGGTGAAGTATTGTCAGGGCTGGGAAGAGCTGAAGGACCGGATAGCACGGCGTGGTGGAGAGACCGAGGGAAAGAGAGTACCTACTAGAGATCTGATACCGTGGCCGGTTGAGACGGGCGGGTGGAAAGATGTGGAGAAGGAGGATGTAGAGAGTTTTCTGAGGGATGCTCCGCCTCCAGAACTGGATCAAACTGCGTTGCTGAAGGCGGAGAGGGTCAGGTGGCACCCAGATAAGATGCAGCAGCGCTTTGGCGGGCAACAGCTTGATGCCGATGCTATGAAATCGGTTACAGCCGTCTTTCAAGTCATTGATAGAATGTGGACTGAAGCAAAAGATAAGCAATAACTAGACGATCGACCTTCCATCCGTGACTGTGAATGAGCGCGTCTGGCTCCGCGTCGTCTCTCGCCATGATCAAGCTTTCCAGATCCGAAATTACCAAGGTCAAGCCCATCGGGGATGGTTTGAATGCATTCTATAATGCATTTGAGTCATCATGCGAGGATTTCAGGCTCTCAACGTCCATGAATGGAGTTCACCGGGTAGACATCGAAGGTAACGTACATTACGCTGCTGCGGACTCTTTCTGACGTAGATAGTAGTCCTCAAAAATCACGTACTGATCTTGTATTGGCATTGCTGAGCCTCCCGGCGTCTCGTTTGTTGCTGTGTAGTACCAGTCGTGGAACCCTCTATAGCGAGCTGTCAAGATTCACCTTAGTTGTCAGTTTCGATTACTTTGACAGGCAGTCACCCTGGGATGCCAAAGGATGAGCCGCTCTTACAGCGTTCTTTATCTCACAAGGAATCCGTGTCAGCCCAATCAGTGCTTGGATAAGGATATGCGAAGCTTAACTGCCGATCGTTAAGTTCGTAGCTGCCAACTTGTCAAGTTCCTTGCCACACAGCCTTGCTCGACCATTCTTTGTAGCTGCTCCCTCCAAGAAACTCTTCCAGATCTCCCTCCTCGCGTCAAGACCCAAAGCGCGATACTTCACAATAAGGTGTATTCTACTCTGCATCGCGTCATCAAAGTCGTTCACTCGGTTTGTGAGGAACATGATGCCCTCGTAGTACTCAAGCCTGTGCAAGAACACAATAACAAGGGCATTGTGAAGGCTGCACACGAGGCGTGACCAGTGTTGCCAAGAGATCGATTAGACTCGAGCTGACCCTGAATCGATCTTTCCAGCTCGACTATGGATTACTCCACGCTTATCACATGCCGTCCAGCTAGCTATTTAAAGTTAAAAAGATCACGAGTCTTGGTGCGGGGTACTTATAGAAAAATAAAAACATAGGGGTTATAACTTCCAGAGCCTTCCGTACGCTAAGATATTAGGTGCTGTAGTTTAGAAGCTCTAGGTCTATATCGGAAGCCCCGGATCTACGTCGGAAGCCCTAGATAAAGCTAGCTAGTAGGGTTATAGATTGAATCCATAGTCGATCTAATCAATCCGCTCTAGATTGATTGGATTCACTCTAGATTCAATCGAACTTTTGGCAACACTGGGCGTGACGAGAAGCAGGAAGCGCTAGATTGTATTGTTGGTCACAGACGAAAAGGTGGTGCGATATAAATATGGAAAACTGAGGCAGCTCATGGATGAGAGATGTCGGAAACGATTATGCCTCTGAGGAAGGCTACTAGTTATACGGTATCAGTAGCTGTACGCGTGGGTAACGATGCCTTGAGGGATTGCATAGTCGTGGCTTCTCCTTATTTGTAGGGGCAAGTTGGTAAGGTAGCTGAGCGTTAATAGTAGACACGGGTTGGGTTTGGTAACATCTATGAAGCAGTATATCGAGAGGAACCAGGCAATAGATGAGCTCTGCGCTAAAGGAAGGAGTTTAGGAGGTTGGTATCTCTTGCGTTTTACTAAAGGAAAAAGAACCGGAGAGAGTGCAAGGCGTCCGGTAGTTCCTTTAGCCTCGTTCGTTGCCCTACTTATGAAGTACTTTAGGCGTTGAGCGTATGAACATTCGGAAGCTAAGGCGCTAAGCTGGAGAGAGTGGTGGGGTTCGGTCCAGTCCTCTCGTCTCGACCTGTCCCACTCACTCCATTCTTTCAGACTCAAAAAGCGGTAACTGAATGGTGACACAACACCTGAAAAATTGTGTCACAACCCGAGGACCCTGTCATATATCGAATGGCCAGATTGCCCTTAAATCTCCTTCGTCTTTGATTGGCTCATCAGCGTCGGGATTCTCGTTGGTCAAAACAGCTTGCAACATCCCGTTGAACATTTCCCTGTGGGCCGACTCTGTCGCTCCCCAGTCCTCTGGAGGGACCCATCCATCGGATGCAGTATTAAGCAAGCTTGAGAGATTCTGTCTCAGATCATGTGCCGCCTCAAAGCTCTTGTATTCCTTCTGATGAACGGCTAATTCTTCAGGCGTGGGTATAGGAAATGGACACGAACCCGCAAAACCCAGCTCCTTCCAGCGGTGCGAGGTTTCAATTAGTTCATGGCGTAAAGCCACAGTGCCATCCTTCCACGTCCTGTAGCAGTAGCGAAACGGCCGGAACAGAGCTTCATCCATCAATCTAGGGCCAGACAGCTTCGGGACAAGGAATCGAGTGTAAATGTCAAATGCCTTCACGCATCGCTCGCTATTAGGCTCAAATCGATGCTCGAGCGAGGGGTGAGTAACGGGTCTTGCAAAGTCTGGTACTTCGTCTGCATACCAGAACGCTGGCTCAATACTAGACGACTGCCAATCGATGATACCTGTAATAACAGCAGGATCGTTATCCGAAACGAATATATTTCTTTTGTGTAGATCAGGGTGGAGTAACGTCGGTGTAGCCGCGTCCCGGATTCGAGGGTCTTCGGACATTCTCCTTATAACAGCGCGACAGGATTCCAGGAGGCGAAGGTGCGCCTGAACGGTTCCTTGATAGTGCGGTCGGTTCTGAACCACAGGATCGACCGGTGGGATCCTGGAAAGACCGGTATCAATGAGACCGTCACAATACCCAGTAAGATCAGACCCTGAAGTGATTTGTAAGTGATTCGTTTGTGCCGAAGTAGACCAAGATCACGAAGACTTACACGGTCCCCGATTGGGTTTTGTGTTGTGGTAATATCTAGATTCGCCAACATTGCAATTCCAGTACATAGCTCCGCAGTGGGGACCGACGCAGAATTTTTGGTTCAAAGGCTGCTTGGAAGCAGAGTTGAGCGGGGCATCGACAAAATACAAGCTCCCGTAAGCTGGAAATTTAAGGTCTACCATTTCTATGACCTTCTGATAGATAGCGTCTATACATCTGACTTGCTGGTCGCCAGTCATAACTGGCCATCTCTGGTGCAATTGAACACCGGCGGTGGGTTCCATAATGATGTATTCGCTACCAACGGCGTTTGAAGCATCATCGCTCCAGTCGAGGATTTTCGGTATAGGGATGCTGGTATTGGCTTGCACTAAGACGCGCACAATAGTTAGCGGCTGCACTGTACTTCTATCGAGTGTGTTGATTTGGACTCACAATATTTGATAGTGGCGACTTCGGAATTGGTGGTCAATCTGGGCGGTCCTACCAGCGCGAAGGGTAGCCTCGCCACGACACGTTCTGCACTGTCAGTGGTGAAAATAAAGACCCTGTTGAAAGCCCCTTCTTTCTTATCGTAAGTCGCAATGGAAACAGCTCCAGGACATAGTTCGATAACCCTCCGGCAGAGCGCGTCGAAGTCAAACGTAACATAGCGCGAGTCACGCTCCAGCTTGTCGCGACGAAGCCATCGGCCGCTCGTGTAAACGTGAGGATCAAGGCCTGCATCCCTGTTAGTGCACTGATATGACGAAAACAAACGGGGCGGGTTTCGGAGAATGGCGCTCACAACCTGCTGGTATCGAGCCCATTTCCTGCTCTGTAGAGTGGAACCGTGCGTGATGGATTGACGGCCTACAAGCTTTCGACCGATGTAGAGGAAGACACCAGCTTTTGTCTGTAGAAAATGTACGAAAGAATGCAAGCTGCGTCCGGAATGAACGGGGCACCAAGCAACTAGCTATCCACGGCGCGCAACCTAGTATGGTACGAGTCATAAAAGTTCTTCCCCTAGAGGCAGTAAGCGGTATAAAGGCTTGATCGAAGTTATTCTTATAGGCATTAGAAGAAGCATGGAGTCGGTGTTTATATTAGTATCGCGCTATTAAGGGTCTAGTATTCTTAAGAGCATAATATAATCTTACTAAATAATATTATTTCTTATCTTATTAACTATATCTTAGCACTACTCTCTTCTTCTAAGCTAGGATTCTAACTTTCTCTACTAATAAATTTTTTTTCTATCTCTAAATACTTTAAAGATAAAAAAAAATTCCTCTTAGAGCCTCTTAGAGTACTCCGAGGGCTTCGAGGCTCCGAGTAACTCTTACTTCTTATAAGACCCTTATAAGAGTCTCTAAGCTCTTACTAAGCTCCTAGAATACTAAGCTATACTAAGTCTTACTTACTAAGTATTAAAAAACTATAAAGAAAAGCTTAGAGTCTATTTAACTAGTAGAATAGAAAGTATATACTAATAGAACTAGTTTAGAAGATAAACTTCTAGTAAAAATAACTAGATATACTTATTTTATACTAACATAGTTTAGAGTATTAGTAAAGAATACGTAGTATATTTAGATTTTTAAAAGTATATCTTTTCTTTATATCTTTCTACTTTTCTTCTTCCTAGATATAAAGAGTGTTCTCTTTCTTAGTAAGCTCCCTCTAGTTTTCTTTACTTTATATTTATTTATAAGAGTTATTTTCTTCTTTATATATAGATTCTAGTTTCTTTTTAATTTATTACTTAGTTTATCTCTTAGTTTATCTCTTAGCTTATCTCTTAGTTTATTTCTTAGTTTACTCTTTAGTCTACTTTTTAGCCTAAAATCTAGTCTAATTTCTAGAACACTTTATACTTATAGTTATAGCTTTGTTTCTAATTAAGTTTAGTTTCTAGCTTAAATTCTAGTCTAGTTTTTAGCTAAGTCTCTAGTATAGATTATAGCTTATATTCTAGTTTAGTTTAGAATATAGTTATTAGTTTAGTTTTTAGCTTAATTTTAGTACACTATCTATTTAAGCTTCTAATCTAGCTTAGCTTATTAACTTTCTTATTTAAGTACAAAACAAATTTTTCTCTCTCTAAGAGAGATTCTTTCTCTTAACTTTTCTATTTTCTTTTTTGAAATAATAGGTATTCTCTTTCTTAAACACCTCTATTTCTCTATACTCTCTATAAAAGAGTTATTTTCTTTTTTCTATTTTAATCTTAGTTTATTTTTAGTTTCTTTGTAGTCTTTTTCTGGGTTTTTTTAGTATATCTTTTAGTATAACTTTAAGTTTATCTCTTAATCTATTTCCTATAAAATCTCTTATTCTATTTCTTAGTTTATCTTTTAATTTACTACTTTGTTACTCTCTTAGCTTACTACTTAGCTTACTACTTAGCTTACTACTTAACTTACTATCTAGTTTATTGCCTAATCTACAATTTAGTTATATTTTGTAGATAATTCTCTAATTATTATTTAAGCTTAGTTTCTAATTTAGTCTACCTTTAATTTACTTTCTATTCTTAGTTGCTAATCTAGCTTCTAGTTTAGTTTCTTTCTATTAAGTTTACTAACTTTTTAAATTCTATATACTATCTTATTTACTATCTAAATAGGTTGATTTTAGTATTAAGCTTTTTTATACTATAATACTTTTCTTTGTTCTCTCTTTTATGCCTATATACATACATATAGTTTTCTTTTCTAAACTATTAAATAAGCTATATAATATTAAGTTTATTAAGTTGATTTTTATTATAGGTAAGATTACATAAGCTCTATATCTTACTTCTCTATTAATATAGCCTCTAGTATACTAATTTAAACTCTATAGAATGAATTAAAAGTTATATGATATAATTTTACTATATTTATACTAAATTTTCTCTAATCAATTAGTATATATAATAGGAATTATTTGGGCGCTTATAAAATTGGTATTAGTTTAAGATATCTAAGGCGCTTAGAGTACGCTTAGAGCGCTTAGAGTATCTTACTAAATTACTTTAAGCGCTTTAGATATCTAGAACTTCTAAATTATCTAAGCTATTTAAAATATCCCAAATATTTAAAATGATAAAAATATATAGCGCGTTAAAAATAGTTAGCGCCGCTTAGTAAGTAGAGAATCTTAGAGTTTCTAATCTCGCTTAACTTTTACCTTCTAGTAAAAAGAGCTAAAGTATTAACGAATTTAAAAATTAAGCCGATAAATTTATTTTTAAAAGTCTACTTCTAAACTAGCTCTATTATTCACCCTCCCTATTCTACTAGTTGAATTAGACTTAAAGCCTTTTTTAATTTTTTTTAGCTACTAACTAAGTATACTAAGCCCTACTAAGCTCTAGCCTCTAGATGTTTTAAATGTCTTAGATAATCTAGATAGCTTAAATAATTTAAAGATTCTAGATATTCTAGATACTCTAGATATTCTAGATATTTAAAGTACTTTAAGTATTTTAACATACTTGCGAGCGGCTCGCAAGCAGGTAGAATTACTTAGAGGCTCTAAGCACTCTAAGCGGCTCTTAGTATTAAATTTTTTCTTCTAATGTAGCTATCTAGTATTTATAGACTATAGTATACTCTCTAGTTCTATAGATTTATATATTTAAATTCAAGCTATTTGTAGAGATATAATCTTATAAATTATTAATAATTCTAGATTTACTATTAAGCTAAAAAGTTTCTTATAATTTCTTTTCTTATATAAGTATTTATTTACTTTATTAAGCTTTTATTTACTTCATTAAGCCTTTATCTACTCTATTAAGTCATTATAGATTATAGAATACTCTTAATAGTCTATATTTACCTTATAGCTAAAAAGAAAAGTATAATTCTATATAAGATTAAACTAGTAATCTAAGGCACATGTATATAGTTAGCGTAGTAAGTATAGTTAGTATAGTTAGCATAGTTAGTAGTCAGCGTTTTAGTAGCTAAGCTATAGTACTAGCTATAGCTATAGTATGCTAGCTGTAACTACTAGCTCTATAGTTATAATTAAGCTTTAGCTAAAATTTTAAAACCCTAAGGCTTTTATAGTAGTAGTTATAGGGCGCTATAAAGTAGATATATCGAAAACGTAAAGCTAGACTAAGAAACTATAGAACTACTTTTTATAATTTTAATATATAGCGTTTATTATAGCGCTACAAGTGTTTTTACTAGAGAAATTTCGGAGGCAGTTATAGTTTTCGCGAAGGTAGCGCACGGTGGAAAATCAAGTTTTATTAAAGTATTAATTATTATTCGGTTAACTTTTAAAAACATAAATACCTAGCTAGAATATACTACAGAATTAGATTAATATAGCTTAAAGATATCTTAAATACTTATAAAAAACCAATTCTAGCTATAATAAGGCGTTATTATAGGATAATAAGAAGTTATTATAGGATAATAAGAAGTTATAAAGAGATTAGAATTCTAGTTAAGAAGATTGAGAATAGAATTAAGATATAGTAAAGTTAAACGAATATTACTAGGTGATAATTAGATAAATTATATAAATATAAATTTCTTATTTTAAATTAAGTATATAGCTTTTATAAGAGAAGCTCTTACTATTTATATAGTAGACTATATCTATAATTTCTATGATTTCTATAATTTCTACTATTTACTATTATTAAAAATAAGATAGATAGTAGTACTAGTATTCTCTATTATTTCTGTTATCTACTATTATTGGAAATAATATAAAATATAGTAATAGCTTAGTAGCTCTATCTAGTTTAGATAAGCCCTATACTAGGTATTAGTTTATAATACTAGCTTCTTTCTAAAGGTTTATATCTTAAAAAACTACTCTTTCTTTTATAAAAATAGATAGAAAATTTATCTTTATACTAAGAAAGAGATAGCTCTTAACTAAGAGACTACTACTTACTAATTAAGAGTAGCTAAACTAGGTAAAAGTAATCATTTAGTAAACTTAGAATGTTCTCTAAATAACTATAATATAGAGCTAATCTATTATAGTCTTAATAATATAAAAGAGCTAAAAGAAACTTAAACAAGAGAAAAGAGCTACTATCTTAACTACCTTTATAAGCCTTTTGAGTTAAGCTATATTTAAGTTTACTAAGGCTATTCTATTCCTTAGCTCTAGTAATAGTTCTAATATTACATAATTATCTTCTTTTCTTAAGCTAGTATCTAAATCTTCCTATATTTATAAAGAGTTATAGCTAATTTTCAAATACTCTTTAAGTTTAGACAGTCTTTCTATTTTATAAGATATTATTAAGTTCTATTACTAAAGTTAGTACTATTATTCAGAGATCTTTATATTTTATAAGTAGTAATAGTAATGTTTAGCCTTTTATTAGTGGTATATATATTAAGAAAGAGGTAAAATAGTAAGCTTTAGAGATTTAATGATATAAGATAAAATAGTTCTTTCTAGATTTAAATAGTATAGATTACGACCGATTTTATCTAGTATATAGTTTTCTCTATATACCTAAAGTGTTATTAGCTACTAAAGCCTATTCTTAGCTCTTTTAGCTCCGATCTCGGTAATATTAGATCAAAAGGAGTTAGTATAGCCTCTAATACTAGTAGATAGTATAGTAGATTAATCTATAATAGACTATATAAGTCTAGTATTATAAACTAGTGCTTAGTATAGGGTTTATCTAGAGCTAGTAGGGTTGCTAAGATTATTACCGCTATCCATATAATCCGTAATAATAGTAGATAATAGAAATATTAGTA